TAATAGATCTTAGACCTCTTAGCTTATATACTTATTATTTATAATAATTATCCCCTCCTCCTAGGCGGCTCGCCCCCGAGTCGTATAGATAGGTCCGAATAAGTACTCCGAGATATCGACTCTTAGAGAGGATATAGACCCCGTACGCACGGCTCGTCAAGTACGTACAAAAGCTACGTAATCCGAAAAGCTATAAAAAACTTATATCTTTTACGCGGATCGAACCCTCGCCTACCGTGCGTAGCTTAGTACGAGAGTATAGCGTACCTATACGTTCCACGTGTAGATCTTAGAGATAGGCTCCGTATGAAATGATAGGATAATGTCAGGAAGAGATCTATAGCCCCTTAGGGATCGCCTAAAAAGACTAAGAATCCTATCATTTCATAACAGATCTTGGACCTCTTAGCTTATATGCTTGTCATTCATGACAATTACTGATAGGCTAGGAACCTAGATTCGCTTTAGTTAATCGTCTAGGACTTTAATATAAGACTATATAGAATAGTTATTTCGCTTTACCTTAGTATCTCGCTCTATTATAATCAAATCTAACCGTCCGCCGATCCAAATTACTACCTAAATTATAATCGAGATATCCTTACCCTTAGTCTAGGAGTTAATTATCTCTTTATTTCACTTCTAAGCCGGTATACGAAAGACCTAAACCCTAGTCGCACTAGAGTCTTTTTCGATAGAATATTTATCGCTTAAGATAACCTTTCCCTAGTCATCTTCTGCGTAGTTCTAGTATTAGATCGAGAACTATAATCGTTTCTTAATATGCTCGTTCTATAATAAAGGTCTTTTCTTCGCTACCCACTTCTTAATTCCATATTTTACGAGAAAACGTACGATAGTTTTAGTATAGACTTTAATAGAGGCCTCACGAATTAGGCGCCGATAAGTCTATTTTAGATTTCGTCTAGCTAGACGAAGGATAAGTCGACGATCTCAGGTCTCTAGATAAGGAGGACGACCACTACGTGATTGCGAAAGTATATCGGTTCGTTTACTAGCTAGTTGAATAGTCGTACGCGCCGTAGATCTCGGAATTTCGAAGGCCTAACTAATCTCGTTCCAGGACGCACTAATCTCGCGAGCACCTTCGATTTTTGCACGTTAATAGGGAGTTAAGTCCTTACCCCTTCGAATATTACCATCTATCTCACCCAGAGGGCGCCTAGGCGTGGCCATTGAGTAATTGTAAAAGGTGGTGGAAATCGTGACGCGGTACGCGTTCGGACAAAACGCGTGTGGGGGGCGAGAACTTTTGTCTAGTAGCTGTATCTACCTCGGCATAAATAACCTAAGGTTCCTTTCACTGGAAGTGGAGCCTTCTCCACATCATATATAAAAGTTCTCGATATTTTCTCTCAGCCTAATCAACGGCGCCAGTTGATATAATTCACCAGTAAAGAGACCATAAGGTCAAGACAGATTCTAATACTAACTTATTTGAACCGCCCTCAACCTATAAACTATATTTGTGATACTGTCTCCTCGTATCCAGGATGTCGCCGGTGCCCGGGAAGACTTAGCATTCGGGGTTTGGAGCAATCCTATCGATATCGGATTAGAGTCACTCGCGAAGAAGAAGATCATTTAAGACTGCATCTTAATGCTCTCAGCACATCGCCGCTTGCCGACTGGCACTCAGGCGACTTGACCAACAACCATCCTGATAGCTATCACACGCCGAGCCTCGAAAAGCCTCGCCAAGTCCGACTGAACCCGCCTGTTACCTTGGCTGATGGGCTTGAGTGTTCACGAGCCACTGAAAATCCTCTCTTTGCGAATGCAATCACAAATGCCCACACAAATCATGCGATTATTCTTATCTACCTCTCCGCCAAGGGGGATCTTAAAGCTGGGCGTGGCTAATGGATGTATGCAGTATCATCGTATTATAACAATCTTCATGAACCTGAGGTAGGTCAACACTTGAGCTGAGTCTGTCTGCCTTTTGTCTTCTGTATTCTTCATTCTCGTCAGCAGCCCCAGTGTATTCGACAATATGGGCGTCAACGAGTGGATTCACGGTGCCAATATGGCTGTTGCGCGCTCCTTCGTGGGCAAACGGTTTCGGCTTGATGGCTCGGGCCATCGTAGGGAACGTAAGGGAACTTATTTCTTCACCGAAATCCGAGCTGGGATGGCAACGTTCTTCGCTATGGCCTATATTATCAGCGTCAACGCAACAATTGTGTCCCAGTCCGGTGGCACCTGTGTTTGCCCACCCGACAGTCCTGATCTATGCGATAGCGACCCAGACTACATGATCTGTGTAGCTGGCGTCCAGCGAGATTTGGTCACTGCAACAGCTGCCATTGCTGCCTTGACAACTTTCTGCATGGGCCTTTTTGCAAACATGCCGATCGCACTGGCCCCCGGAATGGGTTTGAACGCTTATGTAAGTTCTCTACCTGGTCCACGGATGGGTGATAGAGTTGTTGCCTATGGGTGATTATTAGTGTATCAGTCTGGGTTATGTGATCTTGATCTGACAACCCGCAGTTCGCTTATACTGTTGTTGGATACCATGGATCAGGACTTGTACCATATCAGGTTGCGGTTACAGCGGTCTTTGTCGAAGGCTTTGTCTTTGTCGGCCTGACCGTACTTGGGTTGCGTCAATGGCTTGCTCGCGCGATCCCCGCGTCTATCAAACTCGCCACAGGCGTCGGCATAGGGCTATACTTGACTCTGATCGGTTTGACCTACAGTGCTGGTATCGGTGCTGTGGTCGGCGCGCAAGCCACCCCTCTTGAGCTGGCTGGTTGCAAACCTGAGTTTAGGGACGACACGGGGCTATGTCCTTCGTCCGAGAAAATGCGAAGTCCAACTATGTGGATCGGTATCTTTTGCGGCGGTTTCTTCACAGTCATACTTATGATGTTCCGGGTCAAGGGCGCAATTATCTTCGGCATCTTGTTGGTCAGCATTATATCTTGGCCGAGAGGGACCCCAGTCACGTATTTCCCGTACACGGAGCTCGGCGACAGCATGTTCAATTTCTTTAAGAAAGTCGTCACTTTCCATCCCATTGAGAAGATCTTGACAGTGCAGGAGTGGGATATCTCGGGATATGGAGGACAGTTCGGCCTGGCCTTTATCACCTTCCTCTACGTTGATATTCTCGACTGTACCGGCACACTATATTCAATGGCTCGCTTCTGTGGTGCTATCGATGAGAAGACCCAAGATTTCGAAGGCTCTGCTGTCGCATACCTTGTTGACGCGTTCGGCATATCTATTGGTGCACTTCTCGGAACACCGCCTGTCACCGCATAGTGGGTATCACCAGAACGAAGCGTTAGGCTTCCACATAACGAAATCAATGCTAACAATGCAATAGTATCGAAAGCGGTGCAGGTATATCCGAAGGTGGCGGCACTGGTCTGACGGCGATCACCACCGGACTGTGCTTTTTCATCTCTATCTTCTTTGCACCAATCTTCGCGTCAATTCCTCCCTACGCTACGGGATGTGTTCTGATCATAGTTGGATCTCTCATGTGAGTCAGAACGCTAGCTGTTTGCTCTGGCTTCATCTCACGAGTGTTAATATAGGGCCAAAGCCGCCAAGGACATCAACTGGCGCTATATCGGTGATGCGATTCCCGCATTCCTGACAATCGCAATTATGCCATTCACATACAGCATTGCGTATGGTCTCATCGCGGGGATCATCAGCTATATCGTCCTCAACACCTTTGTGTGGATTATGGAGAAGGTCTCCAATGGCCGCATCAGGCCCGTGGACAAGGAATATAAGGACCCTTGGACGTATAAGATCGAAGGAGGAGTCCTTCCACCGTGGGTCACGCGTGCTGCGAAGGGCAAAAAGGACTTCTGGCGGCCTTATGAGGATATCGAGCATAACACCGTTTCTTCTGGTGCGCCTGGGATGACTCTCGAAGGTAAAGACGGCGACAGTACCAGTGCTGCGGAAGTCATGGCTGGAGCTAGTGTAGCCGAAAGAGGCGGGCTTAAGGGTGACGTCAGAGGTAGCACCACAAGCGGGAGTGAAGAGGGAGAGAAGCAAAAGGTTTGAAACCCTACCCCCACCACGATCACTTTAGGCTTTCTGTTGTTTTACATTACTATGGGTGCCTGGATTCAGACAATTATGAAACCGCCCGTCATATCAATTGGACTCTATTGATTGTACCGAACAAAACAAATAAGTAGAGCGGTACCGTAAGCTTCCGAATATGGTAATCACACATATCAAATTATATATACATTCTTGCTTAATGCCGTTTCTGGATCGATCGAGGGCCTCAAAAACCCAGTACTTGAGCTAACTAAATTTGAAAGTTGAATAAGAGGGGCGAGGTAGGGGGTCTATTGAAGTCCTAAGACAAAGATAGTATTTCGAGTAGCAAAGCACAGCCGAAAAGGCCCGTACCTTTTGCCATAAGAAAGCTCCTCCCTCTTCTCGGCTCGTCGGCTGAGCCTAGTCGGTCTACCCTCAACCCGGAGCAACAGTTGCGAGCGGGAGGATTCGGAACTAGTTACCGTTGTATGGTTTCGAGTGCGAATAGGAAAAAAGAGTACAGCTGGGGCGAATTTCAGCTATAGAAACTTTCTCTCTTATCGTCTAACTTGTTTCGATATGGGTCTTTCTCCCCAAATTCGGCTGCGGACGAAAGGCACATATGTCTAGGAAACAGGTTGACGGTGCCAAGCAGTTGCTCACCAGGCTCCGAGTAGGGTAAATGGGCTTGTCGGCTAGAGACGTGCGCGGTTGGAGGCGATGTCGATGACCGAAAGCTTGCGTCCGCCGAGGTTAGGGCAGGTCTCAAAGGTTGGTTTGCAAATATAGTTGGGTTAGGAAGCCTGGGGCCCCATTACAGATGGGTGTCTTAGGGCCCTATGAAGGCTTCAAGAGCCTGTAGCCCACATGGCTTGAATAATAAGAAGAGCAACACGGATTTTGTAGCTTGTAGGGTTCGGAAAAGTTTGCTTTCATGACCCTATTCTGTTATGCACACAAGGTGTTGGCCGGCTTCTTGGTGCTCTCCACCCAGGAATTGAGGAAACAACACTCTCTCATTAATAGGCAACACCAACCCAGGCCAGATTCTTCTTTCTTCCACTCCTTTTAACTTGATTACTTCTGAGGCAGGTCAACGCTCTGGAATCATGGACGCAATAATAGCTTCAGAAGGAGCTCCTTCTACTTCGACATCACCTTTTCAGCAACCGACACATCCCTCCATCGTCAATGTTATCTATCGTCCGGGCAATTTCAGCTCTTACAGTGTGTCAACCACCTCCCTTCCACCTGGAGCGCTTATGGCCCGGCTCACCAGTCCCCCCTTGACTTTTGCGGACCATAAACGCTGGTCAAGCGTCCAAGTGTCCGAGAACAAGCATGTCGAGCTGAACTGCGACTTCCTATATATAAATCACAGCTGTGAGCCGAGTTTGGAATTCCACGTGGTCCCAAATTCTGAGGAGCCCGTGATTGAAGTCAGGGTTGCAGCACGCCGGGATAAAAATGGAAACCCGAAGGGCATATCTCCCGGCGATATGTTGACGTTCTTCTACCCCAGCACTGAGTGGGAAATGGACCAGCCTTTCCAATGCAACTGTGGGACAAAGAGTTGCAAAGGGCGCATCAGTGGAGCCAAGGATTTGACGAGTGAACAGCTGCGAGGCTATTTCCTCAATGCTCATATCGAAGACCTCAGGAGCATCCCATCCGCCAGCGAGGGCAATAAGCCCGATCTGCAAAATAAGGGACGTTGGTAACAGGTCCTTTATATATACGTAATTCATGAAAACACTCAGAGAAGCCGGGAATAATCCGAGGCTAGAGTGTCCTTTACGGCCAGCTTCTACCCCGGTCGAAAAGCCTACAAAACTACTGAGGTGTGACTTAAATTTCTTGAGCTCTTCGCAAAAGGTGACCGCCCAGTGAGGTTACGGCAGTAGGAGAAAGTGTCTAACAGGTGGATATCTTGGCGAGAATCTCTGAAGATGGATAGCTAGGTTCTTGTCTACTCCGCTTATGGTTTGCAAAGTGGCTAAGGCGCCTGGAAAGTCTTTGCCAGCCTGAAAGTAGAAATTCTTCTGGCATTGATAGAAACAATTCCCTAGCTATTGCAGACGGTTTCGGGAGCACTGTCTTTTACACCGTTATCGTTCGAATGTAAGTTAAGGCTCAATCTGTGTTATAGCTGAAGACTTTGGGTATACCATTCCATTTAAGTTATGATCTTAAAAGCTCTTGGCCTTGACAAGGAAGTGGGAAATTTTGGGTGACTCTCCAGTTAACATATGAAGATAGGTAGGGAAGACGAAGCTCGTGACATCCTAGTAGGCTCCGAGGGAATTCAACTCTAGAGGAGAAAGAGCTCGCATGGGTCGAACTCCAGGACATAATCCGACCCTGTCAATACGAGCGCAGTCATTTCCACCAGTAGACCTACCTTTATATGCTCTTTGAGGCGCGGTCTGGCACCCTCCACACCGGGCGGCGAGTTCAATTAGTGATCTGGCCACAGGTCAAATAGGAGTAGATCAGTATTGCGGGTGTTGCCATTTACGCTCCCAAAATCTTTGAAATTGCCGGAATGAGTTCCTCGAAACGGTAATGGATTGCGGGCATGAACAACATCTTCTACATGTTCTACACTCTCATCTACGTTTTCACGCCGAACAGGATTAGCCGGCGCTGGACTTGCTAGAGGGGATCGATTGGCCAAGTTATTACTATGGCTCTCACTGGCGGATTCTCTAGACTTGGCCAAGATGCCCGAGCTCCGGGAGACCTCGGAAAGGCCACCAGCTATCGCATCCCGTCATGTCGATTGTATACGTCTGCACCTTTGTGTTCGGAGTGACATGGTTGACCGTACCGTGGCTATACACCGCTGAAATCTCCCCCCTCGAGATTCGTACCAAAGGCAACGCATGGGGAGTCGTGGGCTGGTCTATTGGGAACGGATGGTTGACGCTCTAGTGCCCTGTCAAACTTCAGAGCCTGGGCAAGAAGACACTGTGGATCTTGGCTGCCTGCACCACAATCACCAACCCTATGGTCTGGGCCCTTTATCTGGATACTAACCAGCGTACACTGGAAGAAATGGATATGCTGTTTTCATTGAAGAGTATTTGGAACTAAAATTCTGAGAAGAATCTTGGCAGGCTCAAAGCTGAAGGCGAGGTGTCCGAGCGACGCAGCTCTTGTTTTGCCAACCAGAGGCGCGGATCATCAACAGCTGTTAGTCGTTTCGGCCCAGCCACTCAGACTAGGATCGGCAATGAGTCGAAGTACAAAGAAGCGGGAAGTAACTCTAATATCAACCAGAGTATTGAGCCAAGTTAGCCTCTTCCGAGAGGAATGGGTGTGAATTCGATTCAGTGTCCTGCAAGTAATGGAGTCGTTGGAGTTGTGAGCAGGAAGTACTCTTAACTACCTTGGGTGGTTACCTTAACAGCGACACATAGTCCTTGAAGGTCTGCGGTTTACAACAGCTTTGTAGCTATGAGAATCTCTCCGATATTCAGCCCCAAGAGTCCAATGCAGACCTCTAAGCTTTAGAGTCCTTTCTTTCCCTCACTCGCATGGGAAGGCCACCTCGAATGCCCTACCGGGAAGCCATAGTCAGCACGCCCAGCAGTTTCACTAAGGGAGGGGAAACAATAGCCATACCATGTTCAGAGCAGCCAGCGGCTCATACGTCCTATTATCATCCGATAGGATTATATCGAAGCGCTGGAGGATCGCAACTGTAATCGTAATACCCTCGTAAGTGGCGAGTAGACGTCCCAGACAGCTGCGCGGCCCAGCATTCCAAGCGTGATATTCTGTAAATGATAGCGTCGGTGAGCAAAATAGTCTTTGCTTTGGGGGTAGGTCTCTGTACCTACTGAATGGGCTGTATGAGATGCTTTCGCCATTATCCTTAAGCCATCGATATGGGTTGAAGACGGCCGCATTCTCTCCCCAGATTTCTGGCATGCGTGCCATAACATAGTTCTGATAGCTGACAACATCACCTCTATACAAGCTCTTCCGTCAACATCAACTCACCAACTAGCAAGTACGTAGAGAATACATACTTCTTAATTCGACGAGGAGGCATTTTTAACTCGGGCACAGCGGGTAGAATATCGTCCTCAGCCGCTTCCAATTGGCCCGCCGGTGATACTGTGTTCAGTCGAGTGCACTCGTCCCACATAGCATTTGTAAAACGCAGTCTCTGAGAAGCAAATGGTAAGCACGGTTATTTTGATAGTTATGATATGCTCTGAGTTCCTGACTGACCGGCGTATCAGTATAGCCAAGGTAGCTATCAGCGAAGCCAAGATTATCTGCCTCAGCTCGAATTTTCATCAACGCGTTTAGATGTTGGTTTTTTCTGTGGTGAATTTCCTTCATAAACCATGAAACATTATATGTCGTTGTATCCCCTATGGCGATACAGAGTTATTAATACATCCAAGTTCGCAATGTTGTCACTTACGGCCAGCTGATAGAAATGAAAATACCATTCCACCAAGAGTATATACATCACTTGTCGACTGTAAGAATAGGTCGAGAAGGTCCACTCCGTCGTCTGGATTAGGCTTATAGCCATTCTCCATTAGATTGAGACGCTTCTCGATCAGCTGATCAATCTGTTTATAGAAGAGATCCACGGCTTTCTTCGTAATAGCGTCTTCGCCGGAGAGTTTCTCGGTTACCCTCCATAGTGGATCGCGTCTCCTTCGGTCAAATACTGTAATTCAAGTGAATAAGCTACTGTATAGATTAATATGAAGAAGCCAAGATAGGTACTCACAATGGGTAGCCTGGTCGAAGGCCTCGACGTAATCTGGTTTCGATTCCAGGCACTTGGGATCATCTGACATGATACCCCAAGCAAGTCTATCCTCATGAAATGCAATCCGTAGAAAGAGGCAGAACATAAGACGGCCCATAAGTTCCTGGAAGTCAAACTCTCTTTCCTCTTTGGCCAAGTTAGACAGTAGACTTAGAAGAATATCCAGCCAATAATGAACAGATTGTGTGATGTGAGTCTCGAAGTTACGCTTGCTGAATGCACGCGAGGCTGCTTTACGCTGCGTTTGCCATTCCAAGCCGTCTGCAACAAATATACCACCTCTATGAAGGGGCCCAAACATGTTCCGAGCGAATCTGCCGCGCACGTAGTTTTTGCTGTTGAATTTCTGGATATGCTCAAGATAAGTGGGGTGGTTGATTATGTGCATGCGAAAGAATGGGACAGTCATTTCGAAAGCGGGTCCGTATCTTTTATACAGGGAATACCAGGCCTCGCAACTGGCTGCGCCATTAGTTCTGAGTTCATGAAGGTTTCCAGTAAACGGTTTCCCCTTTGGACTGGCAATCCATTTCGCATTGGCGGAGGATGATGTCCAGAAACCCTTGTTATGGTAAGTCCAGAAGATCCCTACAATACTGTCATTACCAGCGGATCGGAAAACCCCATAACCTGGTAACTAACCTAGGACTGTCGTCAGAATGAGGACACAACCATATCCAAGTCCTACGGTAATTGAGGTCTCTGGATACACCAGACACGACTTGAGCATTGTGGACATATTGTCTTGGGATAACATTGTCGATAATGCGAGTTCTAAGCGCAATTCGAAAGACCAACTGCCAAAAAAAAGTGGATTATTGCCCAGTATTAATGCACACAAGTAAGTCTTTTCTCTTGGTAGAACGCCTTTATGTCCTTGACCTAAGTGACGCGTAAGACGCAAGTCGCAGTGATTGACTACCGGTGAGTATCCTTGTAAATGAGCGCCTTCCCGCCTTCGTTCCCCGCATTTTGCCCCGCTCTCCACAGCTGTCATTGTGGGGGTGAACATCAAGCCCGTTGCATAGCTTGCCTCGTGATCCTCTATTCGCATGGGTCTCGTAATGTAGGAGAAATACACTATGGAGTTCAGAACCAAGGGTACAATGTCAATTATCATCAATCTCGTACCTTAAGGAGCTGGATTGTAGTTTCTCATTTCATATAATAGCGTAACATGTTTTCTCGCGGCGGTTGAGAACAAGATGACAGATCAGCTAGGGCAGGGACGGGAAGCACAACACCCACTCCGTCGGAAACATAGCTCCCGCGCCAATTTTGACACACATCGAGAATAACTACGAATTGTCCAGGGGAACGTCGTTTCGAGTTAGATCAGATGAGTTGCGCGTTGCCGTAAAGAGGGTAGAGAAGGACTTTCTGGACTTCATCTCCGCCGCTCGTCTTAGGAATAAGCTTCTCTGACGGAATTTTGGCGGCCAGATTGGTGGAATTTTCACCTGAGGACCGCCAGACGCTGCTGGATACGGGCTAGTCTACAGTACGGGGCTTAATTCAGCTTAAAATCGATCTGCGTGGCGAGAAGGCTAGCCGCAGGTGCCGTCTGAGTATGGCATAAAAGCGTTTGTTCTCCAGCAAGCCTCTGATGGTGACAAAGAAGTGCATTCACGGAAATCTCGTATCGATGATATCGGTGTAATGAACATAGATGACGCCTAACGCAGCCTAGAGAAGAAATAGAGGCAGTGTTCTAAATCTGATCAGGTCCACGAACGTGTAAAAGGCTTCGCCATAGAATTTTCAACCCGTACCATCGATGATGCTATAGAGTATCAAAGTCCTGGAGGGCAGCCTCGGTAATCGAAGCTCTGCACCAGGTAAGTTATCCTTGGGTCCCGCGAAAATTAGAACCGAGGTTGGCGTTGATTGCTTCAAATTTGGTAATAGCCGTCACCCCGCCTCGGGAATGAGGCCGGTTTATATGCTAAAGTAAACACCAGATCCATTGACTTTTTGAATCCAAATATCAATGGGATAATAGTTTCGCTTGCGAAAGCTTCGCTATTTGATTTCAGCTGGAATCGCTCTAGGATTCCGATAGCCGTATCCAGAACACTGAGATCTACACAATCGGCCAGCATGGAACTCCAGGCAGATCTTCGAGCACAGAACCTCTTCAAATTTGACCATCATGTTGCTCTAATTACTGGAGGCGCCTCTGGCTTAGGCGAAATCGCCGCGCAAGCATATGTGCAGAACGGCGCTAAAGTCTTTATAGCTAGTCGAAAGGAGTCCGAGTTGAAACGGGTGAGCGAGAGCATTCACAAGCGGTTACGAACCTTTCAGCTGAGATATAATTCATAGTGCGCTGCAAGGTTAAATAACCTTGGCCCCGGCAAGTGCGAATATATTGTCGCCGACCTCAAAGACAAAGCTGGCTGCGACCGATTGGCAGCAGAAGTCAAGAGCCGCACAGATATTTTGACGGTCTTGATCAACAATTCTGGGGCTACTTGGTAAGGCACAACTTACAAGCAAATGCCTTCACAGTCAGTCACAATTGATGCGCGCTCACATACTGGAATAGGGGAGCGCCCTCTGATGATTTTCCCGAACACGGCTGGGACAAAATTATGGCATTGAACGTGAAGGCAATCTTCTACTTGACCATAGCGTACGCCCTTCCTGACGAAAGGCTGTGATTTTTATGCTGAAATTGTACCAGGCTCGTCCCGCTTCTCCAAAAGAGCGCTTCAGGGAGTGAGCCTTCTAGAGTCATCAATTTGGCATCTATTGCTGGGCTTTCGACGGGCGACCCTACCGCCACTGGAGAAGGCGGTCTATCAGTTGCAGGAAGTGGAGCTTATAGCTGTATGTCTTCGCCTTCAAATTCCTTTCACCCACGGGCGGATACTTACATTTTGCAGACGGTCCCTCAAAAGCAGCTTGTATTCATCTGTCTAGGCAACAGGCCTCGCAATTCGCCCCAAAGAATATCTTGGTCAACTGTATCTGCCCGTGAGTCAACTTCAAGGGCCATTTGGTACACTCTAAATGAACTAACTCGAACCGATATGCAGTGGGCTGTTTCCCTCTAGAATGTCGAACTTCGGCATTCAGAAGAGCCTTGAATTCTTCCTGAGTACGCAACCTACCGGCAGAATAGGCACTCCCGAGGATTTTGCTGGCCTGGTACTATTCCTTTCCAGCCGCGGATCTAACCATATCACCGGAAACGTGATAGAGATTGATGGTGGAAGCATGCGCAGTGGTTGGAAATCCAAGAAAAGGGGCTCGAAAATATAAATTGAGTCCTTATAGATTGTGATTGGATTCCCGAGTTTCCTGACCTGTCCTGTCAGTGCTCAAGATCGTACCAAAATGTATTCGTCCATGTTTTTAGCGGTTCCGAGTTCATTCTGCGGCCGTCATAAAGTTATCCAAACTTTCGAGAATGTCAAATATCGAGATGAACGATTTCTCTATCTGGAGTGTGGTGACAAGACCCATGGCTTATGAAAGCCCCCGGTTCTCTGGAAGCCGGTTGTCTATACTAATACTCTTTCTGCAACTGGAGTTGGCATTTAATGAAGTCTTGGGCTTGTGATATACATAAAACCGAATCGCCGCAGCGCAACGAGGAAGCTGAAATATACGAAGTCCGAAGAAGGATGTGCTCGCAATAGATATTTGGTCGGAGTTCCTTATGCTTCAACTCTAGTCTAAGACCATGACCCCTCCGTATCGTTCAGACCTTTAGTATAACGTGAAAAGGCGCAATCGTATCAAGGCACTCTAATATCTGAGACTGTATATCAGTTCATATGCCACTTGCTGTTCCTCTCCCGTTTGAATCCGAACTGTTCCCAGCAGTCAGCGGAGATGAAATTGGCAACAATATCCTCCTTCGCCTAATAGGATCTATAGACACTAATTATAATGCACACCGTACCCAGTACTATTTATCCTCCCGAACCGACGCGTATCGAGTAACCCTTATTTGGGTACCTTATCTTTCTGCCTCTGTTGTGGATAGAGCCTACTGATATCGGTTTGTTCCTGCTGATTGTGCCTCTGATTATATCTGGTATACCCAGGTATGTGACTGGCCCGCGGACAGGTCACGCCATAACACAACGTGAGAGGCTTGCAAACACTTAGGTTACCATATACATCAGAATGAAAATTCGTCATTCTGGCGGTAGAAAGCCAGTCAAACTGACTGGCAGCTCAGAGGACATTTCCGATATTCCCGGGGCCACCTCCTCAAGACCGGCAGTAGGGGCGTGTGTCTGCCTTGCCGCTGCCTATCTAACTTCTCTCCTAATTGGTAACGTCCCTTTTAGGCGCTCGGCGACAGGCATCCACACTCTCTACCTACACGCAGGTACTTACACGTCAAGAATGTGTAGGCTTCCTCAGGTAGAAATGCCTGTAGTGGATAAGGGACGAGGGGGAAAGCGAATACGAGGATATGAAGTTGCACCGACCCCGGGTGAGTTCCGAAGTATAAGGAAGTGCATAGCAGGTCTGTACAACCTTGAACGGTAGACTTCATTCACCGCCCAAACGAAATACCTCACTGACAGCACATATCGCCATAACACGCTCTTCAACACCATGCCATACGCGCAGACCACTTTTCTTAACCTCCCAGTGAGCGATCTCGCTCGCTCAATTGCCTTCTATACCTCGCTAGGCTTTGTTCAGAACCACACCTTTTCCAATTCCACTTCCGCCATGATTTCTCTCCCTATTCTAACCCACTTCACGAATCCACATGAGTCGCCGATTAAAATCATGCTACTTTGCCATGATTTCTTCGAGAGCTTCCTACCACCAAATAAGTCAATGGCAAATGCGAAGACCACAGCGCAGATGATTTTTTGCATCAGCCAGGAGAGCAAAGAAGCTGTAGACACCATGGTGAACAAAGCAGCCGGGAGCGGTGTGGATGTCGATATCCGCGGAAGGAATGAAGCGCAAAAGAAAGCTGAGCAGAATTCAGGAATGTATATCCGCAACTTTGAAGATCCAGATGGTCATGTTTTGGAGGTCGTGTATATGCCAGTCCAGTGCTATGAAGGGAAGGAGTGATCTGCACAATGCTTATGACCAAGGGATGTCAACATTGAATGCACTCCGCGTTCGTTCTACGCTACCGGAGGACTTTTTTCATTATCTGCACCCCTTCAACGACTTGTTGCAATGAGAGGAGAGACTGCAGCTCCTTGCAATAGCTGCACTTTTCGGACAGAGAATTCAGTCTTGATCTCCTTGTAGTCTATTCCGAGAGATTGAGGAGAGGCAAGCTCAACAAATTTCGCCTCTACTCTTGTCCGGGTTATCCTTTTGCTGTGATGCAATATCATGCAGACCTCTTAACCGTAGCTGAGCATTCGTAAGGGTGAAGAGGTGTACGCCGCACTGGTCTACTAGAGCGGTTCCGCTTCTTTCTCTCGTCTTATAGACACATCGATGCCCTCAAGATAGGTCAGTCATAGCCCAGCAGTCTTTCAAGAGATTCGTCAACCTGTGGTTCTCTACCAAACTAACAGCATGGCTATAAACCTGGAAGGTAAAACAGCACTTGTTACAGGACGCCTATCGGGTATTTTGCTTGGAACTGATCAAAACCCTGCTGGACAGCTAAAGTAATGTCGTTATCGTAGACCTGGCATTGAGACCCGAGGCTGAAGATGTGGTCAAACAATCCAGCGCAGGGCTAGGGAAAGCCAAGTTCATCAGAACAGATGTCACCAAGTCGGACCAGCTGCAGAACAGTTTCGATTCGCCATAAAAGAATTTGGAAGTCTCGATATCGTTGTTCCTTGAACTGGTGTCTTTGAGCCTGTAGGTATCTTCTCGCCGATCCCAGCCCCTTGCCTTCGCTTACTGTCTCCAGCCCTGGTCCAACTTCTGGCATTTCAACACAGGAAAGGAGGTGCTTTATCAACATCTCAAGCATTATAGATCAACGTCACTCACGCGATACGAGCTACCAGCTCGCCATTGTCTATTTTCTTCGACAGAAGCTCGGCCATGGCGCGGTGGTCATAGTGTCCTCCATAGCAGCACAGCTTGCACTTACACAGACCCCAATGTACGCGGCAAGCAAAAATGCCATGTCGGACTTCGCGCGATCGCTTGCGGGCATGGAGCCACAATTTAATATCCGAGTCAATGTTATGGCCCCTGGCTGTGTCAAGACACCCCTATGGACGTCAGACAAGTTGACCTGGTTCGATGAGCAGACCGATGCCTGGGTGCCTGCTGATAAGGTCGCGCAGACGATTGTCGATCTCATCACGAAGAAAGAGAATATTGGGGGTACTGTGCTCGAGGTCGGAGCGAATCGCGTGCGACAGGTGCAGGGGTCACACGGTAGGGTAGTTAGCTACAGCGAGCAATGATGTATAGTTATAGGTTAATCGCTCAGTTGGCAAATAGCACATCCCCAACTGGCAGGTAGTCCAGAAGGTTTGGAACGCGGGATCCGCCCAGGAGCATCATGTAGCGAGTGATGCCGATTTCCATATCACAATATATTTAGTTATGCCTCCAAAAATATTGGTCCAGGAGAGGCTATTTTTAAGTGAGACAGACATAAACATAGGCACTAAGGGACATATGGTTTGTAGGCTCCACCCGATCCGGAAAGAAAAGGTTTGAAGGGGTGCTGCTGTTGAGATTGATAGCCTTGAAGGGGCTAGTATCGTAGCAGAAATGTAAGTACCCAGAGTAGTTATAGGCCGTCCACGAAAGATATTTGTTGATCGATTCGTGTGCCTTATCAGTAAGTCGCCCATCTAGGGCAGTTCCTCAGATATTGTCAACTTTGAAATTCATAATTTGGAGCTCATGTTCATATTCTGTCATATGCAATCCCAAAACCAACTGTATCAGGCATGGAGCTGTTCGCGTTGGGAAGTATCAATCGACAGTCCTTCGGACTCACTTCCCGGTAGATGAAGAGGTTCTGTATTACAGACTTTTTCAATATGGCTGCTCAGAATACTGGAGTGGGTAGGACTCATTCAACCGAGTATGGGTAAGAAAGTTGTCACTCCGCACGTAGGTAAAGAGTCAGATTTGACCGAGCCATCTGTGCGTTCGGAGGGATCGAGGCGTCCCCGACATAAGTCGTGTAGCTTTTGGGATACAGTACCAGTGTCACTGAAAATTATGGTTATTGGTAGAGGAAGTCCTGACAAAGATCATACCACATTGATTTAAGGATCTTTTAGCACGCGAGGTCTCTTCGATTAAGTAGAATGAACGTCCACAACTTTCTGTGATCCACGCGCACCGGGTCGTTAACGGTCGAGAATCCTACCATTTGTTCTTCCCACACCTTTAGTGTGGCACTCTGGCAACCGAGTCAGAGTTGTACAATCAATTTCAATGGCTTACGATGTCTGAACATGACAAGTACGAATCCATGCAAGAACCCAAGGGTACCAAGCCTCTTTAAGTAAATGTATTAAGACGGCTTCCGGCTCCCTTGTCGTCGTCTCAACGGATCATCGGCCAGTCAACTTTGTGATATATGATATACCGATGCCACGACCAGAGCAACGAGTTATGGCAGGTCACTTGAACAACGATCCTTCCCTGCTATCGAACAGCGACATGGATGAAGTGGGCAGATCCAGGGAACAGCTGCCGTAGGATTACATCAGAAGGAGGGGATGAACTACACCAGCTCAACTCCAGTCCTCATCCCCCGAAAGTAAAACCGATCATTCCGTGCTTCCAGTGCACAAGAAACAAGCAACAACAGCTGGAGGGGCTTAATGGTTGCCCTGTCGTGCTTTTTCTTAGTAGAACGGCGAGAGATGGTGGTGCTTCTTCTCAGTCTTCTTTTCCTCGTTCTCTTCGTCGATCAGTTCTTTCAGTGTCAGGGGGAAGTAGTCGGTTTTGAGATCCTCCCTCGCTTTTTCATCCAGGAGGGTAATGTGATCGGAAGTGTCTGTTTGATCGTCATAGGACCAGATGTTCATGTTTTCGTAGTTGTACTTCTCGTCGAATATCCCGTACAATGGGAAGTTCTGGGAGTAAAACCGGTATTCTCCATCATTTTTGACCCTCCACATCCTACACAAACTATTGTGCATGTAGAATTTTGCCACATCCATCCCTTCATATGGCGGTGGGCAACATCGTAAGGGACCTGGCACTCTATAAGGCATGTTCTGACGGTCGTCATGCTTGGGAGCATCTTTGTAAGTGGTGTACGGTTTGTTCTTTTTCCACTGACAGGTTTTGACCACATTATGACCTGTTGCGTCCCACTGCTCACAGAAATCCATCCATTTTGCAAGCGTAGCTTTGGCGATTCTCTCACACGTGGGCTCCAAGTACGGATAACATATATTGATAGTTCGGTTGACCACAACATCGCCCCAGCCGACTTTGACTGTGTCGTAACAACCTTCTGGTGTGATACTCCGTGGGAGGGGTGTAGAGGCAAGGCAATCCCTGGGTTGGATGGATCTAGCAGGAGGCGGAGCGGCACTCGCAATGGAAATACCTATCGCATTGATCAGATTGGTCAAAGCTGAGAGAGCGACCATTCTGAGGTTTGATGTCGGTATGGCAGAGATCGCGACGATGTCTACTGTAAATGTACGGCTATCGACCCTGGCATCAGGCTATAAGTTACGAGTCATAGCATCCTGCAATATATATGCCTGAACAAGTCAAAGTTTGGGTGACTTTGCGTTGAGCTTCGCCGATGCTAATCAGAGCTGAACCAGTGGAACCATTGTATATTGGCTCAAATATTAATAATGTGCTACAGAGCATTCTCTGCTGAGCCAGGCGCTAACAGGCTGAACCGCTGGTACGACGCATGCAGGTGACATATATGGATCGACCAGATCGCAGTCCCCAAGGTTTGATTTGGACTGACTCGACTCAAAATGTCAAATTTTGCGGAACAGGATAGGCTTACGCAGTGGTTGACTCTTGGGCAAGTGAGGCTTCTTCCGATGGGTCTTGGGGAAACCTGTCCTAGGTTGCAGCCCATCGAAAGAACCACTTCCGCTCGACTTGGAATTTCGCCGGGGACTCTGCCACTGTGGAAAGTACCTTGTTGGCGTCAGATGCTTCGCGCAGAGAAATGTTGCAATTTGTAAGAGGATGTGTTTTCGCCAACCGCCCGTTCGACTCCCTGCCTCCAATCCCGTGAAAAACGGGGAAATACAAAGAGGGCAACAAGGGAGTGGGCCTCGGCGGACTCAGCCCGTTTGCTCCAAATTTCCCCAAATCTGATCAGCCATCTATCTACACTCTCAGAAACACTCTTGTAGGTGCTTAAATGGGGAACTCCCTGATGAAGACCTCACACTAATCTAGATATCTTTAATTTCTACGTGGCGTCAAAATGAAGATCGGGTTTGAGGAAGCTCAGCAGTTGGCGGACCAGGCTCTGCGCAAGATTGGGTACCAGGAAGAGGACATTCCCACGATCCGCGACCATCTGCTTGACAGCGAGCTCCGAGGCTACGGTATCGCCGGACTCGCGCGAATTCTGAGTATTGCTGATAGACTGTCCGGTAAGATGCCATCATCTGCCATTGAAGTGACCTCGGATTCGCCCACAACATCCCAGCTCAATGGCAAGGACACTCTTGGCTATCTGGTGGCCCACAAGGCGACGAAGGTGGCAATCGAAAAGGCCAAAGCTTGTGGTGTTTCAGCCGTGGGAGCCAACAACACCTACTATACTGGGATGTTATCCTACTATGCTGAGATGGCGGCGGCCGAGGACCTTGTAACCGTCATCGCCTCGAACTGCAGCCCCTGGGTGGCTCCGGAAGGCACCTACAAACCTCTGGTTGGCACCAACCCTTTCTGCATCGGGGTCCCCACTGATGGCGTCCCAATCATCTACGACATTGGAACCTCTCGGATCATTCATGCGCAAGTGATGCTGGCTATTCGCAAAAACGAGCAGTTGCCCCCGGATACAGCATTCGATGAGAACGGAGAAATGACAACCGATCCTGAGCAGGCATTGAAGGGAGCCTTGGCTGTATGGGGTGGTGCAAAAGGAAGTGGTTTAGCCATTGCGGTTCAACTACTGGGCATCCTGGCCGGGTCCCCTGCACTGCCACCAAATCTTGAAGAATTTGGATACTTCATCATGGCTATTGACCCAGCAAAATTCAGGCCTATGGCTGATTTCAAGCGCGAGGTCGGCAATCTTATCACTGCTTTCCATACGACTCCTACCCTTCCTGGTCATGCGCTGAGGCTTCCATTTGAGCGTTCAAACCATCGCCGAGCGGAAACCAGAGCCACTGGGTATCTCGAGGTGGACGACGTTGTGATCGAGCGGCTCGAAGCATTGATCTCGCAGCAGTGATCAGAGATAAAGCGCCTGATAATAAAGATGATATCAATCACGTTTTTCTGGTCGGGGCGCATGGATCTCAGGGATTAAACCTTTTCCGAGCAATGCTCAGGACAGAATATTCTGTCTCGAAGTTCACATATCATCTTTCATTGGATGATTAAATATCTTGTCCGCAGCAACGAAATGTCGGTGATATCTCAAATGTCCTGCAAATCCCATCACATTCGCAAGTACTCAAAGGAAAACTCGGCCTAGCTTTTATTAGAGCTTGATCTGCCCATGAAGTCCCTTATATTCCATAGGAGACTGTAAATGTGCGCCGACACTGTGCCCCAAAATGCATACTCGGTTATCCTGTGAGGTGGCCCTGGAAAGGGATACTGATGAGAACAAGAGTCCCAGATCGAGGCCCGACAGGCGCACGATGGTTCCTGCGATACGAATACGTTTGTCCCATCTTGAAAGGCTGGTTCATTCTGCATCTCAAGGCCTCACGTACGGTCGGTATACAGGATCCCACATCTGTGCCTCCACCCATTCTTGCAGTTCCTCATCAGAGTCGACAGGAATATCTGTCGCCTGTGCAAGCCCGTCCTCCAGAGCACATCGAATAACTGCCATTGCGATCTTGACGCTGACTGGCCTAGCCTGTTCGACGCCTGGAACAAGGGCCTTTTCAGGATCCTGCATGGCAGGAGCTTCCTTGGCCAGTGCAGTCACCGCTGCGACGAGCATCTTATCTGTCACGAGTTTTGTCCGACACAAAACGCCGCCCAAACCTATGCCGGGGAAGCAGACAGAGTTATTGCATTCCGCCACCTCGATCTCCCTACCATTGTGCTTGACAGGCGGAAACGGCGAGCCTGTAGCAACGAGAGCTCGACCATCCGTCCAGTAGATGAGGTCTTCCGGCTTGGCCTCATGGAGACGTGTAGGGTTGCTAAGAGGTAATATTATTGGCCTTTCAACGTGTTTTGCCATCTCCTGCACAGCTCCTTTGGTGAAAGCGCCGGGGACTGTGGATGTCCCTATCAGGACATGAGGTTTGACCTCGGCGATGATGGATTCGAGGGATTTGGTGTCTTTACCTTGCCACTCGGACGCCTTGCGCGCAAAGGGTTTCTGTGCAATCGAGAGAGTGTCTTCCATGTCGTCAAGAAGCAGACCCGGTTTATCAACACACCTGAAACGGTCAGTTCCTCCTTCATGATCGCGGAGAGTCCTACCATATTTGGTGCGCAACATCTTCTTTACTCTTGTCGGACTGAGTGGCGATGGCCGCTTGTACTTGCTCGGCAATTCCACACCCGGCAGTCCCAGCCCCAAAAATAACCACTCTCAAGTCCGACATCTTGGCCCCATTGATATGCAAGCCGGCCATGATCGCAGCCAGAGTCACACACCCCGTCCCTTGAATATCGTCATTGAAAACAGGGAATTCACTGCGATATTTGTCGAGCAGCCTTCGGGCATTGGGAAGACCAAAGTCCTCGAAGTGGACATAAGCCTTGGGGAACAGCTTTTTGGCTGTGTGGATAAATCTGTCGCAAAAATTGTCATATTCTTCACCTCGGACACGTCTAAAGTGGTGTCCGAGATAGAGTTTGTCATTCAGGAGTTTTTCGTTGTCTGTGCCTGTGTCGAGGACGACTGGAAGAGTACGATTTGGATGCATTCCACCACAAATGGTCATCAGAGCCAACTTGGCCACGCTAATCAGGATGCCTCCAACCCCTTGATCGCCGATGCCCAGGATCTCTTCTCCATCACTGACCACGATGTAGTCGACCCCCCCCTCGGGGTCTTTCTGTTGAACAAACTTACTCAGTCGCTCCTCTACCTCGTCGGGGTGTTTGATGCTCAAAAAGCAACCATCCGGTCTGCGGAAGATTCGAGAGTAATTCTCTATGGCATCACCTTCGGTTGGAGTGTAGATGATACTGAACATTTCTCGCAGGTGGTCTTGAATCAGACGATAGTAGAGCACCGTATTTTGCTCAGCCATTGAGGTCATGAAGGTGTTTTTGGAGAGGTCATCTGGCTGATTGCAGTACTGCTGATAGGCACGCATGACCTGTTCATCGAGTTTCTGGATATTGGTTGGCAGGAGACCCTTGAGGCCGAAGTCTAGACGTTCCTGCGATGTGAAGCATGTCCCCTTGTTGTAAAAAGGGTTATCAAGCAGTACGCGGCCATAGAGGGGCACTTTTAGCGGGCCTTTATTGGCGAGCGGAAGGTGGTCAAACTTGCCCTGTCCCATGTTTGTCGTATGTTTTTTGGAAATTCCTTTTCACTCCTGTAAGAGGATACGGCAGGCGGTCGGGGTAAAAGAATAACTTGACAGGTTGTTGATCAGAAGTGATGTCAATGACGCGCTGGAGAAGCTCTAAGCAGGCTGCAGAATGCATGTCACTGTGGTGCCTTCTCATTGGCCATGGATTTTCCAGTGCCGCCAATGTGGAGACTTATGACACGCCAATGATGTGCGTGTTTTTCTTGGTCCAATCGACGCAGGTGCAATTCCTTCTCAGATGGGAACTACCTCGTATACAAGTATCCTTCACGTCCCTAGGGTTGCTAGTCTTCGTTTTGAGCGAAATACTCTCGGGCCATCAGATTGACAACCATGGCAGCCTCTTCGAGGGACTGAACGACTTTAACATCGGCTCCCAAGCCAGAGCTGCTACCCTCTCGATCGAGGTGAAGAGCTTCCCAGCCAGCACCGACAGCACCGACATAGTCTTTTACGTACTCGTCTCCGATATGTATTCGTAGCATCCTCGAAATGTCCGATTGGTGGCTGATGGCCGATGACACCTTTCTGAACGCGTCTGTTATGCTAGAGGCAGGCTCGGAGTTCTGTTCGGATCGAGAAATAGGCATTGGAAACACGAGCCTCAGGGCTTCGAGCCAGATTTTCTCCTGTGGCTTTTCTGCGTCGGCGTCGTAGCTCGTGCACAGGAAGTCGAAGTCGTGCTGGGGATTGTAATAATCTCTGAAGGGACTATCGAAGACCACTTTGGACGCGTCGCGGAGGTTATCCATGTGCGTTTTCATTACGCTTTCGAAATCTGGAATGCTCGATGGCCCTACACTGAAACCCATGTCTTGTAGCACCACCCTGACTCGAGGGTCGGAATTTGTGACAATTCCAGTCGCCACCAAGGGTCCTTCTGGATCAGCAAACTGTTTTTTTAGAGCGGCCATGCTCTGGAGAAAGGGCTTCACGTCCGGGAAGGGTTCATAAGCAGCACTGGAGGAGAAGTGTTTGTAGAGGGCAGACCCCAAATCCCTCGGGAGCGCTGCTTCTCCTCCTTCCACGAGGTCGCCGAATGCACGATTGACGACCTTGGTCCACCATTCCTCCGGACTTCCGAGTGTCCTCTTGCCATAGTTGGGGTAAGCGGCGTTATAATGCTTGAAAGAAGATCTGAACGATCGATCCAGCTGCTTGAGGTCGACTTTGGTCTTGAGCCCGCAGTTCTCGGCAACCTGGAGGTACTGCACAGATACTGAGTGCCGGAAATTGTATACTGTTCCAAGGGCGTCAAGGGTAACCACGAGCATGGGGACTTTCTTGGGATGTAAAAGTGCACTTAACAAGCCCATTACCGTCTACAGTGTCATAGAGCCAATACTTTGAGGTGTCTTCAACGGGTAAAGAGCACGGCAGGCGAGGGACAAGGAGATGAGAAATGAATGAGCGCTGTCTCAATCAGTCGGTTGACTAAATCACTTATTGTTGCCGTGATCAAAGGCAAAGATGGAGTTTATTTGAAGGGAATTTTAGGCCTTAGCTTTTGGTGGCTTGCTTCGACCCGCCTTTGGCGCTACTGGCCGCTGCGGTCTGGCGATTTGCAATCCATACACAAGAACTTCTCACAAATTTGTCAACCGACGTTGCTGGAATTCTACGTTCTCTTGATTTTTAGATACCTTTAAACACCCTCTTCACTCTCCCTTGTGTTCTGTCCCTCATCCGCCAAACTGTTTTACTCGAAGCTCCACCGCGTCTCACGACCCTTACGTTCGTCCCTCAGTCTCTCCTTGGCCGCCTCATCCGTGTCTCTCGACAAGCAGCGATCCCCCACCAAAGCGAACTTTTCCTCATCCTTTTTGCGCGCCATGGCGCCTCCCCATACCAGGGTCGCCATTATTGGCTCCGGCCCTGCTGCTCACACCGCTGCCATTTACCTATCCCGTGCGGAACTCAAGCCCGTTATGTATGAGGGCTTCCTTGCCGGTGGCACCGCGGCGGGCGGTCAATTAACAACAACTACCGACGTGGAGAACTACCCGGGCTTTTCCAAGGGTATTAGTGGCACAGAGTTAATGGAAGAGATGAAGGCACAATCTCTCCGGTTTGGTACCGAAATCATCACCGAGACAATCACAAGGGTCGACCTACAATCACGGCCGTTTCGTTTGTGGAGAGAATACCAAGATGGAGAATCCGATGAACCGGCGCACACGGCCGATGCGGTCATCATCGCGACAGGCGCAAATGCGAGGCGCTTACATTTACCCGGTGAGGAGACATATTGGCAAAATGGTATATCTGCCTGCGCAGTCTGTGACGGCGCTGTCCCCATCTTCCGCAACAAACCGCTCGTCGTGATCGGGGGAGGCGATTCTGCTGCAGAGGAGGCCATGTTTCTGACCAAATACGGCTCCCACGTCACCGTGCTGGTCAGGAGGGACAAACTGCGAGCCTCCAAAACCATGGCAAAACGCTTGTTGGCGAATCCTAAGGTGACAGTCAAGTTTAACCACGTCGCAGTCGAGGTGCAGGGAGAAGACAAACCTCGGGGACTGATGACACATCTAAAAATCAGAAACGTGGTCACCAAGGAAGAGGAAGTCCTGGAAGCCAGTGGCTTGTTCTATGCCGTTGGCCACGACCCAGCAACTGCGATCTTCAAGGGTCAAATGGACACAGACGAGGATGGTTACATTCTGACAACGCCGGGCACCAGCTATACCAGTATCTCGGGTGTGTTTGCGGCTGGAGACGTGCAGGACAAACGATATCGTCAGGCCATCACCAGCGCCGGAAGCGGATGCATAGCTGCTCTTGAGGCGGAGAAGTACTTGGCCGAGTTAGAGGATTCTGAACTGGACCTTGAAAAGGAGAAGCAGGCGAAGAAACCAGAGATCAATGGCGAATCCGCCCCAGAGTATCGATCCAACCCGCTGCTTTAATTTTAATATTGCCACAGGTAGATATTAGGCCGATAGATGCTAGAGATGCCTCGAACGCGAAAAACAACCAATGTACAACCTGATGCACATTTCTCATTGTACATACAAGTCCAGCCAGCCTCTATCGCTACACAGCAATGAAAGTAGTAGTACACAAGTCTACTTTAGCAGCCTCTTAGGCCCTCATCTCCTTCTCAAATACCATGCGAAAGCTGTACCATGTACATCAGCTTGGTAAGGGCTGGGCACCTCCGCCAAACCAGGTCTTGCAACGGGATGTCTCAAGTATACCGCCGCGCAGATGTTGTGATTGACTTCGAGAAACCGCGGAATGAAGGCAAACGCACTCATGTATTCGCGCGGCATCCAGGGAGTTGCGTATGGCTTGGAATCATCAACTGGGTTCTCGTGCATAGAGCGAAGTGCAGCATAGAGTTCGTTGTAATCGGCGTCAGTCAGGATGCTCTCCTGCTTAGGTTCGGGGGGGACCGATTCAGCCATTGTCCCTGTCTTTGGACTTGGATCTGAGGAAGACGTCTTGTCGTCTTTTGCAGAAGGCAGGCTGCTAGCGCCGGCGTCCAGGTTTTCTTTCCGGATGTTTAGCTGGTGTTGGATTTCCGCAAATTGAGCTTCAAGGCTGTCTGTGAGGATTGTCGACGAGGAAGATCGTGATAGCAGCTTTTTGATGGCGATGGAAAATGCTCGAAGGTCCTGCTTCCGCTTCGCCCCGATATCTCGTTTTGACGTCGCGAGGATACTCTTCGCTTTGGCACGTAAATCTTTCAGCACCTCCCGCGGGTCTTTATCAACATCGACGTCTTCTTCAGTCGCTTGTTCAGAGGCTGCTCCTTCTTCAGCAGACTCTGCTGACATTTCTCCAGTGTTACCCTCATCCCCGCCTTCTTCGCTCCTAGAGGTATTTAGCAGGAGCTTGGGTGCTCCCGTCGCCCACATGACTCGTTCCGGCTCAACCTGGAACATATCTCCAGGGTTGAGCAAATACCCCGGGTATCGCATCTGTTTCTTGCGTCAAATCTATTCCACTGTGAATCATCGATCTCAGCCTCACCTGTTTGCCGTTGACCTTTACCGCTCCATGTACCACAAACTGCCTTGCTTGACGAGCGCTACTTGCAAACATGGCTCTAAAGATGGCAGTGTCCAGTCTCCGCTCCATCGGCGCAAAGGTCATTTGCATGTATGGTATTGCTGTTGTCGTCTTTTGCTTCCCTCTCGCCTCCAGCCCTGAGCCACGGCCAGCAGATTCCAGCGAGCCATCATTGGAAGCCAAATATTCTGCATCCATGGGGACCACGGACCGAATCCTCCTGTCGAACATTCGCAGCCACTGTTTCTCGCGGATGTGTTCGCCATGGTAGTTGCGCGCCAAAGATTTTGACATCCACTTCTGTTTGAAAAAATTATGTGATCTGCCTGAATAAGGCATCTGTCGTGCCAGGTTGTAGAGGTTGTATTTGTTCCATGATTGTCGGATTTTCTGCCCAAGTAGTTAGCGGCTAAACCGACAGGAAGAGTCCAGTTGGACTCACAACTTCAGTTAAAAGGTTTTTCTTCACCTTGAGCGGCGTCGGAGGCTTGCGCGGCATGGTTGAGGATTGCGTTGACACTGCTGCGGTGCATTGAAAGATCTTGTGGTCGATGCAGCTAGAAAAGAGTGGCCAGACAAGGATATTGAGTTTTGCCGAAGATCACGCAGATATTTTTCTTGGGCTAATTCGAGGCTCAACACCACCAACCGAGACTTCGATCACTGTTTTCACGATGTCATTGCCATTGACGATATACCGAAGCAATGAATCTCCTGTCTACCTTTTTTGCTTGTTTGTTATCTGAAATCTATGTGCCATTGGTACATGAGGCAAAGTGCCAGATGGAAGTTTGCTTTGCAGAACTTACCGGCAGCCGGTAAATTCAGAGGACATCATAAAGCAGGCGCCCAACTGTTGGGCATAAGTGTAAAGATTGGCCGATCTACGACTCAATGCTGCTTCTGGTGTGTCTGAGTAATGGCTTCGCATCAACGGCATGCTAAATGTCGGGCTATGAACTAGCATCAAGGACCTACGGATTGAGATAAAGTGGTCAGCTTCAAATTCGACGTTGGACGGCGACAGCTCCGTCCTACGAACATCTTCACGCGAGAAGTGCATCCCGGAATTGCAAGCAACCTTTAGTCAACAGACTGACTTCTCTATTACCCTGGTCTAAACCTCCTCGTCCAATACTCATTAAACTCGTAACAGGCCATGAAATCAACCCTGCATTGTTTGCCAGAAGTAGTCTGCGTAAAACCACTTTGAGAACTTAGGATCGATGTTGACAACGTGCACATCACCCTTCTTCGTGTTTGCAATTGTCGCCTTATTGTAATTCCCTGCCTCGTCCTGCTCTAGGCTAATGCCAAGTGATCGGTATAGCCAAAGACGTAGTCTAGTCTGAAGTCAGTAGCGGTTCTCGAATTCCGTGGTAGCTAACGCACACGGTGGGATCATCAACTTCTCGAGCCTGCCGGGTATTTTCGTCGCCCTCGACACCTTGCTCTTCTAAGGAGGACAGTCGCATCTTTAGCCGCTCAAGTTCTGCTTCGAGCCTCTCGGTCTCTGCTTCAACCTCTGAGGCCTGTTTGGCGATTCGGAATTTTTTGGTGTCGAGTTGGACAATCTCACTCGCATGCCGGCCACTATCATGGCTGGTGAGCACTTCTTTGTGCTGGGACGAAAGAGTCGCCAGCTGTCTAGACAATTTCCTCAGGGCGGTCTCTGCATCTCGAATTCTAAGCTCGCGCGACTGTTGCAAGGTGGAAAGGGAGTCATTGACACGCGACAGGGCGGCTTTGTCGGGTGCAATATTGAAGTTTGAAATCGTTGCGCGGATGAGCTACATCGTGTCAGGCTTGCCTTCAGACTGACAGAATCATTCGATTTACTTACAGTGGATGGATCTTCGTCAAGGAGCATTTTGAGTGATGTTGACCTTCAATAATACAGTGGTGATACGACAAGGGAATCGTGGTGAGGGAGATGTGATCATCTACCTAGATAGGTAGTTTGCACATCCCTTGTTGACATTGGTTGTGGGGAGCAACCACGCAACCGCAGCACCCCAGGTAGGTTCGGAGCCCGACGTCATGCCTAAGCCACTGTTCCGATTGCTGAGCCACAGGACCCAGGTCCATTCGCCGATTTCCATGCTCAAAAGTATCCAACAGAATCGAACATTTTGAGTCTATAACTGACCCATTATCTTGCGCGAACCTTGTAAATACCCGCTTGAAAACTGCGATGCCTTCAAATCTACCGTACGCCGCCGACGCTGAAAGGTTCTTGTTCACCTTTGATTTCTGTGGGTGTCAGGTCTGACTCTATCTGCTGCAGCCCTCTGAAACCTGCGGAACTACAAGTTCTGCGTGCCCAGTACGAGAAAGAAGGTGAATATGTTGGGGTTCAGACAAAGTTCAATTATGCATGGGTATGTTATTCAACAGACCTGGCGATACCGATGTGCGAACTGATGAGGTAGGGCCTGATCAAATCCAACCAGCGGAGCGAGCAACAACTGGGCGTTCAACTACTCTCTGACATCTTCAAGACAACCCCTGAAAGGAGAAGAGAATGTTTATACTATCTGGCCTTGGGAAACTACAAGTTGGGAAACTATGCTGAAGCAAGGCGGTACAATGAGCTATTACTGGAGAAGGAGCCTGGAAATCTGCAGTCCGCTAGCCTGCGACAATTGATCGACGACAAGGTATCCAGGGAGGGCCTGATGGGTGTTGCAATCATTGGCGGCGTCGCTGTGGCCGCAGGTATTGTTGGGGGTATCTTGATGAGAGGGTCACGAAAGAGGTGACAACCTAATCAGACATCTTGCGTTTGCTTTGAGGCTGTGTATGATATTGCCTGGCAAGGAGAATGCCTGGCCTGGAAGAATGACTTGGAATGGCGTCGAATAATGCACATGAACAAGCCAAACAAATGATCATATGCTTCCATCGTTGTTTAGGGTAAAAACACAGGTCGGCTGCATTTCTCCCAGAATCACCTTGCGCTCTGTTGTACCATACAATCGGGATGGTACAAGTTTCCTTTTATGATAACTTGAGCCAGTGATGAGCTGGTGATGCAATCACTCCCCATTCGCGGTGACACGCATACAACGGAAACCTACTGCACTTCATGATCAACTACCCGGTATCGTTTGATTCTTATTAATAACCCCAATATTAATTCGTCCTTTTCCTCTCCGCTCAGTCAGGAAGGACATCTCGTCCTTGTGCGATCAACACCACTACAGTCACATTCGACATTCAACCGCGGGCGCCGCCACTTTACACCCAAACCGTCAAACAATACAAATACCTTGCTCCGCATACCCACGCCACACCAGCCTGCGCATGACAACAGCCTTGCTCCAACGCCTTATATGCGCCTGAAAGACAGCATCTGTCACTCAACTCAATCCTCAATCAACCTCAAACCTTCATCATGTCAAGAATTCAAGGTGAACGAGTCTACTGTCATCAGTGCCAGAATGAATGGGATCGAGCTCATGGAGGACTCACTTGTCCCCGGTGCGAAGGAGACTTCACCGAAATTGTACATGTACTCACCTGTTCATGGGCAACTCAGAGCTAACACCGCACATCAGCTCGAGCCGGGTGAAGCCCCGTCTCCCTACGACTTCGACCGAACTCCGTCTCTACCTTTGCCTGCCGAAACGCCAATGCCACCTCCCGGCGGCTCATATGACCACACTGGGCTAGGGGATCATAACCATTGGTTGGAAGACGCAAGCAACGATCAAGGACCCAGCTTTACCACGTTCGAATTTACGTCCACTGGTAGAGGTGGGAGAATGGTTCTCAGCACCCGTGCATGGACAACCGATGGGCGCAATGTACGAGCAGATGACCTGTTTGAAGTGATTGATGAGATGGAACAATTGCTTACCCGACTGGATGAACTACAGAACCGAAGCACTCCCTTTGACCCTCTATATCCTTTCGGATCCCTGCAACGACCAGGTGTTGGCGGATTCGATGACCCTCAACCCCATTTGCAGCCTGCGGGTTTGCAAGAGTATGTTCCACGAGAACTGTGATAACCTAGTGCTGAATCTTTTCACAGTCTCTTCTCCCTTATTTTACAATCGATGCAACCAGAAACGCTTCGCGGTCCAGACACTGATGAGAGACGACCAGGAGGCCAGCCGCCTTTGGCACTTGACCTTCTCCATCAAATGCTCAATCCCGCAAGTGGTCGAGCTGGTGACATGGTGTTCAGTCAAGAAGCATTCGACCGGGTTATGACACAGCTCATGGAACAACACAATGCGAGTACCGCACCTCCGCCTGCATCAGAGGAGGCTATTCTGTCTCTCTCAAAGAAGAAGGTGGACAGAGAAATGCTAGGCGAGGAAGGTAAGGCTGAATGTTCGATATGCATGGACAATGTTGAGTTGGATAACGAGGTGACCGTCCTTCCATGCAATCACTGGTTTCATGGTGACTGCGTGACAGCGTGGCTGAAAGAACACGATACTTGCCCCCACTGTCGAAAAGCCATAACCGCTCCGGAAGATCGCCCGCGGACGGGACCATCAAGACGAAGACACAGCCGGCGAGCATCTTCAGTATCAAGTCCACGTGCATATCTCCCTGACTCCGCTCGAAACACCCCAGCACCGATCCTAGAAGGTCCCCGCACAATGCGAGAGGTGAGGGAGTCCTATTTTGGAAGGACACAGAACTACGATGTGGAACGCCCAGAAACTCAGCGCCATTCAAGCGTGCAGAGTGATCTAAGACGGCACAGCTCCAGAGCCCAGAGTGGAAACAGCGGCGGAAGTCGCAACGGCGGAAACAACAACAGTGGAAACAGTGGGGGGGTGACAGGCTGGATTAGAGACCATTTGCCATTCTCTTGATGACGGTCAACAGGAAGGCGTCCACTACGCTCGCCTTCGGAATAACATGGACGATGAGAGTTGACGCACAGTCTCCACATTGAAATGTGCTCGAGGACTAGCACTAGGCAGGATGCAAAGTCATTGAGGTGCATCAAGCCATAACAGAGGCTTCATCTAATATCAGCCAAATCTCTCACGACTCTTGGGGTCCTGGATTGGTTCGAAATGATCAAACAAACATCGGGCGGCGTCGGCGGGATTATCTTGAGGGGAGCAAGAATTGAGACAATGGCGCAGCAAATTCTCCAAGGAAGAAAATTGGTGGTCTGGTCTTAATACAGTCGGGAAACACTATTATCCATGAGGAGGGATTCCTTAAGAAATATCAAGCAGCCCATGTAATAGATGGCTTGTGTATTAATGTAGCGAACACCCTCATCGGATTGTTTTAGGCATCTGGACCCATATCATTGCTCGGTACTTTGGTGGGGCGAAAGGCCTCTCAGCCTCTTTCACATGTCCACGCGTTGTCACCTGACAGGCAAACTTTCACATGCATTTCGGCCCGCATGGTCGCTTGCCGCTTCTAGTACCTGAGCCTGCCACTGCCACCCGGACTCCGGCCTACAACGTCAGAGGACTCATGTTTGCGATGGTCACCAATTCTGCGCTCCTCGTCAGCTGGCGGTCTTCTATACTCTGGCCTTTACTGTTCACCTGTGCCTCTCTTCTTCTTTCATTTCTGCATGCGGACAAAGCCAAGATTTGTCCGTGCTTTGGAATGGCGCCGTCTTGTTCTGGCATTCCCTAACAGTCCTTCAACTGTCTTTCGAATCTCCCACCAGTCCGTGGTTCCCGGTGAATACGAAGTATGATAGGTCTGCTATCCAGTCTCCTCTACCGTGAGAGCGCTTGTTCTGATAAGAGTGGCTAGATCATGTGCTGGGCCGGCCGTCGTCTCAGTTCCGCAAAGTCCAGGTCTTTGCAGTTGTCTCATTCTGGTCCCTTTACCTTCTGAGGTAATCTCTCCCTTCTGCTTTGGAAAGCGCTTGCTCATGGCAAGACAAGAGGTGACAAACATGGCCCTCCTCTCATTCGATCCATCTCCCAGCGACTCTCTAAGCGGTTCACTGTCTGGCAATCTGTTGTCCTGACGTTCCTCTGGCTCTACATTTGCCGAAACTTTGCGAAGATCGTTGGCCTCGAATCCCCCGAACCCCTTGCCAATCTGTACAGCCGGGCTTATTTCCGGGCAACATGGATTACCACAGCTCTGGACGCTGGTTTCTGGAGCGCCATGAAGATCAGAAATAAGGCCATTAGGGATCTATGCTCAATCGTGTTCTCGGTATATTATCTCTTTGCGGCAGAACAGGCGGATGAAAAAGTACGCAAAGTTCGCGCCGTTCTCACGGTCGATCATTTGCGAGTGGCATGGAACAAACCAACCACACCTTATCTGAAGTTCTTCACAGCGCTGTTACGCCCTCGCTTCACCAAATATAAGCCACGGCGGATTCGAATCCCTCGCCCAAAGCAATCTCATTACAAGGAACCCGTCGTTGCATGGATGTATTTCGATGGCTCCCTTGCCGAGTTGGAGAGGCAGGAGAATGTGGTTCTTGATATTCCAGGTGGAGGCTTCGTTGCCATGGATCCGAGGACAAGTGATGACAAGTTGCTTGCCTTGGCCGGAAGAACAGGACTGCCAATTCTCAGTCTTGACTATCGCAAGGCGCCCGAATATCCTTACCCATACGCATTGAACGAGTGCTTCGATGTCTACACCCAGATCGTGGCAACTCGAGGTCGGTGCATCGGTATGAAACCAGTCTCCTGCCCAAGGATCGTGATCACGGGCGACAGCGCCGGTGGCAACCTGGCTTGTGGCACGACGTTGATGGTCATTCAATCCAACCAGAGCAGCACGTCTCAGGGGATTCTACCATCCCCTGCTGGACTGGTTCTCTTGTACCCGGCTTTGGACTTCAATATTGGCAGTTGGATGACAGATGATCAGATGGCGCTGATTCGCAACCCACGAACCGCGAAGAAATACGAACGATTTATCAAGCGCAAGAGCGAGGACATTGATCGCCGATATACTCCGACCACTCCAAGGCCCCTAAGTGACGACGAGGACGACCCCAATCACGATTTTTTTGCACCTCGAGCAGAAAGCCCTACGCAGCCGGAGGAGCGGCTTGACCGAAAGAGCACCGATGTCGAAGCACAAAAGCAAGCTGTCGCCCTCTCTAAGCCTCAACCGCTCAAAACAAGACTGGCTGTCTCCAGCATCATCTCCTACTTTGGCGACCGAATTCTCACTCCGGAAATGATGCGTGCAATGATCATTCTCTACGTCGGGCCATATCACCGACCTGACTTTACGACTGATCATTTGCTTTGTCCCGCTGTGGCCTCTGAAGGTCTCCTGGCGAAATTTCCTAAAACATACTTCCTGACCGGCGAACGTGACCCTCTGGTTGATGACACTGTAATTTTCGCTGGCCGCCTGCGCCAAGCCAAACTTCACCTTTTCCAGGAGCGACAAGAAGCTGGGCTCGAGAAATCAACAGCCGAGTTTAATGAGAAGGATCATGTGGAAGTAACACTCATACCAGGAATCTCGCACGGGTTCGTCTCCTTCGTAAGCATTTTCCCGGAAGGTTGGAAACACATCTTCCGCTGCGGGAGGTGGATCCAGGAGATTTTCGAAAGGCCACCACATCAATTCGAGGGTCCAGCGATCGAAAGCAGGTTGAGACAGGGGACATTCACGCACGACTCGGGGAGCTCGCTTGAGCTTGCAACAACGACCGAAACAAGGCATCACAAAAGAACACCTACGGGAGAGAGTATGGATGACGATGCACCATTGGTCATGTCCAGCCTCAGCTCCAGCAAAGAAGCAACGTCGCCGGCCGCGAGAGCGAACGGAACCACGAAAGGGGAGTACGATCGGCGGAAACAGGAAGAGAAGCAAAAAGGCACGGACAATCTTGGCCGGAGCAAGAGCCTCGTAAGTCTCGGCAGTGAGGAGGACCTGCTGAAACGGAGAATGAAGGGATTGACCGTGGCACTATTGGGGTCTCATGATTCTTGACACGAAGATTAAGGCTGTCAGGGCCACCGTAACCCAGGATTTTTCCCTCGTACTGTGGTCAGGGGGTTGATCTTCGTGAGTTATGTTTGAACAGAGTGTGTCAAGTTTAAATCTGTGTCAAGCCAATGTGACCTATATTATGTGACCATTTATTCTTCGCATTAGTCGCATGTTGCTTTTCCCCCCAAAACACTGGGAGCCCATCAAGAATAAATGCGCCTAGCTCGCCTCCAAGAACTTTCAGACTTTCCTGCGCCTCATGCTTTGATCTGACAGATATCCGTTAAAAATCGCCTGGTGTGGTTATCCTCAAACAAATGCCCATCTCTGAATACATGACTACCTAACCTTACAGTACATCTTCCTCTCAAGCCAAACCGTCATGTCTCTTCACCCGTACCGTTCCACGCCACCAGCCTTGCTGACGCTTGACCTCCGAATGAAGCCCATGATCCCGTCTCCTTGGGGCGGAGGGGACTGAGGATGGGGTAAAGGCTCCGACGCCGCCATCTCATGGACATGGGGCGGCGGCGGGGCACTATAAATCATAGAGTGGACAGGTGTTCCGTTCCTATGCATTAAATTAGCGAGTCATGTCCCCTGCACCTGTTTCTGCAACTGGTAGTTCTTGAAGCTTACATGCTCTGCGGAACACCGCTGCTGTACGCTGGGACTGCATACATCTGGTTCGGGCTCGGACTGTGCGGTGAGGTGATGTCGCTTCCTGGCGCCATCGGACCAGGACTTAGAGAATCGCTCATGAGCATGGGATACGCCGGATGCAGTGGGGGCGACATTGTAGGATCATGTGAAGGAACGTATCCGGGAAGAGCTGGAGAGGGCGCCATGCCCACAACGCTGCTGTGCATAGACATATGCTTGGTCGGATCGGTCATATATGACAGGTGGCTATGTGGCGCCTGTGGATTGTAGGACACTTGAGTGGCGTGGCCTGTGTTGGGGCGGTCCTCGGCATGTTTATTGCTGGACCCGCGAGCGCGAGATTGGCGGCCACAAAGATAGAGGGCAACGGCGGCAGCAAGAGCCACAGCGGAGGCTCCGATTGCAATCCCAGCGATAGCCCCACTAGAGAGGCCTGAACCGGAGGATGACTTTTTACTTGGGCTGGTTGCACTGGCGGGGGCAGATCCGGTGGACGAAGTAGTTGCTGACGCGCTGGGAGCCGGAGACGACGTGGTGAATGGATCCTCGCTCTCGTCGGGCCAAGGTTGACCTGGCAGCAACATGAATTGCGATTCAGACGCCAGGTCTTTTTGGTGTTGCAGCGACGTCGTGGCATTGGGATTGATGACCCCAACCATCTGATGGTTGATACATGATCCCGGCGCGCCACAATAGTAGAAGATGGGATTTGTGTCATTGATCACAATCGACCACTGAGGCGGGTCGGGTAAAATCGCATCGACGGGGTAAAAGCCTGAAAAGAATCCGACCTTATCGACACCCGTGTCCTCGTAGGGAACACAAGGATATCCATATTCTGCGCGAATGACCGAGTGATTGGTAGGGTAAAATTGAAACAGAATCGTGTCGCCTGCTTCGGCTAGTGTCACGTCCGGGACAAATGTAAAGCCTCCCTACTCGATGTATCAGTGTTGATCCTTGACATGACTTTCTTGAGAGCGCCCCGTACCAAAGCCACCGCCACCGTGTGTGTTATCGGTCCTTGCGTGGTGCTCGTGGCATTGGTTGAGCTACTCGAACCTGCGCTGAAAGTCGTACTGGAGGAGGTAGTAGCGGGATCAGTGGTGACTGAATCAGTAGGAGTGGTCACCGATGGGTCGGTCGCAGTGGTGGGAGTACCACTGTCCTGGGCAAATCCCAGCGCGGCGAGACTGAGGAACAAAGCAAAGGACTGACGCATCGTGAAGCAGAAGGAGTGGAATCGACGTGGTATTGTCGAGCTCAATTGCCTTTGTGCGCCGGCTGCCGTTGGGAGAGGCCTCCAAGTAACAGAATTAAAGTGACAAACGAACGGCAAGGAAAAGAACGAACGGGGAGAAAAGAGTGGACGAAGGCAGGAATGTGTTGGACCTGACTTACTTGCAGACTCCTGTGAGTGTTCAGGCGAGAAAGCTGAGCGAGCTCTTCGGGGCTTGCTGGCGGTGTCAGAGGCAAGCTGACGGTCGAAGCTAGCTCTGCAACCTGCTTGCGCGATGCAGGGCTCATCCAGGCCAAAGTTGCAGCCTCATGCAGGTACCAACGGGTCCAACTCGCCTGGCACAGGATAGCGTCAGGGCCACAGCTGCAAGGCCAGACTCTCCACAACATGGCATTTCCACTGTCAGAAACAAGGGGAATCTTGCCGAATGGAGTAGGCCTAGTGGCCTGAGATAAACCACCCCCAGGAGATAAGAAATCAACACCAGTTGGGCTCCAACACACAAGGAGAACCCTCGCTAATAAGGCCCAGAAGGCTGCTGGAAAAGGCTAGGTCTGGTCCGCACAAAAAGCAGCTCCTCCCTGGTAACGGCATCCAACTGACCCTCCCAATTGATCCTTTCGTCGGAGAGTCGAAGCATAGTGGACGAAGGGCGCCAGAGATGCCCGGTGCTGTTGCTAGAACTGAGACTCTGTTCTCGTTGTCCCAGACCCATTGTCCTGATGGACTTTGGGGTATCAGCCCGGCGATGTACACGCACGCATGAAAGTCATGAACCTTATTCGGAACCATAGGATAAAAGAGGAAGATGAAAACACGGGAAGAAACACACTGAGGGCGGGGGATTCAAATCGAAGCCCGCTTATTGCGTCTGTGCACAAACCTCCGATAGCCACCTACTCTTACCGGTCAAAAAGCCTCCCTAGCCCTCCAATGATATGGGTCTGACTCATGGGGCGAGGGAATGGCCCCGAAATTGCTTCATGCATGACGAACGCCTCATTTGCACTACCCGTTCTAACCTCCGCCGGGTTGCTTGGTGGCTGGCGTGAAATTGCCTATACGAGGACGGTTCGGCTTTTACGATCGCAAAGAAGAAGAGAATAATAAGCTGCAAGGAGTGGAGAGATTGCGAAAGCGCAGACTACAGCTAGATCGCCCATGAGACCACGCGAGGTTTATACCAAGTGCCGCACTCGATGTGTGGGAAGGCACGTAAATACTTCCCGCTCATACTCGTTGATTCGACTGTTCGTGGACAGGGGTGGCTGCGATTTTCAGGGAACCGTCTTCCAGGACGTAAATCTTCCTAGATACGCCGCACTGTTGAACAAGATGCAACGATTGCAGCGAGCCGTGTCGGTCATGGATGATATTGCTTCGGAGCGAGGAATAATCCTCTCTTAAGCTCTTGACCACAGCCATGGTCATCCCACCTCCCCCAGAATACTTCCAGACCCGAGCATCGGTGCACCCCTCGATGCACGCAACTCATTGCTCCTCTTGATAATATCCCTATCGAGAATCCACCACCAGGACTTGAACACCTTTTCGCCCACTTCCCAATTCATCTCCGAATATGGATTGCCGCCGCTTATCCTTACGCCCTCTGCGCTGTCTTCCAGGTCGTACACAAAGTCCAGCAGGGCCATTGGCGAGGCTGCCCCTGGAGGTCGGAATTCAGGGGGCTGCGACAACACTTTGATCATTCTATCACGCGCCATCGGCCAAGGCAGCAGGTCGATAACCGGGTGATGTGGGATGGTGGTTTGGATCAGGGTCGGTTGCAAATTACCTGGGAGGTCACTGAATTGTGCCGGGTGTGTAGAGGAATCGACAAACGGCGACGTCGAGGTCAAGGACCATATGATATCTTGGACTTTCATCCGTCTGGCGATTGCCATACACCCCCGCAGTAAGGTAAGTTCGGCCATCTCCAAGTGCGCTTCGTCGGGAAAAGAATATGTCACCGCCTGGTCAAACATAAACTGCGCTTGAGGTGTCGGCGGATTGGCCCCCAAACTTCTCTGGACTGCTGGGAGAGGTGGCAGGGACCAAGCCTCGCTCTCGCTCGAAGATGTATGCCTCGATGACGACAGTGGAGTGCTCGGCAGTGAAGGCAACAGCACTGATGTATCCCACAAAGCCTGGTCATCGGTGGGAACGCTAGCGAAGGAATATGCGTCATAGCTAGCAAAGGCATCTGGGAAAGCAGGGAACGACGCAGCTTCCCCCGCCGCCTCGATCTGGGGATTGTGGGCGCTATCATCGCATGATATGTCTGGTGGCTGGAAGGATGGTTGTGATGATTGATTACCAATGGCTGTTTGTGCTCCAATGGCGTTTGGTGATGCGTGTGGGCTCAGGGGCAAAGAAGGGCTCTGAGAAAATACGCTGTTGTCGCCATTCACATCTGCTGCTTGTGCTTCGAGCTTTTGGATGCGCTCTTTCCGTCTCTGGCGATATCGTCGCTGCGCAAGGACATTGAGCACTCGTTTCCTTTCGGCCGCGTTTTCCCCAGGCTGCGGCACCGCCAACGGCGCGGCTTTGCGCTTTACCGGACCTTTCTTTTCCGACATATTATGGCCTGGCAGGCTTTCCATCAAGTAGACAGAACGAACCGAGCCTCCAAGGACGATGACGCCCGAGGACAGAAAATATTCTAGGCAACCAACTTGGAGACTGTGATTCGTGTGGAGTTTTGGGAATCAGTAAAACAGCAGCCAAGAATGGTAGAAATATCAATAGAAAAGAACTTATTTTCTTGGCTTGCGTATTATATCGGTTCTTTTGCCTGCTTGATCCAGGAAGATTGTCACCGCCGTCAACGTGTCGAAGTCTGGGTTTAAGAAGAACACCATCTGCCGACAAACGAACATACCCAAGTGCCCGAGCTGCAGGCCATAACGTTATGGACCACAGAGCGAGACTCCGTAGCTAATCAAGAATACGAGGTTGCATGCGCCATGTGGGGGACAAAGGGGAATACCGAGTATTAACCTGTGCATGGTCACGCGGTTTAGTGGGCCGTGGATCATCGTGACCTATTCCCGTGCTTCATGATCCGAGTACGAAAGAGAGGATGTCCTCGGTGACCTGAGGTGCATGCGTGAGGTACATGCCGTGCGCTGCCTTTTCGTAGATTTTGACTTGGGCTTGCTTTGCGAGGGTCGGAATGAGGTTTGCAGTGGCTTCGGCAGGATTACCTGTGCAGAATAACCATGAGAATCGAGGGATAATACGACAAGCGACTCGAGTCCACTTACTCTGGTCATTGTCACCATGGATAACGAGAACTCTCACGTCCTTCCCGTCCAGTTTCTTCAGGTCATCGGTGAAATCTCTGGTCGTGATAATTTGGACGCAACTCTCAACAGCAACTGCGTCGGCTTGTGCAATAATCCATTCGAACCTTTGCAGTACCGTTTCCGGAACCTCAATGCCAATGTTGAAAGGAACGCCAAACACACCTGGGAGTGCCGTTCTGGTGAAACCCGTGCGATCCTGGCGGAAACCAGTCAATATCATGTCCCACAGCTCTCGAGAGGGCGCCACCGGGTTTGCCTCTGTCTTCAAAGGGAACGGAAGACTAGGACCTAGCCATATTAGACCCTGACATTCTTTTTGTAAGTCTTCTCGCATCTGGAGGTACGCCAAAAGTGATTCTCCGCATCCCATGCTGCTTGCAACGAAGAAGAACTTCCCGATCCTGACCTGATCGATCAAGTCAATGGTGTCTTGTGCGAAGGTGTCGTAAGTGATATCCTTGCTGCGACTGGTGTTCCATTCGCTTTTTCCAAAGCCTCTTCGATCGGATGGAATACATCGGATGCCATATGTCTCGCAGAGTTGCACTATCAAATGCTCGTACATCTGATGGGACATTGGCCACCCATGGATGAAGACTAATGTTTTGCAACCGTTGCTACAATCCTTAGCTGGATAGTTCGTTGGCCGAAAACGAGGGCGGCTGGAGGAAGGTTTATAGTCAACGTAGTGTAGAGGCGTTGCATCGAGGCTGGACTGGATAAAGGGCATTTTGTTGCGTCGAATAAAGTGTTTTCGAGGTCGGTGGTCTCAAAACTCGAATCCGCGGGCTGGTGAATGTAGATGGACGGGGAGACTGAAGAGATTTACGGAACATTTTTGTAGCCGTGGGACGATATAGTTTAATGGGTGATTCTTAGAGATGGATAACGAGAGGCTTGTAGGTCGAGGTTGTTCCATTGCGTTATCATATACATGTCGTTAAGCAACGCTTGTCATCCAGCATCCTACCATACTATCGATATGCTCCTATTTTGACGTGATCACTCAGCCAGTATCGTCGCTCTGCCTGCTCACGGTTCCCTGTCGAGTGGGTGTCGGCGTTGGGCTCCCTTCGCGGTCAAGTCCACGTCCCACGGGTCGGACCCTGCTTCCAACAAAACCTTTTCGATTCCTGCCAGTGCGGCCCCGACCTAACCAGTTCAGTTTCAATTGCTTGTTGAGTTCTTCCATCTTGTTCTGAGCTTCGTCTCCGGACTGGATCGAACATAACACTGAGAGACACTGCAGCATTCGGCCCACTGTTTCCGTGACGTGCGAGGATGAGCTATCAGTTGGCCTGGCCGCTGGTGGAGAACTAAATGACTGGAAGGCCACGTCCTGTGCAGGATTGCTCACCACAGACAGGTTGGACGTGGCGCGAGACCTGCCGCCGGACGTCATACTGCCGAGTAACGTGCTGCTCTGAGAGTTGTAGCTTCCATATGTCGGCTCAACGCCTTGTGCAGTCCCTGGTCTGTCACTTCCACCGCTGTTGCCGCGGTTTCTGTTGCCATTCTCAAATTGCATGATGGAGGCATTGATGCTGTCTAGACTCAGTCGCGAGAAGGTCGACTTGAGCACCTCGTAGCGTGGTAGCACAATGGTATCCCGGTAGTTGATGAGCAGAATACGTCTGACTTCTAGCTCCTCGCCAGCAGCAACCACGAAGTCTGCGCCCTCGCCGGACGCTGGTGATGATGATAGCTTACTCCCGCTCTCATGGCTTGGTAGAGCCCCCCAGAATTCAGCAGCCATTTTGGGCGTGGTCAGTATGCTGCCTCTCCCCTTGAACTCTTGATCAAGAGGGAGGAAGACGGCTTGCATGAAGGGGAGAATTTTCCCAAACACCTCCATCCATATACCCACCAGCCTGGGAACGAGGCTGTTATCGGCGACGTTGCGCAAGGTGTGGTTGAGACTGAGGAATCCAGTCTTCAAAAGGTCTTCCAGATCACCTATCACAATACTGGGATCTTTTCTTTGCACGCATCTCTGCACATGAATGGTGACGAGCTTGTTCAGGTCTTCAACGGCTATTCGAACATCCTCTCCCTCGAATGTGACTAATATCTTTGCCCTCAGAAGGTCCCAAGCGTCATCTGCGGACATGTTGGAGAGGCCAAAATTTGCCCCTGCTTCTTTGATCTCGCTGTATGTGTTGAAATTGCTGACGGACTGATTGGTAAAGCTGGTCCCGAGAGAGGGCCATTCTGAGGTGTCGCTTTCTCCTCGGCTGTAGACAGGTTCGAGGTTGGCAAAGGCTGCCTGAGCCTTTTCTTCCTTTTTCTTCTCCCGAAGAGCGCGGCCTCCATGCCGAAGATCGAGCCCCGAGACTGATTTGGCAAAGTTGGATGACGGATTAGGAGACGGGGGAGCAAAGGAGTAGAGGGATTGCGGGTTGTTGATGTCTACTGGACGAGAGTTCGAGTTGGCAGACGACAGTGGAAGGGTGAAGGTCTCATCTTTGTCCTTGAGTTTCAGTTTCTGGCGTAGACCATGGTGCTTGTGGATCTTGTCTTTCTGCTCTCTTTGCTCCGGAAAAGGCACGATAGTTGACGACGACGGGTTGGCAAGCTGATACAAGGAGGAGGAATTGGAAGACAATGACTCGGTCAGGCTGGCGGTCGAGGCGTTCATGACCTTCGACAGACCACTTGGTGCCAGGCGGCTCGGAGAAGGTAGCGGCTTCTCTTTGGCCTCTTTGTCCTTGTCTCTTGACAGCACAATATGCTTCGGTCTAAACCTCTTCAAACCCTTCTTGGACTTCTCTTCTTCCACTAGTGACACTTGACTTGTCGATGCGAAATTCCTCGGGAACACCACGCTAGCTGCTGTTGCCGCCGCATTGGTGCCTATTAGTCCATTGCGATACTGCTGTTCCGCAGCTGTGGTTGGGGATTGGCCTTCATGAGAGCCTGCCGACCCTCTACTGTTACGCCGACCCTCCTGTTGGCTCTGCTCTTGCGGGAATGGCACCGTCTGCGACCTCTTGCGCGAATGGTTCGTGGCGTTCAGGTGTTGCATCGCAGCCTGGGCCGCGATCTGAGAAGGGTTGAGCGCAGGCATCCCGGTGTGGTCGTGAAGTTGAGATTGGCTTGCCAGCGAGGCAGAAGGCATTGAAGGTTCGAAATAGCCCTGTGAGTGCTGTCGTGGGCGGTGCTTTTGCAACTCGGGCGGCGGGCCTAGATGCTGTTTTGCGCTGCCATCACGAGGCATATACTGTGCGGATGGCCGGTGGTGGGACGGAAGCGAGGCATTGCTTGTATTGTTGTGTGAAACAAACGTAGGTAACTGTTGGTTGTACGGAGATCTCTTTACGACTGAGAGTCGTGAAGAGCCCGAGGTGTCGCTGCCGCTCGAGCTGGGTCGGTTGCTCTGCTTCGAGCCCGCGCGTGACGGGTTAGGTGAAACGGACGAGGCAGGAGGAACTGGTGACCGCAGTCCGGTCCGTCGCTGAGGAGGTAGTTCCATGATTGAGTAGAGCAAGTGTGCGAAAAGCCGTCTGGCTTGAGGGCGGTAGGAGGGTGTAGCGGGATGGGAGGTCACCGGATCACCAGTGTGGGAGGCATTCCACGGCAAACAAGCCACAGGCTAGCACCATCGATATGTCCGGCTCGCTTTACACGCTTAAGAAAACAAGTCGAACTCGTTCGCAGAAGTAAGAACCGTGGGGTGGGGGATGAATGCACAGGTGAACTGATAGTGTTGACGTGGGTGTTGCTGTTGGAGATCCCAGTCCATCCGACCCCCCGCTGTTTTCGATCCTCTTTTTCATCAAACTCGCCCGACCTTTCCAATCTTTGCATTCGAACAGCCTAGACTTACTGGGCCATGTCTAACATCGCATATGATTCCCCCGCGGCTCTCACTGCCACCTACGACTCACCTTCTGGTTCGAGACATTTCCAGAACACGATCTCAGCGCCAAAACACGATGAGGACGGATCACTCAGCGTCGAAGCCAAGAAGAAGTATGTGTCCGAACTACGCGCGTCGAGCAAGAAACTACAGGAGGACATCAACAAATTCCTGACCGAAAAAATGGAAGAAGATAAGAAACAAATTGGAAAAGACAGCGAGAACGGAACGCCAAAGGAGAGGTCGAAGGATGAATTAGAAGAAGAGAACTATGGCGAAGAGAACGAGCAGGATGAGACATAAAACTGAAGTCGCTCATGGGTATCAAGGAGTCACTAGCTTATGGAAATCGTTCCGTTAGACAACCTTCACGGCGATCTCGCTTTGCTTGCGCACTGCGCATCCAAGGTGCACGACGGAGTTGCTGTGTCGAGTGTCAGCGCACAAAAACATCACGGGGAAAGGAGACCAACTCACTCGGGGAATACGCTGATCACACTGCTACCAAGTCGCTTATAGCAGACGCCGCATACTCGATCTTCGTCGATTTTCACTTTTCTCCCTCGACCGCCAGATTGGACGCCGTCCCCAAGTAGCAAAGCGGCCTGTACTCGAACAGCATCCACCTTTCTCAGACCAGAAACTATCATCGACTCGTTCATGATAGTATTGGCATTCCGAATCCTTCCACGGAAGTAGAACTCTAGCTCCTTCACCAGCAAATCTTCCGGAATCAGCTCCAAGGTCGAGCTTGCTGGCAACCTGGGTCCGTGGCGGGCCATCAACTCAATAGCCGGTCCGAAAAGTGCCTGCTCTCCTTTCGGGGGATTCAAGTAGAGGTTAAGGAGAATATGATATATTGATTGCTCCTCATCAACTGGGTCGGTGGTTGAAAGCCTCCGACGAGAAACCAACTTGCTGGAGTATTTGCCGGTTGCCTCCAGGTGCGTTTGATTGCAATATTCCTCCGCTTTGCCCGGATCACGCAGTTTGAACACATAAATTTCGAGGGCTTGCTTGTGATTGCCCATCTTGCTAAAAATAATGGCCCGAGCTTCATAGAATGTCGGATCATCCCGAGGCAGTAAACCCAGTGTCTTTGCAGGAGAATACTGATCAGATGTCCTCAACAATGTCAGGAACCTGTTCAGAAGATCGTCACGATTTGTTGCGGTCGAATCCTTCAAGCGCTCAAGATATAGAGCGGCCAGCCGCTGATGCAGCTCAGGCGTCAGGTCGTCCAGTTCGTCCACCACATGTTCGAGATACCGCAATGCTAGGTCTATATTGATAGTCTCGAGGAATGCGAGCACTTTCTCACGCGGAAGTGACTCTGCGTTTTCCGTATCGCCCAGAAAGATCTCCATTGCCATTGCCGGGTCTGTCTCCAATGGCCACCTGGCAAATTCAAGTATCATGTCAATCAGGTCGGGACCCAGATTCTGAAGGTACGAGACCGTCCTTGCAGGCCCATGCAGCTGGGGATCAATATCTTCGGTCTTTTCGGCTTGTCCAAACTTTCGCAGTCGCTCTAGCGCTTGTCTGTGCAGTCTTTTCCCGTATAAAAACTCGATCAGATCATTGTAACGTTCTGTCTCTTCTAGCTTTGCCATCACGACCTCGGGGTCACAGAAGTTGGGGATGCGGAACAGGGATCCAGCAAGCGAGGGTGTGGCATACATATGCGCACGGAAGAGGGTGGTGTCGACGAGCTTGGCCACATCCAGTAGCTTGTCGGCAAGGTCAACATCATCCAGCGTTGGGAGCCCAAGAAGGTGTCCTGTAATTTGCCGGATATCCTCAGACTGGGCTGCAATTTGGACTTCAGCTAGATTGCGCACTGTCTGGTCCGGGTTAAAGAATCGTTGCAGTCGGCGGCGAACATCAGCAAGAAATGCCTGAAGTTCTCGGGCAGCAGTTTTAAGTTCCTTTTCTGAGAAGCTCTCACCTCCTTTGCGGTCGGCGGTTTTCACGCTGTGTATGCTTGCCGCGTCAGCCTCTGAGGGAATCATCTTGGTCGTCTTTGTAGGGCCGGAGGGAATATCTGTCTTTTTGGGCAGTTTTCGGAGACTGTCGTCAGGCTGTGGCTCCTCTTCGCCTCCCATGGCACCGTCAAGTTCCTCGTCCGCGAGGTCACCTGCAATGACTGCTGGATATAGCTTGATGACACGCTCAGGAGGCGCAGAGACCTCACTGAACAAGTCAAGGGCATCTCTGAATTTCTTTCCGTCGAACAAACGCTGGGCCTTTTGCATCTTGATCTCGCGCAATCGTCCAGCTTTATTCTTAATGAGGGTCTCTTCTATCATCTCCAACAAGCTGATTGCCTCATCAAGTTGACTACAATCAACCAAGGCATCAATTTGCGCATCGTAATTCAGCCCTTGCATCCTCCAGACGACACGTTCGCTGGCAACCAGAAATCCTTTCCCTTGATGGGCCAGACTGATGTTCGGATTTGGGACCTGAAGTAACACCGCACCAGGAAGATCAATTGACTGAAGTAAAGCGAGCGTCTGAGGGTTTCGGACTTCCAATACGCCTTTTGCAGCTTCTTGCAAAGCTAGGAGGTAAGGATATGAATATCCGACCGCATGAGGGGCCACCCGCCATGGAACCTGGCGTCGAGGAATTGGTTCTCCGTTGCGGTCGATGAACAGGGTGTTGACGTCCTTAGCCAGCAGCATCTCCTTTTCCCCGAGTCCGGTTGCAAGTGGTGCTGGGAACATCGATCCCATACCAATATAGCTCATTGTACCTCCCAGCCTACTGCTCTCTTGGCCGGTAAGACCACCAATACTCCCAGGACCGATAATGTCCTTCAACTGATGAGACTCAACGTCGACAAGTACATAGTTTGCACTGAGCCCGGCGATAACCTTGGTACCCGTTGCCCAGGTTAAGCACTTGATACTGTGCGACAGCGCAACCTCAGCAGCGTCACCGTCGAGTTCTCCATCATGCCATGTCCAAATGAGCAACCTCCTCTTGACGGCAACTGCTAACCTGCTGACAAGGGTAGGCACGCCAGTTGACGAATCCTTGACGATGTTACTTGTGGCGGCAAAGGTGCTGGCTCCTTTAGTTTTGGTGAGTTGTTCACTGAGTTCGTAGGTGCCCAAGTCATGGATAGAGACTAGACCATTGCTCAGGGAAATCAGGATATTCGCTTCGCGGAAAACGGCTAGCTGCTCAATCTTGTATCTTGAAAACTTCTCGTACTCCCGCAGGAGCTCGGAAGGTTTTGGTGTCCGTCTATCGGCCGCGGTTTTGTGTTCTTCATGTTCGTCGTCAGATTCAGTGGGGCGTGACGGAGGACTCTTGACTCTGTAAATGCGGAGGGCGCCAGTATTAAGGCCAACAAGGAGCTGGTCACTGTGCGAAAGTATAGACTCGATTTTTGACTTGTCGCGTTGCTTCAGCTCGACGATGGGCTGAGCAGTGAATGCTGAGAGCATGGATAAACGATTCACGCGTCCAGCGCAATACTCTCGCCTACCACACGAATCCGTGTGGTTGAAAGAGGGCAGAGTTACAGGGCAGTAGGGAAGTCTGCCTCGTGCTGCCGGAGAGAGGAAGCCTCCGATTGGCGGCTGAACTAGTCTCGGGTAACTACGTCACTTGCTCAGTCTCACAAGGCTACAGTATAGAACTGGGGAGAAGGTATCGACGGCGCGAAAATGTCGTAGATGTTCGAGGGAATATGCCTGATTGTCAAAGATACAAGTAGGACTTGTGGGTATGTCATTCTTATACACACGTACACAGTCGACTTTATTACGTCGCCCTTCCCCGGACATTGAAAACAGTGCGAATTTCTGTGTGGACGGGTTTCATCGCCATGGAGCTGCTAGGGCACCAGGCTGTAGAGATAGTAAGAAGATGTGTATTCTATCCCTCGGGTGTCAGAGGCAAAGCAGATTCAAAGCACAATATAAGGCCTGGTGCAATCGTAGTCAGTTGCAGCTTCCCGAAACATCCCTCTTCCGAGAATCCTCGTCTTCACCTCCTTCTGCTACTCCTCCTCCTCCTCCTCCTTCTTCTTGCTCTTCCACCAGTCTGAGGGTTTCCTCAATCATTGCCATATCTGCGTCAAAGCTCGCCATGATGTCGTCCAAATCACCCAAACTCTGCACCTCTTTGTTGGTCTTGTCGAGCAGCTTCTGCAGAGAATCGTTCTCTTTGGCAAGGCTTTTCGTCTCCTTCCGCACGTCGTCCTCCTGTTTCGTTAAAGCCTTTGCATTGGTGTGGATGTTCTTTGCCCGAGCGTGGAGCTCGGCGTCAATGCTGGCTCCAACGGCGTTCAACGAAGCCGTAAAGGCATCCTTGGCTTCTTGGGTCCGTTGTGCTGACGATGCTGAAGGCCTTTGTGACCCAGACCCTACTGTCGCTGCTGTAGACATGATTTCAAGAGTCTTGCCACACAAGCTTTGGGTTCGGGGATAGTGCGTTCAAGGGATTGATAACTCAGGGAGTGGGCTAGTTGGAGGTTTGGATGAGCAACGGCAGAGGGATTGACAATTTGGAGATGGATTCGGGGACGAAATATCTGCAGTAGCAAATAATCTTCCTTTCTAGGACTGGTGAAAAGCGACGCGAAGTTCTAACAGGAATTTGAACCATTGATGGACTATTTGATATCTGTTGTTCTGCCGCCCATGGAGATTCATGGTGTTTAATTATCGTCGTGTACCTAATGCTGCAAAATCTATCCTCATAACGAATCAACCAGCGGTAGCTTTGCAATATCTCCTGGTCGTAAATTGCCAATCTGGTGAACCAACCAGCCACTACACAGCATCAGGTGTCATCCTCTCATGGTCCATGGCAAGCCAAGCTTGTGCATTTCCACAGCGAGCTGGAAGAGGTAATCCAAGCTCTCACATTGCGTCTTCGCCTTGGCAACGTTGTCGCCCCAGACGTATCTGAAGCAAGATCAGCGCTCTGTCGGTCTCATATGGCCAAGATACTCACATCCCATGTCGTCTGACTAGAACCGCATACGTATCTGGGTATTGCTCGATAGCTTTCTCCAAAGTCTCCGTCAAATCCTCCTCAAAAGGAGTATTCTCGATGATTGGTACCCGCAACGTGTCATGGAAGCCATGCATACCTTTTGACGGACCTTTGGGGATACCTTTGATTTGCTCGATTTCGCTGATTTCGAAGCATGCCTCCTTGCCATGAACCTTCTCGACGAGCAGAGTGACCAAAACAGCCCATTGAGAATGCGTGTGGATACAGCAACCGGCACCATGTTCAAATGCGGTAAGAAATAACGGTGTACACGCCGATGGCTTTAGATTAAGAGGCTTTCGAATGTATTGTCGTGCGGATGGAGGGTACTTTGGAGTCGGGTACGCAAGAACAAAGATGTTCTCAGGCCTCATAAGCTCTTTCTGTACACCAGACGGAGCAATATAGACATGATCATCCTCGCGAATGCTTGTGCCGCCTCCAGTGCCAGTGACCCATCCTTGAAAGGGAGTCAGTCTCTGCGGCCCAAGTAGACCGTCTACCGCCTACAACCTACCGAGGGAATAGAATTGTTTGCAGAGCCGAGGAATCAGATTCGCAGGATGATCCGGATTGTCAGATTGGACGAGATATTCATTGTTTTGATCCGCCATTGTGGTTATATCCCTGGATTGCAATCAGGGGGCAAGCAGAGAATAGAAAAGAAACTGAATGAAATTTCAATGGGCTGGACACCAATAGCCACGTGATCCCCCGCCTTTCGGGGCCAATTATTTGCGCAAGGAGCTTCACCGATCTGAGTGACATTTGAAATTCCCCCTGGTGGAGTCCGTCTCGTAAAGGACACCTTGCTTTGATCCCTCGAAGAGGAATTGAAATATAACCACGACTAGGAGTGGGACTCTCTCTCTTCAACCTTCTCCTCCTCCATTCTCTTCGTTACCTGGCCTACTCCTCGTACCCCTTGTCAATTGACTGTCGCTCTGCCTTAGTGTTCGTGGCCCAGCATGCGGTTCAATACAGCAATCGCCCCGGCCCTCTATGCATCGGCTCTCCTCGCCGGTACAGCATTCGCTCAGGAGGAGGGAGAGACATCAACGAGTGCTGTTGAACGCCCAACATTCACTGTGAGTTGGTATTGTCTGTTAATCATCATTTGCGTTTCGCTGACCTGCCGATCAGCCCACAAGCCTTAAAGCACCTTTCCTAGAACAGTTCACCGACGATTGGGACACAAGATGGACTCCTTCACATGCCAAAAAGCAAGATTCCAAGAGTGATGAAGATTGGGCATATGTCGGCGAATGGGCAGTCGAAGAGCCGACTGTCCTCCCGGGCATCGTTGGCGACAAAGGCTTAGTTGTGAAGAACGCAGCTGCTCACCATGCCATCTCAGCCAAATTCCCCTCTGTTATCAACAACAAGGGCAAGACTCTTGTGGTTCAGTATGAGGTCAAGCTCCAGAATGGTCTCGAATGTGGTGGTGCTTACATGAAATTGCTCCGCGAGAACAAAGAGCTACACGCGGAGGAATTTTCCAATGCCTCTCCTTATGTGATCATGTTTGGTCCCGATAAATGTGGAGCTACCAACAAGGTGAGTCCGGTGGCTGATCTTCCCATACTTTTCTAACGACTGTCCTAGGTCCACTTCATCTTCCAGCATAAGAACCCAAAGACCGGCGAATATGAGGAGAAACACCTGAAGAGTCCCCCTCAAGCCAAGACTGGCAAGATGACCACCCTCTATACCCTCATCGTCAAGCCAGACAACACTTTCGAGATGTTGATCGACAACAAGTCCGTCAAGAATGGAAGTCTTCTAGAAGATTTCTCTCCGGCGGTTAACCCTCCCAAGGAAATCGACGACCCGAAGGACAAGAAGCCCGATGACTGGGTGGAACAAGCCCGTATTCCTGATCCTGAGGCCCTCAAACCTGAGGATTGGGATGAGGATCAGCCTTATGAAGTTGTCGATGAGGAAGCCGAGAAACCCGACGACTGGCTGGAGGACGAACCTGCCACAATTCCTGACCCGGAGGCTGAAAAACCAGAAGATTGGGATGACGAAGAAGATGGTGACTGGATTCCTCCTCAAGTGCCCAACCCCAGGTGTGAAGAAGCCTCAGGCTGTGGCAAATGGGAACCTCCGATGAAGAAGAACCCTCTCTACAAGGGCAAGTGGACTGCACCATTCATCGACAACCCTGCTTACAAAGGGCCATGGGCACCACGCAAGATCCCCAACCCTGATTACTTTGAGGACAAGACTCCTTCCAATTTCGAACCCATGGGAGCAGTAAGTACTTATTCATGATCCATTGGGAATAGTTGTTGACCATGCCTGGCAGATCGGCTTCGAGATTTGGACAATGCAGTCTGACATTACTTTCGACAACATTTACATTGGTCATTCCATTGAAGACGCCGCGGCATTCCGCGCCGAGACTTACGATGTCAAGCGCCCCATTGAAGAAGCGGAGGATGCGAAGAGCAGGCCTACGCCCGAAGACCTTCCCAAGTCGCCCTCCGATCTCAAGTTCATGGATGACCCAGTCACTTTCATCAAAGAGAAACTCGACCTCTTTATCACCTTGGCTAAGAAGGATCCCGTTGAGGCCATTAAATTCATGCCCGATGTTGCCGGCGGAATTGGTGGTGCTTTGGCGTTGGTGATCGCTGTCATTGTCGGCCTCACGAGCATGGGCGGGTCAGCCCCCGTTCCTAGCAAGGAGGATGTCAAAAAGGCAGCACAGAAGGCAAAGGATACTGCCACCGAGGTGAAGGAGAAGGTGCAAGATGCTGCAGCCAGTGGTGCCGAGACGGCGAAGACTGAGGCTAATAAGAGAGTTACTCGATCGAGCGGTAACTCTGAGTAGAATGTTGCTAGAAGGCAAACTGGGCTTTCGACCAGATGGTGTGCGACCCGACAATGTCTTCACTGGACTTGGGATTGATACACATGGGCTCAGGCGCAAAAGGGGTCAATTTGAGGCGGACGACCAGAAATCTACAATACATTGCCACCGGGACTAACACCGAAAGAGATTTCTCCCGCGAAATGTTTTCATGTACATCAGCTCAAACCCTACCAGATCAAAGGCATTCGTACCTGCTTAGTGGCGACACTGGCAGGCGCCGTGAAAGTGGTGGGAGTGAGGCCTACGAGATTATGCAGCAAAGTCCCGAATGTTTCAATTTTTCTGTTGCGAAACTGGCTAGCGATAGCAGTCCGAGAGTCCTTTTGAGATTTGTTTGTTCCAATAGCTCGGTGACTTTGGCTACTTAGCCAGCTCCCGTATGATGCCATTCCAAATTGTAGGCGTTGATATTGTAGTGCTTCAGAAGATCCCAGAAAATATGTAAGTTACATTCTCGCACGATCAACTTCGCCTCCGAAAACCGTCTTCCGCAAGGTTCCCCCGGCTCGACCTATGCGGGTTATTTCTCGACCGAAGTCCTGCCTTAGATTTTTCCCCAAGTTTGTTTCTCAATTTGATATCCTTTATGCATGGGACGAGGGTTTTCGTTTCGAATTACTCCGTAACAATGACCACCATCTCATCTCTTCCCCTGTCTTCTTGTCCTTGTTGATCTCACTCTCTCTCAATCCTCCCCTACCTTCCATCCAATCCGAATATTCCTTAAGAATGGGTCGGCATAGAAACCTGCTTCTCCGTCGCCAACGCATCCTCCGCCCTCCACAGGCTCGTCACCGTCTTCCACTGGGTATAGAACCTGATGCCATCTTTGCCATAGAAGTTTGCAAGACCTGTTCCAGCCACACTCTTTTTGTTACCGGTGAAACTGAACATAGGCAGCGGCACGGGAATGGGAACGTTGATTCCAATTTGTCCCGCCTCGAGTTCCTTTTGGAATAGTGAGGCGGTGGGGCCGGAACGTGTAAAGACGGCCGCGCCGTTGCCGTAGGGGTTGGAGTTGATCAGGTCGATAGCTTCCTCGGTCGTGGAAACATTCAAACAGACCAGGACGGGGCCAAAGATCTCTTCGGTATAACATTTCATATGCGGCTTGACGTTGGCAATGATAGTTGGGCCGACCTAGCACAAATCAGTAAGGCTTTCACGGATGGGGAGGGCAACTCGGCACTTACCCAGTTGCCATTGGGATATTTGGCGGGGTGTTGGCCTCTTCCGTCAAGCAAGATAGTTGCACCTTCATCTTGCGCACTCTGGATCAAATCTTCCACGCGCTTCTTGCTCTGCGGGCTAATCAAAGGTCCGAGATCGGCATCAGGTTCGAATCCACCGTTGATAGTGAGGGCCTTTGCACGCTCGGCAAGCTCTGGCAACCAGTCTTTCGTCTCGCCAACCATCACAAGAGTGCTGAGAGCCATGCACCGTTGTCCTGCAGCGCCAAAGGCAGCGCCGGCAATGGCGTTCAATGCATGATTCTTGTTGCAGTCCGGAAGCACCGCAGCATGATTCTTCGCGCCCAGGTTGGCCTGGACACGCTTACCCTGTGCGCAACCCCGAGTGTAGATATATTCACCAGCACGGTTCGAGCCGACGAAGGAAATGGCCTTAATGGCCGGTTCATCGATGATAAAGTCAACGGTCTTGGCCGCTCCATGGACGATGTTGACCACGCCGTCAGGAAATCCGGCTTCTTTGCATAACTCAGCAAGTATCATGGCAGCACCGGGATCTCGCTCGCTGGGCTTTAGGATCAAGCAGTTGCCCGTCACAGTGGCCACAGGAATGCTCCATAGAGGAATCATTGCCGGGAAATTGAAGGGGCAGATGGCTGCCACCACCCCCAAGGGTTCACGGTATGAACGAGTTTCCATATCTTTTGCCACCTCAATGACTTCGCCAGTCATTTGGGTCGTGATTCCGCAGGCGGTCTCGCAGACTTGCAGACCACGGAGGACGTCGCCTTTGGCATCTGCAAAGGTCTTGCCTTGTTCAAGGGTGATAGCGGCAGCCAGACGATCCATATTCTGGCGAATCAAGTGGGTCAACTTGAAAATGATTTGCTGCTTGGATATGATTGAAGTAGCTCGCCATTGCGGGAAGGCTTTCTCCGCAGACGCGACAGCTGCCTTCAATTCGGCATCGGTGGATTGAGGCACTCGAGTAACGAGGTTATTGGTGGCGGGATCATGGAGATCGATCCACTGCGAGGTTTGGGAGGGTACGAACTGGTTGTCAATGAAGTTGTGCGTGTCTACCACGTTGGCAATCTTTTCGTGAGAAGTAGGATAGTCAGCAACGGCGGTACTGGTGGCAGCGAGATGGCGCGTGGTGGCATGAAGTCGGCGCCTGGCAATCTGCTCGTTTGGCGACATTCTGAGAGATGTCGAAATCTGAGACGCAGCTGATGGAGTGGTGCGTCTAGCTGTCAGTGCGGGGACAGCACGTAGGAGGGACCGACGTGCGGCCATTACTGCCAATCCGGGAGGAGGAACAAAGAACAAATTGGGAAGTTAGCGTAACTTTTGTCGCCCACAGGTTGAACAAATCTATGCCGGTGCCAAAAGGCAGCAAGTTAATAAAGGGAGGGGGCAATGGTAGAAGAGAAAACAGCGATAACCTCGTACAAGTTTGCGGAGAAGCTTTGTCAAAGAACGAGAAATTGCCGCGTCCGAGGTTCATTGCTGGGCGGGCATTGGCAGGTTGCTATTGGCGGGGCTGGCGGAGCGCGGGGGAGAAGGCCGAGTGCCAGGGGCAGGCTGCGCGGGTAGCGACGGTCTTCTCCCGCTACCCTCTTACGGCGCTTGATGCCTCCGAGGTATGCTGTCATGGCTGAAAGCTGTTCGAACAACGGCGAAAGATTGTATCGGCGACGTTGAGGATATTGTCATGTCTGTCTGAACTCCTACGTTTTACCTACCTCGAACATTTTATCGATACATCTCAGCCGTTGCTTGGATAGAGCACAGTCTCGAGGGTATGGTACTCCTCCTTCAGAGTTCGGGGAGCTGTGAACCGCATCAACATGTTTGCACTGCCAGCCTTGTCGTTGGTACCACTGGCCCGTGCTCCTCCGAAAGACTGTTGTCCAATGACGGCCCCAGTCGTCTTGCAGTTGATGTAGAAATTCCCAGCTGCATAGCGGAGCCCGTTTTCGGCTTGCCGAATGGCCGCTGTGTCGGTTGCAAAGATGGAACCAGTCAGAGCGAAGCCACCGCCTTGTCTGTCGATATTGGTCAAGAGTGAGTCAAATTGCTCGTCTTGATAGACATGGGTGACCAAAACTGGACCAAAGAGCTCTTGGTCAAAGAGAGGATGATCCACCGCTTTTGCAGAGTAGACGGTCGGTTCGATGAAGAAGCCTTTGCTGCCATCGTACTTGCCCCCTGCCACAAGCTCCAGCTGACTATCCTTGTTCGCAGCATCAATAACCTTGGTGATCTTGTTGAAGGCTGCTTGATGTATGACAGGTCCAGTAAAGCTTTCAAAGTCCTCGGGCGGGCCCACTTTGACCTTTCTCAACTCCTGCTTCAGCTCAGAGAAGAATTGTTCAGCACGGCTTTGTGGGATATAGATTCGCGAGCAAGCCGAGCACTTTTGGCCGGCATACTCGAAAGAAGCACGGATCGTATGCTTTACAGCATTACTGATATCGGCAGACCGATGAACCAAGTGAAAGTTCTTGCCGGATGTCTCCGCGACCAGTCGCGGAAAGTCACGATATCTTCTTTCCCTCACGCCGTCTGCTATCTTGCCATATAGGCTGCGGAAAACGTCTGACGACCCTGTGAAATTAATAGCAGACAGTTCCGGATGTGCAAGAGCCACTCTTGTGATCATCTCAGCATCTCCACCGACGAACTGCACAACATTCGGCGGGAGGCCTGCCTCGCGGAGGATCTTATATACCAGGTAGCTTGCATATACGTTGGAAGGAGAAGGTTTCCAAAGAACAACGTTTCCAAGCAGAGCCGGACCAGATACAAGGTTCCCGCCAATGGCGGTGAAGTTGAAAGGCGAAATGGCATATACAAATCCTTCCAGTGGACGCCAGTCAATGCGCCTGTTGTCCTTCAGTCAGCCATTCGCGATTTTCAATGCGACGTTGGTTTAACTCACCCTGCTTGTCCGCGCTCATTCAGTGTAGGTTGCCTGGAATAGATCTCTTCGGCAAATGAGACGTTGAAACGGAAAAAGTCAGCCAGCTCCGCCGCAGCATCAATCTCCGCCTGCCAGGCATTTTTCCCCTGCCCAAGCATCGTTGCAGCCATCAACTCAAATCTGTACTTTCCAGAGACCAGTTCTGCTGCTCTGAGAAAGACCGCTGCCCGGTCGACAAAGGGTGTATCTTGCCATGCCGTCTTAGCCTTCAACGCCTCCTCGATGGCGGCTGATACGTCCGCCTCTGTTGTCGGAGTATATCTGGCGAAAATCGACGAAACCTCCGAAGGCATATAGGTCTCTGAATCAGACGTGCTGGGGCGGGTTGCTACCTCCTGTCCGTTTTTAATTGATGGTACACGGACTGGAAGTTTCTGGCGGAGATCCTGGACCGCCGCAATCAACTTTTCCCGTTCCGGAGATGACGGTGCATAATGTAGCTGAGTATATGTTAGCCAATGCAAGGTAGGGTACACGACCATGGACTTTACGTTTGGCTCATTGAATGGCTTCGGAGTTTTGTAGTTCCCAGCTGTGGAAAGGAGCCTCCTCCTTGCAGGTGTACGTGAGAAGCAGTCACGCGTCTGACTGAGTCTAAGAGCTACCTGGCGACATGGAGCACTCAAATAGGCAGAGTATGCCAGCATCTCGTGGAAAGAAAATTAGAACTAGAAGCTTCGATATAGAACTGCTGTCGTGTGAGCTATAGCAGGGCACGTCCTCTTGGGAACTACAGGGGAATATGTACATTTCAATCTGACCATGAAATCTGCCACCAAGCAACTTCCACCGTCGAATTTCAAACGGCACTGTGGCCGGCCTGGCCGAAGGTCATCGGGAAGCTATTGGTGCTGCATTGACTCCTTACCAGAGACCCTGGTGTTCCACAGAAACCAGCTCACTCGAGAGATAGCATAATGCTAGGCATGGTCCAGCTTTCGGAAAGCAGGGAGACTCCATGGGTCGATATTGAGGATCGGAAGCGTCTGAAAGGGCGCGGTGCTCGGCGGTAATCCCGCCAAGGGCCAAAGGGAGTTCTTCGATACTTATTGGTTCGGAAGCATCGGGGAGGCTGCCGTAGCTGCGCAGACGTCTCCGCCAGACCTCGACCGGTGCGCATTCAATTTCCAGCCTAAAAAGCTCCGATGGCATTGTTTCTGGGAGCAACCCAGATGCCCAATACCATGCCCACAATGTGGTTGCCTGATTCACTAGTCATACTGCAAGGCTTGAGAAACCATCATCCTCAATCTACCGCCGTTCTTGCTCGCCGGCCCGGGCAGAACCCTGAAAGTACTATTTTCATTGAGGCCAAATGCTTATCAAGACAGCCTTTGTTGACTCAATACTCGCAGGACATGCTCTGAAAATCTGCTGCAGGCCACCCGTGTAAGCATGCACCGCTCTTGGGTCAACAGTAGCGATCGTCGTGTCGACGGCAAATCATGAGGGAGAAATTAAAACATCGCAAAGCTGGGTAAAACGAATAGGATTTAACTGAGTAGGTCTGCAAGCATACGAGCAACTCCGCCCTCGACATACAGTTTGTAGCCACGCATAAGCGCCCTCTCATCTGCTCAGTGAATGAATATAAGTCCCGAATCAGGAGCCCCGGTCACCACAACTGCACCTAAGTCTGAGACCTCCTCTATTTGCTCATTCTGTAATAGTCATCAAGCTCGTTGATTTCCTCGATAGTCAGAGTTCTTCGTCCGATCTTACAGTCTGCCAGTTTCGCATTTCTCCATGGCGTCCCGAAGATGAGCTTGTACCCAATTGTGAATCCGGCAATCACACGGACTCCGATCATAAATTCGAAGATGCTATAAGCGATGAAACAGGAGCCTCCCTGCTAACTGCAATCAGCGTATGTTTCATACAGAGTACACTTAATACTCGATGTCAACATTCACAAGGCCAACAAAGAAAATAGAACATACCACTGGGTCGATACCGGCAGCAATACAGCAGCCGAGAAGAAGAAGTGAGATCGTCATCAACCATACGGGAGCTAGCGGCCACAGACTCGACTTCCAGGAATAAACCTCTGTGAAGAGAGAGGGTCGTTCTGTGCCTTCAGGCTGCAATGGAACCGCCAATCTGTAAAGGCGATGATAATCCAGTTTGAACAGTATGAGGCACTGGTGATCGAGATCAACCAATTTAACGCCCTAAGACCACCAGCTTTCGAAAGATTAGCTCCGTGTTCACACTGACATTATATGAAATGACTGGGAGGACTGCCAACATCTTAGAGAGCCCTACTGCACAAAGGCACTATTAGATATCCACGACCGTCTGAATGTATCAACTCAAGCGCAGCCTTTCTGGACAGAGCTGATAGAGCCCATGTCCTGTTCGAGCCCATGTCCTGTTCGAGCCCAGCTTACTCCACGAGTGTCTCCGCTTCCAACTGGCCCAACTATTCTGGCGAGCTACCCCGAATAGTGAAGGTGAGACAGCCGGGAAGCGTGAAGATCTCGTAGCATTAGGACTTTGTTGTGCACTTATCGCTGGCGAACACGAGACTGACCTTGATAGGTCAAACTGGGGCTTTTCGAAATGCACCCAATCAGTCTTAGTCAAGCCGGGCTTTCCTGCAACATCGGATATTATCCCGAGTTCTGTTATACCCCACTTGACTACCCCGAAGTTTCCCGCAACGCCATCCTCACTTGTCACCGAACTCATTTATCGCCTTGCCGAAGAAATCGGCAGGCAATACCGGGAGTCTGGAACTCTCTCATTCAGCAGCAATGGAGAGTGCTGCTGCAGACAATCGACGCATCTCCAAGAAGCGTTGGAATACAGCGTGAGCAGTCTTGAGTCCCCCGGCCCACTCGAAGGGCGCTGACCACTTGTCTTCGAAAGCTGTCGACGCTGCCGCCACCAAAAGATCAAGTGCACTGGATCACGTCCTTGTGAAGCATGTACCAAGAGAAGTTTGCCATGCCATCCTGACGACCCCGCGCAAAGGATTTTTGTGACAAGGGGGTGAGTGCTAGAGCATCACGACCCGCCGCTCCCGCTAAGGACCTTTTAGTTATATTGACCACCTCGAGAAACGGGTAGCATCATTTGAGCAACGAGGCTGGGGGCAAACCGTGCCCCCAGATATCTACCATGAACATGCACCTCCTGAGGAAGCATTAGAACTCGGTAAGCAGTTCCCATGACCCCTTTTCAGCCCGCTTGACCACTGAACGAGGAGAACGACGAAGCCGATAACACCATCGACAACGTTGGAGGGTATACCAAAACCCATCCATACCAAGCGGAAACATCATATCCTCCGCCACCGCCGAGGGTCCAGGAGGAACCTTGTTCTCTCCGGGGTTCTCCAGGAGCATCACTCATGAATCCTCTAACTGCTGGCTTCCCAAGCCACTTTCCCGACACAAGCGGCAGGCCTAGTAAGTTATACATTGTGGTGTTAGGCTGAGCCTTACTGACACTTTCCACCAAGTATACTTAGGGACGTCATCAAATTGGTCATTTGGGCGGAGAGTGCTTGCGATGACCTATGAGGGAGTTATGCGGGCTCCTCTCCCTCCAGACAACTTACTATTCGAGGGCAAATCGTACGATCTGGGATGGGACGGAAGGAGGAATCAGTCACCTGAAGCTCCATCTGAGGTTCCTGCCCTTCCATCGGCAGATTTTGCAATGTACCTCATCAACGCCGTCAAGTTCCACTGCGGCCAACTCTTCCATCTTTTCGAGGAAGATAAGTTTATGCAACAATTTTCCCACTACCACGAAAATCCGACCCAAGAGTCATCTAGCCTTTGGTTCATCCACTACCTTCTGATTCTTGCCTTCGGGAAGGCATTTGTGGTACAAAACAGCAAAGGTCGCAAGCCTCCAGGAGCCGAGCTTTTCGTCTATGCTATGAAGCTTATGCCAGATCTTGCATTCTACAGTGCTGATCCGGCCGAAGCTATACAAGTCTTATGCTGTGCCGCTCTTTATTTGCAGTGCCTCGATTTCCGTGGGGCCGCTTACCGCATCGTACGATTCACTTTGATAATTCGTCTCGACTGTGCTAACGCGTATCAGATCGGTCAAGCTCTCCGCATGGCCTTGGAAAATGGCATGCATACAGAAATGCGCAGTCAACAAGTTGATAGTAGCTTGCCGCAACGGTGTCGCAAAGTCTGGTGGACAATCTATATCCTTGATCGTCAGATGTCCTCCCTCATGGGTGTGCCCATGGGAATTGCAGACGAATCGATATCCGCAGAGCTACCCACCTTTCCCGATCAACCTCAAAGGGCAACGGGGATGAGTATTCAGATAAAGCTCTCGAAAGTATTAGCGCAAATACTCAACAGTGGGTGTGCCTCAAATTATTTCCGGGGTACAATGCTGACAACAAACAGCTGTTTACGGAGCCGAGGGGCGACTAGATAAACGCTTCCTAACGATCACCAAAGACGCATTGAAGAGCGTTGCAAATGTTACCGACCAGTTGAACAACTCCTTCGAAATCCTGGGAACTGGCTCAAAGACTAGCATTTCAAGGCTCTCTGCATACTTGCACCTCTTGTATCATCAAGTAAGTCAAGCAGCATGAGGTTCTTACCGGGTTTTGAGTTATTCTGATGACAATCCAGTGTATTGTGCTTACCACGAGACCGATACTATACACGCTTCTTCAATCGAAGCTCCGGCAATCGAATATAAATCTCGCCGAACTACTTCAATCTGGAAGTGTCAGAACTCTGTTACAGATGTGTATTGAGTCTGCTCAGCAGATGATCACGATTCTCTCCGCTCTACAAGAACATAGCCTTCTCGGTAAGTCTGCCAGCAAAGAGGATGGATCCTATGTCGTATTGGCCAGTTGACAATTTGTGATAGAGAGCTTTCTCCCTTTTGACCTTGACGCTACTTTCACTTCGGCAATAACACTCCTGATGGCGGCAGCAGTAGATCCCTCCTTGGTCAAGGACTGCTCCCTTTGGTTGCTGCGCTCCCACGCAGTTTTTGACGAGATGATATCTCGGGGCAACCAAGTTGCTAAGTTGATCAAATCTGAGCTCCAACAACTTGAAAGCATCCTCAATCGACTCTCCGCGAATGAGGAGAACCAACCGGTCACCTTTGGGCGTCGTTCGAGCCTTCGTGGCTTCCCGCCACATGATGACCGTTGTCCTCGCACCTCCACAGGTCAACCGTCACTGGGACCACTGGCCCCTCCGCCTTACACAGCTTCTTCGCAGCCAAATAATAATGACATCTCCATGGACGAACTGAATTGGCAGGATGGGATCACGGCAGAGCAGCTTTTGAACTTCGCAGACTCAATGGATCTCAGTGCTTTGGACTGGTTGCCTTCAGAAACTGGGCAATGACCTCAACTGCTTGGGGGATCGGACTGTAGGTGCAAGACTTAGTTCCTTGGATCGAGACCAGTTCCGGGGCTTCGCATTTGAAGTTCTACGACATGGCATGAAACCTGATTTCTGATCAAGTAATGCTAGCAACTGATCAAATCTCCTCTTCCGAGTTCCTCAAAATCAGTGACGGTAGGATGCCAGAGCTCTCACTGGTCATTTGGCTTGAAGATCGTCGGACAGCATCCGCTGACTGCAACATCTGGGTTCTAATCCGCCATTGTTCCCGGTGTTGCCGGCGTGCACTATCTGCACGGCATAACATCCGACATTTTCCTGCTGCGAGGAGTGAGATGGAGATACGTCTTCTTTATAGAGACATAATTTCGGAGCATTGTACTCTTCGAGATGGGAATGTCTGTTATACGGACTCTATTCCGACTAACCACCATGGCCCTTCAAAAAACACAACATCAAACTGGTCAGCCGGATGCGAAGGTCTGCCCGACAGCTCCGCATCCGGGCTGCTACGTACCTGCAGTAACTTTCTTCGACCCTGAAACGGATCAACTATGTCTGGATTCCCAAGCCAAGCTCTTTTCTGGCAAACACGGGGCTCACTGGGCTTGTCATACTGGGCACCAATGCAGAGACATTCCTGTTGACGCGCGAGGAGCAGATGGCTTTACTACAGCTCGCACGAAGGTCTGTGCCGAAGAGCTATCCTATCATTGCTGGAGCGAGCAGTCATTCCACTACACAGGTGCTCGAGTTCATTGCAGACGCATATAATACCAGTGCCAACTTTGGACTCATTCTCCCTTGCGCGTACTTCGGCAAACAGACTGCGCCAGCCGTCGTGAGGAGGTTTTACGGAGAGGTGGCTTCAGTTTCTCCGCTGCCGATTATCATCTACAACTTTCCGGCGGTCTGCAATGGGCTGGACCTCGACGCAAACATCATCACCAATATTGCAAAGGAATCACGCAATGTTGTCGGCGTGAACCTGACCTGTGGCTCGGTAGCGAAGATCATCTGTCTTGCTTCTAGGTTTGAGGCTTCCCGCTTCGCTGTTTTCGGAGGCTAGTCAGACTTCCTGGTTGGCGGACTTGCTTCCGGCAGTGCAGGCCGTATAGCAGCATTCGGGAACGTTTTTCCGCAAGTCGTGGTTAAGATCTATGGATTATGGACTAGCGGTCAACATGGTGAAGAACTCGCACTTCAGAGGCTGTTGGCTTCGGCGGAGACGGCCACAAAAGCGGGTATCGCGAACACAAAGTATGCTGCGACCATTTTCACCGCCCCCAAAACAGGAATTACGGACGCTGTGCGCTTGTTCAAGCTTCGAAGGCCGTAACAAGAACCATCTGAAGCTGTAAAAAGGTCAATCCAGACTGTGATGGAGGCACTGCGTCAAGCAGAGCAAGAAATTCAGGCCAGAGCTCAGTCTCGTTTATAGACAAATAAGCGTGCATCGGAAAAAAAAGGGCTCATCAAAGGAAACAAGGTTCGTCCTTGACCTGGACCAAACAAAGCATGGAATAGGAAATCAATTGCTACCTTCAGACATTTGGTTCGAGTATTGTACCGCGAACTTCACCGCATCCGAAATGCCTGCTCTCACTTGTCCACGATCCAGCTGCAATAGAGCATTAATCGTGATCCCTCTGGCAACAGACATGGATTCCTTAAGAGATTCAATCGTCATCTGCTCGCGCAAAAGCGTAGAAGCGCTGCGTAAGCATTGTGATGCAATGTTAAGGGCCACTGGGCGCGGGACACCTTCTGCAACACTCCCGTCGACAATGGCGTCAACTGCGACTACTGCCAAAGCATGGCATGCCGCGCTGACTGCCGTGGTGGTGTTGATGAGATGCTCAGGCAGAAGCTGCGTGGGACCAACCCGTTGAAAAAGCCAAGTAATCAGATCCCGGTCAGAGGTAGAGAGAACAGTATCGGCGATCAGGGTCATCGATTCACCTATCTGCGCCCCGATGCTGGGTATAGCGCGCGAGACACGGGTCTGCGTAGTCAACTCCTTGCTGCCATAAAGTTCCTGGGCCACTTGTAAAGAGGAGACTCCAGCCAATATGGATACCACCAGCTTTCCCTGGATAGCTCTGACCAAGGCCCGGTAACCCAAAACCTCAGCGAGTTGCTGTGGTTGAAAAGCCAAGATGACGACGTCGGCGCCACGAGCCGCGTCAGCGTTGTCCAGAGAAATAACGTCCACTTGATCCCGGTACGAATCAAACGTTTGGCGTAATCGTTTGATAGACGTGCCGGAGCGAGCACTAACGGAGAACTTGAGGTCGTATTCGGACTTATCAAGATCTTTAATGATGCCGAGAAGCAGCGCAGTTCCCATGAATCCTGGAGCTTCCGTCAGCATTCAAGGCCTCTACTTTTGGCATATAACATACCGCAGCCGAGGACGGCGACCCGGAGCTTTTTGGGAGTGGACTGGATGGCCATCCGTGCAGTAGGTGAGGGCAAAGACTCTCGACAATGGACAGTAGTTCCTCGATATGTGACCTTTATGTTTGGTTCTTGATGTCGATAATATTAGCGCCGAAAGTTTCACCTTGATTCGGGGATAGTGCCCAGTCCGAGACTCGGCCTCTAGTCCGAGAACTACTCGGTACATTTCAACGCAAGTTACAAGGAAATTCCCCTCCGAATATGGCGGTAGGCGCCGCCGCTTTTGGAGGTTGATTTGCCTCGGTGCTAAGAACGCCGACCTAGCCTCCCCTCGTCGGAGACCTAACTAGCTTTAACGGGTCCAGAAATAGTCCCTTTTGGAAATAACGGAATCTGTGATGGATTGAACCTAGGAGAAGGCTCGGTTCCGGCGGACCAGCGTGAAGACCGCTAAGCGTACGCAAGGGAGAGGAACAACACGCAAAAGGGGAGAAACTACGCAAGGGAAAGAGACAACATCCGAGGAGAATGGATAACGTACGAAAGAAGGAGAGGTGAGGAGGAGGAAAGGGATAATATCGGTAACCCCCTTCCCGAGGGAGAGACTGCTCTTCCTTCTTCCTTTCTCTCCTTAGATTTATCCTCCTTGTTACTAGGTTAGCTTAGCTAGTTGCAGGACTATTTCTAAACCCTCCCAACGGCTACCGAAAAGGAACTGAGACCCACAGTGATCTGGGGTAGCTCCTCATGCGATAAAGTAGGTTGAGGTCACGTGATAGCCTCGCTTAGAAGTTCGCATAGCTGGTGAGCTTCTAGCTTCCTTCATAGTCTCTTCGTCCACCATATAATCGAGTTCCTCTGATTATACACTTTGCGGATATATTTGTATGCTATACTCTTGGTTTCGTCTCCGCTACACCATCCCACTACTATATCACCAAGTAAACCACTCCGGGTTTGCTCTGAACACCTCACACGTAAAGTGACTCGTAACAGTTCTGATACCAGGATTCCTTGATGTGGTGGAATTAGCGCTGACATTTTGCTAAGAACCGTTTCCAACGGGTAAAACGTGCTCGGGCATGTTCCGGGCACCCCGCAATTCTTTCTAATCCAATTCCAACTCACCGCTCTTTGGTTGTAGCTTTCTCATGAAGCATAAAGTCTGCAGATGAGCCAACACCTCGCAATACCTGATGTACTGTAACAATTTAACTTGTGATGGCGGGGCTCTTTTGGAGTTTTCTGTTCTGTTTCACAGTCTCAGTTTCCTGCACCGCAGAAACCGTCGCCCCCGCTTCTCCCGTCCAACTTGTCTACCAGTATCAAGATGCGGTATGGGTCGAAAACTTCGCCGTGCGTCCGAACGGCTGGATTCTACCTGCTACCGCCACATCCGCTATCCTCACGCAGTTAAATCCTGCGAACGGACAACAGCAAACAATTCATGACTGGAGCGCGGTAGGAAGTTCCATCATGAGCATTACCGATATTCAGCCCGACCTGTTCTTAGCCAACACGATGTACTGCGACATGTCTCTTTTAGCTGTAGGAAACTCCCTTTCTCCTGTGCCACTGATATTACCACAACCAGCAAATCAAGCTGCGTGCCACGTGTGTCCGTCCCGATCGCAACGAGGCTGATAATCTTAACGTTCTAGTGTACGCCTGGAACTGGGATCACATGGCTGGTCGACCTACGAAACGCTGGTTCTCCATGCATTACACAGCTTGCTACAGGCCCTAACAATGCGAGTCTTTTGAACGGGGTTGCAACACTGAATGACCGGGTTGTGCTTATGGTAGATCAAAATCTTGGCGGCATTTGGGGAGTTGATGTTGTCCACGGTGGTGCTCAACTACTTTTCACCGACCCGAAAATGATGGATCCAAACTCAACAGGGAGCGGCGTCAACGGAATTCGCGTGGTAGGCAGCACCTTGTACTACAACAACCCCAGCATTGGGACTTTTGGTCGCGTGCAGGTCGACCCTTCCACTGGACACAAAGTCGGACCAGTGACAGTAATAAGCACTGGGCTTGATTGTGACGACTTCGAGATTGACGACCAACAACGGTTTGCCTATATTACCAATCAGCCTGATGAACTCCTCAAGATTGATTTGAAGACTGGCCTCTACACCGTTTTCGCCACCGGTATGCCGGGACCGACATCAGCCAGGTGGATCAGCAAAAGCGAACGCGGAAAAATTCTGTACGTAAGTACAAGCGGTGGCATCGACCAGTGGTTGGATGGAAATGTAACCCGAGGAGGGGCTGTCTATAAGGTGACTGTGAAGACATAGAAGAGTTGTCTAGTCGAGCAAGGAGAAAGGACGTACATAAGAAAGACGGTAGATAGCTCCTCGGCTGTAGACTAAGAAAAGCGTTGTCCTGGCAGAACCTGACTTCCGATGTACTAGGCTGTAGTAAAGATCCATTCAGGTCAAAATGTGATGGGCTATGTGAGGGTTTGGAAAGAGTTCTGCAACTAGCTAGTCAACCTAGTAACAAGAAGGTTAAATCTGAGGAGAGAGAGAAAGAAGGAAGAGAAGTCTCTCCTTCGGGAAGGGGGTTACCGATTATCCCTTTCCTACTGAGCCTTCTCCTGGGTTCAACCGATCACAGTAATCCAGTCCTGGAAGAGTGAAGAGCCCTTTGTGGTGATATGAGCCTCCGGTACTTTGATTTTCTTCATGTTGCATTGGCTACGTAATGCTTTAATCATTAATCTGAATAATTCTCCATTGTCTGTGGCCTCTATGCTGTATCTCGTGCAGAAGAGTACCTCTTCAATGACAAGTACGGTGGCGGCTAATGCTCAACCGCCAGTTGACCAAAAGGCGCCTCGTTTCTTGATCTGCCACGGTAGATCGAATCTAGCAGTTGTTGGGCGGGCATCAAACGATGCAAAAGAGTCACAACAAAAAGTTTCGAACTTGAGGCCAAGGCCCAGTTCTGCTTTGACCCAGTCGAAAGATAACAGGGATAAAAGGCAGCTCGAAACAAGCGTCCAACTCGGTAGTCGAGTAGAAGGATCTCGCCAACTTGCCGACGGTCGGACCTATGCTCTCTCAAGGCTTCAGCCGAGATATGGGCGACGGGGCATAGTCAGCCGAGACGGCGTGGTACGCTGTTAGCGAAGCTAACGGCGCTATAGCGGGATCTGGCGCATGGAGGGTCCCAAAAGGGTCCCCCTCGCCAGGGGCAGGGGGGACGGGACGATCGAAGATTACGAGGATGACCGAGACAAGGCAGAATTTGGATTGAAATGCAAGGAGTCCTGATACGGCACGGGATCAGATTCATACCGCGAAGCAGGGAGAAGAGAGTGCAGAGAGAAAAACAAGCTGAAAGGGAGGACGGTACTTTAGAGCCGTCAAAAGCGGCGGCACGCCCAGCCCGCGACCCATGCCCGAAACGGAGGACCGCCTAAACCGCAGGCGGATTTTCCGGCAACAACTTTACAAATTCAGAACTATGTCACTCGAGGAACTGTATTCGATCATGTCTCAGGCGGTGGCCTGGCATGGAGCATACCAATCTCGATCAATGTTTCCTATTTCCACTGCCCACAAAGACCTTCTTCAGCTTTTGCCAGGACAGGGTCCTTTTCCGGTGTCGACACTGCCCAAACAGCCTCGTAGTTACCGGTACTTTCTCCTCCTTTCGCAAAATCCCAAGCTCCGCCTTCCGGATATGCGCCAATCATTGTGAATCCAGAGAGTGGCAGCTCTTCCAAAGCACGCCTCACATCTTTAGCGGCAATGTGATGGCCATCACCGGGAGTGAGGAGCTTGAACTCGGCCGATGGCTCAGTATTAAATGTCTTGTGCGCAACACCGGCGGGTATGATAAAGACGTCACCAACATGTGCTTGAAGTTCGATTCCCCCGTCCTCTTTTCCGGAACCCTGAGTGCTCTCGTCAAGGTCGGGAACAGTGTCTGCCACGCCAAATCGGATAGTTGCAGTACCCGAGAGCACAGCCATGCATTCATGAGTTGCTGAATGGTAGTGTGATACTTGGGAAGGACCGTAACGAAATATCCACTGAACACGCCATCCGTTATCAGAGAATGCGTCGTAAGCTGCCGTTGCGATGGAGCCAGAGGAGAGCAGAATACCAGGGTAATGGAGGAGAGGGCGTGGCGAGTTCGGGATGAGTTCCGTAGGCGGCAGTTGGTATTTCCTGACTTCAACCATGATGGGGAGTAATTGAAACCACTTGACAATGAAATGCTCAAGGCTGACTTCTCCGATGGAAGTGATTTGAGGGAGGAAAGCGAAGGCGGAATTTATAGATTGTGGAGGCAGCCTTCGGGATGCAGGCCGACTTCAACGGTGTCAGCATTCTGCGCCACGGCTATCTTGACGACACTGGATAGGAGTCTGCGAGTTCTCCACCAGCCGCATGTAAGTACATTCCGAATGGTATCCGACTAGTCTTCCCCCAAGTCCCTAAGATCCTATGCAAGAAATCGCTTAACATTTTCAACCCTAGGTGTACTGTTAGCATTTCCCTCGAATGCCGCGGCGAACACAAGCTTACATTGCAAACGTCCCGGCGGAAGATAGCATCGTTCTCAATAAGGTGGGCCCGAGACCTCGGAAGAATGCTTTGACTCCTCCACTCTTCCATGCCTCTACTGTGGCTCCCCAGGCGTTCTTGTATCGACGATACTGGCCGAAGCCGTCGCTCTGCAGCTTGGTCTTCACCGTATCGAGTGGATAGCTCCCGACCCAGAAAGCTACACCAGACAAAGCACCACACGATGCAACAGTCCAGGTTGGCAATTTATCCCGTTTCATCTCTTTCGCAGTGGTAATCATGCTCACGCAAGCTTCGAAGGTGGCGAAATATAGTCCATATGCTTGGAATTCGCGTAGAACAGCCGTATTTTGCCCTCGAAATAGCCCCTTCACACCTGCAGTACCTGTTATCTGTCTTATGCAGTCCCATGGGCCGGCGTAGAGGCGAGATGGACCGTGTGCCTGCGTCTGAAGTCTGATTCTGATGTGTTCGACAGGACCGGACACTATGCTGTTCGCAACCCCAGCTATACCGCCAGCCAGGTATAGATCTAAGATGGATGGTTGCTGGATGACACGTCGAGAATCTCGCGCTCTCAGAGCGTATAAAGCCTGTATTGTGTTGTGAAAGACAGAGAATTGAATGCTCACTGCAGCTCCCACTCCTAGAAAAGGCAGTAAAGCCCCCTTAGAGACAATCAGTTATCCTGCTCTCAAAAGTACAATGATTGGGCCGATCACCTTGTAGAAGGCCAGCGGTCCTTCATCCTTGAGAATGCGGGACACGACCTGAAACACGTTACCCGATCCGTGAGTCTGCAGTTGCACTTTTATCAGATCTGGCTTGGAGATAGTGTTGTGAGTATTCCCATCGGCTACTCAGCATGTCATAGTTCGCAGATTCGCATCTCTCACCGAAAGGTTGACCTATTACACCAGAACAAAGTCAGCTACTGCCCAATTGTCGAAGAAGCCCCTTACCGAGAAGAACAGAGACAACACCCCCAGCAGCGCCAGCTATGGTATTAGTAGAAGTATCCCCAAAGCTTGCAGTTGGTGTTGGGGCTGTCATTTCGATTCGTGCTCGTAGGGTAGACTGAGTGCATCAGGGAAATATTTATCTGGGAAGGCAAGGACAACTATGATTCCTCCAGACAGTAAGAGCAACTCCCTCTATATTGTAAGGAGCAATTCTGGAGGCTTGAAGACCCCTTCAAGTCAAATGCTTGTTGGCCCACAGCGAAGATGGCTGTGCACATAAGGTGAACCAGTTTATGACCATTCAAAGGGCGTCCTTCATTAGGGCTGCAAGCTCGAGAAGACATAGGCGCAGAACAGGATCGAAAATGCCGGTCATACCTGGAATATCGACACAAGTTGAAGAGTCGTCGTTAAGAGGAACCGTTGTCGGGAAGGCTTCCGATCGGAAGGGCAACTGCAAAAGTCCATTCTTCCGGCGATCTATTTCTGAAACTTGCTCGAGCCGATAAGGAGATGTAGCAGGCCATACTGGACTTTGAAATAGCAGCCTTTCTAACGAAAAATATTCGAAAGACTAAGCCATCACCAAGAGCGAATTCTACCAAATACTATCATCAGAACGGAAAATGGGTATTGACAAGAATGAGACGGTCGCTATCCTTGGTGCCGGGGCCTGGGGCCTGTCAACTGCGCTGCATATGTTGAATGCAGGATACACAAATATCACAGTCTTTGATCAGTGCACCGAGATACCTTCGCCTTTTTCTGGGGCATACGATTTGAATAAGATTGTCCGAGCTGAGTACGAAGATAATTTCTACACTGAACTGGCGCTGGTAAGTTTTCACTGAGGACAGATCGATCATGCTTTCGCAAAAGATGACAACTAATACGGGGTCCAGGAGGCTATACGTGAATGGAAAACTCCTTTCTGGGGAGCTAACTTCCATCAAGTCGGCTATGTTCTCGCAACTTCAGGCGCTGCACCCGAGAAGGCAGTCAAACATCTACAGGATGCACTTCTGTCGGTCAAGGATCATCCTGTTTTTGCTCCAGGGATTACTATGCTCAATGAGCACGAAGATTTCAAGAATGTGTATTGGCAATTTTCCGGGCCTATGCGTGGCTTCAAGGGATACTTCAATCGTCTTGCCGGATATGCACATTCATCCAACGCTATGAGAGACATTCACCAGTACCTCGTCGGCAAAGGGGTCAAATTCGTGCTGGGGTCGAAAGAAGGAAAGGCGGTGAGGCTTCTATACAACGAAAACGAGACTCCTGCCGAGAGGCGATGCATAGGATTCCAGGCAGCGAATGGACAGATTCATCACGCCCGACGCACCATTGTATGTCTAGGAGCCTGGGCAGCCACCCTTCTCCCAAGCCTGGGTTCCTTTGTCGTTGCCAAATGTTGGTCAGTGGCTCACGTCCAACTCTCAGAACGAGAGTGTGACTACCTCCGAGGAATCCCCGTCCTCAATATTCGAGACCTAGGATTCTTCTTTGAGCCAGACCCAACCTCGAGGCTCCTCAAACTGTGTCCTCTCGGTGCAGGGTACATAAACTCAGACAAGGACACCTCGATATCACTACCGCCCACGGACTCACTGCAGTTACCGAAGGACTATATACCGTTCTCAGATGAGCAAAAGCTGAGAAGGTTGTTGAAACAGACGCTGCCATGGTTAGCAGAGCGCCCCTTTGTGGACAAGAAAATGTGCTGGTTTGCAGACACATCAGACTCAGAATACTGCATTGACTTCGTGCCAGGCACTGGAGACTCGCTGATCGTGATGTCGGGAGACTCAGGACATGGTTTCAAGATGATGCCAATTGTCGGTCACTGGGCCGTGAAGCTCCTGGAAGATGGACGGCAAGTCCTATCTCGGTGGCAATGGAAACAAAGCCAGGGGAGAGGGGGAAAGCAGTGGGGAGACGAGGTGAGTTGGAGAATTGGAACAACTGGAGAGATTGAAGACGTCTTCTCCGAGCACGAAAGAATGATCAAAGCACGCCTGTAGTCCTGTTGGGAATAGTTCCGTTCATACCACGGGGCTCCATTGCATGCAAACCAATTCCATCAGAGAATCTATGATGCCCTTGGTCTTTTCCGCCTCGCATTTCTCCGAGTTCCCCCACCCCCCGTAGAAGCTTGAAAGATAAGCTGTGGCAACGGAGATAATCCCGAGGACGCAAACAGGACCTTGACATGGAATTGGTATCGAGGATGGATGGGCACGCTACGGAAAGCGGTCCGGGGAAGTTCAAGAGCTCCCGGAGGCTTAGCCCGATAGCTGGAAGAGCAGCTTTGGGCCTCTGCGGTCCGAGGTCCGGGGCGGTTGTGTTTACTTCTTCTGGAAGAATGGAAGTCGGGTAATTCCTTTCCTGCTCCAGAATGTTGTAATTCCTCTGGTATGTTTCTATGTTGCATCGGAGGACCATTGTGCCATGGCACCCGGCAACCACCTCCGTCTACTGTCTGCCAAACTCCATTTGCTGCATGGGTTCCGAATATGCTGCAGCAAAGACCCTGCTGGATGTTGAACCTTCAGTGTCCAGGACAAGTTGCGATATGCTTTACATAGCCCAATGGGGCATATGAATACCATTGGTAGGAACAACTTGTGGACTAAATAGCCCTTCTCGATATGGCGCTTTACGGAATCTTTCGGTGCTGAAGCCGAGAATCTTGTCCATCCCTGGATATAAATTCACTCGAAATGCTAATAGGCAGCAGGGAGAACCCATCGGAGCTTTGCCTGGCATGGCTTCTCTTCGCTCAGATACCCTCCGTGTTTCAGTGAGCGTTCGACAGTCTCTGCGCATTGCTCGCGCCCAACGGAAATCTCATTCCTCTACTCACTCCCAAACAGTCATCAACCCTGGAGCTGTAAAGGAGTCCTCCAATACTGGATCGACAAACTCGGGTACTTTTGCGGCGCCTCCGCTGGCACGCCTTTCAGCCTCGAGCATCCTTCGCACCTTGCTATTGAGTGCCTTCTTCACCTCCCCGCTGCTCTTCAGGCCCGGATTTGCTTTGTTCCAGAAAATTGCTCATTCGCAATCGGCATGGCTGAATCCAGACCGGAATCCATTGCTTCGAGCTGGTATCCACCCCCTGATCTACAAGCAGTTCTGCGCTGGCAGGAATCGGACAGAAATTGAACAAACATCTTCCGAGATCAGACGACTGGGATTCTCTGGGGTGGTGTTGTGCTACGGTAAGGAAGTCCAAGTGGAGGGCGACAGGTTTGTCGGTCAGAATGAGAGACAAGCGTTGGAAATGGGGAAGGAAATCGACCAGTGGGCGGAAGGTAACCTTGCGACTTTGGAGATGACTGGACAGGGGGACTGGCTGGGGATCAAGTAAGTCTATGTGTCGATTTTCATTGGGCTGCATCAGGGAATGCCAACAGCGTCCAGATATAGTGGCGCCGGGACACATGTCACAAAAGCCCTGATGAAGGGTGAAAAGGCTCCAGTCAAGTTTGTCGAAGCCATGGAGAAAATTTGCCAACGTGCTGCTGCCAAAGACTGCCGTATATGGATCGATGCGGAGCAGCAAGCGTTGCAACCGAGCATCGACCAATGGACCTTCGATCTCATGCGTCGATACAATCGGCCCGGCCGTCAAGCCCTGATATACAACACAGTCCAGGCATACCTCAAATCCTCGCGAGACAAAGTACAAGACCAACTTCAGCTTGCGCGGAAGCAAGGCTGGCGGTTAGGCATCAAGCTAGTCCGTGGCGCTTACATTAACAATGATATCCGGGAGGCAATCCATGACACCAAGGCGGAGACAGATGCGTCGTACGATGGTATCGTCGAGGACCTCCTTTGTGGGAAGTTTCCGGCCATGACCCACCAAGAGTCGGTAGAACTTGACCTATTACTGGCAGGTCACAACGCCGACACAATTCGGAGGGCAGCTCGTCTGGCGTCCAAATTGGCCGCTCAGTCACAGTTGAAGGTGGTTCCGGAGTTCGGGCAGCTACAAGGGATGGCTGACGACATAGGGTGCGAGCTACTCCAGATGGCAGATGATATTAAGAGGGACAGTAGTCTGCCCCAGGCCAATACTTATATTCCCAAAGTATACAAGTGTCTGACCTGGGGCAGCATTCAGGAATGCATGCAATACTTGACACGCAGGCTCGTTGAAAATCGAGGTGCGGCCGACCGAATGAAAGTAGGTGCCGCTGAGTTTCGGAGAGAACTTCTGCGTAGGATAGGCATGAGGCTATCGAGATGAGAAAAACGAAGCTGAGAATACAAGATTAATGAACAACAGCTGTGCCATATTTTGTGCTGTAAAAATGTCCTGTGGACCTTAGCATGACATATCCATATCCGAGGTTCCGGATTCCCACGGCTCCTTCAATCCCGCACGCCTTCATTTTTCACAGTGATACTGGGCGAGTTTCGCGCATCAGCTATCGGTGGAAATTATTTCAAACAGAGACCCTGCATTGATGTTCATGGTTACGTCCTCATAGCGATGCCGAACCGGGCAGCCTCCTCCTGCCAAAAGTGTCGCCGAGTCCTTTCGGCCTCGACACCGCTGGGTCGACTGCTCTTTTTCACCGTCCCTGCCACAACCCACTTGGCATATGCTCGAGCTTGGAGATCTCGGAGAGAGCTGCTGCGACGGCGGCCGGATGTCTCCTCGTCGCTTTCGTGGCTATGATGGAGAAAAGCCATCGTTTAGAGCTATAAGTGTGTAGAGCTGGAATGTTGAGAGAGCGTGTGTGGCTGGTGTACAGGGCGCTTTTTGTTGAACTTGGTATTGTTATCGAGTGTTGTGTCGGGGAATACCGATAAAGAATGGTGGTAATCGCTTCACAAGCACTTATTTGAAAATGTGGTTTGGACTTCTGGTCTGAGGAAACGAGCCGTTGCAATTCACCGAGGGCAGCTTACAGTTATATAGACATATCTCACCCATTTTGTTTTCGGTGCCATGACATAGACAGAGCCTCGCAAACGCTGTTTGCACGCCGAGCCAGGGGGTTTGCCCTCGTTGAGGCTTTTTAGCTCCGACAAATGTCCATAGGAACCCTCCCCTCCTCTCTTAAACAGGTTGAAGGAGGATTTGCCGGCCGAAGGCAGCACCGCCTCAGTCAGCGCATATACTGGACAAAAAGAGACTAGCGCATCGCAACAGCTGCCGCATTGACTATCCGGCCTTGGCGCCCAGCGCAAATGGCTCACGGGGGGTCGGAAAAGAGTTTGGCCAGCCAGGCATTTGACGTCAGAGAGCCTGCGCAATTTCTTCCAAATACATAATGCGGAGCGGGTGCCCACAATACTTACATACGGACAAGATACGCGGCCGAGAGGCATATCTGGACTATACTTTTGTATCCTTGTATGCTCTGAGAAAACGTTGCGAGGATCGGATATCAATGGAGCGCCATCAGCCGCGGGTCGACAGAGTCGGATGGTCATATCATCCATCTTCCACGTGCATTGACAGTATATGCACAACGTTTCCATGCTTGTTGGGTATCACTATTTCTCTGTACAACGGTTGTCATGCCTTATTCCTCACCATACGCCAGGCCGTCGTCTTCTTCATCCTTCTTCGCCTCTGCCTGTCCTTTGTAGTCATACACGAGGCGGGCTCTTCGAAACTCGCCGCCTTTCCAGACCAGCACTCGCCGAGTGTATCGTCGCTCACCGTTGATGTCTTCAAACCCCCAGTTCTGTTCCGCCTGCCAGCCTGCGTCGTCCATATTCTTCACCCAGCTTTGAACGTGCTCGTCGTCCAGAAATTTGGAGTCAGTTTGACCGTCCTTGAGTTTGTGAGCCTGCAAGAACACAGCATCTTCTTCTGAACCCGGGCCTTCCATTTTGTATTCGCCTGTCTTCCAGAGCCTTGACTTGCCCCGACAGTTCCCAAATATACGATCATGGTGATCTCGCTCTTGCCAGTCCAGTGTGCGATTTTCTTGTGTCGTTGAGAGGCCCGAAGCCACAGACGTAATGTCGACGTGGTAGATGTCCTCTTGCTTGTATTCTTTGACGGTAAGCTGCATGAAGTCAGCCTCGACAATTATCCCCCCGCTGCCCCTCAACATACGACGACCGTAGCCAAGCTGATTGCGGTTCGAGTGAGCCAACTCAAGCCCTGGAGCGCGAGCATTGAATCGATGTCGTCCGAAAGGGTTTTGTTCTCATAAACTGTCAGATTGACTGGGAAACTTGGGAGCAAAGACATTCACCATGACGAACTTGCCCGAAAGGTTGGTGCAAGTGATCTCCGGCGGCGCAGCCATGCCTGTACAAGCTGACGACACAAGGTAGGGAATTCACGAAGGGGACGAAGCGGGGTTCTCGACTGGGCGACGTGGGAGTTCGACGATGCTGGGGGATATTCTTGGTCTATTGCTTGAATGTTTCAGAATGATGGAGAGATTCAGACCTGACGGGAGAAGAGGATGTTGCAGCGTGAAGGAAATCGATCACTGATTTGCCCGCCGCGGCGACTTCCCCTCACCAATTCAACCTCCGCAACAGAACCATCACACTCACTAGATTCAATCACTTTGTCACATCAATACAGCCTAGGAGAGAGTTGTGATGAAGCAACCTCGCAATCGTACACTGCCGTGTATCGTAAGTAATATCTTGATTTTGCCAGGCTTGCGAAGGCGAACACACCTCGCGACGCGTCCCTAGAAGGGCCAGACTTTGCCTCAGCTATTCTCCACCAACATCCCATCCACCCACCCCATTGATGGACATAGATCCATCTGGTTCTAGGTTGCAAGCTCCGCATCGTTGGTGACTTTGGTAGCTGAAAGTCTCCTCTGTTCGTCCAATTTTTAAGCCAGGCAGGTTCAGACCAGAGACAAAATTAGACTCACTCGTCGCATACGTGTATTCGGACAACTCCCTCCAAAGGTTTTGCTGGTCGCCGCTAGTCTTTGTCTATCTTCATTGACAGCGCATCCAATGCACGCTAGGATCTTGTGAATGCTGTAGAATAGGCGTCACGTTCCCAGGTTACACCCTCTGAGGCACGGGCAGGGTTCTTGTGCAGAGTGAAAAGTTGACTTCGCGGCTCGAGTCTTCCACTAATCCAAACAAGATAGAACACACGCCAATAGTCTACCTCTCCAAGAGCAGCTGAGTTCACGAGACACCCAAGAGGACTCCTCGAAAGAGCATGTCCGAAATTGATTTTGGAGAAGTAGCGGTACTGGAGTTCCGGTAGCCAAGGCGGAATGAGTTTGTTTGACGGAAGGCGTTCAACGTCACCGTCAATACTGTGCGCTCACTGTTGGTTGTGGCAGATGAGCAAGGGGGAATTCCAGAGACGTCCCGAATCAGAGAAAAGAGGAAACTGAAAGCTGGTAGACCGATGAGTTCCAGACACCCTCCTCCCTCGCCTCCCGTATTCAAAGCGTGGTCCAAAAGCGACAGAACGTCATGCGTGCACGGAGGGTTCAGCCTTAACCGCTGGAAAACTCCGCTGTCTTCAGTACTCTCACTTTTCCCGGCCTCGCACATTTCAACCATTACCATTCACCCCATTGGCGATTTTGCCTGTAATTCCCTCCTCGATTAAGTCCTTGTCGATATTCTCCCCCAAGTCTCTGTCCTCGAGAAACTCTCTGCCCTTCAACCTGTCAGGCAAATACTCCTGCTTGACCTTCCCATCCACATAATCCGGGTTGTATTTGTACTCCTTGCCGTACCCCAACTCTTTCATCAACCGCGTGGGCGCATTTCTCAGGTGAATCGGGACTGGTAGGCCTGCAATCCCGGGCTCTTCAAGAGCATGCATTGCATTCGCAAGCGCCCTGTACGCCCTGGTGGATTTGGGTGCCAGACACAACGCCACAGTGACGTGAGCAAGGTTGATTCTCGCCTCAGGCATACCGATTTTCTCACAAGCTGTATATGCCGCAGTTGCGAGCGGGAGCAGCGAATTGTCCGCCAGGCCGACGTCCTCGCTTGCGATCACAATCATCCGCCGCGCAATGTACAGCGGATCCTCCCCTGACTGGAGCATGCGTGCAAGATAGTACAATGCCGCGTTAGGGTCGGATCCGCGCACCGATTTGTGGAATGCGGATATGGTGTCGTAGTGTTGGTCGCCGGCTCGGTCATAGACAAGAGTCTTTGTGAGCGATTGTTTTAGATCTTCTAGAGTCATGTTGGGTCGGCGAGAGATGTCCATCGCCAACTCGAGGAGGTTGAGGGCCGTGCGTGCATCACCGTCTGCAAAGGCGGCGAGGTAGTTGATCAACTCGTCGTTTACGAGTTCGGAGGGATTGTAGTTGTCGCGTTCGGCTTCCAGCGCCCGGTGAAGGATGTCGCAAACATTCTGGTCGGTGAGTTTCTGCAAGGTAAACGTCCGACATCTCGACAGAAGAGCGTTCTGGACTTTAAAGCTGGGATTCTCGGTCGTGGCGCCGATCAGTGTGACATGTCCGGCCTCGACGGGACCGAGAAAGACATCTTGCTGGCTCTTGCTAAATCGATGAATCTCGTCGCAGAATATAATGGTCTTGCGGCCGGTGAGGGCCAGCTCACTTTTGGCTTCCGCGAATATCTTCTTACACTCCGCCACCCCGGAGGATGTGCTGTTAATTTCAACGAAGCGTGAGCCCACCATGCCAGCAATAACCCGCGCAATGGTCGTCTTGCCTGTGCCCGCGGCACCCCAGAGAATCATGCTGGGAACGCGGTCTTGTTCAATCAAGCCCCGTAGCACGCCGTCCCGGCCGACCAGGTCCTGTCCGCACACTTCATCAAGCGTTTTAGGGCGCATACGTTCTGCCAGCGGAGCAGCCTTTTCGAACGGATTGTGTTTGGGCTTTTTGGTTGGAGGTGCAACTGCTTCCGAGGCATTGTGAGATTGTCCCGCCTCCTCATTGCTTTCCGCCTTAAGCCCATTTGGAAGTTGCCCTGTCGAAGTGGTCTCGAATGGTCGTTTTACCGCGGCTACTGCTGCTGACGGGGACGGACGAGGATCGCTCGGGGAGGGCATGGGTTGGGAGGACGAAAAGAAGGAGAATGCATCGCGTTTGGCGACAGGTGTTTTGAAGAACTTGACCGCCCCAGGTGTAGATACACTGCTCTCATTCTCGATGTACTCTGTACAGTTGGAATCGATGTGGTCATTGATGGTGGTTTGTTTGACGGATTTGCCGCAGATCGGGCATGCCACCATCATGAGTACTTCATAGTTCAACCTATTGGTATCCAAAAAATCAAGCTCTGAGCTCACCGACAGATCGAGAAAAACCGAGTACGAAGTACTTGGAGTACATCAATAACGAAACCGCGTCACACGCGTTCAGTAAACCCCCGCCCGTGGCAAAGCTGGGCATCCCCTTTTCGTCATAGTCATAATTAAGTGCCCGATCGCCTCAGCCATTAGAAAACGAAAAGTGCAATTGAATTGGAAGTCAAGGACCGGAATCAAATCTGCACAGAAGTCGGCTTCATGCTATATGTGTAATATCGGTCTAGCGATAAGGCCGTATTAGACCCCTCTAACCATTGATATCAGGGCCATTCCCGAACCTTGTATTACAGTGTGGGTTGAATCAAGTCATGTACTTCTTCAAACCTCTCAATCGGTCCTTTGCGTCTTCCAAAACATCATCGTTCTTGCAGACGGCAAATCTCATCCAATCCTCCGCCAAGTGTGCCCTCTCGTCTGTATAGAACTCACTGGGTGGAATCGCTGCAACCCCTAATTCCATGATCAAAAACCACGACATCTTGAAATCCCGTGGTCGGTCTTTGACATGATCCGGAAATTTGTATCCTTCGGGAAGTTTGACCTTGGACAGGTTTGCGAGCACGAAATAGCCCCCTTCAGGAACAGAATAGGGGATACCCAGTTCATCAAAGATCTGGCAGAAGCGGTCCATTTTTCCCTTCATCTCCGTGATCTGTTGGTCCCAGAATCCAACTTTGTCCGCCTGTGCGAACCCAATCGCCGCAGCCTCTTGCAGGGGAGAGACGCTTGAGTAGCAGATTCTCGTATGTGCTGCGGCCACGTATTTGATCAGCTCTGGCGGGCCGATCAGGTAACCGACACGCCAACCCGTCGCATAGAAATTCTTCCCAGCGGATCCCACTGTGATGGTTATCTTGGCGAGTTCAGGGGACAGCGTGGCTATTCGTGTAAAAGGAACATAGTATAAACGGTCATACACCTCGTCTGACAGGATAATGACTTTATGTTTCAAGCATAGCTCGCCGATTTTTGTCAGCTCTTCCTTATTCAAGACTTTGCCGACCGGATTGTGAGGCGAGTTCAACACAATCATCTTTGTCTTGCAGTTGAATGCTTTTTCCAGCTCGTCAAAGTCGATGGTCCAGTTCGCTGCGGAGGAGGTTCTCTCCGCGCCGTCTGCGGGTGGGTGCATAGGGACATATCTGATGGTTCCGCCAGGCATCTCAATATTACTGAGATACTGGTCGAAAAAGGGTTCAAATATGATCACTTCGTCGCCCGGTTCGATGAAGCCCATGAATGCACTCAACATGCCTGTAACCAGTCAGCGATGATTCATCTCAGCGTCCCTTCATTCCTGCCTTCATTAGCCCCAGTTGTGATAGTGACTTCAGTTTCCGGATCCAACTTGCGCCCGAAATAAGGGGAGTATGCATCGGCAAGTGCCTTCTTCAACCTCGGTCTGCCCTTGGTGGGGGAATATTGATTGCATTCTACTCGATCAAGCGCACTCTTCGCGGCGTCAATGATGAACTGAGGAGGATTGTAACCACTGTGACCTACAGTTAGCCCTCAATCCTCCCCGCAACGGTAACAAGTGATCATGTCGGTATGTGTGTGTTTGCATACTCACAAAAACCCTTGGCCCATGTTCACGATTGGCTGCACGGGGGACGCAGCGGCGGCCTCATTGACGATAGACCAAACATCCTGCCTCTGCCCTGCGACGCGCTTCGCAGGCGCAAACTTGACGTCCATTCTGGGTGACGACGAGAAAACACGATGAGAAATATGCGAGCGGCTCGAAGGCGATGGTCCACCCGGTGCAGCGAGGCGATGCTCTACTCGAACGACCTGACGAGAGGCGGACCGGACTACTGCTGTGGTCGTTACGAAGTTGAGGGTCATGGGGCCTGGGACACACCACAAGACCTAGATCAAACAGCGCAGAGAAATTTCGGAGAGTGCGAGTTTGGGGGGCCAACAGTCATACAAGTAGAGTGTGAGAAGCAGTTGGATTGACCAGTAAGAGGGGCTGGAAATGATTGCGAGATCGGACAATAATATGGGCAAGCACCACCTCCGACCACCAACCTCTTAATGCCACTACGTTCGGCGGCTGTCCCACGACTCGGTAATCGAGGTACTACTCTTCCCCTCTTCTTGTGTTGTAAACGCCGTTCCGTTCCAAATAATAGCCTCCTTGTTTTTAGACGCACTGGTGGCTCTGGCCATCAAATGTACCGCTCTGATACGCCAGACCGCGACATTTTTCAAGACTTGGTTTCGGTAGATGCCCGATTGATTGTATTGCCTCAGCCAAACAACGACGCTTCCGTCGAGAGGACTAGGCACACAGCTCGGGTCACATTAACTGATCAGGCTGTAGCTAAAGTTCAGAAGAAAGTCTTAAGGGGGGGTTGATAAGGTCTTTTATTCATTTGATTCTGGTCGTCAAGAAGGTCGTGTCAAGTCAAAAGCAATACCCAAACACTTTTGACGCCGTGTACATATGCACCTAGTCCGTCGGACTGTGTTCATGCCCAATCTATACGGGCATATATCCCATCACCCAGTATATGACTGTACAACTTTCCGGGCCACCGCGCTTCTCCCTTATGCGTACCGAGCACTTTGTCCTCGCTGGGGATAGCCATCCCACCCGCCGTAAGCAGGCGGTGGCTGAGGAGGATACCAGCCCTGCGGGGAGGTCATTTGTACAGGCGATGGTTCCCATCCACCACCATATCCACGATCTCTCATCTGTGGAGGAATTTGAGGTCCATCCCAACCTCCACGCTGAGCTGGCTGGACTCCACGTCTGTGCCGACGTTGCCCGGGAACAATACCATCCAATTTCTGGCCTCGCGGCCGTCGACATGCCCTGATGCAGCATCCGAGAATAGCAAGCAGCAGGAGGCCTCCAAGCGCACTGGCGAGAGCAATGACCAGAGTTTTGTTATCGTCGATCCATGACTTGACTTCGCCTCCGATGGTGCTCCCTTTGCACACACCATTCTCGCATCGCCCCCCGCCGCCACACGGAGTACCATCCAGGAAGTTTTGTTGCATGCTGTAACAGACGTTGGGTCCAAAGTCTGGACTGGCACAGCTCAGAGTACAGGTTTGACTGTTGCATGCATAAGTGTCATTGTCGCTCGTATAGCTGCCCATTAGAGTTTTGCACTGAAGGTCTCGACTCGTGCATTGGCCACTAGCACACTTGAGGCCATTGCCACAGTCGGATCCGTCGGGCGCCGTGGTGTCTGCCGGGCATGTTCCATTAGTGCCAGAGCATGTTTCAGCAGGATCACATTGCCCTGTGCTAGCACGACAGACGGTCCCCGTCGAAGCAAACTGGCAAGTCGACGTACAACAACCTTCGTTGCTGGGGTCACAGACAGCGCCTGTATTGAACTTGCAAGTTGTGGGGTTGCAGCAGCTGTTCCCGGCACAAGATTCAGTGCCGCCACAATCACAGTCTTCGCCCTCCTCGACAATTCCATTGCCGCACTGGTTACCGCTAATCGTGACGACGCCTTTATTATCAGTAAGGCATTGCGACTGAACAGAGTTGCGGCCCAGCGCGCTGCAAATGTTTCCGACTGAGCAGGGCGAGAATTTGGTGATGTCTGACGAAGAGTAAGGATTCATCATGTATTGAGCATTTGCATCGCACGTGGTGGAGGAGAGCGGGCAACACTGGCCAGAATTGACAATGTTGGAGTCGGCACAAGTGCTGGAATCGCAGTCGTGGACAGCTCCGAAAGTATGACCACTCTCGTGCGCAAATACTTGCCACTCAGTCGAGGTCTTCGCGATAACGTTTGCGCCGGTGACGCTTTGAGAGTTGCCGCTAGTGTCTGTCTGTGAAGTAGAGCCGTGGTTGCACAACTGTCCAAGCCACGCCAGGCCGACTTCAGCTCCAGTGTTGCAAGTGGTGAAGAGAGACCAGTAAGCGTTGTCATCCCCTCGCTGGCCACGCCATGACGAGAACAGGTTGAGCCGTTGTGTTATATCGGTGCTGCTTGAGCAACCTACGTTCCACGGCGTCTGAGTGCTTGCCGTCCCTGGACATTCGCCATCGGAAACGGTCAGGTTGCGGAGGCCGAGGGTGATGTTGAAAGTTGATTGGTATAGCTCAGAAGCAGTATTGACCAGGCTGATGATATATTGTCGCAAGCTATCGGTTGAGTTGAAACTCGCGGTATACGTACAGTCGGAAGCGACGCCGACCAAGGCCACTTTGCGAGTGGTTGGGCAACCAGCGGTGCTGCCAATGGTGGATGCCAGATTAACACCAGCTGAATTGCCTGAGCCCACTCCGCCGCCATCAATATTACTCTGTCGCTTTTCGAACATATTGGAAATGGACATGGCGCCCATGTCTCCCCAGAAGCCGTCATCACGTTTAAGCATCAAGTCACGATAGATGGGATGATCGGGATGGGTGTTGAACTCCAACTTGTCAGAGGCGCATGTCAGATCCACGCTTCGTTTGAGCTCCGTATGAGACTGGCGGCTGACGTCCGAGTCACGCCAGACAGCCATATACTCATCATCATCTTCTTCCAGTACGGGATCGAGTTCGTGTCGGGTAGCCATATAGTTGGACTTCAATTGAACATTGTGGTGATTGCCCATGACGGTGAAAGCGCCCTCAAAGAGAGGTTTGATTCCATCCCGCCTTACAGCAATTCGAGCCCATCCCACATGTCGATTTACTCCGTCGTCATCGACAAGAAATGCCTTTCCCTGGTAGATCTTGTGTTCCTCCCGCTGCATCTTTTCGACATGTCTGACATTGCCATACTTGTCAACAAATTCAATGTATGAATCTTCATGGATGATGTCTTGGTTGGGTTCCAGGTTCAGTCGAACATGCTGGGTGTTGTGATGGAGATCGAAAGTCAAGTCGAAAGTGGATGTACAGTGTACCCTTTGTGACGGCGTTTGTATCCAAGGGTTTTCAATTAATGATAGGTAGTTTAACGGATTCCTGGATTGAGAGTGTCCATCGACGGTGCTCGCGAGCGATAGCAATAAGCATGCTGCAACACCCGCGGCCAGATTTTGAAGAAGGCGCATCTTGCGCTTATGGAAGATTAGAAGGTGAGGCTGGAGGTGAGATTGCGCAGGTTGCGGAGGGTGTCTCGATTACGCTCGATTCAATTGCATTGGAAGCACAATCAGGCTGTCGAGGTCGAAATGCCCAGATAAGCAAAGAGGGTCCGATCAGTCAGCGAAAGAATTTCGTCTTGCTGCTGTTGTTGTTGCTGTACACAAAATGGAAATGAGGAGGCAGGGTGGAGGTGTTGGAGCGCAGGTAGAGTTGCTGCTGTGTTTTATGCTAGCGAAGGGCAGAAGGAACTTATAACAGACTGTGTACTGTACACAGAAGATAGGTAGAACGACGGATGTAGAGCGAGGAAGAACGAATGTAGTTGTCGTATGCCCAGACGGGTGATGCGGACGAAGGTGCAGTGGTCTTGAGGATGGGATGGGCGGCGGTAGTATGGGTAGAGAAGTGCAACAAGGAGAAGGCGTCACCTAGCAGTGGGCTGCGGCTGGCGTCGGTGGGCGCAGCCACCCAAAACCCAAGTGACCGGGGTCCTGGGGAACGCCCTACCTACTGTAGCCAATATGACGAGTCGCCAAGGAGCCGCTAAGAAGCCGCTGGCTAGTGCAAAGACGCCGAGGATTATCACTGCCACGGTCAGCAAAACTCCGACCGCTCAACACTGCACGTCTACCACGCACATATCTTGGTGAGAAGAGACCTCGATCCATTCGAACCAGTACTGGCCCGCCAATTTGTATTGTAGTGCATAGAGATAGTTCGGAGCATAACTACACTGCTATTCAACGTGGCACCGGCGGCTCGAACGTGGTTATGCTATCACAAGAGATAGATGCCTAGACTTCAGCCACGACAGTATCTACGTTTTTAGCGATCGTGCGGATTGCCTAGATACTAGCAGCTGCGAACTACTCGGTACATGGGACATCACTCCGTACATGATCTCGGATATCGGCATTTCTGTTTCGCCCTTGCTGCCAGTGCCGCCAAAACACCTCTGATACACACTAGAAACCCTCGGTATGAACACAGATCGACGGTGGATCCTCACGAGCTCCTCTTCCTTTTGACACTTCCGAGAAGTTCGTTGTATCGAATTTATCTCCAAGCCTATAGTCGCAGAGCATCGTTCCCTTTTTGCTTCTTGAGAACTCCGTTCACTCAAACGAACGCTGAAAACTGAATATATTCAGCGGTCTGTATCTTTATCAAGCCTCGGTTTCGACGCCAGGCTCTCTTCCACCAAGCCCGCCTGTGAACCGCTTCTTGATTTTGCTCATTCCAATCTTTGCTTCATCTTTGGCAAACTTGACGTTTCTCGCGGGTGTCCATTGTGACAGACCTCGATGCTTGCGCTCTTCCGATCGTTTTCCAGCCTTCTTCTCGAAACCACTGTCTCTCTTCTGCACGGGCTGGACGGAGTTTGTCGAGGCTTCGGTCATGGTCGTGTAGCCGGTTTCGCCTGTCGCCATGGTATCAGCACTCGGTCGCCCATTAACGTCCTCAGTATGCCCGTTTGGGCCATCGAGGCCATCGACATGCTTGGGGTCTTTGTTGAATGCCCCCTCCGGAACGTTGGTGGCATCAGTGATGCCTAGATCTGACGAATCATCATCGATCGGCTCAGCGTCGTCATCATCGTTATCTGAGGGATTATATGGATCGTGGGGAGGCTCATCAACACCGGGCTCGGCAATCTTTTCATGAGTTTTGTTGGTATATGCCCTCGGATCATGACTGAATGCCCCAGACCAGTCTTCGCCGGTCTTGCTGAGCCATTTGCGCTTCTCTTTCTCCGATGCTTCTTGGGTGAGGATGTCGCGACCCTCTTTCAGGGAGGCGTCGTGCAATTCCTGGATGTTCTCTGGCACTTCGCCTTGTACAACTCGCTCACGCACGCCTTCGGTCAAGCAAGCCTCGAATGTCTCATACGTCTCTCGGCTATTGTTGTCCACAATGAAGTCTCGGTGCGACTCGTCCATGCCGGCCTTAAATCGACCTCGGAACTGAAGGCGGCCAACCTCCTTCAAGTCCTCCAAGCCTTTTTCCATAAACGCCTTGACGTTCTCTTCAGTAATGTAATTTTGGACGAGCCGGTTACCATTCTTGGTAGTCCAAATGGGAATATCGATTGCTGTCTCTTCGTTGTCAACCAAATTCTGAAGCAAGATGAAGCGTACGCCGCCGCTCCACGTTTACCTGTCACGTGGAACTCGAAAATCACGGGCGATCGGTATCGGTACTTGACAGGAAGACGGACATGGTTGTTGTTCTCACTAGAAACATCGAAGTAAACACCATCACCCCCTTCGTTGTTGTGGCATTGTGTCCGAGGGATTTTGCCGACACTGCCGCCTGTACGGAGTTTAAGCTTGGAGTTTGCATTCCAACCCGTGGCCACGATTCTGTCTGAAATGAATTCGAAGGTGCCAACATCCCAACCCAGCATGTTGGGAGGAAGTCGGGTCTCCACACTTCGGAAGAGCAGCGAAATCCTGATCCGGCCGAATCCAATACCCCCGTCCAGAGGGTACCACCTGGTCACTTGGGAGCTCGTGGTGAGGATGTCTGATAAGCGAAGGGGCACAACACCTAAGATAGGGTCGTGCTCTCGGTTGCGCTGATCACGAACGGTGATTGTGACTATCCCAGACCTCCAGTCACGCATAAAGCGCTCCGTGCCAGCGTTGAAGATGGGTTTGCTGCTGACAGCCTTTGCTCGAGTGCGGTAAACTAGTGTGTCATTAAACAGAATGGTACAGTAAGAGGTTGGGAGTTCTAAGCAATCAGTCAGTGCAGGAAGAGGACAAACGGGACATGGGAACTCACTGATGCTCTCTTCCTCGGTACTCTCACCGTAGGGCTTGGCGGGCTCAAACTCTTTACCTTTCCGATTGCCATCACTCCCTTTGATGTTCTCGAGTTCGAGGCTGACAATTTGGTGGATGATAACGCTACAGATGCCGCTAGGCCACAACGGATCAGGAGGAGTATGTGCCACGGCATCTGCGTCTTCGGAGTCAATGACACCCTTCTCATCTTGGAGCCTCTCGTCATGCTGGAGCCCCTCTGGAAGGTTCTTGTCCTTGCCGTCGGTGCGAAGAGCAGGTCGAAACTTGGGCTTGCCAAAATAGCCTACTTCCCAGTGCAGCTCACCCGGCATCTCGCTTCCTTGCTGAGTGCCGGCGAGTTTTGAGATCTGAGGATACATTTTACCTGGATGCTGAATCATTTTCTGCATCGACAACTCGACTTTGCCCACCATGTCATCTGAAGAGTTGCGGTCTGAGTCCCACAATTCGACGCTTAGTTGTTCATCGGCCTTGATGAGCTCAGGGGTGACAAGAAGAGCGGCAGTTTCTTCCCAGACAGGGTTGAGGTCGTCCGTGATGACACGAGTGCAATACATTGGCTTTCCATATTTGGAGAAGGACAGATTGATATAGGGGTCGCTTCCACCATATTTGCTACCACGGCGATCTTGCTTGCTGAGGCCGATGGCGCGATGGATCCGAATCCACATTACTCCCATGGCCTGTGTGTCTTTGGTGATATCGTCTCCTTGCAGCATGGACTTAAGGTCGAGCTGCATCGACTTTGGAGCAACATACATGCTTGCCGCTGCGCCGATCGCGTAGTTGACGAAGTTTGATATCAATGGCAGGTTGAGGATATTAACCCCTTTCTGTACCATCGGAATGCAGCCTGCCTGCACATGGGGAACGCCCATGAGAGTAAAGGTAAGACTCTTTGCGAAAGGTGGCTCAGGAGTCATCTGCAGTCGCAAGCGCACGGTTCCAACAAGCTCTTGAAGCTCAACAAAGATTGGTAGAGGGACCCCAATGAGGCCCTTGATACCGAGATAGAAGACAAGGTTCATATGCATGTTCCTTGCTCTTGAAGCCGCAGAAGCACGATCACCGGCGGGTTTGGCGTGATATGCAAAAGCAATTTCGAGGTTGTAGTAGTCACCACCTTCCTCGTCCGCTGCAGCTTCTTGTGGGTCTTTCGTCTTTTTATTTTCTTCATGGATGCTCTGCTTGAGCTCGTGCATCTTCGAGTCAGGCAGAGCTCGCAAACTGAGAATTCGAATAGGGTTGCTGCCTTGATCGATCTCGGCCACTCTGACATTGTTGATGACAGCAGGAACAGATGCTTGCATGACATCTTCCAGAGTATCTGCCACAGCAGCAAACATATCCGGGTTGATCAAGCCCCAAACAACGCCCAGAAAGGTGTTCATCCATTCGACTGACTCAGGGAGAAGGTTTGCCACAGCCTGTCAACATTAGCTTTGGGATGCGTAAAGCTGGCGGACGGGTACGAAATCTCACCGTTTGCCCCCTGCTCTGCTCACTGCTCCATTCCACCTCACGGCCACTTCGTACAACTTCTTTCATCCACAACCAGACGGCGGAGGAGACGCACATCCCTAGTGGAATCAATCCCTTGAGAGAGCCACCAAACATCTTGCCAAAGATGACAATGGAGATGAGAATGGCAATGCACAGCCCACCGGCACGATTCTCAAGAAGCTCAAACATCGGCTCATAGCTGACCGAAGGGGTGGGGTGGAACAGGATATTGGTCTTTTCTCCATGAATGGGAACGTCAGAAGTGCTGCCTTCAGCGATCGGGTCTGGAGGGGCAGTGATGTCCTGCTTTTCCTTATACTCGGGATTCTTCTGAGTAGGATCCGTCGCTACTGTGGTAGGTTTGCCCAGGTTTGCGTTTGGCACCGAGAGCTGATCAAAAGTCAATTGATATCGGCTTGATCAATGGAAATTGCACTCATACCTGGGGATTGTCGGCCCTTTTCATGTACTCCTTCCCAACATCTGCAATGACCACTTGATTACCGGTGACTGGATCTGTCACAGTCTGGCCACCTTTCTTTTGTTTTTCATTTTTGTGCGGAGTAACTTCAGCAGAATATTGTTGGGCCTCTTCGGAAAGCTTCTGTGCATTGATAGCCTTGTCTCTTTCAGTTTTGCCCTTGTCAAGATTTGCAACAAACTCCTTGATGTTGGGGATGCGATTTGTGCCGCTCCAGGGCTTCCCGGACTTCTGTTGCTGAGCTTCCATGATCGTCCCTAGGAAGAGGGGCTCGCCCCCAGTGGCAGGGTGGTTGTGCCCGGGGTCAAGGAGATCCAAAGGCTGCGGAGAAGGTTAAGTGGGAGGCAGTTCTGGCGAGAAGCTCCTGAAGACGAGGAAGGGAGTGAGTATGGGAGAAGTAAAGAAAAGTAGTGAGAATAAGATGGTGAGCAGCCCAGCACGGGACAGACTGTTCCATCTTGAATTTCATAGTTGGCTGGGAGTATGATGTCTACTCCCAATCTGCCAATGTGCTGTGACGTAACCACACTACCTCTCGCAAGCTGTCACCCTTGACTGAGGGGGGAAAGGATGCGGGTAACAAAGGCGTGTGTGGCTTGCCTCAAGCCTGAAGATGAGCCAACAACGTGTCGATGCTGGGCATGTCTGGGGCTCACTAGGCTCCAGCGGGGCCTACGGGGCCTTACTTAGGCGAAAGCTCGTCGCTTAGCTGGCGATCAAGATCCAAACTGCACACGCCATCGTCAGCCAACACCCAAAAATCATGGAACTTGCATCAAGCTAAGCAGCTTCAATCCGGAATCGGCTGACAGGAAGAGAGGCTGAGGGCGTCGGTCCCGTTCACATGTCTATGGATTTGAGTCTATCTCGATCTGCGTGCCTACGTGCCTACGTACCTACGCCACACAATGTTATCATCATCTGCTCATCCCTTTGCTACTCTTAATGAGTCGTTCTCATTACTGACACCACCACTGTTTGTTCAAGCGTCTCCATCACGCTCTCGCCCATACCTTAGTTCCCCTGATCCAAGTCTCCAAAACAGTTCCCTCTTCGTCCAGAATTGCAAAATCAGCACGTCGGCCAGGTTCGAGCCTCCCTCTCTTGCTCTCGCCCATCATATCTGCAACGTTTTCGGTGACACACTGTACAGCTTCGGCGAGATTACAACCGGTGAATGCCATAGCATTCCGGATGCACTCGTCCAGCGTACAGCAGCTGCCGATCAATGTATCTGTGCCTTCAATGGTCACTCTGTTGCCTTGCTTAACCTGTCGCAGTGGAATCTGCCCGTGTCCACTGTACACCCCATCCGGTAGGCCAGCGAGTTCGATGCTGTCCGTTATGAAGATGCATTTCCTCGGATCGGTGCGCAGGCAAAGAGTTACCACCGAAGGGTGCAGGTGTATTCCATCTGGAATGATCGAGTAATAGCACTTGCCAGTGCTCATCAGCCCAGCAAGCCCCGGTGTGCGATGGTGAAGAGGCAGCATTGCGTTAAAGACATGTGTTAACGCACGGGCACCCATTCGCAGAGCTGCAAGGCCCTCCTCGTAAGTGGCGGCCGAATGCCCTAGAGAGATGACAACGTGAGGGTATTCTTCTTGCAGCTGGCCCACCAGTGAAGTTGATCCGGCCAGTTCTGGTGCCAGTGTGACCAGCTTGATAGCATCCTTGAGATTGCCCTCACCATACAGGATAGTCGGAGATGTTTTCGCCGGTTCTTGGAGGTAGGCGGCATTATGTGCTCCCCGCTTCGAGGCGTTGAGATACGGCCCCTCGACATGTACACCCAGTAAGTCGGCACCGTAGTCAAATTGTCGTGGTCTCAGCACTGGTACTATCTGTTGGGAGCATTCAGTATATTAGAGGAAATGGTTGACCAAATCTTCCATGTCCTGTCGTGAACAGAAGATGCGTGAGGTCGTCGGGCACAGGATAGAATAAGCGAGTTCATGCCTACCTGCTTCCACCGTTCCTTATCCACCGTAGGCACAGTCGCCCACCAGCCTGTCACTCCGTGACGGACTTCCATCTCACTGACGTCTTTTAACTTGTGTTCATCGTCCCCGGGAGCACCCAGGGACAGCTCGGTGAAATGGACACCCTTCATGCCGTTTGTCTGCAGGTCCAAAAACCCTGGCGCAACTATTTTACCATCCAGATCTATCCTCTCCACGCCTTCCTGTCGAAAGTAGTAGTTAGGCGTGATGATTCCTTGCTCGGCGTCAAGGTAAAGATCTTGCGCCACCAATTCTCCCGACATGCAAAGCAGGCAGTTGGTGAAACATTTCAGTGACCGGTCCATTGTGGGCGGAGGCTTCGGCAGTGGAAAGACAAGCTGGACCAGATCGGCATGGACTATGGACTAACAAGAGGAAGGTGACAGTGCTCAATATTGACAAAATTCGAGGAGTTCTTTGGACTCGTATAGATCAAATGGCTGAAGTGTCTTGTCCGCCCACCCGCGCGGCCGTTTTCGCAGAGGCGCTAAAAGCGAGTGGTGGATTCGTCGTCTATCTCTCACCAAATCACCTCAGGCTATATATATTTCAAGCTGGGAGTACTTTGATCGTCACTTCGTAATGAGGTTATTTTGAGATGTACATGTTCAGCCAACTACACAATCAGTTCCACTATTGACCTCTTCCTCTCCCCTGGCCACATCGGCATCTGGGGATCTTCTCGGCTCCTCCGTTGAGGGCTTCGGATCTTCTTTGGCTTCTTTAGACTCTTTCCCCGACCTTGCTGGGTTGGATATCGATGGATCTATAGTCCATTCCCATCTCCTTCGCTTCCGCTTTGATCTTGGAGTTGATGCGCTTTGAGGTCTTTCTGTCCTGCCTTGTTCCAGGTCAGAGAAAGACGAAAGAGATACTGCAGTAGACTTCCGCTTTCTTTTCTTACGCGGCGAGACCTCATCCACGCGAATTCCTCGGGCCTTGTCGCCGTCATCGCCGTCGTCGTCCGTGGAAGTTCCACTTTGGTCTTCACTCTCGGATGGAAGAGATTCGTCATCGGACGAACTTAGGTCTGCATGGCGCATGATGTAATTATTTGTGACAATTTCTTCTTCCAACTCTGCCCGAAAAGCTACCTTCTTGGGCGCTGGGAAAAACACTCGTCGACCGGCCACCCGTGGACTTGCGCTGGCAGAAGGCCGGCGGATATCCCGAGGCAGTGGACCATTCTTCAATATCGAATGAATGCCAAATGGCAGATTTAAGACGTAAGGATGTTCTGAATTTTTCAAAATTGGTGAGGTTGGGTGTGCGCTTCCTCTTGCTTGCGAATGTGATCCGGGTGATGGAAGAGTTGTCACTGGTGATGGTCTGTAGGCAAGATCGAATGTATTGTTGAATGTGTTCAAGGTCGTCGGCGTCGCAGTAGCGCCCATATTGACGCCGTTCTGACGACTGGTCGAGCCGTGAAATGTAGGGGCGAGATCAGAAGTCCTGAGTGACAGTTTCGGCTTTTTCCCCGGCGAGGAAGGATGGTGCGGCCGGACATTTTCTGTCGAAAACATCGATATTGAAGAAACCGGGTCGAGGCGAGATAGAAGATGTGGCATCGACGGAGCCATGGATATGGCAAGCATTTTGCTTTCTGCGGGAGCCGGTGACAATGCTGAAGGCTCACTCATCAAATCAAGAAAGTGGTCTTTTCAACTCCAGCTGAAATGTTCGTGTGCGCCCGTAGTTCTTATGGCCGGGCCAAGTGGGTAAGAGAAATCTACCAAGAGGGGTTTTATTCGAGATTTAGGATGGTTGGCGGTGGTGGTGGTGCATAAGCACGTAAAGGGGTGAGCACGACTCGAAATCGTCAGAGCCACCTTATTAGAATCTTTGATCACTGAGTCGTACCGGTTGAACAGGAAGCGTAATCAGGACACCCATGAGCCTCACATAAGCACCCTGGCACGTATCAAACGAATATAGGCAGCACCGTTTCAAGGAGAGAAAAAGAACGCAGGTCTTCGGGCATGGGCAGCTGATATGGCTGGGCGTGGGAAGGGCCCCGAGGTGGTGAGTACCCACCGCGTCATCCGAGCGAGTACGAGGAATAGCCCACGAGATAAGATGCACCCATATTTGCCGCCCTTGCCCAGCTAAGCAAACCTGTGCTGGCAAATCCTGGAGTATTTGGGATCTTTTCCTGCTCGTTCAGGCACCGAGCGGACCTGGAGTCCTTTCCAGACTCCGTTGACCAGTTCGGCGGTTAGGCGGGTCTTGGTGGGAACGGAGAAACAGGTGTGGCTTGATTGTTGGGCCGGAGGAAGAGCTGGGGAAAGGATAGGGCTCGTGCTCCAGGTGCGTACGTTAGCTTGCCAGGACGGGCGCTTCTTCTTGGCCATGGAGCAGGATTCAGGAACGGTGCTAGGATGATGCTAGAGGAGATCAGGCAAAACGTGGCCTCGATCGCATATCCGCAGCCGCTCGACTCTATTTTCGGCATCGAACTGCCCGAAGTAGCGGGGATGGGCAAAAGGCCAGCGAGGCCAGATTGGGCGGGCGGAGTGATACTATTGGGAGAATTTGGGGCCAGGCCAGGGCAACACGGCCAGATGAACGGGTGATGGGATTCAGGAATAGGCGAGAGAAGGAGTTGGGTTGAAAATAGACGACCCCAGTTAGGTGCCAGTCAGCACCTCGCAACTTTGGTCCTTCCTGGTGCCAAGTGGTTCTATCCACAGCGCCCAATGCGTTTTGGCCGGACAATAGTGGCTCCGATTCCGAGATCAATGGTGGCGGAATTGGGCAGCATGTCGGCGTCTCCTTACGCTGTGTTCTGGACAGCTGAGCCACTGAATCCACACATAATATTGCATAGGCAGCGTCCTGCGTACTCGTAGGACTCCCAATAAAAACCTAATCTAGTTTGTTTGGGTCAGCTGGATGCTGATGGGTCTTGCATCTAATTGCTTAATTCGTGATACCTCCAATGGGCTGCCAATGCGAATGCCGGAATGGTGTTTTCACAGATCTCGCACCGTTCCAATGGCTGGCTCTCGCCATCTTCCGAATTCCAGCCATCCTCTACCGATATGTCAGTATCAGTCTCTGTCCTCGATGCGGCGGGAGACTGAGCAGCTGGAGAATTCGGAATGGCCGATTCAAAGTGATCGGCTTCTTGTGAGTGGATAGTTACTCGGAAGTCCTTGAGCACTTCGTCCTGTCGCCGAAACATTCTTCCAATATCTCGCCCTTGGCTCTCTTTTGTTTCCGCTGCTGTCTCTGCCATGTTCGTAGCTGCAACATTGATCAAGCTGAGATTCCAGCTGCTCTGTTCATGATGCAGTTTTCGGAACATAGGAACTAGTGCTTCCTCGACCAGACGGTCGGCCAGGGTAAAGGACGTCTCACTCAGGCTGAAGACGAAGTTCGGCATAGGTCCTGATCGAGAAGTGCGCTGTAATATCCTTGCTCGTACTCCATCCGGGCCCGGGAGTGGACGAGGTCTTGTAGAGAGTCGCAGAGTTCGCGGATGTGCCATCCAGCGACGCCGCATATTTTCACTTTCACCTCTTCCGTCATCGTCGTCGTCGTCGTCCTCTAATAAATCCATCCGCATGCGTCGAATCAGTCTTTCACTCAAGATGTGGAGCTGCTTCCGGACTTCTTCGAAAGTGTGTAGGTACTTCAAGTACGAATCCTCCTGGCTTATCTGCGAGGGGATGCGCTTCACCTTCGCCACCTCTGAGTGATCAGCACCATGAATCAGATCCCACATCCTTCCACCAATGCCTTTAAACGAGCCTGGACCAGCCAAGATATCATCGAGCAGCTTGGGGCTCATACCAGGAAAGGAGCGAACGTCGTGAACAGTCACTGACTCTTTGGTGCCACCGTACACTAGACCTTCAGAAAAAGCCGCATCTCGACCAAGTACATGGGCGCGGATCTTCTGGGCCAGCTTGGATCCGATGCCGGGGATCTTTCCTATGTCATGGTCATCAAGGAACCGGGTAACATTGCTTTCAGCGCTGCCACTTGGCTCACAAGGTGGCAAAATTGTTGTTTGATTTTTGGGTTTATTGACATTCCCAGCCAACTTGGCCAATAGCTTGTTCATCGCGATTCCCACCGTGGATGTATATCCTTTCTGAGACTCCAACTCGTGTCGAAGATGCCTTGCCAGATGACTCCCAAGCACAAGGCGCAGTCGTAGCTGTTCATCCTCGGATGAGAGCTGGGCAGATGGAGACGGACTCGACGGATAAGTAGGACCATAGACGCTGGAAGCGTCATATACGAAGCCAACAGTAGGGTCGTCTCGGTTCATGCAGAAGAAGGAATGAGAAAGATCATTATGATTGAGCAAATCCATGTTGTAGTCGATCATGTCCGTGCAATCGAGCCTGCAGCGATGTCAGCATGGTACGGAGCTTTGGTGACTCGCACATACCAGACTTCATCAAACCCAAGTCGCTCTGCCCTCCCGCTCCAGATGGACTGCTGGAGGAAATGGTACAGATCCTTGGATGCATCACGAAACCGAGTCAAGTCCTCACCTAGGACAATCACCGCCTCGGGACACACCTTTCTGGCTTCGGTGATAAGCTGGAGTTTTCGTAGGCCTCTCCGGCGAGCCTCATAGTTACAGGTCACCACGATCTGCTTTTGTTGGATGGCCAGAGGCACTGATTTGAGCGCGGGATTCTCATTTTCGACGACTGAGGCGTAGAAACAGTCGTAGTCAAAGTGAATAATGACTCGCTGCGGGCCAGGAGGTCTGTGCATAATAGTGTTAATACCATGATGGCCCAGGCCAATGCTTGATAGGGAGCACGGCTATGGCCTCAGTTGCAGAAATGCCGGTGAAACATGGAAAGAGAGAGGACGACGAGTTGCAGTTGGTTGGCGGCGACTGTGAGGCCGTGCGGAGAGAATTCCCCAGTCGCGCCCAGGAACTCGGTCGCGTTTGGTCGGTAAACAACTAGCCTCCATGCCTAACTATTACACGAAGTCCTCTACTTAACAATTCCACCTTTCATGTCGCGCAAAAGGCACCCCAGGTGACGGAAGGCGCAGCTGCGCCCGCTTAAAACAAGGTCAATGTCGCAAGGAAATCCCGCTTTCCCAGGTCGAAATCTTTATGCGTCCTCGAGCAAGCTACCTGATCGTACGGCGCAAAAGCCTGGTACCACTGTCTCCTCGCAACAATACTCCCAGTCGGCCTTTGGGCGTCGTCCCGAGCCCCAATATCCGTTCGGACAGTCTGCTGCCCCCCAGCCACAGCATGGCGCGTTGGGTGGGAGGCAGAGTATGGAGAAGGAATCAAATGCGCTCGGCGAATTGAGCGACGAGCAAAGAGATGAAATCAATGAAGCTGTATGCGCCGTACCTCCCCTTACGTCCGGCGCCCCATACTAACCTATCAATGAGCAGTTCTCCTTATTCGACCTCGACCGCGATCGGCACCTGGACTATCATGAAGTGCGCGTCGCAATGAGGTCGTTGGGATTTACTATCCCCAAACCTGAAGTTGTGCAAATAATGCAATCGCAGGGTGTGCCAAAGCCACAATTCAAGAGAGGGCCTCCCGTCAAAGGACAACAGACATATCACTCCAGTCAGCTTCTTTTACCACAAAACGCGTTTCAGCGCATAGCGGCGCAAAAGATCTTCGAACGCGATCCCACGGAAGAGGTCGAGCGGGCCTTGCTATTGTTTGATCCAGACCAACGAGGTTACATTGAAGTCGACGATATTCGAAGAGTTGCTCGAGAACTGGGTGAGACTGGTCTCGAGGATGAAGAGATACAAGCCATGGTGGAAGAGTTTGATTATGACGGGACAGGGAGCGTTGCGAAAGAGGCCTTTTATGCCATTTGTCTGCAATGAGCGTTCGACTGGTTGTGTTTGATGAAATGATGATATCCCACGATAAGAACGACTTGATTGGAATTGGCGGCGTCCACTCCGGAATCATTGGACACATTCCAGTTGTCGTCTATCTAATCAAGCTATTGGTTTTTATGTCTCAGTTTTGACACAAATACCCATCGAGCCATCCGAGTTTGCACCCCAGAGGTTGTGTCAAAATATCCCTCCCTCTTCATCGGCATGCATATTAAGCGATCTTGTCCCGAGACACAACTCTCCGCCGGAGGTGCGTCATGTTAAGCCCTCCATCGACTAATGGGTTCCTCAATTGATAAAACCATAATGGATGATTCATGCTCTGGAGGAAGATGGCTGCTGTTCCAAGGGCCACGACTTCCATCCTCTGGCAACCCATGCCCTCGAGCCGACACGCAAAACTATCACAACTGGGCTGGTGTAGGTCATGCAGCTCGGGTCGAAATTGTGTATTGGTATGCGAGAGCTATAGGCAGACGCCTTCCGCATTGTCGATCTCGGCACATACCTTTAGGTGACACTACCGTAGGATGGGATCTGGCGATAGTAACCGAAGCCGTCGTATAGTTTGGATGAGATAGGGCTGTTGGAGACGCGCCAGTGGAAGCTCTTGAATGTAGGATACTTATGTTTACTTGTATAAGTTATAGTGAGGCGGACATCGGGAATGTGAAAGGACAGCGGGATGGTGTGGCTGGCTGTGACCTTGGCTAAGAAATGCACACAGGCACGTAAAAAAAGGCTGTATGGATATGAAAATGATTTTCTCGATCTTCATTGCTGCACAAAAAGTGTTGTATACTCTCCACAGGCCTCCCTTCCAAAAGCTAGCGTCCACTACTCAAGAAATTCAAATGCCCGAGGGTATATCTTTCAATACTTAATATTTCAGCACGGCCCCACCCGTCTAATCTCTCCTCACTTCTTCTTTGACGACTTAACCGTGTCGATGATTTTGTCGACCACACTGGGATCGCTGAGAGTCGAGGTATCTCCAAGGCTGTCTTCCTCTCCGCTCAAGATCTTTCTCAAAATCCGCCTCATGATCTTGCCGGAGCGAGTCTTGGGCAGATCATCGACAACGAAGACGGCTTTCGGTGCCGCAAACGGGCCGATCGACTTCCGCACTTGGAGGATCAGGTCCTTGCGTATCTGTTCGCCACCATCCACACCATCTTTTAGAGACACAAATGCGTTGACGGCTTGACCGGTGAGTTCGTCATTGATACCGACCACGGCGGCTTCTGCAACGCCGTCATGCTCGATCAGGGCAGCCTCGATTTCTGCAGTGGACAAACGATGACCAGAGACATTGACGACGTCGTCAACACGACCCCGTATCCAGTAATAACCTTCGTGATCACGTCCGGCACCGTCACCAGTAAACTATTCTTGATGTCAGTCAATCGTTCCTGGAGTTCTGACACGAGGGTACTCACGTAGTAGCCCTTGTACACGTTCAAGTAGGTATCCATATATCTCTGGTGTGCGCCCCAAACGGTTCGGGCCATACTTGGCCAAGGCTGCTTGAATGCCAGAACACCCTCCACATCGTTGCCTTCAATTTCCTTACCGGAGACCGGATCAATAATTGCGGGTTCGATACCAAAGAAGGGCAATGAGGCACTGCCAGGTTTCGTCGGTGTCACACCGGCCAGCGGTGTAATCACATGGGAGCCAGTCTCGGTTTGCCAGTAGGTATCAACAATATGAGCCTCTTCCTTACCGACAGATTCGAAATACCACTTCCAGACCTCGGCTGCGATTGGCTCACCCACCGAGCCCAAAACGCGCAACTTGTGCAATTTATGGTGGATATGTTCGTCACCAGCTCTCTTTAACAGGCGGAGAGCAGTCGGGGCAACATAGAACTGCGTCACGCTGTGTTTGTCGATCACGTCCCAATAGCGGGAGAAGTTGGGGTAGGCCGGTGTGCCCTCAAAAACCACGGTCGCGACACCGAGAAGGAGGGGGGCGTATACAACATATGTATGTCCGGTGATCCAACCGACATCACCACCGCAGAAGAAGACATCATCATCGTGAATATCAAAAACGTACTTGCCAGTCGCTGCAGCACCTAACAGGTAGCCCGCGGTCGAGTGCATGACACCCTTGGGCTTGCCAGTCGAGCCTGATGTGTAGAGCAGGAACAAAGGGTCCTCCGAGGCCATGGACTCTGGGGGAATATAGGCGGGGGATTTTGCAGTCTCTTCATGCCACCAGTAGTCTCGGCCCTTTGTCCATGGCACATCGGCACCTGTCCTCTGGTAGACAAGCACGTGAGTGACATCCGGGCATTTCTTCAGGGCTTCATCCACAATCTTCTTGGTTCCGATCAATTTGCCGCCACGCTTTCCCTCGTCGGTGGTGATGACGACCTTGGAGTTGGCGTCGATGATTCGGTCCGCTAGTGAGCCAGACGAGAAACCGGCAAAGACAACCGAGTGCACAGCACCGATGCGGGTGACGGCGAGGAAGGAAATGACTGCTTCGGGAATCATGGGCAAGTAGAGGGCAACAGTGTCACCTTTCCTGACGCCCATTTGCTTCAGGGTGTAAGCCACTCGTGAAACTTCGCGGAGGAGCTCGCCGTAGGTGAGCACGCGGCCCTCGCTGGGTTCGTCTGCCTCGTAAATCACGGCCGGCTTGTCGGGGTTTTTGATGGCGTGGCGGTCGACGCAGTTGTAGCTGGCATTGAGCCGACCCTCTAAAAACCAGGCGGCGTCGCCGTTGGCAAAGGTTCCGGAGCGGACAGTCTTGAAGTCTTTCTCCCAGTCCAGAAGTTCTCGGGCCATCTTTGCCCAGAACTTGTCTGGCTGCTCGATGGACTCCTTGTACATGGCATAATATTCGTCGAGGTCCTTGATGTGAGCTTTCCCGGGACCTTTCTTGAAAAAGGGCTTGGGGACACTGCAAGGCGGTCAGTAAGGTCTATCGAGCGAGAAGCGGGAGTCTGAAGCTTACTGGAAGGTGTCAACCTCGTGGGCTTCGGCCTGTGTGCTCGTGGTCAGCGCCAGAAAACAGGGCAAGGCTCTTCGGAGGAAAGGAACAAAAACAAAAGCTACTCACCACGACGGGGCCTTTCTTAGGCGGCTTAACGTCGCCTTCAGACATGTTGATCTCGGTGGCCTGCTCGACGACCTTGCTATGGGGTGTGGAAGAGGGAGGGGCAGGGCAGGGGCGTGACAGAAGAAGTCGAGCTCAGACAGATTGGAGGAGGGGGAGTGGGTGGGTGTTTATATCGTCCGTGTTCCTCAAGTGCGCAACGTTAAAAAAGACTAGGGAAGTAGGACCCGCATCCAGGGCGGGGAGATCAGGATAGACCAGAGGATGACGATCGAGTCCGACACATTTGGGCAACACAAAATGCGCTCTTCTCTTCTCCCACACACGGTTGTCCGACGCGGAGGACCAGCAGCTCTTGAATCGAATGACGCTGCTCGCCTGCCCACCCCCGCAGCGGCGAACGGCCACCCCAAGCAGACTTTTGGTCGCCGTCTGACGAAATCAAATGCAAATCCTCGCGCATCGCTCACGCGGATGGGGCATGCAGGAGCTGTTTCGATTGGGTTTGCCGGCCAGCAGTGGCTGTTCCTTGCTGCCCGCGCCAATCCGGAGTCAACGCCCCTCCATTTTCCTTTTATCCGTTGTGGATGGCGACTTTACGGAGGAGCGCCATGACTGCCCAGTCTATCGGGGTTGGAGCCATGGCCAGGGAATCGCGATCCCAACAGTCTGCTTCGTCTCTCGCACAGCTTTGACCTCAGCGAGAGGTTTTTCATCGCACTCGCCATACCAAGGCACCCACCAGGAACCCAAGTAGATACCCTAGCACCTTACCCCGCGGGGTCCCTCACGCAAAAGCGTCACGCGCGTACCCCCTCAAAAAACACCACCAGACACACTCTCCCGGCCTTGCATCATCGCCCCTGGAGCATGACATCTGACCCTGGACATATGGAATTGGTGGTCCAATGACGGGCTGAGCAAAACAATGCCTCTGGCTGCGTGCAACGGCAACATGCAGCCTCCGAAAGTCTGCGCACAGCCGAGAGAAGTCCTCTGGGCAGTGGACATTGCCCTTTACGGTCCATTCACGATCTAGATGCTGGCTCGTTCCACTTGTTCGGCCAAGCCTGTGGTGTGATGCTTCCGCCCCAGTGTCTTGTCCGGCAGCCAGAATCAAAAGGTGTGAATTCCGGGCCGGGCGCAATACTCTGCAGAAGACCTCATCTGACAATAATATTGCCACACAGGAACTGGCGATTGTGTATTTCCATATTCAACTTCCTTTCATCCAGGACGCTAACCCCAGCATGAACACCATAATTGCGCCGTCCCCGATGAATTCCTTGCCCATCTGTATCCACAGACCTATTCCGCTTTTGCCCGACTGGCCCTTTGATACTGCTCTTGCACCCTGGACCAGTAGTTCTCCGCTCATGAACACAATAAATGGGTTCTGGAAGGTAGCCGGAGCCGGTGGATTCTCGCCATATGTTTGCGTAGATTTGTGGATGCTGGACACCAAGTACAAGCCAGCCATGATGGCAAACATAACATGCACGACTTTCCAGAAGCGTGTCGCTTGTATCTCGGCTTGGCTAGGAGGCGCCTTCTGACTTCCCATTACCATATTGATCAAGAAGGGAGGAAGACCTGTTGCCTTGGAGATGTCGTCGGGAGACAATCCGGGGCCGGCACCCATAGGGCCGGGAGCGTTGGGATCTGTTGAGCCATTCATTCCTCCCATCATCGCTTGTAGCATCTTGAACATGGGGTCCTCTTCCTGTGCTTGGCCTTGTCCCTCTTGTGACAGGGGTTGTCTTAACATTGCCTTCAAGTATTCCTCCTGCGCCTTAAGCTGTTCCGGAGTGGGCGAGGCACCAGTTTCCCCAGGCAGTGGAGCTATCGGCTCGGGAGGAGATCTCGGAGGTGGTGTTGGCGCCGGAGACTCGTTGCGCACTGTGGATGGAAACTGTTAGCCTGCTTGCTTCCTCTGGCAACATCCCTTGGTTGTGTATCGCGTGTGAAAAGCATCACTCGTTCCGATATGTGAGATCTGGGCCAGGAGTGGAACTCACTGCTCTCTGGGGTCCTTCCACTCAACCTTGTAATCTTGTCCAGTCTCTCTGTTGCCGAGCCCGTGATCTTCGCTTCACGCTTTTGACGGCGAATGCGGGCTTGTCGCTGTGCTGGCGTCTCTTCCATCTCCGCCATCTTTACACTATGTGTGAAGATTTGTGCGGTTGCTTACACGTGCGCGGTTTCCTTGCGCTGCAGGTGAAGGCTGATCGAGGGGTTACTGTTTCCAACAGAACTGACGGGAACGCATTAATTGTGTTTGTTCGTGTCCGTTTATGTTTCTTCGTGATGAGATCTTTTTCTGAGAACAGGAGGTGATCACTGGAAGCACGACGAAGGAGCGAGGAGAATGCAGGGAGGGAGAGCAAGATCCAGGAAAAGCACAGCAATAAGTATGTCCAGCGGGTGTTGCAACCCTTCTAATTCCGTTTCAGCGGGTTCACACTCGCACCAGGTACACTTTTCAGAGAGCACTGGGATGACGTACCGGGTGATTGGTCGCCTGCCTATTGCTAGTACGAGTTACAGGCAGCCAGCGCAGCTTCCGAAGGTGTCATGTGATCGCGACTTGGCAGCCTAAATCCAGCGATCCGCCGCATAGCGGAGGTCAATCCAGCTCCATCCAACTCCCTTGCGGCGCGTTCAACCTCTTTTTTTATTCTTCGATTTCGTCGCCAGGCACGTCGAGCGTATTCAGGCGCCGAGTCGTCGGGGGTGAATTGATAAATTCCGTCCAGCGAGCCCCTCGGTCTAGAATCACCGCCAGGCAGACTCGAACTCCTCATTTCTAGGGGCGCGTCACGAATTTCCTAGACCACTTTTTATATTCTCACTTTGATTTCACCAGCTCCTTCTTGCCCTCATTAACCCATTCTTTCGTTCCCCAATATTGCGCAAAGACGCGCGTCGATACCCGCCAACATGTCTTTTGGCGGTGGCGGCGGTTTCTTCGGCTCGAATAACACCACTCAAAACACGGGGTTTGGAGGGTTTGGCAATAATACCAATGCTAGTACAGGTAAGTGAGATGTCGTGTCAGATCAAATAAGGAGGGGCTCTGATGTCTTGCTTCATGATTCAGGGTTCGGTACAAACACGAGCACTACTGGTTTTGGTTCCAGCACAGCGACCGCAAACCCGTTCGGAGGCAGCACTTTCGGGCCCAATACTGGAGGTGCGTGAATCATTTTCGCAGGCAGCAAGACGTCAACTACTGCACTGCCTCACCCGTAGCTCGTCGCCGCCCATTGTTTTATGGACTTATTTTGCTCTGTCGCTATTCTCCTCCACTCGTCACATGAAATATGTCTCGGTTGGCGAACCCGCAACCAGCGTCCCGGCGGCGACTATCTCCAATCCAGTTCACTCGTGTTGATATTGTGCAAACTTCCTCTACTATCAAGCCAGGCGAACTAATAATGACTCCTTCAGGTTTTGGTGGCAATACCAACACGTCAACCACTCTTTTTGGCTCCAAACCTTCCACGAATACCTTCGGCTCGACAACCACAAACACAGGAGGTGGACTGTTCGGAAGTTCAAACACCAACTCTGGGTTCGGGTCAACAGGTGGTTTTGGAAGTAACAACAATGCGTTTGCCAGTAACACCGGTGGCACAGGGTTCAACTTTGGAGGCGCGTCGAAACCTGCGTTTGGGTCGAGCACCAACTCCACTCCCTTGTTCGGCCAAGGGGGTGCAGGAACAACCGGCGGATTCGGGTCAACTTCAAGTCCATTCGGTGCTGCTGGTAGCGGAACGGCTCTGAGCAACCAGCCTGTTCCTCCGTCAGAAGGCACCCTTTCCACACCATATGCGCCCACGCTCGAGAAAGAAGCTGCGGGTTTATCCAGCAACTACCAAAGCATCAATTTCATGCCACCATACCAAAAATATTCGTTTGAAGAGTTGCGATTAGCAGATTACAATGCGGGTCGAAGGTATGGCAACGCCACGGGTCAGGCAGGTGGTTTCGGCCAGAACACTTTTGGAGGCTTTGGAGCGAACAACGCAGGCTTTGGCAGCAGTACAAATGCCAGCCCTTTCGGTCCTACAACCACATCGTCAGGCTTCGGCTCCAATACCGCCACGGCCGGTTTTGGCAGCACTGGCCTGTTCGGAACCAAGCCTGCTGGTGGAAATTTATTTGGCCAGCAGTCCTCTGCCGCCCCTTCTACGGGTCTATTTGGAACCTCCAACACCGGAACAAATACATTCGGTGCAGGAAGTGCTGGCTTCGGGTCCGGAGGCAGTCTCTTCAACCAGAACCAAAACCAGAGCAAGACATTATTTGGCAACACCACCAGCACCCCCCCAACGTTCGGGTTTGGCACCACCAACACTACCAATGCCAACACAGGAACTGGATTGTTTGGCGGCAGCAATACGAATACCCCTAACACCGGGGGTTTCGGTGCGAATCAGCAACAGTCTACAACATTGTTCGGGAACAACAACAATCAACAGCAAAAGGCTCCCCTTTTTGGCAATGCAGGAGGGTTTGGAGCCTCTGCAAACCAAAACCAACAGCCAGGTGGCATGTTTAGTAACACTAACGCATCCACCGGCAGTGGCCTTTTCACCAACAACAACGCCGGTACCAGTGGCGGAATGTTCGGCACTAACAATACCACCGCGGGTACTTCCATGTTCGGAACCAATGCCAACAATCAGCAGAAGCCCGGTAGCATCTTTGGCGGGAGCACACTGGGAACCACAGGCACGAACACTGGTGGAGGCCTCTTTGGGAATAACAACAATCAACAGCAATCGGGAAACTTGTTCGGAACTGCGAATACAGCCCCAAGCACAGGGTTTTTTAGCAACACTGCCAACAAACCTGCAACCAGCTCGTTCTTCAACAACACCAACACTCAGCAAGGTGGTTTTGGTGGCTCGACTGGTGGCTTTGGAAATATGTTCGGTAACTCACAGAATAACCAACAAAATCAGCAGCAACCAGACTTCAAAGTTTCGTCCCTGAATGATCCCAACCCGTACGGTCAGACATCCATCTGGACTGGACTGCCAGTACCAACGCCAGATAACTCCAAGCCACTTTTCACTCCATTGTCTGCCACCCAAAAGTTGAAGGAGAGCCAGTCAAAGCCACCACCGAGTCTCAGACTCAACCAGTCTCGTTACATGACGCCACCCCGTCGGTCTGGCTTTGGCTTCTCTTACTCAACATATGGCACACCAAACAGTGCAGCCAGTACACCTGGCGGAAGTGGCTTGAGCAGCAGTATGTATGGTAGTCGTACTTTCAACGGCGGCAGTTTCGGTCGCTCGTTTGGCAAGAGTGCATCTGTCAGCAATTTGCGGTCTCAATTTGCAGGGGATGCTGAAGGTGTCCTTAGCCCTAACGCATTCGCTTCCACCAATACCAGGTGGTCAAGTGGCAATATGCGTCGGTTGACCATTGATCGAAGCATCAGAAACGACCTTTTCAGCCGACCTTCGCTTCCCGCCTTTCCGACAAACGCCCTAAATCAATCAGTCAATGGGAACAACGAGGTTTCTGTTGTCACAAATGGCGAGCATCCTCAACCAGTGAACCAACAAACAAGTTGAAGAAGCGCGTGAGCTTTGACAAAGATACCACTGGTGGTTCGAATGGGGTCTTGAATGGCGAATCCGGAGCTTTGGTACTGACCGAGGGCGACCAAGATGAGGCAGAGGGTACAACTGCTGGCAGAACTGTGAATGGCACAGCTACACCCGAGGCTGAACCAGTCCGCGGCAATGAACTTGCTGTTGTCCCAGAAGATCGGGAGTCCGACGATGTCATCTCACGGAAGACGACTGTCCAAGCCAAGCCAGATCCACAGCCCGGGGACTACTGGATGAAACCGACACGTGCTGAACTGAGCAAGATGCCTCGTGAGAAGCTGTCCCGATTTGTAGGATTTGAAGTCGGTCGAAAAGGATGTGGCAAGGTCGTGTTCAACGGTCCCGTTGATCTCACCAGTCTTCCCTTGGACGACCTTTACGAGAAGATTGTGGAAATCCGTTTGCGATCAGTTACAGTCTATCCCGATGCAAGTTCCAAACCACCGGTCGGCAAGGGTTTGAACGTACCGTCGACAATTTCTATTGAGAACTCCTGGCCGCGATCTCGTGGTCAGCCATCTTCCGCCACAAGTGGGCCTATCTTCGAGAAGCACGTCAATCGCCTCAAAAAGATGCACGGCACTGAGTTTGTGAATTACGAAGTGACCACGGGTGTGTGGACGTTCCGGGTTCCCCACTACACCCGCTACGGCCTAGACTACGACGATGACGACGAACTGGGCCAGAGTCTGCTGTCTGCTCCCCCTGACTCGCTGAACAGCTCTCGCTCTGAAGAGAACTCAGGGATGGACGTTGACAGTGAACCACATGATGACTACGAGGCTGACGGAAACGATGATACATTTGCGTTCAAACAAAAGACACTGCCCGGAGGCTATGGCCGGCAGTCTGTTGTCGATTATGGCGATGATGTTCCTGCGGCCGAGACTGTGGAAGAAGGTGCAGAGAGTTCTGAATTGGAAGAAGACTACTCCGACTACGGCGACGACGATGACAACGAAGTGAGCATGGTAGGCTCGTATCCACCACCTGCTGCCAACCCCAGCAAACCGATCCTCAAGCCCAGCAATGTCGGTACGCCCGGAAAGGCTCTCATTAACATTGATGGCGACTGGGCGGAACAACTTCAGCGCACTATCAGCCCACGCAAACAGAACCGCGACGCTCTTCGACAAGTACAGAGCAAAGTCCTTTTGGATCGCACATACGAGCCGATGAAACCGAGCCTTGACTTCGGCAAGAGCGTCAACAAGAACGAATTTCGAACGAGCATCGACATTATGAATTCGCTTTTCAGCAGACACGAGGAAAGAATGGCCGAGTTGAAAGGAAAAAAGGGGAAGCCGCAGGCTGGTCCGGATTTTGAGGTTTGACTCCCCTATCCCTATCCTCCTCCCTTCCATCCTTTTTGACCTACTATGCCTCTGAATCCTGTGGCCGTGCTCAGTCGGCTTGCCATGACGTGAAAGTGAGGACGCGATGCTTGCATCATCTCGCAATGTCTACGGTTTCGGGGCACAGGTTGGGATAATAGCACATATATATGTAGGTAGTTTAATGAGAAACCCGTTTGCTGAAACAGATTCTTGTTCTAGTTCCCCTATGCAAAGCGTGCAAAGACATTTGAAGACCAAATGCGAGATGATTCTGCTGAACTCGGCGAAAACGATAAACTCTGGCATGCAAGTTTCAAGCCACACTTCACGTCCGTCAATCAGCTTGTCTACAAGCCAGTGAATGCGCCTGTCGAAAGCGATTGGATCACAGACGTGATGGCGCATAGTGAAGCTACAGGTACGGACATTGTTATGGCTTCGCTGCCGCCAGTCAACATTGATAATGTAGGAGAGAATCCGAGGTTGCCAGGATTGTGACGGTCACTAACACTGTTGTTCAGGTTGCTACGTACGTCAAGTCCATCTTGGCAGACGCTCAAGTGGTCCTCAGCGACAGTGTTCCCTCAATTAAACACGATGCCATGGCCTTTTCTCAGGCCAAAGACCGCCTCATACAGCAACACTGCGCTACCGAAGAACTCGACATTTACGAATTACTCCACGTTCTTTTCGATGACTACGAGGACGAGTTTATTCAAGGTCTAAACCATCAGCAACAACAAGATTTCCAGCCGCGTATCCGCAGAGATCGCCTATCAAAGTATCTCTCAGAGCTCGTATGGCGTCGCCACGGCGAGCGCATCAAAGCGGCCTCGAAGCTTGACGGTGCGGCAGCAGCCATCCTGCAACTGACGGCGAACAACATTCATGCTGCATGTGACGCACTCATGCAAGAAAAGGACTTTCACCTTGCATTGTTGGTCGCACAAATTGGACAGGCTGATTCGGCTTTTCAGCAAGACATCGAAGATCAAATCTCCGCGTGGCGCAGCCAAGGAGTTATCTCCGAAATGAGCGAGGGGATTCGCGCTTTGTATGAGATACTTTCGGGGAACACCAGCATCGTCCAGGGAAAGCAGAATGTGCCTGTTGAAGACCGTGCCTCAACCTTCGCCATCTCAGAAAACTTCGGATTGGATTGGATACAGGCCTTTGCGCTATGCTTCTGGTATGGCAAGCACAAGAATGGCGAGATCCACGAAGCGGTAGCGGATTTCCAGGAGAGATTACATTCGAGACTTGAATCCGCCACCCCTGTATGTGGGAAGCATGAGGATGAGGATCCCCTGTGGGTAGTGTTGAAGATCTTCGCGAGCAACGTTGGGGCTAGCAAGGGACGGGCTAGCAGCAAGTCTAACGCTTCCGCCATCCGCCACGTCGAGAAACCTGTTCTCCCCCAAGCTCTCTCGGCGTTGTCACGTCCTTGGGATTCTTGGGGGACGTTCCGCCTCCATCATGCCATCGTTGCCACGATCCCGGGAATATCAATCGATCGGGACACTTCCGATGACCTAGCTATGTCGCTTGCTTTCGAGCACTCGGCACGCAGAGACACGCTGGGCGCAGTATATGCACTTCTCCACCTTTCCGATCCGGCGCAACGAGCAGCTCAGATCCGCGATCTCTTCAGCCGCCATGCCGCATCACTACCATGTGCACCACGTATTGGCAACGCCTCGGCCGGCCAAGAGTCATTGTGGACCGCTTTCACTGCCTCTTTCCAGATCCCTGGACCATGGATTCACCATTCGAAAGCCCTTTACGCGCGCTCATGCAACAATCCCCTTGCGGAATTGAACCACCTTCTTGCTGCGGGAGACTTTTGTAGCGCTCATGACTGCTTACTACGCCGCGTAGCTCCACGCTTAGCCATCGACGAAGATTGGGATGCTCTGCGTGAGGTATTGGGATGGTTCGGGAATAAAGCAGAGCAACAGGTCAACGCTGCAGTGGTTGGCAACGGCGTTGACAGGTCAGGAACTGAGTGGGAAAACGGAGGACAAGTCTATGCCGACTTTGTGGAATTGATGTCGCTGATGGACAACTCGATGGCGCCACGACACGGTGTCGCCGAAGGCGTTATACACACGAAGCTCAGAGCAAAGCAAGACCTGCTTTCCCGACTCCAACGCTCGCTGACGCGTCTGAACGCGCGATCTCAAGCCACGGCATCAGCTCAGGAACTGGGGTCCTCGGATTTGAACAAGGATCGTGAGAAGCTCGAGGAGAGAGTGGCACTGTGCGAGATGGGAAAAATGCTTGCGAGGATTCTGGAGTTGGAGATTCAAGACGGCGTTGGTGAAAAGGTATGCTAGCAGCCTTGTGTGCCCTCCTCTCCCGATCATTGATGCTTTTGAAAGGGTTACTGACAGCTTGTGCAAGCAGAAGCATATCCTCGACCTCCCCCTCAACACGGATGCACGGCTCGCTCATGCCCGAACATTGGGCGTGGATTACTATCGTGGTGTAATGGCTATGGCACGTTGAACTTTCTCGGAAGCCTTATTGTGCGGATTGGTATCACGAAGGGGCAATCCAATGCGTGGAAGGGCCATAGAAGGCGTTGATGACGAGGACTGGGCTTGGAAACCTGGCAGAAAACTTGGGGTTTCAGAAAAAGTCTCGGTCATTGATTTCTTGTTTTAAGGAAAGACGGAAAAGTTGTGAAGGTAGTATCGCTGTGATATTATCCCCGATAGTGACTTGCTAGCCCAGTCATTCCAGTGGTGCGGGTTTCCTTCAAGCTACAGTGATTCGAATTAGAACGTGTCCGGTGTAAGGGCGAAAGAGGAATTTAAACGTTGTGGATGGTGGACGGTGCATCCGTCTACATACTATTTAATACGCGTGAAAGAGTGCCTTCCGAGAATATCCCCGTGCAAAAGTAAATAATAGTCACTGTCAAAGCGTACTTTAGCACCGTGGCTATCTCGGCACCCTTTAGGCCTCTCGTAAAACGAGGGATGAATGCCCTCATTCCCTTCTGAACGAACGCGTCCTCGCAGCCTCTTGCCATAACAGTGCCCCTCTAAAATGATCCGGCAAACACCACGACTTTCCAGTACTGCTCTTTCCTCTCTCACAATAATGCAGTCTAATATCGATCATATCCTATACACCGAAGATGAAGCTTCTCGGTGCTATGGAGACCCTGAGCCATAAATCCGTCACCAATATCTCATATTCAGCTCAGGCAGCTCGAGATGGCACGTTAAAATCACCTTGAACATTGAGGCATACAGAGAGATAACTCAGCATAGATATCGAATGCCCTCACAGCTTTCCGCAAGAGCTGATTAAACAACAATTCAAGCGGCGCGCTGAATTTGAGTCATTTGTTTCCCTGCTTTGGCTTGAGAAGCTCATGCTTGAGCTCCTGGACTATACGGTCACGGAGATCCAACTGAAACTTGAGCTAGCGGAATCCTAGTTGACAGATAACTCTCTGAGACGCGTTCTACCTGGTGTGAACATTCAAGGCGATCGAGAAAACAGGCTTCTGGATCTCCGTCGTTTGTCAAGCGTCACGGTCCAAGAAGACGATGACAGAATTCGCTACCCGCACTATGTCGATAACCAGTCACGGCTGCTAACGGTACTACTATCGGATATAGAGACAGAGGAATATCTCAATGGTGCGGCCCTTCAAGCTCACAAGGGTGATGAGAAGATGTCCTATATTTACAAGAAAATCGACAGGCCTTTGTATCGACCTCATGACATTGCTATTATCGAACATGAACTCCAGAATCTGCGCTATTTCCGCGAAATCTCTCGCTTTAAAGATTCCGCTTTGGACTCGCACTTTCAAAAAGGCCCAGATGGAACTACTCCATACATTGCCTTGAGCTTGAACGTATCACGAGTCACCTTGCGGCCTTCCACGAGGTCACCAGCGAACAGCGGCTGTCACAGCCAAGTAAAGGTGAATGCTCGGCGGAAAATAACGACCCCAAATTTGTTTGGGAATCGATTCTTCGCAACACAACATCGATCTAATGTGCTTGATTTTTGGCCGAGGCAAGTCGGTGCGTGCCCGTGGATGATCAGGTGGGAAGCTTGACTGTCGATTGATTTGTGTCATTGGGGATCCGGGGAAAAGAAAGTCCATTTTAGATATTGAATAAAGTTCGAGGTGTAAGTGTTGCGGGCCAGTCATTCGTGTGGGCAGTGGGGTACATACAGGCAGTGCGGAGTTCGGAACATATATACTGCGGGTTCCACACAAAGATTATCTATATGTAGACAGAAGGTCTCCCCAATACTCCAGAGTCCCTTTTTTGATATAAAGAGAAATGAGTGAATCGATGCAAAATGGGGAAGTCGCGAATATCATAGCATTCATAGATGTATACGGAGTAGACGCAGGAGGGCCCTTGCCCAGAGAAAAAGGAGGACAAAGGTGGCCCCCTAGCTTCCTTGGTGGCTGGGAGATCCTCGCCTAGAGGCTGAAACCTCATGTACGAATCCGCTCTACCTGCATGAGACTGGACTTGCTCTGCCCATACATACGGGATATAAAAAGCATATGGCCATAGATTGTCAGAGCCTCTGCAGAGTCTATCACGTGGACGCCCAAACTATCCGAGCCAGTTGTCGGGAAAAAAGGGCGCCATAATGAAGTTTCAAAATGTCCTCAACACCGGCCTCCTCTCCATCCTGCCGACGTCGTCAGTGTCCCAAGCGCGGCCTCCGCGCACGGCATTGAGTCTGCCCTTCGACATCGGCCCCTCGACGCCCGAGAACACGGCAAACTACACGCCGCCCGTCTTCCCCATCGCGCCGTTCAACAAATACGCCCATAACCCGATCTTGAAGCCCAATCCCGCCGCCAACTGGGAGTCGGCGTACCTCTACAACCCGACCGCCATCGTCCTCAACGAGACCGTCTTTTTGCTGTATCGCGCGCAGAACACGTCCAAGACGTCCTCCATCGGGCTCGCGTGGTCCACCGACGGCGTCAACTTCACCCGCCTCAACCGCCCCGTCGTGTACGCGACCGAGCCCTGGGAGCACATCGGCGGGACCGAAGATCCTCGGATCATCCGTGTCAATGGCACGTTTTACATGACCTACACCGCATACGACAGCGTGACGGCACTGCTCTGTCTCGCCACGTCGACGGACCTCTTGAACTGGCAAAAGTACCCCCCTCTGTTCCCTGGGTTCCAGGACGTGGAGTACTCGGACATCGACGTTGCCTCGCCGCGCATCAACCACTCCAAATCCGGCGCCATCATCAGCGAACCGACAGCCGACGGCCTGTACCACATGTACTTTGGCGACAGCTTCTTCTACCACGCAACCTCGCGGGATCTCTTGAACTGGACGGCACTGCCCGCCGACCAATACTTCGCCGGCCCCGTCAATCCGTGGGAGAACCGCCTGATTGAGCCCGGGCCGCCGCCTGTCAAAACGCGAGATGGGAAGTGGTTGCTCATTTACAACGGCATGACGACGGGTCGCGTGGGATACCCGCAGAACCAGTACTCGGTGGGTCAGATGCTCATCGACCCTTCTGGCTCGTTTCGGCCGACGATAAATGTCAGCGATGGGATGTACCAGCCGGCATTGAGGGATGGGCCAGTGGCGAGGCTGGAGAGACCAATATTGGTGCCCGAGGCTGGCAATGAGAAGAAGGGCCAGGTGGATCAGGTGGTCTTCGCCGAGGGGTTGGTTCAGTTCAAGGGTAAATGGTTCTTGTACTTTGGTAAGTGGAACTCGTCCTTTCTCGAGAGAACATTGAATGACAACATCCCGCTGACCAGCACAACAGGACAAGGAGATAGTGAATTGGGGGTTGCCATCGCTGATGTGCAGCTTGAAACGCAAGATCTTGCGTGAATTGAGGCAATGCTGAAAGGCCTGGATTGCTCGAACCTTTGTCGTTGACACGGTACATGTTTTCTGTCCCGCTGGCTTGAGCCACAGTTTCGTGAAGCCATCATTGACACATGGGGGTCCACGTTTCTGCTTGTCGGTGAATGCGGCCTGATTCTTCCCGTGCTATTGCAGCTGAATTAGAATCTATGGATCGCTGCCACAGCTTTCCAGCAGCAATGTACTAAAGTTAGTCATATCAATGTTGTGAGCTTCGCTTCTTCCTCGTTCATAGCCATCCCATATGATTTGGGAGATTGGCAGCACTTGGATCTCATCAGAAAGCCTGCTGCATAGAGCGTGTCGACTCCGTTGGCAAACATACGACCTCTCCCTGCCCTGGATTACATTCTTCCATGTCCAATGCCAGATAGAGTGTATGTGAGTTATTACAGTACCTCGACAAACAGCATGTGCGGGAAGAAATCGGCTGCCGACGCCTTCCATCCTCGAAAAAAGATCGTTGAAGAACAAAGAGTTCCAAAGGGAGAATGGGGAGAATACTAAGGTTGTCGGGCTGAATCCTGTTATTTCGGAATCTATCCAAGGCTGCTATCTACCTACATGACCAAAACTTGTCTTCCCACCTTTTCGCAGCTCTCTGGTGGACAGAGGCACATAAGTTGACAACAACCCAGACAATGTAGGATCCAACCCACGGCTTTTCTTTCCTATTTTTTGTTTTTTGTTTTTTCTTTCGATGTTGGGGGAAGGAGGACCCGGAGCAAAGCTCACGAGCCCGCCGCCTTCACCACAGACCTCTGCATACCGGCGAAATCGGATGCTGCATGCTGGTATCCGGTTCACCAGAGGTATATGGAGGAGGAGGCCTTCTTCGAAGCGACATCATAGACATACTGACATCCAGCGTATCCCGACCGTATGGTTGGCTCATGGAAGACATGCATTGAGAGCCCGACCATGGGTTGATGTAACACAGTCGAGTCCATTGGAAGCAGCATGCCAGATCTCATTTCAAAGGCGAGCTCATTCGTGTTGAAGCCGAACTAATTCATCCTGCCATCTCGCCGCATTCACTGCTTTCGACTTTCTCCGAAGATCAGCGAAGAGACAGCTCCTGCGGCTGAAACGCGAAGTTTCAGAGACAACAAAAGGAAAAGGCCGAACGACAACAGCAAATGAGGGCCTCAACATCCAAGCACACATCAACAACAGCCATCAGATATCCCTCGAGACCATAGCTCAACAACAAGCGACGTCCGGGTTAGAAGAGCCTACACAACAACATCCAAAATGGATGAAGGGGGCTCTAAACCAACGTGTATCCGAACGTCCCGTGCAAGACCTGCTTCGTCCTCGAGATACCACTCGTGATTCTCCTCTCGAGTGAGAGGAACAAAGGGTATATAGATCGAAAAGACTTATGATTCCACTCCATCACGCGACTCCGGTTGCGATAAGTCGGCACAGTGTCAAATCGCAGCACCGATAGCCTTGCTTGACACCTCGTCACAGAGTAACAAGGCGCGACAGCCACTGTAGGGAGGTAGGGCTATCGGAAGGTCGGTGGAGAAGAGAGCAGGGTGTCTCTCGCCCAGAGGGAGAGAGAACCACGCTGCGCCACCGGAGAAGGGGCAGGGAAGGAACTCGAGTCCCTCGGTACTGACCATGAGGAAAATCATCTTCACTGTGGCTTCTAAGTAAAAGCCCGGGCATCTTCCATTTTCTTCCTTTTGTTTCACCTTGTGCCCGAGCGGTTGTCAAGCCGCAACAAAGAAGATGTCCTCCACAAAGCATGTCATCATTCAACATCACACACACATTACCGATGCCACCCGTTTGTTCTCGTTTATCACTGATGTGTTCAATCGGAATTTCATTGTTCCTCCACAAATGTTCCATTGCTCTCCGCTGTATGGCAAGTCTAGAGAGGCTGGTCCAGCTCAAGTCTCGCAGGACTGTTTTGATGTGCTCAAAATGCTGATGCACATATCTCGTTATGTTTGGGCCCTTGAAGTCTTGAAGATGCAAAAACTCATCTCGATGTCATTTCAATCCCTATGCCAGATACTTCGATGTTTGCTGTCAGTCTCTTGTTGCTCCGACTCTTGGTATACTCTACGTCCAGCAAACCCTAGCTTTGAATCTTGATAGTCTTTTTCAAGCGCCTCGGGATTTTCGGGCGGCGTATACTTCGGTGCGGGTGACATTGGCCGGGAACTGTTGACGTTGGCCAATGGGATATCAACAAATCCAGCATACTGCCCTTGAATTTCGGGGCGAAAGCCACTGCTCATGGCGTGGCTCGCAGGGAATGCTGGCGCACCGCCTTCGCCGCGGAGCTTGTTCCGCCTGGCCCAGAGAATCAATGCTCGAACGATGCCCATGAGCACGACTGAAACCCAGACAAACAGGACGACGGTTGAAATGATCGCTTCCGTCCGAATAGTGTCCTCAACTTCATCAACGAATCTTGCGACGGCCGCGGAAATCTTATCGCTTGTGGCGTCCCCAGGACTCGCGAGAAAAGAGTCTGAGGGATTGCTCGAGTCCGCCAGACTAGCCACGGCGCCTAGGCTGAAGGTATCATTCGGCAGTAGGGGAAAGTCGATGTGCGCGTTATCATGAACCCAGGTAAGACCCTTCTCGATGCCCTGGATCTTGAGCAACACAAGGCAATTGAGAACTTCCATAATAGGATCGTACAATATTGTCCCGCCGAATGTGGTGTTGAGAACATTTGTCGTTTCGTCCACAAATGCATTGAGTGTGTCGTTGATTGCGGTTGTGGACGTATTCACCCAACCCAGCATGTTTTGGTTGATGTCCTTGCTCGTGGCGGCAATGGCTGCGTTAGTTCCAATGGCCCATTGTTCGGATGCGTTGTTAAGTTGCGCAATCACTTTGTCGGAAAAAGCGCCGACTTGGTTGGTGAGGTCCGGGACTTCCTTTTCCAAGGCACGGAGCAGGATAGCTTGACAGGCACAAGAGAACAGCCCCGCAACGGCGAGAGCGAGCACAAACAATGCAGCGTCAGACGTAGCGTACGCAACGACCCAACGGACGAGGTCCTTCTTACGCTGGGACTGGAATGTGTTGGATAGCTTGATTCCAGCGGTCGAAGTGTAGGGGCGGCTGACCAGGTAGACAACGTCCAGTGGGTCACGGGCGTCTGAACTGACCAGTTGGCTACGCTGTTGCATTTTCTGCCATCGTTTGATTTCGCGCCATGCCATTGGGATCATGACGAGGATTGCCAGGGTAAGCAGCACGCCGATGAAGACTTTGCGCGCAAGAGCAGCGATGGCGACCAGCCCGTTGAAGAAATCATTGATCCCGTCGTTATCACTGCAGAAGGTAAGTTGCTCTTTCTCTGGGACCGGAAACAAGGATCGGTTGAATGTATAGTTGCCCACATATTCGTTCATGAGCTGTTTGATTTCTTCGAAGGGAAGTCGGATGACGCTTTCGGTGAAATTCTTGACCTGAGCGAAAGTTGGGATAGAGTTGTTGAGTTTTTGCAGGTCGGCATCAAGGTTGGCTGGCAATTTGAGGTTCTTCAACGAATTCATTTCGGAAGTAAGATTGAGAGGCGCCGGCTGGTCAACGGTTTGGCCAAAGGCGATAAAGCTCTCGAGTTTGCCAATGAAACTGTTGTAGGCATCCTCAAATGTTTTGACAGCGCCAGACAAGTCGTTTCCGAGATTTTGTGTAAGGTTGTTGAGACCATTTTGTGCTGAGTCCAGGGCGCCGATGACGGAATGCAAACTGCCACTGACCGCAAAAGTGATCAGACAGAGGTAGGTATTGGTCATCATGCCGATCACGAAGACGACAATCTCTTCCACTGCCGTGACACTCATGCTGGTCATCTGAATCAGACCGTTGACCGACTTCTCGATCCCGGTAGCCGCCACCTCATTCACGCCCTGAGACATGTAGTGAGGCATAGAAGCCATGGCGGAACCCATCGATTCGACGTCCGAGCAGGCTGACAGTGCTTCACGTCTTGCGGAGCCTAAATTGTTGTTGATTCCAGAAATTGCGATAAGGGTACGAGCCAGGACAAGTAGGAGGAGAATGGTCCATCGATTGAGCCATATCTGTGATAATCGAGCCCGGAGGCCAAGGTAGGGTGTGATGGATGGTGCATTGTGTGGTAGCGACCTAGGTGGGCCTTGGTCAGAGTAATAGTCTCGTATCTCATGGCTGCCGGCAGGCATGGATGGAGGAGCGCCAGCCGCAAAGGCCGACGGGGCAGACATGGTGCAGAAGTCGACAGGAAATTATCTAATTTTCGAGTTCAAGTAAGTATCTTGATTGCTTGGAAGGTCGTGTCGATGTGTGAGAGTAGATGGTATTGCAGGATGAGAGAAAGAAACAGAACCCGGCCACGAGGGTAGGGATACAGGTGACAAGGGATATTAATTGACAAAGGCAGTCATCAAGACTCGGGCAGCAAGAATGCTATTTATGACAAACAAAGGAGATTCGTGACATGCAAGAAAGCAAAGGCAGCGAACAATAGCGAGGAAAGTGAATAAGGGACTAGAAACACAGGATAGTGAAAGAGTTGGTCGAGACAATAAGAACAATAAGAACAATAAGACACAATAAGAAGACGATTCTGCCGGTACGTACCGCTTTTCCCGTTGACCTCGACCCCATGTTGCAGGCGCACCACCAACATGTTACAAGAGGCTCTTCTGAATATTCAAAGAAAGATTGAGGGCGTTTCAAAAGAGTTGCCGTATGTGGTGGTGCAGGAATATCGGCTGGTGGTGATGTTTCCAGACCAGAAAGTTGGCGCGTAGTCCAGAAATAGTGCAACCAGGCTGAAGAAGCGCCCACCAACCATCTCATCCATGCTGCTTCCACGTCCGACACGCGCTCGCACGTGGAAGTTGAGATGAAACAAGATTGCATGGGAACTGAGATGGCACAGGGGATTATTCTTCAGCTTGCCTCGCCATCTCCCCAGCTGCCACCAACCACCGTTCCATCACCGCAACGACCGTCGCGGTCGTGACGTATCCCAGGAACACTAATTGCCGCCAAGGACGTGATCAATTGTGGACGGACGGATACATTGCGGTGCAGGAGAAGGGGATGGTGGCGCGAGTCTGGGAAGGGAGACACCAACGAAGCAATCCGATATTCCCAAATGGTGCCTACCAGAAGGAAAACAAAACAACGACGAGGTGAGGCAAGGAAGCAGGGTTTTTAAAGGATCGTCCAAGATTCGGGGGAAATCAGCCACGGGATCGGCGACCTTCATTTTCCTGTGGCGCCTGAAGAGCGGGGCAGCAGCAGCAGTGATGTCATGCCGTTATTCGAGTCCGCGGCGCTTTACTATTCCTGTCCTAGTGCGTCTGATAATGCTTCTTCGTCCTCTTATTGTCAGCCACGCGACGTGGCTGTCTACACAAAAAGCCGTCACACAACCTCATGTACCATGTAGTAGTAGCAGTAGTAGTAACCTACGGTGTTCACACAGTAGAAGTCGAATGTCGAGCCCTGGGGATTTACAAATCCCCATGTGGTACTTTGAAGCTATGTTGATCAACACTGCGAGGCGGCGAATATCACTGGCACACCCACTTCGTTCCCCCTAAGTATGGGTGTTCGTTCATCATCTCGTCTTGCTCATCGCCTGGCGTAAGGTTAGGTCCAACACAACCTCGTTTTCTGTCGACGAAAACGCTTCACTCCACGCTGCAGCAGGCACAGTGACCTGTAAATTGCGGATACATGGAGCTCGGTCGAAACCCAAGTGCAATCAACGGTCAGGAGCGAGAAGGAGGCGTATCACACCAGCGAGCGACGTGCGTAAGTGTACAGCGATATCATGCGAAGCCAGCTTTGGCAAGGTCGATATTGGCTCCAGAGCAGGTGGGTCACAGCATGTGCGAAAATTGGCCAAGACAGCGTGGCGAGCACTCATCCGGAGGTCGAGGAGGCGAGAGCATGGTCGTCGAGGAGTTCAAAAATCATCCAGCAACGGCGTCGAATTTCCAGTCACGAGCCAGGTCACGGTTGGTCCACTCAACGCGCCTTATCGCTGCTCACCTTGACCTTGGCCACCTTGTTGTTGAGCTGCCATGGCTGCATACCACATCTGGAGATAATTCTGGTAGCCACCGTATGCAGCATACGGGTCCGCTGCCCCGGTAGCCGGGGGCGGTGCAACACCCTGGGCGACGTTGACGGCAGCGGGAGAGTATGTGGCGGGCTGCTGCCCGGGATACCTGTCCGCATATTCGTCGTGACTATCACGCTCACGAGCTTGTGTTCGAGCACGCTGAAACAAAATTAGCGCAAATGTACCGCCAAAAGTCATCTCACAGTCGCCACTCACCACGACGTCAACTTTCTCCATGATGGCACGCTTGGCAGCATCGATGGCGTGCCGGCTGCCAATGAGACCAATTTCGCGTTCAATATCTCGCCCAGCGGCAGGCGAGACATTGATCTTGCACCCTGTTTGGTTCTGCATATCACGAATAGACTCACCCCCTGCAAGAAGATTAGCACGATAGACACGTCAAATGGGCGGCTTGCAACATGCCTTTACCGATGATCATGCCCACAGCCTCGCCGGGCACGACAATACTGTCGTTGACCTTGCCATACGAATCTTCCCGCTCTCGGTGGAGGTCTTTGATGCTGATACCTTTCTGATCGCTCTCCACAATTTCCAGAATCAAATCTCTTGCGTATTGCTGGGCGGACGCACTGCCAATCAGGTTGACGGGTCGCATGCCATTCACGCTCTTGTTTTCTCCCACGATGTTGACATGGCACCCGCTTCGATCTTGCAGATCTCGAATAGTTTCTCCACCTCGACCAATAATCAAGCCCACTGTTCGATCTGGAACCATCATCTGTAGGCTGTCGCCCTCTTTTGTGCTCGTGACCTTGGGTTGGCTGGTGCGCGACTTGTCCTGCCCCCGTTTCACGACCTCGTTGTCGTCGATGATCCTAAAAATCTCAGCTTTGGCAGCTGTGCGCGCCGCCCGACTGCCAGATATCCTGCAGTGTCGTTGAGGACCCGGAACTTCAGGCCCATCCATGAATTGGACGCGGGCACCTGTAGTGTTTTCAACCCTGCGTAGGTTTTCTCCGGAGCGTCCAATGATAAGCCCAACCACGCCTTTGTCGAGGGGCAGAATTTCCGAATCACCTTCGGCCCCTCGGTCAACACCAGGTGATCGATCATCCCGATATCGTCCAGGAGAATAATGTCCGCCTCTTGGGGAGAATGAGCGTTCTCTGTTGTAGCCACGGTCATTCCCCCGTCGTTCATCTCTGTAGGGGTTGTAGGTATCGCGGTAGCCCTCGCGGCGAGGGGGAGATCGGGAGGGCGACCTTGAGCGTCGGTAAGCTCGGCTTCCAGTGCGAAGATCGTTTGGGTTGATGGGTGCTACACGGTAACGGTCAATGAGCGTCTCAATATTCTCCACGGGCCTTGCGTACGTCTACTTGGATCATAGGAGAGACCTTTTTCAGCAGCTATACCCCGAGCTTTGGCAACGGCATCGGCAATGCTGACAGAGCCCGAACTGACAGGTTTTATGTTCGTCAAGTCGACGCTGCCCGAGTGTATGGGTTGAGGTAGACCATAGGGTGGTGGATTGCCTGGAGGAGTGGCGTACTGAGGTGGAGGGTAAGGAGCGCCGGGGACAGGTGGAGGGGGAGCGGCTTGCGGAGTGCCTCCTTGCCTTTGTGCCGCCAGCGCGGCAAGAATGTTGCTGAGGTCTGCCATTGACTGTGAAAGCGCGAATAAGAGCAATAAGGGGCAGACAGCAACAATCAGTGGAGGCAAAGAGAAGAGCGCCTAGTTTAATGAATGCAATCGATGTCAATTAGGTGGGTTGGTGGCTTTGAGTTCCAGGTCAGAAAAACCCAGGTGTTGAAGCCACATTCGGCGCAGGTGGGGCAACCGAGTTTGTTCCAGATCACGTGGGAGCTAACCCCAGATGGATACGAACGATTCTAGTTAGTTGGAGCAGATGGGTACCCTTTTTCCAACGTCCTTCTTCCAGCAGCATGCAATCAACCACAGGATGATGATTGGTACTCTCTTGTGACATCTATTCTATGAAAGGGATCTATTGCTTGCAAAGACTTGAGATATTCGGGTGCACTATGCTCCTCTCAGTGTCCCCAGAACGGCTTTGTCTGTGGTCAATTCAGCAGCATCCTAGAGCTTGTGGAGAAACAAAGACAATTCCTACCCCGATGTCAGGTAAAAACGCCTATATCATCGAGCCACAGTTACATATATATATATTCATATCAGGTTGAACCCTATCAGTCTGATACTAAGTGCACGAATGAAGTGTTAGACAGACATCCAGACCTTTGGTACCATGGGACATTGGGGTGAGTATGGGGATGTTTCTGGTGAGCAGTCTGGGCCACGTGCTCTTTTTATGCCGGTACTCTTTCATGAATGCGCTAGTATTGCTCTTGTAGCTCAACTGTGCCGACTCTTCTTCACAATTTGAACTTGTAACTCCTCGCCACCAGGAACCGAACCACCCCTTGGGAAAACAACCGCAGACGAAGGCTCTTTGCAAGAAGTCCAAGCTCCCCCTGGCTTTATAACAATGTCAGACGCGTAAGTAAAGACTTTTAAGTCGTCAGAGGGTGCTTGCTGATGAACCCTTCCTGCCCCCAGATCAAACAACGAGCCCAAAGAGCAGGCTGAGATCGAGCGTCAGACGCCTGACCGATGTTTTGCGTTTGTCTCACATACTTCTTTGTCTCTGAAAGACTCAAAAGTTTTGTGGCCTTCTAGTGGGTGTCGCGTCCACTCGATTGGCATGCACGATGGGGAATTGGTAGCTGTGACCCATACTCTGGGCGCTGCATTTGGAGGTAGAAAGGCTGAAGAAGTCCTTGGTAAATTTTGCCAGAAGATATACCTTTTATTTCGGACAGACACCAGAGCACTGGGTATCGCGAGTGTCATTGCAGAGCAGCTTTTCAAAAGTGTCGACGACAAGGGATCATTCAACCGAGAAACGATGCCGTTAGGCATCCAGGGTGTTCAAGAACTGAATTGGACCACCCAGAATGAAGAGCTGACCCCTCTTCGACAAGAGTATCAAAGAAGGGCGAAAGATAAAGGGAAACAATTAACCCCTTTTTCCACAACGGATTCGAATGGAAACGAGCTGCTCTTTGCTGGGCCGCATGGAGAAACCATGATTATGATCGACAAATCAATGCTGTCAGCAGGTATTGTGAAATACCGCCACCATACCTTTGACATGGGGTTCAGTCGGGCCACTTGCTCGTGGCAGCTGTTTGTCAAGATCAACCATCGAGATTTCGTGCGTTCGTGGTTTCAGTCAAGTCTTTCCCCAGTTGTGAGTGTCGACAGTCTTTCGGGCAAGCGAATCATCCAGACTGACTCTATACAGCAAGATATGGGTGTAGCTCTCTTAACAGCGATGCGAATCTTCTCGGATGCTCGACATTTGTTTAATGATCCAGGCAAGCGAACAGAGGCAGCCATTCTTGTGGAAACCATTAGGCGGGCAGAGTTTTACATGAATTCGACCGTCGTTGATGAAGAAACTGCCGCAGCCTCTGAAACGCTCACCCCTACTGATTTGGATGTCTCGGCGAAAAGTGGCAGTGGACATGATATTTCTGCCGGTCCAGATTCTTCTTCACACCACGATAACTCCAGTTCACGACCAGCCTCCTCTTCGTCTTCGCCAGCGTCTGATTCTTCTTTCTCTTCAAGCACAATTGGCGGTCCGTCGATTCCTGAAACCACTGCGAACATGACGCCAGTCTCCACAAAGAAGAGCAAGAAGAAGAAATCGACTAGAAAGAAACCGCCCAAAAAGACAGCTGCCCAGAACCAGACGCCAGAAAATCAGGGAATCCAGACTTCAGGTGACGAGAGCCTTCGTGGGATTGTGGATCAGGTGGCGGATATTACACTCTCCGGACAATCCACAACATCATCATTAATGTCTACTCCGCCTTTGCCCGCTGGCCAGCCTGACGCAGGCAATCCCCTGAAGGGTACAAGCGCAGCTCAACCTTCGACGGAGACGAAGCAAGGAGGCAACAACGGCACACCTAGTAAGACTCGTACAGCCGAGGAGCGCGACCAAGATCTTGATGACGCTATTTCTCGACATTCAAGTGATTCTGAACGGACAATAACTCAAGCAGATTTCTCAAATGAAGACGTCACCGTCAGCTCTTCTAGCAAAGGTCAGCTTGACAACGAACAGGAAAGAGGACGTGGTGCTGTGGTTGCGAATGACAAGGAGCATACCAAGAGAAAGGATGCCCAAAACTCCAAGGCAACTTCAGGAACTCACACCACCACTTCGACTGGAGGAGGTTTAAATTCTTACAAGGTATGCTTACAGTCCTCCGAACCCGTTTGCCGGGTCACTGACAAGGTTCCTGCAGCATACCCAGCCTGTTATTCAAGAGGCTGCGGGCCCTTCTGCTAAATTCAAATTCGATGGTTTTGATCCGCGTTTGAGGTGCTTGAAACCGGACTGCCGAAACATGACAAGCTGCTGGGGTAAGTCTTCGTGGCGATCTGAGACAGCAGAAGACCTGCTAACATTGTCTATCACATCAGATTGCGCCGTGGTCATCTGTCCTGCCTGTGGCACTGACAGCTTTACCCGCTACTGCAGAAAGCAGCACCTGTACGATGACCTTCAGCGCCATTGGGTTGCGGAATGCCGAAGGAACAAGATCAACGGACCAATCGATCGAGACACAATTCGCGCCAAACAACTCCCCAAGCGACCCTATGTTGTTGGCCAGTACCATAATATTGTCGAGCGCCATAGACAAGCGGTGTACCGCGCCATGGAAGACGCCGACTACTTCATCTTCAACGACGTGGAGATGCTTGATGACAGCGTCGTGCAGCCAACGCAAGAGCAGTGGAATTCGGTGCGCGGAACTGGTGAGCCGGTATTGCAAATTGTCTTTCCCGACGACATGACGCCGTATTCCGACAGGCAGGTTTTCAACTACCATATCCAGCTTATCTTGACGGTGGGCAAGCCGTTGGCCGAAGACAGCTGCTTGAAGGCACTGGAGATGATTCGTTCGGCACTGGTCATGTCGGGCAGCTGGACCGAGGAGATACTGACCTACCTATGCATGCAACTGACAGGTGAATGGGGCAACTTCAAGGTGCCAGGGCGCTTTTACGATGTCGCCGAGGTGAACGCAATGTGGCAACGCCACCATATCCTGCTTCCGGCGTGATCGGTGGCGTCTGGGTGAGGACGAGGCTCCTCAGTTTGTACAATAGAACCATGAGCTGCATTGGAAAGGGGCCGGCAGGCGAAACATAGGATCGGCAAGATAGCCAGCCTCAAGAGGCCTTGGGATAGGAAATGAATCAAGATAGAGGCCGTCAAGTCCACCATTGTACGACGCTATTGCTTCTTGTCGCCGCCCTCCGAGCCACTGTTTCTTGTCGCCATCAGTATCCAGGGTGTGCCATCTCTTGTTCAAGCCTATCCATCCCACGCTCTTCGACCAATCTAGCTGTCATGTTATAGGGTTCGGGCTCTCTCGCTTGGACGGATCAGCTTCAGGCATAGTCGTCGATGGGCCTCAGGGAGTTATGAGTAAGCGGGGTTCTAGTCAGCTCGACAGCGACCAGGGTCCAGGAGAGGCCACTAGGCCCAGCACTGTTGGTTGGCATCGGAGGTCGCCGCTCGCACATCGACGAGACAAATGAGGGGTCGGCCCATGTCGACCATTTCACTGTCTTCATTCGCCAACACACAGGAAGTTTCATCTCACATTGTCCACCAACGTCAGCTGTCTTGATGAGATTGGTGAGATCTCATCTGATTGCGATTGTCCCCATTCTGATTCGTGCTATCCTCGCTCCTTACGTCCCCATTTCCCTATCTATACTCCGAGCTTTATGGGAACAAATTGCTTCTGCCCCGATCAAAAGCTTCAGGGAGCCGCCGATAAGGGCTCTGGAAGTCTCAAACGAGTCTGTTCTGTTTTCTCAGATTCATTCCTTCCCGGGCTGAGTCCGCACGACCTTGATTTTTGCCCTCGCATTTGCTCTGACAGTTCCCATTGCCCCCAGGTCATAAAAAAACCAGGCTTGGGATGCTAACCTGACAGGACTTCTACCTTTCTTTTCCTTTACCGTTCTCACACTATCCCTCCTGCCCCACATATTCGAGATGGCGCCTGGCGTCCTCGAGCCCACAGCGACTGCTGAAAAGGTGGTCTCGCTCGCCGCCCTCACCGAAAGCTACGATGACACCCTCCGTTTCTACCTCAACGGCACAAAGGTCGAGCTGGACTCGGTAGATCCAGAAATCACACTACTTGAATACCTGAGAGGGATTGGTTTGACAGGAACAAAGCTGGGCTGCGCAGAAGGTGGGTGCGGTGCCTGCACCGTGGTTGTATCGCAGTTGAATCCCACCACGAAAAAGATATACCATGCATCGGTCAATGCATGTCTGGCGCCTCTGGCCAGTGTGGATGGCAAACATGTTATCACAATCGAGGGAATTGGCAGCTCCAAAAACCCACATCCTGCACAACAACGGATTGCCATGGCTAGTGGAAGCCAGTGTGGTTTTTGCACGCCAGGGATAGTCATGAGCTTGTATGCTTTGCTCCGAAACCACGGCCCCGAGCCCTCCGAACTGGAAGTCGAGGAGAATTTTGACGGCAACTTGTGCCGATGCACGGGTTACAGGCCCATCCTGGACGCTGCTCAGAGCTTCAATAAGGCTTGTGGCAAGTCGATTGCGAACGGCGGCTCTGGTTGCTGCATGGAGAATGGCAGCTCATGCAATGGCGCCGCAGCTGGCGAGGCGGACGGTGCTGATGCAGCAGTCGAGAAGAAGTTCACGCCTCCGTCTTTCATTCATTACGACAAGTCCACGGAATTAATATACCCTCCTGCACTGAAGAAGCACGAATTCAAACCCTTGGCCTTTGGCAACAAGAGGAAGAAATGGTATAGGCCTGTGACACTCCAACAGTTACTCGAAATCAAGAATGCCCATCCCCACGCCAAATTGATTGGTGGAAGCACAGAAACTCAGATTGAGATCAAATTCAAAGCGGCACAGTATTCGGCGTCGGTGTATGTGGGGGACATTGCGGAACTTCGACAGTATTCTTTCCACGATGATTATCTAGAGATTGGGGGCAATGTTGCTCTGACAGATCTGGAGAACATCTGCGAGGAAGCCGCGAAACACTACGGATCTACCAGGGCGCAACCATTCAAAGCCATCAAAAAAGCCATCAGATATTTTGCGGGACGCCAAATCCGAAATGTTGGCACGCCCGCCGGGAATCTGGCGACAGCTTCACCCATCTCAGATCTGAATCCAGTTTTTGTGGCAACAAACTCGACTTTGATCGCCAAATCTCTCACCAAGACTACTGAGATTCCTATGGCGACCTTCTTCAAGAGTTACAGGGTGACTGCGTTGCCAGGAGACGCTGTCATTGCGGCGATGAGAATCCCGCTCGTCGCGGAGAAAGGAGAGTATGTCAGGACCTACAAGCAATCGAAGAGAAAAGACGATGATATCGCCATAGTCAATGCTTGTTTGCGGGTCTCCCTGGACGACGTTTACAAAGTAAAGAACGCCAACTTGGTTTACGGAGGCATGGCCCCTATCACCATTGAGGCCAAGCAGGCCTCGGAGTACATTGTGGGCAAGACTTTCACAGACCCTCAGACGCTCGAAGGAGTGATGAATGCGATGGAGCACGACTTCAACCTGCCGTTTGGTGTGCCAGGGGGCATGGCTTGGTACCGGAAATCTTTGGCTCTAGGCTTCTTCTATCGTTTCTACCAGGATGTCCTTCTCTCCATCGAAGAAGCTAGCAAAGAGGTGGACAAAGAAGCAATCGAAGAGATTGAAAGAGAAATTTCTCGGGGTGAAAAGGATCACGATGCATCCGTTGCTTACGCACAAAAGATTCTCGGAAAGGAGCACCCTCACATGGCCGCATTGAAACAATGCACTGGCGAAGCCCAGTATACAGACGATATTCCAACACAGATGAATGAACTCATTGGCTGCTTGGTCTTGTCTGCCAAAGCACATGCGAGGTTGCTCAGCGTTGACCCCAGTCCGGCTCTCCAGCTTCCGGGCGTGGTCGCTTGGGTTGACAGGCATGACTTTTCCGATCCAAAGGAGAACTGGTGGGGTGCTCCTGTTTGCGACGAAGTCTACTTTGCTGAAGATGAAGTCTTTACAGCCGGTCAGCCTATCGGCATGATCCTGGCGAACACTGCTCAGCAAGCTGCTGCCGGTGCACGGGCGGTGCTAGTCGAGTATGAGGAGCTACCGGCGATCTACACAATCGAAGAGGCGATAGAGAAGCAGAGTTTCTTCGAACACTACAGATACATCCGCAGAGGTGATGTTGAGAAAGCATTCAAGGAATGCGATTACGTCTTTGAAGGCACGTCGAGAATGGGTGGCCAGGAGCATTTCTACCTAGAGACCCAGGCCGCTTTGGCGATTCCCAAGCCGGAAGATGGTGAAATGGAAATCTGGAGCAGTACCCAGAACCCAGCCGAAACACAGGCATATATTGCGAAGGCTCTCGGAGTTCAATCAAACAAGATTGTCTCCAAAGTCAAGCGTCTTGGTGGCGGATTTGGCGGCAAGGAGACTCGATCCATTCAACTGTCCACGATTTGCGCCGTGGCAGCTAATAAGGTCAAGCGACCGGTTAGATGCATGCTCAACAGGGACGAGGATATCATGACCTCCGGACAGAGACATCCCTTCCTGGGTATCTGGAAGGTTGGAGTCAACAAGGACGGGAAAATCCAGGCTCTCAAAGCCAACATCTTCAACAATGCTGGTTGGTGCCAAGACCTGTCTGCAGCCGTTGTTGATCGAGCACTATCGCATATTGATGGCTGCTACAACATCCCCCATGTGGATGTGGATGGACGTCTCTGCAAGACAAATACTGTCTCCAATACGGCTTTTCGTGGCTTTGGTGGCCCTCAAGGTATGTTTATTGCAGAGTCGTACATGGAGGAAATTGCAGACCACCTGAAGATTCCCGTCGACAAATTCCGAGAAATCAATTTCTACAAGGAGGGCGAAGAGACACACTATAACCAAGCGCTCGAGGATTGGCATGTGCCCTTGATGTACAAGCAGATCAAAGAGTCCGCCGACTACGATGCCCGCCGCAAAGCAGTCGACGAATTCAACGCCACACACAAATGGCAAAAGAAGGGATTGGCCATCATCCCTACAAAATTCGGCATTTCATTCACTGCCCTCTTCCTGAATCAAGCCGGTGCCCTCGTCCACATCTACCACGACGGCTCCGTCCTCGTCGCACACGGAGGTACCGAGATGGGTCAAGGGCTGCACACCAAAATCTGCATGATCGTGGCCGAAGCACTCCAGGTACCCCTCACGGAGGTGCACATCTCAGAGACCGCGACCAACACTGTTGCCAACTCTTCGAGTACAGCGGCATCGGCGTCATCAGACCTGAACGGTTACGCAGCGTACAACGCATGCGTGCAACTTAATGAGCGCCTCGCTCCGTATCGTGAAAAGCTCGGCCCCAACGCCACGATGAAACAGCTGGCACACGCTGCGTACTTTGATCGTGTCAACCTCTCCGCGCAGGGTTTCTATAAGACCCCCGAAATCGGATATGTTTGGGGACCAAATCCCTCTGACCCAAGCCAAGAGAATACAGGCAAGATGTTCTTCTACTTCACGCAAGGTGTAACCGCCAGTGAAGTTCTTCTGGATACTCTGACCGGGGATTGGACCTGCCTGCGGTCAGACATTAAGATGGACGTTGGACGAAGTATCAACCCAGCAATCGACTACGGGCAGATCGAAGGCGCTTATGTTCAAGGCCAAGGCCTCTTCACCACCGAGGAGTCTCTTTGGCACAGGGCGAGCGGCCAGATCTTTACCCGGGGTCCTGGTGCATACAAGATTCCTGGGTTCAGAGATATCCCTCAAACTATGAACATCTCTCTGCTAAAGGATGTCGAGTGGAAAAACCTCCGCACGATTCAGCGCTCGCGGGGGGTAGGAGAGCCACCTCTATTCATGGGAAGTGCAGTCTTCTTCGCAATAAGAGACGCCCTCAAGGCCGCCAGGAAACAATACGGCGAAGAAGATGTGCTGAGCTTGAGGAGCCCTGCGACTCCTGAGAGAATTAGGATTTCTTGTGCAGATCCGATCCTGAAGAGGTGCTTGGTTGAGCCAAGAGAGGGCGAGAAGAGTTTCTTCGTTTCGATCTGAGAGGACAGTCGTCTCTGCCGGCACATATTTACAAGATATGATGACAGCCGGCGAGGACAAGGTTCGAGGTGTAATTGACACAGTGGGTTTCGAGCAGGAAAAGGAGCTTTGTATGCCACCTCATGGTCCTCGTGAGATTGATAAGTGACTGTGTCTATGTCGCGGCTACACGACAACAGACCGCAAATGTCTCGGTTGTGACAGAGTATATGGTAGATACATGTCCGTCGTTATTTCTCTAGCTCACAAACATACTCCAAGCCCTCAGATCGAATGCTATGCCTTTGTCGCCGAATCGTACACGCGGCCGCCGTGGTGGCAGCGGTTTGTCTTCATGAACATACACATAGGATCTTAATCCCAATCCTGCCCGCGCCGGCTCATATTTTGCGCCGTGCCAATGTGAGGCGTACTGGGATTCAACCGGCTGGTCCGGGATTTCGAGATGAAGATGGTTGTGGTACTTCCACCACCAAGCGCACGCTCTTCTTTGGCTTTTCTTTATCCTGCTGTGGCGGCCCAGCGCCAAATATCGAGGTATGGGCGCGTGGTGCCGACGGCCAGAGTCCACGTGAAGGCCCCGACGAGGAGGGAGCGACCGCCTTATTTGGGCCAGAGGCAAGCGTGACCGTATTGCCATTTTCTCTTCGCTTTTCCTTGCTCTCGAGTTTCTTCTTCTTCTTTGGGGGTAGCTCGTCCTCCAAATCCAGGATCAGATCATTGTCCCCTCCATCGTCTATGCCGTCTGGGCCATCACGTCTCACGAACAGCGGGACAGGTACGTCTAGCCTCCCTCCTCTCATCTGCTCCTTCTCACCGTCGGCAATCTTCAAAAAGCCCTCCCCACGGACAATTCCGTTCATCATGCCGTCGTCCAGGAGGCTTTTCTCCGCCTTGACCAACTCGGCATTGCTCATTTGTCGACGTCGATGGAGGATTTTCTCCTCCAGGGTGCCTCTCAGAACAAGCGTTTCGACGTATACAGGACGCGTTTGGCCAATTCGGTGCGCACGCTTGATGGCCTGCGATTCGACGTCAGGTTGCCATATAGGCGACACGATGAAGATGCGGCTAGCAGTAGCCACGTGGAGGCCATGAGAGGCTTGCTTAAGATCCATGAGGAGAACGCGAAACACCTCTGACTGGTTGAACGTAGCAAGGTATACCGCGCGGCGTGTCACCGAGAGCGTGTTTGCGTAGATGAGGAACTTGACGGACAATAGTTCCAGGGCCTCACCGATCCAGAAGGCCATGTCGTTCGCGTCGTAGAAGACGATAATCTTCTCCGTTGAGTGTAGTGCCAGGATACGTGAGCAAAGGTAATTGAGCTTCGCGGATGTGAAGCCAGCAACGCGTGATTTGGCCAAGGGCGCGGGGAGGGGAGCATCGTTTATCGAAAAAAGTCGCTTCCTTGGGCAATGTAAAATGTCGGGAGTGATATCTCTTGTCGAAGACCGGACAGTGGGGGGGCCGGCCGACTTATTTCTGACCTTGGGTTTCTCTGTTGCCCCCGCTGTAGGAGGCTTCTTTCCGTTCGATCTCGAGCGAACTTGGTCTCTGGCTTGCCGCTCTACCATTGCTCGTTCGCGAGCAGCAAACATCGCGTGAAGCCCGGCCCCGGAGAGTCCCATGTCGAGGTAGTCGAGTTCCAGATGGTTCAGCACATGTTTCTGGACTTCACGAGCTTGAACGGTTCCGAGGAGGAGAGGGTTGGCAAGCTCGCCGTTTAACGCCCAGGCCTCCGCAGCCTCTTGGGGAAATTCTTCGATATAGGCGCCTATTTCGTGATAGAAAGAAAATGCACGCCAGCCAGAGTCATTCAAGGCTCGTTCGCCGTTTAAGATTGCTTCGCTTAAAAGCGCACAGTCTTCATCAGAAATCGTGTTGTGGTCGTCCAGGTATTTTTTACTGATCCTTAAGGTTTCAGTCACCTCGTGCTCAGTAAATCCGACCCAGTGAAAGCTGGATCGACGAAGATTGTTGATCAGTTCATCGAGGGATTTGCGATTCTTCGGATGAAACATGTAATCTTCGTCCACTCTTTCCGAAGTAATTGCATTGGAAGTAAGAACTAGCCTGAAAAGGTTCATACTAAGCTTGTCGTAGTAGCTCGGTTCTAGGTAGACGGTCGTATTTCGCAAGGGAGGAAGGCAGAGGTCGACATCGATATCCTCAATTCGGTGACGGATAATGAGAGACTGCAGTAACACTCGCAGAGCTGGAGCAAAACGGCGCTTGCCGGAGGCATCGAAAGGAGAGAGATATCTTTTCCAATCGGCGTAATCGGCGCCTCTCTGGTTTGCCCAGGGTTGCATTTTGAGAAATCTGACGACGATGGCACGTAACCGTTCCATATCTTTGAGCTCTCCAATCCCAGTGTCCATGGCTTTCCTCCGTCTCAAAGCTCTTTCGATGGAGTGTTTACGCAAAGTCTCCGTGTCGTTGTTGGTTTCGTCGAGCGCGAGATTGACCTCGACACCGTGGAGCGAATGGGATGGCGTGCCAGAGACGACCCAGCGGCGTTCAATAGACATCTTATCCAACATTGCAATTGCATGTGTCCGGTAATTTGAGCCTGCGAAGCCATGTCCCTCGTCGCAGATGACGCGCAGCCATCGAACTTCAGTCAGTTGAGACCGAAACTTCTCCTCGCCCTTGAATCGTCTCCCTTGGTTGAGATCATCGTCCCTGTATTCTTGCTCAAAGCGTGCTTTGGTGATCAGAACTATGTCGTGCTTCATCAGTTCCCTCCAATGAGGTATGTCTCCCGTTGTAGAGTCTAAGACCAACACATCAAGTGCATCTGCTTCTGTATGCTTGTCTATTTCATGTCGCCACTGGATCAGAAGATTAGGCGGAACAATTAACAATGTTGTACACGCCAGGCGCAATACCCGAAAATCTTCTCTTTTCTTGCCTCGTCGATCTGGCGTTGTTGGGTGGAAGTTAGGTTCAGCGTACTCGCCATCGTACCTCGATAGGGCATCTGTGCAGCTGTCGAAATGATATCCTTCTTTCGTGAGCTTCGAAAAATGGGATTTCCATGGCACACGGGATTGTTTGATCGTTTTTGCTGCAAGGTCAAGCAAGCTTGGCGTTCGTTCGTTGAGCTTCTTGGTAATGGCGTTCACTCTGGCCTCTGGGATGGCAGGATAGTGTCCTCTAGTGGCTAGGATCAAAGCGATGCATATCAGGGTTTTGCCGTAGCCCATGGTCTCTGCGAGGATACCACCACGGCATTCACTGTAGAGGTGAGAATGGCGAACAAGGACGCCTTCGTAGACATCAAAATAGAACTTTGTGCCATGAAGGTCTCGGAAACACTGCTTTCGTGGATCGAGGACATTAGAGGGATTTGCTTCCCTTTGGAGCATGGCGGCCACCGACCGCGTTTGATAGGGGTACAAGGAAGTCTGGAGACCGTTTATGTTGTTCATAACAATGTCACGCATCGACCTCTGGTTGTCCAGACAAGAGCCTGCATTGTCTAGGGAAACGTGGGGCGGGGATAGGGTATTGAAAATATAAAAGAGAGAGTCATCCTGAAAGTCATCTGGTCGCTTATAAGTTTGCAACAGCGACGCCTGGTCGTAGTTGGCGTTCCAAGTTTCGCGAGAAATGTCGACGAAATCGATGAGGAGTTTCAGAACCTTCCTAAGATCCTTGATCGAGCCTCGAGTACTTCGTTTGACATCTTCTGGTAGTGCATAAACTCTCAAGGAGGCACATTCTGGCAGACTGGCGTGTTGAAGAAGTGAAGTTTTAATCCACAGCCGCTTCTCGCCCAATGCCAGTAGAGCATGGGGATATTTGACTTCTCCAGCAGATCCAACCATTCTCCAACCATCATCAGGTGCATTTTCTGTATTTCGAATAAGGCGGATTGATCCAAGTGCGATGTAATCCTCTATGAAGGATGTTGACTCTGAGCAAAATCGGCTGGGGGCTTGGCAAGGGGAATCTGGAGCATCGGCTCTATATGGAGATGTCTCCATACCATCTTCAGAGTGCTGTATACTGTCAGCTCGACGCTGGACAGAAGATGATGCGTGACTGAACAAGTGTACCACGGGGCTTGACTCGAGAGGATGGATTGCAGGTGAAGAGCAGTAATCGGTGCTTGAAGAGTTGACAGAGAACGGCTCGGTGTCGAAGATCTGGTCTTCGTTAGTCTTATCACTATCGCCGCCTCGACTGGAAGGTGAAGGCGAATATGACTGAGACATAATATTGAAAGTGGAACACAGATCTTCAGACGAGTTGATGAAGAGTACATAAGTGGTGTCAGGATGGATGAAGTGGGGAGAATTGAATTTGTGTCTGACGACAGCCTTACAGAAACTCTAACCCAATTATTCCTCTAGAGACGCTGTCAGACAAGGAAAATTTTAGGTAAGCTGAATCTTGCACTGCAGCCTAGTCAGGGGCCTCAGCCCAATTGACAAATGAGATATATGGACGGAGTGTCATTGTAAGGCTGCATCTTCTAGTCCTGACCTATCTATGAAACAGGCAGACAGGCTGCGGAAGTCAAATTGAAGCCGTAACAACCCTTGTGACCATTCAAGACAGCCCACGATATGCCTCTCATCCCTCAGCTCTCATGTCCACACCAGGCATTTATCTCCTCGGATTGAATTATTTCCAAGGAGCGAGAACTGTGATTGATGGAAGAAGTAAGCAACGAAACAGGAAACGCCCCACCCCTCCTGAATGTGTCTATACAAGCTCCGAGGGTGACTGGAAGGAGCTGTCGGTTGTTCGAAGTGGCTGACAAATCCAACATCTACCCTTCATACAAACTACACAAGCCCCCCTCATATCGTTCTTATCAAATCCAGGACGCTTTCTTCCACCTCACATCTTGTTTGATGTCCTTCAATCTCACACGTCAATACCTCCCCAAAATGACGAAGTATAATATCACCGTCACCAGTGACATTTTATGTCCGTGGTGCTATATAGGGCATACGCGTGTGTCTCGCGCCATCGCTGAACACAAAAAGACATATCCTGATGACACCTTTCACCTGAACTACCTACCTTTTTATCTCAACCCACCACCACAGCTTACTGCTGGTAGCGGTCCGCCGCCACCGCCTTTTCCAGTACCATCGCGCCCAAGACGTGAGATGTATGCCGCAAAATTCGGGCCTGAGCGCGCGAAGCAGATCGAAGCTATGATGATCCAAACCTCCCGCGGTGAGGGCCTTGACTTCAAATTCGGCGGTATGACGGGACACTCAAGGAACGGACATAGACTTGTCCACTGGGCGCAGGACAAAGGGGGCGAGGATTCCCAAAACAAGGTTATGCTGGGTCTTTGGAGACGCTATTTCGAGCAGGAAGTCGACATTACAACTCTCGAAACCCTGGTGGACGTAGGGTTGGAGGCTGGGCTGGGTACCAAGGAGGAAATCACCGAGTACCTAGTCTCTGGTAAGGATGGGGACTTGGTCGATAAGGAGGCCGAGGAAGCGTACATGAAGGGCATCTCGGGTGTGCCCTTCTACGAGATCAATGACATGTGGGAGATTTCGGGTGCACAGGATCCCCTAGCCTTCAGGAAACTGTTCACAAGGTGGAAGGAGTTGGAGGCCAAGGGGCAAGTGCCTGTAAGTGATGAGAGCGCGAAGACCTCCGCCGGAAATAGCTGCTTGTGAGAATGGGAGCAGATTTGAGGCGCGAGGGTTTGATCTGTCGGCCTCGCGGAGTCGAGACGGGTCGCCGTCACTTTGGAAGCATCACAAAAACACAAGAAATTGTCCATAGGAGCTGGATACATCTCTTTCCCTAATCTAGCCATTGTGAATCCCTCTTTTCTACATGTGATCTAGCTGTATAGTACAGTACTGTTCAACGTTTGACTTTTCCTTGTCCTTTAACATCCTGCATTGAGCATACAATGATCCCTGTCGGAAAGATCCTATTCGAGGATCTGGGCTGGGATCCGAAGCCGTTGTCCTTCGGCCTTGTGTCGTCGAATGTGGGCAAGCGTGTGCTGGTCAGTCTTCACCCATTTCCCGTGAGCAGGACTTCGCTAATCCGCTCCTCACCTCCTCATCTTTCACGTTCCGAACTCGTCTTTGAGTGCTGGTGTTCGGATGTTGTCGCCTCCTCTCTCCCCGTGTCAAAGTGCTGTCCACTTGGGGTATCGTCTTCTAGAGAGTTCCTTCCGAGGTCCTGGGGCTCTTGGGTCGAGGCGAGCCTGTCCACATGTCTCTCGGCGTCCTCGGGGTTGGCTCCCTCAGTCGCCATTGTAAATGCCTCTGATCCGCGGCGGGTGATCATATCGCTACTTTCTAGAGGCGCAGGCTCTGGTGATCTCACCTGAACATCGTCTCCGACAGGCTTTTTGAAAGTCCTGAGGTGCCTGTACTTTTTCTCCACGATATCCGGCTCCTCCAGGTGCTCTGGCAGGCCTAACGAGAGCGGACTGTTCCGATCGAGAGTCTCCAGCTTAGGAATCTGGTAGGTCTCTTTCTCTCCGCTCTCGATCCAGTTCCTTTTCACATGCTTTTCGAAGCGGTCGGCGGCTTCTCGTAGATCATTCCACGCAGCTTCTTGCTGTGCAATCATTTTGGCTCGGACTTTCTCGTCGTTCCATGCATCCTCGAAGGAGCCTGACAAGGAGTAGTGTTCGGGCAGGTTGTATTTTTGCAACTGTTTGGCGTGCTCTGCCCGATATTTGGGAGATGTCATGACCAGCCACCGAAGCTTCCAACCCAGCATGCCCAATTCCTTTATCCGAGCGGGCTTCATCCCAGTGACATATTGATCTATGCCACCACACTTGCTGATGGTCCTCATGACTCGGGCAGTAATGGGTATCTTCAGCTCTCTGTTCAAAGCCTCACTTCTTACAGTCTCGACCCGAACATTGGGGAACCAATGCCGCAAAGACTTTCCCTTATTCCTGCCCTTGGAGATCTTGCTTCCAGATTGCACCGTGGCGCCACCATAGAGACCGAAATTTGCTTCAGGAAAATGCTTGTTCTCGCCGTAAGGGTAGGGTGGCATCAAGGGGTCTGTATGTCGCAAACGGTAAATGTCTAGCAAAGTGTGTTTCCTATCTTCGAGCTTAAAGGTGAATCTAGGCTTGAAGTATGGATTTGAATGTTTGACCGGGTGTCTGTACGCAAGATATTGGAGGGAGGTAGGACTGCGGAGCACCTCAGGGAGCTTCGTGATGGTAGTGGGAGCCGCCATTGTGACAATTGACGCTGCTGGATCAAAGGAAAGGAATCAAAGTAGGGACAGTGAGGGCGGTCGAGAGGGAAGAGCAGGAAAAGCACCCGCGTGTAGTAGTCCGCGCAGGGCGAGTGTGGTGACTGTTGCTGGGTGTACGGAGTAAGAAAATAAAGAAGCACAATTGAACCTTCTACTGTTTTTAGCGTGCATTTCTCAACTTCAAAGACCCAAGACTGTGACAGCCACCGTTTGACCACAAAAACTCACTTGCAACAACCTCCTTCTCACCTTTTGGTGCACGACGCGACAAGTCTCCTGTCCTCTCTGGCCATCTCTTCAAAAGTTAGCGACGATGGTCAACATCAGCGAAGTCAAGGGCAATGCGCGCGAAAACCGAACTGCGGCGCATACCCATATCAAGGGATTGGGCTTGCGTTCAGACGGCACCGCTGAACCCTCTGGCAATGGATTCGTCGGGCAGGCTGCAGCCCGTGAGGTATTTTGTCCATGTTTAACCAAATATAGCGAGTCTTTTAACAACGAATAGGCCTGCGGAGTGGTTGTAGACCTGATCAAAGCCAAGAAGATGTCCGGACGAGCAGTACTACTGGCGGGAGGACCTGGCACCGGCAAGACAGCTCTGGCACTGGCAGTATCGCAAGAGTTGGGAACGAAGGTGCCTTTTTGTCCGATCGTCGGCAGCGAAGTTTACTCAGCAGAGGTCAAGAAGACCGAATCTTTGATGGAGAATTTCAGAAGAGCAATCGGTAAGCGGAAACTCCTGATGCACACGCAATCAAATGCTCATCATGGTCTACAACAGGACTCCGAGTGCGCGAAACGAAAGAAGTCTACGAGGGCGAAGTGACCGAACTCCTCCCTGAAGAAGCAGAGAACCCTCTCGGTGGCTTTGGCCGTACCATCTCCCACCTAGTTATCACGTTGAAATCCGCCAGAGGTACGAAAAAGCTCCGTCTCGACCCCAGCATATATGAAGCCATTCAAAAAGAGCGAGTCACGGTTGGCGATGTGATATACATAGAAGCCAATACGGGAGCATGCAAGCGGGTGGGTCGATCAGACGCCTACGCGACGGAATTCGACCTCGAGGCAGAAGAATACGTGCCTGTTCCAAAGGGAGAAGTCCATAAAAAGAAAGAGGTCGTGCAAGACGTGACTTTGCATGACCTGGATATCGCCAATGCCAGACCTCAAGGGGGCCAGGATGTTATGAGCATGATGGGCCAACTGATGAAGCCGAAGAAGACGGAGATCACAGACAAATTGAGGGCTGAGATCAACAAGGTGGTGAGTAGATATATTGATCAGGGTGTGGCGGAACTGGTCCCTGGTGTCCTCTTCATTGACGAGGTGAGTACATGGCTATTCCGCGCGCCGCGACGTTGTATTGACGGGGCTTTGCCAGGTCCACATGCTCGACATTGAATGCTTCACCTATCTCAACCGTGCCCTCGAATCCCCCATAGCCCCGATCGTCATTCTCGCCTCGAACCGAGGCAACACACTCATTCGCGGCACGCAGGACATCACCGGTGCTCACGGCATCCCTCCAGACCTTCTTGCCCGCTTGCTCATCATCCCCACACACCCATACAACGCTTCCGAAGTCCAGACTATCATTCGGCTACGCGCGAAGACCGAGGGCCTTGCAATCTCCGAGCCTGCGCTGGAGAAGGTCGCGCAGCATGGCACGAATGTCAGTTTACGGTACGCATTACAACTATTGACGCCCAGCAGCATTCTTGCCAAGGTCAACGGCAGGACGGAGATCGGTGTCGAGGATGTAGCAGAGTGCGAAGACCTGTTCATCGATGCGAGAAGAAGCGCCAAAGTCGTGGAGCAAGCAGGAACTTCATTTATTAGTTGAGGGCTTGGAAGAAAAGGATCACCAGAGTTGTTTATTGTGTCCCTGACCGATCAGAGCAAAGGCGTTGACTTGCAGAACGAAGCCCAAAAAGCAAAGACCAAATGTCTACAGCGTGTGGGATACTGCTCTCGATGATGAGTGTCGAGCCTCAGCTGAGGAAACTAAAATTCCTTCAGTGCATTCCAGTGCGGCCCTGCGGGTGCCGGAGAAATCACGGAGATCCTCCCGCCTTTCTCAACAGCACAACTACTGGGCGAAATCACTGCCAGAAGAACCATGAAGAAATGAAAGGGGGGACTTGTGGATGGATGGTAAGGACAGATGGATCGTGTAAAACAGCCAAAATCTGAACGGTTCTTAGGATTCAGATTCATTAAGACTCGGAATATATTTTAGGAACTGTCCGAGCGGCGAAACACCAGTATCGTAACTTCTGGTCTGCGTAGAATGGCAGGGCACTGTACTCAGTATTTTCCAATTAATATCCTCTCTCCGACTCTTGCTTCTTTTGACACAGAGAGCGGTCCACAACGTGGGTACACCGCAACTACGAGGGAATATGTGCAGAGGGCGATCGGAATAGAGGGACATAGATCACTACCTGCACAAGATACTGGTCAGCGCATGAACTCGATAGGTACATGGAAAATAACAAGCTTCTCAAGTAAAGTTCCAGTCAGACATCCAAGGAAGATTTGCCGCTCAACGACACCTGGACTTAAAATAGGTTCATATGCCAGGGCTAGCGTGGAAACTGCGAATGTGGAAAAGGTTTTCATCATAGGAAACGGGTGTGTAGGCGAGAGGCGATGTGAGGCAAGGTGGAAGTAGGGACAACGTACCTTGACAGCATTTTGCTACAGAGTATGCTCACGTCCACAACCACAAGTCGGCTGCTCTTTTGAAATCCTGGACTACTGATCAATAACGGACCACAAAAAACAAACAAACAACAGGTTTTGGGAAGGTGTTAAATAGTCAGACATAAAATACTGGCTAGCAACAGACTGTTCAGCGATGACAGTCCGAATGTTTCTTCAAGGGCGACTCAGGATAGAAAGAAGAAGAGTTTTGGGTTGTCATCTTGCAAGCTGGATATCAAAAAGCTGGGGTATTTGTGGGAGTGTGCTTACCATGCCTTGAGACTGCCCGGCACTGAGACACCACCGAGCAATACTCGTCAGAATATGGAGAGCAATCGAGCATCTGTATGTGTGTGAGCAGAGAAAAGGACGAGAAAAAGATGGGCCGAATTTATGTTCTTGAAACGGCGAGCCACTAGTGCTCGACTTGGTCAAGCGTAGCACCGGCAAGATTGCTTGGCGGGTTATTGGGGGAAGTCGTGCCGGGCCTGCCAGGTCGGGTTCGCTGGGTTTCAACTTGGGCCCTGACGGCCGCTTTCTCCCACCCCCCCCAGTATCATCCGTGATCTGTAAGTGTCTCTCCCTGCACCTGCAACACCTGCAGATCCTGAAGTTGCACCTGCGACTGGGAATCTGATCTTCAGTGTCTTCAACCACACCCCAGGGCCTGGACAGTGTCTGCCATTCAGTCTCAGCTGGCGCTCTCGCTGTCTTGTCGCTCTTTTCGCTCTCATCACCCTCGACTGTGCTCTTGGAGCCTGCCTCCTGATTTCCGACCGATTCTCATCCACTTTTACCGGGGGGTCATCAGATCACGAGTACCACTACATTGTACCAGCCCGATAACATCGCAACTGCTACCCTCACCACACTCGGATCATCTGCCTCACCTAGCTACTCGCTTCAACTTCTATTTGGCGACTCGTGAGAGAATGAAATGGTCATGAAGCCTCTGCGCGCCTCCATCACTGCCGCCACCGCCCGATGATTCGATTATCGTCGTTGTCGCGACACTGACCTAGCCCCCGTCAGACGACCCTGGCCCCCGGCGAAACATCGTCCAGACCAGGATTTCAACAATACATCCACGCCGCGTCGCCTACTGGCAGGCACATACATCTACCCTCATACCCGTCCGGTTGCATGAAGTCTCCAGATTATACAAATGTGACAACAGTTCGTTCCGTGCCGAACAACCACAGCGTCTTTCCGCCAAAAAAGTGGGGCCAGAGGGTATCGGAGGTGGGAAAAAAGAGAAGGACCAGAAGAAACCCAACAGAAGTTTATCAGAGATACCGCCTTCAACGTCGCGCAGACACTGCGATTTGATATATCGCTAGACAATCATCCCCAAAGATGATGGCCCAAAGCTTCCCGCACCATGCGGGCATCGCTCCGGGGCATCCTGGAATACCTCCAGGTCACCCCATGGGAATGCAACATCCTGGCGCTGGTCACATGGGAGGTCAACCTGGACCCGGCATGATGCAGGCCATGCATCCAGGGGTGTCTGCCCCCCAAGTCACTCAAGGACCGATTGTCACTGGGATGCCACCCGGTGCGGGAACTCCTGCCCCCGGGCCCATGCACAACGGTATGGCCATAGCCCATATGAATCCTCAGCAGGCCATGTTTCCGCAGCATAATCCGCAAATGAACTATGGCCAGGGGATGATGACGCCGCAGCAACAACAGTTCATGGCGCGCCAGCGCATGATGCAGCAGATGTCTCAGGCGCAAGCACAAGGCATGCCCATGGGAATACCAAATGCGCCCGGCTTTAATCAGGCACAACTGGCGCAAATGAAGATGGGCATGGGCATGCACCCGCAAATGCAGATGAACCCCAACCACCCTCAGATGCAAACCCTCCAACAACATCAACACAATCAGCAGCAGTTGATCCGCGCTCAACAAGCCCAGGCTCAGGCGCAGCAACATGCGGCGCAAATGGCTGCTGCTGCTCAGAACCAAAGGGCGGCGGTAGCTCAACAAATGCAAATGTCACGGTCGCAAGAACAGACTACTCAACCTCCTCAATCACAACCCACGCCCGCGCCCCAAACACAACCTCCTCAACAACCCCCTCCGACCTCACAACCCCAAGCTCAGCCCGCTCAACCCAAGCCTCAGCCGCCACAGCCACAACCCGTAAATAACCAACCGCAAAGCCAACCGGTCAGTCAGCCAGTCAAGACCACGGAACCGGAAGAGGAGCCTCGTGTGAAGCAGCAGCAAGAAACGGCCCCCAACATGATTCTGTCCGAACTACCCAAACAAGACATGATTGGAGGCCAATGCATCTTGAAGTTGATCGAGTATCAGGATCTTCTGGCCCACCCGGAACGACCAAATGATCTGGACTACTGGGAAGCATTAATCACCAGATTCTTTTCGCCGATCGGATCATTGAGACAGCAGTTTTACAACACCAAATCTGGCAATGATAAATCCTTCCAGCTCCAGTTTCCCTGCCTCGCCCGCTACTACCATTCATACTTTGCGAGCGGAGTCAAGCAAATCCTGCTACAGTCTTTTGAACATACCCAAACCAAGACGGCGAACGGCGGCGTCCATATCACGAGCAGCAGTGCGAGTCTGACCTATGTTTTTGGCAACGACATTCGAGTGACCACCAACGGACAGCTGCGCGTCCTTTTTGATGACGTTCAAGCCATCGAACATCTGAATATCAGCTCAACGGGATGGCAAGAGTACATCCCACGTAATGTCCTGTCGCAACCCATGTCGCCAGAAATGAAACAGAGTCCCAAAATCACGAACAAGAATCTCAAACGGACCCAAGGCAAGTCAAATGTATCAGGAGCAGGGCTAGTTATACCTACCTCGGGCGTGGGTGAATGGGGTGTTCCGCAGCACATCTCCCAATTTTTAGAGGTATGTAGTTCTTTGGGATTGCCGCACAATGACTAACATGTCGCCAGATCGCCGAGGTCATGACGGCCATGGGTCCACTGATGGAGTATTACCAGCAACATCCCGGAATCTCGCCCAAAGACACGCTGTTACGAGTCACGCAGGAAAACGCGCAAAATATGGCCCAGGCTAACAGCGTGCGGTTGAACCAGATGACGAGGGCTCCCAATGGCCAAGTGATGTTTCCCAACCAGATGAATCCTGGCATGAATGGGCCAAACATGATGAACTCCCCCGCTATGGGCCATCTTAACGTCCCTCAAGCTCAAGGATCACCGATGATGGGAGGCCCAGTGCATACACCGAGTCCCGCCCAGAATCCGACTGCGGGAGGTGTCGCCATGATGCACCAAATGAGTGCTCAGGGATCCAATTTGAGCGGGAGTCAAGGCCCGAGCACAAACACTAGTCCGAACGTGTCGAACAAGAGACGACGCACAAGTGTGGTCAAGACAGAAGAAGAAAATGGGCAGGGAGAGGTGAATGGAGCCAACAAAGTCAAACCAAGTCCAAAGCTTGGTGGCAAGCGGCAGAAGGGATCTGCATGAGCTTTGAGCCATCTCTCGGGGTTGTTTAGGTTGTCCCCTTGACAGAACCCGATGCTGTTCCGTTGTCCTGTCGGAGGGTGTAGGAGCCGTCCGGCGTGGACTTTCTGCGTCCGTCGAGGGACCCCCTGACGTCGTGATCTGGAGCTGGATACTCTCTGGGAGAATGGTGTCATGGTTTTGTTTTACTTCATTTTGCATATACCCGCCTTGTGTGGAACTGTCTCCCAAGGGGGTCGGTGTTGCGAGTCGGGAAACGGCAGGAATTTCTCGGCCTCGTTGCGGTACAGGGCGCCAAATGTGCCGGCGAAACGACATATTGCTGTCCAGATTAGCCGCGACGACTTTTCTTTGGGGAGCTTGCGACAAAGAGGCTTGCACACGGAGAAAACGGGCGGCTGGGCAGCTTCGACGCGATTTTGTATCATTATTTCGACTTTCTATGTTTACCACGGTGAAGAATATTGAAGCTTCGGCGGAGCTTGCTGACCTCGGATGTTCTGAATATATTACGCTCCAACGCGACATGGGCATACGAGCGGCAAGAGGAGGAGGGCGATGCTGAATGAAGTTGACCCACAAGGATGAGAAAAGGTGGTGCATGTGGAGGGACATTGGTACTGGCGCGCCGGACACTGGTGGTGCGACACGCAAGCAAGAAGGAGTGGTATAGCGGGTGGGCGTCGGGATGGGAAATCTGAGAATCGGGGATTATGTCAATCAAAGTATCGCCGCTGCTTGCTAATAGAACTGAGATATCTCTACGGAGAAATTTCTACTTAATGCCTTTCGAGACGTCTCATGAGTCGGTCGAGTGAATTGTCTCGAAGATTAACAGTCACGTGGAGAGCCAGTCCTTTATATCAGAGAAGCGACAGGCAAAGCTCCGCATCTGCACAAAGAGGGTGGCAGTTTCGGTCGTTTGAGATGACCTGACGTTCCAATGAATATATTGCTTTGGATTTGAGTGTATAGACCCCTCTAGACGGGGAGGGGTATGTGGTTTTTGTAGAGTGGAAGATTTATTAAAGACTTGTCTACACATATTGCGGCTGTGGGCGGAATTGGGGAATGTTGCAGTCAATATTATGTTATATGATATCAGCAACAAGAATATAACATGGAGGGACACACCTCAAGACTTCCCACCACAGAATCGATCTCCCTTTCCCTGTGGCCATAACCCTAGCCTTGTTCTCGCAAGGAGAATCATCCCCGTCGGCGCCAGCAGACGTCGTTTTCATTGTCATCGTCAGCGACAGTAGCAGCAGCACGATAAGCCACATACTGTATATTTCACGGGGCTTTCCCCTTCTCTCTCCATGGTTTCGTCGTCCTCTCGGCGTCGGGAGGAAGCATACGTCGAGATGGTCAATGAGGAGGACAATAACCAGCAGGGGTCACCAGAAGATCCCCGTGTCGACACGGTCCTGGTCGGCCTCTCGGGCCCGTCGTCGAGCGGCAAGACGACGCTGGCGAGACTGTTGCGCGAGATCTTCAACCTCGATCACGCCGCCGAGGAGGGCTGGAAGATCAGTCTGTTCATCCTGCACCAGGACGACTTTTACAAAACGGATCAGGAGTATGTATTTACTATTACTATTATTATTATTATTACCTGGTCTATTCTCTTTTCCATATCCGTGCCGAGTTCAAGATCTCGGTGGAGGCTCTTGTGATGCTTGAGCCCATGTCCGGGGGAACTGTCCAGTCCTCGCTCTCTCGCTCCCTCTCTCTTCCTTTGATTGTTCCCTTCCTCCTCTCACTGACCGATAACACGACAGCATTCCGACGGTCACCATATCATCCAAGGAATTCGGCACCCGCGAGCTGCAGGACTGGGACTGCATCGACTCCCTGGACCTGCCGTTGTTCGAACACACCCTCACCCACCTCCGCAACCACGGCCATCTCCCGCCCGAAAGCGTGTCGAAGGAGGACCAGAACAGCGTAGGCCACAGCGGCGTTTCTCCCGCCGAGGTCGACGAACACAGAGAGAAGGTCCGGGCGCGGATAGACGAGCTGGTTCGGAAACGAGACAGCAAAGGGACGGAATCCGGCACAGGCAAAGAAATTCGCATCTACATCGTCGAGGGATTCCTCCTCTACCCGCAGCCGTCATCTTCTTCGACCAGTGCTTCTTCAACCTCGTCCGACTATCCTCACTCCGCGGCGGGGTTGCACCACCTCCACCACCTCACCCACACGCTGCTCCATCCGCTGCTGTTCCTCCCCTCGACACGCACCCAGACGCTCACCCGCCGCGCGGCGCGCTCCGGCTACGTCACGCTGGAAGGTTTCTGGGTCGATCCGCCCGGCTACGTCGAGGACCTCGTCTGGCCCAACTACATGCGCTACCACGGGTGGATGTACAAGGATGGCAATGTGGACGGGGATGTTTTCGACGAGGACAGCTGCGAGCGGGAAGGCGTACAGGTCTGTCCGGGCGCGGGCGGATGGAACATGAAGCAGGTGTTGGACTGGGGTGTCCAGAGAGTGGAAGACGTCATCAAGGAGCGGTTGCAGGTGTAAAGAAGTGAGACAAAGAGTCTGGTCGATTTCGATACAAGCATTATAGATGAGGCGAACGACGGTGGTATAGCGCGCCTCTTTGGACGGTCTTTTGTCTAATCAACAGGAAGTGCGAACCCTATCCCTTTTTCCTTTTCCTTTTTTCAAGCACAGATTAAGAATGCATTCTTCGGCTCAGTCCAATCGTAAAAGAGTCTCAATCCCTCACCTTGACCGTGTCTCGAGCCTTCTCATTCTCCTTCTCGGTTGGAAATCCTAATCTAGGCGCTTTCTTCTTCTTTCCGCGCTTGTCCCCAAACTGTTCATCAAACTTCTTAATATCCCTCAGGCTCGACATATCCTCCGAGATGCTGGCTGAGATCTCGTCCAAGGCCTTGTCAAAGTGTCTCTTTGTGAGCGTACGTCGTTCGGGATGCTGATATGGTTCCTCCCCCTTGTGCTGCTTGGCTAGTTCGTTCTCCTCCCTGACACAATTCAAAGCCGCCGCAACGGCAACATTCTTCAAGTCGGAGCCCGAATAGAAGGGGGTCTTTCTGGCAAGATCTTGTAAGTTGACATCCTCGCCGAGTTTCTCGCTGCGCAGGTGAATTTTGAGGATCTCCAACCGATCAGGCTCTTTGGGAAGATCAACGAGTAAGCGGCGCGGTAAGCGGCGAAGAACAGCATCATCGAGATCCATGGGCCGGTTAGTCGCCACCATAATGAATGCGCTCCCCGAGTCATTGCTCATCCCGTCCCATTCTTTCAGAAATTGGTTGAGGAGTTCGCGATGGCTGACTCGCCGACCTTGATTGCTCCTGGCACTGAACATAGCGTCCGCCTCGTCCAGGAAGACAACGCAAGGTGAAAGCTTCCTAGCTAGGCTGAATAGTGCCTTCACATTCTTCTCTCCCTCGCCAACATACATATCATTAATGTCTGCCGCGCTGACCTCAAGCATTGTCGCACCAGATTCTTTGGCGACCGCTTTCGCAGCCAGAGTTTTACCTGTGCCTGGTGGGCCGTAAAGCAGAAGGCCTGGGATCTTATCGGAAGCGAGGACACCATATTTGAAAGCTTCAGGGCGAATCAATGACAGAGTAGTCAAGGTTTGAAGGGTATCAATGGTCTCAACCGGCATGTGCACGTCGTTAAAGGTTGTGTTAATGTTCTTCGCCTCAATAATGCCCCCCATCAATCGTTTCTCATATTTGGTAGCCGATGCACGTATTCTGGCAAGTCGGTCGTTATTGCTCAGATGACGTTCTGGAATTTCCTTCTTCGCTTCCTTTGATTGCTTGTCTGCCCACCGGATCTTGGTCTTGTCACTGTGGTTCAAATGGGACGTTGCAGCACTAATGATGGGCTGTGGTTGGTCTTTGGATGCAGGGGTATCGACTTCACCGTCACGAGTTGTCGGAACAGTTCCTGCAATATAGGTGGCTAACCGTTGCACGTACTGGTGATTCCACACCTGCCCTTCCAAACATGATCTGTCGCTGCGAGTGATGCGGTCGGAGAAATCATTGCGCCAGAAACCTGGTTCGAGATGAGCGAAGACAGAAGGCTTCCAATATCTCAATGTCTCCCAGAGGTGTCTCATATTGACCGTGGAAATACGTTGCTTCCTATCGTGGAGGAGTGCAAGCTTGGACGTAGTATTTGGCAAGACCGGTGTCAAGACGATGTTTTGTGACTTTCCATCTTGTCCGCCACTTTGGGACTCGTTAATACGTTCCCGGGTGAAAGGTTCTTGATCCTCGCGAGCAGAATCTGTACCGATCAGCAGAACGCATTCGCCTTTACTTCTTCGTTGAGCTAGTTGCCTATGAAGGCTGTTCAGAAATGAGCGACCCATGTCCAGACTCTGGATGGCCCTGAAGTCTCTGACATGGACTATTGCGCCACCTTTTGGGACACCACTCCGGTTTGCTGCAGTCTCTCGTTGCCGCTCCAGGTCGCTGATCTGCTCTTTCCCCGGCAGGCCCGTAGCGGTTCGCCGATCCGACAAGCTCTTTAATAATTTGTAGATGAGTCCAGACAGTCCACCTTGCTCATCTCTTGGCTTTTGAGAATCGCCAAAGTCTGGCCACATTCTCAGCGTGCCTCGAGGCATTTCTGACCGCATACCGTCCCCAAACTCTGGGATCTGTCCGATTATCGTCTTCAAAATCGCCGTAGGCTTTCCGATGAACATGGGCATCCCTATGCGGGGAGAAACAGGTGTGGAATCCAGGTCGTCCATCATGTCGTCGATATCTCCATCGTCATCATCCATATCTTGTGCTTCGTGTGATGAATTGTTTTCGGAGAGGTCTGGAAACGCGGTGGACAGCACGTCGTAGCTGAGCATACGACCGGCTTTGGCCGTGCTTGGATTTGTATGATTCCGGTGGATCAGATCTGCAATGTCTTGAGCGTCCACTACCATCAGATCGCAGCCGAGGTGACGTGCAATATCCTGGACGAGATGGTCAAGCAGTAGATCGCCATCCTTGCCCGCGTATTGTAGGTGAAGGTGATCTCTGAAGGAGTCGACACCATTTTGCGAATTCTGGTTTCGTGATACCTGCATGAGACCTCTTGCAGTCCGCATGACCTCTTCATATTGTTCGTCTACGACGTGGTACCTCAAAGTTGTCGATGGACTCGACGAAGATTGTAATATTTCTGGTTGCTCTAACTTGTCCGTTGCCACTGTTGGTTTCCCTTGCGAGTTGTGGATTGGGTCAGGGCCGCTGCCTTTACCTCCTGAACCCTCTGAAGGAGCACTGCCCGAGTCTGGGGAATGGCTTTGTTCAAGGGGCTCGCCGGTGAGTAGGTCCGCGGCCACTGTTTTGATTCGCGAAGGGGCACCAGGAGCAAGAAAATCTGACCCGAAGAGGGTCACGTTGCTGTCCATGAACCATTCCGGAGCTTGATATTCCGTCTCTCCATCTTTGTTCATGCGATTCCGCAGTCTTCGCTTCGCGGGCGACCCGTAGAAGTCTTTTGCTCGAGCATCGTCCGAGGGCTCAGCGACAGGGCTGTCGCGGGGCCCGGGTCGATGTTGCTGGGCGGGTGTCGATCCCTCTTCGACATGTTCGTTATCTCTTGCTATCTCCGTGCGAGCAGCTCCACGGCTCTTTGAATCATCACTGATCCCACGGCTACTAAGTGAGGCAATGCTATTCGACGGTTTCTGAGCGGTCCGAGGGCGAGGCGTAGTACAAAAGGAGCGGCGGGGGTTTCGTGACTGTTGCCGAGCGCAATGTCGACAACTGGAGCAAATGATCTGCGAGAACCGTAGTTCCGCCTGGAGAGTTGAATGCATTCGAGTGAGCGACGAGAAGCGTATAACACGAGGGAAGGGAGAACAGTCCGTTGAAATCATTGAAATTATGGCGACAGGTCCGGGCGGAAGTAATACACCACCGTACAGACTTGAATTGGCATGTTTGCTCCGCCGGACTTTTTGGATTTCTCATTTTTCGCCTTGACAGAAAATCCAAGAGACTTGCCTCAATTCACTAGAGTACAAGGATGGCACCGACATTATGCGAGATCTGTAAAGACTCGCGGGCAGCAGTCATACGACCAAAGAACTCTCAGAAGATCTGCAAACATTGTTTTTTGTCCGTATTCGAGGCTGAGATTCACGACACCATCGTGAGTAGTAAACTGTTCCAGCGCGGAGAGCGTGTTGCCATCGGCGCATCTGGCGGCAAGGACTCGACAGTTCTTGCGTCGGTGTTGAAGACCTTGAACGAGCGCCACGACTATGGCCTCGACCTCGTGCTGTTATCCATCGATGAAGGTATCAAGGGTTATCGAGACGACAGCCTCGAGACTGTGAAGCGGAATGCCTTACAGTACGAAATGCCCCTCGAAATTGTCGGATATGACCAGCTCTACGGATGGACAATGGACCAAGTCGTAGCCCAGGTAGGCAAGAAGGGAAATTGTACCTACTGCGGCGTATTTCGCCGACAGGCACTGGATCGAGGGGCGGCGAAGTTGGGCATCAAACACGTCGTCACCGGCCACAATGCTGATGATCTTGCTGAAACCGTCATGATGAATCTACTTCGTGGCGATCTACCACGGCTGGCAAGGGCAACCTCGATTACGACGTCTAGTTCTGCGAGTGAGATCAAGCGGAGTAAGCCGCTGAAATATGCGTATGAGAAGGAGATCGTTCTCTATGCTTACCACAAGAAATTGGACTACTTCAGCACAGAGTGCATCTACTCGCCAGAGGCATTCCGAGGAAGCGCCAGAACGTTGATTAAAGACTTGGAAAAGATTCGACCCAGCAGCATATTGGACATTGTCAGAAGTGGAGAGGACATGGCCGCGCTCGTGCCCCCTGAACTGGCAACTTCGTCGTCCTGTGGCGCAGAAGGTGACGAGCAGACAAACGGCTGTGGCGGTCAAAACCAGACCAGCGGCTCCATGGTCCGTTTAGAAAAGGATCTAACCGCCAACGAACCCGCCGCCGGACGCGAGACGGAGATCCATTTGCCCCAGCCAGAGGTGCAAGCAAGCATCCATGACAAGAAACAACGAAGGCGCCGAAAGGTGGTCAAACAGGTCATGGGCCAATGTGAGAGATGTGGTTATCTATCCAGTCAAAAAATTTGTAAGGCTTGTTCTCTGCTGGAAGGACTCAACAAGAGCCGGCCACGCACTTCCATTGAAGTGGAGATCGAAGACGAAGAGGGAAGTACGACGTTGATGAGGCAGACTGCTGGCCTCGTCATCTCTGCTGGCTGAGCTCAGGAGGTTTTCCGTGTTGAGGCGATCCGTCCGTCGATCGCTGCAGCCATTCTCAACCATGCTCTTTCCATCAGCAAGAGTGCTATCTGCACAAGGAGAATCACAAGTCTCAGCAGATAATTCTTTATTGTCAGAGTGGGCCTCTTCGCCTTGGAAAATGTCGGATCGACGAACTCAAAAGGCAGTCTTGCCCCTAAACAATTGATGGCAACCGACAGCCCACTACTGAATCCATCTTCAGGAAGGCCGTATTTCGTCCAAGCTCCGCAGTAACTGATGTTCTTGGTGTTTTGAATCTTGGACAGCAGTTTCTGTGATTTGATTGCGGTAGCATTGTATTGGGGATGGGCATATTCCCAGATTCCCTGCGCCAGTCGAGGATGGGGCATATTCAAAGGGTTGAGTGTGACCAGGACCGGTCCTAATTGACTTTGTGGCATTTCATGCAGTACGTTCATCCAATACGTCAGACAGCCTTTGGAAACCTGCTTACTCCTGGTAGGCGGGAATGGGGACTCAGTGATATAGTTCAAGGATGACCACGCCTGTCGTCGCTTTGGCATCAGTGAGAGATCAGTGTGTAACACGGCAACAATTCTATTGGTGCGGAAACCTCTCAAAATGTCCGACTCCTCTCTGGTTATTTGCGGTTGTAAGATCTCCAGAGCTTGAGCGGCCTGCGTTGCGACTATCACATGGTCGAATTCATGGTCCTTTCCATTCGCCGTCAACACGACAATACCTTTGTCGCTTGGAGTCAGTGAAGTGACATTGGAATCGAGATGGATTCTGTCGGCAGAGAAATCTTCCATCACTGCTTCGATATATCGCTCAGCTCCACCAGAGATGGTCCACCAATCCGAGAATTTGGCAGCAACATCCAGCATGTGTTGGTTGTACATGAAGCGAACCAAGGTGCGAGCGAGGAACTCCAGGGAACATTCATCAGGGTTCGTGCCCCATATCGCAGCTGTCATGGGAATGAGATAGTTATCGCGGAATTCCCTGGAATAGTTTTCGCGTTCGAGATATTCACCGATACTCTCTTGTGACCGATGTTCCATTTTTTGCTGGATTTCCTGAGTGGTGGAATCCTCCTCACTGTCATCTTCTTGGAGAAGATCAAGCGCGAATTCGTTGAATCGGATGACTTCAAAAATCAATTTCCACATGCTGGGCCTGAAGATATTCCTCTTCTGGGCAAAGATGGAGGACCACGACGTCCATGCCCACTCGAACGCCCCTTGGTCACGGGAGATGCCAAAGGTCAGGTCAGTCTTCTTCAACTGAATACCCAACACTTGGAGGAATCGGAAGAAGTTGGGGGAGGTAGCACCGTTGATGACAACCAAACCAGCATCAACTTCGACCTTCTGACCATTGGATCCTTCGTATGGAATGGAGTTCGTGTGCCCACCTAGTCGGGATGCTGCCTCAAATAGATGGATTTCATGGCGAGTGCTGGTGTTCAGCGCCCATAAAGCACCGAGACCTGAGCAGCCGCTGCCCACGATAGCCACACGCTTGCTCATGGCTGGGAGACGCAAGAAGGCTCAGCTAAGAGTCGCTCTGTAAGATATCGACGTGTGGCCTGATTCCTTCGCATAATTGATGGTTTAGCCGGCTCACCTTCGAGTCAGTGCTCGGGCATCAACGCTCAACTCGCGGGGAAATCTGACGAGCTCATAATTTCAACGTCTCTTAGGATCAATGATCCCCACTCATAGAAGTATTCTGGTCTTAAAGTTCCTGGTCAAAGTCAATTCAAAGCCGTGGCTGGGGGAGTACAGCTGCATTAGGGACACGAGGGACAAAAGCGGCGTCGGAGATTTCCGAAACGGAACAGGCTTGCGACTCTCGCCTCGCTGCCGACGTCAATTGCGAACAGATTCCGGTGGCCCTACGTCCTCCAACCACACCTCGCGACCTGATATCGACAAGTCAACTGTACCATCTTCTTGACCTCATACTCCAGAGACCATATTACTATTCCCACGCTTGCGAACGACCCTCCCTTACAGACAAATCATCTCCTTACCCGAGACCCCCCAACTTCCAAATCGTCCTCTCTGGCGTTCTCCTTCAACTAGGCGCCACTAAATTGCACCCTGCCACTGGCACCCATCTCCAACCTCTTCGCGAGGAGTCACGATAATGGCAAACCCACTCGATACCGATGCGGGCTCGGAACTCTTCAGCACGTATGAAGCCGAGCTGAGACTTGTCCAGGCAGATGTGAATCAGAAACTGGATCAGATCCCCGAACTCTCTGGGGAGGAGAGGAAAGTTGCGATTCGAGGCGCAGAGAGGGCTCTCGATGAAGCCAAGGAGCTGGTATGTATTCTTCGACATGAAGAGAAAGGCCTTCTCTCTGACTTCCTGGCACATAGCTCGACCAGATGAACCTGGAGAAATCCAACATCCCGACCTCCCAACGGAGCAAAGTCAACTCCCGCTTCCGCAACCATCAGTCAGACATCGACATCCTACAACGGAAACTCAAATCGCTCGCCGAATCCGAGCGCAAGCAACTCTTCGGCGACAGATACACAGACGACCCCGACGCCGGGCCCAGGGATGCGCAGCTCGAACAGCGCCAGCAGCTCCTGTCCGGCACCGAGCGGCTGGGGCGCAGTTCAGAACGGTTAAGAGAGTCACAGCGGATAGCGTTGGAGACGGAGCAGATTGGGGCATCTACTTTGGCAGATCTCCACCAGCAGCGGAACGTCATTGAAAACACACACCGGAATCTATTGCAGAGTGAAGGTTATGTGGATCGGAGTGTCAAGACCTTGAGGGGCATGGCACGCAGGTAAGGATTCCCTTGTGATATACCACGATTGATTTGGTGGAGCTGACATGTCTGCGTTGATTTTGGTGAAACAGGATGGCTACGAACCGCGTGATTACGATCGCGATCATTACGGTGCTGGTGCTGCTTATCATCGGTGTAATATACAGCAAGTTCAAGTGATCGCTCGAGCGACAGGTCGATCTGGGATGGTTGACCGCTGTCAATCTTTATTCTTGCCGTCATACATATGAATCTACGTTGCAGGCGTTCGGAAGCTGTTCTTGGATGGGAGCGCTTGTGACAGAAGCCCTTTGCTCCAGCGGTCTCTGATGGGTATCAGTCCGGTCGGCACGCTTTTCAAGTGATAAAAAGCAAATGAACTATACAGTGTGCTCTCTAGATGATACATGTCTCTATATGTATGCTCTTCCAAGTTTGAGATACGGCGTGCTTGTTCGTGGTTAAATTTTGTTCCTTGATGCTCCCTCACCGAGCAATACCATCCACAAACAACCCCTGTCCGTGGACACGCTAACTTTTCAACCCGTATACCTGATCATGCCCAATGCGATGTTCAGAAGAAACCCAACAATCACAGCCATTTTGCGTCGCTGGCTCCAGATGCCTTCCTCGCGCACTCCCCACACCAGACAGCCGATGGGCCAGAAGAAGCCCATGGCCGTGCCCCAGATAATGTCATCCAGAGCGCCAGCCTGGGCGTCCTCCTCGCCGATGCCCGTGGTGCCCGCAGAGGCGGGAGCCTCTGCGCTCAGATCGGCATTCGCACCCGTGGAGTTGTCCAGCCACCGGTCTTCCATGTTCCTCAGCGTGTTGGGTGACGGCATGGTGTCGGGGGTGTGCGTGTGCGCCTGGATCGCGAGGAACTGGAGTCGTAGAGACTGCACCTCCGCTGCGCTGAAACCTGCGTTGAGGAGACGGTCGAAGCCGCGCGGCGCTGGTGTGGTTGTCGTTGCCGTCTGCTGGTTTGGATCAGCCACTTTGTTGTCTTCTTCCCCATCTTGACCCTCTGTCGGCTGAGCTTCTGCGGCAATCGCTGCTTCAGCTGCCAGCTCTGCGGCGGAGAGGACAACGTCGCCTATCGAGCAGTGGATGTAGATTCTCGACTGCAACGGCGGATCCCGCACGGGTTGTTTGCCTTTCACATCATTGTCTGCTTTGCCGTCAGTAGCACCATTCCCCCTCGCTGCGCCCTTGGATCTCTCATCGTATGGCCCGGGAGTGCCAATCCGGCTCGGGGGCCGGGAGACGTTTCTCTTCAACGATATGGTCAGCGGGACATCGTCCACCAAGGCTTTGCCCGAATGGATCAGGCGAATGCGATGTTTGGCATATGCATCCGGGATGCGCGACCGAATGAGCTGCTTGAGTGTGGCGGCGTTCGCGTTGAGGGACGCCGGGATCGATAGCAGGAGGTCCGGGAGGGAGGCAGAGAAGCGGATGGTAATCTCAAAGTCATAGTCTTGAGTGCTGTGTGGTGATGGTGATGGTTGTCGTTGTTGGTGTGGGAGTAGATGGGGTGGTTTTAGGGACATAAGGGCAGCGGTGGCGGTGCAGATGGGATTCTGCCGTCGCCCAGTGCGGGCATGCTGTACAAGTTATGGCCGCTTTGTAAAAGGTTGACGCACGGCGAGGAGTATTGTTATCTGTAGGACTGGGCCATGGGAATGGGAGATGGTGGTCGATGCTATGTATCAAGGTGCATGTGTTGGAGAATGCGGCTTGCCGAGCGAGTCATGGAGGCGCCACGGACGTACGTGTAGGCAATCAACACCGAAGGTATCAACTTCGATACTCACCCAACCTACGTCGCCGTTGAACATTGCTCTTCTTCTCATCTTTCACTTCCTTATTATTCGCCTAGTGCTGGTATCTTCTCTATGTAATGGCAACTTTCAACTCCTCTCTGCCGGCAGACATTTACTATGGATCCCGCCTTTACTTGCATGAGATGCCTGTTTCCAACATCGTGGATGTCTGTCCTGAGGCTTCAAGCACTATCACGAGAATACCTACGGCCTACAAGTATTCCTGGACGAAGATCATGGAGCTCTGATTGGCTAACAAAATGAACGTAAGCAGATTTCTCACAGCTCCGCCTCAAGTCACAGAACGAATGACCTTATTGACTTCATCTTCTAGGGAATACTGGGAAATTTGCCTGGTCATGAACCCAGGAAAGAACTTGCCTGGATAAAATTAATATCCAAATGCATCTTTGTTGATGGGAGGCACTTACACATGATCCACATCGCGGTATACATCGCGTATTCGGTCAAGATCCCCGCTGTGCTTCTTCTCATCTCGATTTTGATGGCTCCATCAAGGATGGCTTCGACATGCGGTTTGCGAATCTCACAATACTGTTCTGAGGCGAGTCTGATGGCGTTTTCTTCGGTCATTGTTCTCGATCTGGAGTCATAAGCCAGAGAGAGGAAATGTCTCAGTAAAAATGTGATGGTATATGCATCCTCAAGAGCAGGCGACGCTCCTTGTCCTGATGAAGATGGAAGAGCTGTCCACGTCAGCAATATCATCCTCTCAAGAGCCGAAGGCGACTGACCATGGGCCGCATCTCCAACCAAAATCACTCTGTCAGATGCCCAGGTCGGGAGCTTTGGTGTTACCCAGGTTGCAATCTTGAGCTCAATGTCTGCTTCGTTGATCAGGTGTTGAATAACTGGGTCCTTGCTCATTCCCTGCCGCCGTTGCAGCTCTTGACGTACAGTCGCGTCATCAATGTTTTTGGTGTCGCGGTCATCTCGCTGAGCTCGTGACCACCACATTCCCTGGCTTCCATATGGGCGTGTTTTGTTCTGGGTAATATACTCGTCTGACCAGACACTCTCTGAGGCGGCGCAGAACGGCCCATAGCCAAAAAAGCCGTCGGGGCCGAATGCCATAACAACCTGGCTCTTCAGAGGCCTCAGGTCTGCGTTTTCCGGCGGGAGTTGTGGGAGCCATTTCGAAGACATGAAGCCCCCCACAGAATAGAAGCCGCTGACGGCAATTAGTTAAATACGGACCGCCACCTGAATCATATGCATACGTATAGATTGGTGGATATATGTCTCCGACCACGGCTTCTTTGACGACGCTCTTGATCCCGTCAGCCCCGATAACTAAGTCAAACTGCTCCTCACTGCCGTCCTCGAATCGCAACACAGGCTTCCCAGCAGGAGATCTGCCGACCACGGCGACTTTCTTGCGCACCAGGACTTCATCTGGAACTTCGTCTCTGAACTATAAACTAATCAAAACCTGTGCTGGGATAGCTAGAAACGTTGGCAAAAGGGCATGGAGCCAAAAAAGAAAGGTGCCCCTTTATCTGCAAAAAAAGTACGGCCTGCGCTGATAACAGGGTATGCACTACTTACACATTCCCATATTCCTTGTCTCCTACTCATAACCATTATCTCAGGCTCACGTCTGAGATCGACCGTTGGGATCGAACCAATTGTCCAGCCCCGGGCATTATTGAACTGGAAGCGTGCGACGGCATAGCCCTGAGCAATAGCTGCGCGATGTACTCCAGTGTTAAGAGCTCGAATCATACGCATGCCGTTGGGAGCGATGCCGAGCCCTCCTCCTATGACAGCCATCGATCCAGCTTCTCTCTCCGATCGGCTCGGGGCAGGGTATGCATCATATATGGTGAAGTCGTGGGGAGGCAACGGGGAAGGCGGATTAGGGAGTTGTCTACGCAGGAAGATATACATACGTTGACAGCCCGCCGATGCCGGCGCCGACAATGGCGATTTTCATTCTTGCCACTGGATTTCGCAGAGTCCATTGCAGAAATAATGCAATTTGCAGAAAGTGGCCTCCTTTTACATGTGAGTATCCTGGGGTGAGGAAACAGCGAAAAGGGTGAGCAGGAGCCAAACCGATCTGGGGCATATAGAGACACGCACTGACTTCCCCCTTCTTTGTATCCGTTACCTGAACCCTCTACGCAATGAACAACCGACTATTCTGGACTTCCATCGAAAAATTTCCGGAGCGGGTACCCGATACGGTGCGTAGTACACGATACTAGTCGCTGGCATTGCTGTTGTCCGAGCCGCCAGGCAGAAACGAAAGGGATTGCGATCCCAGCCTACGGCGTAGCAGCATCGAACAATATCGACACCATTTCTCGTCGCTGTTTCTTGGGCCTTGCCTCCAAATCGAACAGCAATCCTATTATCTGTCGCCAGAGAAAGGCTTTTACAGTCATGAACAGAAATGATAGCTACATGGCTGAAGATGGTCCTGCAGATTTCCATCGCCGGCCCAGTGAGCGAACAATACCATCTTCTATGCAACAGCGACGGGCTGTGGCTGCTGGCTGAGCAATTCCTGCTCTTTCAATCTCTTCTTTTCTTCCTCCAGCATCCTGGCTTGACGTCTCACTCGCTCCGGCACGACAAGCTCCCTCTTCCCCTGAACCTTCCATCCCCTCAGTTTGTCTTGTCCTCCGAGCTCCTGGATCGTCTTCAGCTCAACGAGACTGTACTGGTCCCCATCTTCACGATCGAAGTTGAACGGCTCCACTAGCGAAACAGGTGGATTTGTGATGATCCGCGGTAAGCGGCGTCCATTCTTGGAGGCCGAGTGCAGCATCAAGGGATGCAGCAAGATAACATCTCCAACCGAACCTGTCATCTCATGGAAGGATTCCTCATCACAACCTTGAACGACATTGTAGTAGAATTGCAGACCGTTTTCCCAATTCTCGGTGCCTCCAATTGGCGACATGAGAGGAAGGACACCCTTGGGATGGTCATACAGCCATTTTCCGATCTTTGGGATTCCTTCGGAGCAAATCCAGGTCCCGCCGCCGTTGGGCAAAATGTCTGTGAACAGAGGGATCACTAACAGACCCTGTTCAGGCGAATCCAGGAAATGGACGAAGAAATCACCGTCCACATGCCACCCGTTCAATTCTTTAGGGTGGACTTCCTTCCCCTCGTTCTCTTTTGTACCCAGGTTGACGATGAAGCTGTCTTTCCAATACTTGGACTCCTCGGTGATGCGCTCTTCCCCTCCAACTAACTCGCAGATGGCGTCGTATGCCTTGGGCGCGAAATCCTTGATCAACATCTCTCTATGTCCGGGCATGTTTGTCCTTTCTGTTGTCCATGTGTCGGGGTTTTTGGGGTCAAAGCCGAGCCTCACCCAGACATCTTTCGTCCATTCCTCGGCCGACTCGCGCGTGAAGCAAGCTGGGAGACGCAGGTACCCATGTTTCATGAAGCTGTCGACTTGTTCGGGTGTTAAATGCTTGAACTGTCTGCCTTCCATGCTTAGTGTCGGAAGAGAGTTAGCTGGGTTGAAAAAGGTATGTCCCCTGCCTTGAGATTGGTAGGTCTTGATTTCCACACCACCGTAAACCTGTTATTCACTTGAGACTAGAAGGAACGTGATCAGAATCTGCTTGTTGAATCTGAAATATTTGGCAGCACATGGAAGAATCCTAGATGCGTTGGATCCCGGCAGCCTTGGCATATACTAACTACTCGAGCTCCTATTTAGCCGGAATGATGCTTAATATCAAGCCTCACATGATACTACGGGTTGCGAGGATCAGAATCCCGAGCGGACAGTCATCCGAGGTCGTAAAGGAGATACCACTTCCTTCCCGTTGGCTTACCTGGTTCAATGTGAGACACAAGGTATGGCGCCACTTCCGATGCCCACTGTGCTACAATACGCCCTAGCGAGGCTTTCGCGGCAAATTTAGCACCACGTATCCCGAATCTCCTGAGCATCCAAATTGGAAGTCTATGATATGACAGGCAAGAGATGCTAAGTGGTCGAAGCAATGCGACGAGGAGTTGCTGTGGGAGGCCCGGGCGAAGACTGTTAGGAGGAAAATGTCCAGAGCATCCAAGACAGCAACTTCAAACAGAACGATGAGCTCGATCCAGGATTCGGTATGTCATTCTTCCAGATTGCAAAGGACGATAGCCACTCGCCAAGTCCTATCCTTCCATTTCTTGGTCACCTGGTCGGGGCTACATCGGAATCAATATCATTCTAGCCATTCGCCAACAGTCGACTCCCCTAAGACAGACATGGTTTGCACCGCGGGTTTGGTAGGATAACATATCTTCCGCAAGTGTCTGTCTTCCACAAGGACAAACAGCCGCCTCTGTCGCTGGCGGCTTGGCAACTGCTGCCGGTCTCCTATGAGCTTTTAGAAGTTTTCCCTTGTGGAACGAATGAGACGTGCCCCAACATCGACTCTGGGGTCCGGTTTGGGGTAACAGACTATCCCACAGACACTCCGTGGAGAGATCGACACGTTGGAGATGGGTATAACCTGGGACAGGGCATTTTCCTATTAGCCTAAATAAGGCTGAATGGATGTACCTGCATCTCCTTTCACAATTCCGCCGGCATATCGGCCAGGGGATCTTTTGATTCGACGGAAGGCTCCGCGAATGGTAGAGCCAAGACATATGGTGCAGAATGACCCTCGTCTATACCACGACCCTCGGCAGTTTGGTCGATGGAATGAAAGAGGACATATATGCTCTGTGGGAATGGCCTCCAGAAAAGAAGCTCGAGAGAGGAACTTACGGTCAGCTTCTATCCTGTTGCTGAAACCGTTTGGCCTTGATTAAGGCGCATCTCTCACAATGGTGGGTATCGCAGTTGTGCAGGCTATGCACAAATCTGAGCGGGAGGTTGCTGTTGCTGAGGCACCGGCACTTCGACGGGTCATTTGGTACAAGGACCCCGGGCTGAGGAAGCTCTATGGCCTGGCCGTCGCGCTGTTCTTCGCCTCTGCGACGACAGGATATGATGGGTATGGTCCGCACCCAAGTCTGTTTGCTGTATACCTGCTCACCCTATCAGGTCCATGCTGAACGGCCTCCAGATCCTCGATGTCTGGCAAGATTACTTCAACCACCCGACGGGATCGCTTCTCGGCCTCTTCGGGTCGATTTATAGTATTGGCAGTCTTGCGGGGCTTCCTTTTGCGTAAGTTAGCCTCTTGTGACACAAACAGGCCGACTGATCTCGCCACCAGACCATACCTGTGTGATATCTATGGCAGGCGCATTGCCATCATGGCGGGATGTGTTTTCCTCTTCGCCGGCGTCGCAATCCAAAGTGCCTCACAAAACTTCTCCATGTTCATCGCCGGGCGTTTCTTCGTCGGATTTGGCAACAGCATGTGTTCGAATTCAGCCCCTCTCCTCCTGACCGAGCTGTGCCATCCACAACATCGCGGAAGAGTGACGACGGTCTACAACCAGTTGTGGGACATTGGGTCCATTGCAGCAACATGGATCACCTTTGGCACCTTCACCATGAAGAACAACTGGGCGTGGCGGATCCCTTCGATCCTGCAGGCTTTCCCGACCTTCATACTCTTTTGCTTCATTTGGATTATCCCAGAGTCTCCCCGTTGGCTGATATCGAAGGATCGGCATGCCGAAGCTCTAACAACGCTCGCCAAGTATCATTCGAACGGTAACGAAATGGACCTCACCGTCCAATTCGAGTACCGTGAAATTAGGGAGACTCTCCGCCTCGAATTCGAGTCGAAGAAGTCCAGCAGCTTCTTGGATTTTCTCAGGACAAAGGGCAACAGGTATCGACTGTTGCTTGTCGTTGCTCTCGGTCTCTTCTCGCAATGGAGTGGCAATGGCTTGACCAGCTATTACTTTGCCATCGTGATGAAGAGCATCGGGGTGACGGACAAAAACGAACAGTTTGAGATCAATGGTTCCAAAACCATTCTTTCAGTAGGTGATTTCGTCTCGAAGACAGGAGGATCGCTGACCTGCCCATAGCTTATTGTCGGGCTCATCGCTGCAGCAGTCGTCGATCGGTTCGGTAGACGTCCGCTGTTCTTGACTGCGACCACAGGTAAGTAGCTGTGTTGCTGGCTCTCTTATCTCCTGCTAATCCCTGTGGTAGGCATGTTCGTCGCCTTCGTCCTCTGGACGGCCTGTTCCGCTCTGTACGACATCGACGGGAATCTCGCGGCGGGGAAGACCGTAATCTTCTTCATATTCCTGCACGGCGTCTTCTACAACATTGCCTGGTCGGGTCTGCTTGTGGGCTATACCGTTGAGATCATGCCTTATAAATTGCGTGCGAAGGTAGGAGTTCCACAGTGACCTGTTTGTCCAGACATTGACGGTAGTTCTCCAGGGCCTCATGCTCATGAACTTCTTCGTTCAAGCCGCGCTCGTGTTCAATCAGTGAGTCTTTTCGGGATCTGGGATTGCATCTAGGGTTCTAACTGTGATTAGATATATCAACCCTATTGGACTGTCACATCTACAACCTCGTTGGAGGTTTTATTCCATCTATTGTGTAAGTCTACGTCTTTATCAATCATGCAAGTAAGCGTTGAGATACCATCGCTGACGCTGCTGTCCACAGGGCTGGCTCCTTCTCGAGGTCATCTTCGTGGCTTTCATGTTCATCGAAACACGCGGCGTCACACTCGAAGAGGTCGCGAAGATTTTCGACGGGGAGGACGCAGAGGTTGCCCACGTCGATCTCGACGTCGTGGAGGAGAAGGTACAACACGTGCAGCAGCTCGAGGACGTTGAGGTCACGGCAATTCCGCAGCGTGTGGAGAAGGTCTGAAGTTGGAAGTGATTCCCAGCCCAGGAAATGAAGGCCCCGAATAGCATTAGAGTGTCGTGGTCTTCGATCAATATTCTCACGCCTGGGCCACCAGGGCCTCGATTGTTGGGGCGGAGATTCATAGATGACAGACTGGCCAGTGTGGCTTACCACATGGTCACCGTGTTATTTTCAGAAGTAAATGCAGTGCTTGCCACCGCGGGCTATGTCGGATTCCCAAGAAACTCGCAGTGAACTACGCGAGCCATCTCTGGCCAGCAGACTATACCGTCACGCACTCGTCCTGAGGTCTAGGCTCAAGGAAGGTTCCTGTAGTTAGACCCCAACACCTGCGTCCTGAGGACAGCAAGCAGGACGACACCGCCAACATCATTCAGTTCTCTGTAATACACTACTTCGACCTTGCACCGGTGCATATTTGTACTTCCTTGGCATCCTCAAATTAGCGTGTTGGATGTGTTCGTGGCCGTGCCCTGTCTTTCTATCCGATCTTACTTGTAAGTACTGCGAATAAACCCCTCTAGAACGAACGGTCTTGAGCCTAAAATGTCCAGCCCTCGGACATCTTCCCCGTCATTGAGCGAGCTCCTTTAGTAGGTATAACATGGTCAGAAGTGGCAGCACACAGTGGGGACTATACACGGGGCTTATGTGACTGTGGAATCATAACATAGACTGCATGGGGTCCGTGTGAATTCTTTGTCAAGCACCGAGTACAGTATGTATCTGGGCCGCTGGGGGCCTCCCTCAGACTTAGGGGGCTTCAGCCTTGCTCTTGGCCCCAAGTTTTATCGCATGTGGGGAAAGCCCCAGGAAGGTTAGTATATATGGGTTATTATTACTCGTGCGGAGCTTCAACAACCCGGAATGATGATGAGGGATGCCATAAGGCGCGCCTCCGCCAAGGTCATTCATTACGCAGTGATTCGTACTAGGCTCAACGCCCACACAAAACAACAATGCCATTGTCGCCTGGAAAAGCCTCATTGTCTTCTCAAGCTCTCTATAGGTCGAGCAATGGCACAGACAACGGGTCGACCGTGCATCTCAGCAACATGTCTGTGCGGAGCCATCTCGTACGCTCTGCCCCCGGACCAACGGTTGCCGTTGGACAGCGTTCTGTGTCACTGCACTGATTGCCGATACGTAACCGGGGCGCTGTACTTGTCGTCTCCTGAGTTATCAGAGGCGCCTCCTCGGGACATCTTGGAACATGCTGTCCATTATGACAGCTCGGGCACACGTCGCAGGTGGTTCTGCGGACACTGCGGGTCGCATATGTTTGTCCAGGAAATTGGAGGCGAGGGAAAGAGATGGTGGGTTATGGGCGGCGTGCTGGAGCAGTCAAGGGGGCTTAACTCGCCCGGGTCTCGCGCGACGAACACTACTCGGGCTACCCACCACATCTTCGTCACCGACACAGGAGATGGCGCGCTAGGAGCGAGAATGATCAGGCTGGGAGCGCGAGAGGTCGCATGTTGGGACAAGCGTGCGTCTACGAGCCGACAGGTGAGCGAGGGCGAATTGCGGGAGATGGCTCTACACGCCGAACTAGCCTCGGAGATGAAAAGCAAATTCCTGGAGGCGCAATGTCACTGTGGAGGAGTCAACGTCCGAATCACTCGCCCGAACTTCGAATCGTTGAAGTTGCAGCAGAGGTATATCCCCGAGCAGAAGGATACGTATGTTGCAGGCATTTGTACATGCCGGTCATGCAGATTGGCTCTTGGAGTTTCTTTCCAACCGTGGGCGTATATTCCCCCGGGCAATATATTCCTCGCCAACACAGAGACAACGGTGAAATTCGGCGCAGAGGGCGACCGGGAAGGCTCAAACGGGGTCATCACTTTGAGACATATTTGGTCAAGCAAAGATACCTGCAGGAGCTTCTGCGGGAGGTGTGGTGCAACGGTATTTTATTGGCATAACGACCGACCCGAGGTCGTGGATGTCTCAGTAGGCCTCTTGAGAAGCCAAGATGGAGCGATGGCAAGAAGCTGGTTGTCGTGGAGAAAGGGAGGCCCTAGTTTCAAGGACGACTGCGTCGACGAAGAGTTGCTGACGGCAATTTTCCCGTCATAGCATCCACATCACCGTTGACTTCAACTAAGCCCTTGTCTGTTCGGGTCAGTCAGAATGAAGCAGGCCGCTTACCGAGCGTCTGTCACCATTGGCAAAGACAGGCAGGATGGGGTCGTGCTCCTCAAACCCGTGAGCATGCCAAGGACTGTTACATTCTTTCCATCCCGTAGACTATGGAAGATTCAATGAGTCATTGAGGCACAGACGCGGCCTTGCCACAGCGGCGACTGTCAGGAACGCAAAAATAATGTTTGCCTAAGCACGAGCACGCCCTGGTACACGCTACCGTTGGCTTGGCAAAGCTATATGGCGCGAGGCAGCAGTGCTTGTGCGTCCCTAATAAGCTTCTCTTGAGCAATTTCGATATCAAATTACTTTGCAGCAGCGCCGGTGATTGCGTGGTTGAAGCGTCCCCACAGACAGCATATGAAGAGGGCGTATCTCAACAGAATGAGATTTCGAGTGGCATGAAGCGGGATGCACTGGTATTGATGACAGTGTCCAGGTCGTGATGGGAACACCCTGATGGTGGCGAAGCATGCACGGAAGCAGCTCCGTGGCAGGACCATGAGGCCACTGTCAGTCCAGTAGGAGCACAGTTGAACGAGAAGGAGCCTTTGACATTGGTTTAGGAAACCCAATAGAATCCATGCCATGGTCAATGGCATTAAGCCAATGTTACGACAGGATCCTCCGGAGCTTCTGAAGTCGTTGCTGTGCATCTTCATGCCACGTCTAGCGAGCTGTTCCTTTTGGAGAGTCTGATCCCTGCTCAGGCTTTCATTTCAAGGACTGGCTTTCCACATGAGTAAAAGACGCATATGTGGGGATGTAATTGGAGCATAACGGTTCATTGTCCGCGAACGCAGAATTGACCCTGCCGGTCGCTCAGCTCGTTGGTCTCCAAAGGGTTGGTAAGCCCGGAAACCAAAGAAGACTTTGAGCAAATTTGATATAGATGATTTTGAGTTAACTGGCTTCCACGACTTGTCGAATGTTAACCTTCGGCAACGAGTGCTTCGGTGCGGCGTCTTGATTGACTTTTTTAGTTGGTGGCTGGATTCGATCTGCAACCCCAGATCTACCATCAAAGTGAAACTGATTTTGTTTTCGTGTGAACTGAGCAGGTGACTGGGTGCTCGGAGAGATTAAGGACAGAACCAATTGTAGAAGAAATGCTAAGCCTCGTCCAACGCAACCCCCTGATCTGCATCCTGCTGCGTAACGATGATGGGTCATATGGACCGCATTCGAGCGGACTTGTGCGATCTCATGCCTGAACAAGGAAGAGTTGGATTCTATTACCAGCTTCGATATGTGCGATCCTGGGGTCGAGGGCTCGGCAGGTATCGCCGCTGGTGTCTGTGGTAAGGCTGAACAAAGAGACCTGAACGAATCTCTGTCCCAGGATCGGTGTCGATGCCAGGCGAGAACCTCGGTGATCTGCTGGGCGCAAGAGGGAGCTTTACGTGGTGATCTGGTCGCCGGCCACGCATGGGCCAGGGGAAAATTACCTCGTGTCATGCCTCTGTTGGTTTGCTGCGACAATCACTTGGTTTTCAAGCGCCGTTCGTTACCACGAAAACACAGAAGTTTTTATCCTGATCCTTCGGCGTGAATTTTGGCCGCGCACGTAAGCTGAGGAGCAGGAGTCTGTGCTTTCTCACCCGCAGCGACAACCAGCGGCTCAGGGTCCTTGGTATTTCTCCTTCTCTTCAACAAAAGTTTCCCACAGGCCAGTTTTTGGTCCTTCGAATGCCTATATAACATGGACCTTTCAGCCTGTCGGGCACTTGATGGAGGTGCTCGTCATCTCCTTCTTCACGGATCCAATGGCTTCAGAACGCAGGGGAAAAGTGCCATGGTCTGGCTGTCTTATGGAGAGACTGACTGCGCCTTCGTTCTGAAAGTATTGAATCGACCTACAGACACTGCACAACGACCAAAAAGATGGATTGCATCCTTGATGTATATCCTAGCGGTGTAAGGACAGCCCCTGCTTTGGCATCACCGTCTAATAGTTGACTGAACGACAGAGAACAAGTAGAATTACTCTTAAATCAAAAGATCACTTTACCTTCTCCTCCCTTTCCGATGACCATCCCATTCCCCATCTTTCTCTGGGCTTTTTTTTCGGCGAAGTCCATCAAATACCAATGCCCTGGCAGAAACATCCGCATGACCCAATACAATCCATACCTTAGACTTCCCATATCTCCTTCTTTCAGAAGCCGGAAGAATATTTCATTTCCTGTTAATCACACCAGGCCTCAAGGAAGCCTGCATTCCACACATCGCGCTGAGGTTCTTTCCTCAGACGTTGTTGCAGCCCCTAAAGGAACTCTCCGAGTGAAGAACTAGGATCATATGTTTCTTGCAAACTGTTGAAAGCCGGGACAGGAAATCTGCCCGGAACATGCGGAGCACTTTGCTGATAATGCTGGTGGTCCGCACCACTTGAGGATGTAGCATATGCCGAATCAGTCCCTGGAGATGCAGTGGGTATCATGTGATCCTCTAGTGCTGTGGCATACAACAACTGCACACCTGAAGAGGTTGTATAGGCAGCCTGGTCATCTGCCATGGTGAAAAGCGGCCTTGGATTGGCGGAGCTGGTGGCATAAAAGGTTTGGTTCTCTGTCGCGGTTGAATACTCCAAATTACTCGTGCCATCATCTCTTACTGTATAACTTGCCGCTGGGAGAGGGCTGAAATGTTGTGGTAAGATTTGCGGGAGGGTTGGAAAAGGTGGCTGCGACTGATGCTGCTGCTGCTGGTGCTGAGGCTGAGGCTGTGGCGGCGGCGGCGGTAGCATGAGCATGTGTGGTGTTTCATGCAACAACAACGATGGTTGTAAAGGTGGAAGAGGCTGGCTCACTGGCTGCTGTTGTATTTCCTGCAAGAATGCTTCATGTTGAAGTCGATGCAGAGGTTGTGGCTGCTGTGGTATAGGAGGGCCCATGGGCGGAGCATTTTGCCGCTGCGCACTCCCCTGGAATGGCGGCGCCATACCGTGATGTTGAACACTCAAGCGGTCTCGTATGTCAATGGCGTTGTTTGCGCTATATGCAACGCTCCCCTGCTGACCCCAGTGCAGGCCATGTTGTGGATACAGTTGGGCTTGACCATACACGGAGGCTGGTACAGCTTGGCCATGACCCCCCAGGAATCCTTGAAAGCCCCAATTGGCTTTATTTCTTTGCAATCGACGCCTGCAGTAAAGTCAGTTTCGGTCCGACATCAAGGAAGAAATACTGCTCAAAGAGATGGTCTCGTGAAAGATTACCCTGCCGAGGACAAGAGGCAATCTTGCACCTGGACGTCGTATCTTTCACTCGTACCGAATCTTCAAGGCGGAAAACGTACGTCGGCTCCTTTCGAACCCTGACTTTCACACCCCCCTCACTCAATGCCCTTGTCAAGTCGGTAGACTGGGGGAGAGGGGAAATTTTGTTGCGTGCATAGACTGCGAGTATGTGAGTATCTCCCTGGCTGTAAGTGTAGCTTCAGCATCGCTCACCTTCGAAGGTCGCACCGTTGACGGTGTTGAGCATTTCCGCGAACATGGCATTCTGACTATTGACTAGTTAGCAGCGGCGATGGGCTCACAAATTCCATCAGTAATACCCTCGACGCATCTCGAACAGTGTGAATCGAAGAAAGAATTTCCCTGCGCTATTTGGAATAAGATCGCCGAAAACGAAGTAGCCATGGGCTGCGACTCCGTTAGCGAGGCTGATGACAGCGCAAGCCCGGGAAACGCACCTTTTCCATCACTCATTTTTACCACATGGAGCGAAGACGTCAGCGTGCCAGAAAGTGTGTTAGACCCGTTGTGTTTGTCGTCAAGTCTCACCAGCTCGACCGTGCAAAACAGGTATGGGCTGTGAAGCCAGGACCTAGTTGGATCATCGTCGACTACGACAAGTTCGACGACGGCAGGAGGATCGAGGCTGACTCTATCGTTCGACGGCTTCTTAGCTGTGCTGACGATTAGTGCCCCTCTTGACATGAGCGGCAGTATCACTCACCACTGGCACGTTTCTGCGGAGACAGCACCTGACCCTCGCCCGGCTGCTGCTTGACAATCATTCTATACATGTTTCTGTTGACCCCCAGTTTGGTCAGTTCTGGAGCCCCCAAAGCATGTTGTTGCTGCATTTTGGAATCGAACGTTTGCCAACAACGGACCTGTCGAGGTGGAGCCTGGATTGGATCCGTTCTGCGAGATAGGGATCGACGAGAACCGGTGGCACACGCATGAGGGCCCTGCTCGACGCTTGAAGGCGGCCTTTCCGAATATTGGGCAAAGAGGATGCTTGGTTCACCATATGTGCCGTATAAACCGTGGCGACACGGTTACTGGAAAAATGTTTTCAGGATAAGGCTGAGTCCAGAAAGAATGCTGCAAGAATATGTCCACGAGATGGTGCAGATGGAGGAGAAGACAGTTACAGAGGCCTTGAATATGGAGAAGGATGACTGAGGTTGTGTGACCGACAGATTCTGGGAAAGGAAGCTACGCCTTCCTTCGTGACAGGCTTAAATGTGCGGTCGATTCCAAGAAGGGGAGGACCTATTCTTCGCAGTGATTCGTGGAAGGACAGGTGTGATGGATTTTTGGTCAAGATATGGATGATCAGGTCCGCGGCTAGCTGGTCACAAACAACGATTTGGAGTTTTGGGTTCGTTCGGGGAGGGGGCTTTTTCTTGAACAAGTTCGAAAGCAAACCCAAGAGTCGTCAAGAAACTTGGCTGGATGTGTCCGCTAGTTGCCAGCATCACACAATCAGGGCGCTGTTCCAGGCACTCAAGGAACCAGCGCAGTGGTTCATGAGGCAACAAACCAACCCGACAGAACTCTGACCAGCAATTTTGTTGAGGACCTCGCGTTCAAGGTCCGACAAGCTCGTCCGCTTAGCGTATTGTTTCTGGAAATGACTGTACGGGCGAGGCTGAGGGATGGATATGGGCCTGATAAGATTCTAGGAGCTCGTAACATCTGGCTAGGAGAGTATATCGGTCCTCACAGTATTCTGTGAATGACGCCCTTCCGTTTGGCGGTGCGCCTCCGCTCAAACTTTGACAGCCTTCTCACGCGGTTATGGAGAATGAGTCGATGCTGGAAAGGATGTGGAGGATAGTTCCTGACTGCGCAAAACGGTCGACTGGTGAGGAACGCTTCTTAGAAAAGGCAGAAGATCCTGCAAAGGCAAGCTGCTGCCTCCTCTTTTATAGTTGTGACTGTTGCGCAGGCTTGTAAGATGAATAGGGACTCGAAGCGAGGAAGGTGTCGAAGGAAAGGGAGCCAGGTCGACGAAAGAGTATCTGGTGTCGATGAGGTTATGGTGCGGGAAAGCATCGATGCTGTCTAGGGCGGTTAGAAAAAAAGCGAAGCCGAGGCGTTTAGAGAATACTGAACATTCACTGAAAACGAAGAAAGGAGGTGAAATCAACCAGTGGAGGCAATGAGAGGATGATGAACGGTGTTTGGGATTGACGAGGGGCGACGTCAGGAGCAGCGAATATTCAGAGAGGCCTCGTTGTGTACTGTCGACAATGACAAGGAGGGCAATGATGGGTGATAATTCCGGCACAACAGCAGCGTGTCCTTCGACTCCTGGTCTTCGATACAAAAGGAACAGGTGTTTTTTGTTGTTGAAGCTGTCGTTCACTGTCGCGGTTTGCAGCGCAGTCCAAGTCGAAGGGACCAGACAACCAAAGGCTGTAATTGCGCACCCAAAACTCTGAGTGCTCGGTCTGCACAGGTTACGAATCTCTCCCACTTCGAGTTTCCCTTGCGGGTGTTTCCCCCTCCTCTCTTATACTCTTGCTGCTTTGAGTGCCATCAATGCAGGTTACCAAAATGGATGCAAGACTCGTCTTCATGCAGGTCACAACACCTTTGTCGCATGTTCTGACCAACCCTCCCACGCAGTCGACGCCCCTCTGAGCCACTCAACCACGTCTCCTCATCCTCGGTAGTACGAAACAGAATTCAGTCAGATAGGCGGGATCACCAAGCTGGACCGAGATCTTACGTTCCAAGTGTCGATGGGTGGCAGCTGGTCCTTTGCGGCTGATGAGACTTGTGAAAAGGGCAAGCAGACCCGGCGTAGCAGCCCACGGGCTTGCTGGAACTTGACAACCCGATGGGAGAGGCCTAGAGAGGAGAAAACACTCAACAGCACGGATGCTACCGACTAAGCAAGCGAGGTGGTCCTCGATTGGTGACCGCCGCAGCTGTTGCGAGGTGTGCAGTCAGGCGAAGAATATGTCAACATCGCGACCCGAGTGTGCGGCGTAGGTTTTGATACAGGCTGGAGGCGCTTGGAGCTTGGTCACGGCTCGCACCGTTGAGAACAATGAACCAGCTTGGTCCTCCCAGATTCACAAATTGACCCACCCGATCGAGCTTCATTGCTTCACCACAACCCTCGTGCTACGGCGAGGCCCGAATTGGCTCGTCCCCGCTTTGGCGACGGATCAAAGAAGTAAGCTTCGTGGTGAATCGGACCAGGCTCAAGTCAGAAAGGAGAAGTTGGGGGAGTGTTCTGGTCAAAGGAGGACTAGGTGAAGGCATGTTCGAACCTGCAGAGGTGTCTGACCACGCGGAGGAAGCGCCACCTCTGGTCCAGGGGCTTGAAGTTTTTCTCTCTCCATGGCACAAGTTGTTTATCCTTGTCTGCATCCGGCGCGGATGGCCCCCGCTCACAGGGGTTTTGTGTCGCATCGCTGTCATCCACACAGTTGGAACCAACCGCGTGGGTCATCGGATATCAACGATAGCATCGAGAGCCCGAAGGGGAAGCAACTTGACTCAGAACCAGCATATCGCCCAGAAACAAAGCGCCAACGACTCATGTGGCCAACGACACGACCTAGATGATTCAACAATGGGCTATGGATGATCTCGTGTTCAGTGGGTGTCGGATGCTACAAGCAATCCCTGAAGGCTCGCCGTGGCAAGGGCAAGTGCAATATCGATTGGTTACTTGCTCGACCGGCCCGTTTCGCCTGCCCCGTCGACGGCCTCATCTCGAGCCTTACTCGCGTTATGAATTCAGTGGTTAAAGCCGTCGGTGGTGGCTTGCCCGAGAAAAATGACATCGGACATTGACCACGAGGCAATTGAAAGCTACCCACACTTTCCCCTAAAACCAATCCCCGGTCTCGGCGGGGCTGGTGGCGTATGCGATATATTAGCCGTCCAACTCGAGCTAAGGAGGCCTTCCCGTCAAGTTCGGATCACAATGACAGCCCCTTAGGGAGAGCCTGATCATTATACGAGTATCTCGTACACGGAAGAAGACTCCTGTCGCCGTGCCCTTTGCCCCTTGGTCAGGCCCAATTACGGCGCATAATCGATGAAACGGGTCTAAATTCAACGCGTACTGTCAATCCTACCCATGGCGGAAAGGGAATGCACAAGGGCATACTAAACCAGGCAAGTCAACGTCAGGCAGGTCTCAACTTGAGGTTTGGCTGAGAAACTGTCATCCCTAGTCATACGCAGAACTCGATAATTGGGTGTGATTCCTCTCAGCTGTTTCTAAAGCACATGTTCACGACATTCACCGCCATCCATCCTCGCTTGCATGCATTATTATCATTTATCATTCATGTTTGGTGCTGAGGCACACGAGCCGATTTACCCGCTTCGCGGTGGATAGCATCTCTGTCAAGACATACCCACATCTCAGCCAGGCTAATAGGTATGGGGGGAATAATGCAGACTATGGTAATTGATGGATGCGCTGTCGAACACAAACTCTGACGCAGTGTTCTTCTAGCGTCTGTTCCGCCGAAACAGAACATTATTGTGCAGAATGGATTTGAGCAACTCCGCCATGGTGACAGGCAACTCGAGGATAAATCTCATGGCCACTCCTTTCGTGCTAGGCTGCGGAAATCGCGCAAACAATACTCGCCTCAGACCAAGGCTCCGAGCCTCTATACGGCGCCGCTTCTCGATGACACACCACAGAAGACCACTCTAACCGGGAGATGCAGCCATTGATGGATAGTGCTCGTCGAAGTTTGCACATCGGTTATTCGGGTGGTGCATGTCGTGGCAGGAGACGCCCATGAGGGTCCAGGCCCTCCAGCCTCTGACATAACGGCGTCAGCATCGACCGTTCCAGCCCATCAGATGCATGCGCCACGTTTTTCTGCGGAGGCACACGATCTTGGGGCGGCATGGATTGCAGAAGGATTTCCTACCCAGACAACCCTCGTTTCGTCTTCTCCTCTAGCATCCATTGGTCTGGTTAAGTGGTTCGTGACTATGTCTGACACATGCATGTTCTAAGACAATTGGCCCCGAGACCCTCTACAATTCAAGCGGGGGCGCCGCGGTCAGAGCCTTGTCCCACGCATATTCTTCAGGCCTTCCTTTTCGGTGAAAGGCTAATCGGTCACCATCCATTTCTGGTTGGCACTCATTCCCAACTATCCTGATGCGGACATCAGAGGCTTCCCTGCTATGCATTGAACGATGCAGATTGGCTCCCGTTGGCTATCCGAGCCACCAATGGGGACCCATGCCTTAGATGGCTTCTCGTCCTGCTGGTCCGTGATCCACGTCAAACTATGGAGTATGTATGCTGTCCCAGTGGTGGGTCGAAGCTACTGCCACAAACGGGCTGAAGCTCCCGTTCTTCTCTGCACAATACACCCCCATTAACACACATTGAGCGACACGGCATCCACGTGGCGGCAAGGGTGGTCCACGTGGTGATCGCGTGGCCTTCATGCACATACAACAGCAGTGTGCTATCAGCCATCTGCATGGGCGGTATGTAAATGGATGCCGCTCTTCCAACAAGATTAGCCCATTTCACATTGCCCTGAAGGCTGTAATGACCTTGCATGCTCTGACACCCTCTGGTACGACCGATTCTCAGGGCGGCCTCTACAATAAGTCCCTCAAGCTGTGTAACACGATCAAATCCTAGATGAAAGATAATTACTCCGGGGGTACCAAACCGTTGCCCCTTTCAAGAGATAGCGCTCCTCGCTTCGGACCTGGAAATGTCTAAGTGGCATATGGGCTGTTCCCGTATATGACCGTGTGGCCAAATGATACTATCTGTCTACACGCCAATAGACTCGGCCAGTAGATTTGCTTCTCCGATGCAAGCCACAGAGATTTTCAAGAGAAATGATAGCTCGCCAAAACACCATCAGTCCTGCAGGGCGAGAACCACTTCCACACTCGGCCCCTACAGTTATCAGTGTTGAATCTCTGGAATCCACAGCTGTCGCATTCACAGTGAACGGACTCTCACCATGTACCTTCTCGCTCGTATTCAGTGGAGAAGACGGCTTTCGAGATCCTAACATTTCAGCGAAGAACAAGGCACGGGTCGTTACCAATTCGGCACTACCGAAGTTATTTCAGCCAATGGAGAAACGCAGCATTCTGACCTGTTCCCTTTTCATGTGTCTATCAAGTTGTTTTCTGATCCGACTAAGTTGCTGCGTCATGTGGCTACCTGAATATGCCTCAAGCTGCCACGTCCCTCATCCAAACGCAGCGCGACTGAGCCCACATGCAAGAACTTCGGCAAGCCTGATTGCTAGGTGGCGTTTTCCAACTGCTTGCGATAACACCTCAAGTTCTGGGACACTGTGCGCCATCTCCCATGACATGCGTGGCTGATGATGCGAATGCGACTCGGCCCATTCGTGGTAGTCCGAGTTCAATTTGCCGTTGGGCTAGAGAAGACCCACAAGAAGCCGACAGATGCCGGATGTGGAGTGATGCGGAAGTTGTAGCCGTTGCTCCGCGTCGCCCAAGGCCATGACTGACGGCAGCAACCTTCTCAATCATATGAATCTATCAGATTGAAGAGATTCCATGGACCAGATGCCCTCGACTAAAGAGGCCAGAAGGTCATATCAGAGGGCTTACAAGGCATGCCTGGAGTGTCGGAGGCGGAAGTCAAGGTGTATCACGCAAGGCAACGGTCCATGCACACGGTGCGTTCGGCAAAGGACGGAATGTATTCTGAGCGACGCACACCCGTCCAAGAAGCGCAACGATGACAGTCTCGGTAAGCTCGATTGGTTCCTTTATACCTCAAGTTCCGGACTGATTTGTTGAGTGGCTGATGCAAGCGCGGCGATACCACAACGAAGCACCGTCCCTCCATCGCCATGGAAAGAGCTTCTCGCAAACACGTCCACCCAGCAGAGTCCCATTAGCCACCATGCCTTGCAAAGCACCCCGGTTTTCGAAAGTGGTAGATCTCAAGCGACTTGCCAAACATCCTCAAGTCAGGACTCGCCAAATATCCTAGCAAGATCTGTCGTTCGTACCGTCATCTCAGGTGCCAACGACGCGTTCAATGTTCTCTTCGATATAGCCCCCAATCACAACCAGATGCCTCGTGATGATCCAGATCCATTCAATACGGCCGAAGCTCGACCTTCAAGTGGAGACGTTGGCCCACTGAGCGTCGAGCATCAGGATCAAAGCCACGAGGTGACGCCCTCATCTGCGATGCGATCTCAGCAAACTCGGAGTTACGCTTCCTCCCTTGTGCGAATATGGCAGTCGTGTCATTTTGTGCAGATGGGATGGCTGACGGCGCGGGAAGCTATCCAATATGTGGACATGTAGGTCCCTTGTAATTGAGTATGTTCATGAACGCTGACTCCAGGAAGATTTTTTAAACATATGTCCCCACTGTCGCCCGTGCTAACAGATTTCTATGCCCAACACTGTCATCATCTCCAGCTCATTACACAGGAGCCGATGCTATGCTGCACTATTCTAATGATATCTTCTCGGTATCATATTTTGCCTGGTGTTGGAAGTGCTGCGAAAGGATACTTTCTTCACAACCGGCTCTGGAAGCACTGCGAGCATTTAATCTTGAGGATCATGCTCGGACAGGAGAAAGGAGCTCAGACAAGAGCCCGATCAGTGGGTTCTATCGAAGCATTACTGTTGATAAGCGAATGGCATCCAAGATCCCTTCACTTTCCTCCAGAGAGTCATGGCTGGGACGCGGACCTGCTTAAACCTTCTGTTCAGGACGAAGACCTAGAGATAACCGAGACTGGCGCTTCTCCACATGACGAAAGTATCAGCCCGTCAGCCCAATGGCTTGAAGAAGTCATCGAGCCGACGCGAAGGTCCGACCGTATGTCCTGGATGCTGCTGGGTTGTGCTGTGTCTTTGGCTCACGAACTGGGAGTTTATGACCCCAAGACATACAGCCTCACTGCACCACTGTCTCAAACTCAGGACAAAGAGATTCAGGATCGCAAGCGTCGTCTTCAAAAACTGTTATACGTTTTTCATACCCAGCTTGCCTTGCGTCTGGGGCACATCTCGTCAATGACCTCGTCGGTCCACCACATGATCCCGAAGACACGTTGCCCACCGGATTCTGCAATACCGGAAGGTTTGCAATGGAACTTATTCATGGACGCACAAATTGACCTCACTAAACTCTCTATCTCTATTTCAGATATATTCTTCTCATCTCCGTCATCTACTCGAGCTCTTCTCCTAAGTGGACGTTTCGCGAATCATGTCGACAACTTTCAGACTCTATTGACCAGATGGTACGACGAACATCTACAATCCAACCGTACGTATATTTCTTATCCTCAAGGTAGTCAGAGAGAAAGGCAGACAGCCATGAAACAGAAGGTCGCATAGATATGTTCTTGCCAAACTGACGACAGACCATATAGGCATTGTCGAAACAAACCTTGCTCTTACAACACGGATAGAATATCACTCAATGCGAGCGTTGCTGAGCTCCGTTGGCATGCAGGCAATCGTTGAGAAAACGCTCGAGAACAATCCTGGTTTAATGCCAGAAGAAGCTCGACCAGTGGTTGCAGGAGACTCTGATTACGAGTATGTTCAGCAGGTGCTCGACAGTTGCTCGGAGATCCTGAAGCTATTCCAAGGCTATGCAGACAAGGATTATCTATTTCAACTCCCGTCAAGGATTGTATGTCGCGTTTTCATGTCGTCGATTCTGCTTCTCAAGGCTTTGAGCATCGGTGTCAGACAGACTCAGTTCGACATGTCCCTAGAGATCCTCAATAACAGTATACGAGCTTTGAGGTCCCAAAGGCTAGACGATCTGCATTGCCTTCCAAGATACGCCGGGCTGCTGGACATACAGTTGAAACGCCTCCGTCGGTACTTCGCCGAATCGTCGAGGTACCCACTGGCGCCGGCCACTGGGGCGACTGCAGTACCTGGAATGTCATCAGATCCTACTTCAACATACCGAGAGGCCGACACGCGAATGTCAGATTCAAATGGACCTAGACTGGAAACTGACTTGGAGTGGCCTGATTTGAATATGGAGAACTGGATGCGTCTACCATTTGATCCCTCGATGGCTCCATTTGACTTGTCAGGATCTCTGTCACAAACAGGATTAGAGTTGAACGGGTTGGACTTCATGTGGAACATCTGCCATGAGTAGCCAATGCTCATCAACATGTTACTTTGCTTGACCGGCCATCGACCCACAGAAACATCCTTCGCCTATACTGAAAGATTGGCAGAGCCGAAAGTTCCCGGATAGGTTCGGTAAATAAAGGTATCTGGCGGATTTCACCTTAATCAGCTCGCCAACGCTGTGGGCGGTCAGAAGCCGGGTGAAAGACGCATGTAAGGCTACAACAAGGTTTCACCCCATAGATTTGTGGCTGCTCGTATAAAGCATGGCATGGAGTTGAGAATGTTGACGCGTCACTGAACTTGCTTGAGCATTCACACCATCGGCCGTCCGCATATAGCGAACTTTTCCCACCACATTTATGGCAGGCATGTCTTCTGTGCGGCTCGAGCTTGTCCAGTCCTTTCCAACCTCTGGGGCACGAGCTGTATCCTATTTTTCAATCGGCGACAATGATTTTCTGGCAATTCCTCAACTCGCTGAGGATATTCCAAATGGGCCGGTTGGCATGAACGAAGGCAACAGCGATGTTGATCTCATCATTTGGAAGGCGAATAAGGCCGGGCTTTTTGAGGAATGGCAACGACTCCCCGTTTCAGGTGGTGAAGACGTCGAGTTCTTTACCATTCAAGGTCGACATTTCCTCGCCACTGCATCTATCCGGACTGGAAAGGGCCCCTACAACTTCAACGTGTCGTCTATCATTTTTGAGTTCGTCGAAGAAAGATTTGTTGAATTCCAAAAAATTCCAACTTTTGGGGCCAAACAATGGCGGTACTTCTCGATCGGTAGCCGTCATTTTCTGGCATTGGCTCAAGGTGTCAAAGTTCCTGGGCTCTCCTCAGAGATCCCGGGGGATTCAACCGTGTTTGAATGGGATGGAACCACTTTCAGTGCACTGCAGACTGTTCCATCTGCATGGGGCTACAACTTCCTGCATTTTGAGTTGTCCGGAGTCCATTACCTTGCGTATGCTGACTTCAGAGAACCGTCGATTTTGATGAGGTGGGATGGTGATAGGTTCGTCCAATCCCAAACCTTTGCACCCAAAGGAGGGCGAGCATTCTGTTTCTTCCAGGTTGAGGAAGAAGCATACCTTGCACTGGCAGATATCGAGAACAACAGCATCCTCTACAAATGGAACGGCGGCGAATTTCGAGAACACCAGATCCTTACCGGATCCGGTGGACGCGAGTTCGCACTGATTCAAAATGACGGCGAGACATACGTGGTCCTTGTCAGGTTCATCCAAGGCACTCCCAAGGCTCCTACAACTCAACTCGAATCTATAATATATCACATGGAAGATGGTTTTCTCAAGCATGAACATTCGTTCCTGACCCACGGCGCGACTGATGCGGCATCCTTCGTCAAGGGGGGTGAGACCTTTTTGTTTGTCTGCCAAAGTCTGACGGACGACGTCCACTTCCGCGTCGATAGCAATCTCTATCGTTTTGAAGCAGGGCCTCGGCGCAAAATCCTCAATGAGGTCAGTGGTGGTGGGAAGCAATCCCCTGAGTTTGTGGATCTGTACACAACATACACCGCTTCAGCAGACGGAATAGGTCCCAATCTCACGGGATTGATCTCTCATTCAACCGCAAATGACCATATGCTAGTCGCCACCAGCAGCGAGATGATCTTCTATCCCGGTCACGGCCACAAACCTTCATACATCAACTACCGTTTCAACAACCGAGGATTCAAAGAACTTGCGGCGGTATCGCATCTTGGACCGGCTCTCGCTTCCCTCGTTAAGATGGCGACACTAGACACAAACATGTGGAGGACCGAAGCCAAAAGGCTCTTGCTGAAAGTTTCCGAGGTTCAGAAAACCAATTCAGTCTCACTTTGGCGTGATGAGCTGAAGGTGGCCGCCTTCACAGGCCGCGAACAAGCAATCGCAGAAATGATTGACTATACATGCTCTCTTACCGCCAAATTTCTGAACGCGGTCCTCGAAGACCCGCAAAGACTCAATCCCGAGTTCCTTCGCGAGGAGTACCTTGAGGCCACAGGTACCATTCTGGGTGCAACCATCTCCATGAATGCCATGATGATTGCGACCTTCTTCTTGGTTGGGTTGGATATCTCCTACCGAATGCGGATCTGGTTGCGAGATCAGCAAATTGACTGGCAAAGAGCTATGGTGCTGATTGTCGGGAAGCAAGGGAGGGAAACAGCTGGTGTCACCTTGAGCACGAATTCAGTTGCGCAAGGGATTATTCAATGCTCCAATCTTGAGATTCCGGTCAATCGAATTTACATTGCGCCTCATGGACCCGATATCAAACCCGGAGCGTCTGAGGCTGGTAAGCTGGAGCAACATGAGGGTGCATTCAGGTCGTTATGGAACAGAATTTATGCTACGGTTGAGCTCGGGGAGATTATGTTTGCTGGCTTTCCGCGATACACACCGCAGCTAAGCAACAGGCCAACCGTGACCGAGACCACAACGGAGATATCTGAGATGCCGCAGATACGTGGTCCAGATGACTGGCTCACCATGACGACACGATTGCGGATCGTTTTGGAAGATCCACGACAGTTACTATCGGGATGCGTAACCGATTACGCTGCAGAACAACTTCGACAACAAGACAACGACCCTCGTAAGGTTACCGTTCCAGGCCTGGACTCCTTTGATTATGCTACAGCTTCAGTCGCTCTATCTAATCCAGGGAATGAAAAACGACCTTCGGGACGCTCCTCCAGAAGTCCTCCCAAGCCGGGGGATCTACTTGGTACTCCGTGGCAACAGTTTCGTCAATTCCTCGCTCCCCCAAAGAGGTGCCCAGTAGCTGGTGGCGAGATCACGTTCTACGAGGAAGGCACAGGCTCTCAGACGAACGTGTGGCTTCACGGTCTGCCACTCGACAGCCGAAGCTGGGCCGCCCAGAGATCCTATTTTGCGTCTAAGTATCGAAATGTCTATGTGGATCTCAGGGGCTACGGAAATTCCAGCAAATTTCCGGACAAGGCTCAGAATGTGACCCGGATATACTGTGATGATTTGCTATCTGTGCTGAACCACTTGAACTTGGGGCCGGTCAACTTGATCGGGTTTGCCTCTGCGGGCCACGTTGCCCTTCGATTTGCGAGTCAGTGCCCTGCGCGTCTGAACAAACTGATCGTCCTCAACGGGAGTCCGTGTTTCCGACAACGGGCAGACTGGCCCTTCGGCTTTGAAGAGAAGACAATCAGCAAATTCACGGCGGCGGCATCGCAAGGCGGGATCGAAGCCCTGACGGACATGGTCCTCGATCCTGCTCTGGTGTTCAAAGACCTCGACGCGCCCAACGCTGCATTGCTGAAGGAGTGTTTCGCAGAGATGAGCTACAACGCTGGCCTGGACACTGTCCTGAAATTCTTCACCGACATTTCCTTCGACGACGATCGCGCACTGATGAGCCAGATCTCCACGCCGACGCTCCTGATTACGGGCTCCAGGGGCGAGGAAGTCCCGAACGGCACCGGCGCTTTCCTACGGCGAACCATCCCACATGCCTCCCTGGTTGAAATCCCCGGGGCGGACCATTTCCTCTTCGCGACCAAGCCGGATATCGTCAATCCGATCATTGCGGGTTTCCTGGCTGCCTGAAGAAGAACGGGGAATGTAGACGGGGAAGAGAGAGAAGAGACTTTGTGCTCCTGCGGGCGCGGGGATGGAGAATTTAATTTCATTTATAGAGAATCCTTTTCAAGAAAAAAAAGCTGTTCTCAAAATGGTGCCATTGATCGAAAGGCACAAGTTTTTGTTCGTAGTTATTTGGGCTTCCAGGGGTAGCTATATACATAGCTAAGCATAGACAATGCCGTGCACCAGTGTCCCAATTCCCCCAATGGTCATCTCCACACAATCTCCGTGCTGAAGGTATTGGGGCGGGTCCATACGATAGCCCACGCCCGATGGTGTTCCCGTCGTAAGGATGCTGCCCGCCTGCAGAGTCGTCCCCTGGCTACAGTGCTGGATGATCTCGGGAACAGAGAAGATCATGTTCTTGGTGCTGCTCTTCTGGCGAACTTGGCCGTTGATGCGGGTCAGGAGGCTCAGCGATTGAGGGTCCTTGATGGACTGCATGGGGCAAAGGCAGTTAGAGTTGGATTGTTGTATGCATAGTTGTGTGTGTACATGAGCTGACAGGACAACGCAGAAACTTCTTTGCAAGACCCACAGCATAGGGCAGGGACGTGAAGAAACGGGAGAATGCTCCTACCTCTGCGCTGACGACACAGGGACCCATTGGCAGAAATCCATCAAAGCTTTTTGAGAAGCTCATCTGCGGTTGTGCGCCGGCAAGTTCGGGATCAAGCTGCCATTTCCTAAACATTGCCCAAGGAGTTCAGCCATCCATCATCACCGTGGATTCACTTCTGCAAGACTTACCGCGTCGACATGTCATTTGAGACCGTGTATCCGACCACGTAGTCGTACGCTTCCTCGGCTGTCACATTGAGCGCATCCTTGCCCATGACGATTGCCAATTCGATCTCGTAGTCGGCTTGATCATCCTGCGCAATCTTCGGGATCACCACGTCGTCGCCGTAGCCTGCCACTGCATTCGGGGTTTTGGGAAACATAATCGGATGACTTGGCCGTTTGTAGTTGAGTTCGTCCACTGCGTCGTCGAGGGTTATTATTGCCTCATCCCCTTCTTCCTCTCAACCCGGGAGGGAATATCCCTTACAATGTTCTGCGTAATTCCCTCCGATGCAACGGATCACGGGTGCATCCTGCCTGCTGAAGGGACCCAATAGCTTCTTCACCGTGTCGACTCGCTCCGTGACCTCACAGTCCTTACTAAAGGGGTCTCCGACGACGACTTTGGCACGGACTGGAGTGGCCGCTCTATTGGCCGCCGCAGCCCCGACGTCGAAATCGGGGTCGTCTGTGATGACATCTCCGTAGTAAATTTGATCGTCTGACGCAATAAAGCGTATCAGTCTCGACCAGGGGACTTTGACGGGCATCTTGCTTCGCCAGACGGTTGACAGCGCGGGTCTGGTAGGGGACTCTCCATTCTCATATCTTCGTCTCCGCAATATGTTTTTGTTCCGACGAAAGATGCGGTAGTGCCGTGATGGATCCTCCAAGGCTCAATTCCGCGCTGGAATGCCGTGATATCTCCAAGAGCGGAAGTAATAAGCCGCTATGAGATGTTTTGGGAACGAGAAGGTGCCATTCCGTGGAAAATAGCGGCCGTAATGAGTCCCCCGAACGCGCATAGCAGAGGATGCGGCATTTCACGGGCCGTCAGTTGCCGCTCTCTACCAGAGACCATGAACGGATGATAGTTGGCTCTTCATGCCCATCGAAATTGCTGCGGTACCCCAGGCAATTATACAGGAGGAATATGGGGGCATCCATGGGGTTTGCGGGCCGTCTTTAGCCTCCGAACAGGTCCGTGTGGGATGGTCGAGGTGCATTGATAATGGGCACTGACGCCTTCGAGATGATATTGGAATTGCCCAACATTCAGAAATGGACAGCTCGAGTCTGTTGCTTTTGCTCTCTGTAGTCCTTGCAAGCTCTGCCGTCCTGGTAAGTATGGTGTGTCGTCGAAGACAGTGAATATCCCCATTGACACCATGCACACAGCAATATCTCTTCCGCGATCCCCTTAGCCATGTCCCCGGGCCACGCATCGCAAGATGGACCAGTCTCTGGGTTCAGTTTCTCGATTTCTCAGGTTACCGATCACTGGTAATTCATGATCTCCATGCCAAGTATGGCCCGGTGGTACGGATCGCTCCCAACGAGCTGTCGTTCTCCAGCAAGAGGGCGCTGCGGGAAATCTATAGCCCCAACAGTGACTATTCCAAGGCACCTCGATACGCAGCATTTGGTCGCAAGAGCATGTTCACAATGCTCGACAAGCAGGAACATCGACTTCGGGCAAAACGGATCAGCCCTGTTTTCGGCCCATCAATGCTGGCCACGGTCGAGGGCACTGTGTCCGCTCAGATCGAGAAGCTGGTGCACATCTTGGACAATCTAACAGGCCAGTCAGTCGATGTGATGCTCTGGTTCCGTATGATGACACTTGACACCTTTGGTGAGTGATCGAGGAACGATCCCAATTTGCACGACCAAGTATACTGAAGCGACGGCACTTTGTTGACAGGCGATATGTTCCTGGGCACAAACTTTGGTGGACTCGACAACAAACGACCTCCGGAGATCCTCGAGGACCTCGACAACGTCTTTCCAACATACTGGATTGAATGGCAATTTCCATGGCTCTTTCGCGTTCTGTGTATGGTCCCTCATAGGTCCCTGCATCAGTTCATCACAACCGGACACAGATTCTATAGGGTGAGGCTAGATGCTTTTAGCAAGAGAGGCCTGTGGCGCTGCTGACAAATAGCTCAACAGAAAGGAGCACAAGCTTTCAACCAGTACATCCAACTCTATGGGCGCCACGGTGAGCGTCGTGACCTGCTGCAGCGAATGATTGCGGCCAGCACAGAAAAGAAGATAGCAGCACCGCTAACTGACGAGGAGATCGTGGTCGAACTAACCAACCTCATCTTCGCCGGGACCGACACCACAGGCAACACATTCAGCTACATGTTCTGGGAGCTTGCACGGAATCCAATATGGCAGGCTCGTCTGCGGAAGGAATTGCTCGAGGTGTCTTGGAGCGGGGTGGTGCCGGAGTACAAGACCGTAGCTCAATTGCCCATCCTTGAGGCGATAATCCAAGAGACCCTGAGACTGTGGCCCGCCGCTCCTGCAAGCCTTCCTCGCATTGCGTCTGCGCAGGGTGGCGTCATTGATGGAACGACGATTCCTCCATATGTGAGTCTCCCATTTTTCCTGGAAGCGTTCGCCGGCAAGGGAAGCAACATTGACGTATGTGCTATGTGAACAGACACTCGTGTCTTGCCAGAGTCTCACAGTCCAGAGAGATCCTGAGGTCTTCCCGTTCCCAGACGAGTTCCGCCCCGAGAGGTGGCTGGCCGAGGACGAGGCTGGAAACGGTCTACAATCGGACCTGGACGCTATGCGAGACAGCATGTTAGTCTGGGGTAAAGGCTCCCGCACTTGCCTGGGCAAATCCATCGCCATGATGGAGCTGAAGTTGGGACTTGCTGCAATAATCAAGCTTCTGTCACCACAGCTGGCGAGCGAGAAGACCAACGAGGACATGGAGATCAGAGACCATTTTGTCTTGATAGCCAAGGGTGGCCGCTGCCTGCTGAGATTTGAGAAAGTGTCAAGCCTATTCGCCGGATGAGAACTCTCGGTCCCTGAGATTTCAGTGGCTTCAAATGTAGGGTTACAACGAAAAGAAGAGAGTCGAAATCAGAATGAGTCTAGTTAAAAGAGTGGATCGAGCCACATTACCAAAGATGCCACCGATGGTCCTCCCTTTCCCGCTGGTCGCCTCCGTGCATTCTGTGTTTATTTTCTTTGTCCAAGGACGTTGTCTTTGCCAAATTCTTGGAAACGGTGGATTAGTTATGCAAATAGAACGAGGCAACTGGAAGCAGCTCAAAATATTCTGAAGATATCGAGGTGTATATATATATACGGTGGAGTTGTGGTTGTGGTTGATACGCTACGGTGGATTCTTGGCACGCCGGGCGAGAACAGCGAGACAACAAAGACGCGCAATTCAATCACTCTCCCTGAATTCTTTGAGACTGCATTACCACGAGGGCAGCATGAATTCAATAGTATTCTCAAGGCACATACACGGCCATCCCGTCCTTACTCTCTGTCTTCTGTTTGTTGCGTGGAAATCCTTGATATTCCTCATTACTGTGGCTGCTCCAGGCGTCGGATACGACACGTCCTCAAGCCTCCTGGCCCTGGAAGATGGGAGTCAGCACGTCATCTCAAACACTCCAGGCGGAATGCCCAACTGGTGGCTGAAGTTCGTCAGATGGGATGCTATATACTACACCCACATATCAGACCAAGGACACATCTTTGAGCAGGAGTGGGCGTTTGGGATTGGGGTGTCAGCGGCAATATCTTGGATCAGCAGGCGTACCACAGCTCCCAACCCTGGCGTGACTGGACCCTGCACTGACAGTGTCATAGGTCTCTCGCTACTGGGGATAACCACAGAGCTTTCCCCGTCGGTAGTCGGTATCTTGTTGTCACATATAGCCCATTGGCTGTCTGTTGTTCAACTGTGGGCGTTAACAACAGCTCTAATCGGCGACAAACCCAGCGGTTCTCTGGTCCCTTTCTCCACCGCAGCGCTCCATATCTTCTCCCCAGCAGGGGTGTTTCTTTCAGCGCCCTCTTCCGAAAGTATTTTTGCGTTCCTATCCATGTCTGGCTTCCTTGGCTACCTGCACGCCATCCGACTTTTCCAGAGCGGTCTGGTTTTTGCCGGCTGTACGACCATTATCTGCGCCGGTCTGACTTTCAGTACTGCTACGATGGTTCGCAGCAATGGCATACTAGCTGGAATACCCTTTCTCGTGGAAGCAGTCACCACTCTCTTGGCAATGTTTTCCCAGGGCCTTTCGGCTTCGCGGGTTTTTCAGCTAGCCTCGATCGTGTTTGCGGGTTTACTGGTGGCATGCGGCATGGTGTACCCGCAAGGACTAGCATACAAGGACTATTGCTACGGCCGTGCCACCGAGACCAGGAGACCTTGGTGTAACCAGACAATACCATCCATATTCACCTGGGTCCAATCTCACTATTGGTGAGTCTGTCGAGGTTTGTGCGACGATTGCGGCTGACAAGTATTGCAGGAATGTTGGCCCCTTTCGCTACTGGACTGTATCGAATCTACCGCTGTTTATATTGGCGGCACCTACACTCTCGGTTTTGATATACTCGGCCGTGGATGTCCTCCGACGCCCGCAGTTTCTCAGCCTAGAGACGCAGCAAGCGCCAGCTACCTCTTCTGCCGGAAAACGCGCATTGCTGAGCCTGGCCCTCCCTCAACTCGTGCTTGCAGTCCTCGCGCTCACAAGTTATCACGTCCAAATCATCACGAGGTTGTCCTCCGGGTATCCCCTGTGGTACATATGGCTGGCGACCGAGCTTCAGACGGAGCCGAAGCGATCCTCGGTAGTCATTCGGTGGATGGTCATCTATGGTCTGGTTCAAGCTGGGCTGTATGCGTCATTTCTGCCTCCGGCCTAAGTCCAAGTTTGGCCGTCAAGATCGTCTGGGCATCAGATTTACTACGCTGAGGCACAGACGTCAGAAACATTGTGAGTCGACGTGATTAATCTTGAACTATCCCTAAGCTACAGGCTCTTTTGCCGACTTCAGGCTACTTTTCCACCGATTTCACCTTGACTCTGATCCCCTTGGTGTCGAGTTTGACGGTCGGCACAAAATAGTCATGAGCCAGGACCGTATCCGACAGCTCAGTTTCATACAACTCGAAAGAGAACGTCCTAAATATTGTGGCAAGCCCCATGTACAGCTCAGCTTGAGCAAGGCTGCAATATTGTCAGTACCATCTTCCGGCGACACAATAGGCCAGAGTCCAAGTAGGAAGCAATCGCAACTCACTTCTGACCGATACATTGCCTTGTTCCTCTCCCAAAGCCAACGAAATATCTCTCTAATGGTTGGCCGTCCTTTGTGGTTGGGTTATTCAGCCACCTTTCCGGAACAAATGAATTTGACTCAGGGAAGACATCTTCATCATGATTCATGTCGACTATGGTCATGGAGATCGGTGTGCCTGCCGGAATGATCCAATCTTTGTACTTCAGGTCGTGGCGGGCAACCCGAGGCAGCCGAGAAGCAATGCCATATGCTAGCCTGATACCCTCTTTGATACACCCTGTCAGGTAGGGCAACTGCCCGAGGTTCTGCCAGTGGAGCTGCATCGATGGGTCGGGAATGGCTTCGTCGAGTTCAGCTCGCAACTTCGCGAAGATTTCAGGGTTGTTAATGATGTGAAAGCTGGCCACCGCAGCGGCCCATGAGGTGGTTAAAATGGCGGCACCAATGATTACTTGAGCTTCTTGCACCATGCGGTTCACCGACTTCTCCTTGGTGGAAAGGTCACTGTGAAGCATCTCGTGGAATAGTGTTGGATGATCAAACATCTTCCTGGATTCGTCATGGTTCTCCTTGAGCGCGGAGATGGTCCGATGGAAGTCCTTGGCTCACCGAGTCAGGGTATCGTTTGGATAGCGGCACCTCACCACTCACCTGTTGAACTTGTATATGCATGTACATATTCGGTTCGAGCCTCAGTACCAGCCAATCTGGGAGGCTGTTCATCACGGGCCACAGCCACGGAAACTGCATCAACATGCTGGAAGATTCGCAGGCGGCGTGCATTGCTTCGTGGAACGTTTCTTTGAATTCCGGAGAGTCGAGATGGTCGTATGACTTTGCGAAACAAAATTCCGTCACGACATCTCCCGCATATGCCGTCCAGGCACGATGAAGCGGCAGTACACGATCGGTCCCTGCATATTCTTGGACCCTCGAGCAAAGCTTCCTCAACTTGGCACGTACGACAGGCTGGAAGTCCATGATTTTGCGCTTAGAGAAGAAAGGAGCTACAGCATTACGCAAACGACGGTGGTCTTCCTGCAGTGGCGCGGTGAAGAAGGTATCGTCAGTGCCGAACCTGGCAGAGAACGGGGCATATTTATCGAGCCTGCCGGACTTGACATAGAGCTCTTCAAAATAGTCCGAGTCCAGAATGTGCAATTCATTGGGTGTTACTCGGACGATGGGACCTGTTTATCAATTTCAGATCGCAGGATGGCATCTGAAGAATGCTCACCATATTGCTTATGCAGGTCTTGGATGTGAAAGGTCATTTGGCCTTTTTGGATGATTTCGTAGTAGAACTCGTACCATCTCGTCAGCCCGGCAAGCTTGGGCCCTGGAAAATGAGCAATGGGATGGAAGAAGACACGATAGATTGCAAGAACAAGACAATAGACTATGGTGAAAGCGACAGCGAGTATCAAGAGCGCAACAGAGGGGCGGGTGGTCGAGATGGATCTGAGGTGGTCCATCATGCTTGATTGCTATCCTGGCGATCGAAACATTGACGGCTGGAGGAATTGGGAAATGGCATCCTCTCCCGAAGAGGGAGAGCCCATAGGGCCGACAAGACCATTCTCTGGGTCAGCCAGGAACGTGCATGCATCATGCAGGACGTCGAGGCCAGTCTTTCTCAGGCGAAGCTGGACGCTAGTTGATGCAACGCACTCATTGCGGGGGTCTGGGAGAACGAGAAGCATGTGATGAGGGCAAAGAGGACGGGACGAAGGAAGGGCAGCACGACAAGCGAAAAAAAATCGATGGCAGATGATTTCTTTTGCGCATCTAGGGACTTGCAGGTAGAGTGCTCTACATATGGTCGGGATAATAGACATACTGTATGTAGTTGGCATGTCGGAAAGACCGCAGTGTGTTGGGGCATCTTGACCCCGATAAACATGTCAATACCCTGGGCGCTTTGCCGCCTAGCTGCTACAAGCTCTCCAGCCCACAAGCCCATCGTTCCGGCCCGAAGCCCGGACTCTAGCCTCACTAGCCCCAGCAAGCCGCCCAGCCTCTTGAGATAAGTATGAAGTCGCAGCTACAACTTCGAAAAAGTTTATTGCCTCCATCCACCACTCCCCAAAGATCAACATACGCACGGAGTACAACTCTGGCTGCCTTGCCGTACTGCACGGCACAAACCATGTAAGAACTATCAACTTCCACTGAAGGCCGGTTTGCCTAGCCAGGAATGTAAGCCTCGCATTCGCCAGTCTTCCGGGTCCAGGTCTTTCCTACGTCAACCGTGTGAGCGAGCTTTTACAGTTCTTTCATTATCTCATATTCCTTTCGTAATCTCATCGGTCTCTGCTTCGCTTGGTGTTTCCCTAGAACTTCTGCTTCTGGCACAGCTACATGATCACACGCTATTCTCTCCTTCTCTCCATTCGCAGTGCCAAACATCCATGGGCAGCCACTACCACGAGGAAGACCTGGAGACTGACGTTTGTTCCCCTTGTTCTCTCCTACTCCAGTGCTCACAGATACCTCGTCTGAAGCCGACGACGGAGACTCCGGTTACGAGACCTCTGTCTCAGGGTCCTGGTGTGCTTCATTGGGAGCACCGTCCTCAACTACCGCTACGAGAATGGCCGACGCTACCGCGCCTATCGCGAAGGCAAATATATGTTGCCCAACGACCAAATTGAGCAGAACCGCCTGGACATGCTTCATCACATTCACAGACTGGTTCTGGGTGGCCCTTTGTTTCGGGAACCATTGAACCAACCTCAGCGCGTTCTCGAACTTGGCGGTGGCACTGGCAATTGGTGCATCCAGTTCGCCGATGGTTTTCCCTGCGCCACCGTTATTGGTACCGATCTCAGCCCCATTCAGCCCGAGTGGGTGTCGCCCAACTGCAACTTCTATGTTGACGATTACGAAAGTGAATGGGCGTTTCCTCCCTCGGAGCATTTCGACTATATCCATGGGCGGGCGCTCTGTGATAGCGTCGCCAATTGATCTCGATTTTTCGCTCAGGCCTTGTCTCATTTGAACCCTGGCGGTTGGACGGAAATACAAAAATATCGCTGCGAGGTCTATTCCAACGTTGGCTCTCTCGACCGAGCCATCTATCTGAAGAGTTGGGTCGAGGAAATGAGTGAACGGAGCAAGCGGTTCGGCAAGGAACTGAAGATAACAAACAAAATGAGGAACTACATGCAGAATGCTGGCTTTGTCGACGCCCACGAGGAGTTATTCAAATGTCCGATTGGGACCTGGGCCAGAGGAGAGAGATACAAGGAGTTAGGGAAACATTACAAAGCCTTTTACTCTGGCCATGTTTACCCGGATTCTTGGATACACCATCGAGTAGGCCTTGGTCACGATCGAAAGAGTCAAATGAGATTTGGCCAACCCGAATTTTCGTCTATATGTCCATTACCACTTTGTGTGGGGTCGGAAGCCTGAATGATGGACGATCGACCACAGAAGAGTGAGTTGTCTATTCGTGGTTCCGTTCACTCGAACCGTCAAGCGCGGAGATCCAATCACCGAAGCAAACACCGATATATGGTGTCTTTGATAGCGACTCAAAGTAGAGAACGGCCGAGTTAGCAAAGACACAACGTAATAGCCGAGAGTGGGCCTAGTGAGCCCTATCTTGTGGAATCTGTCAGGCGAAGCCGGTTTGACACGCCAGATACATGACGGCCAGACGAAGAAATCTTGTGATAAAGAACAAACAAGGGATTGAGCGGAGTTTGAAATTCCAGATTGGTATAGATAGCTGCTTCGGGTTAGGGTCATTGCACAAGCGAAGCCCAAGGGCAAAAAGTCCAAGTTGTTGTCGCGATAAGCAGGAAGCATGCAGTTCGCCGAAACGCAGAAACACAGGCGTTTGCTTTTACCTCTTCCCCCGCGATGTCCATACATAATACCTACTTGTACGGAATCTGCCGGCAACCACCCACCGACCAGACACCGCAACACTCGCCTTCTTGGCAGTCATTACAAGCATTTAAATATCGCGGCTTTTCCCTGTCTCAAGTGACTCAAATGCAAAAAAAGCTTGGAGCAAAGTCGTTTGTTCTTCAGTCGACGTGCAACATCTGCCAAAAGTCCCTTGTATAAGTCTTGAATCGAAGCAGAATCCTTTTTCGTCCTTGTCACATGCACCATGGCAGTACCAGCATCGCAGCCTAAAAAGAAATGTGCCGTCCTAGGAGCCACAGGTGTGTACCACGATACTAATCCGCTAGAACCTGCTGACTCTTGTGTGGCCAGGCTCTGTGGGCCAACGGTTTATTCTCCTTCTGGCCAACCACCCAATGCTTCATTTACAGGCCGTTGGAGCTTCGTCAAGGTCAGCTGGCAAACTATACAAAGACGCCGTCAGATGGAAGCAAGCTAGACCGATGTCCACCGAGCTTGCCAATCTCGAGGTCAGGGAATGCAAAGCAAGCAACTTTACAGACTGTGACTTGGCCTTTTCTGGCTTGGACAGCGATGTCGCTGGAGAAGTCGGTACGACTATTCACATGGCTCCCTGCTTCATGTTCCTGCTGATTTGGTCCAGAAATGGAATTTTTGAAGGCAAATATTCCTGTTTTCTCGAATGCAAAGAACTATCGCAGGGATCCGCTCGTCCCGCTGGTCGTGCCAACAGTCAATCTTTCGCATCTGGCTCTGATTCCCCACCAGCGGAAGCATTTTGGTCTCGATAAAGGATTCCTGGTCTGCAACTCAAACTGCGCCGTCATCGGTATCGTCATCCCCTTTGCAGCACTACAAGCAAAGTTCGGACCGGTCGAGGACGTCGAGGTATTCACCGAGCAAGCAGTGTCAGGCGCTGGCTACCCAGGTGTGGCCAGCATGGACATTATGGATAACGTCATCCCTTATATATCGGGAGAAGAGGACAAGCTCGAGACCGAGGCCCAAAAGATATTGGGCTCGATCAACTCGGATGCGACTGCGTTTGAAGAACAGTCCGGCCTGACAGTTGGTGCTACGTGCACGAGAGTCGGTGTGACAGATGGCCACATGGCCTTTGTGTCTTTGCGATTCAAGCAGAGACCTGCACCCACTGCCGAGCAGGTGAAGGCGGCCCTGAGGGAATATGTGGCCGATGCGCAGAAGCTGGGATGCCCTTCGGCTCCAGAGAAGGCCATTGTTGTCTTTGACGAGCCCGACAGGCCTCAGCCACGGCTTGACAGGGACATCTCCGGAGGATATGCGGTTAGTGTGGGCAGGGTTCGAGAGACCGCCAAAGGGTCACACTTTGACATCAGGTTCGCGGCATTGAGCCACAACACCGTCATTGGAGCGGCTGGTTCTTCAATTCTGAATGCAGAGGCTGCGATCATCCAGGGTTTGCTGTAAATAGGTTTGTTCGAACGGCTGGGGCCGAGCAGTCCATGACTCGGCAAGGAATGGATGGAGCGGCACAATGGTGTAATGCATAGAGGGACATGAAAATCAAATCTCATTGATCATATCGAACTTGAACAGTCTTCTTTCCCGGCTCTTATCTCGAAGTCCTCTTGGGCTGGCTTGCCTCGCCAATTGGATTTCAAATGACAGATTCGCTGCTCGTCATATTTTCCGGAAAGTGAAACCTACCCAAAACAGACTAGTCCCACAAATCTTGGCGACGGCCACAACCAAATTCCCAATTATTCTTTCTGCGGTCGCCATCCGACATCTTCTGTGCGGATTGTCCTACTTTTTCCTCTATCACACAACGAAGTCGTCAAGATGGGTCGCGGTCCAAAAAAGCATCAGAAGCGTCTCAGTGCGCCCTCGCACTGGCTCTTGGACAAGCTCTCGGGTGCCTATGCTCCCAAGGCATCCCCTGGGCCTCACGTTGGTACCCCTTCGAAAAGCTCTTTTGCGCCTGGGTGTTGTGGAAAATATGCTGACCCAAAGATGTGTAGAAAAGCCGTGACTGCCTCCCTTTGATCGTCTTCCTCCGCAACCGCCTCAAGTACTCCCTGAACAATCGCGAGACCATGGCCATTTTGATGCAGCGCCTCATCAAGGTCGATGGCAAGGTCCGCACCGACATCACCTACCCTGCGGGTTACATGGACGTGATCTCGATCGAGAAGACTGGAGAGCACTTCCGTCTGGTCTACGACACCAAGGGCCGCTTTGCCATCCACCGCATCGAGCAGGCCGAGGCCGAATACAAGCTCGGCAAGGTCAAGAGAGTGCAAGTTGGCAAAGGAGGTATCCCATACTTGGTTACGCATGATGCTCGCACGTAAGTCCTGCCTGCATCTATCAGCCGTTGGACCAAGCTGTGGTCGGAAAAAACGGGAAATCACAAAGTGTCAAGATACTGATGTGGATTAATAGTATTCGATACCCCGATCCTGCCATCAAGGTCAACGACACTGTCAAGATCGACCTCACCACTGGGAAGATCACCGACTTCATCCGATTCGATACTGGTGTGATCGCCATGGTTACCGGTGGTCGCAACATGGGCCGTGTCGGTGTCATCACCCACCGTGAGAGACACGACGGTGGCTTCAACATTGTCCACATCAAGGATGCCATTGACAACTCGTTTGCGACTCGAGAGAGCAACGTCTTCATCATTGGCAAGGAGAAGCCGTGGATCAGTCTGCCCAAGGGCAAGGGTGTCAAGGTAAGTTTAAAGCGCACATTGTTAGCGATGGCTCAAGCTTATGGTATTTCCACAGCTGTCCATTGCCGAGGAGAGAGATCGCCGCCGTGCCGTTCAGATGGCCAACTCCCGGGTGTAGAGTATTACCATTATCTGGAGTATTCATACAGCTTCTGGGGAGGCGGGAAGGAGTGGGATGTGGAGAAGAAGAAGAAAAAACCTACTTGTGCAAAGCGCAAAGATGATATCCGTGCATTTGTAAGCTCAGGGCAGAGATACCCCCGAGATTCTTCGGCCCTTATGGCTGAAATGGCAATCCAAAGATACCTCGACCGTCCAACTCAAACTTTTCTCGTTTCTGTTTCTACTTGTTCTTTTTGGCGGCGCTTTCGCCCGCTCCCAGTCGCCCAAACACTCCAGCCACAGTCATCAACCTGTTAACGTGCAAGAACACGCTGACCCCGACGTTTGCGGATATCATCTGGTTCCACTGGTTCAGATCCCAGAACACCATGTGACCAAGGGCACAGTATACGGAATATATGTGGCCCAAATCGGCCAGAGCCACCGCAATCAAATATCTCCTTGCGATTTCGGGGTGGTTGGTGAAGCAGCAGATGACTGCCAATGCTGCGAGAAGAAGAAAAACATTGCCCAGCTGGAGAGTCAAGGAGAGAGCATTGGGGGTGAAGAGGAGGTTCGATATGGCAGAGTGAGGCGCCTGGTCGGCATAATACTGTTCAGGTTGGAACAGGACGACGAAGTAGGCCCATGTCCTATCCGTATCAGCAAGCAGCATCACCGACTCTCAGGGATTAAAGGGATCATACAGCGCTGCGGGCTCCAAAATACCAAAGAGGACCAACGGCCAGAGGGGAAGGGCAGAGATGGCCATCATCTGGGATTGTGCGGAGTATATCAAGGCTTGAGCAGACAGAGAAGCGACAATAACCGGCAATCACAGGGGACAAGAGACAAAAAAGAGGACGAGAAGCTGTCTTATAGATGATATTTCCGTCTATTGGAGCCCACCTTCTGTAAGGCAAGCCATTCGCATTGTGTAGCTCAGTGTTTGATGGTCGATGTCAGCCTTTGGAGTCGCGGTGGGCGCAGGAGGATGTGAAGATGCTGGCTAAACTTCGGCAGAGACCTAGCCTGTCACGTGCTGGTGCGGCGGTCTGTTTGTTGACATGGCGAGCAGGTTACCCAATCAACTGACTTCATGTGCACCTCTTCTCTTCCACATCGATTCCCTTTGTTTGCGACAGCACGCACCAATTTGCACGACCACATATTAACGGACACAGGATAGATTGTGCAGGCGATACCACAGCAGCACCAGCAGCACCAGCAATGGCCGCACATGTCGCCGCCGACAGCGACCTCATTAACTTCGACATAATAGAAACCCACAAGGAAAACATCCAGTCCCTCCCCGGCGGCCGGTCGGCGAAGCAGCTGGCCTCCATATTGTCGCCTCTTCCGTCCTCCAGGTCGTTGGGCTTGGGCCCGAGTGCGACTCCGACCTTAGAAGAAACAAAAACCCTCAACGACGCCATCAGACACGAATATGAAATCGAACTCCAATCAATAGCAGATTCTGACGACCCACTCGACATCTATGACCGATATGTCAAATGGACGCTCAATGCATACCCGTCAGCTCAAGCGACACCTCAGTCCCAGCTTCTTCCCCTGCTCGAACGGGCGACAAAGGCTTTTCTCACCTCGAGCCACTACAAGAATGATCCACGATACTTGAAATTATGGCTACATTATATCCGCCTATTCTCAGACACGCCTCGAGAGACCTTTGCGTTTCTCGCGCGACATGGTATTGGCGAGGGACTCGGGCTGTTTTATGAAGAGTTTGCGGCATGGCTGGAGGCTGCAGGGAGATGGGTACAAGCGGATGAAGTATTCAGACTAGGCATTGAGCGGGAAGCCAGACCCGCGGAAAGATTGTCGCGGAAATATGCTCAGTTCCAGCAGAGATTCGACGCCAGACCGGAAGTCGACGATGAGCCCAGCTCCCCTGCGCTGCCCACCGTTCGACCGGCGCTGGCGGCGAAGATTGATCCGTTTGCCTCCGCCCACGCCGGGGATGACCCTCAAGCGTCTCGTCAGCGGAATGGGTTAAGTGGAGGCTCCGCACCGACGTCCCGCTCAGGCAAACCCAAGATGGCCATCTTTTCGGATGCGGATAACGCCCAACAGCCACTGGCTGCAAACAACACGAAAGGATGGGACAGCATTGGGTCAATGAAGGAACGCAAGAAGGAGAACACCGTTGAGGCTCGATCGTGGGCGGGAGAGAAGTTGAAAGCCGGAGGCAGAGTCGGTGCGGTGCCAAAAATGGAGGTATTCAAGGATCCGGTATGATTGACCTTTTTCCATGTCTAGACTCGGTCAATACAAATCTAAACTTCTGTGGACGATCACCAAGACTTTGGTCCTCTTCTTCATCTTGTCGTATAGTGGCTGACCGATTTCGTAGGCATCACGAGTACAGGGACAATCCAAGCGACCCCCGACGACCCAAGACTCCCAACAACCGCATCAAGTTGTGAATCCACGTACCGGGCGAGCTGAACGGGTCTTCGTGGCCCTTGAAGCCATCTATCCCCCTGGGACGGATCTCGAATTCAGCTTCGAAGAACTTCGAGCCATGTCTCGAGGCTGGGCTCAGAAGGATTGGAGGTCACAAAAGGAAGCAACTCCTCTGAGGCCGACTGCCGGTAATGTCGCCCCAAATGCGAGTTCAAAGGTCACCAAGTCTCGGGAGCCAGAAGATATCGAGAACCTCACACACTCCTTTGCGGATAAGGTTGACCTGAACGATGGTGCGAACTCAACTCTAGGTGTCCACGATATGTCGAGCCAATCGATGGTTGGCATGCCCGAGTCAGGTTCCCAATCAGCAACCAACCCGCCGAAACAGAAGGACAAGAGATTGAAGATCAGAGAGGTCAAGCAGGAGACGCAGACGGTCAAGACTCGACTGGAGTCGCCCACCGGCAAGAAGTTGAAGCGCAAAAACTCCTCGCAGGAGCCAACCATGACTTTCCATTCCAAGGCTGCGACGAATGAGATATACGACATGTTCAACCAGCCACTCCGTAAACCGGTAACGGCTAGAGACGACACCCAAAGTGGCGATGAGACCGACTTCACCGAGGGAGAAATAGATGATGGGTACAGCACCGCAGGTGACGCTGAGAGCACCGAAACGGGTCGAGTTTCCGCGCCTGGCAGTGAATACGGTGACGATACTTTGGCGTCCATCAGGAAAAATCACTCGCAGAGTCAAAGTCAGTCTGAAAGTGTCTCTCCTTGGTCCGACTTCACCACCAGCAAACACGTGCCACCTCTTGATTCAGCACGTGTCAAGGACAAAGCACAGGAGACTCAGAAGCACAGGAGACTCAAGCATAAAGGCCGGTCAGAGGATATAACAGAGAGCATGGACTCATCCAGCCAAAACCAGACACAGAGTTCTGGTTTTGGAGCGTTTGACACCCAGGCGATTGCTGCCATCGCTGAGGGTAACTTTGATGAACTGGACACCAGAGCTATTGCTATGATGGCTGGCGATGTCGATGAGAATGCGGCAGACGCTGGGGATGTTGACGTTGAGCAGGATGCCACCGTCGCCACATCGGCGGACCAGACCACCTTGACAGAGCAACACCAGGGAGAATCAGACAACCGTGGAGTTGACGATGGTGACGTCCTGGCCACCCCGATTGACGACGAGTTCCCTGACCACCGAGAGATTTCGCATAAGCCTCGTTTCATCCCCATTCCACCTGCCGACTATGAGCCGACCCCGATTCGACCTTATCGTGACCCAGCGATGCTGGCGCAGAACAAGATGCCGTTCATGACACCAATTGCAGAGCGAACTGAATCTTCACTTGCTCCTTCGACTATTTTCAACGTGCCTGGATATTTCGACTCCAAGACCCCGTGCAGGTCCAAATATGAGAGCCCGTCCAAATTTGGGGTTGAGAATCTTCTCTTGAGCAGTCCACAACAGCAGGCAGCGACGCCACCGACCGGTTCTCCGGCAGGCAAGAGAAAATGTGGTGATACCGGCGCGATTGAGGATGAGCTCGTCACATCTTCACCGCAGAAAAAGGGGCCCAGCCAGAAGAGCGACCTCGACATTTCGCCAATCCCTCGCTCCAAAATCAACGACGACACCTTGAAGGCTACTGCTGTGCCATCAAAGCCAATTGTCAGATCGCCCCTGTCTAAAGTTCAAAAAGGACCAATCATTCCAGATTTGCAATGCAATCCATGCGACGACGCTATCCGAAACCAGATCCTCGGTTCGGTTTATCCACCGCTATCGGCGCAAAAGGGTTATTATGATCATTCGGGCATCACTTTTGGCCGCTACCCGATCCTGAAATCGTTCGCCGAAAAACAGGCAAGGAGCAAAGCCAAATTCAGTCCCCGAAAGAGTCAGAACGAAAAGGTCCCAAGTAAGGCGGTTCCTCCGGTCCTCAAATTCAACGGAGCAACTCGGGTCTACGCTGTCAAGCGCGAATTGGGCGAAGGGGCGTTTGCTCCGGTGTATCTGGTCGATAGCTACGACCCGGCTGAGGATGAAGAGGCAGGCGAGAACGACAAAGAAAACAAGAGCCCACAGTCATCTCAGCTTGGTGATACGAGCCGTCAACCGCTGGAAGCCCTCAAGACCGAGTCTCCTCCAGGCACATTGGTCTGGGAGTTCCACATCGTCCGTTTGATCAAACAGCGCCTCGGCTCCGCCGCGCGAAGCATGCAGTCCATCATCCTGGCTCACGAATGCCACCTCTACCGCGATGAAGCGTACCTGGTCCTCTCGTACAGTCCGCAGGGGACGTTGCTCGACTTGGTCAATTTGGCGCGGGCCGAGAACATCAAAGCCGGCAAGCCTGCAGAGGGCTTAGACGAAGCGATGGCCATGTGGTTGAGTGTCGAGCTGCTGCGCACTTTGGAGGATCTCCACCGGGCGGGTATTCTCCATGGCGACTTGAAGGGCGATAATTGCCTTGTCCGCTTCGACACCAGCTTGGACCTGACAGCGCCATTCAGTCCGGAGGGAAACCACGGATGGCAATCTCGGGGACTGAAGTTGATTGACTTTGGGCGTGGTATCGACACTCGTATGTTCAAGCCTAACGCACAATTCATCGCCGACTGGCCCGCCTGTCCTCAGGACTGTACCGAAATCCGCGAATGTCGACCTTGGAAGTGGCAGATTGACTACCATGGCGCTGCGGGGGTGATCCACTCGCTGTTGTTTGGCAAGTACATCGAGACGGTGCCAGCCGGGGCCAATGCATTGGCCGGTCCGGGACAAAAGAAGGAATGGAAATTGAAGGAGAACCTCAAGCGATATTGGGAGAAGGACGTTTGGGCAGATGTGTTTGCAACACTGCTGAACCCAGGGTGCGTGGCCGATGGGGAAGATATGCCGATCCAGGGCAATTTGAAGAGGGTGAGGGTCATGATGGAGAAGTGGCTCGTGAACGAGGGCGAGCGAGGTGGTCGTGATCTAAGGGGGAGCTTGAGACGGATGGAGCGGCTGGTCGGCGTGAAGTAAGGTGATCAACCAGGGGCCGTATTCTTTTCTTCATCAGATACCAGAGCACCACGACCATTGGGAGAAATTCGACGACCACACAATTGAGCGAAGGCGTTGGGGGAGCTTGTTTTGGCCGGGTCCATTCACGAAACAATCAATCATGGAGAATTAGAACTTGGGAAGATCTCTCTTGGAAAGTCAGGGATTGAATGAATGGAAGGAAGGCAAGAGGGTATTTCTCGAGAGACAGGGATTTGTTGTTGGCGCATGGCACATTCACACCAGAGATGAACACAGGTTATCATCCGGCATTCTAATCGAGTTGGACATTGACAATGACAAACAACATCAAGCACAGCGAGAACGAAGATGAGTGAAATGCTCCATCTGTCCACGCACCATGATTTATTTGCATATACAGTACATATATATACTTTGGCGTATTTACGGGCATGAAGCCGAAATGGGTCGTCATGTGACATATCACGGGGTATTACAGTAGGCTGAGAGAGTCCAATCGAGCTGCTCTCTTGTTTGATCGCGCTGCGCCCTCCTCGAAGTTCCCCAACGTGTTGACAGCAACCATGATTGAATTCAAATGTCCTCCGGTTCGATAGACGTCGTTCATTTCTCTGATGCATGCTGCATTCTGTGTTACGAAACGATATCCTCACTGGATGAAGCCCAATTGCGTAGGTACCCTGAGATTTTCGGAGCCACTCGTCACTGATGTCCATGGCTCGCAGTTGATCGCAGAGAACGTAGAATTGAAGTGATTCAATGCCCTCCGATTTGTCTCTCGTGTTCACAATCGCCACAGCCCAGAACATGGTGTCATCTTGCCTGCTTGAGCATCCTTGCTTGGACCTTCCGAGACGATAATGCACCTACTCACGGTGACCTCCTCTCTTATGGAACTCGAACCAGGCCCCGATGGAAAGAGCGGCGGCTAGCAACTTACAATGATGGAAATCCCGTCGACCAATGTTGGTCGGTTCTACGGAAAATATTTTCCGTTGAGCTGGTCGATCGAATGCCACAGGAAATCGTCTTGGAAATCGTGAAGTTATTAGGACCTACCTGTCTCTCAGGTATAAGAGAATTCCGGGCTCTCATCAACGCGTTACGCCGAGAGCCACTTGCAGCTAAGATCTCTCTGGACCTTTCCTCCGTTATTTATCAAACAACATTGTGCTTTCGTGGTGATTCCTATGTCTCAATGATCAGTAATCGACACGATGGACGAGAGAACCTCCGAAAACTCAGGGGGAGGCCGCGGACTGACGGATGTCGAGTTGTAGTATCCATTGACGAGATAGGTGTCAGAAATATTCGGTTCTTTGGGCTAGGTGCATCGTCCATTCCTGCGGATGGGAGTCCATGGTATTATATCACAGACTCCTTCCCGCAGACGGTCTTCGAGGGCTCTACCGACGTAAGTGCACCTCGTTCACCGCGACGTTTCCTGACACGCGTATCAGGGTCTCATCCTCCGAGATATACGCAGCAAGTGCGTCTCTAATTTCTACGACTCATTCTTATGGGACACTACGAACCCTCCTTCCATCAATAAAAAGAACTTCTTCTCGGTATCTGCCACAGGCGCTTCGCACTCACGCTTTAGATTTATCTCTTTCAAAGGGGAAACTTACATGTTTATTGTCCACTGTCGGTTTCAGAAGATTCTAGGTATTTGTGCCCATGACTTGGTGGATCTCGATCCGAAATGCGGCACTTGTGATAGCGATATCAGGGCGAAAAACGTTCAACGCCTTTGCCTTCCCGTGAATGTTGGGGAAAGAATCCGAGGGATTTGGATTCGTACTACAAAGCACATCTCTTTAAAAGACCGTGGTATTATAGTACGTTGGGCAGTTCTCTCACCTAGATATATATACTCCCGACTGATTATGTTTAGGTCCAAACAACACGTTCGCGTGTCCGTACATTCGGCATATATTCGCATGTCAACCACGATGGCTTTGAATATCATTCTCTTCTTGGTCGGACGGATGGCTTTGTTGACGGAATCTACTACAACGCGCTCGAGAGTCGATGGGATTCCGTCACCGAGCTGGGAGCCGTTTGCTCTTCTTCGGCGAACCGTGTGGCAGCTGAAGGTCCGACTCTTCCCAACCTCCCATCCTTCTATGATTCTCCCACGAGATCTTTGGATCGGTACCTGTCAGCTGCTCCTCTGCACAATCTCCGCAGCCTGAGATTCTGTAACGACGAGAAGTCGCCCTGGTGCACGGGCGTTCTCCTAGTCTATCACGACGAGAGCCAGGATGCACTTGGCCAGCTCTTCTGGGGTAGGTTGATCTCCAGCGAAGACATCTCGAGAGAGAATACTCGATACTGTAACATTACCATGGCAAAGCTCCACCACGTGCAGTACAAGGTGGTAGACCCCGATTCAGAACCTATTATTGACGACAGTGATAAGAACAGCTGGAGATCAATTCCGGAAACTGGTACTATCAGGTGGTGGTCTGGGCGACTTGGGGATCGAATCGTGATTGACCCCACAAGTCTGACATGAAGCTCAAACTCCCAGATTCGACAACTATCTACCCTTGACGAACGTTTATGCGCACTGCCTCGCATGTGGTTACACGTCAGCTTCATCTCTTGTCGACGCACCGGAGGTCCCTCTGAAGTTTTTCGTAACGAGAGTGTTCTGGAGATCTCACCCCAGGCTCAATGCCCCGACGTGCAACTGGTGAGAATCTCCTCATGTGATTGTATTCCTTTCGTAACTCGGTTGCTTCGCTGGAATGAGCCTCGATATATTGCGAGGGTTTGGCCAGCTCGTCAGATTCAAGTAGCGGTTCCAGATACGTCGAATCTGGGCGGCAGGTCCAAACTCTTGCCCTAGTTCCAAAGCTCGTCACTGCATACACCATGGGAACATCCTTGTGCACAGCTAGATAGGAAATACAATCACCGAATGCCTGGTGTTCCACTTGTTGAAGATCACTCCTCGTAGCTTCTTTCCGTTTGAGCTCAGGGTGATGGAGGGGCTCAAGATCTGTGCGTCCAAGATATTGCACTTTGAGATCTCTTTCGAACGGCTCGAGCTCGGATGGGCTGTCTTCCACAGCCAAAAGCCAGTCCTTCTCAGCGAACAAGTATTTCTAAAACAAATGGAGCCAAAAGTTGACTGCAACATTCTCTCGCGACCCTTTTTGCTGGACTTGAAGCCAAAGACGTTGAAGAAGCTCGTCCGTCACCAGTGACATCTTGACTGAGTGCCGACTGTGGTATTGTCGACCGAATATGATTTTGTTGTTGACTAGAGCTATGGTAGTTGGTGTCTGAGTGTTTTATGATAAGAGAAGCTCATAGTTGAGGAGGATGCCTTTCGATTTCCATCAAAATGGTTTATGCCCGAGAGCCAACGGATATTGTATATCAGGCTGCCGCTCGCGAGGTTCCGGCCTGTCATCAACGATTTTCGCCCATGATGGGTGCATGGGCTAATGCGCAACAATTGTTTGTGCATGTGGGAGCCATGCGCCAACAGCACCAGTAATTACTCGGTACATACGGAGTCCACTAAGTAGTGTGTATGTCGACATCATCATCCTCCTCATCTTCATCCTCACATTAACCTAACGGGGCAATATCACTTACTGACACTTACCCTTTTGTAATATATCCGGGCCTTTGAACCGAGAGGCCACGCAACAAAGCAAATCTGCGTCAGAATCTGAGGTCCTACAGTAATGATATGATATACCGTGGTTCTCCCCTCCTCGTTCTTGGTTCTCTTTCCAAAACTCCCCTGTCCCATAGTCATACCACACCACACCACACCACACCACAAACCATCCTATTTTCCCGAGGCCACTCACTTCCTCACTCACTCGCTCAGCATTGACAAGCGCAGATCAATTCGATCGCATGATGCAGCGCCACCAACAACTATGCTAACACTGAGCACAGAAGGGTTCGAATTTCAGACAAGGGATCTTTGTTATTACTTCTCTACCACTTCCCGATCTACCTTCTTCGCTGGGTGTGCGTGTGCACCGACGCACTGACAGGTCCGCCCACTAATATCCACGACATACTCCCCTCCCCCCGGAAACTCTCCCAGCCTAGGTCCTACTACGCAGTACTCGGTACCGCTTGGGGAAGGACGGATATATCCGCGGCGGCGGTCGCCCATCCTGGCTTGCGCTCGCTCGGCAATCGATTTGCGATTTGTAAAGCACCAGACAGACTAGGAAAAAAGAGAGAGGAGACGAGATACAGACACACACACACAAAACTGCGCCGGTCTTCCCTTCGCCATCACCATCGCCATCGCCATCACCATCACTATCGATCCTGAAGTCGCACTTCCCATTGGCACCCTTCTCCTTCCATCCCCTCCTAATTAAACCCTCTCCTTCTCCGTCTATATCTATGTGTGTGTGCTGGTGTACCTCCGACCGGTGAGACTCGAGATCTCGTGCCCTGCCCGCCCCCCGGACAACAAAAGACCGAAGCGAGCCATCGTCATCCCCCCGCGCCGGTAACGTCGAGGGTCCCGCCTGATTCACACGAAGGACACAAAAGATACAATATCTCATCCGTTAATACATAAACAAACCCCCTCTCACCGCGTCTCAACACTAAGTGGGCATCATGGGCGACGCCGGTCCTCCGACGCCCGACCCGCTCCTGCAGGACGGCCGTGCCGCCGTCGACGGCCAGGTCGAGGCGGATGCGGCGCCGCCGCTGAGGGAGGTCAAGGTGCTCGTGACGGGCTTCGGGGTGAGTGTCCCTTCTTCTGTCTACATACCTACCCCTCCTCTCGCGATCGCGATTTGATCCTAGTCCGGTATCTTGGGATGCGTAAAGAAGAGGAAGCAAAAGTGGGAGATATCCTGAGGTCCAGTTGCTGTGGGAGAAGATGCTTGGGTTACGTGATCGTGGTCTAGTGCCTTGACGGAGGCAAGCCATTGCAGAAGAAGGATGTCTGATTTTGTGCTTTCGCCTACCCATTCCTCTGTCCTCCATTGAAGCCCATGCTAATAGTCAACCTCTCTATTCAGCCGTTTAAATCGTTCCTCATAAATCCCTCCTGGTTGATCGCCTCGGCACTGCCCGAGGAGCTTTTACCCTCGCCGTCTACTCTCTCCGGGCAGAAGTCGCCAGACTACAAGATCAAGTTGATCGTCTATCCCTCTGCCATCCGAGTCTCCTACTCCACCGTCTCCACCACTGTACCCACTCTCATCACGACCCACAATCCCGATTTCATCCTGCACATCGGCATGGCCGGCGGGCGCGACTGCTACTCACTCGAAACCCGTGGGCATCGGGACCACTACCGCATCAAGGACGTCGACGACTGCGACGGCTTCACGTGGGGTGAGAGTCGGTGGAGGAACGAGGGCATCCCGGAGGTGCTATACGTCGGATGGGACGAGGTCGACGTGCTGGCCCGGTGGGAGGACGGGGTCCAGATGGGACTGAGAGAGCGAGGATTCTTGGGATCAGGGGAGATGGAGAAAGCACTGTCGGAAACTGCAGGAAAGGGAGAGAACGAGGCTCAGCTGCCAGCCTCGCGACCTGCACCACTCATTCCTCTCGGACGAGCGAACATACCCATGAACTTGATGTGGGGGACAAGTAATGTGCCGGTGTCATCGACCAAGGCAGACGAGCATCGGAGAAAAGCCATCGTCAAGCTGTCGTGCGACGCAGGACGGTTCCTCTGCGAGTATGCCCTGTTCGAGAGCTTGAGTCGGAGATGGTTGGACGCGCAGAGGCGGAGGGAGGATGACGATGATGTCGACAGAAAGGATCAGCAAGCCGCCGAGGACAAGGAAGCTGAGTCGATTTCATCATCGATCTCCCCCTCTTCTGGTTCTGGTCCCTCTCCGTCCGACTCAGACCTGGCGCTAGAGCGCGTCGGCAAGGTGGCGTTCCTGCACGTGCCGGGCTGGACGGGCTTAGAGGATATCAATCGCGGCGTGATGGTCGCTGAAGAGGCGATCCGCGCGTTGGTTGGTAGTTGGGAAGACGGGTACCGGCGGAACGGGATCGGTGCGAAGGTACCAACCCAGACCTATACGATGCAGCATTCCGAGCAGGCGGGCAGGGTGGCGTCAACGTGGAGAGCCTGAAACAACCGGCCGGAAGATGTTGTGCATATGGGGACCGTGTATGGCATTAGGTTACGGGACACACAGGGACGTGATAGACCGAGTTCACAGTCAGGGTCCAGCCAGGGATGATAACTGTACATGGAATCAATAAACAAAGACGTGACGATAGTGCATTCTTTCGATCGCCATTTCATGCATGTCGCAGATGTTGAAGTCTAAACCCCACCGATATCTGCTTGGTTTTGTAGTGGGACGTGTACCCTCAGGCTTGGACATCCATCGAGCATCTTTCTCGCCTGGCGGATATCCTCTTCCGTCAACCGAGAAATGGTATCATCGAGACTGCACGGTAGTCATGGTTTGTCTAGGCTCCAGCTGACACGGGAACCACAAGACGGGATCTCAAGGTAGGCTGGAGTGTTGCAACGATCCAGGGACCACATTCATCGAAATAGGGTTCCTTGCCCACGTCAGGCCCGGGCTGACTGGTTTGAAAAAGGATCACGGGCCTTAAAACCAAGAAAACTTACCATTTGGATATGACTTTGTCGTGGAATGCTGACGTCGTCGAATGTCCCCGTCATGGCAATGAAGGTTTTGAATGTTTCGTCGTGTAACCTGTCAGGTGCGAGAGAATGGCTTTTTGTCCTTGACAGGTCGAGCAAGGGATGCTTGACAATTGATTGCCCGTTCTGTTGACTTTGGTTTGATTGTCGCCTCGACGTGAGGGCATCAGAAACAAGTTGAAACAAACGGATAGTTTGCTTTTTCCTTGGATCGCCAGTGGGGGGGGGGCGGTGGACACTCCTCCACAACATGCATACATACTTTGTGGCGAGCAGGAACGTTTGTTTATTTGGTTCTTTGGTATGTAAACGAAAATAGCTGGCTACCTGGTAACAACCCAGCATTGGATGTCCATGGACCGAGGGTTGCACAGGTAACTTCAGTGTTTGGACTCGGCCCAACAGGTTCCTTCAGCACAAGCCAGACGAACCGATGGTCGGACAACGAGTAGAACGAGGATGGTGGTACTGAGTGGATCAACGGAGCGCAGTCTGGCGTTTTCGAGGTGGCATCAGCGACAAATACGAGGACGGCGACGATGGCATCTCATTGATGGAAAGAGACCCACTTGGATTCGGCTCGCGTATTTAGCGTCACCAACGCGTTGATCTCGCGTCTGCTGGACCCAGACGCGTCAAGTGGGTTTTTCCTTTGCGGCCCACACACACAGACACACACACACGCACAATGCAACGGCACACGACCAACATCATCCATCATCCCATTGTTGCTCAGTCCCAAGGGCACAAGTAGATCCAACATCGCGGAGTACGGAGAACCTTGGTGGCAACCATGGAAAAGTGGAGGAGGACGGGACACGGATGGAGACGGGTGGGATGAACATTGAACACACGCGAGTCTGTGCTTTTGCAACATGATGGACAAAATGGAGAAGATGGCTGCACCTGGAGCATAACCGAACAAAGTGAAGCGAGCACTCACAAGAAACGAGGAGAAAGGAGTGGTTGATAACGGACCAGAAACGGCAGTGAGAGTCGTAGCTTTGCAGTAGTGATCGAGTCCGTAGAGCAGCTCCTTCGTCCGGCACCCCCCATCGCCCGTTGCAGGTAAGACACACTGACGACTCACGAGAATCAACTACGACTACGAGCCCTAACGTTACTGCTACTGCACGCGCTGCTCATCTGGCTGTTTGTCCATCAACACGTAATTGCCTGTGTTCTGCTCAGCTAGTGGCTCCGTCGAAATGGATAATAAGAATAATTCGACCTCTCTCTCCCTATCGCCGAGTTCCTCTTCCTCTTCATTTTTCCTCTTTCTCTCATTATTCGTCTTCTTTTTCTCTTCTCCCGCCTGTTAGCTCCTAGCGGCGGCGGCGGGTGCGGCTGTCTTGTTTTTGGGGGGTTCGGCAGCCCTGGGCAGCTTAACCACTCCCTACCTAGGTGCCTATTGTCCCCCCTACCCTTGGGTGCACGAGCCCCCTTTCTGTTCTGCACCCCTCTTCCCCGAGTCCACTGTGCCCCTTCTTCCCTGTCTGGCTCTCTCCACTGCACTGGGAACTGGGTCTGGTATCGGAGCCCGGCGCCCAGAACTTGACGCCTACATAGGGACCCTGAACCAGGTGCGACGCCCCCAAACCCTTTCTGGGGCATTTGGTGGCTTTCGTCCATTTCTCCTTGCCCTCTCCCTCCCAGACAAAAGGTCACCCGCCCGCTTCCAACATTCCAATCCTCGCACCACCACCAAACAACCAACCCGACCGTCATCCATATCGCCATCATATCACGTCAACAGTGTAAACAAATATTTCTCTCCTGTTTGAACATCTACAAACGTCCCTCTCACTTTTCCACACGTCGGTTCCAAAGCCCATCACGCCGTTCGACTTTCTATCTGCACCCTGGTCGTATCGACCCATAACCACTGGTCTCGCCAATTTCTCCCTACTAGTTTTCCCCCAGCCACCGTTATTTCCTCGACTTCATACACGCCTTGCCTGTACCTCCGTACTGCCACGTTTTTCCCAGCTGCGATCTGCCGACTCAGAACGTCTGCGCGTTCCAACACGCTTTGCTGCTGTCGCAAAGCACCACCCAACATCATTTCGAGTCGCTTGTCCTTCTCCCGCCGTGCTCTGTATAGCCCTGGCTCATACGAACTGCACACGATCCAGCCTGCAGCAGCCGCCGTGGCGCCTTCAGAATCGACTCTCGTCCGCGTGACCGACCGCATAACCGCATAGCCGTCCCAACGCGCGTACACAGCATGAACCCGTGAAGAAAACCACTCTTGATATCCTCGACAGGGCTGCATCGGTCGGGTCTCTGCGCTTGCTTGTATATATCGCGCCGAACATCAGATTGCAGGAAGGTCAGCGTGCGCGCAGAACACATACAACCAACACCATGGCCGACCGCGATCCCTCACCGACACTCTTGTCGTCGTCCGCACCGCGCAGACCACACATGTCTATCACTCTGCCTCGGAACTTCGCGCCTTTGAGCCTCGATGGCGGCGACGACCCGAAAACTCCAGATCAGACATTTGCGGAGCTGAAATTGCCTCCACCGCCCCATCATTCCACTTGTCGTTTGCGCCGGTCGCGAATTCGAATGGACAACTTCCAGGCGCGTAACAACGCCCTGCCAGCAACGCTCTTTGCTTCTGACATTCCCGTTCCCTCCAGTACTCACTCGCTACCAAAGGAACCTGAATTTGTGGATGCCGACTTTGCTCTGCCGTCGATTGAATTGCACGGTCACTTGGGTAGACCCATCTACAACCACAGTATCACCGATCCCTCCCCCAGCGAGAGATTGAGGCTGTCTGCGTTGAGAGACTCCCAGCTTCCACGGACGCCCATTGCTCAGACCAAGATCGTTCTGCCAGATTACAAGAGCGGTGCTTGGGATATGCACAGGTCCGCGTCAGAATGCTCGCTCCGGTCGGACTCGTCCTTCACATCGTCCGAGGACACATTCACCACGCGGCCTACCTCGTTCGATGGCAGCGCTACAAGCCCTGAGAACGAGTCCCATGACCCCTTCTCACCGACAAAGGTTAACATCATCCCGGACACGCCGTCGAGAAAGAACAAGAAGCTCAAGATCAACACCATGCTGTCCAAAGCCAATGTTCCATGGAGTATTGAAATGGATAACCATCTCTTCAACGTCTACCAAATGTATCTGGCGGATCCGACCGTGACTCCATTCAAGACGGTGCCAGGCAGCATCCCTCCGACGGGCGTTTGTCATCGCGTGGCACGGAGAGCGAAAGAGACTTGGCCCCGAGCTTCCAGGGTCAACAAACCTCTCATTCGACGATACAAGATACGAAATGTCATCGAGACCCGGATTACTGCCAGAGACAAGACGCCAGAACCCAATGACTTTCTGCGGACCGACCACAACGACGCAAGGGGTGCTTGGCCTTCAGAATCAGCCACGAGGAGGCGACTGAAACAATTGTGCAAGGAGAAGTTCACCATCACTGCCCACTATCAGCGATTGCGTGAATCTAGGAGCCCGTCCCCCTTCCATGAACAGTTCCCGCGCCGACCGTCTTCTCGAGTGTCTCAATCGGTTTCCAATCAAGACCCGCAAGCATCCACCACCTATGCCACCCGGGAACTAGGGATATCGCTCGTTGCTAGTGGCGCAACTGCCCCTCTGGCGCAGCTGGTGACGGGAGAGTCGCCTCCAACCCAACAGATGTCGGATGACTGGTTCAATACCCCGGTCAACGCCTCCTCCGAGACCATGTCGCTCTCCACCCCTGCCGGTTTAGGGATCCAGTCGCAGCCTGAAAAATTACAAGTCGCCAGCAATATTCCCCGCTTGGCTTCGCCATTCAATTACAGTACTTGGAATGGATCGGGTAACTCCAACACCCAGCACCGGCGCCACATTAGCCACCATCACTTTGACACTGTTCACGCTACCGGGACACGGCTGCTCTCTCCGTTCAAGCTCGAGTCGGAGAGCTCCCTCAATGTCAACAAACGACGAGCTCAGCACAACCTCGAGGACGAGTTGAGTCCCAGTGGGAGCAACATTGAAAAGCTCAATGTCGACCTCAATCGACTGCCTGTCCCGACTGTGTTTGAGCCTGAGCCACAAGCTCGGCCGGAGCTGGTTTTCACGGGAGCAGGAGATCTCAATCAGCGGCGAATCCGAGTTCGAAATCGCGGTGCGACGTTGGGGGCAGTAAACAACAGAGAACACGTCGAGCGGCTCTTTACTCCACCCACCTCTCAGTTCCCGGGCGCTGATGGAATTCCGCCCGTCCCACCGTTGCCCGCCTCTTTGACTGCTTTGGCAAAACCCAATGTGCGGTCGAGTTCTGGTGGGCTCGCCCCGCCCGAGCCGGATTCGACCCAGAAGCGACTAGGCAGCCCATTCGAGCTGGATCCTAACAAGCGAAGCTACCGCACCAAAAACCCCCGACACGTCCCGAGTTTGAGTGACCCTTTCATCAGTACGAGCGCGTTTGCCACGACACCAAGTCATGGACACAACGGGTTGAGCATTGGAGAACGACTGGCCATGTTTAATACTTTTCATACGCCCCATTTCCCGCGACAAATGGCTAATTCGCAACCAAGGGATGATCCATTTGCTTGATACCGCAACCGATTCGAGTATAGTCTTTTGAATGATTTTGCGAGGCGAGCATCAGTTTTGGGATGCATTGGTCCGGGTTCTTTGTGCCACGGCGTTGACAGGACAGATTCCCAGCGAATCACATTTGAAAATCTGGAGTGGAGAAAATGGGCGAGCTATGGGCGAGAACTTGCATGGGAAAGCCTCGCGCGGCATTTTTGGTTGATCAAGATAGCGATTTGCATGAGCAGAGAGACGGAAGAAAAGCGATTTGCTCTTGGAAGTTTTCATTGGGGCCAGCACAAGATCAACAGACTTGATGATATCAGTGTTTGAAGATACCGATTGGAGCTCACAAAGCCCGCATGAGGGAGTACTGATTGCCGTCAGACAATTCAGAAGCGCTAGCGATGTCCCGGGGCAATCATATCGACGCGACACATGCACACAGACGAGACAGATTTGAAGGAGACTAGGACAGCCTTGTCAGCAGATGGTCGATGGACCGGCGGGTGTTTGAAAGGCCGGCCCTGGTTTCTCTGTTTATGAGATTATGAACTTTTGACCTACGAGCGGGAATTAACAATGAAGAATGAGCATACATGCACGTGAAGTTCTGACTAGATGGTATTTTTTGCTGAATTCATCCTTGATCTATATTCCGTAAAGCTGCTGTGTTTCCTTGTCAGAGACTCTGCCATTCCCTGTAGGCCCAGTTGCATTGCCGTTGTTGAAGACCTCGTGTGAAGAGTCCTTCCTCCAAGTCTGTGACCGTTTGTGGCTCCCCACGTGACTCTGGAAATGAAGCTTAAGCTGTGGATCGCTCAACTCCTTATTACTCAGCTTTGTCAGCTCGATTGTATGTTCTTGATATGATAAAGACAAGACAAAAAGGTCCCAAAACTTCGCGGTTTCGTACGCCGAAGAAGTTGCATTTGTGAACTCACTCCAAGGCCCCCGTGGCGCAGTGGTAACGCGTCGCACTTGTATTGCGCAAGCGCAATATACAATTGATGCGAAGATCACAAGTTCAATTCTTGTCGAGGGCATTTTGGGTTTTTTTGCCTCTTGGCGAACAGAGAGGGACAAGGGCTGATAGGACCGTCTCATCCTCGACGAAGTCCTCAGGTGACAATGAGTGGAAATTACAGCAAAAGTCTATAGTCATGAATCCACCGGCAATGCATACCATTCGGGCGATTGAGGAATCGGAGAAGATGCTCAGCAGCATAGCAGCTCAATTGTGTGATGGACTAGGGAATCAAGAAACTGGGCACCCGACATGATAGGTAACCAAGGTGTAACGTGGCAAAGTCGTATGTACAAAGGGTTTTAGTTAGCTGGCTCAAGACGAGCAGGCAGTACCGGACACAAGGCTTGAGCCCAAAATTTAGAAAGCAGGTTGCCAACGTTCATTTAAACAGAAGATACCCACGATATCGACGCTGGGGTCAGCCGGGGACGCCTCCTCTCGCCTCGAGTGGTCCGTACTTGTAAATCCAGTTCTCTAGGAGCTGGTAGAGGGTGCCGGTGTCTGGGCTCGAATAGTGCAGTCGTAGCAAATACAGACTGTAGGGATCCATCAGCCTAGTGAGCCTCAACACCCTACCTAGCTGATACGAGGCGAGTCCTAACAGTTCTGTTAGATTGGTTAAGCAGTGTGGTTAATAAAGTCAGCTTTCCACGTCCCAGGAGACAGCGGCAAAGGTCTTGTACCACGGTCCAACAACTCGAAGGAGGGGGTAGAATCAATTCTTCAGATTCTCCAGCCTGTTTTATTAAGACCTTCATGCATTGGAGGTCGACAAACCTGATCCAGTATTCAACCCATAAACAATCGGGCTTTAGACTAGCTTCAACCAAAATCCGTACTGTCTCCATTGGCGTCTTGGCGTGAAATGGGGGCCGATTTCCTGGGACGCCTCCGAATCCTCCGGGCTCCTTGGAAGCTTTTTGGATCAGAATACGCCAGATTCCAAAGCTGACCTCGAACTGACTATTTGTGACGCCATTTTCGTTGATCACACAGGAGACGGCGACGAGCTGCTAGGAAGCCAGTTTGACATCGTATGCTCTTGAGCGATATGAGCGTCAAGGGCCTCCCGGTCGTCGAAGACTCTCTCCGCCAAGGGAGCAGGGAGACTCGCCGCAGTACCAATTCTTTCAGATGCGTCGTGCCATGCGCATGAAGATGCAAGCCGACCATGAAGACTTGATCAAAGGTTGCTCCGCACTGAGGCACTTCGCACCGCCAACCACGGGCCATTTGTGTCGCATGAACTATATTGGTATTGATGCCTGTGTCAAGTGACAATTCCTTCTGCAAGCGGTATTTTGATTTCCATGGCACTTCTTGTTGCGTACATCTCCAGGATCTTCTCAATGTGCTCGATGGAATTTCCTTCGATACATTCCATGAAAAGTCTCCGCAGATTTTCTGAGCCATCACGTCGCAGGGAAGATCTTGCGGCTCGCCAGTCGCAAAGCTAAACGAGTCTTGATCGTCGGTCAAAAGCGCAGGCACGGTACCTTGGGATTTTTCACGCAGGATTTCAGCATATCGACTCCTGATGCACGGAACTTCCAAGTTGATAATGACAGAATGGCAGTTGCGCAGATGTTGAATAAGAGCGGTTCTCGTGTACTGCAAGACGACACCGCCATAGATGCATGATAATGCTTGGGCAGCTTGACGTATTTTCCCTTGGCTTTCGTGCGAATTTGCAAGATGAGAGCGTACAGCGTCTTCTGTGGCACGTGCAAATCCGCAATAGTCGCAGCCGAAGCCATCCTTGACACCGTGCTGGGATTCAATATGACGAGAGAGACTGTTAAGTGTAATTCGCTCCTGGCAGCCAGGCCAGCAGCAAGGGACAGGGATGCCGAGAGTTGCGGCCATAATTCGATTTGTTGATCGATGTTGTGGTTGTGGCCCACCAGGTGCAGAGTACTCGTATTGGCCGACGGAGGACTTGACTAGGCCGGCTTCGAGTCAGATCACATGCAGCTGCAGCATTATGTAAAGCATTAGGAGAGTCGGGAGAGTCTTGAGTAAGCCCTAAACCTGGTTCTCAGACGGTTTCCCAGGAGCCTCAAGGGAAAAAAAGGTTGGCGTGGTCGTATTGACGGGCGGACCTCGAGAGTCAGATTACGACCATGACGCCGGCGATACTCGGCTTTGTGCTTTCCTCCACACGGCTCCGATGGCGAAGCAGTTGACCGTGACCATGACCATGACCATGACCATGACCATGACCATGACGGCGACGCCACCCTCGAAGCGCGTGCTGTTCATGAGCACCAAAACCCCCGGCAACTTCCAAGGGACACGAGATCGCCAGGAGGTCCGCGCTTTGGCATTACGGGCAGCGTCCTTTGCCCGGCCAAACAGGCGAAAGAAAACCAGAAAGACAGGGGATCAAAACAGCCGACCTGCTCCAGAAGGTCGTGCTGAACCAACGGGTAGTGTCCAGAACTCGATCGGTGCACCTGCGTCGCCGACGACGACTCCCAATCCCCATGCTCTCGTCGGGAATGGAACGTCTGACCCCTTTGATTCCATGCCTGTTCCCGTCACCGCCCACTGCCACGACATCCTCGCCTACGTTCGCTCATTCACATATGCAATAAATTGGCCCGACGAACTCGAGGCGTGCCGGGAAGGAGGGAGTCTGTACCGGGCACACTCGGTCATGTATACCAAGTATTTCGAACACGCGGCTCCTCTCAACTGTCTGCTGGCCTACGTCTACAACCTCATGGCCATCGCACAGCCCGAGAAGGCTGACCACCATCGGCAGATCTCGATGCAATATTCCGTCAACGGCTTCCAATGCCTGCGAGACCTAATCGACAACCTGGACTACTCCTACGACCAACTCTTGCTGATCTTGCAGACCATCTGGCCGCTGGCGAGTGCCGAGTACTCCGAGTCCGTTCGAACAGGCAACGACAAGTGCACTCAGCACCGTTGTGCGTTAAAGAGGCTCATTCGTCTCCTGGGTGGCCTCGACAAATTGCCCTTGGTGTACAGGGAGTTGATTGTGCATTTCTTTGCCAAAATCGCGGTCGTGACAGGGACACGCACCGAAATCGAGCCCTCGTCGTGGGATCCTGGCCCGTGGAATGCGCATCATGTTCTATCACTGCCACGAGAACCTGAGGGGATCCCGAGTCCGTTGCCTGAGCAGTCGGATGGACCCCAAACGCTGCCAGATATCTTGGCTGCATTGAGAGAACTGGTCGCCGTTGAAGAGGTGAAGAGACAGACGACCTGGTCCGATGAGGATCACCTCAGCCCCATATTCCGGTGGTCATTTCTCCGCAGAATCGCCCTCAAGATGCGGCTGTGGAATCTTTGGCACAGTCCTGCCGACCAGATCGACGCAAGGCCATTGCCAAACACACCGCTGCGACCACAAGACTCGTCTCTGTGCCTTGCGGCGCAAATCTTCATCTATCTCAGCCTTGAAGCCCACCCCATCAAACAACCGTGGTTCGCAGCACCAACTCAACATGCCGAGATGTTGGACCGGATCAAGGCAATGGACACAGCCCTCTTGGAGTGGGTGAAAGATCTTGATCCAACGGCGTCAATGCGGGATTCTCTATCAGATGGAATAGCGAACAGCGATTCTACTGCCCTAACACGGGCACAGGATCTTCTCTGGATCGTTGCCATTGGCGCATGCTTCGAGGAGGAGGTCAAGAAGCAACAAGGACGAAACCCGATCGCAGATTTGACGGTGAAACCACAAACCGATGCCGAGAATCAGGATAATGGCAATGTTGTGACCACCAAGTTGCCGACCGAATGGTTCTCTGTGCGATTTGGCCTACTTGCGAGGAGGCTAGGGTATACGACATTCGAGGATGTGCAAGGATTGTTCAAAAGGGAGCACGTGTATGACGGGATGATGATGGATGAGGCATTGGAGAGGCTATTTGATACGATCATGTAAGTGCTTGTGCAGAAAGAATAGCAACTGGTTGAATTTCTGCGGTACATATGCGTGGCTCACGAAGCTTCCCCAGACCCAAGCACGAGCTGTTCCCCACCAGACGCGGCTCGCCAATTGGCGCCGGGGCGCCGTTAGGCTTCAAGCCAGAAGCAGGTGAGCCACTGGGGGGTCACGGGGGGTCCCAGTGATCCTCCGGAGCCCTGCTAGCCGTCGGCAGGGATCCATAAGCACCCCACGCACGCCCATTAATCCGGCTGCTGGTTGATCATCGGAGCCACATGGGGCCCCGTGCATCATTTTCCTATGTTGTGTATCCATTCTTCGCCTTGCGTGGACGTGACACCGCGACTTGTATGCTATATCGCGTCCTGATTTCACGCTCGGCGCTGTCAGAGAACACCAAAAGCAACCCACGGACTGTCTGATCTGAGGAAGTCTCGTAGGCTGTGTCCTTCTGCCTGGGGAGAGAGAGATAGAGAGAAGTGGCTGTTGTTTGCTGTGGTGAGTGATGTGCTGGCCCCAGCTAAGAGTGCTTCTCTAACATTACAGGATACCTGCTCGGTCTGCTCGAACTCCCCATTGACCGCGAGTCGTTTCTTCTCTATTGAGTCCAGGATGGCGTCTCCTGCACGACGCGTGCTTGGTGACAAAGATCCCAACGCGCCCATCCAGCAACAACCCTCCAAAGTGCCAAACAGAATCTCACAGCTTGCCAGTCCTGTGCCACCACGCAGCTCTATAATGCGCCCTTTCTCCCCGGAGCACTCCCCGTCGAGTAGTCCTCGGACCGGTCAGAAACGGAAGATCGAAGAAGTACACCGTGAAGAGCAGGCGCCGTCTCCAGACACAGTTGCCGCATCCTTTCTGTCCCAAACGACCGAGTTGCTGAGCGACACCCGGTCAGAGGATGGGGTAACTGTGCAAGCCTCGATAGACCAGGGCAGGTCGACTTTGCCCACCTCTTCCACCACTCTGCGGGCCTCGCAAGAAGATTCGTGTCAGATCGAAAGCGAATTCCTCATACACGACGAGCCGAGCCAGCACGCTTTGGACAAGATGGTACGTTGCGTTCAAGGACCTGGCGCATTGTTTCTAAGTCATACATGTAGCACGCCGTCACATTCACCCAAACCACATCTCAACTGGTCCCTCCGCTGCGGCCCAACCTGGCCAAGGAAGGATCTCAAGTCAGCTTGAGCATGTCCAGCCTGATCGACTTTGACACCAACCGGTCTTCGCAAGACGACGACATGGAAATGATTGAGGATGGTGTGGTGGCCAATGACCAGAAACCCCAGACGGAGGAGGACGCCAGGAAGCAGATGATGCTCGAGGTAGATGCGACTGTCATCCTTTCGTTGTTGCATGCTCTAATCCCGGCACAGAAAGCTGAAACCCTCCGGACTCGATTACAGCTCGCCCTGTACAAGATCCAAACCAATCAGATAACAAAGCCGTTCGCTCGTCTTCAAGTGCCCCGAGTCACATCTTCTCCACCGCGGCTCTCTATGCCATCTTCACCTCCTCGATCTTCGTCGACTGTACGGCAGAGCCCAGCACCGGAGAGTTCAGCCGCTCAAGAGGCCCGAGTCGCTCTGGCTCGTGCTCGCGCAACGATGGATCCGAAACCGACCGTCAAACATCTCTCCAGCTTGCCCATGCCAGAAATCGTCCCGACAGCCTTCTCGGCGAGATGGAACCATGACGTCGACGCACAGCACGACAGTCAGCGTAGCCAGATGCAACCGTCTAATATTCCCAGTAGCCCTCCCCTGTCGCATGAAGATTGTGCTTCCGAACCCTCGGTCGTGGGATCACATCCTCCAGATACCAAGCCTAGCACGCCCTTGCAGCTATCTAGCCCGGCGCCCAGTGCTCACAGAGAGGATATTGAAGGGAATATTGACACCCGACGCGACCATCTCCGAGGTGTTGGTCTCTCCAGCAGCGTGATCAAAGGAGAAGCTGCAAGTGGCCTGCTCGAGCTAGTCCGGGGCGTGAGGTCCGGAGGAGTCGGGATGTGTGGAGTATGACAACTGGACGCCAAATTTGCATTTTCACCAAAATGTCGCAGTCGATTTGAGCCCGGCAAAGCAGGGCGGGCGTTGTTCACGGGATATTCAGCACTAAGCAGCATCTACACCCATGGTGTTTGGGACTTTTTTTCTTTCTTTGTTAGACATTGATCTGCCGCACCCCACCGTCCGTCCAATGCAGTCAGGGAGGACGCTGCGTCGGACACGAGATACGGCTCGCAGCCTGTCCTTGCGAATTGACGCGTTGTCTTTTCATTCTAGCTGGCTCGGTTTGCTTGATCAATCCACCTCACTGCTTTGCTTTTCCTTGTTCCAGATTGTGACCCGGTGGGCCAGGATGTGGTTGTTTGCTTGTCACGGGATGCCTGCCGAAAGCCAAATCCCTGCGGACTATATCTGTCTCTGTTCGTAGGCAAGGGGGAAAAGAGCCGTGACACTCTCATGGTCTAGTGGGTTGTCTCTCGAGAATGCTCATCAAGATTCTCTTGTTCTGACAGTCATAAACCCTTCCAATCTTCCACGCCTCCCTCCCAGAAATATTCCTCTCGATCGGAAACACGCCAACATTCGAGAACGAGAAAGAAAGACAGCATAGAAAGTTGTCGCAGTCCACAAGCCGTCCCATCACCAGCCTCAAGAGAATCCAAATCATACGATATGAACACGGTCGACCCGTCTCGCAAAGTCCCCCAAGTCGACCAGTCCGCGCCCATCGCCGCCACCACCACGACGAGGGTAATCGACATGTCGACGTTCGGCCCAACCGCCCCGGCCCCGAGCAGCGGCAATGGTCGTGTGTTCTTCCACCTCGGACGCATCGGCCACGAGGCCACGCCGAAGCCATTTCCCGTGTGTATCTCTGCTGGAAAAGGCGTCATCGTCCGAGCAGGCCACTTGCACGGAGCGTGGACCTGTGTACGCCCCTTTGACAGTGATACGGATGGAGATAGCTGCTACTGCTATTGCTCCGGCGGGGACGACGAACACGAAGTCCCTCGAACCATCACCTTCCCTGCAGCTCCCGGCGTGGAAGGAGGTGTCGAGCACGAGCACAAGATCCGCATCGTGGGCAGCCGGACGATCGAGTTCTCGGTCCTCGACGCCTCCTCCGCCCAGCCCGCACCCGCGTCCACGCCCCGCATCGTCAGACTCAAGGTGAAGGCGCTGGTCGCGGCGGCGAACGACGAGTTTTCGCCCACGGCCGGCACCGAGGGCGTGCCCATCTGGATCGGCGTCGATGATTCCCCTGACAATATCTTCCGCGCTGTTCCCGGGGAGCCTGGTTCGTGGGAGGTGAAGTGTGATAATGGGGAGGTGGTGAGGTTTTAGTCTCGTGGGCGGGGTGAGGGCGAGTGCGCATTGGGATGGTGATGGGGATGTTGTTGTGGTGTGCACCTCTGTCTGCTTCGTTACACTCTGGAACGGGTGTTCTGAGTGGTGGAATCACGGATATACCACATCCCAGTGGTTTCAGACGATCGCGACACAGTATTCACGAGCGGTGGGAGGAATGTTCGTCTGGGCCTGATGCCGAACGAGGCTGTCAGACAGCTCAACCTATGGCAAGTCTTTTTCTTCTCCATGGTCATCCTCCTCGTCCCCAATCTACGGCCCCTATATAGCTAGTGTCTGGAGAAGCTACCAGTTCGATGGACAGGAGTTCTGTATCAAAGCACCCATTCATTTTATGCGTATAGTTAGTCCCACTCCAGAGAAACGGGCAATACTCGTCGAACTACATGGGCCGACCAATATGTTACAACGCACTTGACTTTGCTGAAGGTCGGCCGACCAGACTGATCAACCCAAACCAGACCAGACTGGTACTAAACGTGTTAAATCTGGCGTATCACGGCAGTCCAAGTGAAGAAAGGGCAAGGCGGGTTATCTAGACTTATCTGGGAACCAACAACCTTCGGGAAATAAATGAATCATCGGATGCATGAATCACTGAAAATCTATGCCCGAGAGTCAGTGTCCACCGAGGACGAATCGGAGAGGCGGACGAAATACAATACACGAAAGGGTGCGATGCGACCTGATTGTCTCATTATGGCTAGGTTACAGCCCAACGAAGTTCCGTATGATTATAGATCGTAGTCGAAATGGTGACGGTTGCGACACGGAAAACGGAAAACGACCCCAAAGAGCAAGAGAGAAAACGAGGGAGTAATTCAACACAAGGTCCATTTGCAAATAGTTACTCTCTCGTACTTGGAAAGGAACGTAGTAGTCGTGACAAACGAATTGATGGTATAAATACTTGGATACATCGATATAAACCTCGCCGGAATGGTAGAAAAGACGAGCAATATCGCTTGCTCGACCGAACTATCAAAATCAGCGAATAAATGAATGAGAATGAATGTGTTGACCAGGCCTCGACACATCCATCTCAGCTTGGAGAAGGACACAGGCGAGGGCAAGAGGAGTTTTCGCCAACGACTTCCCCGTGCTCCTGTCGCCGGGCCAAGGCGTCATCATTCGACCTGTGGGCGGCGGCGGGCGCGGCAGAAGGCAGAAGCGGCGGGTCGGTCGCCCATATATCCGTGGCAGAACAGCTGGCCTTCTTCCCCTTCGCGCTCAAGGCAGCGAGTGAGTGAGTGAGTGAGCGGCACAGCGAGGGGCTGTGTTTACCTCAACCGTCAAGTTGCCTGCCTAGTCAGCCTCCACGTCCGAGCTACCCTTCATCCATCCAGCCCGACTACAGCCACAGCCGCAGACAGAGGAATTGGCCCTTGCAAGAGGGGCATGGGTGTCGGGACCGAGACCGAGAAAATATGGGGGTCTGGGCTTGAGCTTCTGGCTATCAGGGGGAGAAAGACGGTGGGAAGGAGGTTGATGCTGTGACAATTTGTGCGTCTGCGTAGAGATTCATTCAACAACAACAACAGATGGAACCAGTGGACAAATGTTGAGCCTGCGTCTGGCGAGCACAGGCCCGACCCTCTCTCAAGCACAACAAGTGGTGTTGCGTAGACAAGGCTGAGAACCCCTGCCTAGGATGGTTAGCATAAGCAGCAACTTCTGACTATTCCTTTTTCGGCTATACGATACACGTGATGGTAGCCCCCATCCCTTTCTCTCTCTCTCTCTCTCTCTCTCTCTCTCTCATTGTTGTTGCCGTGATAACGAATGCCTCGCAGGATAACATTATCTCGTCTTATGTCGCAGCAACGTCCAGCCCATGTGATCGGTATCTCGCCGTCCCTCTGCACGAACTCGTAGGCTCACCACGAAGTGTAGGCTTCTGCCAAGAGAGTTTCTGTTTGTAACTTTTTTTTCGGCGTTCGAAATGGTGCACATGACCCTGCTTTCTATTCGAATACTAGTTATGGTTTCTTTGTTCATCCACTCATCACAATACTGGTAACCGTTTGTGCCATTCCTCTCACGTTCCACCGAATTCGAGGGGCGGCCAATCCTCTGTTCATTTTGTTGTTTCTCTTCTCCTAGAATGTCTCAGGTTCTTCTGCTCCGTTGGCTTCCAAGTCCGGAATCTCGAACCCCTCCTCCGTGCTATAGAGTATGTTTTGGATGTTCTTCACGAGGCCGTTGTCGTCAGTCTCCAGGGAGGGGTCTTGTTCTACTGCGGTCTGCAATAGCAACTCAATGTCGCGCAGCTTGCTGAAATAGAAGTCCCGCTCTTTCTCCAGACCCGCGATTGCTTCCTTCAGCGACTCGTTTTCGGCCTTCAATGCAGAGGAACTGGCACCTCCTGCAACTGGGCCACGTGGCGTCGGTCGACTCACGGGCGTCGTGCCAGTTTTCCGAGTGGTGCTCGAGCCGGTGCTTGTTCGCGGAGCGGTCGCAGAGGTCGCAGCGGCGGCGGGAGCGGCAGGGGCACTCTTTCTTCTCGCGACAGCGTCGTATTCGTGGCCCGGAAAGTACTGATCCCAGAACCGCTTTGACCACTGTAGAAACTCGAGGTTGTCTTGCATTTTGCATTTGACGAGTTGCTCGACCGGCACGGTTCGGTCGATGCCATGTTTTGTAAAGCAGTCTGCGACATTGCAGGTCAGCGACAGGTCAAGTGACGGGCAAGGGGCTCGTCGTTCTGCCAACGAACGTACTCTGCAGGATCTTGAAGTTCTGTATGTATGCATATTCCGTATTGACGTTGAATTTTACCCGGCTCATGGGAATATCAACTGTAATCACCAGTCAGTATCTGTTCGATCCTCCCTTCGTGTCACAAGCGCGATTCCTCCACAGCCAGCGGAGGGGGCGACGTACGGAAGATGGAGTCGAATAACTGGCAAAGCGCGGCCCTGTCGACGGCAGTATTAGCCTGAGAAGCCAAGACTGTCTTGTGTGTACCCTACCCTGTCCCGCATTGCTCGACCTTTGTGATGTTGAGTTGGAGGAGGCCGTTTAGCCATGCGAGGAGTTCTTGTCTGGATACATGTCAGAGACACCCTGTACACTGCCTCGAGTCATAGTGGACCAGGCATGACTGGGCAATTACCTTGATTCACCCATGGCTGCAGCTATGCACGGGTAACGAGTTGAGGCGCAAGAAGAATCAACGACTGCCAGGGGAAAGAAACAATCCGCGTGAAGCGCCCAAGGAAGAATCAATCGGCGCAGGCAAGAAACAAGAGGATGAAATACAGTGGTGGATCAAGGCTGATCTGCGGAAGGCAAGGACGTGGATGGGGTTTTGTAAGAGACAGGGTGAAGAGGAAATGTTTTTATTGCGACGGTGATGGTTGCTGCGCAGGGATGTTGACTCTGTGACGCGGGTCCCTGAATTTCAGGGATCGGGATCGAGGGGCTCTGCCTACGAGTAACAATCACCGCCCTCGCCGCTTCACTAACCATGGGCCTAGGGCCGTGGCTCCTTAACGAAACCACTAGAGTTAGCGGGTTGCCACCCAACCGAACGATCAAAGGATGGCCCACTAGGAACCCCCCGGCGACAAGGGCCAACCCCAAAGGCAATCAATTCACAGTACCTCGAACGAGGTACACCGTTGCGCTAGATGCCAGTTCAAAAGCATTGCTTTTTCTTTTATTGTTATTACACTCCAGATTCTCATTCCATCTATGCCAACCCTCCACCCATGCCCTCGGTCCAACAATCATTTACTTCGTCGCTTCGCTCGCATCGCTGGCCGGTTTGGCTTTGCTGTCATCTCCCTTCTTCACTGAACCACCCGCCTGGGCATCAGCAGGCGACTTCTTGGCCTGCTCCTCGGGCACACCCTTCGTGGACGGGTTCTGGCCTTCGACATCTGGGTGATCGGGAGCAACTACTGACTGGTTGACCTCGTTGCCGTCCTCGTCAACCAGTCTTGTTCTTGTCTCGTACTTGGTTTGGAAGGATGCTTTGCCTTCCGCCAGCAGTGCTTGAACTTGGGCTTCGTCCAAGAGATTCCCGTTCTGGTCGCGATATTCCACCCGCTCTTCCTGTCCGATCACTTTCCCTTCACCAACCTGAGGGGTGACCGCAGATGGGTCACCTTTCCTATCGGAGTCGATTTGCATGGAGGGCACAGTCGGAGTTGCTTCTCCAAAGGGTGGAAGCGGTGTCGAGTATTGGGCATACTATCTCCAGTCAGTCTTGGTTAATCCGTTCGGCTTGTCCGACTTACATCAGTGTGGAAGGTGTTGCAGTCAAAGTCCCAGGTGTCAAACAGTTTGACCGCTCTGCATTGGGCCTGAGTCCATGGATTGCCATAGATCAATGGAGCATATAAGGTGAAAACACCAATCGCGAATGCAACAAACAAGACAGCTACACTCCAGCCAATTTCGGGGTACTTCTTCAGTCCTAGAGAGGAGATTCGATTCACAACAAAGTCGAAGATCTGGCACATGGCCATTATGGCGAAATAGAGGGCGGGGAAGTAGTGGTGCAAGAACAACTGTCGGGCCATCAAGTAGAAGGGAAAATAGTGGAACGCCCATGCTAGAACAGTCTGACCAATTTCGTAGTCGAACCGCTTGAAGTTGATGTTGGAATAATCGTTACAGCTGCGTTGCCAGCGGAGGACGGCGATACCTTTGAAAATGATGTAGGTCAAAATAGCCAGGGTTGAAGGCCACCAGATGGCGGGATTTCCGAGTAGATAGATCTGACGGTGGTCTTTGCCCCAGAAATTGATCCCACGGCGGAGAATGGGCCAGGAGCCCGGTCGGGAGTCCCATGCATGCGACTCAACCAAGCCGGCATTGGTCCTCCACATGACCTTTTGCAATTCCCAAAACTTGCCCAAGAAGCCCGGGTTGCGGTAGTTGACCTTTTCTGCGTTTTCCCCAAGCATTGGGTGTTGATTCTGCTCGATGTACCACACACTATTGGGAAGGGTGCCTCCTTTGGCACAAGTCACTTCCTGTTGCTCGAATCCCCAGTCAGGTAGTTTGACCTTGTGGGAGAACAGAACGCAGCCCGTCATGATGTGGACCAGCTTAAACTTGGTCTGAATGGTCCTCAGTCTCTTTTTGGCTTCTTCGCCATCAGACATCGACTTGACAATTTCAACTCGGAAGAGGTCATTGGCATCACCTTCGAATCCTTCGTAGCCGTAAGCTGTGACTTCATTTTGCCAGTCGGCCTCGGTAATAGGAGGCCGGACATCGTGAGAGTGAATGCGCCGGTGCGTCGTGAGATGGTAAAGCCTGACAACATCACCGTCTTTGATGAACTCGGTGAGGTTTGACCACGCTGTTGGACCTGCAACAGTGACGTTGTCGGCTGTGATGGGCTGGGTTTGATTCTCGAGGAGGAAAACGTTGTTCTCGTCCTTATGGGGATACAAGGTAACTTGCTGTTGCTTGCTGCCGCCAGGGTACATGTGCGGATGGGAGTGGAGATAGCCACCCTGAGTGTTGTGGTGTCGGATGGTCACTTCGCTGCCAAACAAAACGTCGGCAGGGGTGTCGGCCATGCCCTTGTTGTTCAAGGTTGCCTGGAATTCAGAAGACATGAATCCATCGCCGTCGCCAGGGTTGACCAGGCACAGGAAATGTATTCCAAACATGCCAACATAGAATGCGATCGGGATGACAATCAGACAGAAGACTCTGGCAAAGAGATGCTTGAACCATTTCCTCGGGGTAACGTTGACGCTGTCGCCGAGTAGAACCCACAATTGGAGGATGGTCAAGCTGCCGACCCAGGCGATGGTGAAGAGCCCAACCCATTTGACACTGGCTGTGGCACCGAGACCCAGACCAGTGGCCGCAAGCCAGAACCACCAACTCGCATCAAACGCGCGCTCAGGGCCCAGTTCGTGTTGGTTTGTGAAGCAAGTCCACGCGAGAGCAGTAAAAGCAGTACAAATGACCAAGGGCGAGTCGAGAAGAATCAGCCTCGATTGTGTGATCAATCCATTTTCAAAGATCAAGAGTGCGGCGCCGAGACAAGCCGTGACTGTTCGGCATCCGTACGCTTTCAGGGTCAGAAACATCGTAGGAATAGTGAGAACTCCGAGGATAGCAGGGAGGAGGCGCATCGAGACGTAGGGAACTTTGGGTTCAAGATAATCTTTTCCAATGTCCTTGAAGTCGAAGTCGCCGTTGAAACCAGCGAGCCAGCCAGCCAAGGTGATGAGGAGTTTCGCCAAAGGAGGATGGACATCCATGAAGAATTTGCCCTTGATGTACTTGGTGGCAAATCCACCGAAGCTATGATTTACGTTAGTATCTGGTCCTGTGCGAGTCGTCGATTGAACTTACTGAACCTCGTCGAAGACGACACTGGTGGGTTGGTAGATCTTGAAAAGGCGAACGACACCAGCCAACAGGGTCAGAAGTGCCATGATCTGATAGTCTCCCATAGGAAGCATGAATATATCGTTATCCGTTGCACCTTCTGATGCATAGCTCTTCTTTTTGCTCGACTGCGTTCGGATCATGTCACTGCTGACAACTCTCGAGGCCGGCGCAGGAGAAGCCGTCTTTTGCGAGGCCGCATTCTTTCGCGAGGCAGCGTGGGCCATGGTGAGGAAATCAGGCTAGCTAGATCAGAGGTAAATGGGCGATTTAGCAGCAATTGTGTGAAAAGGCTGAAGCGCAGAGGACACGGTCGACGCAGTCTGCGGTCCCCCTTAGGTTGGGAGGTAAAGGAGAAACCTGGATCAACGAGAGACAAGAACAAAAAGGTCGGTCATTAGCAGTTTAAAAGACCATGATGAGAAGGAAGAAGACAAGCACGAAGGGAAAACGTAGCAAAGGGGGATTGAAGGCTGGACTGCAGTGAAGAAGTTCAGGAGTTGCAATGGCCAACTTGTTCATTGATGGCTTGTGTCTCCGCAGCTGGCTATTCGGTGGGCAGATGTAACTTTTAGTTGGTTCGCGTCCCAATCTTTACTTAGAACGGGCGTGCATGTGCAAGGCGTAATTCTCCTTTTCCCGTTGTGCCCTTAAAGCGAATTGCGAACTCCACACGTCCGCAATAGCCACAGACTGCACTAGCCACAGATTCAGATTTGTCCCCAAACTTCGCATTTTGTTCGAGATCAGGTTCATGGTCTAGTGAACCCCGGATTTCTCGACGCAGCAAACCTTTGATAACGCACCAGTATCTCCGAATCGATACAGCAATATCTCCAGTCTCCCTCGCGCAGAACAAAGCCCTCTCGAAAGCTGTCTCGCCGCAAAGTCACGAAGGGATTTGAAACGAGTGCGGACGTGGTGCCTTTGTTACAGGCAGCCCGTGGAGAGCTGCAAATATGGCACAGAACGGAGCAGTCCCCGAACTTCCAGAATCTGTCTCAAAACCTCCCGAAGGCGTCGTCCTGCCGCCAAAAGACATAAGAGCCATTATCGAAAAGACGGCAGGCTACGTGGCGCGCAACGGCTCTGTCTTTGAAGACCGCATCCGCGACAAGGAACAATCCAATCCAAAATTCTCCTTCCTCTCTCCTCACGATGCATACGCTCCTTTCTATCAGTGGCGACTGTCTGAGGTGCGATCGGGACGAGGCACGGCCGTCTCCGCTGGAAGAGCAGGAGATGCGACACCTATGCCAGAAAAGCCAAAGGGCCCCGAACCGCCTCCCGAATTCCAATTCAGTGCGCGCATGCCCAATATCAGCGCTCTGGACTTGGAAGTGGTCAAGTTAACAGCTCTGCACGTTGCTCGCAAGGGCAAGAGTTGGATGACTGCCCTGTCACAGCGAGAAGCCCGAAATTACCAGTTCGACTTCCTGCGCCCACAGCACTCGCTTTACAATTTCTTTCAGCGCCTCGTTGATCAATACACAATCCTCCTCCAGACCGGACCGGAAGGTCAAAAAGCGGAACAAGCACGCATTCAGGTCCTACAGGCCAACGTTCAGGACCGGTTTCGAGTTCTCAGCCTGGCAAAGAAACGGTCGGAATACATCAAATGGCAAGAGACTCAAAAACAGAAGAAAGAAGAGGCTGAAGAGGCCGAGCGGATAGCCTATGCCCAGATTGACTGGCACGATTTTGTCGTCGTCGAAACAGTGCTGTTTACGGAAGCAGACGAGCAGGCCGATCTTCCGCCTCCGACAACACTGAACGATCTGCAGAGTGCAAGTCTTGAGCAGAAAGCAATGATGAGTCTCGCCAGGCCAGATATGCGCATCGAAGAGGCAATGCCGACAGACGACATGAGTGGTTATGCGTACAACGATCAGTTCGGAGGATACCCTCAAAGCAATGGTTGGGCGCCTCCGCCCGAACCGGCAGCACCAGTACCGGCAGCGATGCCACCATATACTCCTTCTCCCGTGCCGCAACAACCCACGCCAGCAGTGCCTCAGATGCCGACACCCATACCATCCTATTCTCCCTCTCCACAACCGCCCTCGGTGTCTGCCCAGCAACCACCCCCTTCAACGGCCTCTCCTGCCCCAATACCGGGCCAACCTCCAATGCGCATCAAACAAGACTATATTCCGCGCGCCCAACAACGTGCAGCCACCGCTCGCACAACCACGGCCCTATGTCCCAACTGCGGCCAGCAAATACCTATTGCTGAGCTCGACGCGCACTTGCGCATCGAATTGCTGGACCCAAGATGGAAAGAGCAGCAGTCCAAAGCTGCATCGCGGTTTTCAACCACGAACCTGGGCGGCACGGACGTTGCAGCTAATCTGAAGAGACTGAGGGCTAGGACAGATGGAATTACCAGCGATCCAGTCGCGGAGGCAGCCGCAAGGGTCTTGGGCGAACAAGAAGAGGAGGAGCGGAGGAAGAGGATGAAGCTCGAGGGCCAGCCCGGAGCAGCAGCATATCCAGGCGTAGCAGCACAGAACCAAGGTGGACAACATACCATGGATCTGCAGGAGCAAATACGGCAGATTCACAACAAGTACAAGTCGTGATGACCTGGGATAATGTACATTACACCCTTCTGCGCATCCTCCGCGAGAGAAAATCACGTATGGGAAATGAACGCGGAAGGATCGATGCTTCTACCGCGATGTCAACCAGTCGGCTTGCCGACGCGAGATCTTTTCGACACAAGGATTCCCGAAACCAGTTGCGAGTTCCACGCAAGTACCTTCGCATTTCGTTTGCTCTGTGTCCACAGATCCATGCTCTCCCCGGACAGGATCACAACGGGCCGAGCTGAGGTGAATGGTACAATTGGAGGATGCATTCATTCGTCCTCTACGCGATGCTGCCGGCCGGTGATAGAACGCTGCCTGTCCTCTGAATACATATGGTCCTTTTGCCACCTGCCCCACGCCACCATATGACGGTCGATGATATACGGGAGTCCCAGAGATGCTAGATGATGTAAAATAATTGTTCAGACACTACGTGTATTGCGATTCTTTGAGAGAGGCGGGGCAAAGACGACGTCACATAGAATAAAACATTATCATACCCATCGTGTATCTGGTATGTCTCTACGTATGTGTCCCTGTGCCATCCCATCCCCATTGAGATATTGCTTGTTACATAATACTTACATATTCATGAATCCTGACATTGGAACGCAGATCATGTTCCGAGTACTCCTCGACATCCCCAGTCCAGGAATGCCAGGATTGCAGTAGCCACAACTTTTGAACATACTCGCTTGAACGCGATTACCACAAAAGAGACCCGGGGTATCTCACCACAGCCAAAGTTTCGTGCAGATTAAGGATGGAAGTCTTCCAAGAGTCGCAGAGAAATCAGTCAATGAGACCAGCGAGTCTCGGTGGTGTAACAATCAAGTGGCAGATTGTGTCGGAATAGTGGCTCTGTCGTGAAATGTAGCATTGCCATTTGTGTTGTTGCTCAAAGTAGTGTGGGTGGTCCCAGAGCCCACCCGGGCTGCTTGCAGACTGGATCTCTCTTCCTTGGAAGTTCTCGACGTGCGAGATAAGGTACGGTCAGGGATGACAGCGGTCGGACTAACGACAGGACGAGTTAGATCTTCTTCTGGATTGTAGGCGGAAGCTTCAAGGTCATCGAAGTCCTGGCCAGGGTTTGCAGTTTGGTATTCGCAGCTTTTGATGAACCAGAAGAACCCAGCCGCGAGGAGCGAGCCGAGTAGAGGGCCCACCCAATAGATCCAATGTTCACTCGGAAACGAGTGGTTGGCAACACAGGGGCCGAAGCTTCGAGCAGGGTTCAAAGATCCGCCAGTGTAGTACACACCTGGACGTTCTGTCAGTAGACAGGCATGTACGCAGCATGGAAGATGCTCACCACCCAACTCAGCAATGAAAAGAGATAATCCAATTCCAACTGGGGCAAGGAACGTTCCTTTATGTTTTTCGGCCTGTGGAGAGGCTGTCAGCATGCAATATCCTGATCGCGTCGTTCAAAAACTCACGGCTAGCATGATGATGGTGAAAACCAGTTGGGCAGTGAGGAACTAGACAGGTGTTAGTAGGGGCTTAGATCCGTTGTGCTGACAAACTGACCATCTCAATGAAGAGTCCTTGTGCCTTGTTGGTTCCCCCACTAAGAGAAGTTGTGACAGCCAATGGTCCGGGAAACAATGCTTTTACAACTCCAGCGGACGCCATAGCCCCCAGCATTTGCGCAATGAAGACAAGAGCGCCTCGAATAAAAGGCACGGCGCCTATAAGGCAAAGACCGAAAGTGACCTGCCATATCATCAGTCCATTGATCCACATCTTGTCCCTCTGAGTCTCATACGGCAGGATTGAAGAGACCGCCAGAAATTCTGAAGAAAATCCAAGCATTGACAGCAAGGGAAAACCCGAAGCACAGGCTGATGTACAGGAGCTGGATAGGATTCGGCCCTTGAGGGAGGTCGGTGCTCGTATTGCCAGTGGTCGTCTGAGGAGTGTTGGCGACTTGAGTGCCGGCAAAAGCGAAGAAGCTGTAGCATTATCAGTTTCCATGCCCGCTGTGACAGGAAGAAGAAGCTCACAGGAAGAGAAAGGTGCCAACGAATTCGCCGGCCATGGCGATGAAATGGTTTCGAGGCTTGTTAGGGATCTTCATAAAAAAGGAGACTGGTTTCGGGCCCTGCATTTTGTCGTCCTCGCCTGGAGCTGTCGCCCCTGTCTTTGATTTTCCTTTTCGATGTCCAAATATACCGGGAAGAAACCCGGACTTGGGGTTAATGTTATTCATTTTTGCAGCTAGTTTGACCGCTGAGGGTTTTGACACGCAGGCGGCAACAAATGGCGAGAGAAGGCGCAGGCTCTGTCGCAAGGAAGGCGGCGGCCGAACACGAGGCTGAGGTTGGTCGCGGGGTCACCAAAGTCGCGTCGGATCTCAAGTACTCGATAAAGGAAATGGTTTTGCACACAGTCCAGATGTACAACAACGCACAAAGCAAGAAGCGGCCACGGATAGAGGATGTTAAGACGAGGGAGAGAAGAGCATTTTGCTCAAGACGGAGGAGATAAGGGTCAGTTGATCAACAGTGTGTCGAAAAGTCATGGTGGTCTTCCCAGCCGCATAACATGGCCTTCTCACCAGCCATGGCGCTCCTGGGAAGCGGCACAGACGCCATGGAAAGCAAAAAGTGGTGGGATTTGATATGGCGATCGACGTTCAGTAGGCGAATAGTCGATGGATGGACATGGATGAACATCGTATGTGAAGATGTGGCATCGGTGTTGGCATCGGCATGACGAAAGAGGCACCGCTGGAAATTTTCAATTGGGCATGGCGCCCTTCAGCTCAGTTCTTGGGCAGGGGTCGACAGGCCAATCGCCCTTAAACACCCAAAGCTAGGCTGAAATGGGGGCAAAGAGGGGAGAGTCGGGGGTGCATCACAAGGCAATGGGGGCCACCTTTGGGGCCCGCTAACCGACACCCGCAGCCCTAATGATCCTTACAACTGCATACCAAGCACAGACCTGAGAGAACCGGTCAAAAGATCTCGAAAGCAAGATTGACGGGGTCTGGAACGCCCCTCAAGTCATGGCACGAGGGAGAATGGTTCAGGTTGTTTTCGGCCTCCGGACTTCCACGTCCTCACATTCGAATGGCTGACCTAACTTGAACACGAACTCGAATAGAAGTAGAATACATAGATATTTCTTGCAGTGGGTCAAAATATTGAAAATGTCATCATGACTTGATATCCACCTCCCCGCCGCGTCCTCCTGCGTACCCGTTCGACGCGCAATCCGTCGACATAGGGGAAATTGAGTCACGTGACTCCTTCCCTGGTTGACAATCCCGCACTCGGATTGCGGCCCATTCAGTGGGCAGTGGCCAGGGTCTACCAAGTATCTTTCTCAGTATCAGGCTACAACTTGGTACATTCAATCCTTGAGAGACAACATCTTTTTCTTCACGACGCGAGCGCCACTCCACCTTCTTTTGAACATCTATTGGAGTTTGTCTGCCTGTTGCACTGTGTCGTCTTTCACGCCTGCAGCCAGTTCAACCGCATGGAGGATTGTTCCCGTTCCTCCCTGACTTGTGGCAATAGCCAGTCATATTAGCCCATCATGCGTCCCCTCCGCTTCTTACTGCTACTCTTCTTCTTCGTCGCTCTGCCGGTAGCACTGACCTTTTGGTCATTGCTGGCTGCAAGTGTGAACGCTGTCGACTCCTTTCAGCCCGGCTTCAACACCAAGTCTGGGCGCCTGAGGGCCTTCTTCTCCTTCTCGACTCCCTCCTCTCTATTCCCGCCCTCTGCGGTTATCAGCCTAACCAACGACAACTCGACCTTTTTCCTGGCCAGGCCCGCTGCCTTTGGTCCCAGTCTTCCATCCAAGGGTCTAAGTGGTCAATTATGGGTGGGAAAGGGTTTTGGAGACGATGCTCTGTTGAAAGAGGAGAACATCCAAGTTGCAGGATGGGAGCTGGGTTGCTCCGATGTTCCAGGGTGGGTTGAAGAGAAGGCAAAAAGCATCAAGAACCTACCGGCGGTCGAACAGAGCCAGGCAAAGACAAAGGTGCCGCGAAGCACAGACAACGATCTGTCAGGCCGAGACGGTCCCGAATCCCTTTCGAACGAGAGTCTCCTTCAAGACGATGGTACTGACGACTATTTACACCATCCCCTCCCAGACTCGAACCCTGCAACACCCGGTGAACCAGGCGAGCCTGCCAACGCCGATCTTTCAGACAAGAAACAGTCGACCCACGCTGACATCGAATCACTGCAAGAGAGTGCCGACATTGCAGGCAAGATTGTCATGCTGAGTCGTGGCGGCTGTGGATTCTTGGAAAAAGTCAAATGGGCTCAACGTCGTGGGGGTATTGCCCTCATTGTCGGTGACAACGAAAAGGGGGCACAATTGACAATCATGTACGCGAAGGGCGATACATCGAACATAACGATCCCCGCCCTGTTCACTTCATATACATCAGCGCACCTTTTGTCTTCGCTGGTGCCTCAAGAAGATGGTGACGACGAAGATGCCAAGTCCAAACCACATGATAAGGCCGTAACGGCGAACTCTGGCGCAGACCAGAAAGAGCATGCGAACAAACCCATCTTCACGTCCACCAAACCTGGAGGTACGAAACCAACACCTCTATCAGCAGCCGCGTCCGCTGAGGAGGAGGGCGAGAGCTGGATGAAGAACGTCCTCTCAGTCATGGGGTTGGGAGATAACTCTCCATTCTCTCATGGTGAGGACAGTCGTCGTCCCCCTAGCAGTGGCAATATCGATTGGGTCCTCCTGGAAGATTGGAAGGAGGAGGCTCGCCTAGATTTGAAGGACAGTAAGAACACATTGACCAGTGCCGCCGCGGCGGCCACCTCCACACTCAAGGCAAAGTCAACGAGTTCCAGACGGATCGGAGCGGACGATTTTGTGATAGGAGTCCAAGACTGGCGAGACACTGATCTTGTAGCGCCGAAACCTTCCACCACCTCACAAAACGCTCTTGAGGAGGCAGGCAAGGCTGACCCCACGGATACTGCGAGCTCGGTGAAAGCCTCAACCAGTTTAGATGCAACCCTGAAAGGTGGCAGCATCACTCCCGGCAGCGGAGAATACGACCACGAAAAGTCGGAGCATCTGAATCGCTTCCAGCGGGGCAACGCGCCATCGAACCGGATACCTAGCAGTTCTGATATCCTTCAAAGCCAAGAGAAGGGTTCCTGGTTTAATATTTTCCGCTCTAGTCAGGGGATGCAAGAACCCTCGCCAGAGAACATGCCTTTGAATGAAAAGGACAATCAGGGGAAGGAAAAATCATCTACCGGGGATGATGAGCATGAACTCCCTGGTCTATGGGTCACCCTGACGCCCACAAGTGTTTCTGCTAGTCCATTCGTCGATACACTTCTGGTTCTGGTGGTCAGCCCATTAGTGACACTGACAGTGGTCTATACCCTTTTACTTCTCCGCTCGCGGATTCGACGTCGAAGGTGGCGTGCACCCAAATCTCTGGTCGACCGACTCCCGGTTCGCACTTATCACACTATGAGCACGGCCTCGTCCACCACTTCCTCGTGGGTGGAATCTCCAGATGCCGCTTCGCCCACTTCACCACTGCTCATTTCCGCGAACCCTAATGTGTCACAACGACCTCGTCCCCGCTCACAGACCACCACGGGCATCTTTCCTGGTGGAAGCGTGGAAAGTCAGCTTTCGCATCCCCGAAGTCCGCACACAGAAAAGCGCTCCGCAAAGTCGTCAAAACGGAAGCGCTATACAGGTCGACAAGTCGAATGTGTGGTGTGCCTCGAAGAGTACGTCGATGGGGAAAGTCAGGTTATGTCCCTACCTTGTGGGCATGAATTCCACGTTGATTGCATCACACCTTGGCTTGTTACAAGAAGACGAACCTGCCCGATCTGCAAGGGAGATGTTGTGAGGAGTATGACGAGACAGAGCTTGCAGCAATATTATGAGGATGAAGAGGATGATGATGATATTGGCCGCGATAGTCTCGAGATCGGACGGACGGAAGGTGAAAGAACAAGTGACGATGTCCAAAACCGTGTGGCTCAGACGGTGAACCAGGAACCCAGTGCGGCGATTCCGATCCCTTCTCTGAGCAGGGAAGACGAGGATGTGGAACGAGGTCAGGATCCAGACGTACCGCTCTTAGGCGGATCAGAATCACTGAGCTCGGAATCAACCATCACCCCGCAGATGCTACGGCAGGACCATGGAAGAGGTTCGGAGAGGCGCCAGGGCAGAGATGGACAATCCATGTGGAGGAACATGGTCTCCGCCAGCGTTGGTCGACTCAGTGGAGACACCCTCTGGAGACAGACGCCCGTGGACCGCAATCGGTGAGCAGGTTCTCAGTTACCTGATTGCCACATGCCTTGATAGGATATGCTGTGGGTATTACTGCAATCTTGGGTGGAGGATGTATGAAGATCCCCCGTCTCTCAATCCGATAATTCGCAATTGATGGATGCGGCTCGCGTCGGGACATGACCAGGGCGATCATGATCCCAGACTCGACCTCATGTCCTCAACTTACTGCGGTGAGCCTGGGAATTGGGTACGGGAAGGCCCATGAGGCGTTACTGCTATATTCGTTGTCACAGGGAACCATAACGATGGCTTGGGCCGAGAAACTATCATGAGCACTGTGCAACAGCAGCGTCTGTAGCTGTATTTTCCTACCAGGCAGGTGATGGTACTGCAATACTAGTCGTTAAACGCAACACAACTAAAAAAAAATAAGGGCGGCACACCTCGCCAATCGTCCAGAATCCGAACCAAAAGAACGCGAGCTGACTGAGCCATTTCATTGCACTGGGTATATTGAAAAACTGTAGTAGCACACATCACATGGAAAACCGCACGAGACATGCAGCAGACGTAGATTAATCGAGACATCCTCCTGTTGCACGGCACCGGTACCTCGTACATTTTGCCCATGTCCATTGTAGAAGGCTTTCCCTACCGAGCTAGTACCACCCTCCTTTCTCTCAAAGTTCGGTACCTGGGGACAAAGAAACCAGGGGAAATCTAGAATACATTGCGTCGTCATCTCACTTTCGGAAAGGGTGTCCAGTTGCCGGTGCTGGGTTTTCTGGTCGGCTTCAGATCTTGATGTGATGGTTTCTTCTTGACGTTCACCGGGGCCGGTTCTGTGACACCGGTGGGATGCTCCTCGTCGACCACATAATGCCGTGTCACCGGGCTGATGCCGCTCAGATCTGGCTTGTAGGGCTGTAGATTGCTGGGCATGACCCACCCCTCAGGTGCTGGAATCTCGACTTTCTCACCCGTATCGGCGTCGACCAGGAAGTGTCGTGCGGGCAGCACTTCGACCGCTTTGATGGGCTGCGTATAGGTGTAGTAGTGATGAACGTGGATTTCTCGCGTGATTTCTTCTTGCACGATCTCCTTTGTATTCCTCTTGACGACCTCATGTGTTACCGCGGGTCGCACAATCTCTTCGACCTCAGTATGCTCGCTTTTCCCCGGCTTGAACCCGGGTGGGAGCACGACGGCATTCTCGTTCTTCTCTGTGGCGGGATTGAGGTTGGGAGAGGTTGCCGGGCGCGGTGTGTCGGGGGATTGTACAGGGGAGAAATATGAGCTTGGGATGTGGTAGAGGGGATTGAGTGGAGAGGGGTCGTTCGGGGCAAGAGGTTGGTAGCGTGCCGTCCTGATAGGATTGGGACAGCCTGGAGAGCCTGGAGAGCCAGCTGCAGAAGACTTCTCGCTGTCAGAGTCCGCCTTGGAGCTTTGCTCTGTCGGTGGTGATTTGGGTCTCAGAGAAAGGGGCGCATGGGTCGTCGAGACAGTAGACTTTGGCTCGTCTGAGGGGCCTCTCTTCGATTTGGGACGATCAATGGCCCCGAGAGATTTCTTCCGGAGGGAGGACGATCGCTGAGGGACAGCATGGTCCGGCAGCCGGGGCAAGGCTGTAGCGTCTCTTGGATCCAGCGATGGTCTTCGGGAAGGAGGTGGAGGAGCGGTTTGTGACATTGCGGACACACTGGCAGATTTCTTCAACATGTGCTGCGAAGGGCGCTTTTGCAGACGGCTTCTTGAGCGAGTAGGACGGGGAGCATGCGCAGGATCATGACTGTGATCGAGGGTAGGATTAGCTGTCGCAGGTCGTGGGATTGACTCTTGCCATTGACGAGGAGCGCCTTGGTAGCTATGGCTGAGGTTTCGACTGTGACTGTGGTTTGGATTCAAGCTGCGGTGTCTTTGTTTCCCAGTGCTTGTGGTGCTTGTGGTGCTTGTATGCATGACGTAGGGGAAACGCTTCGGGTCGCATTCTTCGGGGTTCGTGCACCGCTGAGTCGCTGCGGCCATCATGGTCACGATACCCTTTTGTCCTCGGTGCGCAGAATAAGAAAAAGTGGCTCTCTTGCCTCAGCCTATCGAGGAGAGTTGCAGGTCTGCTGGAGGGGAGACAGCAGGCAGATCGAACTGGAGAAAGTGTGAACAAAAACAGCGATTCAGACCAACCTACCTGTTCCCAGGGTTCCCAGGGTTTCCAGCTCTCCCTTTTTCCCACGCTACTCGCCTCCTGTTTGAGTCTTGGATGAACTACTTGTTCTACCCATCGACGGATCCCTCAAGCGACAGACAGAACAGCTTTTTGCTTGGCTATGCCTGAATTGCATGACCGGTCCACCTCGTCTACGAGCATGGAATTGAAGACCTTACCCAAGATGGCGCAAGGGAACAACGGTCGTCAAGGAAGACCCATGGAGCGGATGTTGACCTTGAGTGATTCAAAATCCACCATACTGTCGGCACCTGTTCAGCGATTGGGCCATGACCCGTGGCACCCTGGCCACAGGCTCCTAGACCTGACCCCAACCCACGCGGGACCGCAGCAGGGCCTCAAGGTGGCTTTTAGGGCAGGTGTTGTAGGGGCTCTTAGACACCGGCTAGCTGGTCAGAGGGTGCCACAGTGGACTTGGTGGCGGGTGCTTGTAGGGGGAGGCAGGATTGGCCCGGCAGATCAGGCCAGACGCACCCATCCACAATTGAACAAGGGTCAAATGAGGTCAGGAGAGGAGAGGCCATCCGCCTGTGGCTTGAAGCCCAAGGGTCGAATTGCCAACTGCTTGGGGGCCAACTGACGGCTCTGTTTGGACCTCACGAGCCACATCCTCGACCTGCCAGCCAGCACCCCACAGGTCGTTATGACGCAGACAGTGACCTGTTCAGCTCCACGTTGGTCCCCGTCATTATGATGCATGACGGGCTGTCGGACATACTCAGTGCCTGCATCAAGGCAATGGCCCAGAGGCTGGTTCCTGGGCCAGATTCTCCCCCGCCTTCTGCTCCCACAGCAACAAATCCGTCTTGTCGTCATAGAATGAGGTAGCTGAGTTGATGGAAATGGATGCCTTCCACGGGGATGGTAGAAAGGGATCGAACCACAGACGCAGTCTGTGATCGACTCAGATCTGAAAGTCCGCGAAGGCTTGTTCCGGACATCTGGATTAATTCAAGCTTCGGATCGACATGCAAAATGGGACCTTGATTGCCGAGATCAGATACCAATCGTCAGCTCGGTGCGATGTTCGGTGGAAAAGTCGACCCCCTCTGACCTCACCTCAAACAGGTCCAAGCTTAGCCTTTGCGAGATGATATCACTATGCACTGATCTTACAATTATCTCATATGGAAAGCCCCAGTGAGTCTTGGATGTATTTAATGAAGCACTTTTCAGGGACTGGAACAAGCTCAGCCGTCCTACTAAACATCAACTCCTCGATTACCACCCAAGAAGCCTTGTATCAGATACAATGGAAGCAGCAAAAGCAGCCGTTCAGAAGATCACCGGCAACAGGGGCCACCACACCACGGTGGAGGAAACGGTCAACCCAGCAGTCACCCACGAGACTGTCAAACCTCACCGCCATGAAGAGGCCACCCAGGCCGTTGACCGTGAGGTGCATCAACACCACTACCACACAACAGTGCAGCCCCTTACTCACACCGAACGGCTCCCGGAGAAGCATCACCACAACATCTTGCCCGTCGAGCACCGAGAATTCCACCACGACAATGAGGCGGACACCAAGGAGAGGATCACGACGGAGCTAGGTCGTTTCAAGGACCACTCGACAAAGGAACAGACTCACCACACTCAGGCTGCTGCACCGACCGTCACTGGAGAGCATGTCCATCACCACGTCCACGAAACTGTGGTGCCTGTCGTCCACAAGGAGACGATTCAGCCCGAAGTCGTGCACACCACCGTACCTATTCACGAGTGAGTGTCTCTATAACCCCACCGCTGCGTAGCATTTCATTGACTAACCTGTGCAGAACACACCATGCCGCAGCTCAACACCACGGTCTTTCGGCATTGCCCATGAAGACCCTCGATGAATTTAAAAAGGTTGGCGGTGTCCTCACCGGCGGAAGCCATTCTGCACATGAAGAATATGAGGGTGCACCACGACCATATAACGACAAACTTTCCACAACCTTTGAAAAGCTGGAGGAGAAGTTCCACGGCACTTCATCCAGCCCTACGACCAACAAGACCCATCGACCTACTGACTCTGGTATCAGTGGTGTGGGCAATGACCACGTCAACAATAGTGCCCTTGGGGGAAACAACCACCACGTCAACAATGGTGGCCTTGGGGGAAATAACCACAACGTCACTAGCGATGGCCTTGGGGGAAATAACCACAATGTCGCCAGTGGTTCCCTAGGGAGAGATAAGCACAACATGTCTGGAAATGGCGTCGATGTTGCCAATCGGCACACCGATGGAACTGGACGTCTCGGCGCCACAGAAGGAACTACGCCCACCGTGGGCGATCGCATGAACCCTCGCACAGATGCTGATCGGGATGGGAAAGCCGGTGTCATGGACTAGGCTTGGGTCTGTGGGTATTAAAGCATGGAGTTATTGTTGTCTCTTGTATCAGGAATCATGAAAAACACATCTCTGGAGGTCTCTGTCTGTTTATCTATACGGCAACGAGAAATATCAGGCATCGACGAACAAAAAGCACTGCGTCGGACACTGTCAACAACAAAGAAATATGTATAGCTGCAAGCAGAGGTAGTATTTGCAAGTAAAATTTTCCACCGGATCTATCTCTATCATGCTTACGAATGAACGATCCATCTGTCCACCTGTCCATCCCACGCACACCTATCGTCTGTAAGATTAGGAATCTTTTGATCTCCTCATATGTAGCATCCTCGGCTAACATCCGCTCCTCGTCGAATGTTTATTACAGCACTTAGTTTCATCCTTCCGCCCATCCTTTCTCTTTGGGGCCCAGGAGGGGAATATTCGCTGCCCAGGCCGGCTAAGACGCTTCGCTGTCTTCACATGTATTCGGCGAGCCGATGCGGGGGAGCGACAGGACGGTGATTGGATTTCCTCCCCTTCTTTCGCGCGTTTAGGGACGAAGTCCTTATGTGATTTCGAATACGCTCGGAGAAGAAACCGGGCGTCCCATGGTGGTGGAGAAGAGAGAACCTATGGCTCTGGCGTTTCTATTGAGGCCGCACGTAACTGTAGATCTATCTGCATCCTCCTTTGTTGAGGAAGGTATTTAAATGCCCAAGTTGGTTGTGATCCATCGAGTACCCGATATCCGTCGTTTCCGGGATCTATTTTCCACGCTGGTCGTTATTAAAGACAGCTACTTGCCGCAGCTGCTGCCCTACCCCCCCAAGCGTACGGACCGCAGCAATATTGTTGTCCCTCGTTCTCGCTCTCTATCGACTCGGTCGTCGTCGCCAGCCATGTCCAACGAAGTCATTTTATACGACCTCCCTTCCAAGGGCGGCACGGCCTGGAGTTTGAACCCGTGGAAAAGTAAGTATGTCTCCTTCCTTCCGCCTGTGCTTCTTCTGGCCGATTATGTACACACGGCGAGATGGCGCTGGCAAAAGGAACTTCATCGTCCGTCCCAGTTGCTCTTAGAGCTTTCTCTTCTGACCACGGAGGCAGCTCGTCTCGCCCTGAACTACAAGGGTATACCATACAAGACGGAGTGGGTTGAGTATCCGGACCTGAAACCGACATTTACCAAGTTGTAAGTCCCACCCCTTGATGCATGCCGGGCCGGGCCTGTTTTCAGATTTCTATGTGGCCGATGAGTGTGTCGCGTGTTATATGCCCTGGTCTGCTTCGCCAGTCTTCGTCAACAACACGAAGGAGATGGAACAGAAACATACTCACTTTCCTTGATCTAGTGGCATCCCACCCAACAGTAGTGGGCCGTACGAGTACACCTCGCCAACCGTCCGGCTCCCGTCGGGCGAGTATGTGATGGAATCGCGCGCCATCATCGACAAGTTGGAGCAGCTCAAGCCCTCGCCGTCGCTGCACCTGGACTCGCCGTACTTGGCACGCATAGAGCAGCTGCTACCCAACGTGATCAACTCGGTGCGGGCGATCTTCATGCCGCTGGTGCCCAAGGTGTACCTGAACCCCCCGTCGTACGAGTACTTCGTGGCGTCGCGCGAGAAGGCCATCGGCATGACGCTGGACGAGTATGCGGCGAAGAACGCCGCCCAGGGCTGGGAGGACGCGAAGCCGCTCGTCAAGGAGCTCGCCGCCATCTACGCCGAGAACCCCGAGGGCCCGTTCCTCATGGGCAAGGAGGTCTCGTATGCCGACTTCATGGTCGTTGGCTGGCTCCGCATGATGGAGGGCTTAGGCCAGTTGGACAAGATCCTCGCCATGGAGGGCGGCGACAAACTCAAGGCCGTGTATGAGGCCAGTGCCCAGTGGTTGAAGAGGGATAGCTACTGAAAGAAGGAAAGAAAAAAACAAAGGAGCGAAGTGTAGGCAGGGTGGTGGGTGAGTGGGTGGCAGCATGTATGTATTAAATCTCGAGGAACGCTAGCCTCGTCCCCATTCAGCTGCTTGTACGCAGTATCACCGCCGCCATCCACTAAGGAGGGTGACATTATGTACTGTAGATATGCTATTACATACTCTGTCCAGCTACAGCCCCTTCTCGCCCGACACTAGCTGTGTGTCCGCTGATACCAGTCGATACGATCAATCACCTCGGTGTGTATGTACTGCTCCAGCCTAATAGGTAGCGACCTCCACTACCTTTAAAACGAGATGTGTAACTCGGACAGAGGAAGAAGAGACAAGCACCGTCACGGCGGCCGCATTCGCCGCACGCAGGACCCACGAAGCTGGGTTCCACGGAAGTTTTCGAACGCAAGGTCGACTGATGATTTGACGGTGGAAGGGGAGAAAACGCGGTAAAAAGGAGCCGTCTGGCCCGGTTCCAGCAGGAGGCTGGTTTCAGAAGATTCCACAGTGATCGAGATTGAAAGAAAGCTGGACTCGGTAACATGTCGCACGCAGATTGATGCGGAAAGACTCACAGAGAAGACAGCTGAGTAATGGTACGTCGGTAGTTTGTACAAGTATGTAGATGTCATTTCATCACGGTCATTGCCAACCGATCCTTTTTTGCACCACCTGCTCTATTCGTAGGTGGCGTCAATGCTCCAAGCCGTCTCTGCCGGATGCAATTTCACTGATTCGACGTCTGGCCGGTGCTGCTCTTGGAAGTTGCTCTAGAGCTGGATCACGACCTTGCCAAAATTCTTCTGCTGCCATTGGTATTCGTAAGCCTCCGGCGCATCCTTGAAGCTGAACGTCTTCTCGTCCACCACCGGGTGAATGTTGTTCGCGTCAATGCACCGACCATATCGATCAGCTGAGCCTTGGACCCGATCAAGATCCCGCGGATGATGCAGCCCGCACCCAGAGCTGCCAGCGTGCTGGGCTCGTCCGCCGCTTTGACACCACCCAGAAAACCGATCACGGAAATCACGCCCTCGAGTTTGATTGCTGCACGAAAGTGTCAGAAATTTCTAACTTGCGAAAGGGAAGGGGGGAAAGTCACGAACCTTTGAGGGACTGAGCCATCGTGCCAGGCCCACCAACCTCGATGATATGATCAACGCCCGCTTTGCCAGGTGTGAGGTTCTTTGCTGTCTCCCCCCAGTTCGGGTCCTTCTTGTAGTTGATAACATGGTCGGCGCCCATCTTCTTCAACGTCTTCGCTTTCTCATCTGAAGAGGTTGTGGCAATCACAGTGGCCCCGGCGGCTTTGGCGAACTGAATGGCGGCAAGCGAGACGCCGCCGGTTCCTTGAGTGAGAACCACCTCTCCAGGCTTCAAGGCCTTCGATTGAAGACCGTAAAGAGCGTTCCAAGACGTGAGGGGCGCGCAAGTCAAGGTCCCCGCCTCGGTTGGAGTGAGGTTGGACGGAGCATGAACGAGGCCCGACGCTGGGAAGACGGCATACTTGCGCAGACAGCCGTGGACGGTGCCACCCAATGTCGTGTTCATCATCGCTGCGGTAACGGGTCCGTATTGATGTGCTTGCGTGAACTGCGTGACCACCTTATCGCCTTCTCCAAACTCGGTCACTTTGGAGCCCACGGCGAGAATTTTTCCCGCACCATCCGAAGCAGCGACACAGGGGAGGTTGAGCGGCAGTGGATACTGGCCCTGTACATTCTGTCTCAATTTGGGCTTCTGCGGTAGTTGAAGCGGCACGCATTACCTTGGGGATAACCAGATCTCTATAGTTCAGAGAAACGGCTTGAATTTGAACCAAGCAGTCGTTCTCGCCGAGCTCTGGAACGGGGTAGTCTTCAACAAGTTTGATGTTTCCCCATCCTGGAGTCGCGGGGTCCGTGGATTGGATGACCCAGGCAGGGGTAGTCTTGGGAAGGGACATATTGGGTGTTGTGGCTCAGTGGAAGTATTCACGAGGTATATGGAAAGATGACCTGGAATAGAGCTCAATCAAGCTCGAAGGTGATGGTGAAAAAAGACTACCGTGATAGCACATGTAAACCTTGGGATTTATATAGATGAAGTCACGGCAATGTTGTGCATACCCTCTATGTCTCCACTGGTGCCACTTACGCATAAAACCCCAACACTCACGAAGACTGTTGCTGGCTGCTTAACTCCGGGTAGAAGGGTGTGAATGGCCGGACACCCATCAAACGGTACCACCTGTGTTGGGCAAAGTCTGCTCATGGCTAAATGGTGGGGTTAAATGATCTGTTTGTGCTGTCTGCCGAATTTCACGAGGCCATTGATTTCGCGCCTGACGCAACACAGCTTGGAGCAAATGGGTCCAAAGGTGTCTGGATGACAAACTCGTGTCATGAAATGGGGCTCCTGGTGCAAACTGCCTGTCGATCATACTTCGGGCCTCGAAATCCGCGAGCACCAATCACTCGAGAGAGGCTCCAGACTGCCAGAACGGGCAGAGCGTCTCGGCGTTTCTCGGCGGTGGAGTTATTGAATACCTGAAAGAGGGATGCAGAATTTATCAGCAGACGAAAGAAGCCTGTCTAAACTCCATGATTTATAAGAGGTGGCAATGAGGCTGGCGATGGTGGTGAGGTGGTGGTATTTTTTTCGGGGGGGTTGATGCGGTTGGGCATATGGCAATTGAGTGCAGATTATACGGTGAGGCTTAGCCGCACCAAGCGCTCCTTCCCTTTTCGGATTTTAGGGCAACGCACGAAAATCTTGGCGGATTTCCAGAAATTGCGGATTGAGGACTCCGATCACTTTCGACACACCCACAAGGCCTTCGAACCACCAACCTTCAACCTCCTGGGACAATCACAGATTGCGAATCACTTGACAATCCTCAAGTCGCAATCATGTCTCAACCTGCCCTCAACAAGATCGCCCCCAACAGCCCTTCGCGGCAACACCCTTCCGAGCTGGAAACCAGCATCGCAACCGCTCTCTATGAACTCGAGACCAACATCCCCGACCTCAAGGTCGCCTTGAGACCGCTTCAATTCGTGTCTGCTCGCGAGGTATGAACAGCCCAGTATATCGAACAGTCTTCTAGCCTACTGCAACGACCCGGAAAACATGGACAAAAAACGCTGACAAGATTTTTCTGTTATTCAGCTCGAAGTCGGCCATGGCAAGCGTGCCGTCGTCATCTTCGTTCCCGTGCCCCTTCTCCCAGGCTTCCACAAGGTCCAACAACGCCTGACCCGCGAACTCGAGAAGAAATTCTCTGATCGCCACGTCTTGATCCTCGCCTCGCGCCGCATTCTGCCCCGCCCCAAGCGTTCCAACCGCTCCCGCACCAGCCAGACCCAGAAGCGCCCAAGAAGCCGCACTTTGACTGCCGTCCACGATGCTATTCTTGCGGATGTCGTCTACCCTGTTGAGATCGTCGGCAAGAGATTGAGGACCAAGGAGGATGGAAGTAAGGTGTTGAAGGTCATCCTCGATGAGAAGGAGCGGGGTGGTGTGGACTACAGACTCGACACCTACTCTGAGGTGTACCGGAAGTTGACTGGACGGGTTTGCGGCTTCGAGTTCCCCATGAGCAGCGCCACCGACTTCTAGATGTTGAGGGAGATATCCAGATGAGAAGAGTGCAGAAGACAGGCTGGGTGGTGTGGCTATGATACAAGAGAGACTGGAGTGCACGGATGCATTCGGGTGCTAGGGCAGTCAGTCTGTTTCATCCCACCTTGCGAAGTCTCGTTGTATGGATGAGGCGAATCTCCGCGGAATGCTAGAGAGAACATTGTGCTTGGATCGAGCCAAACAGGGAATGCCACTCAATTGAGGGCCGGAACTCGCAGCAAAAGCGCCCAGCAGATATTTTTCGTGCGAGAAGTAGAAGACAAAATATGTGTTCAAATTGCCCCGGTGTCGTTTTTCATCGAGTCTTGTACAGGATACTGCTACATGAATTCTCCGCCGCCGAGGATGTCCTTCATACTGACATTCCCACTTCCTCTCTCTAAAGGTTGTGGTTGTCCCTGACCAGCCTTCCACCCGATCATGTAGATCACTCGAAAGGTGGCCGGTATTCTATCCTTTTCGTCCTCTTTACAATGTAATTCCCTGTATATGGCTTCATTCGCCAGCAGCACATCTCGACTCATGGGTCCGCCCATGGACTTGAGGATGGCGTTGCCCTCACCCATGGCTTGAATATCCGTCATCAAAGCAAATGTGTCGGGATATTCGACTATTATATCGTCAACATCGACAGTCAGAAGTTTGAATCCAGCTCGGCCGAGGAGGTTCCCTACGTCTCGGACGTCTGCTAAAGGTGATATATGAGGTGAAACGCCGCCGTGGCGCTCGAGGTCGGCCAATTGGAGCGACGAGCGCAGTTCAAAAAGAGTGTCTCCGCCAAACATGGCTGCGAGAAATGGGGCGTCAGGTTTGAGAATGTTGTTTATGCTCGACAGCACTGATGGGAGATCGTTGATCCAATGAAGAGATAGAGAAGAGAGAACAGCGTCGAACGTGTTGGCTTCATAAGGGAGGGTCTCTAGAGAAGTGAGGACTTCTTGGGTGATTGGGACTGCGGGTGCAGGCAGCGAATCATCACGGTGGAGGGCGGTGGGAGAAGTGTCTGCGCAGGTAAGGTGGTGTATTCGTTCCGAGAGAGGGATCTTGGCCTTTGTTGCTCCTTCTGGTATCTCTGGCGCAATCAATGGCGGCTTAGAGAGTGCCCGTGCGATATTGCAGCTGTTGGCACCCAAGTCGAGCACATGAGGGAACTCGCGATTGATATCGAGGAGTCGGTCGACGAGCCGCTGAGCTACTTCATCTTTCAGATAGTCGGCCTTGCGACTGTATTCTGCGTTTGCGGCCGCCCGTTCTTTCTGGAGGTACTTCACATTCTCGTTGAAGACTTGGAGAGTTGGGGCGCCAGGTGACTGGATGGCGTATGGCCTGCGGAAGCAAGGGCGCCGTCGTAGAGCGGCAGTGGGAAGCCAAGGTCTCAACGCCGGTGGCTTCATTGTGGCATAGATTTGGTATGATGCTTCTAGACCACGTCGTTGACCTGAGAGTGGAAGAGAAGTTGTTCATTGTTCTGCTCGTCTAGTTCTTTTGCGGCATGATGTCAATATCACCAAGGGCAGGTTAGCCGTAACCGCGTCTGACCGCGTCTGTTTCGGTTGCGAGGCGTGAAGGTCTCGAAAAAAGATGAAGAGAAGGTAGGTCTGTATTTTCTACGGTTCAAGCCATTATGGTGGACTAATTAATGTGCTCCTGCATGAGGTTGTGCTAGTTTCGAGTGCAAACCAGGTCATACTTGACGGCGCTGCGATGGCATTCCCCTACACGTTTGTCTCTTGCCCCTGTTCCGATGCGTCTAACAGAGCATTGAAGTCGAAGCGATCCTCCCGCGATGTCGACTTTGAGGACATCCAGGACGGTGAAGAGACCTTTGATCCGCGACACCCACGGTCTGCCTTCTCTCTGTTTCCCCCAGAGCATCTGTTGTACTGCGAGGAATGCCACGAGATCAAATGCCCTCGTTGCGTGACCGAAGAAATCAATGCAACCTACTGCCCAGACTGTCTGTTTGAGAGTCCCAGGGTTATGGTGAGGAGTGAAGGGAACAGGTGTCCTCGAAATTGCTTTCATTGCCCCATATGCACGGCCCAGATGATCACCACTTCCATCGGCGACCCCAAAGACGGGCCATTCATCCTCAATTGCAACTATTGCATGTGGAGCACCCTCGACGTGGGCATCAAGCTCGAAAAAGCGACTGGCGTCCGCGGCCAGCTTGATGAGATCGCAAATGGAGGCAAACGCAAGGCTTCCACCTTGAGATCACAGCCATACCAAGATGATCTCGCACGCAAATCCTCGCTTTCAAGGCCCCCTTTGTCTCAGGAAGAAGTAGGAGAGGTTGTGGAGGCCAAGGAGAAAACCGAGTCACAGGTTTCTTTAGATCCAACAGCGAGGTTCAACGCCCTGAAGACGTTCTACAAGGAGCAAATCGCCGAATCCTCAGCAACGGACGCAGGGTTTTCCACGTCGGCACTGGACATGGCTTACTCTTCCCCATCGTCACTCCAACGGATCATGAACATCTATACCAACAGAGAAAACTCGCTCAAACGGGCACGACAGAAGCTTACAATCATGCGAGAGGCTCGGACGGCGAGCGAAGGATTCAAGCTGCATGGCCCACAAAGTGATACGCCTTGCGAATACGACGAGACTACAACCAATGCACAAAGAACGTTACAGAACCCCTCCTTCATCGGCAATCCTGAAGCACGTCTCGTCTCAGATCTCAGACCCATGCCCACACTTATGCGCACAAAACGATCCAAGCGCTGTGCAACCTGCAAACACATCCTCACTCGGCCTGAGCTGAAGATCTCGTCTGCGCGGTACCGCATCAAATTGATTGCGCTCTGTTATATACCCTTTGTGACCATCAAGCCGCTCCCTGTTCCAGGCGGCTTGGCCCCTTCTGGCCCGGACGGGAGTGATGTTGTCCTTGCGGCCGGGAAGCCCGTTCAGTTTATAATGACACTGCGCAATCCACTATTTGACGATGTGAATGTCAGCCTGGGAAGCCTGAGCGTAACGCCAGGAAAGCACGGACATCGAGTCACGATCTTGTGTCCACAATTTCAGATCGGGAAGAATAGCGATGCCTGGGACGATGCCCTCAACAACCCTCCGACTCATCAAGCGACGGGAGGTGCCAACACAGCGGGTGGAGAACAGATAGCGGGCAAACTGTACGACCACGGTCGGAATTGGGCGAGTGTGGTGATTGAGATTGTTCCCTCGAGCATTCTAAGAAATGAGGGCCAGGAACTGGACGAGGATGAAGATGTCATTGAAATTCCTATCAGAGTCAGGCTTGAATGGACGGTCACCGAGGACGAAACGGCAGGTATTGTGGAGAGAAGGAAACGGGAGAGGGAGAAGGTGCTCGAGGACGGCGAAGAGGCGGATGATGGGAAAAGAGAATTGAGTTATTGGATGGTCCTTGGTATTGGACGGGTCGACTGTTGAGAATAAAACCACTGTTTGATGGGAGTCAGGTCTGGAAAAGATACCCAGTTCTCGAGTGATGCGTATTTCTTGCCAGGGATCATTTGGTTGACCACCGTTTTGTCCATACTTCTATGTCTTTTGGATCTCCCCAGAGCGCAGGCTTCTTTGCTGCATGGCCGTGGTGCAAGATGGAGAGCATTGGACAGGAGGATGCTCTTGTTGACATGTCTTTCATACCGTTCGTCGGTCACTCATGACCCTCACAATCCCACCAACGCCCACCACCTCCGTCAGCTTCTCATGCCAGCTCAGCAGCACACTCATGACCTGGCCACCCCCACCCTCTCCAAAATTCCTCGATTGAATCTGACTGAAGCCCGTGCCAGTCGCCTGCGGGCTCACCCCCTTGCCACTGGTTGTACTGCTTCCGCTGGCCATGCCCTTGTATATGTACTTCATCAAGGTATCCCCCAACGCCGCTCCGCCCGGCTGTTTCAGCATCTCCGTCAGTATCCGACTGACATCGCTCTGTCTAATCCCTTGTAGCACCTCCAAGACCGTGGTGAGGTGGACTTGTTTTGCGCCCTCGTCGCCCGCTAGAGGGGCAGTTTCGAGTGCCGATTGTAGAGCGCCTAAGCTGTCACCAGCGCGGAGCAGTTGCCGGACCTGTTGGCCGATTTGTGCGGCCTCGGAGGATGTGGAGGGTGCGGGTAGGTTGGCTGGGAGAAGAGTGGAAAGAGGAAAGTTCAAAGCGGAGTCAGGATCGTAGGCGTCGACGTTTATCGTGCGCCAATTTATGTTGGCCATCGTGGGAGAGCGTGGTAGACTTGCTGCTTATGCGTGGTCGTTGGCGGGGAAAGCAATGAGGGCTCGGGTGTGTCGACAGCTGAGGTGGTGACGATTTCGACCCGGGAGAGTGGGCTGAGCGTCTGAACTATGAAACCAGAGTTTGTGTATAAGGTCAAATAGACTTAAGAGGAAGAAAACACAGTTGTAGTTGTGTATATGCTAGGTTCACTCGAGAGTGCTCCAAGTAACAATGCGGGACAAGTGCGAAGGCCAATGAGGCCCGAAATGGCCTAACGGCGTTACGTAATCTTTGCCAAGACCTTCCCAGGCTGGGCTGCAGCCTTGCGCTATCTAGCTACTCGAAATTTCCAACTTCAACCTTCAATCATTCACGATGGAGTGTATGCATCATTTGTCGCCTCAATGCTCGTCATGCCTTTGCTGTATCTGGCAACTTCTGGTTGAAGCTAACGACAATCAGTATCGTCCTTTCAGTCAGAAGTCTCACAAGTTATACAATACGAAGCCTGGCCTCTCATCATGTCCTTCCTTGTTAAGGCCCCAAGCGTAAGGGCTGTCATCATGAACCGTGGTCCTCCTCAGATCTCTTCGGTATTTTCCGGCAAATGATCCGCCTTCAGCTCGATGCATAACACATCTGAATTTCGAATTAGCTCTGCTGCAGAATAGTCGCTTACTTGAGAGATCGCGCCCATATCTCGTCGAGAGAATAATGATCAACTTACGTGTTGTCCCAGATAATCAAGTCACCAGGGTCGTTCCATGGAATGCTTATGGTATACTTGTCCTGCGTTGCATGCGCCATGAGCTTATCCATAAGCTCCTGCGACTTCTCTGGAGGTACATCCACGATATGGTCCATGTGTGCGGCGATATACAAATTCATCCGACCAGATGGCTCGTGCTTCTGCACCAGGCGATGTCTGTGCATCGGAAACTTGAATACATCGACATCCTTGAAGTAATCCGGTGCTGCCTTTTTGCGTGACGAGTAGAGGGAGTGGGCGCCAACATAATTCTTTTCCAGGAGTTCGGCCTTCAACTCAGGATCCAATTCGTCGAATGCCGTCCGTGTGTCAGCAAATCCGGTGTTGCCACCAGTGTTGGGCGGTGGCAGTTCGTGGGCCTTCAGGATCGAGTACGATGCCCTCCGGGGATTGAAGGAAGAGTCGACGTGGTACAGGGCATTGCCCTTGTTGTACTGCGCACGGGGACTGTCTGGTGACAGGACAGTGTTCGTATCGGGGTCGATATTGCCGGCGTCAAAAAGCTCATAGTATTCATATCGTGGCTTCCTCCCGTTGGTCATGTACGGCCTGATATCGTCCAACTCTCCAAATCGACGAGAAAATTCAACGTGCCCTTTGTCGTCGAGTCCTGTCTTCCGGAACACAATCACGCCATACTATCAAGCAGTCAGAGCTCTGTAAGTTGCAACAACTATAGACTATCTTCAAAATTTACCTTTGCAGAAGCTGCGAGGATCTCCCTGAACACGTCATCTGGAATTGGTTTAGAGAAATCAACGCCTTCAATCTCGGCCGCGAATGTCGGGTGCAGCTTCTTGATCTGGATCTTGTTGAATTCAGTCTCTGGTGTTAGAAGAAGTCCAGGCATTGTGCAAACTGGCACAGATTCTGAATTTCAGTGACGGTGGTTGGCTATGAACAGTTCAGCGGCGCAACAACCAGATGGCAAGGCCGCCATTTGGTCCTATGTCTTATATGTTTGAGGAATAGGGACTCAAAACACGCCAGAGCAGGTATTCGGCAATTCTCCGTTCATTCTGAACGCATCTGCCGAAGCCCCATGTCCGCTCCTGTTGACTCTCGACACTGTCAGCCTCGAGTTTCCCCACAGAAGACAGTGGACGAAGTGTGCGGGGAAGATGAGAAGATCCATTCTTTCGTATGGAGGTGGGAGGCAATGGAGAAAAGCGAATCTCTTCGTCCCAACGCCCGCGAAATCCTTACCTGGACTGGGGCCCCCGGGGAAATCCGATGCCGCTAGCCTGCGCCATACATGAATATGGAATGCTTGACCTCAATTGGTTCAGATGACTCCTGATTGCTTCTGCCGACCTCCGAATTTGCTTTACCATTGGCGATCAGCCATGCCACTTTGGACTACTGGACTTGACGACTGCTCTCGCGTGAGTGTATTGAGCACAGGGGGATGCTCAGCTATACTGCTCAATGGTCAATCTCCTACGAGGTTTCAGGCGTTGGCGATAGAGTCCTTTTGATCATACGGTGCCGCTGATCTGAAGATCTAGAATAGAGATCTATTACACTGCGAGATTTGGCTGATGTCTCAAAGAAATAGCGATAACAATCGCCCCATTGACGGTATCAGTGATTCGGCTTATCACAAGGACGATTCTCTTCACAGGCAATGGGTTTCAAGCCGCCTGATTTGAAATATGCCTTGTTTGTGCTGCCTTTTTTGCGACAGGTAAGAACAGCAACAAGTGACTTTGACGGTTGAGGTTACTTGCAGCACGAAACAAAGACAAAGATGAGGTAAAGGTGATTCAGTCAAACTGCAGGGCCTTTTCTGGTAGTTTCGATCTTCACCGCAATTTTCAATTGGTAGCAAACATTGTGCATCTGCTCAGGTGGAAGACACCTACGTGGATAAGGGCAGAGTCTGTTCCAGAATGCTCAGTGACAGCTTGCCTTTCCCACTCAGTCTTCACTATAAAGTCACCAACGTCACGCACCTCTGATTGTCACTGAGTTCTTAGTGACTCGCAGCGAAAATTTTTGCTCAGTAAGTGAAGATGGACTATATATGGACTATATATATCCCGCGACTGTATCGAATTCTGAACTTTCCTCTCCCGCATCTCTCCAACCTTCAACGAGCTCTGAGGATCGACACCGATTGCCAAAGTCATATTCTCAGACCGACCCTCACACTTACTGATCAGGCGCAATGGCGCCTCTCTTTCATTTCGTTCTCTTTGGTCTGGTCGCCAGCCTTACCAGCTCTGTCAGCGCAGGCCGGGCCACGCCGAACGTGAGACGCGCTGACCTGGAGGTTGACTGCTCCTGTGACAATGAACCTTCTCATCCCGGTACGTTCTCCCAACTTTTTCAAAGTCGCGTGTTAATGTGGTGGCTAGGTCCACACCCTTGGGGAGATTGGAGCATGGCCACCAGCGCGACAAGTGGTGCCCCTGTTGCCCCAACTCCTGCAACTGGGCCGACTTATTATGGTGGTATCAACTCTACATCTGTGACTATAGCTGAGACATCATCTGCATCGGTGACTTCGACTGAGTCGTTCTCTACATCAGTCATTTCGGTTGAGGTGTCCTCTACATCAGTTGTTCCGGGTGAGGTGTCTGTGAGCCAACCAAGTCCTAATACGTCGGCCTCGCAACCTCCACCCACTTTTGTCTCCTCAAGTCTGGCTTCAGGTTCTTCCTCCCCTGGTTCGTCCTCTTCGGGTTCGTCATATCCTGGCTCGACAAGTGCAGGAATTGCGCCATCTGCCGATACCAATTCGTCGACTTCGGGCGCCTCCATCATGCAGTCGATCAGCAGCATCAACTCTAGCACGTCAAGTCAATTTTTGCCTGTTGGTTCTGCCAATGGGACATCCCAAACTCAGACGACTTCAGTCTTGCCTTTGACAACAATGTCTACTCCTGAGGGCTCAATGTCTGTCGTCTCGCAGTCAACTCAAACCGAATCTGAAGTCACAGTGTCATTTGCGAGCGTGTCAAACCTTTCTCAGCCTATTACCCCATCAAGCATGACTTCGGCCTTTCCTTCAAACAGCACATTGAGCATGGTACCAGCATTCTCGGCAAATGGCACATTGAGCATGATTCCGCCTTTTCCAGCTAACAGCACGTCGAGTGTGGTTCCGTCATTTTCAGGGGACAGCAGCGCTCCTGGAAGTACACTGTCGGCACAAGACCCAGCCACAAATGGGAACTTGTCAAGTGTAGGCTCATTCTCTACCGCCTTGACTTCGAATACGACCGCTGGATCCGAGATTACGACTTCATTCACCAGCACCATTGATCTGAGCTCGACAACGTTCATTACTGTCATTCGAACGACGATCAGCATTGTGCAATTGTCCTCATCATCGACCCAGGCTGCTGGTTCCAGTAATGGGTCTTCAGCCTCTGGATCGTCGTCAAGTCTTGGAACATCTGGATCCGGCTCAAGCTCGTCCTCTGGTAGGGAGACGGCCTCGACTTCGAGCGGAGAGAGCTCCTCTTCTAGCATTAATAGCTCCAGCCTGGCATCCGCAACTGGGTCGACCTCATCCTCCAGTGCGGTAATTACCCCCCTGCCTGGAATCACGATGACTCCTCCTGTAGTCACATCCACGCCCGCGCTCCCTACAGTGTCCTTCACAGGCGACATGCAATGTTCCTATTCTTTCTCGGCAAACGATACCGCACTCACTTCGTACACGCTTGCTCCGTGGTGTTGGCCTTGGCCTGTCTCTGGGAAAGATACTACAGCGACAGTATCGGGAACTGTTGTGCTTGCAAGCACAGCAAACTGCATGTGTCCGCTCTGCTGGCTTGCAAACCCGCTGTGCTACGACCAAAAGCCGTCCGGTTCGAGTTGTGCCGATGGCTGGGTTTGCTCTGTGACAACTTCGTCCGGGCAATCAGGCGTTGTGTATTCGCTTCCTACTGGTTTCGTTTATGACACAACTACGCCGGATCCGTGGAGTATTGTTACCGAGCAAGGCGTGACCAGGACAAGCGGTAGCAGCAGTACCACATCGGTCACATGGAGTGCTACGCTTTCACACAGTACTCGAAGCATCCAGGGTGGCTACGTTGACTTTCCCTTCTGGTCATGGAGTTGTATTGGCCCTCTGTGCCATGGAGACTGTGGAGATCTTCTCGACTGGGTGTCAGCCATGGCTTCTTGCTTCTTTGGATTGGGATGCAAGAGGCCATGTAGCGATCACGGCTCCAATGGATTTCAACTCCCACCAGTGCGTATTGCAAATTTCCCCCTGCAACCTTCCATGTGAGACTAACTGATGCAGATTCCCGTCCTTCCTCCGATTCCCGCTGCACCCGAAGCATCAATGACTGTTCCAACGACTCATTGTACAGCATCGCCTTGTACCGACAACCCATCAGCGAATCCGTCGTCTGCGCCAACGACGAACTCTCCGAGCTCGTCGGGTACCTCAAGTTCGTCTAGCTCGTGTTCGTCAACGGCATATTCTTCCTGCCTCGACATCTGTTGGACTTTGAGCTCGAATGGGACAGCCTCTGCTACCCAATCGTGCAGCCAATTATGTGAAACGGTTACACAGTGCTCTGGAACTGACACATTTACGACGACCACTGTCAATGCCTCCACAATCGCCCCGGCTTGCACAGTCGTCAGTACCTGGTGGAATGACCCATCCATATCTGCTCAGATTGCCTCGTGGATCACTCAATTTCCACCAATCCCGGACAACGCGACGGGTCAATTTAGCACATTCAGCTTCGCGTCAAATGCCACGCAGACCATGGGCAACACCACGTCGAGCATCATCATGAGCACGTCGAGTTTGACAACCTTGACGTCTCGGACATCCACGATTTCCAGCCCTCCTATCACGACGCCGTCAATTCCCAGCGCCCTGCAAGACTTCACAGTGTTGGCCACAGACGACAATGGCAATGTGTACAGTGAAGTTTATTCAGGAGCGGTCATGGTATCGTCTACGCTAGTCTCCTCGAGATTACTTCCCACGTTGGGACCAAGTGGCCCCTGGTCGTTTGCGTCATCTGGGGTATCTCTGGTGACCAGAACCCCTTCGACTCCCCCCATCTCTGCTGGCTCTGGCGCGCATCCGACCCTCACAAGCATGGCGGTAAGCTACAGCGAAGTCTCCATATTCACTTGTGACGGCGTGGCTGCATTCGGGAGCGCAAGCTGTACAGACTCATGGGGGCTCAAAACCGTGTCGACCACCGTTCCCAGCCCAGACGACCAAACCACATACTGTGCCCACTGGACTGCGTTCACAACCACTACGAGCCCAGCGATGTACGGTGTGCTGAACTGTGCAACCCCTGTGAGCGGGAAAGCCACCAGTACGGTCGCCACTGCGTGGAACTCGGGTCTTCCTTGGTCGCCGTTCCAGTTGGACACCGGCCCAATCGACGCCTTTTGCCAGAGCTTGGTTGATCGGAACATCGTTTTCTACCAGGGCATCGCAATCACCGCCGCGTCGAGCGCAGGGCTCGTGTCACCGGGAGAATGCGAGCAGTTTGCATCGGTAGATGGCTCGAAGTTCAGCTACAACCTGACACTAGGTCTTGCTTTCGACTTCAACGGGTGCCAGTCGCCAACAGGCACGCCATTTGTCAACGGTGTTTCCATGAAGGAGTACGGCGGAGAGAAATGCGTTCAGACATTCTGGAACCATCTCAATGAAAAATGTAAGTCGTTTCCTGGACAGCATCCAACCGGCAACAATCTTGAGGAGTGTTGTTTTCTTTCTCTTGCTAACCATCGTCATCATCAATAGGCCAATTCTCGGACTCGGACGCAAAGAAGAGAGGCCTTGGTCAGTACACCAGGGTTGGGGGAATGTACTGGGCGGACTGCATGCGATGGACCATCATCGCTGCGCGGAGTGATTTGTCGCCACCTGACACTGTTGATGGGAACTGACAGTGAGGTCAATCGATCGTCTTTCTTTTTTCTTCCCCCCTTTTTTACGGTTCAGCGCGACATTGGCTTTGAGGAGGATGACTCATGAACCCCAGAAGACTGCAGGCCTCTCATTGTGAGGCTGTTGGGTTAGATACACGCAGGAAAAATCGGCGTTACAAAATATGGCATTACTTTGTTTTGAACTCATACTCCTCCACTTACTTCGACTTACTTCAGACTCTCTGTGTTCCCTAGCTCTAACAGCAGCTTAGTTTTTTCTCTTCACAACACCAAAGCTGCAGTCACCTCCATTTGAACTGCCGATTAGATACGGAGAATCAAGGCAGTCCATCATGGCGAAGGTAGATCTCTCAGCTCGCGTCTTGCACAGGCTGCAATGAACGTGCCAAACTTGGCAGTGGGTGCTATGCTATGCTTCGTTGGAATGCAAAGCATGCCGGTGCCAAATTACCACCCACATTCCTCGATCCTTTTTTTTTAGGCAGAGATGTACACATACCTCGGAAAACAAAGGTCACTATGCGAGTCAGCCAAGTAAGTTATTTCGCTCGCTACTGTTGTTGTTATTGACTAAAATAGCCTGCTAGCATCGTAAGAAGATCTCTTTCTTCTAGTGATGTGTCCTTACTTCTCTCTCAATATCCCATCTGTTGAACACGGCATTCAGTCTCGTCTTGGGTCTCTCAAGATGCAGTGAGCAGCAGACTGAGAAGGCCGCCGTGTATAGAAAGGCACACACAGCGTGGAAACTTATCTCGAGCAAGGTACCACCCGGAGCAGCAATATGCCCTCTTCATGGATGGAGGAAGGGGAGCAATTCCACCACGGGCACGAGCACGCGAGTCACAGAAACGACTCGAACGAAGCACACAATCCCATCGGCGGAGCAAGTGGATCGCCAGCCCAGTTTGGATCAAGAGTACATCCCCAGACGACATCCTTCTCGGCACATCTCCCAAACAATGTTGACAGCTTTGGAACAACGCACAGCCCACACTCATGGGGATCTCGCACGCCCACCACACCCATCAGCCAGGAGCGAATACAGGCTATGACAGTGGCGGCCCAGTATCCCGACGACATCGATCGGTCGCGGTGGGTCGAGGCTCGCCGCCCACCCAACGAGCTCGACTACAGCCCGGCGTTCTCAGACTCGCCTCTCCTCCCGCCAAGCGCAGCGGCGGCGCGCCGACATCTATCTTCGGACCTCGATTCCCTGTTCGAGGACAGTGGGTCGGAAGAAGAGGAGATATTGTATGTGCTGCAGAGAGCAACCACAGGTGCGGCGGAAGATGGGTCGGTAGACGCTGTGTTGCCTCACGGTCACGGTCACGGTCACGGTCACGATCATGGTCATTATCATGGCCATGATAGTGATCAGCCTTCCCCGTGCGGGCTCAGCCGGCAGCTACAGGGCTCTTTGAACGTCTTTACGGCCGAGGTAGAGGTTGAGACTGAAGACCATGATGTTGGTCGACTTGACGATAAAATTCATTCAGTAAGGGATGAGGAAGGGCCACAGAACCAATTGCCAGAGCAAGGACCCTCATGCTTTAATGCACATGAAGGTATTTCCTACAACCTCTCAGCACAAAACGGAGAGCTTCAAGAACAACCACAAGTACCATTGCAGGGATCAGAGGCTAGGCATCAAAAAGTCCATAATTGTGCCTGCGGCTGCTCCACCGGTGAATGTGCCTGTCACCCTTCATATTGCGAATGCGTGGGCTGCGACCACACAGAGCAGATGAGGCAGTTGCGAGACGATGCGGAAAGGAAATGGGACGATGAAGGGGATTCCGACAAGAAACACTGTGGTTGCGGAGAGCTGCAGGAGAAGCGATGTTCATGTCCCCCAGATATATGTCACTGTGCCGGCTGCATCGAGCATGGCGGCGGATCGTTGGTCGTGGATCCCTTCAACAGCTGCGGCTGTGGTGGTGCAAATGGTCAATGGTGTCGGTGTCAGTCTGATCGATGTGCTTGTGCCAATTGCGATCGGCATAGACCCCATGGCGGGTATCGCAATCGCGGAACGCCCACTGAGGCGAGGGTATACCAGGAGCCAGCAGTAGGATCCCAGTCGGTAAACGACGGTGCGCCACCACCGACCTCAGCATGGCAAGCACTCGAATTGCTCATTAAGAACCAGCAGACGGCAAGGGCTGGTCCGGCCACACATACCTGTGAGTGTATGCATCAAGGTCCTTGCTCGTGTCTTCCTGGCCTATGTGGATGTGGTGACAAAGAGTATCCGGTGGAGGAGGGAGGAGAGCTTTTATCGGCTCAGCCATGTTTCTGCGAAGAAGGACGAATCTGTACCTGCTCCCCGGGATCTTGCGGCTGTCGCAGAAAAGCAGAGCGTGTACCAGACCCGGAGACCTCTCGCAGTGAAGAAGCACCGCCAGAGCCGATACAAGCAACAGCAACAACATCAACGACTTGGTCAACACGCCAGGAATATCGTCCGCTGCACCTCAAACTCGCAGAAATGATAGAACCCCCTGCATCCTCACTGATGCCGAGAACGAGTGTTCCTCCGCTATTCAGTCGAAAGCGACCCGTGCTGCCCACGCCGGCACAGCCACCGACGCCATCCTCCAGCCAACGAAGCCCGATCGTTCTAAGTCGTCCAGGCACTCCGCGTCCTCCTGCTGACTCGACGCCTTCGACGCCGTACGCAGCGGATGTGCTTCATGAATACATCCAGCAGAGCATAGAGCGAGAACTGCTGCCGCCAACCCAGGAGCACATCCGACAGAGCGTCGAGCCCGAGGTTCCACCAGCGAACTGGGCACGCGAAGCGACAACCGCATATGTCGACCGCTCACTGACCCCGTCTCCATTGTCACGACGAGACGCAGACGTCGAGATGAGAGACGTCTCCCCAACATTTTTGCCGGGCGATTTTGGCCGAGAGCTCTCGCTCCCGCCACCAACCTCCCAGCCAGATCACTCCATTAGTGACCGTCCAGCCCTGTCTCCTGTGAGGCTCGCTCCTCCGCCAATTCCTGATACTAGTTCGGCCATCAAGCAGCCGAAGCGGGGCGAGCGGCGGAAATCGGCCGTGCAGGGGTCGAAAGTCGAGAAGCGCTCGGCAACAGGCTCAGCAGCGAAACCGAAGAGTCGAAACGTGACCAGGAAGCCGACGGCTTCTGTGGGCAAGCTGGTGGAAAAGGCCAAGAAGCAAACCAAAGAAGCTGCTGCGGCCGAGATGGCAGACGAAGGAGGACAAGGACGGGATCAAGGAGCCGGCGACGCGCTGCAGCCGCCTACAGCGAATGGTGGCAAGGTGGCTGCTGCTGTGGCAAAGATCGAGCAACAGGTCAAGCAGCAGGACGACGAGAAGCACTTGAAGCAGAAGGACGGCACGGCGGTACGGAGGAGTCAGCGTGCGAACAAGGGAGTTCGGACCTCGTTTGGATATACTTGATGTCCAGAGTGTTTTTGGCGTGGGCTGCTTTGATCTTTTGTATTCTCTCCGCGTTTTCGGTCGCAAGGCTTTTAATCTCAGAAGAATGTGTCGTTTTGATGCGGACTGTGTGACCTGCTAAACGGGCAAGCTTGTCAGCCCGTGTCTACCCTGCGTCTATACATAGCACTGGCTCCTTGACTTCTTATGTAACTGTGTCATTTGCCTCGAGTAAGATCACCAGCTTTTGCGATGTTCATGACCTATCGATCTCCTTGTAATTTCTTAAGAACGATCATGATCGAGCAAAGTATCTCTGAACCAGGCTCAGCGGCGACTGCATCACGAAGACGCCTTCCAAACAGCAATTCAGATACGGTATTGACTGCAGGATCAGGAAGGCGCTGTTGTCTGCTGCGGCGCGGTTGGCGTCCATGTCTTCGCACACGGCGTTGATAATATCTTCTGCGTCGGAGTTGACCCCCGACGCAGCAAGGGTGACGACAGCGGTCTGCACGTCAATCAAGCTCATGAGCAACTCGAGCATGAAGCTCCAGTAGCAGATTAGCACGCCGGCCTTCTGGCCGTCTCGGAATCTGAGCTGGTACTTGGGGTCTTCAAAGCTCGGAACACACATCGGGTCGCTGTGGGAATAGGGATGGTCCACGACGGTGTCTGTGCTCCAGTAGATGGGGTCCGGCGAGCATGATTGCTCCAGGTTGTGGAGCCATGCTTCGAGATCCGCCTTAACCTTCGCAAAGTCCGCAGCGAGTCCACGGGCTATTCTCAACTCGTGCGAGAGATCGCTTGGACCACTCTGGTCTCCCTGTGGATTTTGCACGAGCATCGGGATCAGGTCGTCGGCGCGATGTAAGAGCGTGGGAATTCCCAGGGCGATATCGTGGAGGATTTCCCTCCTCGTCTTTGGGCGGCAAAAGAACGGTCTGTATATCCACTGAGGCTCGGACAGGACGCTGGGTCGCCGCTTCTGCAAGGTGATGAATATCTGCCGTTACAACCTTCAGTACAACAATCGATTCAGGCCAACGAGATAATTGCTAAACGAGATTTTCTTACAATTATTCCTCGAAGTCCTGAGAAGGACTGCAGCAGATGAGGTGATTGGTATACGTCAGGTCCGGAGATCTGGAGCAGTTGGAGCATTCCCTCGTAATGAGTGAGGAAGCCCCACCGAGTTTTACCTAAATCATTCACGTACTGATACATGTTAGCCAATTTCGCAACGAATACAGTGGTCTGCCTGGGCAATTTTAGGCTGCGTATACCTCGAACAGCTGCAGCGTTGTCGAGAGAGCGAGGAAAAGCTGACAATAGCTCGTCTCCGGATGAGCCAGGTTGGCAGCGAATCGAGATCCGATGAAAAGGCGGAACTCTTGAACTGCCGATGTGTAGGCCGCCCGAGCCATTTCTGTGAGCCTCGGATCCTTGACCAAGAGGCTCAAATACATGGTCAGAAGACAGAATATGGACTTGTCCAGGATATGCCGCTCGGATCGTCGCGCGAGGGGCAGCAAAGAACGGATACAGACAGCTACGCTCGAGCAATCCCCCTCGGTCGGCGATGACGGTATTCGGTCGCCGCTGAAGAGGCCCGTGTGATCCTTCGGTTGAAATGCATCCAGAAGAGTTGAGTAGAAGAGTTCTTCAGGAAGTGCTGTCAGAGACGTCGTGGCTCGTAGCAGTGACGCTCGGGTGCGTTGCAGAAGTCTCTGAATCACCTCCAGAGTGGTGGAAGAAGCCACCGTCACGGCCTCCTGTGTCTCAGGATCTAGATCTGATTGAGCATGGGCAGTTCGCCGCTGCATGGCAATCCTCAGAGCACCACGGTGAGATTGTGTGCGCATGTTCGCGGCGTTCCGGTGGACGTAGATGCGGGCAGTGTTGGGTCCGCTGCATCTGATGCCCCGGGAGACACATCGGAGGCATTCAGGCTGCTCTAGCCCGCACTATCGGGGAATCCTATCACATCAGCCAAGGAACCTTCATGTGGATTGGCTGGATTCGCGCGCGAGCGCCAACGTGCCTTCTTGCGTCTCCGGCGACACTCGTCACAGCGGCGCGACGTGCCAGGAGAGCTGGCCATGGTCCAAAAGAGGAAGCGAGAGCGACGGAGAAAAGATAAAATCGCAGTGCGCTGCCTGAGCTCTGTTGCGTTTTTCATATCTAACAGCAATCGCACAGGTGGAGCTGTTGAGTAATCGGTACCAGGAGGCGAATGACATTGCGACAATGGCAGAAGTGGTTTCTTATTAATGCGAATCACTCGGCACCAAGAGTCGAGAATATCGACCCTAGTCTCCGCTTTGTTGCCGAGCTAGGACCAAAACGGCAGTCAGCGCGCCGGCTGAGAGCCAATCAGAGTTTGAGAAGCTGGAATAGAGTGGACTACCCTTGTACATAGACATCTATATGGAATAAGAGCACCATAGAAAGTGGGCAAACCGTTTTGGGATGGAGAGAACGAGAGCGAGAGATGGAGATGGCTGAATCCGCAACGAACGTTTTCTCAGTTGCCATCTCGACATTCTATTGATTCTGTAGTTTTGATTCCTATCACACACCGATGCTTCCTCTCCCCTCCATTGGAAGTATCTTGTAGTGACAATCTTCTGCCTTCACTGCAAGCTTTTGGCCCACTCACCGACAGTCAAAACCCTGTTTGCAAACAGTGGCCAGATCAAGTTGGTGGCTGCGTCCTTCTGCTCTGTGCTGAACCCGGCGGTCCCATCCGACCTAGATTGATATTTAGCTCCCATGTCCCTAAGCAGCTCGAAAGGTAGGGAAGGTTCAGACTTACAGCATAGTTAGATCGTATCCACTTGCATCAGTCAGCGTTGGACCTCATTACATCTGGATGGCGCTGGGACAACACTCACAGTTCATATCCGTATCGTGCCGTTGCTTCGATGCACGTATTGGAGACGAGACCCGCCAGGACCAAGTTACGGATCCCCCGCTGTCGAAGCTGATAGTCCAAGTCGGTGTTTTGGAAAGAACTTTATCGGTGTGAAACGAGATGTCAGCCCAAGCAGATGGTAAGCAGGAAGCCACCGGAAGTCTTCTTCTACCTTGAATTGATATGTTGCGAGACGACGACGTCCCCGTTCTCCGGATCCGGCTCCAAGCCTTCATAGATCCCGGCACCCCAGGAGCCCTTCTCAAAGACCAAGTTCTCTTTGAGTGACGTAAGGGACCAGTTCATCATGTGCCACCCTTCAAACGAGTATTTGTCCGTCTGGACGTGGAGGCAGTAGTAAATGGGGATTTTGTTCTTGCGGGCAGTCGCGACAACTTCTTTCAAATGCTCGATGGTTCCCGTGGCAGCGATGCTTTCGGCGAGACGCGGGTTTAGTTTCCCATTGGGGTGGAGGAAGTCATTGTAGGGATCGATCAGGATGACTGCGGTTTGGTTTGCCATGTTGTAGGTGATTGTGTGGGATGTTTCTGCGTAACTTTGACTGGGTGTTTATTACGCTACTGAAGGAGGAGAAATTCGGGTGCTTTAAGTACACTTCCACATATGTGTGATCAAGTCTTCCATAACATCGACAAGGCTTCCAAAGTATGTGGCCCTCGTCATAGTGGCCGGTTGGGTTCTCGTTTCGAGCGTCAGCTATCCAATTACCAGCATTATCTGTCTTACCTGATATGGCAGGAAACGCGCCAACGATCCATCAGACGACTCCTCCAGCCATGGCTTATGACACATAGACCCAGGTTGCGGAACATTGTGGGCGGGCATGAACGAATCTATTACGCGAGCTCTTGCTGACGGACTCTACGGGTGAGGGTGAACTGCATCAAACAACGACTAGAAGCTTTTCACTGCTTTCAAATACTGTGCACAGCTCTTGACAATTCAAAGCGTGGCCACGATTCCATAAGCAGAATGCGTGTTTACATCTCTTTTCAGGCAACGCTGTCTCCGTCATCGGTCACCTCACCCTTCGGATTTCCCTCCAGTGTTGTTTCAATAGAGCTGGCTGGCCAATGTGTCCATTTGGAATCACGTCTCACAGTCCATAAACGATGACAACGAGAAGAACATAACCCCGGCTATCGATGGAATCTCTAAATCCCCAAGATACTGGGGCATGCATCGCTGTCAAGCTTGAAGATATTGTCTCAACGGATGCTTTCGGGGACAGCCAGGGTCTCTGTGGAGAGGAGATGCATATCAATAAAGACACACACATATTTTTTCTCAGGAACCGTGGATTCAGGGGCGAGGCTTGCAACACCGCCGATTCTTAACCTCTGGCTACCTTCTCCACCTCATCTGCAAACTCCTTGAGATTCTGGAACCTCCATGCATATCCAACGAGCTTCTTTTCGAGTGCCATCTTACTTTCCGCCTCTTTCCCCCATCTCGGTCCATCTCCGACCAACCAGACAGAGCTTAACCCCAACCGCTTTGCAGGCGCTTGATCATGGCCAAGGCTCTGCGCAACATGGAGAATTTCCTCTCTCTCCACGCCATATTCAGTGCAGTACTGGATTAGAGTCTCTAGTTTTGCGTCATCCGCGCGGGTTGCGTCGTCACCGAAATCCTCCGCAGTGAAGACTTTCCACCAGTTCACTTCTCCGAGACGACTTGCTTTTGAATTTGCAGTAATGTCCCAAGCGAATCGATCGATATTCGAGAGTGCCACAAGCCTATAGTGCTTGCTTAGACTCTTCAGCGCCTCCAGGGTTCCCGGGAACGTCGGCCACCGGGAAATGACAGCCTCGCTTCCAAAGTTTTTGGCTTCATCATCGCTACTTTCCACGCCCAATTCCTGAGCGATACGCCTCCATATCTCAACCAGAATCTCATCGAATCGTTTCACGGGCTTCTCCAGCTTAATCGCATCTTCCTGGCGCTGAAATAGCTTCAGAAATTCGATCGACCCCACGGAGGCGGAGTCGGGAACAGTGGTGGTGAGAGGTGTGGCATCGAGGAAGGGTGATGAAGCGGGGAGACGAGAGAGTAGGGGTTGGAATGAGTCTAGAATGTGGGCTTTGTATTCGATCAAGCTGCCGTATACGTCAAAGGAGAGGACTTTGTACTCGAGAAGTGGCAGTGGTGGCACAGTGGGCTCGGGCATGGGAAGGACCATCGTTGCCACCAAGTGGATAACAGCAGTTTGATTGATATAGATTAATCTTTCAGGTCTCGGTTGATGGTGGTAGACTGAGATGAATTGATGATCACTGACGGTGACACTGTCGGGTTAAAATGACAAAATGCTGATTTCAAAAGACGACGCTCAGGATCGTGGTCTTGGCTATCACGTGAAGCCAAGGAGCTAGCTGAGCTTGACTGGTTAATTAGGCTCGGAGGGAGCGGCCCGTAACGCTGATGGTAAAACTGTAATTTGGGTTTCTACCATTCCGGTATTCAGCACCAAAACTTCAGCTCTCAACGTTATCAGAGTGCATCTTTTCAACGTGCATCTTTTCAATGACAATCGACACTTGGTCCAGCCTTCTCCCTGCGAATTCGAGGGCGCAGCTGAGCGGATCCGCCGCACGTGGCTGACTCGGTCATAAGACGGCTGTGATTTCCCCTGGCTAGCGAATGGATTCAGCCCAAAGGTGCTCCAAGCGAGCTCCAACAACTTCAGCTGAATTTCACTCGTACAACCACGAGGTCATCGCAAAAAGGGTGATGCCGTATCTCAGCCAAGCATCGACCGCACCAGGTAGTGCAACACGTGTAACTTTGATGATTCTCCGATCTCGTTCGCCGTGTGATCTGTCGCTGTACCTTGTACAGAGTTACTTTTGCGGAGAACGACCTTGCAACGAATGCGGCAGCTATCCTTGGTAAGCAATTCCCCCTTTCGCGACATAACCCCGCCGAGTTACTACATTCGGCCTCGAACATAAAACAGGTCTTCAGGGTCTCAGCCACGAGATATGGTGGCTAGCTGAGCCAATGCACGTGGTATTCGAGTCTCCAGCCTTAGTTTCAGGAATCGAAGCTCCAGACCCGTCTTCAGCCAGCCTCGGAGTACTCGATCTACCCTTCCATGTGCATGTCTTTACTTCATTTGCTCCCACTTGGGAAACGTAATTCCTTTCATTGAAATGGTGGATAGAGACGTGTCAATATCTCACCTGGAGCTGACGTGGAGGGGGCTCGAGGCCCTCCAAACAGGCGATCCAGGTCAGCCTAGAACCACCCAAAGCTTTCAGCTCTGTCGCGTTCTACGAGCGACAGTTTCAGCTGCAGGAGAAGACTCAGGACATCGCTGGTATAAGTAGTCTCTTTTTCCTCCTGTCCGTTGCTTAATTTTCTTGGGCCAGCACCACCTCAAAGACACCCTTCCCACCAGCGCCTCCCTATCTTTTCCCGCTGTCTCGAACGCTCTCCTGTGCTCTCTTGTTCTCCTCCAGACGATATGGCGGCTGTCGTTCCAGGCGCTCTTTCGGCCGCTGTCGAGGCGCCCAGCTTTGACAAGCTGCCCAAAGTTGACGTCAAGCCCGTGGCGGAAGATCCATTACTTACAGGTCGACCAAAGTTTGAGCTCATCCCGCAAGTCTCTATCAAAGCTATTCCAGAGGAAACTAAGTCCGAGTCCTCCGATGAGGCTGTCACCTCATTGATTTGCTCTCACGCCCCTGTCCGCTCTACCTATCACAGACAAGCTGTCACCTTCCGCTCGGAGATCCAAGTGCACCTCAGATCGGTACAAAAGACCAGCGATGATATGCTTTTCAGGATTCGGGAGATCGTCGAAAGCCTTGACAAAGCCACTCATGAGAAGCTCCTTCACAAAGAGCAGTACGACAGCTTGTGCCAGAGATACAAGGATATCACGGCGCGCCTCGAGACCTCCACCCAAGAATGCGTTACACTGAGGACCAGATTATACGAGATGTCCAAAGCCCGCGACCGTGCCGAGATCGAGCTCGAGGCTCTCAGCGGTCATCTCCTCGAGAAGGAACACGAATGCATGGAACTCAAAGAAGAGACCTGCGTCTTAAACAAGCAAATTGTCTCCCTTGAACAAACATTGGTGGAGATCACTCACAGACTTGTTGAGGCTGAGGCTGCTGCAAAGATCCGCCTCGAAGAGTATAATGCCGCCGTCAAAGAGTTGGAGATCCTGAAAGCCTCTATGACTGTTCTCTTCAAAGAGAAGGAGCACTTGGCCACGGAGCTGGCCATTACACGCATGAATTTCAAAGAAGTTTCGTCGAAGCTTGAAGCGATCAAACAGAAATTTATTAGCATCGAACACAGGTGTGGCACTCTGGAAACGGAGCTCAAGTCCGTCAGGGAAGAGCTCGTCAAGGCCAAAGAAGCAAGGGACAAGGCACTTGCGGAGCGCAAAGAGGCGATTCACGAACGTGATGTGGCTATGCAGCGTATGGACGAAGCAATTGAGGACCGAAACGGTGCTATTCGAGCGCGTGACAGCGCCATATTCGACTACCAGAGTGCGAAGACCGATCTTGTTCGAGACCAAGCCTTGCTCAAGGACTGCCAGTTGAATTTGGAGTCGCTGCAATCTCGGTTCGAAATTGTCATCAAAGAGCGTGATTATGCCATACTTAACCAAACCAGTCTGGAGCATTATCGAGATGAGCTCGTGGAGCAATTCAAGGAGGCTGACGCCCGCGCCCATCACTTCAAGTTCGAGTTCGAGAAGGCAGTCGGGGAAAGGCAACATGCCGAAGCCGACCTTCGAAATGCCTCGAAGAAGATGGAGGAACTCCAACACGACAAGGATGTCCTCGTCATCGAGCGGGAGCAGCTCTACCTTCAGCTGAAGGCATCCGAGGCACGACGGAACGAAGCAATTGCCAAGGAATCCAAGGCATTTGAAGAGCTCCTCGCCGCCACACAAGAATGCGCACGGATGACGAAGAAGTACGAGGATATGGAGGACCAGTTCCAGAAGGCCGACAAGGAGCGGGCCATCCTCGAGGAGAAACTCAAGACCATCGAGGCCGAGCTCAAAGCCGCCACAGTGAAAGAGGCCCTTATGGCTGACCAGCTGGAGCACGCCCAAGCAGCTGAGATCAAAGCCCTGCGGGAGCGAAACGAGATGGCAGAGAGTCTTTCGGTTTCCAAAGATCTCAACAAGACCCTCAAGCAGCAAAAGGACGAGGTGGAGAAGAAGCTCGAAACCAAGATCCAGGAGCTAGACGGCAAGTTGGCCCAAAGTGGAGCCGAAAACACGACCCTCAAAGCCAAGGTCGATAGCCTGGGAAAAGCTTGGAGCCAGGCTGAGGCCGAGAGAGACCACAAGATCAAAGAGCTCGAAGCCACGAAGCATCAGTCTGCCGACGAGAAGACGAAACTTGACAAGGAGATTGTGGACCTCAAAAATGGTGTGGCCGAAGCCCAGAAGAAGGAGCGAGAGACCGATAGGCTTCTACATGAGAAGGCTGGCGAGCTTGAGAGAGAAAAAGGGAAACTGAAGAGACTTGACGGCAAAGGCGAAGTGCGAGGGAACATCTGGGTCAAGCACATCAATTACGGCACGATGCGCCTGGAGGACGGCCACAAGGCGTACAAGATGGCCCTTGACCGCTTCTACAGTGCAAAGGCTCCCCCAGTCAGGGCAACCAATGACTTCGTCGACAAAGACCCCGACTACGGCGTTCAGAAGTCTCTGATTGTACGCTGGGCCCAGAAGAACAAGGACGGCAAGTGGGAGGACAAACCCGCTCTCTTTGCATTCGAGCGAGGCTCACACGGTGATGAAATTCACTTTCCCCTCGTTGGAAAGGCCTAAGGGAAGAGAAAAAGAGGCACGCTGGAGGGAGATACACGCCGAGGCCTGGAGACGGGGGGGCAGAGGCATAGGTTACGCATGCCGCAGTTGGATTCTTCTTTGTTTATTTGGCGATAGTTTTGTCTCTGTACTTTAACCATTTGATGCACAAGCCCTACTCTGTCTCGACAGCTGTCTTTGCTCACAACATGTAGCCTCAGGCCGGTGTAGACGCAGTCACATGGCAGGTAATGCTGTATACGGTCTCTTTTCCTAAAGTTACTCACTAACATACATTAGGACTGGTGGACAGGCGGTGGGGTTAAGAATGAGAAGGAGAGTAATTCAACACAAGCCATGCCTTCCTTCGAGGAGTCGAGAGTGATACATGTAGACAGGAAATCTCAATATCTTTCCAGTCAGATACTCAATCGAATAACACATCGAACATTTTTTCGCACCGTTATCTCAAGATCGATCGGCTGGAACCTGTATTCTTTGTCTGTTGCCTGCATATTCAAGCACGGCCCGCCTTCTGCTTCTGCTCCGCCAGCCACCCGCCGGCGATTTCCTCGTGGGTGGCGAAGGTGACGCTATCTCCAAACCCTTTCAGCCAGGTGATGAAGCGCTCGGACATGCCGATGATGTGGGCAAGGCCGGATGTGTCCGGGTGCATCAAGATGGGGAAGACGAAGTCAGTGGTGGTGGTGCTGCTGCTGCCGTCCTCCGGTGGCGAGGAAGAAGAATGGTCCCATAGCCACATGAACTTGTCCTTCCACATCTGCTCCACCACACGCGTCGATACGTAGCCCATACTGTTGGCCAGGTGCGGCAGATACTGCAGCGGCATCATGTCCTCGTTGTACCAGCCGCAGGGGATCTCGACCAGCGGGTGTTGCCCCTCCTCCGGATACGTCTGCGCCGAGATCTCTGTCGGGTGCAGCCACGACGACGCCGGCTGGGTGAAGTCGATCGCCTTGATCGGCGGGTCGCTGGGCGTGAACTGGCAAAAGCACTCAGCATCTTGTCCAGGGATGATACCCAGAGCTCTGGCACAGTAAGGGAGAAGCCGGGGGGTGGGGAGATCACGAAACAGGAGGGGGGATAGTACTTACATATGGCTGCGAGTCGTGGTGCATGAGCGACGTGTCATAGAGAAACTCGTGTTGACGCAGCAGTTTGACTGTGGTCTCCCTGATCGTGTACATGGGTGCGCGATAACCCCTGGGCTTTTTCCCGCACAGCTTCGTGGCCACTTCGATGCATTTGAGGAGGACGTCCCGCTCTTGCTCCTCCGTCATCTGGTAGATCCCTTCGTGCGCGTAGCCGTGCAGTCCGATTTCCGCTCCTGACTCAACGACCTTTTGGACTGCGTGGGGGAACGTCTCGACCGTATGGCCGGGGATAAACCACGTCACCTTGTCTGCGATCCCGCACCTTTTGAGCATGTCCAGTAAGCGGATGGCGCCGACCTGGCCGGCAAAGATCCCCGACGAATAATCGGCCATGTTGTTGTCCTTATGACACCCAGTCCCGAGCCAGTGTGACACGGCGTCGAAATCAAATGATAAGGCCACCTTCACGCGACGAGGGCGTGTTGGAGATACCGTAAGTGGAATATGTACCAGGCTTCCCGCGTCTGAGACGTAGTATTCGCAGTCCGTCGGCATCCCGCCATTGACGGGCGCCAAATCCTGAGGACAAGCACTCATGACCACGATGAGGTCCGTCTGAGCCTGCAAAGTCACGAATTGGCCCCGCTCGGAGGTAGGGGTCTTGATGTCCAGCCCGCCGCGGTGGTCAATAGCCACGTTCATGAACAGATTCAACGGATCCGGCACCCAGTCGTCAGCGATGTGGAAGTCCGGAAACGTGTGCTTCAACGCCTGGTGCATATTGTCGGTGCAGTTGTCGTGGTATCCGTCGTAGCCTTGCATCCGATATCTCTCGGCATCACATGCCGACCAAATAATGTCGTGGACGCCCTTCGTCGTATCCTCCGTCAAGACGAGCATGGGCTTCCTTCGCGTGCTGTACAACTTGTCGCCCTTCGATAGAGCCACCTTGAGTAGGATGGTTCTGGTGTGAACCATCGACAGAAAGTCATTAGGATCATTGGGGTTGAACGCCCAAAAGTCCACCACTTGCTTGCCAAACGTGTTGACCACCTTCACTTCCTGTCCTGCCTTCACAGAGACCGCGACAGCCTTACGTGCTGGTAAGATACCCATATCCTTATCGATTTCTACTGCGATCGATCACAGTGGCAATGAGCGATGAAGACGCAAAAGCTCAGTATTCTATTTCTATTTGAGCAGATTCTGGAGGACGAGATGATCTAAGGGATGTTCGTTCTCACCTTGCGAGCTCCGTGGCTCCCTAAGTGTTTCGAGGATTGCCGGTCATGTCCGATCGAAAAGCCTCTGTCGGACAGAGGCGCATGTTCATGCCCATACTTTGTGGGGAGATAATACGCTTGTAGCTAGATCGCTGAGCTATCGCCTCGAGCATTCGCCAGTCGCGGAGAGATTTTGTATCAGACTTCGTCAGATCGTGGAGATGGAAGCAGCTTTGCCAGCTAGTTTCGATAGTGGTTGTTGTTGATACACAGTTAGTGCCGCCGCTTTTACAGGAGTTGACCGCTAGTGCCTCGGACGTGAATGGTGTCGTACCCCAATGTGTGGGAAGCCCCGCTGCTTTAACATAGACGGGGAATCAGTTATCCCGGGTTATCGCCCTCGACTGCGTTGCTCAGACATGCCGCATGCTTCCACTGTGGCACCAACCTTACGATGCAACAGGCTGACACCCAGGATGCATCTTCCCGCAGACGGCGCTTTACAATCCGGAGCGAATTCGGTCTCGCAAGACGATGGCGAAGCCGGAAGAACCGCCCCTGCGACGCGTGTCGCAGACGAAAGAGCGCCTGTGTCATCGAAGACCGGCCACCATGTGAGTGACAATATGGGAAACCTTGAGCTCACAGCCTGACCTTCCGGAGAAGGTCTCTTCTGTCGAGGAAGGGGTCTAGTCTGCCAATCCACCTCTCAACCCCGGACTGCTCGACAATCTACCAGTCAGGGACCAGACCCTGACGACGAGCAATTGGATACGTTGGAATCGCTGGACGGCTCACATGCTGGTGAGGATGGAGTACTGGAGATCCAAGTCAGCCCTGGAGACGTCGATAGCAATCATCTGCTCCCCTCACCCGATTCTCACAGAGGGGACGTAGAGATACGTAGCCGTCTGTCGAGCGCCCATCCACGGCCACCCAGCAGCAGTGATGTCCATGTCCTGGAACCCCAAGTGCACACTCTGGAGGACGGGAAGGATTTGACGGCACACTGTATGGGGCTAGCAGCAGAGCAGGATACTCATCTCCTTGCGTCTTTTCGATCCGTCATCATCAACGAGACAAATCGTGTCGACGGTGACATCATCCAGGCGTATTCCGGCAATCCTGCCACAGGAACTCCGCCTCTTCATTTCTCGATACTGAGAGATTGGTTCATGCCATATGACGATAGGATAAAAGAGGAAGCCTCGCGGGAAATCGAATTCAAGGTCGGACCACACGGCCCGAGTCTCGTCCGCCTCTACTTCAAACACGTCCATCCCGTCTATTGTGTTGTGTCCAAGGTCCGTTTCCTTCGTGCGTACAAGGAGGATAAGCTAATAATTCCGGCGTCACTGCGAGGGGCGGTCTACGGAATGGGTGCGGTATACTGGAAACAAGACCCTACATTGAGAACAGTCCATCGCTCATTTGAACAATACGAGTTGTTCCAAGCCGCCCAAGCTTCTCTCGAGCGGGAGCTTGACGCACCAAACCTCTGGAAGTTGCAGGCCTGCCTACTGATGATTCACGAGAAGGCAGCCGGCAACGGTACGTTTGAAACTCCACGAACGTGGACTCTATCGGCACAAGCCGTGGCGTGCGCCCAGATGATAGGGCTTCACCGCGATCCGACCCATTGGAAGATTGCATCGTGGGAAAAAAGCCTGAGGAAGAAGTTGTGGTGGGCTACCTATGTGACGGACAAGTGGGCGTCAGTGAGCCATGGAAACCCACCTTTGCTCCATGCCACGTCGTACACCACTTCCAATCTGGAGATGGACGATCTGAGATTCGATGAGGATGTCCCCGAAGACCTCAGAGGTATGGTAGATGCCGCAAGTGGAAGCTTTGATGTTTCAACTGCTGCGCGGTTCCTCGAACTTGTGGAGCTTACCCAGATTCTTCATAACTTATTGGACACAGCTTTGTGAGCACTGTCTTTCTTCGAGAAGAAGCCGTGCGCAGACTAATTTCAGCTACAGCTCCGATCACGCATACCGAGCCGCAATGTTAGACCTTGCAAACCAGGAGACCAGACTCTTGAAGATTCAGAGAGAACTTGAATCCTGGCACTCGCTGATGCCATTGTGTGTCACCATGAACTACAGTACAGCCAGGCTTGAATTTCGCAACAATGGTATGTGCAGCAAGAGACGACTGTAGCCCTTATGGCCCCAGCTGACTGTCGATTAGCGCCACTGCACCTCGCCTACTTTGCAACTCAAGTACTCCTCTTCCGAGCCTTGATGACTCCAGCCTCGATGGCCGCCAAGAATGATCCGTTGTCATCTTTGCGACGTTTCTTTGGATTAGCAATAGAGCAACTCCGTGCTTTTTTGGCTTTCATGAACGAGATAACGCTCGAGGGTCTGCGGGCATTCTGGGGCCGACGTAAGTCATGTTTTCTCCCGTGCTGAATGAAGAAGTGAAATTTGACTAGAGTAGATGGAAGGTCGCAGTTGATCCTGATTGGCAACTTCTTGATATATTTATTCCTCCTATCCTCCGATCCAGAACAAGTTAGCGACACATTCCGACTGCTGGAGCACTTTCACGAATCCCTTCAGAGGATAGGCGAGCTCGTGGACGAGGATTCCGTAGGTCTGATCCGGCCCGTAGCACTGAGGATCGACTCTTTCTTCACGCAAGCGGCGCAGATTATGAGACGAGGCTTGACGACGGGTTCCTACTCGGAAGCAAGGATGGTGGAAACACCTACATGAAGACAGGTGCAGTCCCAGGCTGGGTGAGCAGTAGTCGCACTACAGGACATGGGGGCTGGAGCGCGTACCGTCCTTCATCGGCATCCTACTTCTTGTTCCCAAAGACGTCCCACCGCAATCGACACAGCTCAATGCCCCAACGTACCTGATCGTTCAATTTTCACGATGTCGAAAGCTTCCGAGCGTCTCAATAGCCTTAGTATCCTATGCGTTTATTCGTCGTCTCCGAAAAATACCTTAATCGGCATCCAAGAATCGTTGACGACCTTGAACCGGGTCTTGATACCACTAAGAGCTGCCATGTCGTTTTGGGTCAGCCCCCAGCCATCCAGCTGGAAGTTTGTCTCGATCCTGAGAGGTGTTACGCTTTTGGGGATAATACTTGTGTCTCTCTGAAGGCTCCATAACAGCCTGGCCGTCCGGTCAGCACCGTGCATCATTTCTTGGTAATGGGTTCTCAACACTTACAGAACCTGGGCAGGAGACTTGCCAAGTCTCCGCGCAACTTCGCACAATACAGGTTCCTTATAGAGTGGATTGTCTGTTGCACCCCCAAGGCAAGAATAAGCCGTACAGTGTATCCCTTTCGCCGTACAGTACTCTAATAGTTTAGGACTGTTCATGGGATCAGCATGGCTTCACAGACTTGTTCCAACGACACGAAGACTCACGATGGATTTCCAGGGTGCAATTCGATCTGGTTCACAGCAGGAACGACCTTGCAAGACGGATCACCCAGAAGCTTTTCCAGATGTCGGATCTGAAAGTTGGAGACGCCAATATTCTTGACTTTTCCAGTGTCGAGCAGCTTTTGCATCTCCTGCCTTTGCGGTCCCGTCAGACACCAGTGGCCCCAAATTCACCATCTATAGCGACGTACCAGGTCTTGACAAAGTCCCAATCCGACAGATGCTTCGAAGGATCTTCGGGGTCGGTGGAACAGGGGAAGTGAACCAGGTACAGATCGATATACTCAAGACCTAGGTCGGCCAGGGACTTATCGAATCCTTCACGGACTCTGTGGTGCCATGGATTGTCAAGCTTCGTGGTGACCCAGATCTCCTCTCGTGGAACCCCTGAATCTCGGATACCCTGGCCAACCTCGACCTCATTGCGATAATTCAGAGCTGTGTCGATGTGACGATATCCCGTCTGAAGCGCGTGGCTGACAGCGTTGCGGACCTGGTTTGGCGGTGACTTCCAGGTTCCCAGACCTACAGCGGGCATTTCTGCTCCAGTGTTCAGTGTGAACTTCTGGGACGTATGATTGAGAGTCGCCATCCTCGCCTATCCTGGCCTTTGCAACGATGACAGAGATAACAGAGATACAACGCGGTTCAGAGACATCACCCAGGGACCGCATTATTGATCTGGGCTTTTGTACCGGCTCGGCTATGGTAGGTGTTCGCTATACGGCCATGGACAAGAACGTGAGGTCTGCATGCAAATTCTGAGATGGGTCAATGGGGAGCCTTGTGGAACCAGAGGAGAACCCTGCATACGGAGTAGTTTCCTCTCCAAGATCGACCGCCTGCAGTTCGCCGACGGTCACACTAGAGATACGAACGTTAGCAGAGATCGGCCAACTTTGCTCTCCACTTTATCGGCCAACTTGGAACAACTGGGCAACCCGCATAGCCAATGTGGCACTCAACCAACCATTATGTATAAGCACTGTGTCCGACTCTCTCTTCCACCGACATCGAGTCTTGCCCCATCCAACTCCTGCTACGAGAACACGGCTCATTCTCTCTCGTAACAGATTCTTCTCTCGCGGCAACGTGCACCCGTCCTGCAGGCTCTCTTGACGAAAGACAGACCAATATGGGGCTCAAGTGGGAACAACTCAAGGAGCGGCTGCAAGTGTGAGCGACCCCCAAACTACTGTGGAAGGCGACTTACTGAGTATCAACGTATCAGGCCTAAAGACGAGCACTCCTACTACGACAATACCAGGTGGTGTAACCGGGACTTGATCCCCATGCCGCCGGAGAGACGGACCTGGGGTATATGGGGATACTGCGGTATGTGGATACAAGCGTGCTTTGCATAGCGCTTATACTGACCTGCTCCAGGATATTGGACTGTCTCAGGATCCTGCATTTCGGCGTGGTCGACGGGAAGCACATTGCTTGCCTTTGGGCTCAGCCCACAACAAGCCATCGGCGTCGTGGTATGTTGTAGCCTCGACAAACTCAAGATTCGATATGCTCACAAGGGCAATAGATCTTGGGCGGCGTTCTCACAGGTCTTTTGGCAGTGGCGTGTGGTTGGATGGGCGAGAACCACCACATTGGCTTCACCGTGTCGTCTCGGTTCTCCTGGGGCATGCAGGGGAGCTACTTTCCAGTTGTGCTTCGCATTTTCGTAGCGTAAGGTCCCCGTGTCGACGAGCCCAAGTCAATCATGCCCGCAGTCCAACACATCTTCTCGCTGCAACTTATGATGATTGATAGAACAAGCTGACTTCAGCGTCTAGTTGCATGTGGTTTGGGATGCAGGCGTACTGGGGAGGTCAAGCCACGAGGGTTCTTTGGGGTTCAATCATTCCAGGTGCGTTGGATCTTGACTCCTTGAAAACTGCGCTGACGAGACATTCCACAGGCTTTGCGCACATGAAGAACTACTTCAGCGAGGGCTCCCACCTTTTGACAAACGATTTCATTGGGTTGATCATCTGGATGGCCGCTTTTATCCCGCTCGTCTTGGTACGCCCCGAGCGTCTGCAGATCCCCTTTGCCATCTCCTTTTTCCTCTTCGCCGGATCGTGCTTCGGCTTGCTTATATGGTAGGCTACAGAACCTTGTCCTCGAAAGATACCCACGGTACTGATTCTTGTTAGGGCTGTCCACGTCGCAGGAGGGGCTGGTAGCATGTTCCGTGAGCCGGGGACAAGTGCGAATGTGGGCTGGGCGTTTATGTTCGGCATCACCGCCATTCTCGGTGCCTGGGGGGCTGGGACCTTGGGGCAGTCCGACTGGACGAGGTATGCGAACCGCAAATTCGCTCCCACCCTATCCCAGCTGATTGCCGCCCCTGTCACCATCGCCGTGACGGCCACGATCGGCATCATCGTTACCAGCGCTGCCAAGGACATTCTTGGAGATATCGTCTGGAACCCTATCTACCTGTTGGCGGATATCCAAGAAGAATACCACTCCAGCCCCAGAGCGAGAGCCGGCGTGTTCTTTGGTAGTTTGGGACTGGTGAGCTCACAACTCGCGGTAAGTGTGGACAGCGGAGTCGGTGAATAAATTTTAACGGACTTTAGATATCTGTCGTCTTGAACTCGGTGTCGACTGGCATGGACATGGCTGGACTGTGTCCCAAATACATCAACATTATCCGTGGGAGTTATATCATGGCAGTCATTGGCATTGCCACTCAGCCATGGCAACTGTTGAGCACGGCGGACAAGTTTCTCAAAGTCCTCAGCGGCTTTGGTGTCTTTATGGCGCCTGCGACGTAATGCCCTCCATTCATCTTTCATTCCCTTGGGAATTTACTGACTCGATTTTTTCTCGCAGTGGAGTCATGTTGGCCGACTATCACGTCGTCCGTCGCACCAAACTGAAACTCAACGACCTGTACACGGGCGACAGCTCGTCGATCTACTGGTTCAACAGAGGCGTGAACTGGCGCGCCATTGTCGCCTTCTTCTCCGGAGTGTGGCCCCTGTTGCGTGAGTAGTTCGCCCAGCCAATGCAACTCCTAGTGGACGATGGATACTGACAGGATATAGCTGGTCTCGTGGGGACCGTCAACAGCAGCACCGACGCTTCGTTCGTCGGCTGGATCCGTCTGTACAATCTCACGTTCATCGTCGGCCTGGCAATAAGCTTCTTTGTCTTCTGGGTGCTGAACTTCTTCTTCCCGCCGGTTGGTCTAGGCGAAGAGGCTCCCTTTGTCGAGGACGACGTCCTTTACGGGGTCGAGGAGCGCAGCTCGGAAAGCACCGACGAGAAGAACCACGCTTTTAGTGCGAACAGCAACAAGCACGGCGCTGTGGCTACAGTTTCTGTTTAGGCGAAGAGCGAGCGTTAACAGGTCCAGTCTGTCTGTGACTGTTGACAGAGTTTGTTATGACGGGGAAGGTTGACTTCAGTGCGGCACTATGCAGCGACGAGATGAAATATAGAGCCGATCACTCGGTCCTGTCAAGCTGAACTTCTTAATACATAAACACGAAAGTGCAGAATCATGCCAAGTGGTACATCAATACGCCTCTTTGCCTAATTACCGCATCACATAATATTGTGCATACTATTGATTTACCTCAACAACTAAAGACGCCGTGTAATGGCATTTCCTGCTGAACCGAGTACATTTGACAAGGTGCTCCTTCCTCGAAACAGTCTCTTTAATTCAACAACAAGAATGGTTTATTTCATGCGCAACTGCAAAGGGTGTTTTATTCATCTCCATCCCTCTAATACGTCGCGTTTAACCTCCTCTCAATGTACTCCCGGGCATTGATAGGCTCGTACCGCTTGGGCCTCTCGACACCGTAGCAGCCGGGAATGCAGTCGATAGTCCGGTCGCGGTCGGCGGTGACGAAGTAAGGGATGGAGTAGCGGGCCTGGGTCATGCCCTGCGTGGCCATCGGCGGGGCGCGGACGCGGTGCAGGGTGGACTTGAGGGTGTCGTTGCTCCAGCGCTGGAGGAAGTCGCCGATGTTGACGACGACGGTGCCCGGGATGAACGGGGCCGGGTTGAATTTGCCCTTCTGATGCACGTCCTCGACCTCGAGCCCGCCCACGGCGTCTTGGAACAGCAGCGTCATGGTGCCGAAGTCCGAGTGCGCCGCGATGCGCTCCATCATGCCGCCCTGAAGAAGAGCCGCCTCGACGGGCGGATAGTGCAGCAGCCGCAGCTGGTTGTCGCGCTTGGCGTGGTACTCGGCGAAGAAGTGCTCGGGCAGGTTCATGCCCAGGGCGATAGCCCGGAGCAGGTTCAGCGCTGTGCCGTAGCAGGTGTCGAAGAATGCAGTCATGAAGGCGCGAAACCCTGGCAACACCTCCTCGGGAAACCAGATGTTCGGCGTGCGCTCGTCGTCCTCGCGGCCCAGCTCGAACGACTCCTTGAAGTCCGGGCACTGACGCAGCTGGTCGATCTGGGTCTGGTCGAACACCATCTGCACGACCTTCTCGCGCCCGACGCCCGAGTAGCCCCGGTGCCACCAGCCGTAGGGGGGATGGGGGGCTTTGTCCTTGTCGGCCTGGGGAAGGGCGAAGAACTTGGCGCTCTATATCTGGTCTGAGCGAGTCATTCAAATTGGGAGAGAGAGACAGAAAGGTGACTATCGCCCAATACTTGCTGGAGGAGGGGGCAGCGAAAGAGCAGACTCACCCACTCGAAAGCCTGGTCCAACAGGTCCTGGGGGAGGCCGTGATTCTTGATGTAGGCAAATCCCACGTCTCGAAACGCTTGATAGACCAGTTTTCCTGTCTCGCGGGCCTCTTCAGGAGTGCCTGAGCGGATGGGCTCAAGGTCGATGATGGGGATGGCGAGTTGTTCTGGTTGGATTGCCATGCTGGCTTTTCGTATAAGGTCTGTGTCGTTTATCTTTGTGTCTGTTCAATCTGACAATATAGTATCCGAATTGTCTCGTCCCAGTCTTGACCAGGTTATCTGTCATCAAGGCCACACAGTCTGGCAATATCAATTCCCTGGACTGGATGTATAATGATAACGATTCCGGCTCACCAAGGACTCAGCATATGTGTCTGTCTGGATCCCGATACTAATACTTAGCCCAGGAGTAAAAGAGCGGAGACATCCATCTATCCACATGTGCATGGGCCTAGAACTCGGTCTGAATACTCGAGTTGGCCGATCTATCACTGTGCCACGCCAGCATCGTCAATATTCGGCCCCAACGGTCTTTAGTGATGTGAGAGGATCAGAAGTTGCATTATCCTGCATAAGACACCGATATTCTATGGAGCACAAAACCTGCGAAACGTGGTCCAATTGATGGTTAACCGATCGCGCCAGAGCCCACCATAGCTTCGGCTAACCGGGATACGTGGTGGCGGCGCGGAAGGGGAGGGCATCCCTTGCCAGATTCTGTGCATTTGTCTGGAGTATCTATGCATGGATAAGACCACCCGAAGGAATCAGCCTCTAGGGACGGACACACGTCGATCATGCATGAATTGAAATGTGCCGAACGACTTATCCAACATCGTTCTCTGTTCGAATACTTCCGAAGTTGGCCGACCATACAAGAACCTTCGCTCAACCTTTTATGGTCGATCGTCTTGTGATAGGCGAGAAGAGTGGAGTTCTGCGGTGGCTTGAATCTATCCTAACGTTTTCCCTACTTACAATAGCCTCCTTGGGGGTTTGATATGTGGCCACCAAAGGTCACTGTCTACAAGCATGTGCTATAACCAATGTCTATCGCCGCGAGGGATCGAGACAGCCAGTCTTTACAGTCCTCCATCCTCGTGATATATGTTGATAAAAGAGTGCACAAAGGGGAATCTCATATCAACCCGTCCAACCAATCGCTCAAGTCCGCGAACTCGCCGTTGTTGACTGGAGAATCCACCGACAGTCGGCCAATTCCTTCTCGCGTTGTATGTCCGGGTCGGCCAAGCAAAGGTTGTTCACTTCTTCTCAACGACAGAGAGAGACAATGTTGCATGCAACTAACACCGAAGAGAAAAGATAAGAATTGGACTGATTAATTAAACGGCCGGAGGAAAGAGAGAGAGCGTGAGAGAGTGAGAGAGAGCGTAAGGAAGATAATCAGCTCATTTATCTCAACATCAACAACCAGAAGGAGGAGGAGGAAGAGGAGGAGGAACCAGCCCACAACTACTAAACTAAACTAATGGACATGCAATAGACCTGATTGAGGAAACCAGATCAGACCAGTTCAGTTCAGTTCACACCATGGGGAGCATAGGCATTGTCAACTCCCAGCAGCATCAGAGGTATCGCATCGGCGTGGATGTGGGAGGTAAGTACTATTACTCGGAACAGAGTGAAACCCTTTCTCTCCCTCCCTATGTATCTATCTATCTATCTACCCATCACTGTCCCAGATTGAAACCCATATTCACCAACGAGAACGTGAGTTCTAGGCACCAACACCGACGCGGTCCTCATCTCCCTCTCACCCACGCAGATTGTCGCATCCCATAAAGCGCCCACGACACCCGATGTGACGACGGGTATTACCGAGGCTGTCCGCGCCGTGATCCAGGCGAGCGACGTGGCCCTCGACGCTGTAAGCTGCGTCATCGTCGGCACGACGCACTTCGTCAACGCCGTGGTGCAGCGGTCTTCCTCCTTACAGCGCGTCGGCGTGGTACGTCTGTGCGGTGGGAGCGAGCATGGCTTCGGGTTGGGCGTGCCCCCCTTCATCGACTTCCCGGCCGATTTGCGCCAGAGGATCGCCACGCGGCCGTTCTTCTGCCACGGCGGCCACCAGATCTCGGGCGCCGAGATCTCCCCCATCGACGAGGCCGAGCTTCGTGCCGTGGCTGAACAGCTGATCCGGGACGGCGTCTTCAACGTCGTGGTCGCGGGCATCTACTCGCCGCCCAACTCCAGCCATGAGATCCAGGCCGGCAGAATTCTGCTGGAGAGGATGCACGAAGTGGCTGCATCTTTGGGGGTGTCAGCACAGAGACCTCGGGTGACGCTCTCGCACCAGATCTCGTCGCTGGGCTTCCTCGCCCGAGAGAACGCGGCCGTCCTCAACGCCTCACTGAGACCGCTTGCGGAGAGGACCATCTGGGGGTTCCAAAAGGCCATGGTGGACATCTTCCATGGGTCGCCCTGCCCGCTGTACCTCACGCAGAACGACGGAAGCGTGCTGAACGCGCCTGACGCCATCGACCTGCCTATCCGCACGTTCAACTCCGGCCCCACCAATTCCATCCGCGGCGGCGAGTTCCTGTGGACAACGGCGAGCGGCACGGACTCCCAGGCACCGCGCCAAGATGCCCTCGTGGTGATCGACATCGGAGGGACGACCTCGGACAGCGGCCTGTTGCTGCCCAATGGACTGCCCCGGATGAGCTCGCTGATGAGTCTGGTCGGGGGCGTGCGGACGAACTTTGCGTTACCCGCGGTGGAGAGCGTCGGTCTTGGGGGCGGGAGCATCGTTCGAGTAGTCTCAACAGACCATCTCACGGTCGGACCGGACAGTGTCGCGCTGGAACTGCCGCAGAAGGCACGTCTGTTTGGAGGAGACGTCTTGACCGCGACGGATATCGTAGCCGCGTCCGAGCTCTACCACCCCTCGGGAGAGAATCCCCTCGAGGGACTGGGCGACCCCAACCGTCTGAAAGATATAAGCCCCGAAATGGTCAAGCGAGCCAAGAAGGAGATGCGCCGCATCGTGGAAGAGCTGGTCGACCGGACCAAAGTGCAGAAGGGAGACGTGGATGTGCTGATTGTCGGCGGGGGCGCCATTCTAATCGACACGGACGACGGGCCACTGGCGGGAGTGCGTGCGGTGCGCCGGGTCAAGGGCGGTGAGGTGGCCAACGCGGTCGGGGCGGCCATTTCGCGGGTCTCGGGCGTGGTCGACACCGTGGTCGACACGGCGCACCAGACGCTGAAGGAGGCGCAGGAGATGGTCTCGAACCTGGCCAGAGATGCGGCTGTGGCGAACGGCGCCCGGCGCGAGACCGTTGAGGTCGCCGAGGTCACCATCCTCCCGATCCAGTACGTCGACGCCAAGGCCCGCATCCTGGTCCGGGCCGTGGGTACGTTAGATACCGTCAAGCAGAACGCCAAACAAGGAAGCGGAGCAGAAGCCTCCTCCCTCCTTCAAGTCGTCGACGACCTGCCAGATCTTCCCGAGCAGGTTCCTCTACCCGCAGCCCAGGTATCAGGCAACTCAGGAGAGGAGGAGAAGGCTGCCATCACCGACCTCGCGTCTTACGAACCGCGAGTGGAAAACCGGGCGTGGATCATCTCCGAGACCGACCTCGCGTGGATCGCCAGCGGGTGCAAGATCCTGGGCTGCGGCGGCGGCGGGGACCCCTACCAGCAGTTCCTGAAGATCACGTCGGTGCTGCGCAAAGCGCCCGGGGCCATCAGAGTGGTGTCGCCCGACGACCTGGCCGACGACGCCCTGATCGGGTGGACGGGCTGCATGGGCAGTCCCGAAGTGAGCCTGGAGCGGATGGAGGCCGACGAGTGTAACAAGGCGCAGGACGAGCAGGCGCGGGTCTTGGGCCTCCAACGTCCCATGGATGGGTTTATGGCGGTGGAGATCGGCGGGGGCAACGGCATGGTCAACCTGGAGGTGTCGACCGCGCACGGCGCCCCGTGCGTCGACGCCGACCTGATGGGCCGCGCGTACCCGACGTTCTGGCAGACGACGGTGAATGTGTACGGGTCGCCCAGAGGGGAGGCCCTGGTGCCGTCGACCATCGCCAGTGGAGACGGGTCGTTCATGACGATGACGGCGAGCCGGACGGATCGGCTGGTGGATAGCGCGCTGCGGGCGGCGACGGTGGAGATGGGATGTCGCGCGGGCAAAGCCGGACCGCCCAAGTCCGGCAAGGTCGTCCGGGAGCAGGCCATCCTGCACACGGTGTCGTTGGCGTGGTGGATCGGGCGGGCCGTGGCGCTGGAGAAGAACGTCGCGGACCGGGCGCGGCGCATCGTCGACGCCGTCGGCGGGGACGCCAGTGCGCGCATCATCCTGGCCGAGGGCAAGATCACAAGCGTCGAGCGCGTGCTGAAGACGGGCCACTCGTACGGGGTGGTCGAGATCGACGGCGTGTTGAGCAGCGGTGAGAAAGCGACGGTGCGGATCCCATTCAAGAACGAAAACGCCTTTGTCGAGGCCGCCACCACCACCACCGTCACCAGTGACAATCAGACACAAACACAAACACAAACATCCATCCTGGCCGCGGTGCCGGACCTCATCGCGGTGCTGGACCTCGAGACGGGCGCCGGGCTCGGCACGCCCGAGTACAAGTACGGGCTGAAGGTGGCGGTGGTGGCGATCGCCGCGTCGCCTCGGTGGACGGACACGCCGCGCGGGCTGGAGCTGGGTGGGCCCGGGTCGATGGGGTTTGCGGACGTCAAGTACGTGCCGATCGGGACGTACACGGCACCGCGGAGTGTGATTGACACGTTTTCAAAGGGGGGTGGGTAAGGAAAAGAGTGGATAGGATAGATGGATAGGATAGGCAGATATAGAGATGGAATAGAAGGACAGATAGGTAGGATAGATACAGCTTCGTCCCGTGTCTGGAGAGAGAGAGCGACAGAGATGTAGAACGATGGATTCTGCTTTTGCTTCTGTTTGCTTGCTCCACAGACGGATGGATGTATCTCTGTCCCCTTTTGAACATGTGTACATTGAGGCTTCTAGAATCAATCTTTGGTTCTCTGCAACGGTCAAGGATAGGATAGGATAGGATAGGAACAGCAACCTATTCCCACCCCACCGAGTCCACTCGCTGCCAGAATCAAGAAGGAAGTACCTACCATATGAAACAAAGGCGGAGCAGCTGGTGGAGGAAGAGCATTGAGACTGAATGAGTGAATGATCCCGTGGCACAATTCCGTGAGAGGCAGAGAGTGAGAGACAAATAAGGGTGGAGACGAGGCTGAGTTCCAAAAGGGGGTGTAGCAGGGGTCATACATACGTACATACATACATACATACATACAAATAACATACAAATAAACAGATAGGTATATCAGAGCGGCACGCACGTCAAGGTCACAGGAGCTCGAATGGGAGAGAGAGAGAGCGAGACAAAGAGAAAGAAAAACTCAATCCGGCCTTGGAATCTCGACGGTGACGGACGATATCATGGCAAGTCAATTCCAAGACCTCCACACTCATGAGGCCTTTCTCCGGTCTCGAAGCAGAATTCTGGGCGAGAGAAACGACCGTCTGTCCGTCAAGAGAGAGACAGTAAACACGACATCGCATGGAAGCTGGTCGTTGCATCAGTCCCAAAAGCCAATAGCCAGTTGGGTGTCGTATCATCGCATCTGTCACAATGTCATAAGACAAATGGGCCGTCAACTAGACTCGCCAGCACATGACGGCGGCAGAATAGTTCTTCTCATGCACCCTCCATCCCCTCTCCTCTCCTCATTTCACCTCTTGCCCTTCTTCTTCGTGGCCACAACCTTGAACGGGCTGTTGCTCTCCTCCTTCGCGGCACTGGCATTCGCCGGTCCCTTCTTCGCCACCTCGCTCCATCCGCCTCCTGCGGCCCCTGCACTCTTGTTGTCGGCACCGCCACCAATCCCCATCATGGGCTGAACTCCGGTGGCAGGCTCCACGACACCCTTGTCGGCGAGCTTCCGGCGCCGAACAAACTCCTCGGCAAAGCGACGACCGTCCAGGGTCTGCGAACTTGCATAGACACTATCTGATATGATTTCGACGTCGGGTGGGAGCTGCAGCAGATCTTGCACGAAATTGTCCACTGCCAGCAACGTTAGTGTGACCAAAAAGAGAGAGGAAGAGAAAAAAATTGTACTTACAATTGATGCTGCTGTTCAGCCCCTTCCCGAGCGACCCTTTGATCCACTTGGTAAATTCTTCGTTCGCTTTGCTCTGGTTGGTGAGGGTGCTGCTCCGCGGGGTTTGCAGGGTTGGTCGTGTCTTGGGGGCGCTGCTGGCCGACACCGTTCGGGAAACCGGCTGAGGCGTGGCGACGACAGCAGGCGGCGCTTTGGCCTTACCACCAGAGCCTACCGTTGTCCAGGCACCGCCCGTTGTGCCCGGATTCGCTGGAGCAGCTTTGCCCGCGAGTTCAGCGTATCTCTTGCCGGCCGAATTGGTGGGGGTGCCAGGAGTTGGCGCACTTGCAGCAGCGGCTGCCGCCGCCGCCACCGCACGCTGTTTGCGAGACTCTTCCTCTTTCTGGATCTGGGCCAGCGTCTTCTTTGGCGCATTCGCTCCGCCGCCTGTTTTGGCAGGGGGTTGCTTCGCCCAGACAGAGGTGGTTTGAGCGCCAGGAGTCACAGGCGACGCAGAGCTGCCCCAAGTCGATGTTGACGGTAGGCCCGGGGCGGGAGCGGGAGCCTGGACTTGGGCCAGTCTTTCTTGCTCTGCTTGTGCCCGTCGAGCGGCAGCAGCGATTTCCTCTTGTTCTGCGGCACGTTTGGCTTCAGCTTCTTGAATTTCCTTCAGGGATGGTCCTTTGGCATGTTCGGCGATGCGCTCCGCCCACGGGGCCACGGAGACAACGGGCGTCTCGATGGGTGTTTGAGTGGCCGATCGGGACTCCGCAGCCAGTGCGTCGGCGACGTGTTGCCTATTACGCTGGGCGGCGGGGGCGGGCAAAGGCGAAATCGAGACAGGCGGAGGGTCGATCGGAGCGTCTTTCTTGGCCCACGCACTTTCTTCCGCAGCGGCTTGTTGGCTGGCCGCCGCAATCTGCACTTGTTGCGCCAACGAAAGTGGCTCTGGCTCTGGTTTTGCCGTAACGGCAGCATGTCCGATGGGGCCCGGAACCTTGGGTGGCGCCGACGTGGCAGGTTGCTCGCTGACTTGGCGAGGTGCACCGATGGGTTGGGGTCGAGGCTCTTCAGGGCCGAGACGACCAGCTGGTATGTCTACTTGTCCACGGAGTCTGTGGAACTCGTCCAGCCGCTCGTTGCGGCCCTGTGGGCCTAAAAAAGTGTCCTGATGGCCGCGCATGTCGCCTTGCTGTTGTTGTTGTTGTTGTTGCTGCTGCAGCCGAGCCCTATCTTGAAGCATGGTGTTGACTTGCTGGGAAGAAGGTGCCACGTCCGGTGGCGGAGGGCCTAAAGGGGCGCCGGCAAACGGCAGATTGGCACGTTGATTGAAGCTCAAACGGTCCATCATGTTATGAATGTCGTCTTCGCGGCCAAAAGTCGGTCCCGCCGAGGGTCCGGCGTGATGGGTGAACGGCAGAGTTTGCTGCGGCGGTGGCATCAACGGCTGGATGGGCGAGGGCTGATAACCCGTGGGCGAAGTGATACTCCCAAAGCTCGGTTGACTTTGCAGCGAGTGGGCACTCGAATGATGGTGGAGAGAGTGCATGCCGTTTTGCATCTGCATCTTCATGGCCATCTGTTGTTGCGCCAGGTGTTCCTTTTGTCGTGCCATCAGGTATTGCTCTTCCTGCTTGCGTCTCTCGAGAGCGTTCTGTTGTTCGGCGGTCAAGGTCGTGCCAAAGCTCGGGAAGCTGTTCGCAAAGGGTGGCTGAGCAGCACCGCTGGTGGCTCCCCCCATGGCAGGGTTGGCCCAGTTATTGCCAGGACCAGCCGTGGGAGGACCGTGCGGAACACCAATCTGAGGCACCAAGAAAGGCTCGCGAGAGTTTCCTATACGCCTCACCAGCTGGGCAAGGGGCTCAAATTCGGCGTCTTCGAGCTTCTTCACCTGAAGTTCGGCGGTAAAGAAGCCGGCCTTGAACCAGTCGTGCATTTCCAGCCCGGACCATGGTCCCTGAGTATTTCCTTGAGGGTCACGGTAGATCCAGCGCATGCGGTCGGGCATCACCATTTGTCGCTGTTGCGTAGCGGGCAACTGACTCGAAGAGTTGCTGCCGCTCGATTGGCTGAGGCCGTGGCCGGACTGGTAGTTATCCGATCCGCCCGTTCGGGGAGCCGCCGTCTGCGAAGCTGAGCCAGAGATGGACACGGACGTTGTGGGGGGTCCGGAGCTCGGAGGTCCAAATTGACCAGGTGGGTTGGCACCCAGAGGCTCTTCAACACTCCTCATGGAAGGAGACTCTTCGAAGAGACTAGATGGATGACCAAACTCATCTGGTCGACGGTTGACGCCATCGAAAGGGTCGCGCATGGGATGTTGCTGTGCACTGTCGGGACGAGAGTCGAAAGACACATTCTCGTTCCTACTATCCCCGCGAATTTGTTCTTGCATGGCCGCAGGCAACATGGCTCCGAGCCGAGCAGCCCGTCCTCCAGAACCAAATCCCCCGAACCCGCCTCCCAAGCCACCCGGTGACTGCAATTCGGACAGAGGGCTGAATATGGGATCGCCAAACGCGGCCGCAATTCCTCGATCCATGGCAGGTTTGCCCGTTCCAATACCGGCGCCAGACCAAGTAGGATTGCCGCCGAGGCCACCGAAGCCTGACAGGCCACCAAAACCACTGGCACTGCGGAGACCGCTTGCGGAATGACTGCGATCGTCAGAGCCAGGATACATGTTTCGACGTGTAGCTCCGCCAAAGGGGGGGAGACCCGACGCTTGGGACGCCGAGTCGTTCGTGTCGCGCTCATCGTCGTCGATGCGGCCATGGGGACTTTGGTATGGGTTGGTGTTCGTGGGGCTCATGGGTTCGTGGAGGTTGTATCGTCCGTGGGGTGTCTGCTGGTATCCTTCATCGTGGCCGAAGTCCCGGGTGCCAATCGCTGCATGAGGACCGAACGCGGACATGCCCATTTGTTCGATGCCGGCGCTGGGAGGTATGGCCTCCTGCGCGCCACCCAGCGCTGCGCTGCCTGCCCGCACTGGTGCGTCCTCATATGGGTTGGTCTCACTCCGGCCAGGGCGCGTTTTGAGCTCGTCGCGCAACCTCGCGTGGCTGGCATCGGCATCCTCTTCGGGCAGCTTCTCAAGCGCTCCGAACAGGCCCTTGTCTTTTCCAGGTTGTGAGACATCCTCCGAACTCGACTTGGACAGAAGATCCTTGAAGCGGCTCGCACTGCGCGCGCTACCGAATCCCGGTCGCTTGTCGCTAGAGTCGGGGGGGATGCTCGCGGCCCCAATCGCAAAGCTACCAAAGGTACCCATAGGTCCAAAGCCAGACCCTTGTGGTCCGGCTGACCAGGGCGATGCGGGCGGAGGATTTAAACCGGCACTGAGAGGACCAGTGCCAGCACGGCGCAGTCCGGGAAATGGAGGTTGAGACTCTGGGCTTTCGTCCGGCTCAGGGTCTTCCTTGGGAATTGGTGTGGCCTCTTCCTCTTTGTAGTCCGTTCGGCGTCGCAGCAGAGCAGGTGGAGGGGTTGCAGTGTTCGATTCGGTTCGGAAAAATGTCTTCGGTTCGACTGGTGACATCGGGCCGTTACTCATGAAGGATTCACTCGTTTCCCGGCGACGCGTTCCTGGTCGCGAGGCTCCGGACGTACTGCTGTAATTTGATAGAGACGCCTTGCGGCCGCCAATCACTCCCACCCCGGTGCTTTCTTTGGAGGTATTTTGCTGCGGTTTGATTGGCGAATTGACCGATCCGGAAAAAAGCTGCCATCTCAGATCAGCCACGCCCACACAGATATTAAATCCTACTCACAAGTTTCTCCTCCTCGGTCAGGCTTCTCAAGCCCAATGGCTCGGGGTTTATGTTGTAGCTCCAACACACCTCTGGCCCAGGGGTCTGGTCTTTTCCGTCACCGCCGGCGCCGTGACCGCTCTCCCCGTTGTGACTGTCCAAAGGATTCCACGTGCCCAAGAAGATATCTTCCAGGCTCCGATCTAGAGCCGAGGAGTCTTTGAGATTTTGGAATATGTTCAGAAGTTGGTCCTTGGAGTACCGGGTGTCGCCAAGAGAGAGGTTTCGAGGCGCGGCAGGATTGCCGGAGTTGAGGTGAGGAGGTATGTACACACCGCCGTGGTTCGCAGTGGACGATGCTACGCTCGCGTATTCTCGAGCCTGCGATTGTGTTTGTGAATGCGTGGTGGCTTGAGAGACTCTGCGAAAGGTTTGTGGGGCGCCGTTCAGGCGGCTTCTGGACCTGCAAAGGGTTGAAAAGGTCAATGAAAATGGCCCAAATCCATACAAAATCAGAAAGGATGAGATAGTTTGTGTGTGCGTGTGTGTGAGAGAGAGTGAATGGCTTGAGTATTGATGGTGCAACAATGAGAGACAGATGTGCGTGGTGCGCAATGTCCCAATCGTGTAGTCGGTTTGGCCTACCAGTCACTGGAGCCCCCAGCGTCCCTTCTATTCCCAGCATTGTCACCATTCGTGCTAGCAGCAGCAGAGGCAAAGGTAGAGCCGAACGGAGAAGGCATTTTGTGAGGAAATGGAGGAATGGAAGTCGTAACGTGGACACGGTCCGTCGAAAGTAGCTTTTTGGGGGGGCGAGTCGAGGAATGAAATGCGGTATATGGGCGCGTGAGTTCGTGGGAGAACAGGCCGATATGCCAGGGGCGCAGATCAAAGTCGAACGACGGACGAGAGATGTCGCGGGATATGGATGATGATTTTACAGGATGAGATGTTGCCGGCTTGTAGATGTCGATTGTAATAGGTGCCACAGAAAATCAACGCAAGACGGTGCGTGGGAGAACTTCGAAAGAGACAAGAGGAGAGAGTGCTCCGGAAGGGCCCCCCAAGCACCGGCTAGTAGGCCTGCAGCCAGTAGCAGAGGTCCAGCTAATGGCCCCGGTTAAGGCAGGCCCGGCGGTCCCTAACAGGCCACGCCAAAGTACCCTAGTAGCTACATTGGCTGGGGGGGTCGCCTATAGGACGTGGCCCAGGCGGCCCCCCCTTGCTAGGCACCACATGGCTTGACCGGAATGGGCAAAGGCAAGGCACGAGGAACCCGGATTCTCCTGAGATCGATGAAGAGACCCATCCCACGCTCAATGTCGAATTTTCGGTTTGCCAATCACTACCTACGTATCTTGCCCCACGCTTAGATTTTCCCTTCAGAAGACCGCACAAACGTCCAGAGCTAGAAGGAAAAAAAAAGGGAGTGTGATATCATCAGATTGCAGCTCAAGACTGTCGAGACCAGACCACTATGTACAATTAATTGTCTCCAGGAGTCCCCCAAACTCCATCCCTTCCCCAGTCCATGTGTAGATGTATGTATAAGCTCCATCATCATCTCAACCGAAGCCGGCCTGTATGACGGAGAGCAACGCCTACGCCAACCGCTGCTAAGCTCAGCGCCGTCAGGCCCATGGTCTGGTAGCTGATCTGCGACTCCTCCACAACTCGCCCAATGTGCGTGGGCTTTTTCTTGGCCACTTTGTCTGCAAAGCTTCCAGAGAGATCATAATCCGACCAATTGACATTGCTCAGAAGCTGTGCAGAAGTTAGCATCAGGACGCCGAGGGGCCTAGTTAGGACCGGATCTCACCTTTTGATAGTCGACCACGGTGCGACTCCAGTTGTTGGTAATCCTACCACTTTCCTTGACCTTGTACCAGCTGTTGCAGTTAGGATCTGCGAAGCTGCTCTTCTCCAGTTCCGCTTGGATCTCATCGTTGTACTCCTTAACCTTGGCCGGGTTGGGCTGGATCACGAGGCTGCCACCATTCTTCCGGGCATCAATGACTTCCTTGATCATGGCATTGATGTATTTGCTCTGCGTCTCAATCATGAGGATGATGCTGTTGTGTCCCAGGTTCGTGTTGGGCCCGTACAGCATGCCGAAGTTGGGAAGACTCTCGACGGTGACACCGTACAGAGCTTGACCACCCTCCTTCCAGATGTCGCTCAGCGTGCGGCCAGAGGTGCCCGTGATGTTAATAGGATGCATGAACTCAACGGTGCGGAAGCCTGTGGCGAGCACGATGAGATCGTAATCCTCCTCGTGCCCATCGGTGACGATGCCGTTGGTGGTGATCTTGTCGATTTTGCCTGTCTCCAATCGCACATTGTCCCGGAGGAATACTGGGAAGTAGTCGTCGCTGATGATGACTCGCTTGCAACCAATCGAATAGTTGGGCTGGAGCTTCTCCCACAAGTCGGGTCGGTTTGGTAGTTGGGCATGCATGTGTTCTTTGCTTTGCGCCTCGAGGAACTGTGCGGTCGTCGATGCGTTGTCAAAGACGGCTGCGTGGAATCCTTCCCGGAAATCCATCATGTCTGCCCGCTTCCGCCACCGGACAAAGGGAAGATACTTGTAGACACTCCTCTTCCACGGTGGAATGGGCGTGTCAAGACGGGGAATGACCCAGTTGGGGGTCCGCTGATGGATGGTCAGATGGCCGACTTCTTTGGCAATCTCCGGGATGATCTGTGCGGCAGTGGCACCGTTCCCGATGATGGCCACTTTCTTGCCTCGTAGATCGTAGCTCCAGTCCCAACGGGCGCTGTGCATGATTTTACCCTGAAACTCGTCGACGCCTGGGATATCTGGCATTCTCGGCACATTCAATTGTCCCACGGCAGAGACGAGAAAATCAGAGGTGATGGTATACGTGCTCCCAAACTCGGCGTCTTTGGCTCCCTGCACAGATACGGTCGTCTTCCACTTTTTCTCTACATCGTCCCACTTGGCTGAGTCGACGGCGGTGTTGAAGCGGACATAGCGGTATAACTCGTACTTTTGTGCGACACCCATGAGATACTGCAAGATTTCCTCTTGACCAGGGTATTCCCGGGTCCAGTCTGGGTTCTGTTCGAAAGAGTAGCTGTACAGATGCGACCAGACTGCGCAAAGAGTCAGTGTCTCGTTTTCCTCAAGACGGACGAATGCTCTTACCATCGCAACAGCACCCAGGGTACTTGTTGTCTCGCCACGTGCCCCCGAGCCCACCGCTTTTCTCGAGGATGACGAAGTTTCGGCAATTGTTCCTTTTGATCAGGTCGATGGCGGTGCACATGCCAGAAATGCCAGCGCCGATGATGACCACGGCGGCCTCAGTATGGTCTTTGTTGCCCACAGGCACCTGCGGCCATGGCATATCACCTCCCATCTTGCTGGGTTTCGTGGTCTGTTTCAACAGGCAATCACCAAAGACGAATGCGTTTCTGGAAGGGGACTTGAACACGATCGGTGTAGAAAGATAAAGCTGCTATCGAGGGGAGCAAGGTAGCAATTTAAGAAGAGCCGCGGGAGCAACGAGAAAAAAGTCGCAGGGAATACCTGATCTAGTACCAGCGACACGACCGTCAATCGATCCGAGGTAATTGATGCGCGCCATACTGGGGTTTTAGGAGTGGATGGAAATGGAGCGTTGCTGCGAGAATGCGGGGGAGAACAGGACAGCGGCGGCGAATCCGGGCCCAAGATGGTGGCATTTGCCCCTGCAGACAGCTTGACAGTCCAGATCCCACACACCGGGGGGCGTTATCTGGATGGGTCCCTGACTCGGTGATCCTGACACACAGTTGATATCGGATACGTCCTGGGCGGAAACCGTGTCAACAAACCATGACACGGTGTCGCGAAGGCCGCTTTGACCGGGTGGAAGAGTAGCGGTTTGGTGCCGTCGGGCCTAGGGATCACGCCCACGCGTAGTAATAATGGAGGTTCGCTGAATCGTTCACAGCATACTCCGTACGTGAGCATCGGCAGCCTTCACGCCACTTCTTCCGGCTTTTTATCAGGTGTTCGTGACGGATCCTCAGCTTTAGTAGTTTTTAATGCCGGCCTTGTGCTGATCGTGGTCCAGATCCACCATCCATCGCGCCGACGGACTGAAACACATGCCACTAACAACACGATGACCTTTTGGACGTTGCACCGACGGGAGTCGCACTCGTCAGGTGTGGTCACTAGCCACAATGCTTCCACTCATCTCAGCAGGTAGATGACCAAGAAACAGAAGGAGAAGAACACCACCACACCTCCCCAGAAGATCCATTTGTCTTGCATGGCTCTTCGTTCGACCATTCGGATGGTGTCTCCGCTGACGCCGAGAGTGTTGGCAACACTGTAGAGCTTTCGCTGTGTTCCCTTGAGAATATCACGCTGATGTCCCAGGTCTCCGAGAACTGCTCGGCCTCGGTCTAGAAACTCATCGAGCTGGGCATTGGCAGTATCGAAGAAGCTCTGCTCTCGGAGGGCGTGCTCTTCCCTGGTATAATTACTGGAGCCTGGGCCAAAGGACAATCCATCCTGGGTGTTTCGATGGGCTGGGGCAAACGCACTCTGACTCGAGGCATGGGCATAGGGGTTCTCAGGAGTCGCAGCATGGTGCGGCCGTCGCCCCAGTAGTTCGTTCCTGTTGTTGGCTGCGACAGCTGCCTCGCGCTCTCGTTTTAACTGATCAAATTGTGTGCGGTAGGATGCCAGATCAGCGCGAAAGTTCTTGAGTCTTTCCACGGCCTTCTCTTTCTTCTCTTCATTCAGCTCATTTCGCGAGAGATTTTGGTAGTCTTCGAGAGTTCGGGAGAGACTGGTGAGGGTGGTGGCTATTTGTCCCTGTAAAGCAGGAGACGCAGTCGCCGGTGCTTGCGCGAAGGTTTCTAGGTCTTTTCGGATAGCAGTGGATTGTTTCAGGGCTTGATTGAAGAGGACATTCTGTACCATGTGAGCCAGATGTCTGGGACCTCGCACCGAACGGAAACTTGGACTCACCATCTTGTCTATATTAGAGGAGATGCAGAAGTTTTTCCAGGAAGTCCTCCGAGATCAGTCAGTCTCGACCATGGATGCCAATAATATTTCATGGTGTTGGAGGGGAATCTGCTGCTGCGTTGTAACCCCAAAAAGGGGATCTAACACTGGAAAGTCCGCCGCGTCACACATGATTCGTTCTGCATCTACGACAACGGCACAGGCAACTGGGCTGCCTGCCGTAAGAAATAATATTGTGGGATATCATGTTGGCATGCGTAGGTAGAGGTGATGATGGACATGGGCCACTTGTTGACATGCTCAATTCATCCCTACATGGTCTCATGCCATGGGATCGTCACTCCAGTCCTCTCGTGGCCGCGATATACCTCGAAGCAAGTCTGCGGCACTGCGACTGCCGAAACATATTCCAGTGTCAGTGTCACCTGAAATCGAATCACGTTCTGGTGAGGAAGTCGTTGCCATCAACAGTTACAGGAACAAGGCATTCCTTTTCTTTTTTGCCTGACCCTGTTCCGTGTTCCAATCCCACCTATGCCGAGTACCAGCATCACCCAGTGTTATCAATTTCGTATTGTGAAGCCGGCAGAGAACCGTCTTTTCCTCCACTCAGTAAGCCTGCCTGCTGTGGTCCTACCATATTTTATACTGTTCTCGATCGACAGTGCCCGTCGAAAGTCTCCAGGCCTCACGTGGACTATCCGTCACAGCAATGAACAGCGCATCTGTCCAGGGACAGTCCTCCTTCTTCAAAAATACACCTTCAGCTTGGAGAGTGCTTCAACAGAACCCTTCGCTCCTGTACACCATGATCTTCTGCAATCCCGTCTTGGTCCTCCACTGTATCAATGGATTCCTCAGTTTTCTGTATCCGACCGCGGCCCACGACTCGATGTTCGTCACCTCCGTCCAACCTCATCTTGACGCCCATGCTCAAGATGGCCTTTGTCGCCTCTTCACCCTGTTCATGGTTGCATTACAATCAGCACTCTACTCGACACAGGCGGCCAGGATCACAACACCACCCTCTTCGGACGGAGGTACGGATGAGAGAGCTGTCGACGGATGTAGCCTGAACACGAGGAATGTATCAGGGCAGTCTCTGAGATACCAGTGGGTCACTGAAGAGTCATCCGGTTAGGCAAAACAAGGTGTGAAGGGAAGCAGATTGGAGCGAGGAAATCAAAAAGGGGATATCATATTTGTGCAAACAAAGAAATGTGGCACCCAAAGGCTTGCACGCCCGAAGCCGCCCCTCTCTGTCAACCGAGTAGAGTGTCCGCGCCAGAAACTAGGCAATTCCTTTCCACCGCCGCTACCGAAGGTCTCGTTCGTTCAAACCAAGCCAGTCGTCGCCTATTTCGGGGGATACTTGTTCTCGAAAAGCCACCTGGAAAGTTCGTCAGTTTACCAATGACAAGGATCAAAAGAAGAAATCAAGCTTACTTGCTGCCGAAATAGTCGGCGACAGCAAAAGCGCCTACGCCAGCGGCCACAGTTCCAGCAAGCTGCCAGTCCAATTTGCCCTCGGTGTGCTTCTGGTAGGCTCCATAGCCAATGGCAACAGCTGCAATGCCCCAGATAATGGCATTCCCAATGACAACAGGGTTATCTCTGTTTTCGCTCAATTTCTGTCCGTCCGTCTTGATCTCGTCCTTGAATTGCTTTCCCTTCGTAGCAGCCTTCTTCTTGGCACTCGAGGCCTCCTCTGAGAATTCTTGTCTTGCGGCGCGAGCCTTGTCCTCCAGTTCGTGTTCGATTCGCTCGGCCTGCGTTTCTGTCTTGATGTCCTGCTCTTGGAAATCCGACTTGACGGAGATGACGTGCGGCGAGTCGACGTCGATTAAGCTTGCAGCTTCCGATTCAGACTGTGACAGGGAGGGAACCGGTGGAGCACGCCTGACAAATATCACATCAGTGGACTGAAAATATGCTCACAGGCACGACCAAACACATACGCCTACAGAACGATTAGCTTTGGGACAGTCTTGTGGTTGGGAAATTGTGTGTTGACTGACCTCTTCCGGGGACTGCTTGGGTCCTTTGGCAGCAACGTCGGCGTAACTCATCTTGCCAATCGCCTGGAGAACGATGCAGGTCTAAAGGGAAGAGAGATGATGGGTTTCGAGGGAGATGGCGGGAGGCAAGAAGACGGATTTTTCGCACAAGAGTGATAAAGAGACAGTGACGAGACGGAGCAAAGGAGCCAAAGCTTCTTCTTGCTGCTTGCTGCTTGCTGCCCGGTTTGTGGAAGGTGGAATAGGTATGACGAAAGCGGTTGGGGATCAGATGATGATTGGCTCACGAGACCGGGAAGCATGTGATTTCGAAACGGGAAATGGGAAATGGGAAATCGAGAGGCGGTGGCTAGTGATCCGACTATGGTTAGCGTGGATCTCTGTGGCTGGTGGGCGGTGGCTCCTGTGGCTGGGCATCGGACTTATCGGAGCGTCTTCTCCCTCATTCGTAACTGTCGACCTCACCTTTGCTATCCAATCCCATCCTGGCAATGAAGCACCCTACTGCAGTGTGCTTTTCTACCTTCCTCTTTCGGTGGAAGGGGATTGATAGATAATGCAGTGGACGAGATGAATACGCCTGCTAATGCCTTGTCTGACTTTGTCCTTCTAATCTCTCTACCTCTTGCTTGTTGTGATGACAATTGCGCATCAAAAGGGTTGACCAGAGGCACTGGGAGTATTGATACCTGAGACAACAGGACCGTCGGACTCTGGTCTTCGGACGATGTCGAGCTACGAAAAGAGGTTTGAGTATAGAGGCCCAGCCGACCACATCGTCGAGCCCGAAGGTCTTTCCAGCACCCAGTCAGGAGACCTCGTCGGCGGTGCCCTGGCTGGCTACCATGGTCCGTTCCTCGCCGGTCTCGACTGTGCGGTGTACATATTGCTGACAATTTCAGATCGTGACGTCTTTGGCAACGAGGAAGGTGCAGATATCAAATATAAAACACTGTCATGGCCTCTTGTCGCCGTTCTTATGATTGCCGAGATCGTCAGCAATGGCATGCTCTCTTTGCCAGCAGCGACTGCTGTAGTTGGCATTGTTCCCGGTGTCGTACTGATCGTCTTTCTCGGTGAGATAGCTGGAGGCTCATGGCCATGTACCCTGGGCTTCTCATCTCTGACCACAATTTCCACAGGCGTCTTTGCACTGTATACCTCTCTCGTTCTGATAGACTTCAAGATCAACCACCCAGAAGTCCACAATATGGGTGACGCTGGTATGATTCTAGGAGGCCCCTTGCTGCGTGAACTCCTCTCCGCCGGCACGGTCATTTTCGCCGTTTTTGCAACAGGGTCACAACTGCTTGCCGGGCAAATCGCCTTGGGTTTCTTGTCGGACAACAAGCTCTGTCTGATGTGGTATACTGGTGCGTTTGAAATGTTTGAGTCCATGTCTACCTTCGATGGCTGACCTACCAGGGATCTTTGCAATTCCAACCCTCATCCTCTCTTTTCCTCGAACCCTGGACCAGCTCTCCTGGCTATGTATTCCCTCATGCATCTGCATTTTGGTCGCCGGCGTTGTAGGAATGGGGGCGGCCGGAGGCAATCCTGCCCCCGATCGACACGTGGACGTCGCCCACTCCGCGAGTTTTTACAACGCCTTTGTGTCCATCACGAATCCCGTGTTCGCGTACGCTGGACACTTTATGTTTTTCATCCTGATCTCGGAGATGAAGCGGCCCGCCGACGCCAAAAAGGCAGCATGGGTATTGCAGGTTTTTGCCACTGCGTAAGCCCGGACCATTGACCACACGCGTGATGGGTGCTAGATCATCAGCAGAGGCTAACTGAACGCCATCAACGGCGGCCATTGATCAGATTCTATACTGTCTTCACCGTCGTCATGTACGTGTATTTAGGGCCGTCGGTCCAGTCGCCGGCGTTTTCGTCTCTCCCCAGCAAATGGCGGAAAGCCACGTACGGCATCGCCCTCCCCAACTTCCTCATCGCTGGGTCATTGTACTCCCATACCGCCGCCAAATTGTTCTTCATTCGATTTTTCCGCAAATCTCGGCGTCATCTGCACAAACATACTATCATAGGCTGGAGTACGTGGACTATCCTCATCGTCCTGGCCAATGGGGCTGCGTTTGTTTTGGCTGTGGGTGTGCCTATATTCGCGTACCTGGTAAGTATCGCGGCCAGTTTATTCGCCAGTTGGTACACGTATGGCATCGCGGGGGCATTTTGGTTGTATGATGCCTATCACGGGATGGATAAGGGGAGAGTGAAGGGCGTCTATGGTATGAGGGCATGGACGGGGAGTCCAATCAAGACAGCCGTTAACGCAGCCACGTTTGCTGCGGGAGCCTTCATTTGCGTTGCCGGTATGTGTTTCTCCATGTTTCATGAGTTTGTCTTTCCAACGGCAATTTGGATGTATTTGTGGTGCACCAACATGCGCAAGTTTCTACAGCTCATGGTTGATGACTCGAGTCACTTCTTAGGAACGTACGTGTCGATCAAACTCATCGTCGACGCGTACAACAGCGGCACAGTTGGGGCCCCTTTCGCCTGCTAACACGACAAACAATCCGTCCCACGCCTCCACTTCCGCTGAGGTTCACAGCTTCTCCCATCCTCTCCTCCGCGTCTATCGTCGCCATGCACCGTTATCTGATCCTGAGTCTTGAATGGCGGTAATTTTGAGTTGCAGACTAGACTTAGTTTTCTTGCTGAATCTACAGCCTGTTTCTGCGGCACACGTCTCTTGCTGCTCGCTATAAACGCTATACCAGTAACGTAAAGGAGAGAGTTCCCTGTCTCCTGACATACAATGCATCCAATCCGACACATTAGTCGATCTCTGCCACAGGATGATGCAGTGCAGTCAGTGTACGAGCATTGCGGAATACCCTGATCAGCCGTATTCCTCCTCATCCTTCCAGAGTGAGTCAGTTGCACTTTGGAACGAACTTGTCTGTTCTACTGTTCGAAGAAACTGTGATTGAGAATTTTGGCGATGTTTGACACCCCTTCGCCGAGGACTGCTGGCTGGCCAGTCAGTGGCTTTACTCGACCCTTCCATCAACAGGAACCAGACCCCGACGGACGTGGTCAGCCGGGCGCGCGCTCGAGGGCGGCGCTAACGTCAGTGCTGAAGTAGATGGCCGACCGAGCGTCCATCTATGCCGTCACAGTCTTCAGGGTCGTCGAATCTTCTCGTCGCTCACGAAGACGATGTGAACCGACCCTGTCCGCCCTGGGGGCCTCACCTCACGGCGTTGCAGCGAAGGGAGATATATATATATTCCAACGTAAGGTGGCACGACTCTGCTCTTGTCAAAGAAGGAGGTTTCACCCCGGCAAGCCGACAGACCACATTATCCCGCCCCTCCGCTCTCGACTTCAGAACATTTTTCTTTCCTTTGAGCTGCGACTGTTCTCCTCCTCTGAGCCCCGCCTACAGGCCCACAAAGCCCATTGAATGACCCAGTTCTTGAGCGAGGCGGATAACTAACCTCGCAGCCAGATGGGGAGGTCATGAGGTTATGGGAGTATGCCTTGGTCCCTCAAGACGATAGACCAATATCCATAATCTCTCGATGCGGCCGAAGCTATCCGGTGACGTGAACCTTGGACGCGAAAACTGAAAGAAAATGAAAGGGGGACTGAAGCGGCACACACAGAGTGGGAAAGCAAGAGACGGATGAGAAGCTTGAGTGGTATGAGGGCAATCTGTATGCACTCTAATCAGACCAAAGTCGTACTCTCTCTAACATGATAGTCGTTCTTCAGCCGAATGCAGCGGGCGTATTGCATCTAGCTTCCAGCCCTGGATTTCCATCCATCATCATTCCCTTTGGGGCCTCCAAGGTTCGTTCCTCTTTCTTCCAATTCGTCGTCAGCCCTCCTGATTCCTGACCTCCGTCCCTTCTCAGCGACCCAAAAGATCTCAAGGCAAGGGCAGCCCGGTCATCATGATCTTGGGCACCTCTCCTTGGGTCAACTCCCTCCTGTTGTTGCCGGCGTCGATCTCCTTGACGACGGCGCCGCTGGGGGCGACAAAATTCTTGCCCTTGGCCTCACCGACCACGTCCTCGGGCATACCCTCGCTGACGCTGTCGTGGTGCTTGGCGGTGCTGCCCTTGGGTCGCCACGTCGATACGGCGGGGATGTCGGCCTTGAAGCGCTCGACCTCGGTGCCGTATGCCTTGGGCGTAAGTTTCATCAGTGTGTGCAGCGGCACTTCCATCCAAGGCGATTTTTCCTGGGGGATCTCCATAAAGTATGCGAATATGCAGCGGACAATTGCTTGGTGACTAGATCATGAATCAATGCGTGAGCAAGCTGCAGTCATGAAGGGTATAGAAGGAAAATGGCTGCATATGGGATAGCACTTCACAGAAGCCGAAAGAGGAGACGAGCTTGTTAGATGCAACGTGAAGCGGGGGTAGGAGTAAGAGTGCCAGAAAGATGCACGTACGTGATGATGATGATATTCTCACTTCGTTCCAGTTCCATGATAATGGGCTCCAGCCGGATGACCACATCGCGGTACGACTCGCCCCCACGATACCGGTAGTTGTACTTGTCGTCGTCGCGAGCTTGGAAGTCTTCCGGGTACTTCTCGGATATTTGTTGGTACTGCACGGAAACGGGACAATGGTCAATATGAAATGGATCGACACCGAGCGCTGAAGGCGATAATCGATCAAAAGTTCAACTTACGGTCATCCCGTCACAAACACCACTGTCCAGCTCATCGAGGGCTTTCCATTGCAACTTCTCCCAGCCGAGTTCTTTCTGAAGATACTGTGCCGTCTGGCTCGTCCTCTTCAGGGTCGATGTCCATATAGTCAAAGGAGCATCCTTTGGCAATCCTGAACGCTTGACCAGCTCGGGCAGCATTCTCGCGTACCGTTCACCACGTTCCGACAAGTTGGCATCGCCACCGATCTTGCCTTCAAGGTTGTATTCAGACTCGCCATGCCTGGATAGCCAGATGCTGCGAGGCTTGATGTGCAAATTAGTGAGGTAATACACAAGTCGAGATTGCAGATAGTCTTGGATGAGGTTGATCACCACCCGTGCGCCAATGTTAATGATCTTCACGTAGGTGAGATGCTTTTCTGACTCGTCTATCGTCTGGTACACCTTCTCGTAGTTCCGAATCCGGTTACGGAAGTCTTTCGCTGCCACCTCGGGGTCCTGGCCAATATAATCAGGTGATGTGGTCTTCACCTCGAGGATATTGGCCATGATAAGATCCTCGTCGTCACATTTGCTCTCGACGAACAGGTGGAGAAGGTTAGCCTCGACGATCTTGTCGTGAATCCATTTTCGCCGCGACTTGGTAGAGTTAGTTGCATCAAGGAGGGCGACTTTGTTGTTCTTGTCTTTGAACCACATCAGCATGTCCGCGACGGCGGCCTCTGCTGCGGCACGGCGAGCCTTCTCGCCTTCGGCGTTATTGACGTCGAAGAATTTTGCATCTGGGTGCGGGTTGTCCGTTCTTCTGTATTTGCCGACGTTGAACACCTCGGCGTTGACCGATGTCCATCGAAGATATCTTTTGACTGGGCCACATTAGGGACAAGGAGAAAACGTTGGCGGTTGATATACAGACCTTTGCCAGCAATCAAACTCTTGCCCCGAGCAGGCAAGCCCACCATAACCACCACGATCTGAGTAACATCGGACTACATCCAAGTCAGTCGATGTACGACCAATCACGCGAATCGGAAAAAATCAAAGATGGCGAATGAGCGACGTCATACTCGATCGCTTTCAGGGATGCACAACCCCATCATCCTAAACAAATGCAAATGGCACAAAGAAGGAGCTGGGTTGAGGCAATATTTCGTTCCGTTGGCGTGGCACCAGGGGCAGAAGGACGCATGTGTCGAACACGAAGTCCTGCCGTGCCTCGCGCTCCAGGCGTAGGCAAAGTCTCAAGAGGAAAACTCGGGCGTGCTCACGTCTTGGCCCATCCCAGCAATATTGGGCCGGGAGATCAGAAATGGGTTGAGGCAGTGGTCTCGCTCCGAGAACAAAGGGGTGGTCTTGTCGCAGGTTGGATCTGGGCTGGCCGCAAGCGTTGGCCCGGGAATCTTTAATTGAACGTCCCAGCAAGACCAAGAATAAAGCGCAAGCCCACTGCGTCACAGGCAGGTGCAAACTGCAAGGTGTCGAGAATCAGACCACGTCTCGTTCGGGCTAGATTGGGTGGTTTGAAGAGGAAGGCGGTTGGTCGCGTGGTGAGTGCTCGATGGTCATTGAAGACCAATGTTGCATCAGGAGAATCACTCGTTGTGTGCCTTGGGGGATTTTTTCGGCTCAACACAATTTTCTGGTCGGAGGCAAACGGCCGGGCCTGGTTCTGGCCTGCTGGTTCATGGGGGCATCTTGCCCGCTCGGAAAATCCAGGAATGGGCCTTCTGGGGGGGGAATTCGCTTGCAGATCTGCCTCTTCTCCACAGCCCAGCATTTGGGCCTTCTCGGCTTACTCCTTGCAGAAGGCCAATGTGGTGGGCGAAATAGGGGGGGGCGGTCGGTTCACCGGATGCCTGCGCTTCCAGGCGGAAGAGTGTCGAGCCTCATCCCCATAACGCAGCTGTAACTGGGCTTGTTGCCTCGGCTGTCACGGCGGAAGTGTTCCTTCGAGGATGGGAAGAGATGCTCCTCATGTGACAATCAAACGATGCTCTTGTCCGACAAAGACAAGAAAGTGATAACAAAGCAGATGCAGAGGCTGATGGAAGAGACAACTCAACCGAATACAAGGGAGTTGCTTCGACTCACATCAGATGGCTGAAGCACCCGGTTCAAGGTACTCCTGCTCAGCATGGCCAGCGGGCTGGATTGAATGAAACTCATGGTTGGGTGAGCAGGGGGTGAGGTGTGCCCGCGAGCGGTTTAGAGGTTTGCTGAGGAAACGAGGTGACCGATGTATCTAATGATCAGTATGCAACAGCGCCAGTGTCCTCATCCTTTTAAGCCTCCATTTCCCATGATATCCAGCGTCGACCAATTTGGATCCAGGTAGTTTCGTTTGCAAAGTGCGCGGTCAGAGCGGCTGCGCAACCAAACGGTGTCGGTTGCCGAAAGGTCAGCGTTTGCTGCTGTTGGACGGAGGACGACGGCGGTGCTGGGAAGAAGGGCAGAGGAAGAGGAGACGATGTGAACTGAAGGTGGTTCGGCGGTTTTCTTAGGTGCTGCTTGGTGCTGATCTCTGGGATGCTATCTTTTTTCTTTTCGCAGGCGGGACACGATTCCTTATCGCGGCGGCTTTTGCTTATCGGCGCCTATGCAGAAGCTTGAGCACATCCGGGAGAAAAGCCCAAGAACATTGTCAGAAACGATTCAGGATTGGTGAAAAGGTCCTTATGCTGCCAAAGAATATCGACAGTCATGTCTTAACTACAACGACACGCCTGGCTGGCCCAGCACCGTCCACTCCAAGGCCATCCTCCTCTACTCAATGCGTCCTCCCTTCATCCCTCGATCCTGAATGCAATCTCGGGCTCCATTTCCTCCTGTTTTCGCTCCAGAAGCCATCGCACCCAGGAAGCATCAAGCCCAAGCCTTATGAAGTAGGCTCCCGGCGAAGAGGAATTCCATGTCCGCCCGCCGACAGCAAACGTCGTTGACCTCCTGCACCGTCGTTTCCTTCACCACACCCCTGTCTATTTCGACTTGCTCGGCACACGATTCGCAAAGGATCAGCCCGCAGCCTCTTCCCTTCCCCTTTCCATCATTCAAGATCCTGAAATACTTATCCACTGTCTGGTCAGCACGACATCTCCAAGACGCAGCACGCGGGCATAGGGAGCACGTGTGCAACACCCCGCGTTTGAGCGGCGGGCCTTTGGGATAGTCGCGGGCAGACAGCTGGGCAATGTACTGGCGCCGGAGCGCAGTGGGTGGATTGGCGAATCGTCGCATTAAGTGACCTTCGCATCTGGAAATATGAAGCCGGTTGAGGGAACAGTTCACGCACATGCGTGTTGCGTCTTTGCCCATAGATCGATGCCCATGATTCGTCTCATGAAGCTGCCCAGAGGACTCGAAGACGTTGACCCAAATGACGCCATATCCAAAGACCCCATATCTGAAGTCCTCGCAAAAGTGGCAAGGCTGATCTGATGTTTCAACGTGCTTGAAACTGATTGGATGAGCCCACGGGGTGCGTATAGTGAATGGCTCGTTCTGGGATGCTAATTGTGGCGAGGATGGGGGCGAATCGAGAATGATTGGGTGTTCTCTGGAAGCTCCAGCTCCGACGGCTCGACTTTGTCGGGTTTCGATCGTTGGAGAGTGAGTGATCTGCTGTAGTGTTGGTTGAGTTGGTCCAGGGCTTTTGTGGACTGCGGTACGGGCTATTTCGAAGACATCCTCGCGCGCCAGAGGGTCCTCAACTCCGAGCAAAGGATCTCTGTTCATGTCAAGACCACTGCAATTTGTCCCATCAATGACCTTATCACTCTCTTCATCCTGGATGCTCATGCTTGGCCCCTCCAAAAGAGTATCATGTTGCCGACCAGAGTTAGGTTTGTCGCCTGCACCGCCATCAGCGGACGCCCCCTTTGTGTCGTCTGTATCGTCTGTATCGGGTTTGGTCTCGAAGCAAGTGCTATTGTTACTGATAAGGTCGTTCAAAAGCGCCCTGCCAGCACTGGACTTCAGTTTCAATGTCACTACCAGGGATAGCCTACTGTAGGTGGCAGGAGCTGAGCTTGATGTCTTGGTCTCGTATTTAGTTCGTTTGGGTTTGGGTATCTTGCGGACCGCAGGCCGACGTTTCTTCGTGACGCTGGGATAGTACTCATCGGAAGAATCATCGTCATACCACGCCATGGCTTGCGTAAAATTCGACGCAGATTTGACTCGTCGAAACTGGTAATCCTTGCGGAGATGACGTTCCTTATTGAGAGAAACGGATTCTGAACGCTTCCAAGCTGTGTGGTAGACGTCGAGGGCTTCCTGGAGCCGCGCCTTAGAGTAGACCATCTTTGGGCGAGTGCCTGGTCTCGGACGTGGTGGTGGAGGAGAGGGTTGGGGCGAATAAACAGAAGACAAATCCGAGTGAAGGTGGGAGTGGAAGTGTAATGAAGCTGAAAGTGAAAGATGGTGAAATGAAATACGTGGAGCTAGAGTACTGCAAAAATGAAAGTAACACAAGATCCGGGGTAAAGATTGTATATTTCGACGCTCAAAACTAGCTAAATGACGATATTCTGTACACATGTCAGCGTGGACCGTGATTGAGGATACATAAATCAATCAAAACAATGGTGTATTCAGATCTAAGCCTTGTCACAGGCGTTGGTCGTCAAAACATAAGCTACGTTGACCGTCGTGAATTGTAGAATAAATCATCCTTATAGGACAGTATCGGGAAAGGGACGGTGTAGCTCACCTGAGAAAGATCTAGCAAAACCAAGCTGTATGAAGACTTCGTCAGTATCACACTGGGCAGGTCTCAGAGCAAGGTATAAACGGAGATATGTATCAGGCTTGACAGTCTCGTCTTTGTTAACCTGGGTCAACTTGGACATATGCTTGTCTTTTTGAATGTGTCGGCTCATCATATGGATGACAGAATGGGGTGTGACAGAACTGAACATACTTGAGACCACCGACAAAAATTCTGTAAGACTTGATCGTCAGCACTGTTCCAAGAAGACATGGAGCGAAGCTATCAGCAGAAGCAAAGGTCAGGAAATGCATGAATGGTTGTTTGAGTTTATCTGCATCAGAGTACTGGATAAGACTCGTCATCTAGAAAATTCATCATCGAAAGCGAGGACGTAAGAGAGAAGACATACTTACTCGGGAGCCACCGGTTGCTTTGAGCTCTCCTGTTTGGAAATAGCGTAATTAGTGCACGTCGCGGTGAAAGAACATGATCAGAAAATGACATGGTGCAAATCAGTGGGCGAGGTTTTCTAGGCCTGCCACAATAGGGCATTTCCATCAAGACCGGCAATTTTGTAGCCGTGATCGGAGCCCAGTGCCATTCATCAAGAAATCCGCTGTGCCCAGGAAACAGGAGAGCCGGCCATACCTTCACAACATCTAGCATTGAAGTTAGGTCAGCAAAATCCCTCGCAAAATGTCGGACATTGTGTTCGCAGCCAGATTTGAACAATCAGATATAGCCATTTTATTTCTTCAACGGCCCGAAAGCCTCTGCCGGTAATTTCCAGCGTATATTGTTTTGTAAAATCCATCATGAAAGATTCGTTGGTCGTGGGGCGGGGGGATTGACGTACCAAGTTCTTCAAGACGACGGCGGAGCAAGCATGAGGTGTCGTGCAGGTCAGAGTTTCTTCGATAGAAGTTAGCCATAGGACTCTCAAATGGACTAATGGCTGTGAAGTAGAGATCTTGCATAATCAGACTGACGTGCGTTGCGATCTCGAGTTTCATATCCAAAAGGATCAAAGACTCTAGTTTGTTACGGTATGCAGATTCATCATTGAGCGAGAGTGAAGAACCTGGGGACGACATACCGAAGAGCTTCCTTGGCCCGCCGTTTCTTGTTTGTTGTTCTTCCTGTATTGAACGGCATCTCGACGAAGGCATCAATCAGTCTGGGGAACCTGTGGCTATATGATGAGTTGGTGATTGGTCTGTCGCGTTAGCAACGATGTTCAAATCGCCGTGCTTGCAATCTGTCCTTGGATGTGCATCTTGAGTGTTGACTACTGCTATGCCGGCTGCGGCACCTCAGTAGAGCCACGAATTCTACTGGATCTGGGACAGAGGAGGCGGTGGACTGCAGACGGTGCGAAAGAATCTGGGACGACAACAATTTTTTTTGGGTTGCTCCAAATTTGAACGCGTAGTGGTTGCTTGACAAAGGTGGAAGGTCAAGCGGAGAGGCTTTTCGGCCCCTTCAATTGGCGCATATCTTTCACTTCCCCTGTCCGTGCTACCACAGATGTGACTTCTTTGATTCATCAACGAGCGCTTTGCATTTTCCTGCTTGGGTCTTGAAGTGGCCATCAAGGATTACAAGCCGGGATGAGACTTTGGCTCGCAGAAGAGTGCTGTGGGAAAAGGCTAGTGTGGCTCAGTTCAAAGGCACCTTAAAGCAGCGTTAGCTTACCCTCTACCTCGTACTTCATGAGCAGTACCGTAGGCTTCGACTACCCGAGGCGCACTTGGAGTGCCCTGCTCCCTATGAGTCCTAGCTGCTGCTATTTTCTTCCACCCTCCCTTGGGTGCCCCCAAGATACCAATAATTGGCTGACAGAAGCTACGCGAGACTTGCCCGCCATCCCGCATCCGCTCTGGGTTCCTGCACATTGCTCGCACCCGTCCCGCCAGCATCCAGATATTCTCAACTCAGGCCACCCAGAGCCCGAGTTATTCTCCGGCCACATGCCCTGCAGGCACCCTCTTTCCCCATGGCGTCGTGAGACGACCAATTGTTCTGGGCTTGGCTTACAGGCTTCAGGGCAAAGAATAGCAACAACCCTCTGCCACTCGTAACATTCCTGTCCCCACTTCCGCAATTCGCCCTCCATGCCTCTCGTCTTTTGCCTTCGCCCAAGATTGGGATGTGGATGGGTGTTTGTCTGTCTTTATTGATATTTTCACAATCTATCGACAAAAACCTTTAACTGTTGTCAAGGAGGTGAATTGAATGACCACCATGGCTGCTGGTGCCAGGCAGGATGCGATGCCCACCATGCGCGAATGTGACTTGAACCGTGTGGGCGCTTAATCCACCAATCTCAACTTGGCGGTTGGGCAAGACTGTTTCTTCACAATATGTCCTTGTATGTTTACGTCCAGAACTGTGGTTCCTTGTCACAGTCTAGAGCTCCTAAGGCAGGACTTGCTAACAGCGTTTCGAAAGCCGACCATTGTCTGCGGCTGAACATGGCCAGGCTCAATATCAACACGCCCCAAGAACTCCCACGGTCATTATTCCTCTCCCTCCTCCACCACCGAGGGATGGCCAGTCTGCGGCCTCTCCAGTGCGCCTTGGCCATGTCCCCTTCCCACCGCCATTGAACATCAATATTGTCGCTGCGCGTGGTCTGTCGTCCCCAGGCCCCGTCTCTGCTCCATTGCTGCGCGGCCCCTTCTCGCCGTCATACATCAATTCGCCAGTACCTAGTCCACAAAGTGCTGTACCAATGGCTGCAAGAGTGTCAGGAAACTACAATGTGCCTTACGACCCGAGGGAGTGGGTGGGAGGGAGTCGACGGACGTCGTTCGGGTCAGAAACTCGAAACCCAGGTTCTCAAGCAGAAGGTATGTTGGTATTTCGTTGGGAAAGAGGTGTGTCTGACCCTGTGTGCAGAAGGGCATTCCCATCCACCTCCGCCATACTCTGCTGCTGCTGCTGCCGCGGCGACAGGCGTTGCTGCTCGTGAGGCAACCAGTGCTGGAACGACTATATCACCGGCAGACTCTACGTTCACCGCTCCTGGTAATCAATCCCAGATAAACACTCCAACCAGTACTGTAGGAGTGTTGTCACCACTTAACCAAGGATCCCATTCTCTAGGTGATAGGGGTGACAGCGGCCAGACCACGACCGACACGAACGGACCACAGTACTTCAGTCCCTCGGGGCGACCCGGTGGTTTCGACCACCTCTCCAGTCGCTTTAGTATGCCCTCGCAGCAAAATGGGTCACAGTCGAACTCTGGCTTGGGGCCGTCGAGACATCCTTTGGGGACTGCCTTGTCGATCAACACGGTGGCTGCGCAACAGAGCCTGCCTCTTGGGCAGCTCCCAGCTGCACCAGCATCGAGGAGAGCTGCTTCCGCGGACGCTTATTCTTCTCAACCGCCGCCCATTCAGAATCCAGAGGGATCATCGTCAAGGTCATCTTCTAAACAGAGAAGTTGGTTTCCAGGGATGCCTTTGCCTGGCCCGCCTCCAGGGCCACCCCCTTCGGCCTCGAGGTCTCAGAGCGCAGGTGGAGCTCGGACTCTCGCTCAACCACAGGCGGCTGGACCCAGCAATCGATCAAGTCACCGTGCTCCATTACGTGCACCTCTTCTCAGCCCAATGCCTCCTACGCCTGCAAATTGGAGGGATGAGTCCACTCATCGATCCAGCTCCAGGGCGCCGATGCCGTTACATATTGAGACCACGAACCTCGATCGACCGGGCTCGACACCCGCAGGTTTGTCGAGAAGCGCTGCTGTCCGTGTCTCGTCCGCAAAGGGTCTGCTGGAACGTCGGAAGCAACGTCGGAGTCTTCATGAGGGTCAATTGGCGGATCTCAGCGCCTTGACCATCGACACTGACCCTTGGTTCAACAACTTGAGCCCCGCCGGCATCAGCCCTGAGAACTCACCCATGTTGGGGCCGTTGGCACCAGAACGGGTCAACCCCGAAACTGCTCGAAGGGGTTTGCGAACCAGCAGCAGAACCAGGGCCCGATTCCGGTCTGGAGATTCTGACTATCAACCCCTTGATTCACCGTTTCCTCCGTCTCTGTCGCGGAGGAGTAGCCGAACATCACTCGTGCCTCCGAAGTCGCTGCCCACGCCGCCACTGAGTCAAAAGAACCCCACTTCTGCGCACAGCATCCTCCCTTCTACGGCATCTTCGGTGGCTGAACTCGCCCATGTCGACTATGATCCCTTCATGCAAGAAGCTTCGCGGCGGCATCAGGAATTCCTCGTAAAAGAGAGCCAAGCAAATACCGAGCTAGAGAGATTGCAACTTTTCATGGGGTACATTGTCGAGGAGTCGAAGGTCCGGCGGCAGCATTATCCAACTCCATTCGCTGATGGGACCTTTAACCCTGAGGAAGCGAAACAACGGCTTTTCAGTGACCCCGGGACGACTGGCCGCGTTGAGGTGCGAGCTACGACACCCGCCAGAATGCGATCACCTATGCACGGGATGCGGGCCGATCCGGCTCAACATGGCGACATGTGGCTAAAGGAGTACCGCCCAGAACTCTCACCGATTGCCAGTATGAGTAACGATGAAGTCAGTTCTCGTGGTCGTACGGCTAGCCGATGGTGGCAGTCACAAACTGGCTCGGAAACTGATCATATGCCGAATAAGATGAAAAGGTCGAAACGGGAGTCCAAATATATGGGCCTTTCCGCCATCTCCATGCAGGAAGTGTTGTCCGAGGCTGCTACACCGACCAATATCAATGAAGTATTCAGCTCGCCAGAAGGCTACGCTGATGAGAAGGTCAACCCACAGGCATTTGGCGTCTACGAGGATGCCGAGCCTCTCCCGGCGCAGGAGAACATCCTACCAAATCCATCGCCCTCTCCAGCGGGGCTCGATTTCTCACGGTTTATTACTCTGCCTCCACCATATCCGCGACACTACCCTGCGGTCAACAACAGTCATCCGAAGTTGTCAACGTATCGCAAGCTCGTCCGGACACTTGGTGACTTGAGTGAGCTACAGAATAGGAGATCGCGACATGACTTGAGCGTTGAGGCTCTTCGGACCGAACATAAGCGCAAGGTTGCTGAGGGACAGAAGAACTTTAGGACTAATATCTCAGCGCAGATCAATGAGGGCAGTATCACGTATGCCGAAGCTGCCGAAGCCGAGCAGGCACTCAAGATGGAGGAGAATACTTCGGAGAAAGCCTGCCTGCAAGCGGAGTTTGATACGTTGCAGGATGTGGTAATCAACCCGATGCATGAAATGCTTCATGATCGTGCGACGCAACTCAGTGCCCACATGACAGCATTGACAGAGCAGCTGGTGGCAGACATGCAGGCCTCGGACCTCGATCGACCACAGCAGGAGGGGGATGCCATGCCTGAAATATTGGAATATCTGACCCAGTTGAAGTGGTTGTTTGAAACACGGGAAACTGTCCATAAGGAAATCTTCGACCTCCTTACCGCGCGGAACGAAAAATACAAAGCCATTGTGCTTCTGCCATATCACCAGGTCAGCAACTTTGAGAAGATTCGCGACACGGAGGATTTCTTCAACCGCGACAGTCTCGAGCGACACAAAGCATTTTACGAAGAGGCACTGGTACGTCATCAGAATTTTGTCGATCTCGTTGCAGAACATGTTCGAGACGAAGTCCAACTGCAATCGTCCGCATTCTGGGATATCGCGCCTGGACTGCTGGATCTGATCAATAAGATTCCCGATGACTTGTATCGGATCGGTGCCATTGTGATCCCCGATGCTGAATATGCAGAGAACCCCGAATACCATCAGTTCCCGCAACAGTATCTTTTCACTTTGCTTGATCACGCGGAGAAATCGACGTACCAGTTCATTGAATCCCAAAGCAACCTCAACTGTTTGCTCCATGAAGTCAATATCGGGTTGATTACAGCAAAAAGTCGAGTCGCTGAAGCCAGGCGGGCTCGCGCCGAACTGGATGGTCCTGTATCGGGAGAGGATCCGAGGAAAGTTCGAGACGAACAAGAGAAGACGGCTACCGCAGAATTGAAGCAGCAAGTGGCAATGATTGAGGAACAATGGCTCGAAGCGCTGGGGAGTGCCCTGCAAGGGAGGAAAGCACAGGTGAAGATGTTTTTGGAAAGCGTTGGTGGATGGGATGAATCTCTACAAGCCGCTGAATAACTTGGGAGCGTTCGTTCGTGCGGGTATTCTCCAAAGATGACATTGAAACGATACCAACTGAGCGACCAACTAGTTTGCATGGATATGAATAATGAAATAATGAACGCACTTGTGCACCGTGCGATGAATGGATTGGTTGCCGCCTATACGACATAATACGAGGGACCTCTGTCTGTTCAGGAGCGTGGCTGAACACGTCATCGTCGCACTCTGCCTGTGCCGATACTACCAAGTCCCCAGACTTGTACGAAGGCCATGGAAGGGGACAATATTTAGTATTTCTGACTCCACTTTGAGCGGCCTGGAGGCTACGCGTGACCGTGAACGTAAACGGGAAGATTACAAGTGGAGTTTGCGCAATAGTGACCTGTAGGCATTAGGTATACAAGGTATACGAGAGGGAGGTGAGCGGGAAAGTCTGGGGATCGAGATGGAGAAGGCTTCCAGGGGCTTGGGTAAGTCGGCACCCCACGTGACTCGGGATACTGAAGGGGAGGAGAGTGGAGCCGGTGTCTTGGCAAGGCACCCACACCCAGGCCGGCCCAAGCCCGTCAAGATCGGCACCGGCGCGGTTTGTACCTCCTATCCTTCCTCCCTCGATTGAGCCCTCGGTCTCGATCGGCGCAAGATCATCCCTTATCACCCACGTTGCAACCTTCAGAAAAGCCCCGACACCACCCTGTTAGAACAGACTGACGTCTATTCCGCAAGGATACCGTCGCACCTGGGTCAATACAGTCAAGTCGCAACTGAGGGATCCGGTTTTATATTCTATCCTTTCCAGCTATGGCGGAACGCCATTGGTCTGTTCCAGACTCGGACACGGCATCCAACCCGAGCTGTACCTGCTCGCTGGGTGGTCCCGTTGACCACATGGCTTTTGTCGGTGGCCCAACAGGCTCTATGACGTCGATTGATGATCTTCTATGATCCCGCCTTGCCATCGAGTGTTCGGTGTGTTGATACGGGACCTGGCGCGCCCTGAAGGCGTGTTGTGAAAAGATATACAATAATGTCTTGACTTCTCTTGACATATCTAGCCCCATTTGCTTGTTTCCCTCCGAGAACCACCGGCGCCTGCTCCTGGTCCTCTTTTGAGCCAAGTCTCGAGAACAACTATAACCTTTCTCCTTTTGATCGATTTATTGCTCTTTCTAACTCAGCATGGCTGAAAATGAAAAGGCGGCCTACAACAGGCGATCGGGCGACAGTGAGCGTACCGCCACTAATATCGAAAATGTTCCTCCTCGCAAGAAGTCCTTCACGGACGTCGACATGACCAAGTTGAGCGCCGCCTTTGAGAATCCGCTTTCCGATATCCCCAAGGAGAAACTCTTGGAGGAGGTCGAGGTCTTCTGCCGAGACAACAACCTCATGGATTATGTCGACGCATTTCGCAAGGGTGCATTGATAGCTCAATCTCCCAATGCCACGGACAGAATCGTCGAGCTGTCGCCTGAAGACCGAGAAATTCTCGAACGGGAGCACACTCACCGCTGGTCTCAGCCATTTACCCTGTATTGGTTGGTCGTTATGTGTTCGCTGGCGGCTGCCGTGCAGGGCATGGACGAGACAGTCAACAATGGTGCCCAGGCACTCTATCTCAAGCAACTCAATATCACCACTAAGCGATTCAGCCAAGACATGGTTGACAACTTGACCGGTCTGGTTGTCGGTGCGCCATACTGTAAGTGCCCGAATCGTTCTTTCTTGAAAAAGACACTTGCGGTATATATGATGTTTTTTTTATTACAGGCTGACATAGAATCCAGTATGCTGTGCCATTCTCGGTTGCTGGCTCACGGAGCCGTGCAACAGAGTCTTTGCCCGTCGAGGAACGATCTTCATCTCTTGCTTCATTGCTGCGGTAGCCTCGGTCTGGGAAGGCGTTGCTAATTCGTGGGTGAACCTGTTTTTGGCACGATTCGTTCTGGGTAAGTCGAGCCCATTGATTTACTTGTCGTCCTACAACATGAAGCCATGCTAATCCTCCTCCGAGGTCTTGGAATTGGTCCCAAATCCTCCACGGTGCCAGTCTACTCTGCCGAGTGCGCTCCGGCGCCGATTCGTGGCGCGTTGGTTATGATGTGGCAAATGTGGACTGCTTTCGGTACGTTCATTACAGCAATGGACGGAGGTCTCGTTCCCTGACAGCGTTCTAGGTATTATGCTTGGGAATATCATGGGCGTTGCATTCGGCGGACTTTCCCCAAATCTCGGCTGGAGACTCATGCTCGGGAGTACCGTCGTCCTTCCGCTTATCGTCTGTGCTCAAGTCTACTTCTGCCCTGAGAGCCCCAGGTATGTATGATGAAGCATTCAAGCCTTCACCTCAGCATGCCCTTGAACAGAGACCTTTTAACCAGCCTTTGCGCAGGTGGTACATCCAGCACAACCGACCAGAAAAGGCGTTCCGCTCCTTCCAACGCCTGAGGTTCACGGACCTCCAAGCCGCCAGAGATACCTACTACACCTATGTTGGCGTGGAACTCGAACGTAAGGCTCACAAGGGCAAGAACCTGTTCACCCAGTTTATTGAGCTCTTCACCGTCCCTCGCAATCGACGTGCAACTTTGGCATCATGGATTGTCATGTTCGGACAGGTAAGATTGGTCTTCCAACTCTCATTACACCTTATTCTTGACACAAACTCCAGCAATTCTCGGGCGTCAACGTGATTGCGTACTATTCGACAACAATTTTCGTGAGCTCAGGATTCTCAACGACGTCGGCGTTGTTGGCGTCGATGGGAACGGGCATCCTGAACTGGATTTTTGCGCTACCTGCCGTGTTTACCATCGACCGCTGGGGACGCCGTAATCTTCTGCTCTTCACGTTCCCTTTCTTGGCGATTTTCCTATTGTGGACTGGCTTCAGTTTCTGGTTCCATGACACCAAAACCAAAGTTGGCATGGTTACCACAGGGATGTACTTATTTGAGGTGAGTTGAAGCCCTGCTCGATCCTCACGTGTCCTGACGGCCATTCTGCAGGTCTTCTACTCGCCTGGTGAAGGCCCTGTACCATTCACGTACTCGGCAGAAGCATTCCCTGTGCATGTTCGAGATGTCGGTATGAGCTTTGCGACAGCCACAACATGGTGCTTCAACTTCATTCTCAGCTTCACCTGGCCTCATCTCCTTACCGCTTTCAAGCCTCAGGGTGCATTTGCGTGGTATGGCGTATGGTGCATCATCTTGTGGTTCTTGATTCTCCTGTTTGTCCCGGAAACCAAGGTAGGCTTGATCAAATGCTTCGGCTTTGTACGTGATCCTGACTCAATCTTTCTAGGCCCTCACTCTCGAAGAACTGGACCAAGTGTTCAGCGTCAGCACTCGTAAGCATATGAGCTACCAGATGAAGGATGCTGTCTGGCATTTCCGGGTGTGGGTTTTGAGACAGAAACTTGAACCATTGCCACCGTTTTATCACCGGGCAGAGAAGCTGAATGAGGCGTGATATATGAAGTCATCGCTTTGTCAATGTGTTGAGTGAGGGTTTGGCTGAGTAAGTGTTTCCATAGCAGGATTCCGTTCTGGGGTAGATTTGTTGCTACTGCTGAACTATTATCCGAAGTAAGCCTGCCTGGGCCAAGCATAAATGGTGTGAAAATGCTGGGCAAGTAGAGAATTGGCATTGGAGACAATCTGGGTCTAGGACCTTGCTGTCGACCCATTCCGAACCTGCCCGACGGCTGTTGTTCGGGCTGATGTTTCCCGAGCTCAGCGGGCGGAATTTACAACGATTGTCAACAACCCTGCAGCCTTTCTCGAACTACATGTCCGGTACTGAAAGTCGGGGAGACTTGCCAATCCCCGATACATGACATGGGAACAGTGATTGCTCTCTTCTTGCATGCTTCCAACTCTCAGCCTCGCCGGCGCCATGTGATGTCACGTGCAGAGGATGGCCCACCGGAAGAAGTCGGGACCAAGAATCCCTCGGCTTGCCGTCAGTGTGTCCATGCGCTGCGCAGTTTTGCCCCTCCATCCCTCCACCCACTCAACACATCCCTTTTGCATGTCGCTCATTTGTAGAGGGAATCGACTCGGATCGACTGTCTGATGCGGAGAAGCATCCACTGCCCGTTTTTCCACTGCCATCATCTCCCGCATCCGGGCCACCAGGGGCCAGACAATGATGTTGACAATGCTTTGCCCTGCTGCTACCAGTACCTTCGAACCACCCGATATGGGGCTGTCGGAACTGACAGCAGTTCTCTCTGCTTAAAAACCACGGGCTTTTCCTGAGATATCTGGCTTCTGTTCTTCCTTCGAGATATCTGTTTCTACTTGATCCATTCTTGTTGCTCGCCTAGGCTTCTGGATCCCCAAGTTTCCGTCGGTTCCTGTTCCTCTGACGTCTGGCTTCCATTCTACCGAGGGCCAATACACCCATCGCGTGCCCTACACCACCCGTTCCGATTTCTTAAGACTCAAACGTTCTCTTTCTACCCCAATTATCTGTAAGAGCAGGAGCTGCAAACATGGCAACCAACGGAGATACCAATGGCCAGACCACTGGCACTGGCGAGGAGAAAATCAACACAGACATCATCACCCTCACTCGATTCCTGACGGAAGAACAGACAAAGCACAAGGAAGCCACCGGTGACTTTACGTCAGTTGGCCAATCTATTGCTCTCGCATATAGTGTCTGAAGGCTAACGTCATTTGTGTCTGCAGGCTGCTTTGCCATGCCCTCCAGTTCTCCTTCAAATCCATCTCCTACTATATCCGCCGTGCTTCATTGATCAACCTCACCGGTCTCGCTGGTTCTTCGAATACGACAGGCGATGATCAGAAAAAACTGGACGTAATTGGCAATGACCTCTTTGTCGCCGCCATGCGGGGATCCGGAAAGTGCAGAGCGCTCGTCTCGGAAGAGGAGGAGGATGTGATATACTTTGACGACAGCAAGGATGCCAGATACGTTGTGGCCTGCGATCCCATTGACGGATCGAGCAATTTGGATGCTGGTGTCAGTGTGGGGACCATCTTTGGGATTATGAAGCTGCCTGACAGCGTCGTTGGCAAGAAACCTTCCCCAGAGGACCTGCTGATGCCGGGCACAGAATTGCTGGCTGCTGGGTAAGTTGATGCTTGACATACGATACGGTGAAAAGGTTGAATCAGTCCTGACGGAAGCAGGTTCACGATGTATGGCGCCTCCGCGCAACTCGTCATCACCATGAAAGGTGGTTCTGTCAATGGATTTACACTGGTGAGGAGACCTCTTTCCCTCTCTTAGATATACACGGCAAGCTTTTCTCGTACTAATCTGGACGGTACACAGGACAATGCCCTAGGAGAGTTCATTCTCACACATCCCAACATGCGCATTCCCAAGAAGCGTGCCATCTATTCCGTCAACGAAGGAAACTCTCTATACTGGACGGACAAGACGAAGGCATACTTTGAGTCGCTCAAATACCCCACCGAAAAGGGCGGCAAACCATACAGCTCCCGCTACATCGGGTCCATGGTTGCCGACGCATACCGCACTTTACTGTATGGAGGCATCTTCGCATACCCAGCCGACAAGAAATCCCCCAAAGGGAAACTGAGGATTCTGTATGAGTGCGCGCCTATGGCATTAGTGATGGAGAATGCCGGTGGCATGGCAGTTAACAGCAACATGGACAGGATGCTGGAGGTGAAGCCGGAAGGGATCCATGACCGAAGCGGAATTTTCATGGGGAGCAAAGAGGAGATGGAGAAGGTCATTGCGGCGCACAAGTAAAGTAGGGGTAGCTTGGAACAAAGCAGGCAGCATAGGCGGATGAGATGGGGCCTGGGAAGAAGGCGACACCGGGCCGACAACGACCTAACAGGAGTTGCTGAGTGGAAATTGACTAACAATCATGGAATGGATTTGGTCTATTGATGGTATATGTATTACCTGTCATGTAGCGCATGATCTACGTACGAGAATCAGGAAACCAGCATTGAGATACAGTTGCTTGCTCCCTATTTCCATCTCCTCTCTTGCTACTATCCGAGCTAGAGTGGTAGACCCCTCGATGGGCGGATGAAGGGACCTGTTGACCGACATCGGGATCTCATCTGCCTGATCTGTGTTAACCTGGATGGATGGGTTTCAGGGGCATGACAGTAGTCCCAAGAGCGCTCGTGTTCACGGGCTGGATGCAAAGAAAGACTGGACAAATACAACTCCATATCAATCATCGGACTATATTCTTGGATGTGTTAGACCCCCCTTTTGGGTTTTTCGCTTATCCGCCACTTTTCAAGACAATGCGTTCACCAACGTGTCTCTCAACTCCCTGATCGCACCCGCAATATCGTCCACGGTCTCGTTCAGCAGCTCGTCTTTGGTGTCGGCAGCGGTATTGCTGCCCCCCCTATCCCCACTCATCCTCCCCCCGGCCGTGGCAAACCGTCCGTATCGCAGGTCACTCAGGTTCCCGACCGTGTCCTGACTCTGCTGGCGCAGCACATCGATTTGGAACTCCAGATCTGCAATCTCGGCTACGAGGTCGTCGCCTGCGGTGGCCATTGCGGCGAGGAGCGTTTTTGTCGAGTGGTTGTGCTTTGTGGTCGGTGTGGGCAGGGTGTTGCCGAGGGGCTGTCCGTTGTGGAGGGCCGTGTCGAAGTGCGTCTCCTCTTCCTCGTCATCCACATCACTGTCCGCTGCCTCATCGGCGTTCTCATTGTCGTCAACACCCGTCCTTTTCCTCTTCCTGCCCCTCTTTAACCCCTCTTCCCTCATGATCTGCCTCCCCAGCCTCGCCGTGAGCTCCACGCTGCGTCGACACTCGTCGTCGATCCGCCGCCTTACGTCGTCAATGACTATGTCCCTCTGGAACTGCAGCTCTCGGTACAGACGCTTGAGCTCGGTCGGGTGTAGCCGTGCCGAGGACGCACTGGGCGGCAGAAGTGCGAGGAATGATTTATAGGGTAAAATTGTCGGGAGGGGTGAAGGGTGGAGGAGGTACGATGTGAGGATCTCTGACTCGGATGGTGTTTGGGGTGGCATGGCTCGACTGTGTGTCTTGGTTTATCTAGCCAGCAGTTTGGCGTCCTCTGTCGTAGTTTGCTGCGAAACCTCGGCCTTTTGCCCGTCCCCTTTTCTCAACCCCTGATCACGGGAATATCAGGATGATGTCGTCGTCGTCGTTGTTTCTCGCCGAGGAAGTAGACCCGCCCCTACTAGTTGTTTCTCTCAGGGTAGTTCAGTGATAACCAACCCCCTGAAACGGTAGCCTTGCCGATAGAAATGATGGCTCCTGGCCCTGCTCTCTCCAATTGACTTTGAAACAATAAGCCAGCAGCGGGAAAGCACTTCCTGCTTGTAAATTGAGGCTGTTCAATCTCTTGTCAAGCAGCTTTGTAGAGCCTGACAATCCTGGATGTCGCTGGGTGTCTGGTTTCAAAGGGTCTTTGTCCGTTGTAATTGCAAAGATTAGGTCTCGTTCACGAGGCAGTGGAGATGCCCGTGTTATTCACAAGAATAGCTCGATCGTAGCAGTGGTCACAGAATCACTGGAAAGCAACCTTGTGGTGTTCTTGGGTAGCAAACGCGTGTAGCTGTGAAATATGCTTTAGCTACTCCACAAATGCAAGACCGGGACATGAAAGCACTGGGCTGTAGGCTTCCTTGCTCACCTTGTCTAGCCTTCTCCAGACAGAAACCAACAAGATCACTCACTGTGCAAGTTCCTGCTTGAAAACAACGATGTTGTTCACCTTGCAACTTCAAACAACCCGGACGACCTTCGCGGACCGGAAAAACTTCGGATCAAGGACGCGTTCTCGCCAGCCAATTAGCGCTGGCTTCGCCTTGGCTCTGTCCCTGGCTGCTTTTGAGCACGTCGTCGCTTCTCCCTTCGCTGCGACGACAACATCTTCTTCAAATCTGTTCTCTCCTTCTCTGTAGTCTCTTTCTCTCTCTGTCTCCAGACCTCCTCAGCCTAGTTGACCGTGTTGACAATATCATCTCCTTTGTGAGGGGTTCCGCCGGGGTGTTGTTTCTTCTTTCACTTCTTTTCATCAATCCCGTCTCGAGATCCTCCTTTGTCTCGAAGTGGCCGATTTCGCCCTTCGACCAGTCCATCATTCACATGGCTCCACCGTCACAGTCACAGTCCAATGACAACAGACCACTGTACCATAAAGACGAGAAGGCGCTCTGCTTTCATGGTGAGATGCTCTATGATGCCAAAATCACAGATGTAGAAAGATCAGATCCCGACGACGAGACATCGCCGTTCCATTACAAGGTCCACTACAAAGGCTGGAAGAATACGTGAGTCTTTCATCTCTTTATCTCTGCTTGCCTTTGTCACGTCCTTGTCCTGTTGCTGTGACAGATTTCCTGGGGCCTTGGGGCTCGAAGGCCTAGGCAGTCCTTTCTTTGATGATGTGAGGCAGATGAAGCCAGCTGATCGTGAATATCGCACATTCATGTTCGTTGTCCGTGCTGCCTCACATCGCATAAAACTGTGCATCGGAACCAGATTTTGTTTTCCCTCCCACAACAATCTCCCAAGCCATCCAGGTCGTCAAAAGCTGACCAATTCCACCTCCAGCTGGGACGACTGGGTTCCCCAGGATCGCCTGAGGAAAATCTCAGAGGAAAATCGAGAACTGCAAGCGACACTCCGTCATCAGGCCATTCTCAAAGCGAATCCCAAAATGGCAGGCAAGATCCGCAGAGGACAAGGCTCCGACATTGGATCTGGCAGGGGATCAGAGGAGCGCACGTCTTCTGTCCCTGCTGCCGGTGGTAGGGGATCCAAGCGCGCAAGAGACAATGATCTGGAAAAGGTTGGTGACGATTCCCCGTCGCACAAACGCACCCGTGTGAATCCCCATGTGACCCGTGATGATGATGATGATGATGATGATTTTGAACCCCGTCTGGATACGATCCCCTGGACCCCTGGATCACCCAAGAACAAGGATGCCCGGAGAAACGTTGAGAAGGTAAAGGAGACACCCGAAGCTAGCACAAGCATTGCCTCTCAACTTGGAGATGTGGACGACAATCTGGACCAACTAAACACTGAGGAAGACCAACCTGTAGCCAAACCTAGCCCTGGTATTCAACAGCGACGTAACGATGATATCGACTTGACGCAGTTTCTTTATGTGCCGCGCAAAGCGGCTCTCAAAGCCACGACTGCTATCGCACAGTCAAATTCGAGAACTGTCCAACCTCCCATAAAGAATACCAGGACTGTCAGAGGGAAAGGAAAAACCAAGGTCGGAAAGACTAGTGCAACCAAAGGACCGAAGGCTCAGAAGGCTTTTGGCTCCATTCGAAGTGCTGAATTGCCCTCCAACACAGAGTCAAAAGCTGAAGGTGCAGAGACCAAAGAGGATGCCAATTCTGTCAAGAGGAGCGTTAGAGCCGCAGCCGCAGCCGCAGCCTCTCTCGCCAAGTCCAAATCTATGCTCACGTCAACAATAACGACAACATCCACGTCCATTCAAACAGGCAGCGACGACGAAAGCAATTCTTCAGAGTCCCCGCGGTCTTCAGCAACTCCAGAAGCAGTGCACAGCAAGAAACTCGGAAACATCAACAGACAACTTCGCAGTTCGAAGGGTGGCATGGCGTCCCAACCGCAGCTGCTATTACGGCCTTGGAAAATCAAAGACACCACGAACTACACAGCCAGCGAAGTTGAAGGATTAATTGCACTGTCTCCACCCGAAGATGAGCCAGAGTTCCTGAGCCAGAGCTCTTTCCAGGTTTCCGTCAAACACAAAAAGATGTACAACGCGCCACTGATCGGCGGAACCACGTACCTTGAAAAGCACGCCATCGACAACGAGCTGAGAGACGCGCGAAGAAATGGCAAACAGTACAGCTTGGCATCACGCCGTGGACAAACACAAGAATTGCCTCCTCATTTCGAAGAGCTGCCTTCCGACATCGATAGTGATGGTGATGGTGAAGATCCTGGTGCCTTTGAGGTCGATCCTCCTGGATCAAACACGCCGCTCGATGCTCTCAAGTACCCCAATCGCCTCATCGAGAAGATCAACAGCGATGGCGACAAATTCCCTCTCGGCTGGAGCGAGGAACACCTCAAGTGTATCCCCGACAGTGGTCTTGTCGGCATCCGTGAAGAGCTCCTGGCCAAATTGCCATACAGCGTGCTTGAGAATCGGCCCCACTGGGTTCTCAAGGAAGTTCCCAACAGCGCTCCTTTCTGGGACCGATATGAGCAAGAAAATGAGGGTGATATCATCAAAGGGTTCATCGCTAAGGCCAAGAGAACGTCCACTGACGACCACCATGCTCTCCACGTCCTCGCCAACGTGGCCACCGAGCAGGCCTTTGAAGCTGCGGCGCAAGCCAGTCGTTGCATTGGCACGATCACCGCCGATGACATTGCAGCTGCGGCGCAAGCCAGTCAGCCTGTTACGATCACCTCCCATGACCTTGACCTTGAAGGGCGCTCGTGCAAGAGATGCATCAGATATAAGGTGAAATGTGACAGGGTGAAGCCCATCTGCCATCGCTGCAGATTAGCGGGTCACTGCTGTGACTGGTCATTTCCGCCCATCGAGGACACCCACATGCGACGTGGTAGTCTTTATGACATACAACAGGAGCTGGCGAACTTGGCTGTTACCGGAACCATCACAGGCTTGGATGTTCTGGCACTCGCCGCAGAAGTGGTCGAAGCCGGACTAGCGAATCTCAACTAAAATCCCCCATCAGGACATTCATTCCAGGACTCAGGACATAGGACACGCCTTGCCCCAATGCAATCACTCGCCCGTATCACACGTTTCCTTATTCATCATTTTGACATTGACAAACAAATGCATGCGTTACCTATTTGCTTACTTGACTGCACAGGAAGACGCGTTCTACACCCGTCCATCCGTACGCATCAACGTCCCCGACCACTTGAAGAATCTCCTTGTCGACGACTGGGAGAACGTCACGAAATCCCTTCTTCTCGTCCCCTTGCCGAGCAAGGCTCCGGCGAACTACATCATAGACGAATATTTCAACTACGAGAAAATGAATCGCCGCTTGTGTTCGCCCGACGCGGACATCCTCGAGGAATTCTGTGCTGGGTTGAAGATGTACTTCGAAAAAGCGGTTGGCAAGATCTTGTTGTATCGCTTTGAGAGAAGTCAACTGGCAGAGGCAAGTCATTCCTTTGCGTGATAACCCCCTTTCGCATCCTCATACTAACCGCTACACCGTGAACAGGTTCGGAAACTCTGGGAGTCTGGTCGTCACAAGGAGTGGGAGGGTAAGGGTCCTGGCGATTGCTACGGTGCCGAGCATCTCACACGAATGATTGTCAACCTTCCGGAGATGATTGCACAAACGAATATGGACGCCGATGCCGTCCTACGCTTGAAGACCGAACTCAGCAAATTCGTCGTCTGGCTGTCGAGGAACAGTGAGAAATATTTCTGTGCAAAGTATGAGAAACCAAGTGCGGAATACCTCGAGAACACCCAGTAGGATCGGGAGCAGGGAACAAGATGACCCCGACCTGGATTGAAAGAGCTTATCACTGTGACTGGAGATATTGCCGACCGCACACTGTATGGAAGCATGATTTTCTTCATTGGGAGGCAATGGGCGGTCTTGGATTGAGAGGGAAGCGCATGGCTGTCGGGTTTCAAAGCTCCCAGCACAAAGGGGCTGCATCATAGCAGTGAATTACGGAGTAGCTGAGAGGTATCTCACTGTGCTGGGTACTCAGGATGATAGTGAGCATAGCATGAGGTTCAATCTTCCTTGGAGATGGAAATCTTGGCATGGATTTCGATTTCGATTTCATTTCATTTCGCTTCGTTTCTTTTCCTTTTTCAGACGCCGAACCCGCAGCGAGCGAGTCAGGCATTTTCTCTCCAATTCTCTCCAATTCCGTTGCTTCGAAGAAGTGAAAGACAATCTTTTGCTTGTTCCTGACACGCGATCTTCTTTCCCACACAAACACTGATGCCTCCTCTCTGAAGCTGCTGTCGAAAGGTATGTGTGCATAGATGCTGTCCCTGCCCCTCCCTCGCGCCTCTTATGATGAGAATCCAGCTGGCACCAGTCTGAGAAGACTTGTACTCTTTACATGCGGATCAGCTTTCTATGGCCTTGAGCCTGCAATCTGAACATTCCATCCCTCCAAGCTACAATTCACGGAGATGAATTCGTGAGACTTGAGACTGATGCGTGTTGCCAATACAACAGGAACCCTGCGCTCTGAAGTCCTCGAACCACAACCCTTTCCTTCCACAATGGTCCTCCACAATCCCAACAACTGGCATTGGGTCAATAAGGACGCTGGCCCCTGGGCCAAAGATTATTTAGACACCGAAGTCAAGAAGGTCTCTGCGGAAGAGGATGGCGTGTCGGCCAAGATTACCAGACTGATTTCGATGGATGGTGATGTCGAAGTGAGCCAGCGGAAGGGCAAAGTCATCACAATCTTTGATGTTGCGTTACAGTTAGAATATGAAGGTACGAGTTTACAATGAGCAAGAAAGTGAAACAGATAGCTAATCCGTTACAACAGGCAAGACCCAAGAAGGAACCGATGTCAGTGGAAGCATCAGAGTCCCCGAATGTGCATACGACACGGAACCTGACGACTACGTGGTATGTCATTCGCATGGTGTGCCAAAATTTGCCTGGACCCCAACTGACAAACAACCTTCGGCAGTTTGATATTGACATCTACTCCGAAAAGAAAGAGAAACAACCCGTTAAAGATCTCGTTCGATCGAAATTGGTCCCTCAACTTCGAGAAGTGTTTGCCAAATTTGGACCTGCCCTGATCGAAGAGCATGGCAAAGACCTTCAGCACGCGCCTGGCTCTAACCCTTCGAGTGGCTTCGCGACTCCCACGTGGCACCCCGAAAAAGAACGCAAGCCTTTGTCTCCTGCACCCACCACAACCTCCACGAGTGGCGGATCTTCCGTCAACACGACCACCGTCACAGCCACGGATGAGTTTCGCACAACGGCCGAAGAGATGTACCAGACCTTTACCGATCCCCAGCGACTCGCGGCCTTCACACGGGCCCCCCCGCGGCTCTTCGAAGGCGCCAAGGTCGGCGGAAAGTTCTCCATCTTCGACGGCAATGTCACTGGGGAGTTTGTCGAATTACAACCTCCGAAGAAGCTTATCCAGAAATGGAGACTAGCGCAATGGCCGGAAGGACACATGAGCACCCAAGAAATCTTCTTCGACCAGAACGATGTCGACCGAGTAACCAACATGCGCGTAACATGGACTGGAGTGCCGGTGGGACAAGAGGAGGTGGTGCAGAGGAATTGGGAAGGCTACTACGTTCGCAGCATCAAGCAGACATTTGGGTACGTCCTGCAAGTTGGTCGAGGTGTTTTTGGACGCCGTGCTAACCATGTTGCCAGCTTCGGAACCATTCTTTAGGTTGCTCCTGCAGACGAAGCCTTCACGCTGTACTGTTAATAAAAAAGCAAGGCGACCGGAGTGATGAGGATCGGCCAGCAATTGCATATTAGAGGTCACGGTGTACCATTCTAGAATTTCTCGGGGCGGGAAAGCCTACGAAAACGAGCCCACGCACGGACAAGATTTGATAACGACTGAACGCAATGTTACACCAAAGAGTAAGAAGATACAATGACTTGTTTTGGATGATTTCTTTTGCTGCATTTTCCAGGTCCCCATTTTCTTCCCACGGTCCACAGGCAGCGCCAATCCCGGCAATCGAATCGTTTGTGTGTATGTGAGTGGCAGGGAACAGGGGACAACGCGATGGCAGGAAACAAGCATCATGATATTCGCAACAAGTTTCCCATACGTCATTTCCCCCCTTTCAGCCGTGCGCCAGCTTTGATCATCGACGTGAAGAACAACTTGCACCGCCACACTTCGACTCCTCCCAAGTCTGTTGTTTATTGTGCTTCATCATACGTCTACGATTCTCGCTCATCGGATATTCACGCTGTTGGCTTACCGCTGCTCCTCAATCCTGATTCGTATACGCCCAGCGTGGGTAGATTTGAAGCCATTCTAGACGCTAGAATACCTCCTTCTGATTGTGTGATTGTGTTGCCTGGGAATCCAGAGCACCAGCGGCCACCATGGCCGAACAAACTGTTTCCGAGGCGGCCACCAAGGCCCAGACGGAAAATGCAAACGAGACAGATCTCACCAGTATCCTGAATACAGGCCAACGTGCTGATCTAACGCTACTCATCGCCAACGTCACCGAGTCAATGCGCAAAATGATTCTGGACAATTTCAGCTCAACGGCAGGACTTGATAAGACGCTTCTGCGAGAAGGCATGACCGAGGAGGAGAAGATGATGAGAGTGGACCCAGCAAAGGTCGACGTCTCTGCTTATGACCGTGAACGGAAAATGAAGGCGGAAATCGACAAGGACCTTGCCACGCTGAAGATGAAGAACCTTAGGAAGACCGCTCTAAAGGCCTTTGACGAATGGCGCGAGCAAGTCATCCTGCGGGTCGGCCAAGTTGTCAACAGTGAACACACTGCTCAAGAACAAGTTCGGAAGGGTGCCAATGCCGCGTTGTCAAAGCCCCAGGCGCCCATAACCACTGCCAGGGTCATGGAGGCTGGGTCGAGGGTTGTCAACCTGAAGTTCAAAGACGTGTTCCCACCCACGAAAACGCCATTGACAAAGCTCCCTATGGACAAGCGGACGCTGGTGCTTCATTCTCTGCTCTTGCTGCTTCTGTCCCTGGAGCACTACAATGCCTATTCTCGCATTCTGTTGCTCAACTTGACGTCGTCACTAAAGCTGCCCCTGAAGACCTTTGAGCAGGACGAGTACACCACGGCCAAAGGTCTGCTGGAAGCAGCTAAGGAGCTGACTGCCGACGAGGAGAAGATGAAGAAAATCAAGGAGAATGAAGAGACTCGAAAGCGAAGAGTTCGTTATGCGACAGCGGCCGGAGCTGCGATCCTCGGTGTCACAGGCGGCATGGCAGCGCCTCTTGTCGCTGCAGGCGTCGGCTCTGTCATGGGTGGACTTGGACTCGGTGCTACATCCGCGGCTGCTTACCTGGGATCTGTAGCAGGAAGTGCCGTCCTGGTTGGCGGGTTGTTTGGTGCATATGGTGGACGGATGACGGGGCAAATGATGGACTCGTATGCGCGCCAAGTCGAAGACTTTCAGTTCCTGCCTGTCCATGGCAGCAGCGACAAGAAGACCAGCGAAGACGAGGCCCGAGGCGCACAAGAGGCGAGTGAGCATGACCACAAACTTCGCGTCACTCTCGGCATCTCGGGTTGGTTGACTGAGAAAGAGGAGGTGGTCAAACCATGGCGTTCTCTGGGTACAGGTGCCGAAGTCTTCGCACTGAAGTACGAACTGGAAGCACTCCTGAATCTGGGGAATGCAATGAACGGCATGGTTCAGTCGGCCGCTTGGGGATATGCACAGAAAGAAATCATATCACGGACCATCTTCGCCGAACTTGCTGCGGCGATGTGGCCAATGGCCCTGATGAAGGTCGCCAGAGTCATTGATAACCCCTTCAGTGTTGCGAAAAGTCGTGCCGACAAGGCCGGTGAGGTTCTGGCGGATGCCCTGGTCAATCGTGCTCAAGGCAAGCGGCCGGTCACCCTCATCGGATACTCGCTTGGAGCTCGCGTCATATACACCTGTCTTATGAGTCTGGCAAAGAGGAAGGAATTCGGAATTGTTGAAAACGCAGTCATGATTGGCTCGCCGACACCCAGTGACACGAGCGACTGGAGAATCCTCCGCAGCGTTGTCGCTGGCAGACTTGTCAATGTCTTTTCAGTCAACGATTACGTGCTTGGGTTCATGTACCGCACGTCAGCCATTCAGTACGGCGTGGCTGGACTCCAGAAGGTTGAGGGCCTGAGTTCCGTCGAAAACTTCGATGTCTCGGAGGATGTCAGCAGTCACCAGCGCTACCGCTACCTCATTGGCGCTATCCTTAAGAAAATCGGGTTTGAGGATATCGACATGGCAGCGGTCGAACGAGAACGGCAAGAGCTAGTCGAGATGGAAGAGGAGGAGGAGAGACAGTCTCGTGTTGCCCAGAAAAGATGGCTGATGAGGAGGGAATCCCATGGGGGCAAGGTCGACGAGGCCGCCGAGGGAGAAGAAGAGGCCGAGGAGTTAGAAAAGAAGATCCAAGAGCAAACGGAGAAGAGCCTCGTGACGAGGGCGATCGAGTACTTCTACGTGCCTAGCGTCCCCAGTGCCAAAGATGCGCAAAAGGTCGCGAGCAATCTACAGAAGGCCGGACAAGACCCCAGCCAGGCTGGTAACGCCGCAGATCAAACGGCCAAGGACACTCGAGCTTCTACAGGGAGCTATGCCACCTACCTCTACAAACACCTACCGAGCATGCCGCATATCAACCGATCGAGTCCGAGTGCTGTTCAGAAACCCGATGCCACCAACGCCAGCAAAGTCACAGGCCAGCCGTCCAAGGCGGCAGAGGGAGCCACAAGCCAAGCACAAAGCTATGTCCAGCAAGCTTCGCAGTATCTCCCTTCTTTACCCAGCATGCCTTCCCTCTCGAGTGGCGGGAAAGTGAAATCTCAAGCACCAGTTAAGACAGCGGCCGAGCAGGCGACAGATTCTGGAAAGAAAGCAACCGAGACTGCCGCCGCGGCCGCCAAAGGCACAGCAGGCACACTGTCCGACGTAGTCACACCGACGGTCAGGAACACGTTGAACCCTAAAGACAACCCGGCAGTCAACTCCACCAAACGTGCCACGCGCGAGGCCCCCATCATCCACCAAGCCAAAGATTGCACCCCCGCTCCCGTCAAGGATAGAACAGGTGAGGTAGCGGAAGCGACGGGCACGACCGTGCAGAATACGACGCAGACCGTACAAAAGGGTTTGGACACCACGACAGACAAAGCAGGAGAAGCGGGCAAAGCAGTCGGAGGAGCAACCCAAGATGCCAGGAGAAGTACCACGGACGCTGCCCAGAGCGGAGCGAAGACCGGGCAAAGCTATACCGCCCGCGCAGCGGCATATCTCCCCAGCATGCCGAGCATGGGATTCGGAGGTGCAGGGAAGGGCGGGAAGAGACCAGCGCCACCAAAACTGGCCAAGAAATCGTCCGAGTCGAAGAAGAGCACCCCAACCCAACCGACGCATGAGACGCCGAAACTCGAGAAGACACTATCAGGAGTCAAGTCACCTCCGCCCAAGCTCGGCCGAGTCCCATCAAGCGTCAAGTCACCACTGCCACCACCCCCAAAACTCGACAGGGTCCCATCCGGCGTCAAGCTGCCTCCGCCCAAGCTCGACAGAACTCCGTCAGGAATCAAGTCTCCGCTGGCGACGCTGGACCGGACCCCCTCCGGCATGAAGTCCCCGCCGTCCGGGGGGTTCAAGTCTCCTCCTCTGCCAAAACTCGGCCCCCGGTTATCGTCGGGAGTTGCGACCCCGTCCACCTCGGTCCCAACTCCGAGCCTCATCCGGCAGGTCAGCAGCGGTGGCGGTGGTGTGAGGTCGCCGCCGCCGAAGTTGGGGCCGCGGCGGAGCTCAGCTCAACAACAGGCTCAAGTCCAAGCTCCCGCCGCGCCGACTCCCGCAGCAATCGGCGAGAGGCTCGCCAGCCTCTCCCAGGACGCCGCGGCCGCGGCTAAGCGGGCGGGAAACGCGGCGGGATATGGAGGACCAGAAGGCGCCAAACAGGGAGAGAACGCCGCGAAGGACACGGATCAGAAGAGCCCCGTGCCTGCTCCGTCTGTCCCTGGAGCTGGAGCCGGCGCCGGTACCGTCAAGGGCGCCACCTCCTCTGCGACCGAAGCGGCCAGCAAGGCCGGCGAGGCCGGAAAGAACGCGACGAGTAGCGCGCTGGAGACGGGCGGGGGCATGGTCTCTGGGCTGGGACGGGCAGTGGGATTCGGGAGAAGCTGAACTGAGCTGGACTGGAGTGGACTGTAGGTACTTACTGCATTGCCCTGCACTGCACCGCACCGCATCGCACCAAGGTCCTCGAGTGCACTCCCCCACTCCTCTAAAAAAGCTTCATCAGTACGACGAGACTGAGGGATCTATAATAACGGAAAATAAATGACGTCTGTTTTTCTTGTGGAAGGGAAACCGAGGTGCTTTGTGCTGTCTGTCTCACCGGGGGCATGTATGTACGAGCTAGGTACCACCAAACAGCTGAATAAAAGTTCGAAATACTCCAGTTTAACTATATGTACTGCATGTGCATATACGTAGGTAGCGAGTTAAGTAGGGTAATACTGTCTCCAGCATCGAGGCCGTCAGTCGGCTGTCGTATCGATCTTTATCCGTTGTTGTGGTGGTGGTGGTGGTGGTGGTGGTGGTGATGGTATCTCCGAGTAGGCCCTGATGATATATACGTCGAGATGTATGTATCTGGATAATACATACATACATACATACATACACTTATGTTAAAGTCAAGGCGATCCAACTTTTCATGAACGGCAGTACCGCTCCTCCCTCGCCCCCTCGTCTTTCTACTGTCTTTTCGCCCTTTTCTTTCTCTTCCCTACTCGTCGCGACACACTACATTCCTTATTCTCTCTGAGGGAGAAATCTTGTATCTAAGACGGACGGAGAATATGGGCATGGGCATTTATAATCGATAGGCAATAGGGCATCTTTATTCGCCAAGGAAGAACAGGGATACATACTGAGTAGGGGGAGAGAGTGAGGGCCCAAGGTTGCACATACATACATATAAGCTGAAGCAAGAACAGGATCAAGAACATGTTGGCATGAAACAAGGACAAGGCGAAGAGGATGAAAGCGAACAGACAGACACCTTTTCACAACTGGTGAATGATTGGTTGTACATAATGTAATAAGTAAGGGCTGTGTGTGTGTGTGTGTGTGTGTGCAGTGACTAAAATTTTGGCATGTATCTCCCCAGAATCCAGTCTCACTAGCCTCGCTAGCCATAGCTCCAAGTAAGTAAATAGGTAGGTAGGGGTCAACTGGATCTATTGACCTGACCTTACCTTAGCCTGCCATGACTTCCCCATTTTTGTTGTTTTGTTGTACCCTTTTGGTTTTTGGTTCCATTTTCACAGCCCCATGTTTGTGTTCCCCCCTCCCGTTTTGTTGATAGATATCCCAGGCCTTGCTTGATCAGTATACATCATACATAACATTCATCATGTCCTCTCCCTTGCAGCGAGCGTGGTCATCATCAAAGAGTCGCAGCTCACAAAGCAAATGCTCAGTAGTTGCGGCTCCACTCCGCCGTCGGCTCGTCCCCGACGAGAATGTCCAACTTGCCTTTGGCCGTCTTGACGCTGACCGAGTTTCTCTCGCTGTCACCCTGTCGGCCCACCATGCCGCCGATGACTTTCTCCACGGCCAGGTCCTTACCCTCGAGCTTGATGTCCCCGACGATACCGCGTGCGTCGACCGTGCCCTGGAAATTTGCGGGATAAGTGATGAGTTGGTCCCCAACGGCCGAGCTGTGGAACGCTTCGAAAAGGCGATTCGCGGCAATTGAGTCGACAAAGACGCGCGAATTGCCGGAGGCGATGCGGGTCGAGAGCGTGGCTCGCGACGGGGCCGACTTGAAGGCTGCATTGATGTAGATGGCGCCGCTGCCGATGTTGATGTGGGTCGCGTTGTAGACCGCCAGGGTGCCGTTCACATGGCCGTTGCCGATTTTAATGTGGGTTGAGCCTTCATTACCCGCCGAAATGGAGGGGATGTCGAGTGTCACGTTGCCATGGCCGATGTCGATATTCGTCTCGTTGCGGGCGTGGGTCAGCGTGCCGCGCAGCGCGCCGCGACCGATGAAAACTTGGGTCGTGTTGGTGTGCACTGGGCCAGGCTTGACAAAGCCCTTGCCCAGTCGGACGATGAAGGAACCAATCTCCAGGGACTCAGGCAGTTGGCTGAAATCGACCATGTGGCGAGGGGCATCGACTTCGAAACGCGGAAGAGCAAATTCGCCGATAATGTTGGAAGGGATCTGGATAGTGGCGGCAGTGTGGGTCTTGAGCTTGCCAGCGGACGGGGTGTTGATGGCGAGATGGCCCTTGTCTTCTTTGATCGTGACCTCGCCCTCTTTGTCCTCCTTGTTAGTTTTGATGTCCAGATCAATCACGACCTTGTTGGACAGCTTGGAGGTCTCAAAGACGACTTTCCCAAACACATGTGCTCCTCTGACGGAGAGGCCGCTGGCTTGAGAAGGCTCGAATTCGAAATGGGTGGTCCCGTTGAACGGCTTCCAGTCGTCAATGGGAGGGAACGGGTGCTGATGGTGGCCATCATCGTCGAACAGCTGTTGGCCATAACCAGGAACTAGGTCATTCATGCCGTGGCACGGTCTCGGAAGACCAGCAGACTGAAAACCAAAGACGGCAGCAAGCGCCTGGAAAAGCACAACGGCGCCCAAGACGGCCACGACCAGTTGGAGCAGACGGGTGGTGAGGCTGGTTCGTTTTGCTGGAGGTGCTGCAATTGCTGGTGCAGGAAGGACCTCGATCAAAGCCGCCTTTTCGTCATAATAGCCATAGGAGGTGGTCGACATTTTGATGGAGTTGGCCACACAGGCAGACACAATAGTTTCAGAGAGGATCTTCAGTAAGCAGAGGGGCGAAGGAATGGCAATGGATGGGGGCAGAGGGAAGGATTTATTAAAGGTTCCAGGATTTTGTCGAATGAGTTTGTTTGTACATATGGAAGAGAATTGAATTGAATGCTGCCTGGCGAGAAAAGCAATAATACTCCGTACCGTGTCATGTATCGCCGTCCGCCGGTCCTGATGAAGTCACCGGTGCCACAGCACAGCTGGGTGACAAGTGAGAGTATGACGCATGTATTGTACGTGTATTGGGAGCGGGGCATCCTTCCGATTGGGGACTAGTGTCGTGTGACGGAGAGCAGGAGACCGCCGGTAATTTACGTATTGTGGCGCTTGTGGCGCTGCCAAGCATTTCACTTTTCTCTCACTTCAGTGACTTCTCAGTTTTGTGCTTCAGCTTCAGTTGTACGATCGTACAGTAAGTACGGAGTACCTCTCCGTCTCTGCTATCTGCTTTCTCACTCTCACTCTCACTTTCACTCACACTTTCACTCTCACTTTCACTTTCACTTTCACTTTCACTCTAACTCTCAGCTAATTAGCTTCCTCCTGTCTCTGGAACTCTCCTATCTCTCCCTTCGGCTCCGTCCCTCCAAGGTCTCAATTCCACACATGCACATGCTTGAAGCTCTTCACCACCTTGGCCCTCCTTGCTCTCTCGACCCGCCGCTTGGTAAATGAACCACGGACTCCCTCGTCCTCTCCCTTGTCCTCGGATTCCTCCGTGATGTCCTCTGCCTCGACAAGCTTGTCCTCGTTCATATCAAAGCACACGCCGCTTTCAGCCTTGGCACCGCAGGTCGGATACACTTCTCGAGTCTCCATGTCGCAATACAACTTCTCGTTCAGACTCACAAAGTGGGGGCCTTCGGTGTCCGCGTTTTCACACAGGCGTCTTGCGCTCGACTTGGTCAACTGACTTTTGACCAAGTGCTCACTGAAGTCAAAGGGCTCCTGGCTGCTTGCAACGTCTTCTGGGGAAGTCTCGTTTGAGAGCCAGAGCAAAGGCACGGTGTCATTTTCACCGCGAGGAACATCATCACTAGTAAGGACCAACTCAAAGGTCAGCCCAGAAATCCCGATCCCCTCTGTGCTGTGGTCAATCCAGGTGCACGACGTCGACCCATTCATGACTTGATGGCCCGTCTCATAGTGCTCGAATCCGAAATGCGCCCCCAGGTTGCCGCTCAAGCTCACCCAGTTACTGTCCGTGGTCGTGAGATTGACTCCTGCCACACAAATGGGCCGAGGGCTAACATTGGTGAGATGAATCCGCTGCACTTCGGGCGGAAACGTCAGGGCATACTCGGCGCCAGTCGACATGGGCACGGTGATATAATCCCCATCAAACATCGAAGACGTGGTGTCGTTGGAGGTGTAAATGCCCAGCGCCGGCAATGGGTCCGTGTACGTCCAAGTCAAGCCTTGGGTGACGACGAGGGTTGTCTGTGCCATGTGTGGCCGGGCCATCGCTGGTGAGGCAGAATCGCTCTCGGCGCGTTTGTGCACGTTTTTGTACTTCTCCCTCTGTTCGGCTTCGAGGGTCACTCCCCTACCAACGCCCCAGCCATACCCTGCCAAAACCCCGGCAGTGATCGTGGAGAGAACCGCGTTTGTTTTGAGTTCGCCTTTCGAAAATGTTGGTGTCAGCTTCTGCAGTTCCCGCCCGGACAACTTGGCAAATTCTTCTCCTGACATGGCGTTGAGCTTTGCCCCCTTGCTGGCGCGTACCGGCTTTCCTATCTTAGCCAGGAACTCTGCGCCCGTCAGCTGCCCCGGCTTTCGGCCGAAGAGCATGCAAACCTCCTCTCCTGTGAAGATGCCCTCCTTTTTGATATATGCCCGCACCGCCTTTCCAAAGCCATTATACGATTTTACATTTGGTTCTACCGGCCCGGGCGTCGGCCGGTAGGGAATCGCCGCGGGCTTTTCCGCACCTCTGAGCACATGGAATCTTGCTTCCTCCGGAAAGGACAAGATGTCGTCGACGGTCCACAAGTCTTGCCAGTTCCTGAACTTTTTTGGCCCTGTTTGTGGCGCCGCTGCCGGTGGCGGGTGGTGAACTACACTTCCTGTCGACTCTCCGGAGGGTCGGAGTGGATCTCCGCCATAGATTACCTCTCCTTCTATCTCCTCTGATCCCGTCATCATCCGCTCCGTGTCGTCCAGCCATTCGGCCGATCCATCGATCGCTTCCATAGATGCAGGTCCATTTGGAGGAGTGTGGTGGACGACAGTGCCCGTGGAATGCTCCGATGCGAGCCATTCCTCCGAATCTGTCAGAGGGCCCCGTTCCGAACCCACTGTCCCCCCGTTCGACGATATCTGTGATGGCGTTCGAGCTTCCGAGAATGACCCGGGGAAAAGCTCGGAGCCGGAACCATCTGCCGCTTCGGTCGACCACCCCTTGGAAATTGGGCCCGAGACTTCCCCCGACGAGAACGACCCTGCTGTCCCTCCGGTCGAGGAGACGGATTCGTCCAAGTACCAATCATGGGCGGTCTGTTTTCCTTTGGCATTGCTCATGAATTCTGGGTTGGTCGAGGTCGATGAGAGGGAGGAATCGGCCGAGAGCTCTCGAACTCCGCCGCGGGGTCTGCCGGGGGGCCAGTAGTCTCCAGTCATGGCGGCTGCCTCGTGCTGTGAAGGATTCCAGTTTCTGTACGCTCCTCCCTCCGATGCAGGGTGGCCTCTGAATCCTGCTCCGTCCCATGGCCTTCCTTTGTTGAATGATGGAGGCACTGAGCGCGGCCTTTGTGGGCCGAACCAAATAGGATCCAACTGCTGTGGTCCCCGCAGCCCTGATGCTTCTGATCCGGCCATGGCTCGGAGGGCTGAAGAATCCGACGCCATGCTTCCCATGGCCGAAAAATATTCGCTTGAGCCTGAAGATGCGGCCATTCTGCCTACCAACCCGACGTCTGCAGCTGCGGCGCTGCCGGTCATCACCACTGCCTCTGCGGCCTCAGCTCCGACGGCAGCGACCTCTGCGCCAACTACTGCGGCGCCCCTGGCCGCCGAAGCGGCTGCACCCATCGCAAAGGTGGTGATTTAGGAAATGTTATCTTTTTGCTGAGGACTGTTGCTTCGTCACGGGTGAGGTTGCCAGAAGTGAGAGCCCGACAGAAGCAGGGAAGATAGGGAGCCTTTTATGTGCAACATTCTGCGGTGAGAGGCCAGGACCTACCCCTTTATTCCCCAGCTCGCCCAGGCCAAAGTGTGGTGTGGTTCAGATACTTCGGGATAGTGCTCTTGGTTCTGTGCCAGACATAAACTTAGTGAGTTCATTTCATGTCTGGTTCCTAGCAAACAACCTGGAAAGTGGAGGCTTGTCCAAAGTTAAAAAGTGAGGCATCATGGTAAGAATGCTGGTTGCTTGAGGACCTCAACTTGGTATCCGATCACCAGTCATTTTCTCATCAGCAAACCAAGGGTATGAATTCTTTTCTCCTGGCATGTCAAGGACCGCTTCCGCTTGGAATTCTTCCGAGGTGCTGAAAGTGAAAGTGACCTTACCTGGTAGAGTTACAACAGGAGTCGTTTGGACCTTTCAGTGTTCGTGGCTCTACAAGGCTGTGAGATACTGCCTCTCGCCACATGACTCATGTTGCAGATGCCACGAATTCAGTTATCACGCGGGATGGCCAACGGAGATATCTGATACCTCGATACGCACTCTTTTAGTCGTCCTTGGTGGGGAGGTCTATTCACGTCAGCCTCAACCAGCTTCGGGCTCATATCTTCTCAAAGATACATAGATATTTAACATGCAGTCTGTACTCGATGTCCGTTTCCTGTTGACGGTGGCCTTTAAACACACCGTAACCAAATCTTCATGACATGATCTATCATAACTCTATTATCTGAGCGCCTGTCGCCAGGAAAGCCTCTCCCAAACATTGACGATCTATTCATTCATCCAACGGTCTCCCCTGTTGTCCCAGAGGCCAGATTCGATTTGATCCTTTGGTCCATGTCTATCTATTTGCCATCTCACCAATCCTTTGCCCAATCATCAAACTCAGCCCAGCGAAGATCACAGCTTGGCAGGTTCCGGTGGCGGACGCAAGAAGACCTTGTCGTGGAGACATGTGACACAGACCTTGCCGTCGACGAGCATCTCGCCTCTCATGTTGACGAGTGTCCTGCCGCCCGACACCAGTTCGCACACCACCCTGGCCGTCGCGCCCTCGACGACCGGCCGGAGATAGGTCACGTTGAGGTTACGACTCACGTGCCCGACGTCCATGAACCCCGGCCTCGCTCCCGCGATGAGGGTCGTCGTGGTCAGGTTATCCATGATGGTGGCGGCCGCACCACCGTGGAGCTTGCCGCCCTTGTTGCAGAGGTGCGGGAGGATGTCGAGCTCCCACTCTGTCCGGGTGGGTGTCACCGAGATGCACCGCACGTTGTTCCGCAGCGCGTACGCGTCGAAGCCGTCGAAGTTGGGGTCCGCCAGGAAGTTCTTCTGGTACTCGATCACACGGTCCCTAAGTGGGAGGGAGAAGTCGATCCCCTTCATCACGTACCGCGGGTCCACGGATGATGCATCGGCCCGGGTGGGATCATAGTATGCAGAGGAGCTACACGGCGGTGGTTAATGCCAAATCTCAGAGTTGCTTCAGGACGAGAAGAGTGTACGCCTACATTTGTTGGGTGGACGCTCTGCTGGTCGCCATGTTCTGTTGCCCTTCAGTTCCACCGTTCTTCTGTGAAAAATCCTTGAACAACAAAACGTGGAGTGGTCGATTGATGGATGTAACCAAGATGCCCTGGGAATTTACGGTACAGTATCCGACGCCCAATAACAATCGTGACCACAGCCGATTAAGTTGAAATCCACGAGCCCCCAGCAGCTAGCTCGGCTTAAGGGGGGAAGGAAGGCAATGTGTGTGTGTCAAAGACACGACGGAGCACGAGCAGTGTTACCGGAAAGGCGACCGTCCGTCAGCTGGATTACTGGTACGCTCTGAGCTGGATTACTGGTACGCTCTCAGCTGGATGTGGCCGAGTCAATTTGGCCGTGTCAACAACAACCCTTCGTCGTAATACACCTCGGCGACTGACTCTTCCGACAGGGATCTTTGTATCAATTAACCAGAACCCCATCAGGCTTAGAGCGTGCAACGTAATAATAACGCTTGAGAAATCGATCCCCTCCTGGCCATGTGGACTACGGGGGCTGACATCAGCATCGAAGAAGAAATACCATAGTAAGTTCTCGGCAGCTTCAAACCATTAGTTACAGTATTATGTACTCAAGCTCTGGGGCTGGTTGAATATGGCCATGCAGTCAGTGAGTGAGTCGCAAGGGGACTTTCACAACACCCCCGGATCATGGCTTGATTATTATGTACTTGACGCACTGCAGAGGAGGAACCATGCCCTGGCTAAAATGAGTGGACTACGATGCAATGCAGCACCACCACCAGCACCATCATATGCTGCGATAGCATGTCCCATCCTTAATTCAGCTCATCATTACCAGTAATAACGGGTCCTTTCGGTATAGAGTGTCCGAGACTCCGTTGGAACTGTGCTTTGTTCCCTTTCCAAGATAGAAATTACTATCACCCGTTCCTAGCAGTGGTCTGGTGGTGATGCCGAGTTACCGCGGTCCGACGCCCCCATCCCCTTAGTTGGCTAAATACATACAGCCTAGTAGCCTCGCCTCGGATCTGGATACAATACCTGATATTTGACTGTTGTTCATTCCGTCCTTTATCTTTAAAGATTAGCGGCAGAAACATGCCCGAGGGTATCACGTCTGCGACTACGGGGAAGAGTGATGCTCTGTGGAACCTTAGATCCTCACAAGGCTCTGCACAATGGAGGATAGCTTTAACTGGCATTCCTGGATTGGGCTCGATCGTTACGTCTCTGTGCATTTATCTCATCAGTAGCGAGAATCCCCTTCGCGACGTGGATGGTGCCCGTGTCATAAAAGAGCCCACTTTCCCCCCTTCAACCGTCTCGTTTGTGGTTTCTGGACTGTTAGAAGACGATCCCAATGTCGAGGATAGAATGGAGAAGGATCCGTCACGATTCGTTGCAGCAGATAGTCTTCTCTGCTATTCTGAAAGATCCAGTTCCCTCTGGGCGTGTTGCCTTCTATCCCCTTTTGCAGAGGATCCCAGAGCTCTGAAGGACACCCTATACTTCAGTGCCACCATCCTCACCTGCACAGTGAGCTGTTGAGGGGAAGTGTCTTCTACGTCTAGTCTGTATTCAAGATGCAATGAGTCCATCTGGGAGGAACATACACGTGTAATGGAACCGATCCCTGACCACGACAATATAGACTCGTCCTTATTTCAATATTTGGTCTTTGCCATCTGATCTTGGATAAAAAGAGACTCTTCTATAAGTCGTCCGGCAGAGTATGGAGGCTTTTTCAGAATCGATATAGCATCTCCTGAAACGATCCGGTCTTCGCGTCCAGCTTAAAAAGTTCACAGCCTCAATATATGACTGTCTGCACCCAATACAATCCCGCTAGTTCTCGCCTTAGTATTTGCTACTCGGCGTAAAGATGTCCTCTTCCCTGGAGTGTCAGCACGCACTCCGAGTACACAGGAGTAGATCTCCTCACCTAGAATCTTCTTCTCTTCCGGCGTCATGCTCAAGCGCGGATCATCGCCCATGATGTCCTTCAGGTGGCGTTGATAGCCGCTCTCGACCTCGCGGTACTTGCCGCCGTTGATGAAGATGGTGCAGCCGTTGTAGCTTTCGTCGGCGCACAGAAATGCCGCCGCCAGGGCACACTCGGCGCTGGTGTTCATGGGCACGACGCCGCTGCTCCACAGCTTGGGCACCAGGTCCGGCAGCGTGCGCAGGGCCGGCGTGTCGGTGATCCCGGGCGCGATGCTGTTGATCCGGATGTTCCACGTCCCCGTCAGCGGTCGCAGCGCGCGCATCAACCCGACCATGCCGTGCTTCGCCGCCCCGTAGACCGGGATGCTCTCGGCCACGTAGCCTGCGCGAGACACCGTCGACACAATCACCCCGCCCTGCGGCACCTGTCGGCGCATGTAGTGCATAGCCAACTTAACCGTGTACATCTGCCCAATCAGCGTGACGCGTAGGCAGTCGAAGGCCGGCTTGATCGGATCCCCTTGGTCGTCAACCTTGTCGAAGAAGTCGCCCTTGTCGCCGATGCCGGCGTTGGGGATCACGATGTCGATGCGTCCCCAGTCCGCGACCGCGCGCTTGAAGAGACTGAGGAGGTCCTCCCACCGGCTCGTGTCCGTCGGCATGTACTGCACGCCCTCGACAGTCTCCCGCAACGGCTGGACGTCCCCGACCAGGACCTTCACTCCCGACGTCGCGAGCTTCTGGACAATGCTGAGTCCGATCCCCGACGAGCCACCCGTGACTACGGCCGTCTTCCCTCGGAGCTTGTCGCCTTTTGGGGATGGTTGTGTCAGCTGTGAAAATCATGGCTTGCTCCTCGCTCCTTACTATCGTCCCTGGTGGGAAGGGTAATTGGCTTGCTTGCTTACCTATATCGGCGTCCGTGATATTCAGATCCGTCATGGTCGCCTGTACGTCAGAAGCACAGTGACTGGGGGGATTCTCACTTCGCGCTCTGCTAGATTCTCAGGAGGTCCTCCGTCAACAAACTTTTCACCTAAGGCAGCACGGCAGTGATATGCTTTTCACACACATTCGTATTGCGTTCCCCGCATTATTATCAACAAATTCACGGGACAGAGACAAACCCGCAAGTAGTATGTCCGTGGTCAGTGCTATCCAAAGGAGGAGCGACCTCGGGCCGAATTTGGATATTTTGAGAACTTTGCCATGGACCTGAATGGGCGAATCGTTCGATGAAAGGTGATTCGTCCCTTGCTCTCCCCGCGCTCCGTCAGTTCTCCCATCTACTGGACCTCTAACTGGGAGAGGAAATAATGAGTTGTGGTTTGCTTATCATAACGCTCGGGTACATGTTGGCCACCCGATTCATGATTAGATTTCGTTGCTTTCTCCCATGAACCGAAGAGTTCGTGTGGGAATGGAACAATATATCCTCCTTTGTCGCTCCAATTTACATTGCTAGGCCCTCGGCTACGCCTTGCTAGGTAGAAGTAAGTTATACAGTCGGTCATAGTCTGCTGTCGTGGGTAGTAAGACCCTATGCCCAAGTGTAACCGTTCAGGTCAAAATCTAGTAATGCATGTCCCGCGAGACCAAAGTCTTCCTCCAAATTCCACTCGTACGACACTGGTGCCGCATAGCCGTTTGAGGCGTTGCCGTCCTCAGCCCCGGCATTGCTGACTTCAAGAGTGCTACCAGACAATGATTGATGGTCTATCTCACTTCTGTCTTCCAGGTTCGCGTGCGTCAGACTCACATTCGACGAATGTGCGTAGCTGGAATTCAAGGGCGGTACCACACGAGCCGACTTTCCTTGAAAGGCTGCTCTGGCATCCTGCATCTTGTTTACAACCTCCCTCATGCTCGGCGCCATGTCGGCAAGCAGCTTCAAGACCTTGATACACACGTCCACCTTCTGAAGGTTGATTTTGCGCGTGCTTGCGTCGGCAGAGTTGGCGTCGCGGAACAAGGTCGAGGCAGCCAGGCAGATGTTTATCAGGGATGATGGAGGGAGAAACCTGGCCAGTCCGCAGCTAATTAGCCCTTCCAGTAGCTCAGTTGTTTCGTTGGCCGCCTGGCGCAGAAAGCACCGGCTATAGTCGGTGGGCGGGCAGCGGTCAGTGACAGAGTCTGGGCTGACGTGCTCTGATATATCATCCATGAGCATACCGTCCCGGTGGACGAGGAAGTGTGCGGCGCAATATATCATCTCGACCACCGATACAGCCCATACGACACTGCGTGGAGCACCACCAAAACCATCTCGAAGCAAATTTTTGCTGTTCAGCTCGATCGGAATCTCCGACCGCCATCGGTACAGCTCCTGAACCATGTACTGTCTCAAAAAAGGCAACGGGTTGGCACACGGTTGACCATCCCAGGGCGAAAGATCTTCGTGGATATTGCGCATGATGCGGTAGATGTGCCAGCACAGCTTAGCCTTTAAGATGCAGACCATCGCAAGCGCGGGAGAAAGCGGATCGAGGGCTTGTTGAGCCTGAGGAGCCAGGCTGTCGATCCCGAGAGCTCCAGTTTCCTCCAGACCCAGGTCGTTCATGGTCAGCATGGGCGTGCCGAACGGCCACACCCGTGGTGGCTGACCTATGGACATGCAGAGGTCGCACTCTTTCATGAGGATACTCCACCACAATATCCGGCGAAGATTCCGCTTCCGCTGCTGCTTGGGTAGGGGATGTATCGAGCTGACGTGTTCTGATCGGTGCAGTTTCAGAACATGGGCTTGCGCAATAGCGGTGCCGAGCCAATACGTGGCATCCTTCAGGTTGCTCCTGCTGGCCCAGCCGATGAGCAGGAGTGAGGCTTGACAGATGACCATGCGATCTTTCTCCGTCTCCAATTCGAACAGTGTCTGGTGGGTAATTCCGTCAGGTATACATGTTCAGAGGGCATCTTTTGGTATGCTCACCTTGGCCTTTTCGTAAAATGTTTGCCTGGCCGTGGTCTTGCTCATGTACGCTTGCCGGAGGACGACTTCACTTTCCACCGCTCCCACCCCGGCGAACATGACGGCGTGGAAGAGAAGCAAAGACACCCTCTGTCCTGGTTTCTCGCCAAATATCGCCTCTCGGAACCTTGGTAGGTCTACCACAGGAAGAAGAGGATGCACAAACTCGGCGAACCTCTCCATTATCACGTGCTGCAGCGGCGGCGGGGGCAAGACGAAAACCGACCGCTGTCTCAAGAACTCTAGGTCGTTGGGGCTGCGCAGGGGAAATGCTTCGATAAAGTCCGGCAAGGCTGTGTGCCAGCCTGGGGCACCCTGTGGAAGCGGCGATGGTGTGGACGGGGCTGAAATCAGACCATCGTTCCTGTCCGGGGGGCTCTCTTCCGGCTCAGCAGTATCGTTTGGGATGGGAAGCTCGGGCTGCTCCGACAAGGACAGTATAAAGCCGTGGGACTCTGGGTCTTTTGATATGGAACCGTCACGATCCAGGCCCGATTGTTGCAAGCTACTGAGGCTGGCTCGTGGTCGAGGGCTATGGCGATCTTCCCATTCATTTACCGAGTGTCTCGTTTCTTCAGGTGTGTCGAGCTGTCGCTCAAGCAAGAATGCCCCTTCTCCGGCAATTGTCGATCGGACATTCGTGGAGTCGGAGTTCCGTGAAGCTTGCAGGGCAAAATGCTCACTTGTTCGGTGGCCACGACGTCTGCATTTGATGACTCGGCATTCCGCTCCATCCAGCAAACAGTTGGTGCAATAGCCAGCCTTGTGGGTGACATCACATCTGACTTTGCGTGAGCGACAGCGGAGACATGCCTGGGTGGCTCGACGGTGGGTGACTCCTTTCTTCACGCGCGACTGTGCCCCGATCACATCAACGCTTTGGCCTGGCGCACTGATTCTCTGCCGATCCGATACTGACAATGGTGACGAGGTCGACGGCGGGGACTCTGTTGGACGCATGGCGGGGAAACTTGATATCTGAAGGAGCAGTATCGTGAAGCGCTCAAGCTTGTCTTCCTTGTCTTCCTTTTCACGGAAGAAAGTCTTTGTCAATATCGATAGTTCGAGTTATCCTCGGGTTAGTCTTAGGTTTGCTCTTCCATGGGAATGCGGGGATTGTCGGTTAGAAGAAAGTTCCACCGGAAACTGGAGGAATACGTCCCTAATTCGGCTAGCGTCCCTCCGTAATGGGTACTTCATGGAGAACCCGTTGGTATCAACCAATCAACGCGCAGTCGGGCATATCCTGCTAAAGACAATGCTGCGTATAACACAACCCGACTAATATCCAGGGGCTACTCTACATGGAGCCGAGAAGAATCTGGTGCTGCGATGAAATTAGAGACTCCTGCTGCAGTAACCCGATACGGTTCAACAGGGCGTGAACTGCTCTACAGGAGGATTACAGGGAAGGTAATATCTGGACAAAGACAAAGACATTTTATATTGGGTCGTAGTCCATAGAAGCATATAGGCTGACAAGCCTTAATCTTATCTCGACGTCCGATTTCTGGGTAGCTTCAGTGGCTCCTGGTAGAAAACAATAAGCACTTTGCCGTATCGGTCCGCCCATCTTGCCTAACTTACCATCGCTGTTTCCGTACTAGTTGCCAAAGGTAATATAATCAGGACGCACGAATGCTCGTCATGCTCGAAACGGGCAGCATCTTCTTCTTCAGATAATGCCAACATTTGCGCCTCGTAATCCGTTTCACGTACTTGCTGGCCGAGATCATCGTCGCTTCATTCCCGGCGGCATAGTCTCTGCGTGCCCTATGTCTGTTGCTGCGACGGCGTATTTCCACATGTGGACTGAGTAGGGGTTGACTGTCCTCAGCGTCGAAAGCGTTCTCTCGAACCTCGTTTGACCTCTGCTCGTGGATGAGCAGGTGGGGCCGTCGTGTTGTGCGAGGACTGATTTCCTGACATGCCTTAATGGAAATTGCGAGAACTAGACCCAATGCTGCGCCGGTCGCGAACGGTTGCCCTGCGCCAGCCATTCAAGCCATGCGGACTGTGCAAATATTTTGCAAAACAATGGTCAATGTGGACCGATCAACCTGTCAGTCAACATCAACTCTTTGGATAAAAGAGAAAGCTGTTAGAGGTGGCCGCGGCTCCTCCCAAGTAAAGCCCTCGGTTATCTGATGTCCGAAAGAGGTCAAGTTAATAGCCCGGTCCCTTCTGCGGTCCCCGCGCCGTTGAAACAGGGTTTCGGCATGTGCATTCGCTTGGTGAGAGCATTGGTGTGGGTGGGTTGGTTTCTTCACACCTGGGGTCCGGTTAACCCCTTTTTCGCAAAGACCCTCGGCCTGATACTTCGCGTCCAGGTGATCACTAAACGCGTCCAGCATATTGCGGTACGTTAACCATGGGAAGAAGAGGGTGCAAATGTGAGAGAAGGTATCAACGAGATTCCTCTTTTCAGATACTTTACTGCCTTTCCCGTTGGCGATAACTAAGAACAATGGCCTCCCTCAATGGTGATGCACGTAGCAGTGCGCCGGTATGCCTTGTCACAGGAGGCGCGTCGGGAATGGGGCTTGCCGTGGTCGAGCATCTCCTGAAGCTGGGCTGGAATGTAGCGATTGTCGACTACAACGAAGCGACTGGACAGGCCGTCGCGAAGAAGTTGGGACCGCAAGCTATTTTCATCAAAGCAAACGTCGCAGACTACGAGGAGATAGCGGCGGCGTTTGCTCGAACGTGGAAAGAATGGAAACGCCTTGACGCGGTCTACGGCAATGCTGTAATATTTTGATCCTCTCTGCCCCTCCAGAACGAAGAATAATCGGCGCATGTAATGGATTCTAATAAGTAAGCACTGCAGGGCATCGGCGACCGGATCAGCTTCTACGCACAGCAGGAAGATCGCGAAGACGGCACACCCCCAAAGCCCAACACCGCCGTGATCGACATCGACCTCTACGGCCCCATCTACTGTGCCTGGCTAGCGTTCCACTTCTTCCGCAAGAACCCCGACAAGGCCGGCAAGCTCATCTTCACATCCAGCATGGCGGGAATCTACACCGGGGGCACCGTGCCGCTGTATTCGGCTGCCAAGTCTGGGGTATTGAAGACATTTTATTTCATAGCGTGGTGACGAATGTAACTAATCAACTTTCCCAGGTTGTCGGACTGACGAGATCCTTGGGCGACCGGCTCAAAGAACTCGGGGAGCCCATCACCGTGAACTGCATATGTCCAGGCACGTACATAACCCTGCCGTCCATGCGTGCCGGCTTTCCAATACGCAATTACTGACAGAGTCTCGCCAGGTCTCGTCCACACGGCCCTGACCAAGATTTACTCCTTCACCTGCCCGGAGGAGTATATCACACCGGCCTCGACCATCGTCAAGGCGTTCATGAGTTTCATTGACGATAGCAGTCTGACCGGGCAGGCCGCGGAATGCAGTGGTGAGAACATTCATTACCGGCAGCGGCCGGAGTTTAGCGACGACAAGGCCGCGTTTATTTGTGGCGGCGGGCTAGGTGAGGCCATGTCCAAGTTGAGTGTCAAGCTCTATTGATAGAGTGGAGTGGACCGGCTGCGGTGTTGATGCAAGAAAGAAGGTGTATAAAAAAATGATATAGTTCGGTGAAACCGTGAATGTCTCGTCCTAGCTGGTCTTCAGTCAACAAATCGTAGCGTGGAAGTCCAGAAAGGGAGCAATGCCATTGAGCACAGACCGAGCATATACGCAAAGTCACGAAAATTCCACCTATAACAGCTCGAAATTGCCAATTCATGTCTTATTGTTGCCGCAGCTAACCAGTCCTGGAAGATTTATCAACACAAGCCATCAAAGACCGTAAATCAAGAAACACCCGACAATCAGTCAGCCAGAGCAGCCTACGAGCCATTGCTTTCCGGCCAAAAGGTGGGTGCGAGACCCTCGAGTTTGCCGGCCTCACGCCATTCCCTCAGCATATTGATGACCCACAGCGCGCTGCCGCCGTACCACTGGTTCTTGGCCAGCTTGCGGGTGATCTGCCCCTCGTTGTTGTAATAGCCGGGGGTGCACTCCATGTGGAAGGCGCGGGAGTTGACGCCGGATTCGACGATGGTTTCGACCCACCCGTCCTCGGCCTCCTGAGTGGGCTCGATGGAGCGGATGCGGCGCTTCTGACACTCGGCCACCACGTAGGCGAGGTGCTCGGCCTGGATGGCCGTGGTGTGTAGGAAATTCGCCGTGATGAAGGCCTGCAGCGTCGTGATCATAAAGAAGTTGGGGAAGTCCTTGCTGACCCAGCCCTGGAACGTGCTGGGCCCGTCTGCGAATTTCTCGCCCAGCCGCTTCCCGTCGCGCCCGTACACCTCCATCCCTGCGCGGTGGCTCCAGCTGGTCGCGCGCTCGAATCCAGTGGCGTAGATCAGGCAGTCAACCTCAAACTCTTCGCCGTTGGCGACCACGCCGTGCTCGGTTAGCCGTTCGATGCCTTGGCCTTTGGTGTCGACGAGTTGGACGTTGGGCCGGTTGAAGGCTGCGAGGTATTCGTCGTGGAAGCAGGGCCGCTTGCAGAATTGATTGTAATACGGCTTCAAGCTCTCGGCCGTGGCAGGGTCCTTGACGATCGCATTGACGCGTTTGCGGATCTGTTCCATTTTCTGAAAGTCGAGGATCTGTCGCCGTCTGGCCATCTCTTCTTTGCTCATTGTTCCCGCGGCGTCTCGAGACGGATACAGGTTGCGAATGATGTCTGTCCAGCCGTCGTTAACTAAATCGACGTCTTGGTGCCCGCCGCAGACGATCGTGTTGAAGTTATCCATTCGCTCTTTCTGCCATCCCTGGGTGAGAGTCTTGGCCCAAGATGGATCTGTCGGTCTGTTGTTCCGTACGTCAATAGACGAAGGCGTTCGTTGGAAGACGTAGAGTTTCTTGCACCATGGTGCGATATTTGGTACAATCTGGACGGCAGTGGCTCCGGTACCAACAATCGCAACTCTCTTATCGGTAAGATTAACGAGTGCTCCGCCAGTGGCATCGCCGCCAGTATACTTGTAGTCCCACCGGCTGGAATGGAAGCTATGGCCTTTAAAGGTTTCAATCCCCGGGAAACCGGGCAGTTTCGGTCGGTGTAGAGACCCGGCAACGCCTACCACGAAGCGTGCCTGAATGTTGTCGTTGTGGTTCGTTTTGATCGAGTAAGTCGCAGTTTCTTCTTGCCAGTGAATGCTGAGAATCTCAGTTTTGAAGATGGCCTTCTCGTAAAGGCCTAGCTCTGTGGCCAGTTTCTGTGCGTGTTGCAACAGTTCGGGTCCTCGCGCATACTTTTCCGTGGGGACGTATCCGATGTGATCCAGCATGGGCATGTAGACGTAGGACTCAATATCGCACTGTACGCCGGGGTATCGGTTCCAATACCTAACAGCACCACAGGTCAGAGCTGAAAGCAATCACGAGATAGTAAAATGTGCCCACCAAACTCCGCCAAAGTCGGCACCTTTCTCGATGATCTTGAAATCTTCAATCCCATTCTGCTTGAGATTGTGCGCCATCAACTCGCCGCCGTAGCCAGCGCCAATAATCACGACTTCCGTGCAGATATCTAATGGTTCGCGCTTGTCATTTTGTCCCGCCCATGGATCGTCAAGATAATGAGACAGCGAGCCTTCAATCGCACGATACTGTTCCACTCCGTTGGGATTGGCACGGATACGTTTTTCTCGTTCAGCAAGGTATTTGGCCTTGAGAGCATCCGGATCAAATCCCAAATCATCGTCAACCTCTTTAATCGTGGAGTTGCTAGACTTGGTAAGGAGAGGCTCAGGCACTTGAGAAACCGAAAGCGTTTCGACAGACATTTTGCTCTAACAAACGACGGATGAAGTTTTCACGCCAGGGTTTTCATTAGAGTGATGTGTAGACCAAGATATACCAAGACTTTGAAGTAGCTCAGATAACGGAATCCCTTCGTCGGGGGAGGAAGCAGAATGAAAGATTAACCGTGTACATCCTCGGTGTTGACGAAACAAGTAAAGTGCATCAGCGAGTAGATAGCCGTACCACCGGCAGGTTCCTCAGGTTGAAGCAGTCATCACCAAGTGCTGGGCCTCGGATGACGCCGAATATTCAGTATAAAAGCGGTCTTGCCACCGGCAATCTAGGACTTGAAACGGTCACAAACATAGCACAAGCGCAGAGCGAAAACCGCTGTCTCCACAAACAGATTAGGCTCGTAGCATGGCACATGCAGAAGCCCCTCCATGCCGTCCTCTCAGGAAGTGGCATGATAGAAACGGCTTCGAGGCCATTCCCTTTGCGCTGCTCGGGCCTCGGGACTCAGTTCGAGATATCTAGTCGCATGTCCAATGGAAAGGTTGCAGGATAGCGTTTTCGTGCTCAAAGGCGGGGAATAAGCAAACAGACTATCGGTGTTTGGAGCATAGGAGGAGGCGAAAGAAATACACGCTTTTTCCGGTCCCTGGCTTTGCGCCTTCTAACCAAGTCTATGAGCACGTCAATGACCTCAATGTTCAATGCCAACTCAGGCCAAGCCACCTCGTCCACCGACGCTTGCTAGAGCCTTGCGTTGTGAATCCGATACCGTCACTTCTGGCAAGCTCTTGACTCCATCCTGATCATTGCCAGCATTTGGAGGCGGGAGAAACCCTATCTGAACCAAATATGCCAGATAAAGGCCGATCTCACGCTTTGTGACACCACTTCCTGCGCTAACATCTTCACGAGTCCACTTTTCGTCTGCGTAAAGTGCTTTCTCCGCATTGCTGTCGTCCAACTCGGGTGCACGCGTATTGGAAGGAAGGTCGTTGGCGACGAAGGTGAAGAGTGGCATTAATGCAAAATCGCCGTGCGTACTCACGTAGTGCTCGAGCGAAGATGCCCAAGGGACATAATCCGTTAGATTAGCCCGATAGCCATAGGTCTGCAGTGCCGCGAGGTATTGATTGAAACGCAGTCTCGGGTGGCCAGTGATCTGAGCCACACTGACTCCTTGAGGAGAAGGAGGATGGAAAGCACATGCCACAACCGTACGAGCAACATGATTCACTGGGACCATATTCACGGTGTTGTTGATGTTTGGCCGTGTACCAAGCTGAACGCAGCCTTTGAGCATGCGAATCAAGAAGTCGTCCGTGTTCGTGACACCAGTCTTGGAAGAGCCAAGCACGTAACCGGGTCGGATGATGCAGCCACGTAAACCTCGCCGTCCGGCTTCGCGACAGAGGTATTCTGCCACCCATTTGCTCTGGCCATAGCCGGTCCCCAGCCCTTTCCGGCTTCCCATCAAGTCATCCTCTTCACTGATTCCTTCGCCTCCAGCAGCGATGATACGTTCTGACTCGAAGACAAAGTGTTCGTGGTCGAGCACGCTGGTGGAGGAAACAAACGCAAAAAGCTTGGGTTTGCCTTCGGCGCAGATCTTCATTGTTTCAATGGTGCCGAGAACGTTGGCAGGCTTGAGCATTTCGTACGTATTGATCCAATGGACCTGAGCGCCATTGTGGACGACAACGTCAACTTCGTTCACAATCTGCTTCCATCGTGCATCAGAGATGCCCAGTCGGGTGGGTCCCAGTTCGCCTGTGACACACTGGATTCGAGATTGCCATGAGTCATCCCAGACACCGTAAGCCTGGCAGGTGGTTTTAATTCGGGATAGTGCAATTGCCTCGTCTTTGGCCCTGACCAGGACAAAGATTTTCTCCACCTGAGGGTTCTGGCGATCCAACAGATCCTTCAAGATAAACGACCCCAAGAAGCCGGTCGCCCCAGTAAGGAACACCACTGGCGCTGAAGGAACATTGGGAGATGCAGGAGAAAACGAGGGAGGCAGAGACTTCGCCATGATCGGGGCATCATCACCGTAGTGGTCCTCAGCTTTAACACCGTTGGTTTCGGTGCTGTCTGTAGCCTCAACTGTTCCGCCACCCCCCAAAGAATCAGCTGCTCGTAGATTATCGATGACAGCGGCCATCTCCTTTAGCGTATGCCGGTTGTATATCTTGCTGATGGGGAGATTTACACCAAGTGTCCTCCTGACTTGATATGCGAGCTGCTGGGCTTTCATACTTTCGCCACCAATCGCAAAAAATGAGTCGGTTGGTCTAATGGTCCGCGGAATTAGGCCTGGAACAAGTTTGGCCCAGATGTGCGCAAGTGTCAGCTCCCCTTCCGTGAGTTGCTGCATCATAGAAGACTTCCGCCGTGTTCGTGCTGAGAGGATTCCTGCGTCTGGGAAGGGCAGCTTCGGCCTGTCGACCTTCCCATTGGGATTCAAAGGCATCGCTTTCATGGGTACTATGACAGAAGGAACAGCATAAGCAGGCAGCTTCGTTCGCAAGTATTCTTGTACCTCGGTCTGGAGCAGTTGGAACCGTTCGACTCTCCCAATCAGAGTTCCGTCGTCTGGGAGATCCTCTTTGCCCTTGTCGGCGAGAAACTCTGACCATGCTTTCATCTGGGGGACAATGTAGCTGACAAGCGTCTGTTCCTCGAACTTGTCTCTTCGCACAAGGGTGACATTTTCGCGCACCAGTGGATGCCGGGACAGGTGAGTGTCAATTTCTCCAAGTTCAATGCGGAAGCCTCTGATCTTCACTTGATCATCCGCCCTGCCAGAGCACTCCACATCTCCTGTTGGTGTGTAACGGCCCAGATCTCCACTTCGATAGAGGCGGTCTCGAGGCCCAAGGTAATACTGCGCCCAGGGTTCGTTCTTATATTTTTGTTCAAACCTTGCTTTATCCGACTCCAGGCCTTTTTCATGGCCCGGGAACCAGTTGTTTACGAATTTCTTCGCCGTCAGCTCGGGCGTACCCAGATAGCCTTCAGCGAGTCCTGATGCTCTGATATAGATCTCTCCAATTTCGCCGACTGCACATAATTTGGTTGGATCGAATCGGTTGATGACGAGCATCTGAACATTATGCATTCCTCTGCCGACAGGAATAACGTCTTTCATGCCATCGAGGAAGCCATCACTTTCGTTCCACGACGGTATCTCGTAATAACTTACCGCCCTAGAAGTCTCTGTCGTTCCCCACATGTTGACAATCCGAACATTGGGTGCCAGGTTCTGTAGGGATCGACAGTCTCGCTTAATCAGGATGTCACCCACGAAAAAGGCGTTATGAAGCTGTTCAAACTTTGCAGTTGCACCCCCGACCAGGATTTGGCCCATGGCCGGTGTCAGATGTGTCACTGTCGCGCCATAATCCTTCATCCATTCGGCGAGCAGCTCATTCTGGATATCATTCTTGGAAGGCACAAGAATCTGTGCGCCCAGGAACAGAGGTGTAAAAATGTCTCTTTGTATAGGGTCGTGGGCGATGCCGCTGAGCATGGTGAATTTGTCTTTATCAGACAAGTTGAACATTTTTGCCATCCAGTCATAGTAGAATGCCAATGAATAATGGCGGCCCCTAACACCCTTCGGTTTACCTTCAGAACCAGATGTGAAAGAGAGGGTAGGGATCGAGTCGGGCCCAACCACGACCCCAGGACCTTTGGCTTTGAGCGGCCGAATCGATTCGAAAATATCCTTCCCAGCAACGTCACCACCTTGCAGAAAGCCGTCATCCTGCAAACGCAAAGCCGGAACTTCTGTCTTGAGGCTCAGATTGTCTTTGATAAAGCCCCGTACCTTCTCTGAGAGCTCACCAGCATCCTGAGTGGCTTTATCTATAATGACAAGAGCCCTTGGTCTCGAGACGTCGAGATAGATGTTTTGTCTATCAGGTGGATAGGCGGGGTCTAAGACCGAAAAGGTGCCCCCGGCCTTCAGGATACCCATGATGGCGACTACTAGGTCAACTCCTCGATAAGAGTATATCATAACGACATCGCCCCTCTCCAGGCCAGATTGAACGAGATGATGCGCCAAAATATTGGAAGACTCGTGTATTTGTTGGTAAGTAAATTTCCTTTCTGGACCGTCTTCAGATTTTGTCTCTGTTACGCACGTTCGATCAGGATGTGCTTCCGCATTCGCAGCAAAGATATCGTGAATAGCGCCACGGAAAGACGACCACTCCAAATCGCTGGTTGGGTTGGGTACAAGAGCTTGTTCCTGGGGAGTGGCGAACACGATACCACCCACAGGAGCATTGACATCCAGCGCAACATTTTCCAGCAGCTGCGAAATTTGGGCGAGGATGCAGGCGATCCTGGCACTCGAGACAAGACGCTGGTTGTACCGTGCAGTCATCCGAAGATCGCCTTCAGTAGAGCAAGAATAAGAGAGCAGGAAGTCGGTCGTTTCAGCACTGCCGGGGAGGCTGGCACCATCGTCATTGCTGTCGAACACAGCAAAGCGAAATAGGACTGGTCTCTTCAAGCTTGTCTGGAGATCTGCAAGAGGGACAATCTTGTCTGCCGCCTCGGAGGATAAGTCTTGCACCTGTTTGAGCAGCTGGAAGAACGACTCTGAGGCGGCAACAGCTGTTTTAAGGACAAATGGAGGACCGTTAGTTTTTGCATTAGTGCCGATACTGATGTCTTCGTCGCCCGTTAGTCTGCTCACCAGCACGATGAGAGCAGTCTGGATGACAGTGGTGACCGATGCGAGACCGGACAGTTTCTTCAAGGCATTTCTGGTAGTTGCCGGAGCTGCGAGTGACTCCGCCGCCTCGATAGGCCGTTTGGGTACATTCTCCGCGGTGGCCTCAGGGTAGTCTCTAGTCAACGGCGAAATGGTTTGGTCTTGCAGGTGCTGGATCCACCAGGCCAGGTGCTCGTCATGAGCAACTTCTGTAGCCATGATTGAGAATGGATGCAGAAAACCAATGATCCCCAGGTGAGTCAACCGGACTCTACGCTTGGAAAAGAAATTGGAAAAATTATCTTTGCAGGTGGCTGGGCGAATACTCTACCGAAGACGCACCGTTCACCGGTGCACGAGACACGGTGGACCACACAGGGGATCTGGCAAGTTATCTCTCTCCGATTGGTCAATTGCTGTCCGACAGCCCTGCTTCCCCGGACTTTGACGACGCCATCACAATTTCAAATGCCGCACCGACGATGGCATCCAACTGGTGTCGGGTCCCCTCGATCCTGCAACAACTGCGACCTCGCAAAATGTTCCTGTCGTTGCAATAGCCTTCCTTTGGTGCGTTAAAGCCTTCGTCTTTCTTTTCCTGCTCTTTCCGGTTCTTGCCAGTCATTCGCTTCTTCCTGCACTACGATGCCTCCGCGCCATTTCACCCGGTACGTCGTCACCGCGGCAGTCTTCATTTGCGGCCTCATAATCCTCTCTTCGACGTCGAGTCCTTCCACCGCTGCCGTAATCGATTCAATTCCATACCCAGAGGCCCTCCGAGACGTGATACCCAAACTCACAGTCCCCAATCTCCGCTGGTCGTTCCAGAGCTCTGCGCACAAACCTCCTGAACAAAAGAACAGCACGCATGGGGACAGTTCATGGTACAGCGATTGGAAATGGCTCAATCCCTTTTCCTCCTCTGTCACGCTCGATGAGGATCGAGTCGTCTTGCCTCCTCTAACGGAGCGACCGCCAATTTACACGTTCTATGATACTTCGATCAAAAGAGACGACGAGACAAAGAGCATTGACAAGGAGTTTCTGTTGACATGGAGGCGAGCTTGGTGGGCTCATGGGTTTCGACCGGTGGTTCTGACGGATGCAGAGGCCATGAGCCACCCGCTCTACCCGACCTTGCACGCGAAGGGCATGCCCGCAGTCCTGGAGCAAGAGTTTCGGCAGTGGTTGGCTTGGGCGCATATGGGCACCGGCTTGCTTGCCAGCTGGTACTGCTTGCCCATGGGCCCTGCCGATGACGATCTTTTGTCTCACCTGCGACGGGGGCAGTATCCTCAACTTACCAAATTCAAGGGCTTGGGGACTGGGCTATTTGCCGGGGAAAAGACGCAAATCGAGGATGCCATCAAGTCTGCCCTCGACAGCGTCAAATTGAGCTCTTTCTTGACCATCACGGACGCTATCGACTCGGGACGCTTTACGGTCGAACAACCAACATCACTCGCCCATTATGATCCCAAGACGATAGCTGCCAAATACCCTATCCTGGCAGAATTGATTACCAAAGATGTGAACAAGGGTCGACGTTCGCTCAACAAACTCATGATCGCTCATCTTCATGTCATATGGCAAAACACTTTTAGTGCTGGAATTGCGGTGCTGCAGCCACTTGCAGCTCACACGTTTACGCTTGTTCAGCCATCCAAGGACCTGGCCCGTCTGCTTGCGGAGTGTCCCAGTTCTATCCTGCAGTCCTCTTGTCCGCCAAACCAACCGAAATGCTCCCCGTGTACTGGCTCGAAATTGAGAATCACGACCGCTCCTTCTTTCAGGAATACGTCTTCCTTGTTTACGATTGCCGTTGTGCCCCACCCTTACACGATGATCACCCTGACCAACCAGTCCGATGCCGTATCCGTTGCTCATATACGGCGACACACGGAACGAGATGCTTGGATAACTGCCGTGACCCGGGACCTATTGGGAGACGGTCGTGGAGGTCCGAGCCGCGTCGTGGCCTTCAAGGATGTGGTGGCATCAGAATATGGCAGTCGTCGTTCTTTGTGGTTTACCACAGAACATTTCCCTGCGTCTTTCAATCCACCGCCCCCTCCACCAAAGTCGCCCACTAATGACGCTCGACCAGCAAGGGAGGAAGTTGCTCCATTCCCAGAAGACTGGCTCACGCATCTCGACTGGCACTTTGGCTTTCCCATCCCACGAACGACCGTGTCTCATGGTGAGTCTTTGCCTCCGGTCCCGGGACCTGAGCGTTGGGCCAAAACTCCTGCTGGACTTCCCGCCGATCGTAAGAAGTCCTCTGACCCTGATCCGCCGACAGAAGAGCAGGCGGCAATCGAGGTTGACCTCCTACGGAAGGCAAGGAGTACCATTAATAGTAAGGATGAGGCGGTGCTCAAGATCCGCAGCGTGGCAGAGGCGTGGAACCTGGCCGACACAGAAGCTTGGAAGTTTGTAAAGAGTTTCCGGGCCCGTCAGGTCGTGGAAAGATTGAAATTTGAAGAGGAAGAGTCGGCATACGAGACTGAGGGTGTGAGAGGCAATAGTCGATGGTGGGGATCGTGATTCAAGGACCTCCGAGGTCATCGATTCCGATCGCTCTGAATCTTGAGCGGCCGCCGGTGCCTTGAACGGATTTAAAACTTGAAGAATCAAATCAGGGTTCGGTCCTTATCCAGCCACGCAGTGGGACCTGACGTTGAATCCTTCGCGACCGAAGCCCACCCATCTTGCTGGTTTCCAGCCTCTCAGCGAGTGTTTCCCAGCACATACCATGGCTAGCCGTAAGCCAGTCGAGATCGCCGACCTCTCGCTGCGATCACACATCTTTGATCAGAGTGATCCTCGACCCAGGCAATGCAATAATCCTCTTGAGATTGTTGCTTGCTCCCATGCGTGATGCCTCGACATCTCTAGCAAGCATTGCATTGAAAGTCACGGCAATCCTCCCGTACGGCAAATTCGTGGTGGGATGGCACCACGGAAAATATCTGCTTACTCTGTTGGCGGAGAGCGAGTATCTAGGTCGTGCGGTGGCACTATGTGTATGCGTCGGCCATGATTGCACGGAGAAAAAGGAATTGGTTTATTCCTGTGGCTAGCGAATGAGTTCAATGCTCTCCTGGCCGGCCTGTGGTGGAATGAAAGGAGAGGAATGGAAGCGGGCTGCAACGTGCCAAACTGTGCACACGTCGTTGTTTGAGAGGAATATCTACCCATGCTGGTGATATTTGTTATATATGCCACGTTAATGATGGTCGGAGACTGCTCGATACTAACTGGGTGGCCGCTCTACCAGAACGTATATAAGTGAAAAGACACAGCATCGCTCTTCTTAAGCCAAACGACATAACCTACTGTTAATGAAACCTTCCGGGAAATAAAATGATGCGGGAAACGCCACTGTGGCTGTGCAACTCGCAGGACTGGCATACGACGTCGATTGAGGGTTTGACCCTTGAGCTAAGGTGACAATCCACACACGAAGATCACGAAGATCCCAACCTTGACGTCAAAGACTCTGGCAAAACTCAATTAATGGCCCTGCGTCGCACGCCAGCAAGACGGTGTGGCACTGCCCAGCAACTCTGGGTAACAGTGACGTACGGGTGCTGATTTGCCTCAACCGTTGCCCAGTATAACTTCCTCACAAGGTCTACATTCGGCTGCACGGACGATAGAGTGAGCAGATACTCATCCGTCAGTCGAGATGCCGCCGAAGAAGCTGCCACCAAAGACGTCCCAGCAGAAGCCACAAAGACGGACGCCACAGCAACAGCAACAGCCACAGCAACAGCAACAGCCACAGCAACAGCAACAGCAACAGCAACAACAACAACAACAACAACAGCAACAACAACAGCAACAGCAACAGCGACAGAGACCGCCACAGACTGCCCCAAAACGTCGAGCAAACAATGCATCTCCCAATCCCACTCCCTCCAGCACATCAGCCATCCCCGAGCGTGACGTGAAACAAAGCTCGTCCGTCAGCGCCCAGCTGGCCCTCGAAGCAGCAAAGAAGGCTTACGAACTCCGTCAAGCAGCGTATGGCGCCGCCGACCCTAACGCCCGGGAAGAAATCCTGGCCAAGGCCGTCAACAAGGAGATCGAGGCCGAGTCCTTCGGCAAGGCCGCCAAGTACACTCGGTCGGGCGCGTTCCAGGGCCTCGCTGCCGGGGCGGGTCTCGGTGTCCAACCCGGCGTGACTCTAGGGAAGTTGACCGGGGCGCTGGTTGGCGGGGTGGTGTCATCGGCCGGCGCTTTGCTGGGCGGTGGTGTCGGCTCTGTTTACGGCGCCATCAGTGGTCCGTTCTGGGATTTGGGGCAGATGGCCAGCCACGGCGTCAGGAGCATCGTCGGAGATTTTCCAAACTGGGAGGCCACGTCGGGCCAAAAGAAGGCGCTGGAGAAGATGGTGTTGCAGGCGCAGCAGACCCAGGCTCCGAACCAGGACGAATTGGAGGAGATGCGGCGCGATGACGGAGGTCGCGGTCAGGAGGATTACCAGCAATGGGTCAAGGACTTGACAAGCTACATCCCGAGTATGCCATCGATGCCGAAAATGCCCTCAATGCCTTCCATGCCTTCCATGCCGTCGATTCCAGGCCTAGGGGGATCATCCAAGGGGACCAACCCTGCTCCGCCGTCCGGAAATAAGCCACAGGCTACTACGGCATCAGATCAGACCCAGAAACCAAAAGCACCCTTAGCAAAGCCTCAGGCGGCCTCTAAGCCTCAGCCAGCCCCTCCTGGCCCTCCAAAAGCTTCTAAGCAGACGCGCCAGACAACATCCCAGCCGAAGACGGAAGAAACTGCCCCGCGGAGGGCGCCTAAGAAGCTGGAGACCAGGTCGACAGGAACTACGGCACCGTCGACTCAGTCCGGCCCTCGAAGAAAGCCTCCCAAGTTAGAGACGCGATCCAAACCCTCGACCACAAAGGCATGATGAATTCTCCACCCACCTAGGCAACGAGGGGGAAGGTTGGGGTGTGGAAAAAAGTTAGTTGACAAAAACATGTTGACCCGTGTGTATGCAAACGTCTACTGAACGAGATTTCTTTGTGAGGTATCCGGTGTGATGAAGTCAGTGGCAGGATGCTTTGGGTTTCGCATCTTTCAGCGATGGAAGGACCCGGGACATGGAGCTGGACACAGTTGCGACTGTTTCTGTGATGTTATACTGCGTTCTAACCTACAATTTGGCTACCCTCGACGTCCCTTCAGCGAGGTTTGCATGTCTGAAAGGTCTGGGATGTGGGGGGTGATGGCGTTACCAGCGCCCCGTCGTATCGTTGATGTATTCTATCTAGCCACTATCTCCTCCTCTGGGGATACTCCCAGCCCACAGCAATGATATTACGATTCCTATCCCTGAGAGACAAAGCCACCCAGGTGCTGGCAGGAAAGCCCATGCTGTAATTTTCCTCCACCCTTCTTCTCGGACCAACACCCAGTCCACCGGAGTACACACACACAACTATCGAGCAAGCCTAGCACTTGAACACCATGGTTCGATAACAGCCTTGAAAGTAAAGGTGACCATTGGACTCCCTTTTCTTTTATTGCCAGTGGATCAACAGAGGAAGTGGCCAAAGTAGAAGGGTTGTGAACAGAAGAAGCATTGTATCCTGCTTACAGTCACTCAAAAACAGATAAGGAATATACACAATACAAAGAGTACTGCTTATTTCCAACATCCCCTTTCCCCCGCTCCTCAACAGCCACGTCGAACCGGAATTCCTCCTTTCTCGAACAAGCAGTTTTTGGCACTCCAATAAACAATGACGAAGCCACCGCTGCTCATTTGTAAAGTGACCTTCAAAATGATGACGGGGAAGTTTGCTTCGCTGTTTCCGCGCATCGTACAGCCAACTACATGCAATTCAGCATCCAATGCTTAAGTTCTCACTGTAAGTTCCTCAGGGCGTCTGGTCTCTCGCGCTGGTTCTTGGTCCATTTTCCTCTGCCTAGATCCCGCCATGGCACTGCCCATGCCTGCTCAATACATATCGAGACTCGAGAGCCTCCACAGTAGCTGACGCTGTCATCCAGGCATGAGTTATGTCGCGACCAACGATGAATGGCTTCGGATACGACCCAATCGACCTCGAAGGCCGTTCTTCCCGCCTCGTACGCCTTGTCCAAGGAGACACTTACCCTATCAAGTGTGCGCTCTTTGGTTCATGGCTTGACCAACCAGATTCTGTTATAGACTTTACCGCTTTGTCGCACACAGGGGCAGCAAGAAAACAGCGTGCGGAATTGTGGTCAATGGGGGAATGCTGGCAATTACCGCAAACCTCTACTCCGCCTTGGAACAGTTACGCCACAAAAAAAGAGACTGTATTGTCTGGATCGATGCAATTTGCATGTATTCCAATCGAACCACCATGAAATACCTCAGAGTTCTGAGATTTGCACCTCTGTTTTGGTATTTTGTTTTGGCTCGCCAAAGAGATCGAGTTGTGTCGCTCCATCGCACGAAAAGTTACTGGTGTCCATCGAAAGCATGGCCGCTCCAACTTGGGCCCTGAAGTAAACAGGATAGTTGGAGAAAATTCTTTCGGCAACAGAAGCAACCCTTTCCGCAGCCACTTGAGATGAACTAGCTCTAACCATGCGACGTACTGCTAGAGCCGAGTAAAACTCCAAAACGTATGTGCAAGGCCTAAACTTCAATATCGCGAACGGTTAATCCGTCGACCACTGACCTTGGGTTTCAAGATGTTTGGGACTGGTTCTCGTCATAGTCCTTTCCTAGAAACTATTGGCGCACGTAACCACCTCATGTGACACTGCAGGCAATGAAATACCGACGGGCGAGACTTTGGCCAGGCGAGTCTTTCCCTAACTTAAATGGGACGTCAGAAGCGGGCTTGGTAGGCGCTGATATCAATGATGCCAAGACGGGGCGGACTTCTTTTGGTGGGGCAGGATCTTCCTGCCGTGGCTCAACTACTACTCCCTTCGATTGCAAAGTCCATCTATCTTATAAGACAGTGGCTACATACCGTTCCAAGTCTGGAGCATTGTGGTTTAGGGTGCTCAACGCTAGTACCACGTCGGCCCAGCAGTGTCTTTTAAGGAAGGCATCGACCCCCATTCATCCGTCGGTCAACCCTATCCAGACCTCACCGCACAACCATCCTGTAGCTAACTGTCTCGTTCCCCACCATGACAGAGAACGAGCCAGAGCCAGAACAAGGACGCCAATCGAAACGAGAACTTGTAGGCTCTTTTTTGTAAGCATCAGGTCTCGGGTGGCCGTATTTCTACCATTGACACGCTACAGCAAGGGTCAAGCATTGAAGGGCAAACTTCTAATTCAGCAATCCCTCGGGCTGGGCGCTCGACCAAATGTCATTCCTCCAGGTGAAGCCTCTGTGAGCGGAGATCTGCGCGTGGTTCAAATAGGATGGCATCCTGTTGCAGGGTTGGGCGGCAAATGGTTCGCCGAGCAGACGGGACTAGGCAAGATGATCACCAAGAAGATTAATCACTACCCGGACCCCACTCAACACTGGGCAGTTCTGGTAGAAGACTACGTCCACCAGTTATGGATGGTAAGTCCCGTCAGAAACCTGCCGCCCCAAGGCGAGGAGGACTTTCTCATCCGTACTGCAGGACGAACATTTGGATATCATTTACACAAATGAAAGGCTGAAACCAGCGGAGTGGCACACCTTCGTTGTCGGCAAGACAAGGTTCAATGACGAAGCGCTAAGACAAGCAAGTAGGCATTCCCGTTCCGGCGATTTCACTTGGTCACAACCAGCCCTTATACTAACCATACCCTCATCTAGGTGAGATGACGATACACCGGATGCGTACGAAGCGACCAGCCTACAATCTCATAAGCAACAATTGCCAGAATTTCGCGCTGGAGCTGCTCAATGTCATTCAGATTGGTGCACATCGCCAGTTTGCGAGCACCTTCGCCATCTACCAGAGAGCGACAGGCAAAGGCTCCATCGAGGACTTGTTCGACGACAAACACCCCGAGGAGCAGCAGCAGAATGAAGCGGAAGAACAAAAGACTGATGACTTGAATCGGCCACCAAGCCTGCAGTATACTAGCGCCATGCAGACCGCGCAGCAGGTTATGGATGAGCAGACGACGAAGTTGGACCGACATCATCACAGCTCTCCTGACTGACAGATAGATACGGTTGTTCTTTGTTTGTGAAGTGTCAAGCTTGGCCAATGCCCAATGCAACAACACCTGGGACCTATCGAATTGGAATTGTAGGAGACTTTGCTTCACCTAATTTTCCGACCGAGCGCGACAAATTAAGTACAACTACTCCTAATGCTCGCTGGTGCCGCGCGTCTTTGTAACTTCGAACTGGAACTCTTTGCCTCGATTAAGGTAAACCGCCTTGTCGCACTACCCAAGCATTGTCCATCATCTTCTGGAAATCCGAGATCCTCGTGTCGCCCTAGTGGATCAGCATCAAATCGACAGGCTTGCCCGAGTTAGTATACATCTCTTGGATCTTCTTGAGAAAAATCAGCGAAAAAGCGTGTCGGCGTGTATCGGGCGTCTGGAACAACGAAGGGGGTTTCCAAGTCAGGTTGATGGTGGAACCCTTTGTCACGGTTCCAACTGCGACAGCCTCGTGGCACAGCCTTGCCCCGCACACCGCAATTCACCACAATCTCTGTGCTGTGATTGGCTGGCGCAACTACTCACCAGCTCGTAGAGGTCGACACGTATATATACCCAGCATCTTGAATACATCGGTGCATCAGCAATCAGCACGGCTGAGTATTTGGCTGGCTCTTGGGGTAGTCGGATCCTGGAGGGGTTCTCAGGCGCCTAAGTCATAGACTTCCTCCCTCTCTTCTCGGTGCCGTTGTCTTTTTATTAACAAGTACTTCTCAATGCCTTTCGATAATCTGCGATGAGCGAACCATCCCATTCACCGGAGATGTCTGTAAAGTATCCGCCGATCACCATCCGAGTTCAATGATGCCACTCCCCAGCACCCCAGACGAGAAGCCATTGTCGCATGGGGCTACGGCTTGGTGCGTGCTGGTCGTCATTGTCGCTAGACACAGGGCAGAGTTGGGAGCTCCTCGCGGTCCTGCTGAGCGTCACCGCGTTCGCCGGTTTCGTCATTACGCTTCTTTCTTGCCCGCACTTGTCTCGAATCTTTTGGGCGACTCTTCCTGTTGAGCCAGAACACCTCCGGCTGCGTCTGACTACCAAGGAATTAGCCTTGCGCGAAATCTATCCAAGAAATCAGCTTTGCTCAGCCTCATTCGCGTGATTCGCAAGGGTTCCGAGGACGGCGAGACTGCGCCGCTTGCGTCGGTTGCAGGATATATATACAGAGGATCAGAGATTCTCGTCCTGGCGGAGAAAGACAGACAGTCAGTCAGAGAACGCTCATATATCTGTGCCTCAGAACACAACACTTCCGTAAGTCAGTAGCGTGTATAGACACACTTGTTACCCAAGCACTGTCCGGGGTCCTTCGTAGTCGATAACCTTGAGTGTCACACTCTAAGTGTTACAAGCCTTCAAACCCATCGTTCATATACCTGCCCCAAGTGACCTCAAACAGAAGCGAAATACCTCTGCGCCTACCACACCGCCCCGTGCCCTGTGGCTATGCCTCTCATCGTGACACAGGTATCAATTCTAGCTTCGCTACATAAGGCACCAAGTCCGTCGCTCTAGCGTATCCTTCTTTAGTGTACAGTCTTTGAGTTCTAGCAGACCGATACGTTCCCAGTACTTACGTACTTCACCTCCCGACGAATGCTGCTGGTGCTGCTCCTCTACGACCATGACGTACATTCTCCCCATGTGACTTATCGGGTACGACCTTCCTAGAACGATTCCTGTCCACGGCTTTTGCAGCAGCGCCGCATGTGGAGAGAAAGTGTCGTTGTCATTGGAGTCATAGCCGTTATCGCCGGGGCTGTTGTCGTCTTCCTTCCGATTCGGCGAAAAATCGCCCTGCCACACGTAATCGCCAACGCATACTGTGCCTTTCAGGATGGCACCTGAACTTCCCTGCCTCCGGAACCGAACTGTTACTGCACTGGCCGTGATCTCGAGGATGTGGGACTGGCCGGTCCAAAGGTCTTTGCTGCTCTCGTCGGCCGTACGCAGCTGCTCGTAGTACCGGTTCCATGGAACGAGAGGCCCGTCTTGGTCACGGGGGCCAATAGATACGTCCAGATCAAGCCCATAAGCTTTATGGACGCCAGGAGTCCACGACATACGACTGACAACACCCTGCCATCCCGTCCACGACCAGCTCGGGAAGTCCGGCCGGCGGCGGGCGGGTCTTTCAAGAGTCCAGCAGAGCCCGTTGATGAAGCCGTCTAGGGCGACTTCGTCGGCGTTCGCGACGCTGATGCCCAAAATGGAACGGTCGACTTTATGGATAGTGACATGCAGGATCGGTACGCCACACACGTGGTACAAGGGTTCGTCTTCATCGGGCTCCGCGAGCAGCTGGAGAATGCCAAGCATAGCATTAAGGGTGTCTGACGGCAAGGACAGCTGTCGCCCTGAATACTCCTGTAAGAGATCAAAAAAGTCACTAGTGTCGCTGCCCGGCTTCAACCCTACTCGTCTAAAGGGCTGGTACAGCCAAAAGGGTTCCATGAGGCGCGGCTTATGCCCATAATTAGTCATATATTTTTCTTTGGAAGCTGGCAAGCGAATTGTTTCGCGGACGAGCATATTCCGGCACTCATAAGACATCTCAAACTCTGAGAAGTAGAGGCGGCGGCGTGCGAGGAGCCCTTCTTGGTATGTCCACCCCCGCGTGCTCCAGGTTGAGGCCGAGCGGATATGGAGGGAGGGGTCTGGGGGTACGCACACGAGTGCATGACCTTGGACGAGCGCGCTAGGCTGCTGGAAAGGCCGTGGACGCCCGGGTGCGCCAAGTAGGCCTGTCGAAGCGTCCTTGCCGGCTGCCGCCACTAGAGTGACATCTGCGTTGGAAAATACGTTGTGCATGTTCCGCATCTGTGTGTTCTTGATAGCCTCGTTGCCTGTCTGCACAATGCAGTATCGGTCAACCCATAGGTACTCATAGCCAAGCTCAAGTGTCACACGGATGGCGTCTTCGATGACGGGCTCCACAGTGTCATCGAGGCTTTGCTGCTGCCATCGTGGCGGCTGGCCCCAGACGTAGCTCAGAGCCACATACGGCGGCGGAGCACCCACCTCAGGGTCCTGTTCCACAATGCGCCGTGTTGTACACTCGACGAGGCGAAAATGCGGTACTGAGGCTAGTCTCGGCGGATTACACCCCTTCCCGTGGTGGAGGCGACAGCACTTAATCCAGTCCCTAGCTGTGCTCATTCTCAGGTCGCTCCCATCAGCAGCCAACCGCGGGACGGACACGGCCTTTTCTCCGTCCGGGCAGTTAGACCCAAGGCGGCTGATAAATCCCGCGGAAAAGACGTTGTTAACACCTCCCGACAAGGCCGTAATTCCCCAATCTGAGAGGTCAATAACACCGAGCGCCATGGTATCGACCCAAGTATCATTAAACTCAAAGAGATCCCAGAGCATCAGCTCGTCATGGCAGAGCCAGGACTGTGTGGTTGAAAAGCTCACCAATACGCAGTCTAGGTCGGTGCCAGACCGCGGACGCACTGCAGCAATTAGACGACACAGAGGACATGCCCTCTCCTCCCAGGTGTCATCGATCCTACCCAAGTAGGCGACAGTGCGTCCGTTGTACTCTGTGTGACGACTCCGAAAGACGGCGTCTAGGTCAATCGTCGAGCATACTGGACATAAGCTTGCCGTGTTTTCTGTTGCCAATTCACCGATGTACTGCTGCTGTTCTCCCAAAAATAGTTGGTACTCTCTGGCGAGCTCTTTTCGTTTCTTATCATGTAGACGATTTGAGAGTCTAACGCCGGGCCGGTGTTCTGCCGCAGTTGATTCATCCATCGAATGTCTTCCTGTGTAGTCGCTGCTTTCGGATAGCGCAGGGTCGTCCGGCAAGATGATGCCGATCGTCAAAGGGTCCTCGTCTGGCGCTATGGCCCCACATGCACGTAAAAGTGCTATAGTGACGGTATCGCCTTTCTCTTTTGCGAGGGCCAGGGGCGTGAGGCCGTCTGGCCCTCGTTTATTCACGTCTAGGTCTGCCCGTTTCGTCAGCAGTCTAACAAATTCGCTACCGCGATAACACTGGATCGCCCGAAGCAACGGAGTCAGGCCCTCGGCATCCTCCGCGTTGGGGTCGACGGCCGCAATACGAAGTAAATGCCTCACAGCTTCTTTGCGGTGTTCAATCTCGAAATTTTCGTCATACCTATCAAACTCGAGTACCCACGACAGCGGGCTTCGTCCAGCCTCATCCCGTGAATCCGGATCGACGCCGTTTGCTGTGAGTAGAATGTCTAGCAACTCGACTTTGCCAGCCTGTGCCACGATAGAGAGCGGTGTCCGTCCCATCTTGTCGGCAAGATCAGCATTGATGTTCGGGGCCTTCAGCAACGCCTTCATCACTTCTGCTGATTCCGCGACGGAGGACCACGAGAGAGTCGCGTTGTGTAGTGCTGTACGGCCCTGCTGGTTCTGGATATTTGGGTCGATGCCTGCAGCCGCTAGAAGTTGCTTGGCTATTTCCACATTTCCGACCGAGGCAGCTCCGTGCAATGGAGTGTTTCCGTATTGGTTTTTGCCGTTCGGATCGATTCCCGGAGCGGAGAGTAGTGTGCGAACCGTATTACTTCTGGACCCCCATCCAGCCGCAAGCGTCAGCGGCGTTCCTTGGGGATAATTATCGTGGGTTGCATTGACGTCAACCTGCCCCTTGTCCAACAGCACCTGTACCATATCCGCTTGGCCCCTGTCGGCTGCTATTGCCAGTGCAGTGTTCATGCGTCCAGCCTTCTTGTCCGTCTGAGGGTGTTCTAAGATGGCCGAAACGAGGTCTACACTTCCACACTTGACTGCGTAGATCAGAGGCGTATATCCCGAATCGTCCCTGGAATTAGGGTTGACCCGTCTGCTAGCGAGCAGTCTGCGAACCACGGCCTGGCGTGCCTTATCCGGCCGCCAACTTGTACCATGTAGGGTCGATGACTCTGGGGATAAGGCCCACATGAGTGGCGTTCGTGCCTGGGAATCTGTGCTGTCTGGTTCAACGTTTTCGTTAGCTAATAGCTCGGCCACAAGGGCTTCCCGAGCATGCTCAGCTGCGTATGAGAGAGCAGTGCGCCCATATTTATCTCGTTGGTCAGCATTTACTCTAGCGTCGGCTAGGAGCATCTTCATTACATCAAGGAGCCCTTTCTTCGCAACCTGGATGAGTGCCGTGGAGCCGTAATCCGAGCAGAGGTCAGGTTGGATCCCTTCGGCATCCAGTAATAACCGGACGATCCGTTTGTGCCCCCGGCTGGACGCGGCCATGAGCGGGCTCTGTTCGTGATATGTATTGTCTTGCATGCTGCAATATCGACAGATCAAGTTGACGTCGGCGCCGTGCTTGGTCAGGAGTTCTTGGGAAATCCTATAGCATCCAGCGTCTGCGGCCGCGACCAGCAGCTTCGAAGCCAGCTTGACGGCGTTTCTAGTGGCATTCTTAGCGCCTTCCTCATCAAAGTTGCCCTCACCAGACTCTAGGCCGGCAGAGATATTCATCGCATGGCATTTGTTGAGTAGAGCTAGGGCGATGTCTTCGTACCCGGCTTGAACGGCCAGTTCCAGGATACTGACCAGCCTGACTTCGTCGTCGCCGTCGCAGCCACTTTTCGTTTTCGCGGAAGGATCAATGCCGTTTGCGCTCGCCAGCAACTCGGCTGTGTCCCGGTGGCCCTTCTTCAGGGCGACGGCGAGGGGTGTCTCGGTATCGTGCTCGAAGAAAAGAAGAGGTCGCGGGTTCACGTCCAACAGGCGCCCGCACGTCAACAGCTGCCGCACAACGGCGACATGGCCGAACAAGGCCGCGTGCCATAACGGCGCAACGTAATTCAAGTCACGCAGATTGGGGTTGGCACCGGCGGCGAGCAGCTGCGCTACCACAGCTGCGTGGCCGTTCATCGCGGCGAGCGCTAACGGCGTACAGCCAATGTAGTCGCGAACGTCGACATCGACGTCCGCCTCAGCCAAGAGCTTTGCGACCAAATCAACATTGCCAGCTTTGGCAGCTGACGCAAGCGGCGTCCGCGGTTCATCACTCTCTTCTTCATACCATCTTTCATACCATGTCTTGTCGCTTTTATCGTTGATAGTGATGCTGTGCAGGCCGTTGGTGACGTCGCCAACGTCCTCGGATGACTCTGGTACCTCAGAACTCATGTCGTTTGGCAATATCAGTGCGTCGACGTCGAGCACCAGCTGATTATTCAGTGACCGGAGTACTTCGGATCCCGTTTTTAATCTGATATGGGGATCCCTCTGATATGGATCGGTTTCCACTTTTTATTTACACTTCACCCGAACCTTTCTCCCATTTCATATCCTTGTTCTTCCAGTTGGGTGAAATTTATGCTCCGGCAGATTGTGACCTAATTCCACGAAGTAGGGCTAAGTACAGTTTGAAGTGTGCCGTGGCAGGGTGGCTACCTGTTCGTGCGGCTTGAAAGGCACCGAGAGGGGTGGGTGAGGGGTTCCCACTAGTCTTGTGCACACTCTGAGCACAGGGCGGCATCAGCCTCGTCCCGATCCGGGGTGAGGCGCGGGCAGTTTTCCGGGCCGCCAGGCTTGTCTCCGGACCGCCATATAATACCACAACGCCCAAAATCTAAGTACCTAGATTACTGTCACGGATGGCAGTGCCGAGGGCTTGGCACCTAATAGCTTAGATTCGTTCGTGCCATTCGCCACCCATTTAGCTTAGCCAACATCATCAATCAATCATCTCATTGAGCATATTAGAACGAAAAAATATAATTGCCATTTATGGTTTGATCCTAGAGAGTGAGCGACGGCGGCATTCACCTGATATTTCATTGAGCCGTTAGCTGAGCCTCACCGAGCACTCCCGAAGCAGCACACTGAGCTAAAAGAAGGGTCGAAACAGGCTCCGAAGACATGGGCTAAACCAGCCTCCTAGCAGGGAGCCTGTTTCGGCAGAGATGATGGCCTCTAATAATCGACAGAAGTAAGCCTACGCGTGGTTTCTTCTGGTAGCTCAGAGCCATTGCCCCGTGCCTTTCTGATTTCCATTGTCAAGACGATGCAGGGGAAATCAACCTGCTGTTCCTGCTACATGACCTCGTAGGCCTATCCAGAACTCGCCCGAAAGGCAACCTGTGGAGGTCTCTTGTTACTCTCTCTCTCCCTCTCTCTCCTCTTCTTCTTCTCTCTCTTTTCTCTAGGGGCAGACAACAATACCGAGGCGCTTGCGACTCGTGCAACAGTCATTGTGACTGTCGCGTGTCTCTTCTCACCGTTGTGCTTGCGGTCCTACTACAGCTTCGGCGACGAGCCGAGAGCTAGACATTCCTCCGTCGCGAACCTAACGATTGTGCTGTTTCAGAAGTTGTGTGGTGCGACCGGAGTCATTGTAGCCGCCAGATGGCGCATTTAGATGCTTGGCTTTAGTATCAGATGAAGAGTTGCGAATACAATCACTTTGCCTGTTGAGTTCTCCTTCAGATTAGTTCTCAAGGAAACAGACATGGCAGAAGACTCGGGGCGGGAGCAAAGTCGGTTGATGAAAAGTTTGGAATAGTCCTCCGACTACCGGACCAAGGACAATGGCCGTCGGAGCACTATCATACCTTCACACCGATTCAGAAGATTGGCGACCAAAAGTTCGACAGTTTTGACACCGACACCGTCATCTCTAACGAACGGCCATGGCGAGGACAGATCAAAGTCGAGGCCGAGCGGGTCGCGCAACGTGCCGGGAGACTTCTGGGCCAGGACCGCGACGAAGCAGGCTGGCGGTTTGCTCTTGAAAACGATTTGCTTCACAGATTCCACGTGGAAGTTGCGTGGTATGGGCTCCCGTTCGCCTGCAACCATTGAAACTCTAAAAATTATTAAGTTATGGATGTAGGGCTCGACTTTGGCGGTCCGAGTTCGAAGCCTACATAGATCCATCTGAAGACATCAGGAGCGGTCTGCAAAAACGAAGAGAAAATCGCAAAACTTGTAGCTGTCCACCAGAATATCGTCGAATCGACTCCCAGTAAGTCTAGATTGCTGCCAAGAACCGCAGCTGGGTGACTGATATTGTGATTCAGCTACGAGCCCGGCATTAATCCTCTTTTCGAAGACAGAGTCCAAGAGATAGTAATTCATGAACGTCTTTTCAGGTCAGAGCTCCCGAATCAAGAGCCAGATCGAATTTTTGGTCTGCGAAAGAGGAAGGCCTTCGATGCCATTTTGGACGCACTTGGAGCCCCTGCACGAGCAACGCCAGGCCCTTTTTCCAGCCCCGACATCATCAGATGCAGTCCTTTTAAGGATTGTGACGATCCTTAACTCTTCCCATTCCTCATCCTTGAAGGCAAACGTGAGAAAAGATCAGAGGGCTTCGTGGGTATCCACGTTCAAATGGCTTTCCCTATCTGGACGCTGCTGAAAGAGAGCTTCCGCAAGCCCCCTCCTGGGATGGATTCAATTCCGGGCAAAGCACGTGCATGCGGCACCACCGTGTGGCGTGCTGCTATCGAATGTCTTCGTCTCGGCTCCCCTTGGCAACATTTCTTGGGTGCTGTCTCTCGTACTCTTGTCTCCCTCTATTCTCTCCCAAGGCGAAGGCGTGCGGACTACTACCCCTCAACCGCAGCTCTGGGCTTTGGTTATATCTCCAGGCCAAGATTACGAGAAATTATTGAGAAACTTAACCAACTCGGCTCCAAAAAAATTGCTCCCAAAAATCTCATGATACGTTTTGGGGTGGATATATACGAATGGGCCTCAAATCGAACCTTCAAACGAGACGTTATACCTCAGCCAGAAGAACTCACTTTTATCAGGGCTTCGAGAATAAGGCAGCACACTTCACACCAGCATGCGCACAATCATCAGTTGTGCAAAAAATGCCACTGTGTAAGTCAAAACTTTGAGGACGACATTACCTTCACTCGAGCAGATCCGCCATCAATATCTGAATATGGCATGGTCTTAGTGGAGGCATTGGACATGACATCTCGCCCGCATTAGAAACATGACCTTTGTCTTATCGCATTTGACATCCTTCCAGAGGCTACGAATGGCATAGCCCTTGCCACAGTTGTGCAAGACATATTGCAAAGCAATCACATGAACCACACAATCAGACATCCGTTTCCACGGACATTGACACGCCTGGCAGAGGCGCGTGATCCCCTCTGGAATCTTCCACTGCCTTACCGGCCAGTTACGCGAAAGCTTCGATTTGATACCCAGAACTGGGTACTTGAAGTGCTGGGAGAGGAACCTGCGGTCGAGAGTTCTGAGGTATATCCAGTAGATTACTGGAATAATCTCCAACTTCTTTTGCATTTCCTAAAACAAGGGATAAAATGGGGAGAGGCCTGCAGGATGACAAGGACTGAGCTGGAAGGAGGTAAAGGTAGGCGAGAGTTTTCCCACTTGCTCGATCAACAGGAAAGGGAGAAATCAAAAGACAAAGAACTAGAACCTGGAACTCCGGCGGGTGGGTAACAGAGTTATGAGCTCTATTTCCTACCTTGGCCCCCCGTTGTCTACTACAGGGTGAAAAAGAGAAAGATGGACCTCACGATTCTACAAACAAATCTCTGAATAAGTCGTAGCCCCAGACGAAGGCATGATGTGGATAGTTTAATCATTACCTCCTACGTCCGTCAAAGAGCACAATAGGAGCCGCTTAATTCAACAATTCGCGTACATCAAAAGCAGAGGCTGGGTGGGAATCTCCTAGCACCTTATTCTATCGTACTGGTAGCAAAGGATTCATCACATACCGAGTCCTGGCAAGCAATAGTCCGATTGAACACTCCAGGTATGTTTAAGGGGCTGAGTCGGAATTCCCCAATATCTCAGACGGATGATATCGTCCAAGGTTAGCCTAGTGAGCCAGAGTGTATGATGAATGAAATCGCCCGCGGGCAGCGCTCAGGGATCAATCTGGTGAGGCGAGGGTGAGCAAAGCGGCGAGCTAGGAGGGTCGATATACTACCCCCAATACTTGATAATGAAAAAACTGATTACCACTTACGGTTTGATCCTGGAGAGTGAGCGATGTCTGCTTTTACCTGAGCCTTAACTGAGCCTTTAGCTGAGCCTGGTGCCTCACTAAGCGCCCCATGAGGAAGCAGGTCCCGGAGCTGCAAAAGGGGGCTAGCACTATGCCTAATCTGGCCCTTTAGAGATCAAACAGCGAAACTGGCACGTGCTTGGTAAGTCCCCGCTTCTGCGCTGCTACCTAAAGTTCTTATAACACCAAGGATACAGAGAATCAATTACTTCGGACAGTCCTACGCGAGCTTTCTTTTCGACGCAGCAAAGAGGATTGAGAGCTCCCTGCAGCTTCTGACCAAGCCCATCATCGTACAATACGTTTTTGGTTATATAGGCGTATTCCTTGCAGCCCATTCTTTGACAAAGCTTCCCACGGTAGGAGTCAACGCCTTGTGCTACGACCGCCTTGTTATTTACATGGCATCATACCCGAAAATGTAAGCGACAGTTCTCATTAGTGCTTGACTGCTTGATAATCGAGAAGCAGCCTCAGACTACCATCAAGAGGAATGGCCGATCGACGCTCAGACTCCTACGATGGCGTTCCTGAAGAGGCAAACATCGGTGTCAGAGTCCCGCCAAAAGCCATGAATCAACTTTCTTCGTCTTCGAATGCCGCTAAAGCAAAGAGAAATCAGAAGGGGCTGGAGTCACTCGACAAGGCGGCTCGAAAGGCTGGAGAAGCGGCAAAGAAAGAAGCAACTACTCAGGACCAAGATCATTCGCAAGGGCAAACAGGAAAATGAAAGTACTTCAACGGGGACTTTCCACTTTGTCCTCGAACGCCTGGCGGAGCTGCCTATCATATTCCTCCTTATCTTTCAGTTTCTTATTAATGAATGAACTCGTCCCAATGGTCCAATATTCCATCATAATTGTGTAAAACGCGTCGTTCTCTTCGTGCCCGTTGGCGAGTATCGGCTGGATGTGATCGTAGAATACTCGAACAAGCCCCGTTGGACTTCGAAGAGCCAAAGTGTACCAGAAAGTCCCCATTTCCCATGCTTGTTTCATGACAACGGAAAGTCTGTCTCGAGGTTGAATGGAAAGCTCCTGCTCGGTTTCCTCCATAACATCTAGGAACTCGCGACGAACGGGGTCGTATATCTTCTCGTCCATCTGGTCGATTGCCTGGTTCGCTAGCCAGCGGGGAGGGTGGATCATTTCAACGGGACAGGAGAATGCCCATTCAAGATCAATAAGGCATGTAATGTTCCAGTTTTCATCAACAAAAATGTTACTCTGATGTAGGTCGGTCAGGCTGAAAACAAAAGGTCCATAGCGGAGGTCGCGTCGTAGAAAGAGTGATGAAGTAGCTTTCATGGCGGCCAAAGCCGACATCTGGTAGATACAGTCTCCAATGTCGCTAACACCGTTTGGTTGATGGCGTAACCGACTATCGTGTAAACAGTTCAGCGTGTCTATCACATAAGAGTCCGCGGATGTGTAGGTTAGATGACGAGGAATATCCACCGGGATCTGCTCATTCTCCAGCTGATGGATTACCTGCGACAGTGGCCTGTTAGCCAAATGTAAGAATCCGTTATTGTCCACGGTGAAGGAACCAATGCGCGGAAGTGGTACTTGAGCGATGTTCAACAGGATCCGGGACAGGTTTGAAAAGAGGTTCCTGCGCAGCCCTTTCTCGTGATACCTCTCGTTCCATGTGCATGACAGCATTTGACCCTCGGCTTTTTCTATGTAATCGATCAGAAGATAGCCGGAGCCCAAGGAGTCAAAGCTTGCCCCTCCACGACGAATGTATCTGGACGGGACGGGGAATTTCAGCCAGTTAAGCAGTCGGCGATAGAAATGGTGTGCTAGCCGGAGAAGGAGAGGTAGGTGCTCGATGGCGGTAAACTGACTTGAGGTTAGCAAGTTTATAAAACCTGAATTGTGATCGTATTCTTCTTACCCTCTGACCTGTCGAGAGTCCGAACCCATACAGGCGAGGGATCGGGACGGATGGACAATTTTGCTGAAGCCAGATGTAGGTGCCGGCTTCGCAACGAAGCTTTTCGTCCGCATTTTCTGGGCCGCCCACCTTATACGGCAGTGGAAATCGGATAATAACCCTTTTCGTTGGTTGTCCCTTCCAGTTGGAGATGGAGACTGGAATACACAGATTGAAGCTGCCGTAAATCCACTCTTCTGGTTCTGCTACCTTGCATAGTTGGACATTCAATCCAAGATGATGCGCAGTAATTTCATGGATAACGGTTCGATTTCGATATAGGTGATTAAAGAATTTGCACCGTCGATCCCACACCTCGAGTTTATGCAATACGTTCGATTCGTCGTCCTTCACATCCGAATAAGAGATTTGCTTGTCGGAGAGTTGAAGTTTTGCGGGCATAACACCACTTGTTATTATGTATCGACACGTGAAGAAAAGAGAAATTACAACGAAATTGGAACAGATAATAGCAGTGGAACAACCCTGCGCGAAAGACTTTCGGACTGTACGTTTAATTCATCAATTGTCTTTCGGTGGAAGGCGTTTGTAGGCATGTTTGTCCTGGTTCTGCTTGTGAAGGTCGCTGGGGAAACCTTGGGCTTTCAATGGCTACGCGAGAACAACTCATGAATGGGCTTGGCGTCACGCGGATATTCCGGATATAAGATCTTCCGTATTCTCCATACCGGGAAAGTTTGGCGACACTAAGGTCCAGAAGTGGGTACTTGCGAACATGTGAAACACCGGAAACAGGAACCCTGGGGCAAGGTTATGGGTCCCCTTCTCAGACTGCGTGGTCACATGGAAACCCCCAACCCACACAACCCCATTCCAGATCATCCATTCCTCCATCCTACGAGAGGAAGACTGAGTGAGCCTGGTGCCGATCGTGCCCTACGGTTTCTGTTGCTGCTTGGGACTGCGAATAGAAAGCCGTTTTCTTCATTAATATTACTATGTGCCTGCCCCGACCAGACAGACCTCTGCGGGGCAGATTACTGGTTCATCCATCCAGAGGTATTCGAGAAGGTAAGTGTTAGGGGCGGGGAAAAGTCGCAAAACATCAGTCAACCTGACCCGACCAATTATCCATAATGACAGGGATTGGCCGATAATTCTTCAAAGAGCGTTGAGGAGTAGCAGCATCAGTTCTTCCAATTCCTCGCCGAGCGATCCGTCATGCACACATCAACATCCACCATACCACCTGTTTCTTTTTTCAACTTACTTGGTGCTTCTCAGCTCACACTTGGTCAGCTGCCGTTGTTGTCATTGTGGTGTTACCATTCTGTTCCTCTGCGCCGTTCGTGATCCTGTCCTCCTGGGGAGAAGACTGATGACCCTTCTCCAAGAGCGGCGGCGGTAAATTGTAGAAGAGTCCACGTTCCCGCTTGTGGACCAGGACTTGCAGAATGGTCGCGAACACGCAAAAGGAGCTAGAGGAGGTGGTAACGTATCAGCACTTTCTGACACTCTTGGAAATCAAGTCCCAACGGGATTTATGTATGATACACGTACACAGCGATGATGCACCACGACTCCAGAGCGTACTTCAGAGTACATGTGCGAAGGCCCGGTGGCGAGTTCCTCGCGCAGTCCTTCCAGTTGTAGTCCTGGGCCGCGAAGATGAAGGCCGTCACCCAGAGGTGCGAGTAGATGTAGTCCAGCGGGATCAGGTGCATGGTGAGGCGGCGGTGGAAAGCCAGGGGCATGGTGGGCAGGAAGAAGGCAATGCTGGTGCAGGCAATGACTTCTTGGTACGTTGTGTGCTCGTTGCGCGAGTAGTCGTGGATGAAGTACGAGACGATGGCCATGACGATGCAGGCGCTGGACCATTTGACGAAGTTGACGCCGCACAAGAGGATGCGGAGCCAGGTGAATGAGGTGTCTGGCCTGGCGCTGGAGAACCTGAGGCTGTGTCGAAACTTCATGTTTTGCTCTAGAGGATTGCTTGGGGGGTATCGATCTCTTTGTTGCCCGGTTCTTTCGTAGGTCATAAAGGATGAGACAAACCTTGACATGAAGTACGATTCAATTTCGATACATATCCATGACCTATATACAACCTTGAGTAGGGTGGGGGCACCACAGGAGCCATGTGTCAATGTCAATGTCGATGTCAGTGTCATGCCATTCTCACTGATTGCGCCCGACATCGTCCAAGCGGATGCGAAGGGTCGTGGCGGCACGGAGACGCGGTATCAGTCTCTGTCTGTACATTTGTGTGTCCAGGGGCTCAGAGGTCATGAGACTTCTCGTCTCTGCCTCTCTCTCTGTCATTGCAGGCACCAGCGGGATCATTGATTTGGTGAATCATTCTCGACAGGCCAAGTTACGGCTTTCCAAGGAGTGACGTTGGAGTTTCCGGCTGGCACGGGAGATCGGAATGTGTGGCTACGTCGGAATCACGAGGCTCGATCGGCAACTACATACGTCAAAGTCGATCGGTGAGCATGTCGCAACGGTTCGTGCGCATGTAGACAAAAAGTCGAGTCCGAGTGACACAGTGGTGTGATCAAGTCCACGTACAAGAGACTGAGCAGTACAAAGCATAGGTTTGAAACTAGAACACTGCATTTATCGACACTATCACACACCGACACACTGGTAAATAGCATTTTGCCTCAGTCAGTCCCCAACTCTAGTCATCCTTCGACTCGGCTCTTTCTCCTCGAGCAGCAGCTCTGGCGGTGGCACCTTTGACGACGTTGCTGAGATCTCCCACCGGAAGATTCAGGGGGAAGTCGACGCTGGCCAACAACTGAGCAGCGAGTAGATACCAGCCCAGTAAGCACACGGCGAAGACCAAGCCACCAGCCGCATGCTGGCACGTCAGAGCGGTGCTTGCGTGGCCCTCAGCCAGTTGCCAATAGGTAGCTGCCATAAGAGAGAACGCAGGAACGAGCGAGACAAAAATCAGGACAAAGCAAATATTCGTCCGCAGTGAACAGAGGAGATAGATGAAGCATAGGACGCCCATGTATAAATGGAAAAAAGCAAAGGTACTTGCGAAGGTGGCGTTCGTGGCGCTTGCAGTGGGGTCCCCGGGGTCGTATGCGATGGAGGCGTTGTAGAAGGGAGTCAATGTTGCCGCCCAACTCAACCAAAAGGCACCGAAGGATCCAAAGACGACGAAGGGAAACGTGTTGCCGAGGATGAACTCCAAGACGGATCCAATAATCATCAACAGGCCGCCGAAGAAGTAATAGACACCCCTTCGTCACGAAGAAAAGTGTCAGTGTCTAGTTCAGGAGCGACCGAAGACGACCGGAATTGGGGATGAAGACCTACACTTCTGCAGCGCCCGAGTCGCCGGACTTCCTCCAGCCCAGCAGAATATTCGAAAGAGGACTCAAAGATAACAAGAAGCCGCAGAGTGCTCTGGAATACCGGCGTTATTTCCCCCGTGACTCAATATCAGAAGGAATAACTTACAGGGGTGTCGGATTGCCCAAAGTCGACCTCAAGTTGTTTGATACGCGGTTTGCGGGTGATAAGTAAATCTTCTCGAAAAGCTCAGGGGTAATGGATATGCTTCCGGCCGTTCGAAGTCTGCGAAGTGCGTTTTCCCGGTCATAATCATCGTGATGCATATCATAGGCGGTCTTGTGATTGCTAGGTAAACTGTTGATATCGTCCACGTCCATTATTCACAGCCTTGAAAACGGTGAATATTTGGTGAGAGAGAATTTGTTTCCAGACAGCATGGATAGCGTCAAATTGCATTGCTCTATCTCCAAGGATGCTGGCCCCGGCCATTAAGTATTTGCGTCGGTATTGCATTGGGGGAAGTTGTAAGTCCCTCAATGGGCTGGCTCAAGGATACGTGGAGTGCCAAAAGGAAGTCGGAATGGAATCACGGAATCGACAACAAAAGGATTCCCGGTCGTGCCGGAGTAATAGCTATTGCCGGTTGACCGATCCGCTCGGTCCAAGCACAGAGCAAGCAATAACCTGGCTGACATTTCATACAACGTGTAGACCGAATGCTGGAGGTTTTGTGTCTATGCTCTTGATATCCGGTCGCGCCAGCTACGTCGCTGAGGTGGGGGGTTTGCTCAATACAGGAGCCTCTTTGGGACCTGGACTGAGCTCTTTACGAGGGAGATCAAAAGCAAGACATTCCTCGTTATCGTCGATCTGTGACACAAGAACGCGCAGGTGGTCTTCATCTCACCCGACCAAGTCTGGGTAGAACGGATGAGGCGGAAAAGCTCCTACAAGGTCGAGAGGAGAGATGGCTAGCAGCCCTTAGCGTCGGAGTAAGGATGGCTGATATCCAATTCGAAGAACAGGAAACGTGATGGTCATGTGCGTGGTTGTCGACAGTATTGAGTGGCGGTTGACTCCGAAGATCCCCAATGCGATGAAGCTGCGAGAAGACACTGGGTCATTCGGCGTCTATAATGTCAAGGACGACCGTATAACACTCCAAGGAGCGAAGACTGAACAAAAAAGGAGGAGGCATATAGGGGCTCCGACGCTTGCTGGCAGGATACCTCATGTTGGCAGTTGGCCACATTCTTCGTCACGAGACTCTGATGAAAGACGAATAAGGGGTTGCTAGTACCACAAGCGATCATGGCACGATCCATTGGCCAAGCAAAAGGCAGCTAATCAAGAAGAGAGAAGAAGGAGGCAATATAGGTAGAGCGCCAACTGCAAGATGAACAGAATAGGGTGGTCGGTAAGGAATCAGGTCACTGGTCTCCTTCTCCTTCTCCTCCTCCTCCTCCTCCTCCTCCTCCTCTTCTTCTTCCTGTTTGAGCCACCCACTTCTGAGCCATTATTATGGCTGACAGCCAGCCACTAATAAAGATCTCCTTCTCTTGTTCTTCTACTCTGGGCTTTCGAGACGACAACACAAGTACTGCATAAAGAGGGAGGGGCCCGATGTGGAAAAGGATTCAAAACGATCCGCGAGCCCCTTGGATCCTCCCCCGGCCTTTTCCCCATTCCTCCCAAGCTAAGGTGCTGAGGTAAGAAATCCCACTGTATGCACCGTGTAGATCTATCGGCGTTGTGGTGACGTCCGTGTGGAGAATCAGGGCGAACCATGCACACACCGACCAAAGAAAGAGAGGACACAGAACAATTCCTGCTTAGAATGGGAGACTCTGGTGATGATCGGATAGAGGTGTGATTGACAATGCTTAAACTATCAACTTGTGTGCCATGATGGCAAAAAGGGTATCTGTTCAGTTTCGACAATCATAGGCAGGAAAACCTATACAGCTTTCCAACCCCGCTCCGATAGTCTCTCGTGGGATTTAGCGATCGACGTGCTCAATCTTCGAATGGCCATACACTCCACCCATACTCATTAAAGATCGTCGGGAGCACCCGCCATGTGCCCTTTTGGGAAATTTTAGTTTTGACCCACTGGAGAATCAAGCAGTGGCTGACTTCTCAGTAATCTCTTCGTGATCTGAGGGAACATAGTCATCCGAATCGAACTTGTAGAGCTGTGGAGGAGTAAGGCCTTTGCGTCGAAGAACTGTGGTCCTGAACCAGTATGGTAAAACCTGGTTGAGCTGATAATGCATGTGGGTGCGGGTCGGCACGGCAAAGACATAATCCAGTTCTTCGAGAGTCCGCTGTTTGGTCTCTGGAAGCCACAAGAAAATCATGACGAATGCGACAATGTTGAGGGCGGCATAGAATCCAAACGCACCCTGTGGCCTCATGGCCTGGAGCATACGCGGGAAAGTCAGAGACAAGACTGACGCCCAGAAATTGTTGGTGGCCACGGCCCAGGACATGCCAACTTCACGATGTGATAGAGGGAAGACCTCGGCCGAGTAGGTGAAGGGTACAGGTCCTTCTCCGGGCGAGTAGAACGCGTCGAACAAGAAGATGAATAGCGCGATGAGACCGAGATGCGCAGAGCTGCTTTCTGGAATCCAGAAGCAAAAGCCAGCTGCCAACAGGGTCCAGCACATGTTGGGGAACGTGAAGAGTAAAAGAGCTCTGCGGCCAAAGGTATCTATCGTCCAGACAGCCGGCCAGGCGAAGAGGAAATTGACCAGGCCAAAGCCCCAAGATGCGAGCAGGGAGCCTGTCACGCTGGCTCCTGCATTGGAGAAGACGGTGGACGAGTAGAAAGCGATGATGTTGATTCCGCACATCTGCTGGGCAATCATGACGATACCCGAAGCCTGAGTTGCGCGTCGAATACGCGGAATGGTGAACAGTTCGATGAATCGAGTGATAATGTTGCCGTGGGTGGCGACGGCAGACTCCTCAACGAGAATGTCTTCCTGAACAAGTTGTGCGTGAATGTAGTAAAGATCACGCGCAGCTTGCAGAGGGGTCCGTCGGAGTCTGAGGAGAGCTTGGTACGCTTTGGCGTGGCGGCCTTTCTTCATCAACCAACGCGGAGACTGACGACGGGTCAGTCTGAGAAGCTCCATAGAAGACGCGTTTCACGACTTACCTCGGGGCAGAACCAGATACCGAGAACCAAGGGCACAGCTGGAATGAAAGCGGACCCAAGTTGCAGGCGCCACGCTATGTCACCCACGTCCTTGACCGCCAGGTTGGCGCAAGTACCCAGAAAAATACCAAACGCCGTCCAAACCTGCCAGGACATGACGAGACCACCACGGATGTTCGTTGGGGACTGTGTGGATTGTTAGCTATCGGAAACGTGGCCGGGAGGACTCGGAGAAGGGAGCGAGCCAGTCTTACATTTTCGGCCGAAAACACAGGGACAGTCACTTCCTTGAGGCCCATACCAATACCCAGCAGGATACGGGTTGCGACCAATTGGCCCCAGTGTTGAGTACAGGCCGAACCGATAGGCGCGAGCAGGGAGAAGATGGCACCAACAAAAATAGTTCCGCGACGACCAAGGACATCATTCAGAGGATCGGATATCCATCCGGCACTACCACAGTTAGAGACAATTCTCATGAAAGAGGAGAGCAGGACATACAAGAAGGCGATCGCGATGTAAGGGCATGAGTTGATGAAACCAATGAGCCATGAGTTGTCTTCGCAGGTGCCTTTGGCTGTACACTCAGGACCAGAGTCAGGAATACCAAAGGCGATGGGGAAAGTCAAGTTGGCGCCGTTGGAACCTGTTTGATCCCAGCCCTGGATAGCTGCAGCGATCGAGTTGAGGATGATGGTGAAATAGAGGGTCTTGGGGTGTCTCCAGCGGTGGGTGACCTCTTCACGGAGGAATTCACGTTCGGTCTCGTCCAGTTCGGGAATATGCTCGATAGCATGGGGACTCTGCGCAACCAGGGCACCTTTTTTCAAGAGCGGCAGAATGTCGGTCAGGGAGTTCTCATTGGCGAAGTTCTCGACATCTTGGAGCATCTGCTCGCGCGGAATACCAACAAGAGGATTGCGAACTCTGCACAACATGTCAGCGACGATAACCTCCAGTGACGGCTGGGTCTGGATGGACATACTCTCCGCTGGTGTTGGACGTCAGTTGAGCAACACTGGCCTTGCGTTTGCTCTCATCCGCGAAGAGCACACTCTCTCTCCGATGCTCGTGAGCAATGCCATCCTTGTGGTCAGCCATGGTGGCGGTCAGGGTGTCTTTGGAGGTAACTGGTGTACAAAGCAAGATGACACAAGAGAGGGGAAAAGAAGGACAAGCTGAGGAGCAGGGGGAGAGACGAGCTCTTTATGAATCTGTGGCAGGGTGAGGCAGCTTCGCTAGGAGCCAGAATAGTTAGAAAACGGCGAAGATCAGCTCCAGGTACAGTTTGGTCTCACACAGATTGGACACTCGAGGTGTGCTCCTCCTCATCTCACTACCCTGGTCGTCCATGGGTAGCGTGTGGCACTGTGCATCTGAGCATCAGCGTGTGGAGGGAGGGACCGGGGGTGGAAGCCAAAGTCTGGAGTGACGCTGATCGCGTCGAGATTCGGAAATAGGAACATTGTTGGGCCGAGAAATCACACGACTCGACAAGGGGGTGAGTGTAGGAGAGGGGCCAGGGAGGGAAGCGCAGGCAACCATTGGCAGTGACAGCGAGGTGGTTTGTACAACATCCATGGCAAGGCATGGGGCGAACGAGAATGTTGCAGGATAAACCTGGGAATTGTAACTGACGGACAGCAGGTTTGACGTGAGAGAAAGCCAATGAGATAGAAGACAGAGAGAGCAAAAGATGGGGCTTCACTAGGCTACAACCAGGGGCTCTGCGCAGCGCAGTCACGCAGTCGCCCTCGATGCCCTAACAACTTCCTCCACCGGACCACCACCACCATCTCCTCCTCCTCCTCCTCACCTCCGACCGTGGCGACCAGACGCGACTAAGTTAGCAGACCTGCCCACTCGTCGCCCCAAGATGCCTTTTGCCGTCCTTGCATTCCTGACGCTTTACAGTACCTACGTGTCCTCATCGGGTACTTGGCCACCACTCACCGATCATCATCTTCAACTTGCTGCGAGATGACGACGGCCACCTTGCATTGGCTTCCCCAACGCCCTCTCTACTTGCGCCCTACCCCCGTGACCTGCCTCTTCTGCTTTGCCCTCCCCCCAAGATCACCCGACGAAGCCTTGGCTCCTCAAAAGCTTCAGAAGGCTTGAGTAACAACAAGAATCAATAAGAGAACGCCTTGTTCAAGACGGGGGGACAGACTTTTGGCGCCGCGGCGGGCTGGGATTCCGCCTTGTGATCGACCAGCCAACAGACCATCTGGGGCGATCCGTCTTTTTGCGCTGACGGCTCAAACACCGCGGCCAAGTTTAGTGGCGTCTTTAGCCCTTGCTTCCCAATCCGCCCAGCCAGCGATCGGCAGATGACATGCTATTCCAAACTCAAACTCATCATCCCTTGGTGGCTTGTCAAAGAGCAATCGGGTCAAGGACGGAAGCACGGACCAAATTGTTCGTATTGGGCCCGACTAACAACCCGTTTCGTGACATGGGCCAAGTGGTGTATTGATGGCGACCTGTGACCACGACTGATCTCTGGCACAGCGCATTTCGTTGAATTCTAGAACGAGGCAACTTTGGCCCATGTGAAAAAAACTCTGACAAAAGGCCCTCATTCAACAAAAAGTACGGCAGACTTTGTGGAACAAGGTGGTACTGGGGCACCCGCACCCCGATCATGGGTCAGATAGAGCGGAGACCTTGTGTGCCTTGTGCCTTGAGAAAGGGATAACTTACACCGAGCCACAGGAAAAAAAGCACCCATCAGAGTTGCCACAGGGGCTTCGGACTTCTTACGGTTGGGTCACGCAATCCAGCTATCATCTCTCTATGTACGCAAATACGCTGCCTACCTACCCTGCTGGAAGCAGCAAGTGTGGAGACCGCATCGACTTGGAGAGAGGGTGGCTTGAGCTGGGCGCTTCGACTAATCCCTTCGCGACTAAGGGCACGCAAAACGCTAAGCCAGAGAGCGTAGTTGGGCTGACTTTTCTCGAACATTTCCCTCTACGGACAGGCCATCTGATCGCGCCTGAAGCCTCTGTTGCCGTCTTGGCCGACGCCACAGTGTGGGATCGTGGAGATGTGGGCGCAACTTACTTCCCCCCTCTTCCCAGCGACGAACACTGGTGTGAGTCAGCATTGGAGACAGTCTTTAGCACAATCCGCCATAACCTGCAGCATGTCGCGGTCCTATGCCAGGTCCAGCAAAGCTGTCAACTCTACCAGGTCGCTAGCATCGTCGCCTGGAGCACCTCGAATCACAGGAGACTGGAAAATCCCGCAAGCTGCGGCCGCGTTCGTTGCGACATACTTTCTTGGTCCTTTTGGCCTCGCCTTTGTCCTCTTTGGGCTAAGATGATTTTTCTAGGAACCGCACACGAGGAACTCCCCAGGAGGACTTTGGATGAGGCCGGAGATGAAAGCCATCGAGCTAAGACGAATCATTATGTTAGAGCGAACCCCAACGTATTGCAGCCTCGCCTCACACAAGGTCCGAGCCTTTCCCTCAAACGGCGTATTCCATCCGAAACCGCTCTGCTTGTCGATGCGAAATGTGACCCCAGTATGCAGACGCAGATGAAATGGCCCCGAAACACGGCACAAGATGACGGGACCCGTAAATTGTACGGAGTATTCGGCCTGACCGGACCAATGAATATCCTGACTCTTTTTCAGAAGTAAGGGCCAACATGTTCCAGCTGATGAATATATGCTTCTCACACGAGGCAAATCAAATGCTCTAATAACACATTCCTAGTCCAGCGAAACCAGGCTCGGGAAAGTAGCAGGAGAGAAACCACTCAGTCCACGACCCATAGTCTGACCTTTTTCGTCCCACCTCTAGCTTCCTGGCGATGGAACTAATTCGCTATCCAAGTCCAGGTTGCGGATAACCGACTCTGACAGGCCCAGAGCACTTCAGGCTGTTCTCCAACGTCTCTACATAGATGTCTGCTGAGTCTCGAAAGACTCAAATATTCTGGGGAGAAACACCGGCAGAGCATTCCGCCAGACGGCGTTGCTGTCACCGCCACTTCTGTGGCTATCTCAGGATTTTCACGGCATCCATGAAGAATGTCCAAATCTTACTCGAGTACCAGGTGGGCGGCTTCCCGCAGAGGTGGCTTTTAAACCTTTCGCGTGGGCAAACCGTTCGAACAAACACTATTCTGTTTGGGACATATATTCCCCCGAATGATCGTTGTCACCCACCTTGTGGATCGAATGCCGCCGTCGTTTCTGGATCTACGTCCAGCACCAAACTGTGGGTCCCCCTCCAGCGCTACGCTTCCGATCACAATAGTCAGATGGGCGCCGCTGGTGTGGTAAGTATCAGACCATCCTTCCCGGGTTACTTCCACGGATTCTGTGCAAGATTCCACTCTGTGATCGCAGGGCGCGAGCGCGGTCTGGTGTGTCTGGCCCTCCCTTTCTCTCTTACTGTGGCTCTCTGTGGTCCCTTGGTGTGCTCTGCTTGCTGGTCGCACCGCGTTCTCACCACACGTCCGAGCACAATGGCCGTAATCATTACTCGCTCCTGGCCTCCTTCCCGCCGTTCATCGATTGCGGACTGCTCCCTAAAGAGTCTGGAGCAATGGAGCACAAGAGAGAGAGGTAAGCAAGCAAAGAGCCAGCTTGCAGTCTCTTCCAGCACACACATCTGGCGCGATGAGTAGAAGTATGGCAAAGCGAAGTCCTCAGTCGTTAGCACCACGCAAAAGGACACTATCAAGAAGAGCCTGACAAGAAAAGACACGAGAAACACACATGTGGGAGTTAATCGGTTGAATTTTGTTACAGTCGTTCTCCTCAAGCCTCGGCCTCTCACAGGAGGACGTATACACACACATACAAGAGACCTAGCCACCGCCCGGTCTTGTAAACTCCCGAAACCCCAAGGATTTTCTCATCTGAAAGTGGTTTTACACGTTGATGACGACCCATCATCAGTTCATCTATCCGTCGAACGATCTTTGAATGTCTCCGGTCGACTTTCTCGACAGTTCAAACGCCCTTAGTGGCTTTCGCCGGACTCGACATCAATCATCTCACTCTCCGGATGCGGTGTTCGTCGCGTCCTCTCCTACCCTTCTTCCCTTTCTTGGAGTCTTTCCCTGGCCCAAGCGGAATGTCTTTCATCAGGTACTTTTGCAATTGAATGAAATACTCATCGATGTGATGGATCCTTTCCTCATCTTCTCGCGACTCGATGATGGCCGTGTCGGTGGCTCCGAAAGGTCCAGTTGATACGCCGCCAAGTGCAGGTGTGCTTCTGGCATCGCCTGTCTGGGTTCTCGGTGTGGCACTGGCTCTTCCGTCCTCAAAATCACCCTCGTCCGCATGCTGCAATTCTCTCGCCGCGACTTTAGCCGCCGTACGATCCTCTTGGTCTTCGGCTTGCTCCAGAACCCCAATACTGGTTTTCTCGTTGCCCAAGACGCGATCCATGGCCTTCCCGGCCTCATCCTCATCGGCATTCTCATCAAGCATATCCCGATAAGTCATCCGGTTCATGTAGTCCGTGGTGAAATCACCCTCCTGGATGACCACATCATCAAGCATTTGCTTTTGGTTGGCTTTTCTGAGAATGTTCGACTCAATGGTATGTTCGGAGACGAAGCGATAGATGTGGACGTCTCGCGTTTGGCCAATACGGTGCGCCCGGTCAGTACACTGCTTGTCCATGGCGGGATTCCAATCGAGGTCGTAGAAGATGACGGTGTCTGCTCCGGTCAAGTTGATGCCGAGTCCACCGGAACGGGAAGAAAGGATAAAACATAGGATTCGGGTGTCGTTGTTGAATCTCTCGGTGAGAATCTGTCGCTGCTCAATTTTTGTGGCGCCGTCCAGTCGCAAGTATCGATGGCCGTGAATATTGAGGAATTGTTCGAGGATATCGAGAACTTTGGTCATCTGTGTAAAGATCAACGCGCGGTGGCCACCGGCTTGGAGTTGGCGAAGCAACTTGTCCAGTCTCTGCAACTTGCCACAGTCGTATTGAAGGAGGCGTTTGTCGGGGAAAGCGATGGACAGTTTCATGCGGGCGAGGTGGAATGGGTCCTCCTTGTCACCCTTCAAGGTTGATTCTTCTGCTTCTCGGATCGCTTGGACGCCGGCATCCGTTACAGTCCTGGCATAGAGGTCGGTGGCCACCACGGCGGGAGTGACACACGCATACTTATCAACAAACGATTGCATCTGTTCCGACCTCGACTGCACAGAATGAATAAGATCAAAGGACTCCATGGGCTGCCCTTTGTCCCAGAATCGGCTCAAACTCCGGCGCGGCGACAGTCTGGAGAGCCTCTCATAAGTCGTATTTATCGTCAACTGTTCAATCAGTCCACGTCCGTAAACCGGGTGCTGATGGTGCTTGTATGCTTCATAATACATTGTACGGTCCAACTCCTGAAGCCGGGCCCTCCGACCAACGTTCTCCAGGGATCCGAGCACACCGAGCCGAGTCTCGCCACGCCACAAGATGGCATTATCGTTACAGACACTATTGTGGGAGGACGATAAGACCCTTCTGGACTGAGCCTCCCTCAAGGTCTTGAATTTATTGAAGGCATGTCGTTTAGTAGTTTCGATTACCTCAATCACAGACAGCCGCTCTTCCGAAATGGGCGCCAACCGCAAGAAGTCGAGGTCTAGATCGTTCGAGGCGTCCAACATTAGTTTCCGACGAACCAAAAGATTTTTAATCTCAAAGTCAGCTGCAGCAGATTTGTGCATTGCAAACGATGTATTGATCGGTCGAGTCTCAAATAGGTCAGGGTGATTGCAGACTTTGCGCAACTGCATCAGGGCATTGATGATTGACAAATAGTTGCCCGAGGCCAATGTTTCCTTAGTCTGCGCTCTGGCCATGAAGCCATCGTACAATTGTCGCTGACGCTTGGATAAACGACACATCTCAACGTGTTCATATTTAGCTGGCATCTGTTTCTCGACGTCGGCTTTTAGTCGGCGCAGGAGGAAGGGTCGGATCACTTTGTGGAGTTTCGCAACCTGTTCTCGATCCTCTTCATCCAGGACCTGCCGACCATGCTCTAGAATCGACTCCACGGGCCTTTTGAACCATTCCGACCACTCTTTCAGACCAGCGAACGCGTCGTCCTCACCTTCATTTTCTTGACCATAGTGGAGGAAGAAGAGAAGGGACCAAAGTTCTGTTAAATTGTTCTGAAGAGGTGTTCCAGTCAAAAGGAGTCGGGCTCTAGTGTTGAAGGTCATCATGGTCTGCCATCGTTCTGAACGGAAATTTTTGATATTGTGGGCTTCATCGAGAATCATGTAATGCCACCGGCGTCTCTTGAAGGAGTTGGCGTCTTGCAAGACCAATTGGTATGAGGTGATGCACACGTTGAAGCTGTCGTCTGCCATCCAACCTCTCCTCTTTTGCTTCCGTTCTTCAAGGTTGCCGTAGTAAGTCAAAACCTTGAATCCAGGCAAGAACTTCTTGAACTCCATTTCCCAATTTAGCATGACACTCGTGGGTACAACGATAAGATGGGGGCCCCAAACTTCGTAGACTTCAGCCAGGTGAGCTAAGAGTGCAATGCTTTGAATAGTCTTGCCAAGACCCATCTCGTCGGCTAGGATTCCACTTCTCCCATGAGCGTACAGATCTGCAAGCCAGTCAAGACCTTCGTGCTGGTACTCACGGAGAGTACCTCGCAACAAGGACGGGACGGGCGTCTTAATGACCGGCTTTGTCTCCGAGGGTGTAACAGGCTGCGCAGAGTCCACAGTGGCATCGATAGAAGAGACCGATTCGGGTTCCGACACTTTTGTTGCAGTCGTATGAGGAGACGTTTGGGTGCTAGGCTCTCGACTTACGGGGTCTTCAGAAGCGAGTCGGGCAAGTTGAGGATGGAGGGGGGGCGTCGCGTCTCGCATTTTGACGTCGTCAAACTCGGTAGCTGTTGGTGTTTCCGTCCGTATGGTTGTTTCATCAGCGGGTTCGGCTTTCGGCTCCTCAGCAACGTTTTGCATGGGAGTGCAAGGCTCTCCATTCGGTTCTGTGTCTGGCATCGGCGTTTCTTCTAAGACTTCCACGAGGGGGGTGTCGTGGCTCTCGGCCTCATCTTCTTTGTATGCACTCGTTCCATCGGCTTCAAGCGTCATATCCGCAATCTGCTTCTTAGAGAACAGTAGCGAAAGGAGTCCGCCACCAGAGGAATCATTGTCGCTTTCCTCATCCTCGTTCTCATCCTCCTCGCTGGTTCCCTCTGTATCAAACTCAGAGTCCATTTCCGTATCGGTATCTGAATCTTCATCGGGCTGATCTGGACCTGCTTCATCTTGACCCCCGTCTCCTTCATCATCGACCGGTAGCTCTGGTAGGTTACCATACTTCCTTTTCAATTCTTCGACGGACATTTCGGCGTCGAGGTCCTTGTCCGCAGGTTCCGACTCCGATTCAGTCTCGCTCTCTGACATCTGCTCGCTGTCCTCCGACTCGGATTCGGTGGTCTCGTTGGACGAAACCTCGGTTCCGCTGTCCATCACCGAGTCGTCTTGTTCATTAAGCCGGCTTAGCATTTGGTCCGTTCGATCCAGGACGCGCGCAAGGTGTCCCTTCATCTTCGCCTGTTGCTGTTCCTCGTATTCCTTCTGCCGGATGGCATTGACTTCTAGTCTGACTGCGGCCCATAGTTTATCGATGTCTTTGACCACAGTCCGATATATTGCGAAAGTAGCCTCTCGTTTCTCTTGCTCGATTTCTTCAGCAGTCTTCACCTTATTGCGCTTCTGCTTCTCTTCAACGTATCGTTTTGCCTCGTGTGCCAATATCTCTGCCTTTTTCTTGTGGTCTCTATGCTCCGCTCTGAGAAGCGTTCTGAAGTGGCATACATGAGCCAGGAGATGGTCACGATGCGCGTATTGTTTTCTTGGTTCGTCTTGCTTCTCAGGTACCGCATCGACCAGCTTCTTGTCAAGCGACCCACCTCGCCTTTGGGCATCCCTCACTCTTCGTCGAGCCGAAGCCTCCTTCATAATTTGATCTGGTGTTAATGTTTCCTCCCCTGTTCTGGGCTCCGTCTCATCCTTTTCAAGGAATTCGCTGAAGGATGCGTACTTCTTTGGTAAAGGCACATTGGCGGGGCTAGCAACGGAGGGCGGGAGCAATCGAACTCGGAAGGTAACTCTGCGCAGAGTCAACGGAGGAGTCGAACCTCTGGAAGATACTGGGGTAGGGCTGTCGCAATTGTCGTTGTCACTCTCTGGCTCGATCTTCACTATCCCATTTGTCTGCGGTTTTTGGTCATGTATTCCGTTGACCTGTGGCGAGATGATCCGTGAGCGACGGTTCGCACTAGAAGGGCGACGACGGGATTTAGCCTGATGATTCGAGCTGATGTTTGAGTCTCTGCGATACCTCTGCGAGGGTTCAGCCTTGGCGGGGGTTCGTGCCTGGGAGACATCGCGACCCTTGGAAGAAGGGAGGGAACCACGCTTAACGGTCGTCGGCGGCGAAACCTGCGATTCGACTTTCGACTTGCGAGTGGACACATTATAAATAGGTTTCGTGTGTTTTTGACGCTCTTCCTTCACCTTATCAAAGGCAGCGCGTGTCTGCCTCTTGTTTGACTGCGGCTGCAGGTCGAGGGGCACTACGTTTGTTCTCCCGGACTTGCGGCGGCCATCTTGGATGAAGGATGTCGGGCCTTCTGCAACGACTCGTTTCCACGGAGGAGAGATGAGTCGAGGAGACGGTTTGTGGTCAGCGCCTGCGACTTTCCGCCTCTTCGCGGGTGGGCCATCGTTGTTGCCATGATTATCTTGGGGTTCGATGGAGGATCTTAGAGGGCTTTCTTGAATGCGTATGGGCGACGGGGATCTCTTATCAATCAAATCTAGAAGACAATCAGCCAATTGATATAATGTTGAGTTCAGTGAAGGAGCATACCCTGATGTTGGTGGTTGGAGTCTGATTGAAAGTCGCCGGTCGGGGAAGGAATCGGCATCTGGCGCGGTCGCTGCTGTTGCGTGCGACGGGCATGGCAAAATCGAGATTCTCAGAAAAACACCAAATTGACAACGGGTATGCTCCACGGGCAGGGCGCCAAATAGGTCGAGCCGCAAGTCAAATTGAAGAAGGGACCGAGGGGAATCACCTCACGAAGTTTGCGGCAACCTGCGACCAAGTTGGGCTGTTGGCAGGCGGTTGAAGTTGGAGGCAAACCGTGAAAATATCGAGATGGGAAGAAAGTCAGCGCAGGGGGGAGGAACAGGCGAGTTTAGGGCGCAAGCCACTGCGGAATCCCGCCTAGGCACTGACAGCTGTTGCCTAGACCAATCACTGCCCGCCATTCTTCATCCTCCAGCATCCCTCTTCTCACACTCCACACACACGTCAACTCTTTGCATCCGTTTGTACAATCAATCTGAATGACTTAATCTCGACGTTGCTTCACTCATCGTCCGGCTCACTGGAGCCCTAGCTACACGAAGATGCTCTCCCGACGAGCCTTGACTTTGGCCGCAGCCTCCGCACGATCCTTTGCCCGAACCCGGCCTCAATCTCAAATTCAACCTCAATTCCGCATACCTCGAGCCCAATTCTCAGTTGCAAGATGTCTAAAGGCTGCTGGAGAAGAGATAGACGATCCTGAAATGGTACACTGGTCTACCGTACAGCTTTGAGGAGGATGCTAACCTCGACATTCAAGAATAACAACTACATCAACCCGCCTCGAATCAAGCGACAACACCGCGACCCTTATGCCGACTGGGATGACAAGCAAGAACGACGCAACTTCGGTGAACCTGTCCATGAAGATAATGATGTTCTCGGCATCTTCGCCTTGGAGGACTATACATTCATGTCCAGCGCACGAGGTGTCTTGATGTGGGCAGGCTTCATCACCTGTGTACTGGGGGTGTACTATGGTGTCGCATACACATATCCCGGCAAACCCAGCGCCCCACGAGAACTTGAAGGAGGACTATTTGAGGAGCTAGGAGGTCCCGGTGCTGTCAGGGTGAGTGACAGGCAGCTATTGCGACCTCGAAACCGAGCTAATTAATGTGGTAGGCACATATGGCCGGAGACTCAGTCGACGGTGAACAGATCAGCGGTGATCTGGAAGCAAATCCGCAGATATCTCGTGACGTCAAGCTGAACCAAAGCTGAATGGTCTGAGAACATCGAGACTGAAAAAGCGCTGCCGACGCTCTCACTGGCGATGGATATAGTGGAGGAATTGATCCATGAAATTCTTACGCTACAACACGCTGGTGATAGCCCCGTATGCAGCTAGAGAGGAGTGTACATAGCCCCGAAGGCGGTTTCAGGAAGCCGAAATTTACTTGTTCAACTTTCAATTGATAACAACGTATATCAGGTTCGCACAGTCCGTAAATCTATCAAATGTTCATTGTCGAAGACATAAACTCCACAGTGAGCATGTGTCGATGCCACACTGTGCCGCAAAATCCCCCAAAGGCAAAGCGTGTATAATGTAGCAAATCCGCCAAACGACAGATACAGCCGCGCTTCTTTCCCCAAAAAACCTGTCTGTCGATGCCAATGCGATAAATCTTCTTCCCAAGTCTCCTTCGAGGTGCGGCAGCGTCTTTCTATCGTCCAATTTAGATCATGTCAGGAGCTCATCTTCAGCATCTCGCTGCCTCTTTGAGCGGCCTTTCATTGGTGTCCATGAGCCCTGTATGCCTCGATGTCTGCCTATTCTCACCTCTGTTTTGTCTCCTAGAGAGTGCCTAGGCAGCCATCCACATGCCCCAGCCCACAATAACAAGCATCACCCAATAGCCGCTCAACTCGACGATCGTCCGGACGGTGGCAGAGACCTGGGAGGGGTCGCTGGGATCAGTACCTCCACTGGCGGTGGTGCCGTTCGCTAGGCTGCCGTTGATGTACGTGCTGGTGGTGCCGTTGTCGAAGGTGACGGTCCTGACGGTGCTGGTGTTGACAGGAGCGACGGGCGTGGTGCTGCCGTTGGTGACGACCTGGGTCAGGAACGTCGAGTTGTCGCTGGGGTCGCAGCCGCAGACCTGGTATTGTTGACACAGGCACGTCACGTTCGAGGTGCGGTTGTGCCCGTCGTTGTCGGTCCAGTGGTACGGGATGCCGTAGGGGTACGCCCACACAGCGCCATACAGCCACAGGCCAGGGAAGAAGGCGAGTGCACCTGCACCGATGAAGAACGGCGCAACGCCCAGCGTCGGCGAGCGTCGACCGGCTGTGTACGGCACCACCGCACCTCCCGTGTATCTGCCGCCGTATGCCTTGGGTGTGCCCGACCCGTCGCGCGTGCGACCGCCTGCGTTGGAGGAGGAGGAGAAGGAGTATGGCACTCCGTTTGGTCTTGTTGAGGAGCCGCCTGAGCTGCCCGAGGAAGAGCCAGAACCGCTGCGTCCGCCGCTGGATCCGCCAGAGGAGCTGCCGCCCCCACCGCCTCCTTTACCACCGCCGCCACCTTTGCGCTTCTCGAGATGGCCGAAGGAGTCCAGGGGGGAGGCGTCGCGGACTGAGAGATCCGTGGCCGGAGACAAGGGCGGAACGGCGGCGACCAAGGAGGAGATACAAAGGAGCAGGGTTATCTGGAGGAACTTCATGGTTGCTCTGCGTCTGCTGGACGGCGTCCTTCTGCTGGTAATGATGTCAAGTTCGGGGATATTATGTACTGTAGGTTCAAGGTTAACCCCTTGGTATCGTGCCGGCGAGTACGAGGTAACTGGAAACAGAACGCGCCGGGCGCAAACAAAGGACACGAGGACTTAAGGAATGACAGTCTCTTAGGTATAAGTACGGTGACAAAACCGTAGATGCGGAGGCGACGTGCACAGCCCTCTACAAACCGGGAACGGAGTGTTGAATCATCAGCGTCTCCATTCCCCGGATCGGCTGGACAAAGGCGCATCTCGTACTGAACGTGCTTGGTCGGCAGAAACGCCTTGCCACATGCCAAGGTGCGTATCCGCTAATTCGACACGTCAAAATGAGTGATGAGGCAGTGCCTGAAAACTCCTATACAGGCTATATTATAGGCGATCCGGTATGATGTCCCATCCACATGTGTCGAACATATGTATCAACGGGCCACCTTATTGTATCAGAGTCTGCCCGGTGAGCCTTAGATCGCTGCTAAGCCTTTGAAGCCTTCGGGGTGACAAAGATTGGATCTTGGTCCCCATTCGAGGAATTATCTGTACTCCTTGTTTGGTCCAACTTGGCACCAATGCTTAGAAAGCCTTAATATCTTCGAGAGAAGCTCGGCGCAGTCGCTGCAGGGTCTCGGTTGGGCACTTGAGACTCAATGATGGCGTCCTGCTGGGCGAATTCTTGCTACTTGTTCATTCCACCGCGATCTCTTTTTGTAATAGTACAGTGTTTGGGGACGCCTTAGTCTAGCTCAAGTCAGGTCGCGGCGAGTTGCTTCATACCTAGAGTCAAGAAGAGTCAGCAAAAGAGCCCGGACAAGTGTGAGATTTGAATGGCAAACAGATCACATACCTCTTGCCTCGGAAAGCCCACACCCCCCAGTTCCCACAGCTAATATCCTGGGGGTCCAGGTCATTCAAGTCCCATCTCAGAGACCGGAATCTGTTCTCTCCAGGTTCCATCAGCAGGTCGACCTCGCCTGCACATTTCTCCATGACCCATTGCCAGTCGCGTGTCATGTCCCACTCTGTATATCCTGTGCATAACACGGGGATCTTGGTCTCAAGAAGTCGAGGCAAAGTGCTTTCCCACTCCAGTGCTGATGCGGGGTGCCCCAAGCCAGGGTGAAAGAGCATGAAGCAATCGAAATATGGGTCGTAAGGATAGAACGCGTTGGCCTCATGCAGGGTGTGGAAATAGTCCACGTAGGTCGTGATTTTCATCTTTGGCGATACACGATCCTCCACGATGGCTCCGAATGGGTTCTGCGGTGTCCTTTCTGGGAGAGGAAATTCGGCATCTCGATTCATCATCGCTTCAGGTCCAATGAAAATAAGATGAATCAAGGAGAGAGGGAAAAGGTAGGACAGCTGCGTCCACACTTCGCGAGGTAGAGACGACTCGGCTCGTGCGCCTAAGACGAATATCCGGACCGGAGGGCTCGATAGCCTGAGACCTTTGATGTCTTTGCCTTGGCCCGTCTTGGGAGGATGCAGAGTGTATCGCAGAGCTATTGTGGTTAGCTTAGCGCAGTGCTTTGACAAAGATGAAACTCACCTGACAAGCTCTTCAATCCCTCTGCGGTGAGTCGCCCCCCGGGCCTGATATTGTACGGGCTCAGCTCGTGCAAAACACTTCCAATTGTGAGAGGGTACGTCAACAATTTGGTAACTTGTCGCATGCTTCTCTCGTCATTCACTGCTTCAAACTGCCGCGTATAGAGAAAGGTATCCCAGTTGGTCATATTCACCAAGGCTTCATCCATCTGAGGTCCAGGATACTCAAACTCCGGGAACCACCGTCCCGATCTGAGATCGTGGTCATCCTCGTTGATTTGTCTCAGCGTGTCGCATATTTCTAGATGTGCCTCGAAGTCGTCCGCCCAATGTTCCTCCGAGCAGTAGGTCGCTATGCCGCAATCCGGGCACTCGAATGAAACGTGAGCTGGAGGTTCCGTGCTCACGCCCTCGATCTTCCTCGCTTCAGGATCGTGGGGTGAAATCGGTACGCGAGTCTGTTGATGCACTGGGTGTGGACACAATGCGTGCTGCTTCATAAAGCGCGCTCTTTGCCGGATCTCGGGGATTGGCGACCTGGAGAAAGGATGGAAGAGATTATTGGGGCCCAGGGCTACTCGACCATGGGCTCGCCACTCGCCGTAATCGGTAGGGGGGATGTTGTGTCGCTCGAAGTTATCTGGTTCTTCCGCAGGAGCAGTGGCAGTAGACGCAGACCGAATCGACCTTTTCGAGCTTCGGGCTTGCTCCGTTCTCGATTGATCTCGTGGCGTGTGCTTCAGCGAGGTGCTCGAAGCGAAGCTCCGACGGGTGGGAATCTGTCGGGCAAATCTTGCATTGGGCCTCTGTCGAGCTACGGCTGAGAGTGCTCTCGCACATCTCAGGCAGGTAAACAGACCGTCCATCAAGCTGATGAAAGAGAGGTCAGTGTCACAACCAACTGGGCGAGCTACTTCAACTGCGACAATCGAGTGGCACGAGGAAAAGCAATGTTACAGGCAAGCGTTGCCAAGGCATGTAATGACTGTTACGCCAAGCCCCGCCGAGGCCGTAACCAAATGGCTTGGCGTGGGTTGAATAATCTAACTAGATTTAGGCTAGTTTCATTCGGATTGCTTCTACAGTAGTTATACGACGTCTCTCGGTTGGCACCAAGCCTTCAAACCAGGGGATGGAGTGTTATTCTCTCACACGAGTACTCCGTCAATATACCAGAGCAGAGAGGCTGGTCGCTGTCTGGAACGGGTGTCCAGACAAAGTGCTCTGTCGCCGTCGAATCCCTTCAGAACAAGGCTGGCGACCCGGGGGAGAGACGCAGGCTATCGCTCATTTCCAGCTGCTGAAAGTAACCCAAATCCAATACCTATCCAGTAATGCTAGGTCCATCAACCACTCATCATACCATGCATCGTTAATTACTCGATTCCATGCCATAACTGGCGCTCGTCAGACCACGGCAGAGGCTGTAAAATTATACTAAAAAGGAAACTGCAGAAGCCCTGCTCAAGCGCTCACAAACAACCCGAGGATCTCGTTCAGTTCGTCCCTTTTTGAGAGGCTCCCATCATGTGAGAAGGCTCATGAAGCTCCCGGTCTCTTCTTCCACACGACTGCAACCTTGACCAAAATCCTGCCGTTCTTGAACCGCCCCATCCCCGGCGGTCCAACCCTCTCAAACGCGCCCATCAACCCGGCAAACATCCAATTCTTGTCCATGTTCTCGTCCAGGACATTGTCTCCTGGGAACAATGCCTGCTTCTCCATCTTATCAGGCAGTTTCGCTCCCATGCTGCCCTCGACCGTCGCGTCCGGATCCCACGATTTGTGGACGAACACCGGCGTCACGTGTTTCGTGTCGTCGTTGAAATCGGTGGGATTGGGGTCGGACAGGAACTCGAGGCCCGCAATGCGGCCAGCGCCGGGTCGATAATAGACGTGGACGCGGTTGATGGAGGAAGCGCCGAGGCCGCGCTCTTCGATGGATTTCCAGCGCTCGTCGGCGGGTTTGGTCCCGACATACATGTTGGCGAACATGGTGGATCGTTCTTCAGCACTAGAATTCCTGACTCCTCCGGACTCCTCCGCCTCGACGGACTTGGTATTGTGATGGGCTCGTGGCTTTTTATTCGTGTACCCGAGCCCGATGCCGCTAATGGCATTGTTACTGTCCCTAATACGCCGACTGTGGTACCACCCAGGGGCAAAAGGCTGGACGGCAACTCGCTGGGGGTATTCTTCGTCGTCGGGGTCGAAGTTGCCAATCGCAAAGTGCTCGTAGCTCTTGTATGGGGACAGGGGCTCTCCGATCACGTCCCACCAGTAGTTCACCTGGTCGTTGGTGATGTGTCCCACACCGTGCAAGTCGGCGATCTCTTTATCTCGCCACTCACTTACACTATTATCAAGCTTGGGGACTGGCAATATGCTTTGAATAACACCGGGACAGATGTACTTCGGAAGGCTGTAAATGTGTCGACCTCTGCCATCATGTTGGGTGATAGATCTCTGTGGGTCGACGACCAGTCCAGCCGCTTGTTCCTGGATATAGATCATTGACGAGCGACAGAGAAGTCGCATCATGCTGAGTTTCTGCGGATCAGGGTCCATGTTGGTGAGCTTGGGGGTTGTATCTTTGAGAATGACGTCGAGGTTCATCAGCGCCCGAAACTTCTTGTCCGTCCAGGTGTCTGAAGTTGGGTCGTCTTCGTCCAAAGCCACAGAAGCCATGGTACTCCGTCTCGCCGGCGGAGGAGCATCACCGTTCTGAAAAGCGGCCTTCTGGCTGTTAATCATGGTTTTGTCATCGTCCCGGTTCCGGTAGTCCTGTGGATCCTTGATCATGGCGTTCAGCTTCTCGCACAGGTCCTGGAACGCCATGAAGTCTTCATACAGCGTGCTGGTATAGATGGCACAGTGGTCGTACGTCAATGGGAGAGGGATTCGCGGATTCGAAAGCCTGTGGTCGTGGAAGCTTTTAAGAGCGGTGTACGGGGTCAAGACTGCCCGAATCTTGGCCGGCCTCGCTGCCACCATCGACGGGAAAGCATTGGCGATCAGGATCAAGCTGTCCATGCCCCAGGGGAAGTCGTGATTCTTGATCTGGCCGCCACCGCGCCATTGGATCCGAATGGAAGTCGTCGCTTGGGAAAAGAGCCGATTGCGTTCCTGCGAGGCGTCCATTTCACCCGACGCTTGCACCGGGAGACCCATTGGTGTTAACTGCGCCGAAGCATGGACAGCTAATTGTCTGGAATTCTTGCGGTCCTGCGACTTGATACCGACCCAGGCGTAGATTTCACCCCCCTCGACAAAATCGGATATGAAACAATCACCGTAAATGCGGGTGAATTCGACACTGCGGAAATGCTGGCGTTTCGCCTCGTCCGGCTCCTTGTCGTCGCTGAGGATTTCGTTCAGACCAGGCACTTCGTTGAACGACCAATCCTCTTTGCGGTCATCGGCCTCGTTGACGACCTTGACGTGGACCAGGAAATTGACATCGTTGGTATTGAGATCGTCACGGGTCGCAAGGCTGCTTCGAGCCTCAGCACCGGGACCTAAACTAGTGGCTTTGATTGCAGCTGAAGCGTTGAATCCCATGGCATTGTTCATTTCAACAATGCTCTTGACTTGTTTTGAAGAAAAGGTCACGGTCTGGTTGTGCCGAGCATTGGGGTCCAGCTTGAGCAGATATGGCAGTTTCGGCTGCTGAGGAGTTTCGACGCTGGTTTTCTTCAAGCTTTCCGTCAGGGCCGCGAGGATATCGTTCATTTCCAGACCCGGCTTTGGCACTGGCGCTGGTCCTGGCGGAGGGACTGCAGTCGATACCGAATCACTCCTCGTGTGCTCTGGAGTGATGGTGTCGGCTTCGCTGATGGAGGCACTTGTGCGTGCAGCTTTTTTGACCTTGGTGATGGAGACGGCATTATCGATTCGCACTTCTTGAATGTAGGAGTTGTACCCTTGGCCGCGCTTCATGCGCACATTGTAAAGAGGACCGCTATCATCCATTGTGATATCCTCGAAACTGTATCACTTTCTTGAGAGGAAAGCAACTCGTCGCGCGTCGCGAGGCGCACGGGAGTTTTGAAGCACCTCGCAGACATACCGGCATGTGCCAGCCAACCATCGGTTTTCACGTAAAAACCGTTGCGACTGTGAGCGATCTTCAACGGCTATACCGAAGCTGGGCGTGGAATTCCGTCAATCGCATCCTCCGCCCACACCATTTGACCAAGCTCGTGCAGCTGAAATCGCCTAATCAGTCGACTGTTGGCCGTGTTAGGCCACGCTAATGCGTCGAGAGGGTTAGGGACGAAAGCGAGAGGGAGGAGGTGCATGTGAGGAGGAGAGACTGATGCGGTCTTCAGCTTGAGCGGACGTGCCGGAGCCTATCAATCCGTTCAACTGAACATCCCATGTTCTGTATTCCTCAGCTCTATCGCAAGCTGAAAGGCTCCCTCTGCTGTTTCAATTGATATGATGGTGTGCTGCGCGTTCTGTGCCAGTCCTAATTCGTGGGCACTCCCACATTGTTGCGGGGACTGTTGTCAAATGCACATGGAAACTTCCTAGGGACTTGGTCCCCTAGCGCGCGAGCGTTGGGCAAGTGAGACGTGCAGATGATCCACTGATTCGGCTTGCACGGGCCGGGTTGAAGCCCACGAACGGCATCAGCATCATGTCAAATGAGCCCTTGATGGCAGCCACTGTTTGTAACTTGTGGTCTTCACACGGTTGTGTTGGTGACTTGGCGCCGAGCTGATGATGACTGCAAGAAGTCTGAATTTGTGTGGCTCTTTGACTCCCTAAAAGGTACCGAATAGTGATGGGAGGGTAACGTCCCCAGAAATTGTGGAGGCTGGCGCCGGAGGCTTCGGGGACTAGGAAGGCTTCTTGAAGCCACCGACCGTTATCTGCTCTCGGCCGCCTAGCTTAAAGACAGCTTCCTCTGTACTCGATACGCAGTCGTGGGAGTATATGTTTGAGACTGATGGGTAGAATATATAGTTCAGATGCCGTCAGTCCTTTTCCTCGCTGCTCTCCAAGCCTGCTATGTAAACTATTCGGTTGCTTTGTGATCCCCGCCAGCATGATAGTACGTGATAGCCTCCGTGTTGAACTCGACTTCGAGATCTCTCTGATAAACTGCAACCTCATCACTGTCCCCGAATATAGTGGCCACTTCCTCAAGTGGAAGCCCCTTGGTGTCCGGGAACCATATCCACATGACAGCGGCCCCCAGGAGACAAGGGACGATGAAGGCCAGGTAGAATCGCCAGCCAACATTCGCAAAAGCCACCGGCGCACTCTGGAGCCAGATCAGGTTCATCAGAGCAACGTTGGCGACGCCGAGACAGACACCTTTCGCTCGAATATGGGTGGGAAATATCTCACCCAGATAAGTCCACTGCGTCCCGTTGACGAACAGCTCGTAAAAGAATATAAAGACAAACAGCATAGACACAGCTGCCTCCAAAGCGGACTCATTGTCCGAGGGCACGAACCTAGCCACGAGGGCACACTCGACAGAAAGACATGCGGCACACCCAAACAGACCAAATGCCATGTACTTGGGACGTGAAAAGCGATCCACGAGTACCATGGCCAATATGTTAAGACCTAGCGCACATGTGATCCACGCGGCAGGCAAAACAAGCTGTTTCACGGTGCTGTATCCGAGATTTCGGTACAGCGAGGGTCCATAATCTGCATGCCAGGAGTCAGAATGATTCAAGAGATGTTCGGGATATGAGAGAACCATACTATTGATGACTAGTGCACCTGAGGCTTGTGTGATAGCCGTGGTAAGTAGCGCCAGAAGCGCACGTCTCCGGTAGGAAGGCTTCTTGGCGATGTAAGTCCACGATTGGCCCAGAGTTCTATCAATCTCAAGCTGTTTCCTGATCTGATAGTACTCTGCTTTGGCAACCGTATTGCTCGGGTCCTTAGGGTCGGCATGCAATCTCAAGAGTATCCGTTCTGCATCCGCATCGCGTCCCATCATGCACAGCCATCTCGGACTTTCAGGGAGGAAAGGGAGAGCCGTAAGGAGGCAAAGAGGCCAGAAACATTGGATAGCGATTGGGGGTCTCCAGGTGTTGGAACCGCCCGTCGTCCAGAAGTAACAGCCAAAGCCCACCCAGCATGCGAAAACATAGCCCAATACATACATCACCGCGTTGATGTCGACCATTGCTCCTCGGATATGGACAGGGGTGATCTCGTTCATCATTATGCTGACAGCGGCAAGAGTGGACCAACAGCCGGCGCCTGAAAAGAAACGGAAGGCGATGAACATGCCCACGTTGACCGACCCAGCTAGAATGGCGCCAGAAATGAGGATCAAGATTGCGGGCTTCGGGCTATTAGCTGTTTCCTGTTTCTAGTCAACTGTTCAGTGACCACTTACCACAGCACATCCCCATTTCCTGCCGAACCTGTCTGCGACCCATGGAAGTGATATCGTTCCGAGTACGCCTCCAGCTTGGAAGATCCCGTTCATGGTCGATATGAGGTCGGTCGCATCTTCACGCGTGTCCAGTGCAAAGTATTCAATGAAGGAAGGTTGACCTAGAGTTGTCAGTGCAGTGTTGACAGATCTACACCGGTCTCCGACTCACCAAGCGTTGTTCCAATAATTGCCGCGGAGTATCCCTGACCGATCGAGCCCAGACCCAGGGCAACAAGTACTGCTACATTGAAGAAAGTTATCTTCTGTTTCTGCAAAATTCCGTCCCTCGTATCATTAACCATGATGAGATCTTTAAGCAACCACTGTCGGTGACTGAGCAGAATGGAGGTCTGATATACTTCATCGAGCGGGAGAGGATTCTCTTCTACTCTTCGACAAGAAAGAAACGCTGTACTAGGATGTTATCAAAATCTAGATTCATAGCACCCAGGACTGTTTTGGAGTCCGAGGACCGAGGTGCCATTATGATAGTTGGCTGTTCATAGCACCGATAGTAGCGTATTAGGGGGGGCAGATCACTTCTGGTAGTCACCTCGGGTTCACTGAGAGATCTAATACCTTTTAGGACACGCCGTGTTCAGCTATGAGAGTGTTCGAAGGCACTGGACCCAGCCTACAAGGGTCGTTCAGTCTCTAATTCCGGCCATCATGCTCTGATACGAAGACTGAACATTATCCCAAGCTCCAACCGTTCCTAACTCTGTTACCTGTTTGATGTCGTCTTCTGGGCCCTTGAATTTTAGACTAGTCAGTTTGGCTTTCTTGCTTTTCCGAGGCCAGCAATAGCGTATCCAATTACTCCAGACTGATACGAAGCTCCATTCTATCCCCACGGGGTCTCCGCCGCCTCGGTGTCTCACAAAAGGAGCGCGCCGCGGCCTTACCCCAGAAGAGCCACCCGCGGCGTCCAAATGCGGAATAGCTCGTGCTCGAAGATGCTTTCAGTAGACATGATAGCAATACGCCTCACGAGGTGTGCTCGACAAGTCTGGAGGCTATAGCGATATAATGTGAATGGAATTACGATTGAACCAGACGTTCTCACAGTTGATCGTCTTATCTGAAGTGACCAATATTGGAAAACCTGCAGTCCCACCGTTCTGGGTCGGATCTGGGAACATAATTGTTTACTCTGAAGCGGTTCAAGATGAACAGGTATAATCTCCTCTGCATCGTGTATGCATGCCTAGGGTCTGTGTTCTATGGCTACGACTCTGGTACGTTTCTCTATCAATGCCGATGACTTCAAGTCTACTGCTGGCTCTGCCACTGATCCGAATGACAGGTTGCACGACATCCGTCCTGGGCTATCCAGCATTCCTCGAATATTTCAACTTGAACTCCGTCACCATTGGGGCTTTTGGCTCGGCCTACTATGGAGGTCACGTCTTGGGGGCGTGCCTGAACTTCTGGTTGCCGAACAAGATTGGGCGTCTCCGGACGATCCAGATCGCTTGTGTCATCTCCTTCCTAGGGATTTCCATGCAAGTCGGGGCGTCTTCATTCCCCGTCTTCTGTGCAGGCCGAATCATCGGTGGAACGGCCACAGGTATTATGTTTTGTTTGTGTCCAACCTACGTTTCGGAGCTCAGCCCTCCCCATATAAGAGGTAGAGTCGGTGGTCTATACGCGTAAGTCTTCCCGGCTGCCACAGGAGTCTCTGCGACGGCCTCTGGGAAGTCCACTTACTTGGTCATGCAGATTTAACGGCAACTTTTCGTATATGTTCACCGAGTGGGTGTAAGTCTGCATGCATCATTCCAGCGTACGTCAGGATGGTCTCTAACGTGGAAGGCAGGGGTCTCGGCTGCTTCTTCTTGAAGTCCAATGCTTCATGGCGCTTATTGCTGGGTGGGCAGCTGGTACCTTCAGTGTTGATGCTGGGACTGTCTTTTTTCATGCCATTTTCACCACGATGGCTTGCTCTCAAAGGCCGTTACGAAGAGTGTCTGCAAGTCCTTAAACGCATGCATGGGGACATGCACGATGATACATTTTATCTCAAGGAGTATCACCAGATCAAAGCACAGATTGAACTAGACAAGAAAGAGCACCTAGGACCTTCGGCAATCTGGAGAGTGCCCTCTTACCGAAAGCGCATCTTCTTGGTGTGCATGTTTGCCTTTTGCTCTCAGTACGTTCAAATGCTTCTATGTCATTTTTTCTATAGGGTCCGCCCAGCTGACAGCTATGCAAGACTCACTGGAGAAATCCCACTCCAAAACTACCAGGTCATCCTCTTTGGCAAGTTGGGTCTGAGCCAGGTCATGTCCCTGGTCCTGACCGGGATATGGGGCTCGGTAGGAGTGTGCTCTGCAATCTACGCCGGGTACTTATCCGACAAGCTTGGAAGGCGAAAGATCATTGTAAGTGAGAGTCCTGTTACGGCGAAGGACTTGAAATGCTGACAGACCACTAGTATATAATGTACTTCTTTGTGCTCAGTGGATCTCTGATTTCTGTGGTACTGTGGTCTCGTTTCGAGGCTGGAGGAAGCACCAATCGAGGCCTCGGCCGAGGCGTTATTGTTGGCATGTTCATGGTCCAATTCGGTTATGCTGGTCCAGCTAATGTGTTCATGCCTGCGGTGAGTTTCAAATCCTTAAGTCCCAGTGGTGGCGGTAGAGTTCACAGTATCTTCTCTTTTCTCTACAAACGCAACGGGAAACAAAATAGCAAGAACGCGGAAACAACAGAATGCCAGACTGACCACGACCCAATCTTCCAGTACTCATCCGAGATCATGCCAACGGCGATCCGGTCCATTGGAGTGGCAGCGACATTTGCATGTCTGCACGCCATAATCATCCTCCTTGTCCAGGTCACACCGCTCGCCATCGACGCTATTTCGTGGAAGTACTTTTTAATCTTTTTGATCGGGTCGACGATATACTTTATATTCTTCTGCTTCGCGTATCCGGAGACGAAGAACATGACTCTCGAAGAGATCGAGGCGGTATTTGGGGACAAGGTGAGCGATAGCCCCATGGCATGCGAGCTGCTTTCGCTATTAAGCGTCAGAATGACCTCGAGCAAATGACATACGGCTAATCTGTACCTTTTGCCAAAACTCTAGGTAGCAGAAACACTCGAAGAAGCTGGGCAGCATCTGGAGGAGGTTTATGAAGACAGAGCCTACAGTGAGAAGATGTAGCAGCAGGAGCAAGTTTGGGTAGCGAAGCAATCATGAAAGCCTATGGCATTTGCGATTCGGACATCTTTATGCCCTCCTGTTCCACATACAGGTAGTCAGTGTTCTTCTAAACTCAGCCGTACGACCTAGATAGGCATTTATGCTCGAATGGAAGCTCTAGAAAGTGCGATATGAGGGTATATATCATTTATACCAAGTCCTTCTTACATCGCCGTTAACTTCCCCCACCGCCCACGTCAGGTCCCATTGTAAGCCCCATCGACCACGCCATATTATCCAGGTTCCCATCTTCGCTTTCAGCCACAGGTATGGCCTCGCGCATCGCGTGGTCTTCTGAGTCAAAGAATAAAAGGCTGTCTTCGAAAAGCAAGTTCGACTCGAAAAGGGTGAAGAAATCTTGGGTCGAAGCCAACAGACCCGCGTGCGCACCTTGTTGCTCTTGTGCCGCGGAACTGGAGCATATATTGGCGACCGAAAGCGATGGGCCGTCGCTAGTGTTGTTCGCGGTGGTAGTGACAGCATCATTATCGTCGATCGTGCTGGTCACGAACTCGGGTCCCGGTCGCTTCGTCTTCAGCCAGGGAGGGAACGAAGCCTTCTGCGCTGCCGAGTAAGCCGCTTCTACTCGCTTGAATACGGCGGTGGCTGTGAAGTTGATACGACCAATTTGGCGCACTGCCTCGATGCAAATGGCCAGGCTCTCCAGACTGGATTTCTCCAGCGATGAGTGGCCCGAGCTTGCGTCGAGGAGGTAGACAAATGCCGCCGAGCACACGGACGCTATCCCCGTGACAGGCACGAACTGGGTCAGCTTGCGGCTATTTAGACCGCCGTAGATTGTAGTGATCCTGTTGGAGGCTTGTCGCAGAGCGTAGACGTGGCAGTCGACTCGCTTCTCGTTTCCCTCAAGTTCGTGGTTTTCGGAATTATGACTGCATGTGGCCCACCGATGTTCTGAGATCTCGGTGCTGTGAAGCACGATGATCGCCATCCAGTACGTCAGGTGGACCATGCACGACGCCAGGTGGTATGCTCGATGGCAGAGGTCGAATGAGACCGAGCAGATATTTTCAAGCCGCAGCTCCTCGGGAAGGTGACTGCTCCAATCTCTTAGGGAGTTTTCCAGTTCTGAGATCCTACTTTTTCGCCCTGCCAAGTCCGAAGAGGACTGAAACACTTCCTCTGAGGTTCTGTGCAGGATGTCGTATATGCGAACTGCAAGCTTGGCCCTTTCGATGCACGCTCGTTCAAGCTGTCGTTGTAGCGAAAAATCCGCGAGAAACATTTTGATCCCCACCAAGGTACCAAAGTTGATGCCGGAAAGGTCCAATTCATCGACGAAGTCGTCATGATTCAGTAAGTGAGGTTCTCGGGGCCGAAGGCGAGGCGGCCGGGCAAGATTCATAGCCACATCACACTCTCGGACGACAATGGTCCACCATATCCTCCTTCTCAATCTGTGATTGTCCGATTTCCTCTGGCCAACCGTATTAGATTGCTCTTCCTGTAGCCTGAGGGCAAAGGCATGATTGATTGCACTCCCAACCCAATACATCGGGTCTTTCGAGTCCTCGCGGCTCGACCAACTCATCAAGAGAAGGGACGCCTGGCAGGCAATCAGGCGATCTGGCTCGGCACCTAAGTCGAGAAGCAGCTGGTGACAACTGTTAGCACGCATGGATAGCGCTGTGATCCATACTCCCCCACCTTGGACTTGGTGTAATACTCCCGCCTCGCAGCAGCTTTGGACGGATATCCGTAGGCGGAGAAGTGTTCGCCTTCCAAAGCGGCCGACCCGGCACACATAATCGCGTGGTATAGGGTTAAGGAAAGCCTGCCAGACGAGCCTCCCGTCACGGAGAGGATCAGATCCGGCAGGCTCACCACTGGCGCCAGATGGTAGACGAATTCCGCGTATCTACATATGATCAGGCTCTCCAGGCTTTTCGGTGGTAGGCAGAAGACGCCTTTCGCTTCCAGGTGGCGCCAATCTTCTTCTGAAAGGTCGCAGGAAACAGGTTTGATGAATGCTGTAGAATAGTCTGTTCTGCCGGCAGCAGAGCTCCTATCCACAGAACGATGGATTTGGATTTGGCTCAGGGCAGGCGAAGGTTGGCTGCCATCGCCCCTGTTGCCTCGAGGAGTCTCGCGCGCTTCTTCTGGGTTTGCAAATGCTGAGTTGGTAGGGAGAGATGAAACCAGAGGCGTATTCGGTGTGCGATCAAAGGATGCCGGGCCTGTGGGCGGGCAGCGAGTTTCGTGCTCTTTCCTAACTTTCCGCCCCGAAACCGACACATTGTCACGGTTCACTCCTCTCATCGTCAACCTATTGCGTCTTAGTTTATCCGGTACCACGGTACACACTAAGCCATCGAGGCAGCAGTTGGTACACATCCCCAGGTTCTGGACGCGATCACATCGTACCTTCCTGGCACGGCAATGCTGGCAGGCTGGGCCCAACTTCTTCTTTGCAGATTTCAGGGGTTTGCCTTGCCGCTGTGAATAATCCACCGGCATGAGAATTTCAAGATCCAACGTCGATAAGTCAGCCATGGTCCGGTTCGATAGCCATTAACGTGTCGCCTTCTGTACAATGATGCTCCAATATCAGTCAGACTACTACTGTGTATTGAGCGTGGAGGTATTGTTCGCTAGTGGGCTAAGCTGGACTCCGCACCCCGCCTCGTCTGTTTCCTGAAATGGGGGCCAGTCGGCCTCGGCTAGCCAAAAGCAGAAAGTGGCTTCTCCACCCGGCCAGCCTTGCATCTCCTCGAAATAGAGAAAGGGGAATACGTACTTTCACGTCCATCCTCTGTAAATACAAGACTTCAGAAGAGCTCCTAAGACCCACTATTATCGTACTACATCAGGGTAGAAGTGAGTATACTTAATATATGGCCTTCTTGAGGATGACGGAAATGTTCCCCGTCTGGGGTCATTAGTTAATCTCTCAGTTGAGCGGCACACTTTCCCCTCCTAAGATTCCCACCGGAGTGTCCAATTTCTTTACAAACGTTCCGTCTTTTGTTTTCCCTTCCACCCCACCAATGCTGCCTGTGCTTCTATACCCCAGAAATCCCTTCATGCGGTCACTCAATTCGTCCTCGAGACCCGGCCGCAGAGAGAAAAAGAAGTTTTCCTGTGGTCGAATGAACGGGCGCATGAAGAACGCAATGATGACAGGTCTCTCGCTCCCTGGCGTTCGATTGGGTCCTGTGGCATGCCAGAGCCGGCTCTCAAATACCATGCACGTCCCGGCTGGCCCTTCAGCTGCGACACAATCGGAAACATCGTATGGGTCGTCCGGTGCGAAGTTGCCGGTGTGCGAGCCGGGCATCACCAGCGTTCCACCATTTTCCGCGGTGACTATATCATTCTTCAATCAGGAACGGTCTCGGGAAGAGGAGGCAATATTGAATACGTACTGTCAGTGAGGAAGAACATAAAGTTCAGTCCAAAGTATATGTTCCGAATCGGTGGCTGAATCTACCAAGTGTCAGTCAGAAGTCAATACACCACTGTTATGAAGGACTTGCCGTGAGCTGATCGGTGTGGAGGTACATTGGCGAATTGCCCGGCCGAGCAATGTTCGCCGTATAGCTGAAGAGAATCGCGTCGTCCCCCAAGTGTGGTGGAAGGAACTGCTTGAGAACCTTGTTGTGGTCAAGCAGGTCGATGAACTCCTGGCCCTTGTTGTGGAGGCACCAAAGCCTCTGGTTCGGCATGTTTTCGCCTCCGTCGAAAAACCCCACGCCGGCCTCTGCCTCGCCCCGGGCCTGGTCCATGAGCCGCTTGTGTAGTTTTTGGAGCTCGCCGGGCGAAAGGGCGTTCTTGACGAAGCCATACCCCCATCTCTTCAGGTCCTGCTGTACTTGCCCAACGTCTTCGGTCGGTCGAGGTAATTGATCCACGATCGTCCGGTCTAGCCTAGGATGGATGGCCTCGAAGCCGGTGAGGACGTCGACGAACTTGATTGCTACCCGTGTGGCGCCGACGGCGAAGATGTGGCCCCAGTTGAGGGCGTAGCGCGCATCCATCACGCCGTCCACAAATCGCTGGATCATGTGCGGTCGGACGTACAAGTCTGCGGCGGAAGATGCGAGATTCTCTTGCTGCCGATCCGTGATCTTGGACATCGACGCGCGTCCAGGGCTCCGAGCGTCAATCAGAAGCCCAGGGTGATTTGAGCCAAGATTCACGATGAACAGAGCGTCTATAACTTCCATTTTGTCCAGCTTATTCTCTATCTGCTGGACAGCATTTTGGTAGTCTTCTTCGGGGCTCGGTTCTGTAAATTTGGCGAGGTTGGCATTTTGGTTGATGTCTGCTGCGGCGCCTAGAGCCTTCAAGCGTGATGAAGTGACTTGTGTTTGTGTAGCCATTGCGGAGGAGCTCGGTGACCTCGACTATGTTAGTCGTAATGACGAAGTAGCTAAATATCTGATCCTGGTATTTAGAACTGTACTACCATAGCACGTTCTACGAAAGTTACGCGGTCTCAAGCCACCATGGCCCCGAGGTGGTCTCTTTCCAGTCGACCTCGGCCACCACCCAGATTACACTTTCAGCGACGGACACAGACAGATGCCCTCGGTGGCCATAATAAGTCTAGCACATATAGGAATGGAAATGCACGAGTTATTTCCAAGACGGGCGGCTTCAGGCGACACATTTATGTTGGCATCCACCGGCAAGCCTGAATAGCACAAAGATGAAGCGAAGCGAAGCTTTGGACTGGTAACGATAGCCAATTGCGGAAGATCGGACATGTGGCGTAGTGGGAATTGAAAGGCTTTTGAAACGGGGTTTAATCAAGTGTTGGAATCCGCAGAGCAGTATCATGAGCAAGCAATGAAGGTATCATTTCACTCCCTGTGGTAGGCTAGACGTGTGCTCTAAAAGTGCCACAGTAAACCGGGTTAATCCATGTTCCTTGAACTGGACTGTAAAGTTCTTTCCGCCTTGCATCCCAGGACATTGTAGCGATCGTGATTCACGCTGTCTCAGCGTGCAGTTCGATACGGCCCCCGCCTTTGCTGGCTTTCATCAGCTCATCGCAGCACCAATACGTTTTGAGAACCAAGTCTTCCATTGCGGCACACCTACCCGCAAGATTCTTCAAAGGATAGTCCAGAATCGAAGTCGTCCTTGAGGTCACTAAACTTGGAAGAACCTCGACACAGCACTTGGCCTCCGCTCAGACCAACTGGCGCGACGCTCTGCCACGTTCTTGGCATCGTTAGCTGCAATGATGTCCTCGCCCGTCTCGGGGTGGTCCATCATGGAGTCGGTGTGCGGGAAGAAGCGGTTGAAGGCCCAGTAGAAGATACCGGCAGCGATAAAGGAATAAACGTAACCGATAGCGAACCTGCGCGTGTTGAAGCGTCAGCATAGCTCCAACCAAATTGCGCTCAATGAAATCTTGCGCGTCAGAATGAGGGAGGGGCTCACAGATGTTGACCGCCTAGAGAAACGCTAGTCTTGCCATTGCCCGCCTCAACGATATTATTAACGAAGCCTGGGAGCGGGGGGATGCAGCCGATGAAGAAGGCCGCGACAGCGCGCCAGTTGGTGGCGAATCTGGGCGAATAGCGGTAGATGCCGTGGAAGTTGTACATATCCGGTACAGACACGTTACCCCGTCGGACAATATAGTAGCTATAGCACGAGACGAACAGGTTAGATATCACAGACGATGTAGGTGGAGCTTGGGGGGATTGTGGAGGTACGAACTCAGCCATGAGGATGGATGTCATGGGGCCCAGGAAAATGGTGTAGCCACCGAGGAAAGCAAGGAACTTCGCGGCCGATGCGAGGATTTTCCACTGTAGCTGCGGTCAGCAAGGTCCAAAGGCAGCTCTGCGAGAACACAGTCTCAACTTACCGGAACAAAGCCCCAGCTACCAATGACGGCAGCGAGCAGCTGACCACGGCGAATGTTGATGTACTTGGGGCAGAAAGACATGAGGTCGTTGGCAGCGCTGATGGAGTTGGCGGAGATGTTGATACCGAGGGTGACGATGATCAAGCCGATGGCGCCAAAGGCAGCAGCAGCACGGCCACCGTGGGATCCATTCTTCATCCAGAGATTGATGATGACGATGGGGTTCCAGATGATCTCGTTATAGGCAGTTTGGGAGGCAGCGGCAGTGAAGATACCGAGGAGACCAACAATAGCTGTGCGTCCAGATGATCAGCAAGAATTGGCGTAAGAATTTACAAGGGAGTCTCACTGAAGATGAGGGGTATGACGAGGGCTTGGACATTCTGTGCGCTGGGCTTGTTGGAGTATCTGGAAAAGTCGGCAATGTTCAGGCCCAGGGTGGCGTAGTTGCCCAAGACGCCGTTGAGATCTGCAAGAGAGATTCTGATCAGAGGGACACCAGAGATTCTAAAGGCGTAGAGCTTCACTTACTGCCGAAAAAGGCCCATGCAAGAGTCGAGCCGTGGATAGTGGTTCCCTGGGTGATGACGGTGCTGTTGCTGATGGTGCCACCAGCCCTGCGCAGCGTATCGCCAAAAATGGCCAAGAAAATGATCGGTGCAATGATACTCTTGAAGGCGAAGAAGTATTGGACCTTGGGTGGGTGTTAGTTAATCGCAGGGACCAGGGAAGATTTGATTTGGTGACCCGGCCATACCTTCGTGTAGGGGATGCACAAGAACGGAAGCTGAAGCAAGAAGTAGAGCAGAAACCCAATCATGCCGGCGGTGGTGATGCCCTCACTCTCAGGTATGTGGTTGGGGATTCTTGCGAAACTTGGCCAGATGGCGGTGAGGAGCACGGTCATACATTGACCGCCAGTCGTGGTTTGAACACTTTATTCACGGTAAGCCTCCAATGCGACGAATCTATTGGTTGGACACACTCACCCGAGCCAGACGATGGCGAGGACGCAGCGGGACACGACGACGAAGTAGCTGAAGTAGTAACCAAAGGGCATGCGTGCGAGCACCGGGAATGGAGTGTGAAGCTGTTTCAAATGAGCTGCAACTCGGCTCGGTGAAAGAATTCAACCCACCGTGGCACCCATTCTTCCGTTGATGGTAATGACGAGACCCATGATAGCATTGCCCAGGACACAGGCGCCGATTGCCATCTTCCAGCTGAGGCCGACGGCGATGATGGAAGAAGCTATACCACAGAAGTCTCAGAACTAACGCGTTCTCTCTTTCTAAATCAATAGAAGGATCTCATCCCGGAGTAGCTCACCAACTTCCCAATTGGAAACAGCCCAGGCATCGGCCATCCAGTAGGCGACATATGCACCCCAGTTCCATGTCCGCTTTGATGGAGGAATTGGGTCGAAGTCGGCATTGGAAGCGGCCTTGGTGGCAGCAAAACTGCTCTCCTCCTGACGGACCTCAAGGCTGAAGTGGGGAAATCGTCTCTTGAGGCCACTCACGCGACCAACTGCGATGGGCTCGGCCTCGGGAGGCTCGACGACGGAAGAGATATTCTTCTCATCGTAGTATTTTTCATCGGAGGACGACATGGTGGGCAGAGAAGATGATGGCCGCAGCTGTGGTAGATGATACGTAGAAGGACGAGAAGACATTGATGTATGTTTGCAGGCTCTCCGCCCGGACCATTTTTTTTGTCATGATCCCTGTGACGTTAGGATCGCCGCCCGCATTTCAGCTTGTGCCATCACTGCTGATAAGCACCGGAAGCTTTGACCTAGCGGCTCTAGATTGATGGTCAAGCCTATGACTGTCAAGACCGACACTCGGGCAGAGATAAGGGCCAATCGCCAAGAGTGCGGACGGGAATTCAGAATGCGACAGGGTCCTGGCCTTGAGCCCGAAGAACTTGCTTCTGCGAGGTAACGATAGAGATGGGGCCCCGTCGTAATACTTCGGCCACGCCTCAAAAGGCTGGCAAATCAGGATTGGTCCGACGCGAATCTAGGCGTCTGACCCAAAGCAAAATTCAGCCACTAGATTTATACGATGGCAACGCTTCTAGCTCCCTAAATTTGTTCTGAAGGATTGCATCGAATGAACGGCTGTGAATCCGCACTAACTTATCGGGTAGGAACAGCCTATAGCAGCAATCTTGGGGCTTCGATAAGCGAAATACGTAAGTTCGATGACAAAAATTCTTCAGCGGCAGCGAACTAGTCGAAGCATTTGCCTCGTTAGGTCCATCAAAAGAAAATCTCATCTTACCCGTTAGCACCGTTGAAACTGGCACGACAGGGTTCAGAATTGGATGAAAGCCCTTATCGTGCCAGGTCTATGGAGCCAGAATCTTGCAGGAGGCGTTCTGTGCCCTTGAGGACTGGAACGTCTTCCATGATAAGAGCGGTTCGGCTCGGTTTGCGGCTTCGAGTTTTCATACAGCCTTCGCTGTCCCGATCTGGTTCATGGATTGACGAGATAACCTGGAAAAGCGTTATGATCATCTGAAGAATCCTTTATTCGGGGTTGCGCCTCACATTAAGACCATTGATCGATCCGAATCTCTAGAAAACAATCTCGATCAGACATCTACGTCAACCAAACATCTACGTCAGCCATGATGATGTTGGCAGGGTGGTTGACTGTAGGATCTGGCCCTCAGTATGGGGATACGGGGAAGCCCACCAGCCTTCTGGGCAAGCTGGGGAGATTGAACGACGGCCCCAATCGGGATGTTCGGCACCCTCGAATGCAGCTAGGTCGTCTAGTGTTTCCCAGAGGGTTGGGATTCTGAATCAAAAGGAAAAAGTAAAAGATCTGGGAGCTGAAGGGGACCGAAGCGTTGTCGCTAAGAATGCATTGGACAAGCGACTCGGATATTCGGGTTCGTTCTGGCCAACACGAGCATCGGGCCCCTATCTTTGCAGGTCAATTTTTGCAGGTCAACCCTCGCTATCTACGCCCTCAAGATGGTTCTTTTGCTGCTCCATTGTACCAGTCATGGGAGACCTGTCGCCAACTCCGGTTCGCCCAGCCTGAGGATATATTTGGGACATTGCGAACGCACCCATTCCGGAGCTTCGTTTTTGCGCCAGGGCATCTGTAACTTAAGGAAGACCTCCATGGTTACGGCTACTCTGTGACTTTCATCTGAGAAGAAGCCAGCCACTCTCGCTTCTGCAATGGCGTGATGAGCCATCAGGAGCACTCCAGTTCCGGCGGAAATATGTTCTGGCCACGTGTGCGTTGTCAATCCATATGTTCTTCATGCAGGGCTAGTACATGCTCTGCTACGGAAACGTGTTCCTGGTTCTTCCCGCGGTGTAACAGTCTGCGGCTCCGTCAATCATTCTCTTATCCCCTGCCAGGACTGGTGCCTCAATCCCCTTGGCTTCCAGCAAGGAGACACAAAGTCCGCTAATCGATGGTGAATATTAGGCACTGTCGTATATAAAGCCAAGTCTCCCACAGGCAGGTCTTGACAGCAACGCATTGCGTCTGATAAAACAAAAGTATCGCACTTGGCGTAGGAAACGAGTGCTTTTCGGTATACCGAGCACCTGTACATTTTCATGGACCACTGCATCGATGTCTCTCACAAGATCAGTTTGGGCACCGGGGGAATAAACCCCACTGACATGAGCCAAAGTACTGAGGAGTCTCATCGCCAAGCCGAAGCAGTAAAGAAGCGGGATGCCAGGTAATAAGTAGGAGCAAGCATTTCTTCCGTCTGGATAAGTTCAAAAACCAATCCGAAGGCAAGATGGCTGCTGCAGACCCTGCAGTGAGCCGCTCGGCGCGGAAATATGGCCCGGGTCAGACAGATATATGTTTTATGAATTAGTTAACTGGTTTTCAAACAAATCGGTTTCTTCGGCTTGATGCGGAAACAGCATCTACGTACACCTGGTGCGCAGCTCTTGTAGCTGTGGTACCAAAATGGATAAATCACCATGTCAACATTACACTTTTTCTTGTGTATTGAGACCAAATCTTCCTCCAGCCGCTCTTGCACCGGTCTTTCAACCACTCTTGATGATAGGGACAGTGGCATATGTGACAGAGACGTTTGTGTCCTGGCAAAACGAGAGACCGAACATGAAACTATACGAGCTCACGAAGCGTATGCCCAGAGCATCAGCAGCATATGCCGCACAAAACGGTGTCCACAGCCTCAATGAATGTGGTCTCGCTTCAGTCCTGGACCCCGGCGAGAAACGTTTGATTTTGATTCCTGCTACCCACCCAGGGCGCCTATCCTTGTTCTACTTGGCATCGATATCCGTCGAGGAGGTGATTTCCCTCCACTCGTCAAGGCCTTTGATCGTCTCCTCGCACTTCCCCCTGATGATTCTGTAGGCGTCCGCCCCCAGCGCGAGCCTCATGGGGATCTCCTTGCCGGTAGCACCGGTGAGGACATCAACAATCACCTTGGCACCCTTCAGGGGATCACCTGGCTGATTCTGGTTTGTGCGCTCGACCCTTTCCTCGGTCTTCCGCACCACCGTGCTGTCGTAGTCTGAGATATGGTTGACGTGGAGGATCTTGTGGCCGCTGCTCAAGAAGTTGGATCGGAAGTAACCCGGTTCGATACTGCATACTTTGATGTTGAACTCAGCCAGCTCGAGATGTAACGTCTCCGTTATGCCGCTGACGGCCCATTTCGAAGCCTCGTAGATGCCCACGGCCGGTGTACCACGCCATGCGCCGATACTGGAGAAATTGGCGATAACCCCTGAGCGTTTGGCGCGCATATATGGTAGAATCGATCTGGTTACATTGAGAGGCCCAAAGACATTTGTAGCAAACTGGGACTGAGTTTCTTCCGGACTGTGGAAGTCAGCGTGTATCGTTTTATGTAATCAGTTGTATGATTTCCACATACGTAAGCTCTTCCAAGCCTCCTACCTGGCAGTATCCGGCATTGTTGATGAGGAAGTCAATCCGTCCATAGATACCGTGAGCCTCCTCGGCGAGTGCTTTTAGCTTGTCAAGGGGCATGGTGACATCGAGGCTCATCGTGTCAGCGCCGGCCTTTTTGAGATCCTCGAGCTTGTCGGCATTCCGCGAAGAGGCAATGACCTTATCCCCACGACTAAGGACTTCAAGCGTCAAGGCTTTCCCGAAGCCAGAAGAGGTCCCCGTGATGAACCATACTTTGAAATTCGACATTTTGGTCCACATATAAGAGAGAAATGGATCTTCGAAGGAATTCAAGATATCGAGGTCCTCAGAGAGCTGTGACAGAGGCTCTCTTGGGAGGAAATAGAATAGAAGCCTGCTATAGTAGGGCTTTTATTCTATTACGTTTCAAGGGTGCGCCTGACGTGTTGCGTATGAGAATTGTCCATTCCAGATGTGGACTACTGCAGAGAGCAGTCATCTATTCAACATTACGATCGCTCTCGTGCCGGAGCTCCTGATGGAAATGCCGAAGCGTCTCATGATTCTGTGGACGATGAGCCTTGGGAGACACAACTTCTGCCCAGGAACGCCTTTTAACCATTGGACACCACGAATACCGAAAAAGGCAATGCGTGTCATGTATACTTATCTTGTAATCAGGAGGTAACCAAAAATAATCAGCATATGGATTTCCCGAAGGCATATAAAATCCGAGAAGCCTCGAAGCCGACACTTGGAGCGGCCGCATCGGCCGCCCCTTGGTCATAGTTGTTGTCTCCGCAGTTCTGCAAGGAGAGTGGCATTTGACCTGCAGTTTACTTACGGCAATGTAAGTGAAATCATGAGACGGGCGGGAAGTCTAGGGATAGACACCCAGAAACTAGTGGGGAGTGAGTCGATTGTGGAGCTTAGAGGCAGTCTAGTGTCCTCCACAAGCATCTTACACATGTCCAACTTTGCGCTTCTAGGCTTCTTAAACCCCGGTATCCGCGCCAGTCAAGCGGGATTTTATAAAGCGATAATTCCGGTGCATTGACGGATGTCTTGCATTCGAAGGCGAACAGCCAATGTAGAAACGACGAGCTCGTGCTTTTCGGCGGAGGAGGTTTGGGTCAGTGAGTTGCCTGTTGGCTGACGGATAGGTCCTTGCTTGCACATCCATCTCTTCTAATGCTTTAAATGCATCCGTTGACTGTTTGCACTGTCCACTTTACAGGTCTGGTACCATTGACTCCCAGGTTCTTATATATATTATGGCCACCATATCCGGTGCAGAACACCAAGCCTGCTGCCAGAACCCGTCAGTGATGTTGAGCACGTCGCCCGGCCACTTGCCAAGTCGAGTCTTACCCCGCAATGACTCTGACTTGAACTTTCGATGTTGGACAGGGCTTTCATCGTGCTGCACGTCAACTTGTAGGAACACGAAATGATCACGGTTGCCATCGCCGGAGCGACTGGCGGCGTGGGTCGGACAATACTGGAGCACCTTGAATTCAGCAACAAGTTCAATGTCATAGTCCTGAGTCGCAAGGCACCGGATAAAATTGCGTCTGCTGCGCCAACGACATACCTCCAAGTCGATTATGATAACGTGGATAGCATTGCCAACACGCTGGACAAGCACAACGTCCATACCATTGTTTCGGCCATCGGAATCAACTCCGCTGAAACGAGTCAAGCTCAGTGCAACCTGATCAGAGCTGCGGACAGGTCTGGTGCCACGAAGCGTCTAATACCGAGCGAATACTGGGCGAAGACGGTTCCTGAGTAAGTCCGGCCCAGAGATCAGGCGCGTGTTCAACTTCGTCAATGAACCCTGACATGTGGGCGCTCCGAATTGCAGACTCTTGCCTCTAGACCCGACTGTGCAGTGGTGGCTCGATGCGGCTTTACTGCTCCAGTCCGGCTCGCTCCAGTATACGCGCATTGCTTGCGGCTGGTTTATGGACTGTAAGTTGTCCTGTTCCGCGGCCACGCGACCGATTCTCAAAGCCAGTTTGGGCCACTCGCAGGTTCTGATTATGCTGCAGACTGGGGAATGCCATATGTCAAATCTCATCTTTCCGATTTCTCGTGGGCGGTCGACCTCTTCAATCGCAAAGCCGCCGTACCCGGAGATGGTGGAAACGTGATTAGCCTGACTCTGATTGACGACGTGGCTCGGGCTGTTCTGTTATTGCTGGAAGCCGAGGAATGGCCAGAATGGACGTTTCCAATCGGCGACAGTTTGACATTCAACGAGTTCTTGAGGGTGGCCGAAAGAGTCAGAGGTCGGTCAATCTCCCGGCCCTGAATGCCTGCTAATCGTCGAAGCGAGTGGCGATTTGTTGACATCTTTCAGGATCCAAATTCGAGCTCACGTACGACAGCCCCGAGGACTTAGAGCAGGGCAAAGTGACAATACTGCCGAACCCGGGCACCAGGGCGTGGACTGCATCAGATAGAGAGACGCAAGATAGAAGGCATTCCCTGGTCCTATTCGGGAGATTCTATGTCTCTGGAGTACTGGATCTCTCGAAGGAGCAGCAATTTTCTGCTCGCTTTCCAGACTGGAGACCCAAAAGACTGGAGGAATTCCTGAAAGAGGTGTGGCAAGGAAAGCCGTGAGCGGCTGTATACATGTACACATGCATAGATATTTATTCCCTTTGACAGGGAGCCCATATGTGACCAAATAATCCAATCCTTGTTGGTGTCAAACAGGAGGCCATCAACATGCAGCTCGTGGAGCCTTTCCTGAGGTCAGGCCCACAAAAGAGCAACTTTGCCGAACAGCGCAACAATTCTGTCGGCAGAGTTTCCCTCCAGAAAGTGCATTATTCCTCGTCCACAATCTTCCTCCTCTCTTCTCCTTCAGACAAAACGATTTCACTCATTCTATCAAGCCAGTATATGTGGTCATGGTGTCCTTCATTATGCGGTAATGACTTAAAATGCTACTGCCGGGGAACCATATGCACACTTGCTTCCCAGTTATGACACAACAGACCCTCCATATGACGAGGTTCATCTACCAAACGCAACACATCACTTTCCAGCTGCTTGGCTCTTCCCACAAGCTCTTCGTCCCCGAAGTCACGGTCTGCAAGTTTCGCGTCATGCGGACTTGTACGGCTAGAGCTGGTGGATATTTTTCACACACTTTCGTTGCAAGATCAAATGTTTTGGACCTTCATAGTTCAACCTGTCCCCGTTTACACATTGGATTGGTTGACTCCTTGCGTGCCTACATGAAATACCCATTTACACTGGTGCAGTCACATTGTATCCTGGTACAACATCTCTAAGTCAATAATTCGTTACATCATGTCTTTGATCGACTCGCTCCGAACGCTAAAAATAAAATCGAGGATCCAGGCTTGAAAGGGCGTGGTTTAGCCACCACCGGCTTTCATGTTGCCCAGGTTAGTATTCTGCAATAAAGCTGACACTTCCTCAGCAGAATATCCAAAAAAGACGGGTCCGTTGAAGATGATTTGGGTGCGGGGCTCTTTGCCCTGGGGGGAGTCGTCTGTTTGTTTCTTTGACGGAAAGGTCGTCTGACCCTGCTCTTGCGGATGATCATTGCGGTGCGCTGCCGAAGCATTATGGGGGCTCGTAGACCGCATCTTGAGATGTGCCACGTTTTCTTCCTCTTGGAGGGCACTGAGCGTCGGTTCTTTATCGGCTGGTACCGAGATTCCCCAGGGCCGGCTGGGAGATTCGCCAACCCGGACTTCCCTTAAGGGTTTATCGAAATGTGATATTCTCGGTTCTTCATCTGCGACTGCTCCGTCTTGGGTTGGTGGTGCAGCAGCAGTTTCGCTGATATTCTCAGCCCATTTCTCCACTGCCTGGGTTGATTGTTCTTCAATCCTATCTCGCTCTGGCAGGTATGCTTTGTGCTTGACTCCTAGACCTTGTATCATGTTTACCAAATTGCCATACTTTGCGTCTAGTTGCCGGGCGCCGCTTTCATTGCCCTGGTATCTTCGCACGCAAATTTCGTGGCTTCGAGGAATCTCGTGCTTGTGATTCTCGAAATATTTGGCAACCTCTTCTGGAGAATGCTGATCGAGGAAACGGATAGGACATTGACCTGGACGTTGGTCCGGATGTGGAGAGCGTGCTGAGTACGTGTCCTGGTGGAACTCGGCTGCTATAGGATCCTCGTGGATAGAGGACGCAGGTCCATTGGCCATCTTTGCAAAGGGACATCCCAGCGTGCCTTGGACCCCCGGAGTAGTAAAATCTCGCTCAAGATCTTCGGGATCGCCATTTCCGTGTGCTATGGGGCAACGTCGCCCATTATTCTGAGATCTCTGTGTCTTGGACATCTTGTACGTTTGTATGGCTTGCTGCGCTTCGCGGATGGGAAGGGAGAGTTCGACGTCCGCGTCGATGGCAGGGATTTCTCGGAATTGGCGGGCGACTTCGCTCGGAGCAATGGACGATGCCGAGAGACTGCTGTCAGCGGCTAAGACCTTCTCATACTGCACGGTTTCAATCAGCACTCCTGTCCCAACATGCAGGGCATATGGCAAACAGGAATTTTGAATATCGCAGTTCAGGTAATACATGCAATCTCTCGCTCATCGCTACAAAGGATTGTAGCTCTTGATCTAGAGCTAATCAAAAGATTCTCATCATAACGCAGTAGGGGAAGGATAAAAACGGCGAGATATCGACTCACCTCATTTGCCGCAAATTCCAGCCTCTCCCTCAAGGCCTTCTCGTTCTTGATATGCGCGCGGACCGTGGACAGCAGGGCATCAAATCCAGAGATGAGGGCGTCGATAATGGCCGACTCACTGATGTCAGGAGGAGACGCGTGCATCGGATCTGAAGGGAATGAGAAAGGAGAAAAATCGCTCCGATGGACTTGGGATGCTCGGGCGTGAGAAGTTGTGCAAGGCACCAGCGAAAATAAGAAAATCGGAAGCTGCACGCGGCTGCCAAGAGTGGTAAAACAGCCCGAGACTAGTACCTTATCGGAAGCCAGTCACGCCGCTTGGAGGTGTCGCTCTGGGATGTTACTATCCACCGTACAGCGACCTCGCGTAGTTGGTCCACCGTACTTAAGGCCGGTCGCCTAGCATATCGTCGGTATTCAACGGAGGTTGCTTTGACTACTGCGAACAGCCAACAGCTGTCAGAACCTATGATGGCAGAACCTTCTCTTACCTAAGCCCCAGAGGAAACTATTTGGACAAGCCGAAGTCTCAAGGGATGCCAAGATTAACGATGGACGTTGGCTTGACGGATATATGGATGTAGAGACGTAGAGTCCCGCGGATATAGGGGACGAAAACACTACAGGGGCCCCTTGAAGGTGGAGCCGCGGTCACCCTGGCTGCATACCCCGCGCCGACCAGCCTTGCGGGGTTATCTTTTTAGTAACTTTTGCATCGCGGCGAAGACGGGGGTGCGAAGGGGCTGCTGTGTGGTGCAGGAGACACGATACGCGTACTGTAAGCGAGAAGACCCGAGACTACTCGGCCGAACTGCCATGTGCCACCATTTATATCGAGCCAGCGCCGAATGACGACCCTAGAACTTGAGACGGTTGTCACGGAGAGCAACTGTTGAATCACGCTGGGTTTAGATATCGTTGACGGGCATGGCTCAAAACAAATACCTCAATAAGCTGGAGGGCGACTCCGTACTGATCATCGGCGGCACGTCTGGGTGAGGTCGTCATTCTGTCGCGCGCAACTTGGGTAGCAACTAATGCACTTTTCTTCCGTTCACAGTCTGGGCTTCGGCGTCGCGGAAGCCTGCATCGAATTCAAAGTCGCCCAACTGTATGTCTCATCATCGCGACAGGCTAAGATCGACACGACCATCTCGCGCCTCCAGAACGCCTATCCAGACAGCAAGACCAAAATCACGGGCATCGCGTGCAATCTGGCCGATGAAGCCACGCTCGAGTCCAACATCGAGAAGCTATTCCAGAAAATCAATGCCAAACTGGACCACATCGTCTTCACGGCTGGTGATCCGCTTGCCATCAAGCCCCTCGAGTCCATTGATATGGCCATGCTCAAGCAAGCGGGCATGGTGCGGTTCTTCGCGCCTTTCTTCGTGGCGAAACACGGCCGCCACTACCTCCACAACACCAACCGCAGCAGCATCACCTTCACCTCAGGCACCATCGTGCAGCAGCCCAACAAAGACTGGACGCCTGTCGCGGGCTTCATGTCCGGCTTGGTGGGACTAACCAGGAACTTGGCCCATGAGCTGAAGCCGATCCGGGTGAACCTGGTCGAACCCGGCGCGGTCGACACAGAGTTGTGGGATCCCAAGTTTGTCGGCAATCCGGAGGCGAGAAAGGCATTTCTCGACAAGTATGGCCTGTCCTTGGCGACGGGAGTAGTTGGGAGGGTCGAGGATGTGGTTGAGTTGTACATGGCTGTAATGAAGGACAGAAATAATACTGGTGCGGTGGTGGAGAGCAACGGGGGAGCGCTGGTTGCGTAGTTAGCAATCAAAATCGCACAAGAGCCAAAAGTCCGGCCAAGAAAAGCAACGGATGTCAAGACAGCATTAATATCGACAATAGAAGTACATCACAGTGCCACTCGAGCTCGGTGCTGGTTTCAATCACAGTATTGAACGAAGAAAGAAGTCTTGAGCCGCATTTATTTGAGGCCAACTCTTCAAACATCCTCATCCATGTTGTGGGTTTTGACTTGTTTATGAACCCTATCTGTCTATATGCCTCCTCCCCATCACGTTTCTAGAATTCCAAGTCAAAGGCGACAGTCTCGTCGGCAATCTTTCCTACCAGTGCGATCAGTCTGCCACCGACGGATTAGCAAGCATACATTTGGGAGATTCCTCCACATCCACTCACTCGCCATGGATAGGGTTCTTGACATAGCCTTCCAGAAATTGGACTCCTTCCAGGGTCGCCACGGCTGCGTATTCGAATCCCTTGGCTCGAATACTAGTGGCAGCCAAGGGGGGGCCAGTTTTCATGTCCACCAGGCCTGGATAATGGGAGTCAGCATTCCCTAGTATTTGAGAGCGGTTTTCCTCCTGTTCGGCGGGGCTCCTTCATACCAGAGACTTCCCCAATCATGGCGCCACTCAGGGAAGCCAGTTTTTCGAGATCTTCTGGCTGGGTATCTTTCTTAAATTTAAAAAGCACTTTCATCCGGTTAGTTTGCCATGTGTTAAGGTCTAGCACGTAAGGCAGTAATTACCAATGTGGTAGAGGCCCATCTTCGCGGTCTTGGAAGCACCTGTGCTGAAGGCTATTAAGTTAAACCTGTTCACGGAGGAAAGAAATTGGATCTTGGTATTGAGTGGCTGTGCAGTGCCTACTGGGTACTCGTGAATATATGCCTTCTCGCAAATCTAAGCTACTCTATGTTTACCAGCCAGTACCAGTATCTCTTGGTCACTGGTCAGCTTCATCCGCTGGTGTGTGTGTCGAGTCCAAGACTTCTGCGAAGAAAGTGGTTTGGCTTGAGGCTATTCGTGGGCTGTGAGATCGTGGAGTATTCAACCCTGCCGAATGACCGGAAATACGGGGCCGGATGGATCAAACCGATTACCACGGGCAAAGTGACAGGGAGATATCCGACTGAAAACGACCTTGCACTCGCCCTGTTTCGACATCTAGTCCTTTCCAAAAGCCGGATTACCAGCAAGGGCCAATGACGATGGGATGTGATATACTCTGGTCCGGCTTTCCATCTGTATGTTATTTGTGCCCTTGCACAGAGGTCTAGATCCGCGTTCAGGAAGACTGTTCTCAAAATTCGGGCGTGGGATTCCGGCACTTCGTCGCAAACCCCCTGTCAATAGGTCTCCTCTTCCACAATCGCTGCTAGGATATTGTTGAGAGTTTTCACACCCCCGATTCACGAAGTCCCACGAAAGATTCAACGAGACTGATAAATTCGTGTCGGCAGTTATAGCACCAGTCAATCGTTACCAACACCGCTGGAGGTCTAATCTTGCGGCAATCATGGCTTCGACCAGAATTTCCACCGTCGACATTCCCAAGTCCGATAACTGTGTTCGCGTGAGGATGATAGACGCCGAATGCAACATGACCTTGGGATCTGAGCACTTCTTCCAACCGACCGTTCCGGGTCATGAGATCATGTACAGTACTGACGTGGCGTTCCTCATCGATAATCCACGACTGGGAAAGAAGGCAATGTTTGACCTTGGCACGAGGAAGGACTGGTGGAAGCAACCCCCAATGATCACTAAGAGGCTGGGCACTTTTCTCAGATACATCAAAGTGGACCGGGACGTGACTGAGATTCTGGAGGCCGGAGGCGTTGAATTGAAGTCCATCAGTATGTATCCCCTTGATGGAGCGATGCCAAATGTCTCCCGCCCTGGCTGAAAATCGCAGATGATATCATCTGGTCGCATTACCACTTCGACCATACGGGGAGCACGTACCTCTTTCCCAAAAGCACTAACCTGATCTATGGGCCTGGGACAACGGACAAATTGCTTCCTCCCTATCCTGACAACCCCCGTTCTCCCATCGCAATTGAACATCTGGAAGGGCGCAAATGCATCGAGGTCACGATGGAGACCTGGATAGGATCGCTGCCCGCCCATGACTTCTACGGTGACGGCTCTCTCTACCTCCTCGACACACCAGGCCATGCGCCAGGCCATGTCTGTGCCCTAGCACGGACGACGCCCGACACCTTCATCTTCATGGGTGGGGACGTCTGCCACTTTGCAGGAGACTTCCGGCCGTCGGAGGACTATCCTATGCCCGACCCGATTCCCGAAGGAGCACTATACAAGGATGCTCTGTTGCCAACGCCGTGCCCGTGCAGCTTCTTCACCGACCACCATCCACGGGGGGCGCACGGGGAGGAGGCACGAAAGACGCCGTGGTACGAGATCTCCCGACACAAGCACTCTTCGTACGCGGATCCGGAACTCGCCTCTCGGACTGTCCAGTCCATGGCCCAATTCGACGCCCGGAAGGACGTTCTGGTCTGCCTCGCACACGAAACGATGCTGCCTGTCCATCTGCCGACCTTTCAGAAAGACCCGGCCGCCGACTTAAATGCGTGGCAGGAAAAGGCCTGGAAGGCCCGGGTCGACTGGGGCTGGTTGAATGAGCTTCCCAGAAATGGGAAGCAGGCCAGAAAGGATCTCCCAGAGGGTTTTTACAGGGATGGGAAGCTCTGGGAGACGGCGAGAAAAGAGCTGGGCGAAATGGATTGATGGGGGCATGGTCTCGAAGAGATAGCTTGCCAGTGCGAAGAGTTCCCGGGCGAGTCTCTGGGCGTCTACTTGTCTGGTCGTAATTGAGTAGATTATTCTTCAACATTTACTCGGGCATGCAATTACTTGTCTCTCGTTGCCCACCCAAATGCGAGTTTCTGCAGTACGACCACTTTGCCCATAGCCAGAACCTTGTTTTAGAAAAGAGAGGTGGCCTTCGGCTACAGTTTCAATACTTTTCGCACATAATCAACCGCTATTTTGACCAGGAGAAGCTACAGACTCACTACAAGCTCGTATCTCTCAACCGAGCTCTCTGCTCGGTCGGACGGAGAGAGGAGTTCAATACACCTTGGATACAGGTAATGGATAGCTTCGTATGCTTCAGCATAATCCCGGCTCACGGGAGTAGTCTACGTTGAAAAGGGGCTCGTTTGCTCGATGGCGATCGCAGTGCAATACTAGTCTACGGCCCTAAGCTGGAAGTCCGTACCACGATTTCGTTCTCGTTCTCGTTCTCGGCCTATGGCAAAGCAAAGGTCTGGACCGCGAGTCCTGGGCAGGTCACTTCTAGACCACGAGTGGTGGTGCCGTAGATATATCCGTATATCCGGCCTCTACCAAGTTGTTAGTGCTGTTTCTCTCCTGGGTGGTAGCCTTGCGGATATACGGATGTAAGAGAGCTGAGGCTGCAAAAGTAAAATCTGGGGACCCCGAGCACGGGGTGGGCGGGGCTCCAGAGTCAAGCAGCTGAGTGAGAGACGAGAAACTCTGTTGATAGCTGTGTCTACAACATGATAAAGCCTGGACGGTTCGTCGGTGAATGTTAGGTCTCTAACGCTTGGTCAACACGACTCTGTCTATCATTCCAGTCTCTCTGGGCGACCTTCAACTGATAATACTTGATTGAGTTGTCAATATGGAAGCCGGCGTGGCAACATACGTCGAAAAGTCCGACATGGACCCCGAGCACCATGAGAAAGTGACCACCGTCACCGAGGCGTCTCTCCACAAAGGAATCGGCATCGAGGCTGCCGATGTCCGCGTGGCGAGCCCGAAGAGCAAGGAGGAGCGCGCCCTGGTGCGCAAGATGGATACTCTAATCCTGCCGTTGCTCTCGGGGGCCATATTCTTCGCCTATCTGGTACGTCTTTATATGTATAGTTGTATGCACACTGGCTGACTCTGGCAGGACCGTGGAAATATCGGCAATGCGCGGATTATGGGTCTGCAAACGGACATTGGCATCGACAACAGCCAGTTCTACAATTGCCTCATGATGTTTTGTAGGTGTTGGGCTTTTGCTTTTCTGGTGATTGGAATTTCTGACAACCACAGTCCTCGGGTATATGCTGGTCGAGCTGTTTGCAGGGATCCTACTTCGAAAGCTCCCGGCCAACTTCGTCATCGGAGGCGCTGTCCTGGCCTTTGGGGTTCTGGCTGCTGCCTTTACTGCTGTGAAGAGCTACGGCGCCTTGATGGTCCTGCGACTCCTGCTCGGTCTAGCAGAGGGCACCAGCTACAATGCATACCTCTATACTAGCTTATGGTACAAACCACACGAATTATCCCGAAGAACTGGTGAGTTGAGCAATTCTGGCTCCCCTTAAGTATTCTCAAGCTGACATTTTCTGCATAGCTGCCGTATATGGAATGAGTCCTATCGCAGGAGCTTTCAGCGGTCTCATCTCTTATGGCGTTGAGAAGAACTTGGATGGCGCCAGGGGCTACCACGCATGGCAGTGGCTGTTTATCATTGAAGGAGTTCTGACTATTACATTCTCGCTCTTCATTATTGCTCTTCTACCTGGTTTGCCCGACGTGGTTGTTAAAAAGGGGCATTTCATGTTTCCCCATGAAGGCGAGCGCAGCATCGTTGCACAGCGAATGCGTGAGGGTGAGTCATGCTTCAGCACATATGCAACGATTCGAAAACTCAACTGACACCGACGTAACTACAGGACAAGTGAGTGACCAGTCAGGCGTCCGCTATCACCAGATCTTGATAGCACTCAAAGACCCCAAGCTGTATCTCTGCGCCCTCATGATCGCCGGCTTCGGCCCCGTCATTCAGGGATTCTCGGTGTTGCTCCCCACCTTCATCAAGGAATTCAACTTCTCACCGCTGCAAACGCAGCTCTTCTCCATGGTACCGTACGCTTTCGGTTTCGCCGCGCTTGTGGGCATGAGTTTCCTGTCCGACTACCTCAACCACAGAGCCTTCCTGATCTTTGGCTGTTTCGCCACGTCCCTGGTGGGGTTCGTGATCCTGCTTGTCACGACCAACAAAGTTGCCCTAATGGCCGGGCTATGTTTTGTGCTGACGGGCACCTACCCCGGCACAGTGTTGTGCGTGGTGTGGATCAACACGATGCACGGCGGGTTCACGAAGCGGGCCACAGCCATTTGGATCAGCCAGATCTTCATCCAGAGCTACGCCATCATCGCCACTCAGGTGTACGACACTCCTCCACGGTATTTCAAGGGTCACGGAATCACTATGGGACTTTGCGTGGTCGCCATGGCTGCCGTTGTTGCCATGTATTTCATCATGAAACGAGCGAACGCACAGCGTGATGCACAAGCTCGGGAGCTTGAAGCAAACGGAGAGATCGATCCTCGAATGGAACAGGATTTCGAAGACTTGTGCGACTTCCACCCGGCCTGGCGCTATGCACTTTGAGGACGCAGCGAGGAAATATGACCTTCCCAGATAACTGGAGGAAGGGGGACATGTGTCTCATGCAGTATTGGTGCAAGTTTCTCCCCTTGTTATCAGACAATAGGTGTGATTCAGTCAAAGCATAACATATTGTGTTCGAGCTGTATAAGCGACTGTCAGTAACTTTGTGAGATTTAAACCCTGCATCGGTGACATATGAACTCGTCGTAGCATCCCCAGAATGTCCGGAGAGTCCACAATCGCCATTCCCACTCTCCAGCCTCATCGTTGACCATACATATGGCTTTGAGAAAAGGGACATGGACGAAGAAGCCGTGATACTCGGTCTGATGGCATTTCCCATTTCGAGCCACCACTTCATTCCAGACCTTCAGGCAATAGGGCCCCGCATTGAAGAAGCCGGACGACCACATTACCGAGCCGGACCCGGCACCTTGACCTGAGTTAGGGTTATGTTAATAGTATCCAGGCGACTCAGCTGACGACGGCCTACCAAGTGAGACCCGATGTGAAGGCATTGTGGCTTGAAAAACGAACTTTGATTCAAAATACACAGCACACAGCAAATATTCTGGATTTCCTAGCATCGTGTTTCAACCATAAGATGCAAAATCTTCAGGGCAAAGTAGCATTAGTGACCGGAGGAGGGTCCGGCATCAGCCTTGCCTTTTGCAAGCTGCTGTACAAGGCAGGCTGCAAAGTTCTCATTGCCGACATTGCTCTGCACGGCACCGCGAAACAGTGGCTCGCGTCGATTCAGGCAGAAAGCCCCTCTGACGCCGCTCGGGCGAAATTCGTTCGAACAGACGTGACGGACTGGGACCAGCTTGAGACGGCTTTCAAGGAGAGCGAGGTCGTGCTTGGGACTCAGCCTGACATCGTGGTACCCGGCGCAGGAGTCTACGAGCCATCCTCCAATTCGTTCTGGGAGGATCATGATCTGAACTCGCGCTACAAGGTGCTGGACATCGACTTGGTCCATCCTATTAAATTGACGCGGATGGCTATTCGACACATGGTTCAAGCTCGCAAAGCAGGAACTATCATACACATCTCCAGCATCGCAGGGCAACGGGCGAGCGTCGTAACGCCGCTGTACACAGCGGCCAAGCATGGTATAAACAGTTTCATCCGCAGTATGGGTTCGCTGGAAGCCATGGCAGGTATTCGAGTTCTCGGAGTGGCGCCAGGGTAAGTGGGAGCCCGCTTCATAGAAGGACGGCTCAGAGTGGCACTGACCAGTAGAACCTTTGAACAGAACGGTCGGCACTCCACTGTTTACAGACCACCCTGAGGCGTCCAAATTCCTGGACCTTGACAAAGACACGCTACTTGCACCGGAGCATGTCGCCAATGCAATGTTCGCACTCCTGACTGAGACCCAATACAAGGGCGGCACAGTCCTTGAAGTTTGTCATGAGACTGCGTGGCGGGAAGTGTCCTTGCTCAATGACCCGGGGCCGCAGGGGCCGGCGAGCATCACAAGCCGCAAAAGCGAAGCGATCAAAGATATCCTTCCCCATCTAGGAGAGCTGGACAAGATGGTCGTCGAGGGAGTGAGGACTGATTAACTCGTCGACCTTGACGAGGATTTGCCCGACATTGAATTGGTCATGGTTACGTCAGTATAGCAGCACGCGCTGTCGAATGGCATTTTCTCGTGTCGGTGCGTGTCGAAGAGTAGATGTCAGCTTTGCGGAACTCTTGAGCAAGCCATCGAGGGCCTATTTATTTATGGAAGTTAACACTATATCTTAATTGATCAACCAGCCTTTAACACTAGAGTAAAAGAAGCCTACTTGCGAATCACCACCTGCTTTCTCGTAAAGTGGGCTTGTGTTGTTTTCCAGTTCTAGAGTAGAGGTCCATCTGGCTCTATCCTTCAACTACTCCGTAACCTCTCTTCCTTGTCCTCCTCGGTCTCTTCGCCCAAATAATACGTCACATCCCCGCCGTTGAACTCAATAGTTGAGAAACCACTGCCCAGCCAACCCCAGCGATTGCCGCTCTCGTACTCAATATCATAGTCCTCGAACCTGGGTGTGGCCAGCACGTCAAGATAGTGCAGTCGCGACCCAGGCCATACGATAGGGTTCGCTTCCACGCGGCCCTGCTTGAACCAGCTCCGACACGGGTCCGTCCAGGCTGTGCGCTTGTGGTAGGTCGTGGCGTGTTCGCCAAAGTCAGCCACGACGCTGGGCTTGGGCGAGAGGCGCCGAATGTGTTCAAGACGGATCTTCTTGATAATGGCGACCAGATTGTGCGACAGCGCCGTGGCGACTGGGATGAGAGAGCCCTGAGCTACGGGCCCGTACGGGCCAAAGTAGGTGAAATAGTTAGGAATGTCGGGCACACCGGTGCTGATGTACCCCAGAGCGTGGTCCTGCCAGAGCTCGCTGACGTTGGTCCCGTTCAACCCGACGACGGGGAATCGGGGCCGGAAGGAGGTGTCGAACCCAGTGGCGCAGATGATCACGTCCACGTCGACTTCATGCTCGGACGAGCTGGGCTTGAACCCGTGCGGCGTGATGGAATGCATCGTTTCGAAGTAGACTTTTGTTTTGGGCGCCACCAAAGCTTCCAGATACCCCGTCCCAGGTGTCGGGCGTCGGCAGCCGACGTTGAAGTCCTTCGGGATAATATGGGACATGATTTCTTCGTTGTAGGACAGACGCCTGGCCATCTCGCCATAAGAGTACTGCCACTAGATGTCAGTAAGAAAAATCAAGGTAGCCGGGAGAAACCGACCTTCCACGCGTCCTCAGCCTCCTGAGTGTTGCGCAGGATGAACTTGAACCGGATGTTCAGTTCTCGCTCAACCTTTTTGCGATAGGAAAGATATTGCGCTTCATCTTGGGCCCACGTCTTCTGTTGCTCTTTGGAATCTGAACACCAGGTCAGTCATAACTGAGTCGCTTTGTTTAGTAACTCCTTACATTGGAAGTTGGTCCCGTTGTCGCCGGCATATTTCGAACCGTATCCTGCCGTGACCCAGATCGGGCTCCGGACCCAATGGTAGAGCTGATCAACTTGTTGATATATCGAGGCTACGACTTGGACCCCGGAGCTTCCGCTTCCTATCACAGCAACCTTCTTTCCCTTGAGATCGACAGTATCGTCGAAGTTTGCCGTGTGGTAGAGCTGACCGCAGAAATCGTGCAATCCGGGAATGTCTGGCCATTTCCAGGCGCTGTCAAAGACTTGTCAGCTTATTATTCTGCTTAAACACTGCAGACTGCCCACTTTAAGAATCCAGAAGCATTCACAAAGAAGTGATACTCCTCCTCACGCTCCTCCCACTGGCCAGGGCTAATCTCGTGTCGCGAAGCGATGATCCATCGGGACTTGTCTTCGTTCCAGACCGCACTGGTGACTTCTGTATTGTATTGAATATAACCGTCGAGCTTCTCCTCGTCGACAATGTCGCGCATGTACTGCCAGATCTCCCGACTCTCGGAGTAGAAGCTCGTCCAGTCAGGCTTCGGTCTCCACGGGAACTGATAGCAAACGCTGGGTACGTCGCATGCGCATCCTGGATATCTCAATCATTCAATGTTAGCAGGTCAGTGGTTGCCGCAATGGCGAGATACACACCTATTCTCGAGCCACGTCCCGCCTACATCGTGATTCTTTTCGTAGCATTTGATCTCCACATTCAAGCCCTTGAAGGAATCGAGGGTGACAGTATGATGTAGAAAATCGATGCCAGATGCTCCGGCACCCAGACACAGCATTCGAAATGGCTCTTTTGTCAGCGGTGGCTCACCGAGCAAATGCTCAGATATCGTATAGCCGGAAGGAGCTTTCGTGACCCATTCTGGAGAAAAGGCGGGTCGGTCTGTCGATGAAGGTAAAGGGGTCTTGGGTTTGTTGCTTAGATCAGGTACAACCATAGCCGCCGCCTGAGTTGGAGGGCCACCGAAGGTCTGAGGATTGTGCATTCCGTCTTTCAAACGGAGGAGAGGTGGATTCATACAGTCACCGAAGGTGGTACGGGTGCCGCAAGTGACAAAGCGAAGCCACGAAACCGTTCAGACCAAACGCCTACTTCATCAACATGGACGGTCGAGGTGGCCCTCAAAGGCTTTTCTAGCGTGGGCTTTCAGCCATCTCAACGCGGTCTCTGCGGCACCTCCGCGGGTCCGATACAGACGTGCCGGGCTCGTGGAATGACATGCAAGGAGGGAAGCAGCAGGGGTCTGGACAGATGGCGCCACACTCATTGGGGTCCATCTGTGCGGGCCGGATGTATACTGGCGTCTTAAGATCCGGCGACTGAATCAAATAGCCGTTCACCAATGGGACACAGGCTCCATAATTTGTCCTCCTAATGTCGTTGACGTGCGTGTCGTGGTCAACCAACAGGCAAATACAACCGAACTAACTGTTCGGCGACATGTCTGTCGGCCGAGGATGTTCGACTATAGGATTGTAGTCTCCTATATCCACATCCTAGCATTTCCGGCCGTCGTTAGCCACATACTGGCCTGACATGATCACAGAAAACCATCATAGTATTCGCTGCATACAATACACACATATGTAATGAGTGCTTGACTCTCTCAGTCCGGGTACTTCAGGGCGAACAAGCAGAGGCTCATACCACGATATCAGCTGAGGACCAACTTCGCCGTCTGTCATCGCCTCTCACAAACCCAACTGCCTCCCTGTGAACCCGCAACTCACCATCACACGTAGGAAATGTCTGAGCAGGGCCCGAAAGGCCGGCTGGCCGGTAAGACGGCGATCGTGACAGGTGCGGCCAGCGGCTTCGGGGCTGCGATCGCAACCATCTTCGCCAACGAAGGCGCCCTGGTGCTGGCAGCCGACATCAACACGGCCGGCGGCGAGGCCATCGTGGCCAAACACCCGAACCTGCACTTCTTCAAGCTCAACGTGACGCTGGAGTCGGAGTGGCAGGCGGCGCTGGACTGCGTGCTGTCGAGATGGGGCAAGATCGATATCCTGGTCAACAACGCCGGCACCAGCCACCGCAACCAGCCGGCGCTCGACGTGACCAAGGCCGACTTTGAGCGGTGCATCGCCGTCAACGTCGACAGCGTCTTCCACAGCGTCAAGGTCGTGGTGAGGAAGATGGTCGAACAGGGTACCGGCGGCTCGGTCATCAATATCTCCAGCATTGGGAGTGTGAGGCCGAGGCCGGGACTGGTCTGGTATAATGCGACCAAAGGGGCAGTTTCGAATGTGAGTTCACATTCCATTTTCTTTTCCTTTTCTCCTTCAGCTTCTCCGGAGATACTACTTCACGACGATCTCCTACCAGAACTAATCATCCGTGTCTTCACATGAAACACCACAGCTGACAGCGCTACAAGGCTACGAAAGGACTCGCAGCAGAATTCGGTCCGCACAAGATCCGATTTAACTGTATATGTCCGCTGCTGTCTGGCACGGGTCTGTTTGAGACTTTCGTCGGGGTACCAGACACGCCAGAGAACCGCCAGAAATTCATTGGCAATGTTCCGCTGGGACGACTGACGGACGTAAACGACATTGGCTACGCCGCCTTGTATCTGGCGAGCGACGAGAGTGCGTTCGTCACAGGGATTAATATGGAGGTGGACGGTGGGAGAGGGGTTTAAAAAAAAGAGGAGGGTGGAACCGGTTCTGTCCGTATAGCTGCAATTTTGAAAATGTTCAAATGCGAACGAAAGACTGGATTGAATGCTCTCGATTCTTCTTTTCTGTGTCTCGATCTTACTTATTGGTCTTCTCATGCCTCTCAAACTGGCCAGAGCTAGCTTAACTATTGGTTGCTCAGGCATTTACTACATGACAAGGGAGCATTGTACTCGCTGAGTGTCTCTGAAATGGAAGAAACCACCGTTTCTGATTGGCATTATCTGGTTTTTACGGCCGAATTACCGTCGTGCAGAGTCACCAGCGAATCTCACTATCTAGGCGCTTGTGGTTTCAGTTCAAAAATTCAGTGGACAGCTTTGCTCGCATTGAAGTCTGACATCTAGTGGCCTCCTGGTCGAGATCTTAAGCTGGCTTCAGAAGACTATCGACATCTTGCGAAACCGGCAGATCCAGCCACTGAAAGAACTTTTCCTGATCGAAGGCAGGATGGGCCATTGCATCGTCGAAGCTGAAGAGACTTGTCGAGAAGTCCAAAGCCATTTCGGGCGTGGGTTGGGGCGTTGTGGCGGCTCCAAACGCAACTTGAGTCGCCTCACTGCTGGCCTTCTCCTGGTTTGCTTGGTCCGGAGAACTGACTTCCTCGACTCCGGATCCAATGATGCTCCCAAATCGTTCTCCAGAATCTGAACTTATGCCTGGAGAGGGCACAAGTCTTCCCTCTGCTCGTTTTTCACTCTTCGACCTGTGCCTACTCTGCTCGTTGTCCTTTATCGGTTGATTGTCATGCCCAGCAGGCGCTTTAAGCCTCTGCATGATCCTGTCGAAGAGCTTGAGCACCCAGCCACCGACCGGCCAGGATTCTTGCATCGAGGCCAACCCCAGCATGCACACCTTGGCTCGCATCTCTGCCAAGTCGTGGTTGGCGGCTTGCGACGTGCATATGCTGTACACGTGGACTGCGAGGGCGTTGAATAGAGCGGTGATTCTGCCAGTCGATCGTCAGTAAGCTCGGGTGGCAGACAAGAGCACGATCCTACGTTTGTACTTGGCAAAGCCTGACGAGTGAGGCGGAAAGCAGATCCTCCATGGATCGAGTGATGGCGCTGGCTGCCGCAAAGGCTTTCTGAGTATTCCCCCATTCCCAGAATTGCTCTGGCCCGGACTGGCTGAGTGGTGGCCGGCAAAGTAAGATCATCGCGTAGCTTTCACTCCAGTGTGAGGCCCCATCAACCAATTTTGGTACGATTTTGAGCGGACTTACTTATATGTCATTAGAAGCATCGATGCCCACAGTCCACGACCCGAGCTACTGTCGATACCCCGATACACCAACTCGGAAGGAATTTGTTCGTGGAAGAGCAGCATGGCATCCTCCAAACTCGTCCGATGGTCGAAGGTAGCTATCGATCGAGCTGATCCATATCTTGCGTCAAGTATTCGACTTACTATAAGTCTGGTTAGCTACTGTTTGCGACTAGAATGTAGCCGAGTTACGTACTGAGTGTGCTGAGCTTCGCAAGCTGTATGAAGTAGCCAGCAGCGTCATGGTCGCCTAGCTCAAATTGCTCACTCACGTCTGCGGGACCGGGCTCTTCGACGTCGCAGTCGCCCTGCCAGATGTGTCGTGGTCGACCTAAAGATGCACTGACAAGGACATCACGGATCTGGATGCCAAGGAGTCAGTCTCAGATGTTCAAACCCTTCAAGAACAGAGCGAATGCACCTGCAGTGACCACCAGAGACGCTTCCAGAGCTGACTTTTGCGTGGGCCAAAGTTGGATGATGTTGTGCTGCAGGACAAACGGTCAGTTTCTCACTTTGCCCTTTCAAAAGAGGTATAAGAATCCAGAGACACGCCTACGTCCTATGAAGGCCCAAGCTCTTTGCAATACTGATCGCCATGCCCAACCAGTACCACGAGTCCTTCAGATCGTTAGGGCGCCCCCACCAAAAACTCATGAGAAAGAGCGCGCGAATATTGTTCAGCTTGTCCGGCTCGGCATCGGCATCGTACAGTAACCGTGCCTGTCTATAGAAGGCGGAGCGGGCGACGTGTCGGTCTTTAAAGCCACCGGCGATCAGGATCTCTTCCTCACACAGTGTCGTCGCCACCATGAGTAACGAATTCAAGACCAACTGCGATCTCCGCACAGCCTGAGCGGCATCGTGATATTCCGACCTCTCAACGATGGGGTAAGCATAGTGGAAGTAGTCGAAGTAGACATCCAGCAACTGCTGGAGGATCTCAGGGGCAAGGCGATGGAAGATTTTCCGCTCCTTGAGAAGGCGGGCTTGGTTCGCGGCGACTTGGTCGTCCTGGTGCAGGGGAGATCGACCTTGGTGCTTCATGCCGGGGTTGTCGGGAATGGAGACATGCAAGCACCTCTGGTGGAGAGGTTCTTTGCTCAGGAAAGGCGCCAACACGTCGTGAACCACGTACGTCAAACTGAACGTCTCGCCTAGGAAGACGCTGTCTCCCAGATCGGTCATCGGCTTGTCATTGGCGTTGACACTCCGCTCGGCAACCTGGGCATAGAGCATGTCCGGGGACTCGTCGTCGGAGAGCGAGGGGCTAACCACGCGGTTGCTCCTTGGAGGCGAGACTGTGTTGAGGACGGGCTGAGAGGCATGGTCACCATTGGTCAACGGCCCGTATGACTGTGGATTTGCGGAGGCCGGAAGACCTCTATCCCCATGTTCAGTACTTGCTTGAATGTTAGGATCTCTCAGAAGTGGCCGGGTGAGGGTCCGAGATGCCATACCTTGTATCTACAGTCGTGTATACCGGCTTCTCTTTCGGTCTCTGATCTTGCGGTGTGCGGCGTTTACGAACATGTCTTTGTGCTTGGGTCAGTAGCCACTTCCCCAAAGATCGGTAGAGAAATGGATTACCTGCCGCGCCGCGACTCCACCAGCACGCATTCCAACGACTTTCCCGCACAGTTGGAGCACGGGAGCCTGTCAGATGCATCACATCGGGTCTTCTTGAGGTGGCATCGTTGGCAGGCGACCCGGCCTCGACCACTCTGGGCAGCAGGCCGGGCCGAAGTGGCCGGCAATGCCGGCGCCGGCGGCGTTGTAGAATCATGCTGACCCATGGCGGCTTCTTCGGCGTCTCGACACATGGGCTGGGAAGAGGTGGCAGTGCTGTACCGGCAAAGAGCCCCTGGCCGAGGATGTTATATCCCCGTCGTCTACGGAGTCCATGTCTGGAGTGGAGAGGGGAAAGCGGGTCAACACCAGGGGGTCCCAGCCTTGCGCGAAGGGAGAAATGGGGTCCGTTCTCTATTTCCCTTGCCATGGGTCGCGGATATACAAAAGGAAATAGCCACGCTATAGACGCATTGAATTCCCTTGATCCGTGATTTCAGTTTCTGATGAGACGGCGGGGCTCTCAATCTGGATACTGTACGGTAGTTGCACCCACTCGGGTTTGCTGACTGCCGCGAGCGGCACGAGCTTGCTCATTCTTCTACCGACGGAGGAAATCACCTCAGATCACGGCCTCTTGATCACTATTCATTGACTAATTTCGAGCCTTTGCAATTTTTTATTTCCAATGTGTATCGCATGGAATTGCTCATAACGAACTATATCTGTGTACGATTGAGATATGCTTGGTCCACCTCAGACAGAGCCCTGTTTCCTGCAAATAGCAGCAATTAAGCAAAGCGAAAGATTTTTTGTACGGTGCGAAAATATCCTAACTTAAATTTCTACCTCATCATCCTCTCGTTCAATTTGGGATAAAGTACTTCATGCTGAGTTCAGCCAAGCTGGACATCTTGGCCAAGAAGGGCGCTTCGATGTCGGTTTTCGTGCACGCCTTCTTGCGTGGCTGGATCTTGTCCTTATCCCACTTGTCCTCATCGCCCGGGAAGACCGGGGGACTGGAGCCGATCTGTGCCAAAAAGATCGGGTCGTACTTTTGCGGCGTCTTGGACATGTTGGGCAGCGGCTTGAGTGTTTTGAGATAGCCCCAGCCCGAGGGGCCTTCCACAGATTCGGGAGGGAGGGCGTCGTCTGTGAGATTGGCAGGCATGTTAGTCGGCGTAGTCTTAAAGTGTTTCATGATAGCCATCGCCGTGCCGGTCAAAGACGGACTGACGACGTAGCCACCACCATACTGAGCTCGTTGGAGCAGGGCAGACTGGATTCTGAGTGCGCCGAAATATCCCGTTGTGTAGTCGTTCACCACCATCTCCGGCGGCCACTGGGGATTGGCGAGTCCATCGCCGCAGTGGGCCAGCATGCCGGATGAGGCTGAGCCCTGCATGTCGAATCCCGGTTTGCGTGCCCATGGCCCTGTGGTCCCGTAGCAGCGGACGTGAGAGATGATCAGGCTAGGATTGCGGGCGAACATGGCATCGTCGCTGAAGCCAAACTTGGCAATAGCTCCCTCGCGGTACGAGTCGACCCAGACGTCGGCGTCTTGGATCAGCGTCCAGAGGTGTTCACGGTCCTCTTGCTTGTGAAAGTTGAGCCGGGCCGATGCACAGCCCAGGTTAGCGCCTGCATAGACCGAAGCATGTTCAAAGCCGTGGGTGAACATGATCTGCAGCACCGATGCCCCGTGTTCAGCCAGCGTCCGGCCAGACGACGGGCCGGCAATGGCGTGCGTGCAGCACAGCACTTTCAGACCTTCCAGGGGCCTGGATGGACTCGGGCTCAAGGGCTTGGGGGGAGCGTCGGTCCGCTTCTCGATTGGGACAATGGGAAGTTTGGCCATGTGTTGCCCGTGGGGGTTGGCGGCCCAGGTTTCCTCGGACTGCACCACGGCCATAGGCATGCCGGCTTCAGCGGCGGCGGCTTCGAGAACCTTTGAATCCCATTGCTTGACAGTGGCTCGGATGTCTGACTCCAAGGCCGAGCAGCGCAAGAATGCCGTCCACTTGTAGACGAGTTCTATATAAACGGCGGAAAGGATGACGTGCCGTCCATCCTTCGTCTCGAAGATGTTTCTGAGGAACGGGTTCCCAATCAAGGCGTCGACCGGGATCTCCTGACCCCAGATGCAGGGAGTCATACCGATATCTGGATCGATATAGTTGTGAGACCGGCGCAGGTCGATCTCAATCTCCTGCGCCGGGCCTCCTCGCAGTTCCAGCATCCTGGCTGCCAGGAGCGCATTGGCTGCACTGGGAATGGCTCCGATCAACGACAGATGGATGTCGGTGCCTTTGGTCTGAGAAACCGGGGGGAAGCCATGGGTGAAGCGGACAGTGGACTTTGCTGAGCTGTTGGCAGCCCCAAAGTCGGCCAAAATGGTGTTCAGATACGACGTGGCTATGCGTTGGGACTCGTTCATGGTGTCCATATGGCTGTGGCTGGTCACCACTGTGGGAAAGCGATTTGAAAGAGATGGAATTGGCTTAGAAATGCGTGTCTGTTACGGTGTCAGGGCACGCTGGTCGCGTAATGCTTTCTGTCTTTAGGGGTGACTAGAAGCAATCCAGCCGTATGAACTGGTTCTTTGTAGGGCCCCCTCGACATTTCCCCCCTTTTTTTATCGTAGTTGAACCTCGGATCCATGGCGGCAGAAGGATGTACATCACAGCCTGTGCCTTTGGTTCGAGAACTTGGTTAGATCCGCTCACTCCTGGGGGGATTGTCCTGGAGGGTTCTTGCTCGTTGTCTGGATATCCACAGGGGTATTCCGTATATCCGCCACTGTATATCCGGTCGCCTATACCCGAGGAGACGCTCTACCCAACCCCGGTTCTCCAGACTTACATCCTCCGGCTCCAGATTTCGGCTCTGACGGCTCACATATGGACAAGGCCAAGTCTGGAGTGTTGTTGTGGAGATGCGTAAATGGAATATGTATGGTTGTGGTCTCGCTGTTTTCTCGAGAGTTGTAGCGAGACCGGGAGCCTTGTCCGACATCACCGCTGGAACTATGGCTGACATTACAAAATCAGAAGTCGAGGAGACGGGCATGTCTGTCTCTGCCCACGACGAGTATCCGTCCAAGGTGATTGAGAAAGGGGCAGACTTGGCCGCCACCTTTGCGGCACAAAATGCCAATGTTGCTGTCTCGTCCGAGGCCGAGACACGATGTCGGCGCAAAATCGATCTATGGCTGATGCCGACGATGATGATCTCGTTCGCTCTACAGTACACCGACAAAGTCATTCTCAACGCGGCTTCGCAGTACGGCATCATCCAAGATCTGCATCTGTACAAGCCGGTGATCAACGCGGAGACTGGAAAAGAGACATTGAACCTGCATCGATACTCCGTGGCGACGTTGATGTTCTACTGGGGGTACCTCGCTGGCTGTATGAGAAACCATATCTTCCCTGATGAGTGACCCCGAGGCTGACCTAGAGATAGTGGCACCTGCGGTCTTTCTTGCTCAAAAGCTGCCGGTGGGAAAATACTTGGCCAGCACCGTGATCATCTGGGGAGCGGTGGTGATGTTGACCGTGTGTTGTAAAAGCTACCAAGGGCTACTTGTTCAACGGTAGGAAGTTGCCCAGGGTCAGATGTTCCTGAAACTGACGAGGTCATAGGTTTTTCCTGGGCATTTCGGAGTGTTCGATTGCTCCAGCCTTCGTCATCATCACGGCAATGTGGTGGAAGAAGAATGAGCAGCCTCTGCGAATGGCTATGTGGTACACCGGGGCGGGCTGGGGTGCTCTCTTGGGGCCCATGATCCTGTACGGCATTGGCCATATCAAAGGCGACCTGAGCCCCTGGAAGTACCAATATCTCATCTTGGGCGCCGTGACCATCTTGTGGGGGGTCACTATCCTGTTCTTCTTCCCCGATAACCCGATGACAGCCCGGTTCCTGACCCAAGAGGAGAAGGTCGTGGCCGTTGAGCGGATGAGGTCGGAGCAGCTGGGCATTGAGAACCGCCATGTCAAGTGGTACCAGATCGTCGAGGCCCTCGTGGATCCCAAGACGTGGCTCCTGGTGGTGATCGTCTTCTGCGTGACCTGTGCGAATGGAGCCATTTCCGGCTTCAGTGCGGTCATCGTCAAGAGCTTTGGCTTCAGTCCCTTCCGGTCCGTCCTGTTAACCGGATGCGTGGGCGCCTGGGTCTTGGTCAACCTCTTTGTTGTCGGCTTCGTGGGAACCTTCGTCAAGAACTCACGACTCATCCTCGCCATTATCTGCGAGATTCTGGTCATCGTCGGTTCGAGCCTGGTGTGGAAACTCCCCTGGGACACGCATAAAGGCGGTGCTATTGTCGCGTTTACCATCACCGCTGCCTTCAGTCCCGGCTACACCATGGTCTTGGCCACCAACTCGGCTAATGTTGCCGGGCACACGAAGAAGTCCTTCGTCGGGGCACTGGTTTGGGGCATCTACTGCATCTGCAACGGCGTGGCGCCGCTATGGATCAAGACCACCGAGCAGCCTGAACAATACCCAACGCTCTTCATCGTCACCATCGCCACGGCGGCCATTGCCATCTGCTGCTGCCTCGCTCTCCGAGTGTACCTCCAGTTTATCAACAAGCACCGGGATGCCACTTACGGGGTGGTGGAGCCGGCGGAAGCTGACGTACAAGGATTTCGAGATCTCACGGACATGGAAAACCACGCTTTCAGGTACGCTCTTTGATCAAGGGGAGTAGAAGAACAGCCTCGTGCTTGGTACCGGGACAGATCCTCTCGATAGTCTCGGTTCATTGGCTATGAGCACATGACCAGGGGCCATGAAGATGGCCGGCCCACATAAGGCTCTGGGGCAGATCCTGAAGTTCTCATGCTATAGCATCTAGTCTTTATAAACAAGTGCTTGGAATCTTGGCTCTGGTGAGAGGAGAGGTCAGGCTGTCTGGAAAATACTCCTATAAGCCGTCTAAACCTAAACTCCGTAAGCGTGCCTATAACGGCCTGATCGTTAGAGCCACGGCCGAGTTTTCTTCGCCAAATTCCCATTCCCCCGCGCCCTCGTATGGAACCTTCCGGGGCCTCTAAGCTCCTCCGGACTCTGGGTGGGGTCTGGTCACTACGCTTGCTTCACGGGACGCTTCTGGGGGCGAAAGGAAGATTTAGATCTAATAATGCCTGGACCTTGCTCCTTCGCTTCTTCCCTTTCCCCATAGCCACTGAATCTCCAACGACCCGCTTCAACACCTGTGCCCAGTTCTCTTTCTGCTCTGCTCAACCTCATGAACGTGCCTAAGGCCCACAGCAGAATCGACCGCGCTTGCGAGCGATGTCGAGCCACCAAAAGGAAATGTCGGCCACCGTATCCCTGCTCGGCGTGTTGCGAGACTAGTGCCACGTGTGTGGTGCGAGAGAAAGCCCGGTATGCGGCATAATCACAGAGTATATTGTTCTAGCTGCTGGCTCCTGAATCCTGACACGGTCTTCTCAGGCCACATCGACGACGACGACGTCCGCAGCCACAGCCACAATCCGCAAACTCTCCTAACATCGAATCAGAGACTTCGGCCAGCGGTGTCGGCAACCAGGCGTCCAATTCGCCTCAGGACGACCTTGTACACAACGATACCGTTGGCGAGCCTACAGCTTATGGTGTCAGCAATCAACCCAGCTCGACGCCGGGCCCAGCTTTTGTTATCGTCCTTCGACTGGTGAACGAGTATACAGCCGAGCACTTCGGTATGCCCCAATCAATCCGTACGTGACGACGTGCTCACCACAAGGCCAGGCTATCAAACGAAGTGCACTTTAGAAGAGCCCAAACCGCAGGCCAGCCGGGGCCAAAGCATTCTGCAGCGGCTCCAGCCCAAGACTGACATCCACTGTCTCCAGGATTTGACCTATGAGACTATCACTGAGCTGGTCTCTGAAGCCCCCAACGCACTGGGTCAGCACGCCGAAATCCTAGACGTGAACCGCGTGCTGGGCTTTGTTCGCCATCTGTTCCCGTCTTGTTGCTCCAATGAAACCCCTCTTGCCATCAACAATTACGATACAGCGTCCCCCCTGGACAGCCTTGCACTATTGTTTGCGACGCTCGCCTGTCCCAGTGTGCAGAAGGGCAGTCTGACCCTGGCCACGACGTTCTTCGAGCTCTCCGTCCAGTTTGCCAACGACTTCACAGGTCAGCCGACTTTCGACACCGTCATAACGCTGTTCCTGCATCATATCTACCTCCTACACATTGGCGCGACCAGCCGGATCAGGGCGGTGATTGACCGAGCGATCCAGATTGCCCACGACCTCGAATTCAATCGGGAATCCAGCGAAGGGCCGCAGAGAGTACAAGAACTACATCTGTACCTAATCCTGTGCTATGTGGACCAGTGAGTTAGATTGGATTCCCGTAGTGTGGGTTGGTGTACTGTGCTCCTCTCTAACGATGTGATACCACTAGGTATTGCGCCATGAGCTTCAACTCGCCGACACGCATTCGACCGACGGACTACTCAACCCAGTTATTCCGGCCGCTCATCGAAGCCCACCCTCGACTATCAGCGGTCGTCGAGCTGGTCAAGATCAACGGCAAGGTCATCGAGCACCTCCAACGATCACAAGGGCAGATTAGTGATGTCCTCCGGATCGAAACCAGCATCGGGCGAATATGTGCCAAAGCAGGCCCCGTGAAGCCCTCGGTCGACCCAGACACGACGCTGGAGGCTCTCGTCCGAATTCACTTTTTCTGGTGCGTGCAATCACCCCTTTTCTCTGCCGCGTGTGCCGTTCTCTCACCATTGTGTACAGGCTCCGGCTGTGCTTGCGCGCCTCCTTTCTCACATCCGAGCAGTCGTGGGTGCCGTCAATCAATATCTGTCTGCGCGCCGCTCAAATGCTACTCAACACGTACTTTATTCTCCTGGCGCCACAAATAATGAAACTACAGCGTCCAGACTCAGCCCGGTCGAACGACGGCAGTCGGACCCAGGATGGCGTGATATCGGGGATGCCGTCGACGTGGCGACAGGTGCAACGAACCGTGACCTCGGGCCTGGTGATGTTCTACGCTTTCTGGCACGGGGAATGCTCACAAGCGGAAATCGCTCAGTCCACCGCCATCACACTCCTGCTGCTCAAACACCACAGCACGCGATGGCAACAGCACCTGGACGGGCCGAGTGGGCTCATCCAAGACCTGACCCGGATCTGCGACGTCCAGATCGATGGCGCCGTCCGGGCCCTGCTGCCCGATCTGAGTCCCGAGGAGCAGTCGGCAATGCTGCAGTCCCTGTTCGAGCGGCCGGTCCGGGCAGGTGACCACGACCACGACCACGATGGCCAAGCTGCTGCAACGGAGTTCGACGGAGAGGCGTTGGGGGTAGGTACCGCGTCTATACCGCCACGGATGTCAAGGCAACCGTTGCAGTGGAATCCGGAAGTCGACGACCCGGACTTGTTGGCGTGTGTGTTCGACTCGTCTACGGAGCTGGCTATGTTCGGGGCCATGCCGAGTCTGGAGCACATAAACTTCTGGACGTGATGGGCTTGTGTATGACTGCCGAGTACAGTTTGCTTCACTCCGTTTGGTGCATTGTAAGAGTTGGTGTAACCCATCACGTTGTCTAATCCACAGTTCTTAATCATGGAACCGGAATTAGACCCCTACGAGAAGGGCGTATAGACCTAATGCATCGATACCCTGATGAAATTCATATCTATGCCAATTTACTGCGCCAGAAGATCGCCAGGAGTCTAGAAGGGACCACTAGAGGCTAGAGAGGCTCACTAGGCCAAAGGTAGGCTGTCTAAACCAAAGTAGATTTCCCCGCGACGACTACAACGATATGGACTAACGCTTCATGCCATCAAACGGCATGGATAACAACATATTCTGCAATGCAAGCAAGCAACGTTCCGAGGAATAATACTCGACCATCAGCTTGGGAGGCCGAGACCGACGTATGGACGCGTGTCTGGAACCAAAGCTTAGAGTACTACGACACAGTGCATGGAGAGCCGAGGCCCAGAACATGGAGACGACTCGCGACCTCCTCGGTACTTTGGACACATCTCCAGGACGGTAGTAGAAGACGATCAAGGACCCTGGAACTGATACAATATGATGACCATCCCAACGTCGTGGTTGACGTGTCTGAACGTCCTCTTAAGCATTATCCCAGTCCGTACCAACTATCAACAATACAGACGAAATATCCGACCAAGATGAGCTCACGACGTAGGTCCTTAGTCCTTCCACACACACACCCAGGAAACATGCCCCATGCTGAGAAAAGACCCCCCAAAAATGCACAGAGAAGATCCGGACGACCCTGACCGACCTGTTCGGCGTGAAGCACCCCGTCATGCTCGCCGGCATGGGCGTCGCTGCCGGGCCGAAACTGGCGGCGGCAGTCACGAACGCCGGCGGCATCGGCGTCATCGGCGGCCACGGGTACAGTCCCGATGGACTGCGGGAACAGATCGACGAACTCAAGTCGTACTTGAACGATAAGGACGCGCCGTTCGGCGTCGACATTCTGCTTCCCCAGGTGGGCGGCAACGCACGCAAGACGAAGTAAGTTGTCAAGATATTGGACGCCAAACCCGTCAGAGTGCTCGGGAGGGTGTTAACAGCGGTTCTTGTAAAGCTATGACTACACCAAAGGCAAACTGATGGAGCTCATCGAGGTGGTCGTCGAGTCCAAGGCTCGCGTCTTCGTCTCCGCCATCGGCGTGCCACCCCGACAGGCGGTGGATCGTCTCCACGCTGGCGGCGTCTTGTACATGAACATGATCGGGCACCCCAAGCACGTGCAGAAATGCCTGGATCTGGACGTGGATATCCTGTGCGCCCAGGGCGGCGAAGCGGGCGGGCACACCGGCGACATTCCCTTCTCGGTCCTGATCCCCAGCGTGGCCAAGCTGCTCAAGGGCAAGAAAAGCACCTTCACCGGCGTGGACGTGCAGCTCGTCGCTGCGGGCGGTGTCTCCGGTGGTGAGAGTCTCGCTGCCGCTCTGATGCTGGGAGCGTCTGGCGTATGGGTTGGGACCAGGTTCATTGTGGCCAACGAGGCGGGCGCGTCCAAAGCTCACCAAGAGGCCGTGCTGAGCGCTACCGTGGACGACACGATTCGGAGCGTCATATTCTCGGTACGTAAACTATCCCATTTCTTCTTTTCCAAAACTAGAGGTAGTTATAATAACGGAATTATGTCTGGGCATCTAGGGCCGTCCGCTCCGAATACGTAAGACGCCGTACATTCTCAACTGGGAGGAGAACCGGCAGCAGGAGATCAAGACGTTGACGGGCAAGGGCATCCTACCGGTCCAGAACGACGCCGAGGAACATCCGGACGACGAAGAGGTCCTGGACAACATGCATCCGTATCTCATGGGCATTGTGGCGGGCACGGTGAACCACCGGAGCAGCGCGCGAGAGATTGTGGATGAGATCGTGGATGGGGCCGTCGAGAGACTCCGCGCGGGCAGTGTGATGCTGGTCAATGAGCCGAAGCTGTGAAATGGAGGAAGCAAGGAAGGAAAGAAGGGAGGGAACTGGTTACATGTCATGATCTGAAGCCCGTGCGGTTGTTACGACTCTTAAGTGGGAATCGTTAGAATCGTCAATTCCTTCGAGAGAAAGGGCGTCTTCCATTAGCAATTATTCCAGACTTACAAACTCACATAACGAACGCTGTACTCGGTTTATCCTCACAGGTCCTACCTATCTTAGACCAGGGTAATCCTTTTGGACTATTCACTCGCGTATCTCAGTCTTGATATCCCATCAATGACGGAGCTTGAGCCTACTAAGCATCGACCATGTCAAATTTCAAAGGCTCGATAGTAACTTTGACTGACACAATCACAATGATACTCAGCAGATGTTTTCTATGTGGAGTAGTGCCCGGTGGGGTTGCACGGTTGCAGAGCTGAGTACCAGGTTCAAGGACTACTCTCAGACATTCTAACATTAAATCGCATGTCGGTCCCTATAGCGTCCACATTTCGCACCGATCCAGTTACCTGGCCCATAAACGTGGTTGCTGTCATAGATTTGAACTCGTTGGGAAATATGCGAGGGCATCGAATCGCCTTGAGGTAATCTCTTAGGAACTGGTTGTTTGTTGAGTTCCCAAAGCTCACTAAAGCCAGGGAGATGACCAAGACAACATGTGCAGCTTGGATGAGCTTGGTCTGAGTCTGTAAATCAGGGAATGCTGACCATTTGGTACGTTCCAAAGACGAGACCAACAAGTTGCAATCCACCCACTCCCTCTCTCCCTCGCCTTTCCTTGATTCTGAACCTACACCAGCTTCAACACGTGCAGCGCCAGCAAGGATCCAAAAGCAGCGTTGTGGCTATTTTCAAATGTTGGTAACAGCTCATGCTTCGTTGCTAGCAACTTCAGAAAAGATGTTTACACCGGCGACAACCTCAAAGAAACGCTTGGTGTCGTGACATTCGGCCAACTGCCGAGGGAATCCTCCGCTTATACCATGATGCTTGGCCAGGGCATCTAACTCGCATTGGCAGCAGGTCTTCTCCGCTTGACCACCGGAGCTCGACCGAATCGATATTGTTTAGGCTGACCAACCGGAGTACAGGCCTGGACGATCGCCATTCGCCTCTAACTGAACCTGGGGTAAACCACCAGCTTGTGCCGAAATGCTATATCCCAACAGCCTGAAGCACCGACTTGTGTAAATCCTAATCCCCAATCATGAGCAACAATAGTCACAACTAAACAGCTATGACATACGACACTTACTTCTCAGGAGCAGAGGAGGCAGTTGCAGCTGAGCTCGGGCCTGGACAGTTGCCCCCGCAGCGAGGACACACGCTACGGATATCGTGCATCCATACCAGCCCAGTGACCGCATATTCAACACCTCGCTGCTCAACTACGGCTATCCGGCACCATTCCAGATCGACGGCAGCTCCGGGACACCGGTGACCTCAACCAGAACGCGACGTCGATCAATATCACAGGTGGGGACTCTGGGAAGTTCTTGCATCTGATGTCCTTGAAGAATAGGATTTGTAGCTCGGGTTTGGGCGACGGCCTCTTCTGTCTAGGTTGGGGGCGTTGTAAGGGAAAATTAGGATAGCTAATTATTTAGCACAATAAGGAAAACTCATCGAAGTAAGAACGGCTTGGTATAGAAGAGATGATCCAGCCATCTGTGGAAGACTTGGTAAGGTATCTTGTGTCTCGAGTTTCTGACATGAACAATTCTTCAGCCCAGCTTGCACATAATATCCCTATACGCTTACCTGGATGGGAATTCTGGTGTATGATACTAATCTCTTCCAGGACGCCATGGACGGTCAGCAACGGCCTTCCGGTGGAGCACATATAGATCGATCAAGTACTTGGGAGCTGAAAAGAGATTCCGAGCGTTGTCCCACCACCGGGCCACACGCGTATCCAGGTCAACTTCAAGTGGAGTGTCGAATTCTTCAGTCCCGTGTTATCTCCAGAACATCTCAACCCATTTCGACGAATTCGATGCCTCCTGTGATGGGAGAGGCCGTATATGATTTGTCTGATGTTTGAAAATCGGGAGAGGGCCAGGGGTTATCCTGTCGTATGCACAAATTCCTGCCCTGGCATCACCAGTTTGGGCTTGATTGAGCTGTACTGACACTCAGCAACGGTAGGCTTGCCGCGAGAAAAGAGCCGCTGTAGATTTGGCAGAATGGGTCGAGGAAGTTCTTCGTACCACGGAAAACATCTCGCGGCTAGTCTACATCAAAAGCCTGGGGGAACTTGACTCAATAGCGACAACCTATTGACGATAGCAGCTACTCAAAGCTCAGAGTCTGTCAACAGCCAGTGCCGCTATGACCTAGGTTTCGAGAGTGGACGTTGTAGCACTGTGTGGAACAAAGTGGAAGTAACCATGACTATGGCCTAAACCAGCAGAGCAGATGCTTCTTCTGAAGTCGCCAAAACAAGCTACGCACCAGCAGCTGCCCGACCAATCACAGCGCCAGCCACCGTCAGTTCCACCAACTCGGTGTCTATTCAGGCTGATATCATTCCACCTCCAACATCTTCTCTGCCTCTGCCGCTTGTACCGAGTCCTCAGGCGACTTTCTCCTGCTACGTTCCCAAGTTTGTGAGTTGTTGTGCCAGCAATAGTCCGGCACTGCTTGACCAGATGTTTCGGAGGGGGAACAATCTGGGTTCCCAAATACATACACATCGCATGTCATCCCTTCTCTCATGCTCCAGGACACCTTTCGACCCGAATCCTCAATGCCGCAACCTGCCAATCGGCAAGCTGCCCAGAGCACAAAGACGACTTCTCCACAGGCGGATCTCCACACCGAGGAAGATCCCGGTGGTGGGGAGAGCTTGGAGCTTGTGTTTTAGCTCAAATCTAGGGACGCTTCGTCTTTTCCGATCTATGCCCAGATGGTCCGTCTGGTTCCTGGACAACCGCCGAGCTTACCTCGTGGACCATGAGAGCTTCACGCACGCCTGCTCTGCGATGGAGCCTAATACAAGAAGGCTGGTGAGGAGTCAGTCCTGTCCCGGTCGGTTAATTGATCATGGAGGAGTTTGGGAGACGGAATATACGCACACAGAGAGAGAATATGTGGACGTGTATGTAAGTCTCGGGAACAAGTCCACCGCAACAGCTTCATGTGGGAGCAGCTAGATCAACATGCGACATTCTTTCGAGCAGGCCGCTACCGCTACCCTGCCGCTCTTGATTTATCCGCGGCAGGAACACCCGTGACGTCGTACGGGAATGGTCGCGAGAATTTTGGCAAAAGTTGATCAGGTCATAGGAAGGGTTTGTATCCTTTGGTGCTTCTATTTTATCCGCACAGTTTGTGTATTTAAGGTGGCCCCCAGATATGCGTCGTGGCTCCATGAGAACGAGGTAAGAAGCATCGCCACTCTCACCTTGCTGCTCTGCCTTGCCGAGTCAGTAAGTGCTCCTGCGTTCATTATCCAACGATGCGGTCTTCTATCTTTCTGTCGCTCGCTCCCTTGGCCGCTGCCGCACCATGGAATAGTTGGTCGCCGCCGGCATCGTCGTCGCCGGACTTTGCCAACGTCACCATCTTTGTGGCACCGGAGGACTGGCCTCAACGGAGCACCAGCTATGCCCGAGTGGTCTTGTTGAACCAGGACTGCGAGACCGACAACGTCCTCCTAAGTACATTCACGTTGACCCCGCCGGAGGGCCGGTACTATCCGGTCTTCGCCTCCCATGATCTCGGTGAGACGTGGACGCAAATCTCGCAGATTGAGTTCGGGCCGGAGACCGGCAAGGACTTTAGCGCTGGGAGATTGGCCCAACCAGACTTCTTGGAGTTGCCGAGTATGTGTCTTCCCTTGCCCAACCAGGAGTCTCGATGCAGCAAAAGCTGATGGTCCCCTTTCTACAGTCGATATCGGTGATTATCCGGCAGGTACGGTTCTGTTCACAGGCATGGGCCAGCCCACCGATGGGACATCCACCAACATCTACGTTTATGCCTCTCGAGACAAAGGGTGAGTCAACCATTGAATCATCTTACAGCTTCATTTTCTCACATTTTTTCCTTTAGATATACATGGGAATACGTCTCGCAGGTCGCTCAGGGCGGACCCGCCAACACCACGAACGGCGCCACCCCGATCTGGGAACCCTTCTTGATCATGTCCCCGGTCTCCCACAACCCTCCGTGGATCATGGACGCGTACTCGGACCAGCGGGATCCAGCCCACGGCCAGAAACTGGCACACCAGTCCTCTCCAGATCTGCTCACCTGGGGACCGGTCATCAACGATGCCGCGGAAGCAAACTATACTATGCGGCCGGGTATGACGGTAAGTTTTCATCGTGCTATTTAGTGGAGCCTAGTGGGGCGGATGTCCTACACAGACCCTCTGATTGGCTGCAATTCAACGCGAGTGACCCACTAATATATCTGTCTACAAGACCATGGCCAAAATGGGCAACGGGCAATACATTTTCACGTACGAGCTGGGCTTCTCCATCGACGGGCTGCCCACCAACTCGCCGTACGCGGTGCACTACCGGATCTCGTCAGACCCAGAAGACTTTGGGTCGGCGGAGGAACACCTCCTCAAGTCGTCGGACGGCAAGATCCCCAGCTCGTCGCCGTACGTGGTGTGGACGCCGATCGGCCCCACGGGCAAGGGCACGCTCGTGGTCAGCGACGGGTCGTACGCCCAGATCTTCATGAACACCGAGTACGGCGACCCGAACGCGTGGTTCACCGTGGACGCGGGCCACGGCGTCGGCTACAGTCGCAGTCTGACCGTGCTGCCGGACCAGAGCAAGGTGCTGCTCGTGAACGGGGGCATGTACAACACGAGCGTCACCGTCGTGTCGGCCGGCATCATTGACGTGCCTGGCACGTTTGCGCCCGGGTTTGGACCCGTCGGCAGCGGCAAGGACAGCGTGAGCAGTTGCAACGGTGTGGGATTCTGGAATAACTGGGCGTGAAGAGGAATGCTAGAATAACACCAGGCTGGCTGGGCATGAATGGAGGGAGGGAGGAGGTTATCTCTTTCCAGCCCCGCCACTGCTACTACAGCGTCAGTCAAAAAGTTGCCATTTCTTAGTACGGTCACGAAATATCTCGTGGGGTGGTGCATCTAATGTGAAGTAAGAGTGGATAGCGTGGACTGGACGCCAGAAGCTAGCTAGCTAGCTTTTCCTGCCTCTTTGTGGGAATATCGCGGCTTGCGTGACTAGCTGCATGTATGCGGTTACCTCGTCCGTGAAGAAGGAGGCAAAAGAGTTTCGAAGGGCAAGGTTAGAAACGGCCTCGCCCTCCAACAACTCAGTCATCAGACGATCGATCGCCGTCGTTTCGCCTGATCGCAACGTAACGTAACGTAGCCTTGCCAACGCCCACGGGGACGTCGTCCAGCCCCGAGCGTGAAAGTCGTGATATTGGATAGATTGGCAGATATTATCAGCGTCCTTCGCGAGATTCTATCGACCGATCAGCCTTGTTTCCACGTCACAAAAGATTCTGGATCGCTGGCAGCAACCCTCGGAGGCGTCCTTGAATTAGGTTCCGCGTCGTCCTCTAGCGAGTTATTAAGGTCCATCAAACTGGTGTTGACGTGTCATGGTGTAGCACATAGGGAACAAAGTTAGAGATAATGGTTATCAGCATTGGTTCTTGTTTGTCTGCCTCTCCTCTCTGAGCATACCGGAATAAAGGGACCCGGAAAGGGCTGCTTGACTTGAACAATGCCCGTGTCTTCTTAATTACCAACATCACGTCTTCTCTGGACAACACTGATGCATTGATCACTGCTGGGCCCGATCTTTCCAAGACAGCTTCCAGTTGGTATTCCGCACCCTGCTACCCCTGTCGCAGCCTGTCTTCTCCCGTCTAGCTGATATCATGTCTTAGGCCATCTCTGCAGTCAGGTGGTGGAGGTTCGCAAAAACCGTGCCATATTCAGATTTTCGATTTGAGCCACGCAAGCCCTCCACTGCCAACAGCCATGGCCGCACCGGCACCTTGGACGACTCCATTGATGACGGCCAGACCAGCACCTGCTGCACCTGCGCTTTGGGCAGTGGCGAAGACACTACCGGCTACAACATTCCCGATCCCAGCCTGCATGGTAGCGGCTGCAGTCCCTGTGGAATGAAACACACACGAGTGAGCAATCGTTACACACGGAAATGAATCATTTGATAGGCGAAGGGGGACTCGGGACACCCGGGGTTGGGGGGTGATTGTCACTTACCTGCTCCGACACCACCGGCTCCAAAACCGAGTGCAGAAAGCACAGGTACAACAACGAGGCCCGGCGCAGCGATGAGAACAACACCAGCCGCTCCGCCAGCAGCCAGTCCCGGGTTTTGGGTAGTCCATGCAGCAGCCTGGAAGATTTCAGTAAGGGCCAGCGATCAATACCTCCACAAGCTGAGGAGGTAGCAAAACAACGTACCGCTGCTGCAGCCTTAGGCCCGTGTTGTTGAATGGCCTGAGCCGTAGATTTGCCCGCTGTAACAGCCAGATCGGCTGTTTTTTGCGCAACAACGCTGAAGGACATAGTGTTGGATGTAAATCTTGACGTGATGAGGATGATTTCCGGTACAGAGGCTTCAAGTATTATTTCCTGGACTCACGAAAGCGAGGAAGGGAAGGTCCATGAGAGGTCGTGATAAGGCTGGCGCGTGGTGTGGCAGCACGCCATGCAGGCTATGCAAGGCAACCATGTCGCCAAGTGGTGGATGGTCACTGGCTCGCGGTAAAGAATCAGTCGCCCAGCTTCTGACACCCAGCGATATTCACACTTCGATGTATGGTGTACCGAGTATACCATGGAGAAACGAAGTTGTCGGGGTGCCCTTTTCTTTCACCTCCCTAATATCTTTTGTTGATGTCGCCGAAGCACCATCGAGCCAATAGCACATTAATAGCTTTACAACACAACGCAAGTTGCAGGGAAATTTCCCTCCGAGAAGGGCGGTAAGCGCCGCCGCTTTAGAGGTTGATTTCCCCCGGTGCCAAGGACGTCGAGTATAGTCTCCCTTTGTCGCAGATTGGACCATCGAAAGATATGAAGATATCAGCTGTTGGATCGGCGGCAAGGAAATACACCGTTATCGAGCCTATGACGGGCCAGGTGGCTTTGATTCATACGGTGGCTACGGTGGCCCCTTCTGAAGACGATTTTCATAGATCGGTCATACGTTCAAATCATCCCTATTCTACATATCATTACTGATTTCGTTCAAGATTCAATATCGATACTGAATCTGCAATGAGAGCTCGTCTCAATATTGACAATGTGGAGTCCTAGTCAATATTGAGCCACATTATCGTCTCTGATGCCCACCTGTATCGGCATAAGTGCTATCCAGGACCTTCTGCGTCGGTCTAATCTGCCTCCGGGGTCTTCCATCTTCAATTAAGGCCCTTGAACGCTGATTGGTTTGCACATCATGTGCACCTGTCGTTGGCTGCCGAGAGATCGTAGGCTCATAACTGAGTTGCTTGGTCGAGGAGGGCGCTGTCGTGAGCGGCATGGCAGCGTCCCTCGGTTGCTCCACAGTAGCATGTCTCGTGCGTTTGGTGGTCGTTTGCTCGGCAACGAGCTCATCAGAAGAAGTATCTGACTCGTCCTCTTGGAGCACTGACAGGGACGTACGGCTCTCCGTCAATGTGGTTGATGGAGTATCCGCAGGTGCGCGACTGGCTATCTGATTGGCGTGATCGATGAAATTGTCTCGGATGGTTTTGGCCCGATCTCGGTTGTTGCGGAAACCACCAGCTCCTTCTCTGAAGGAATTGATGTTGCCAGTCAATTGAAATCCGTTCAGTTGTGTCATGTGACACTCGGGGGATTCTCCAGGGGTCTTCGGTGGTGTCAGATGGTGAGCATAGAGTTGTAGCGTTCCGGTCCCTTGGTGGTAAGTGGCCGAGAGACTGTAGGCGTTGCCATCGTATAGGGGTTCTGCCGATTGGTAATTCTGGAGACTGTGCATAGCTCGCGCGCCGACTGCCCCGTCGTGACAAGCTTGCCGCTTAGCGACGTCGGCACGACCACCCTCACTCTTTCCCTCCAGGAAAAAGTTTGGTGCCGCCGGTAGGGAAGTGTTGTTGCATGGGACAATCTGCATTCCGAGGTCACGGCGGACACGCCGATTGATTTGTTGAGGGTAAGCGCCATCATACAAGTCTGGTTTCGGTTGGGGTAGGACGTCGGCGAGCGGCGTTAGGTGGTTGAAGAGGCGGTCGGACGCGTGATTATGCTCTTTCCCCGATTCGCCCGCAATGATGGACATGATTTCAGCCCGTACAGTCGCTTCATCACCTGCTCTGTTACAAAGTCTTGTAAACGCTTTGAAGTCCTCATCACCGAATCGCGAAGGGGATAAAGAAGCCCGAGGCATGGCCATGTCTTCTCTGATATCTTGCGCATTATTAGGTTGTGAAATCTCATCGTGTGGATAGATACCAGCGTCGATCAGGTTCTGCCCGAAATTAGGATCGTAGGAAGACTTGGACTTGCCGGTCGCACCGCTACCGCTGGATTTTGATAAGCGCTTTCGGCTTGAACTGGATTGACTCATGTTGTCGTCCTGGTCAGCTAGAATGGCAAACTACGAGAGAACTCCGTTAGGGTTAGACATAGGTGCGAGCACACGGACGGAACTCACTCCTCGAATATGACTTAAATCAGGTCCGCCGTGTCGTGAAAATCGTTTTACGCTTTTTGTCCCAGGTCTAGCTGAGGTGTTGATGTTGGAATGTGGTGTCAACACTGGTTGTTCTGCTCTTAGAGTCCTGCGGTCGTACTCTCTTAATGCTCCCCGGCTCAGATGGACCTTGGAGAGCCGATTCCAGAAGCTTGGGGGACGGTGCCACCGGTATGTTCCAGCTGCTGAAGTGCTTTTCCTTCTCTTTGCTGACGGAGAGTCCTCAGGGCAGTCTTTGGGGAGCGATTCGAGGGTATTTCTTTGCCGCTTCTTCGAGCGGGAGGTCTCGTCCAGAACGAACATGGTGTATTGGGAGGGAATGGTCGGTAAAATGGTGAGGAATAAGTAGGCTGGATAGAGGGGTCGTGTTCGAGGAGCGGTCTGCAGACAACACAGACAATGTAACACGGGCGCGTCGAAGCGTCCGTCAACTGGCTGGCATCTAGGCATTCAATGCCTGATGCCTGCATTTCGTGCGTTACTCGAATTCATTCATGATTGGATCTGAAGGCGGAAATGTCAATATTCCCCTCTCCTCCCAGGCTGCATTGGGGCCAAATTCAAGGTTCAAAGAAAAGGAAAGTCACCCGAGCAGGTAGCGCCATCTTTGTCAAACTCGAGCACCGGTCGATTGCACCATGACTTCTCCGCCAGGAGACCGATATCTATAAGGAGTTAATTAGACAACCCGGTATGCCTCGAGTGTTCTAGCATAGCTATTGCTGTGATTTCCAGGCGTTGCAGTAGCACAATGCTGAGCAAAAGCCCAAACAGTCTGTGCCGCACAGTTATTCGAACCTTAATGCCTCACCGGTTGAGAGCCCGATCATAGTCGGTGCCTGTGCGGCGGCCGTTATGGCAAACACCCTTGAAAGTCGTGTACCAGGGTAGAAGGTATTCATCTTTTTTCACGGCTGTTACTGTTCATCAGGCTCCCCAAATATAATAAATGGACTATTAGGTACAAAGCCAAAAGAGATGCTATGCTGACTTTGGAACCCGTTCTTGTGCCATTCTAGTTTCCCGCTCACAACCGAGGCACAAGTTCCTCGATGGGTCAATGGACCGAAACGCCAATTCCGACAAATAATAAGTTTTGGAGGGCGACGACCAGTGTTATCATGCTCTCCCTCTCTGCTTTAACCCTATCGTGAGAGCTCAGATCCATTAGTAGCAGGGTGAAACGATCCCTCTCCCTCCCCATCTTCCCAAACCATGAAAGCCATCCAGGTGACGAAATACGTCTCCGGACCCCAAGACCTCTTCGTGACCACGCTGCCCACGCCCGCCCCCCATCCCACGAAATACCTGATCAAGATCCGCGCCTGCGGCACCAACTTCTTCGACCTCCTGCAGATCCAGGGCAAATACCAACACCAACCGCCCCTGCCATGGATTGCTGGCATGGAGTTCGCCGGCGTGGTCGTCGCCACGCCCACCACCCGTGAGGGGTCCAAGAGCGCAGTCGCCAGCAGCCTGGACGGCACGATCAGCACGCAGACGGACCACAAGTTCAAGGTCGGGGATAAAGTGTTTGGTGCCACACACGGGGCGTACGCAAGTCACATTCTGGCGGCCGAGGACTCGCTGTTCCCCGTCCCTGCTGGCTGGAGCTTTGCCGACGCTGCTGGCGTGTACGTGACCACCCCCACAGCTTACGGTGCGCTGGTGGTACGAGCGAACGTCCAGCCGGGTGACTGGGTGCTGGTGCACGCCGGTGCTGGAGGTGTCGGTCTGTCGGCGGTCCAGATCGCCAAAGCTCTAGGGGCGACCGTCGTTGCCACGGCTGGGTCGGAGCGCAAGAGGCAGGTCTGCTTGGACTATGGGGCAGATTACGTGGTGGACTACCGTGATAAGAGCTGGCCGCAGAAAGTGATCGGGCTGTGTGAGCAGCACCGAACAGGCAATGGCAAGCAAGGCGTGGACATCGTCTACGATCCAGTTGGTAAGTCACTCGGGACTCTTCGCGAATGAACCCACTCTAACGAGCTGGCACAGGCATGATCGACCCCTCGATTAAATGCATCGCCTGGAACGGCCGGCTCCTCGTCATCGGATTTGCCGGCGGCACCATCGAGAAGGTCGCCATGAACCGAGTCCTCCTCAAGAACATCAGCATCGTGGGTCTGCATTGGGGTGCGTACGCCCAGAAAGAGCAGGGCACAATCCCCAAAGTCTGGCAAGGCATCTTCGACCTGATCAACTCAGGCAAACTGAGGGGCATCACATATACCGACAGGCACTACACGGGTCTAGAAGAGGTCCCTCAAGCGCTGATTGCCCTGGGTGCACGCGATACCTGGGGTAAGGTGGTCGTGGAGCTGGACGAACACTATGGGGATGAGGGCAAGAGCAAGCTGTGACCACCTCCTCCACAGGTGCGGTCGGGTGGTTGGTCTAGCAGATCGGATGCCCGCGGCGTTTTGAAATGACTTTTATGGAGCTCCCCCAGAAAGAGAGGCTTTGTACATGCGTAAAGGCGGTTCCGTCGCCGATGGACGCTTCATTGAAGAGCAATTGCTTCGATCTCGACGTCGACCCCCTTGGGTAGTTCCCGTACCGCCACGCACGTCCTCGCGGGCTTGTGTGAGAAGTACTTCTCATAGACGGCGTTCATTTCACCAAAATGCTTCATGTCGGACAGAAAGACCTAGAATGACGGATGAGTATCCTTAGGTTGGTGCTGTACGGACACGATAGGACTCACCCCCGCCCGGACGACCTTGCCCAGCTCGCTTCCCCCAGCTTCCAGGATGGCCTTGATGTTCTCGCAACACTGCGTAGTCTTGTCGGTGATAGATCCCTCGACCAGTTTGCCCGTCGAGTCGGCGGGGATCTGTCCGGCCACCCAGATCTGGCCGGCGGCCTTGATGGCCTGGCTGTAGGGGCCAGCAGCTGACAAGAAATGCCACCGTCAATTCTGATTCCCACCCATACGGCCAATAAAATATTGATTTGACAGAGTGCTGGAGACTTACGAGGGCAGGCATCTTTCGTGAACACGGGAGTCATTCCGGACGACATGTTGGCGGGGTAGATGCGGAATTGGCGAAACTGTTGTCGACGGAGCAGCGAGGTGGAAAGGAAGGAGGGATTTATGTGTCGAGAAGAATGGGTGAGACGAAGAGAAACGCTTCGACAGGGCGTGGACATTGAGGAAGAATGGGAGGAGGGAGATGTCCGCAAAAGGGCGTGGTGTTGATGTGCTGGAAATGCCAAAAGGACGGATAGAGATGGGAATGATTCTGTCTGACAGACACAGTTCAGCGAGTCAGCACGCTACCTTGTGGTGCAAGTTACCGATAATCTCTCTGTCAGACACCTGACTTTGCCCCGCGGCGTCACAGGCAAAAACTCTGCTTCATTTTTCCCGATTTCGGATACTTCTCGATTACTTCCATTTCTTGCGCGATGGCCCTGGTCACTATCTTTAGGAAAAGCCATCGGTGCCTTGGTGATGGTCACATCCGTCCCGCCTACGTGCACCAGCCAGGCATGGGTATTTACCACCTGGTCAAGTCACCCCCGGACACGACCTGGGAACCACAGGCACCAACTCCTACATCTCTATGCATCATGATCCCTCTGAGACGTCAAGTCCTGTCCACATGTTGTGTTATGCAGTGAGTGCTCAAAACACCATGTCCAGTTCAATACAGCAGCAGTCGTGACTAAACCGCGTTCTGCTGCCACACCTCGTGGGATATCAATTTGAGTTGTTGCTGTAGACTCATGGAGAGACGCAGCTGAAGAGCTCATTCGTCGTGGTTTCCAACCGCTTGCAATGTTGCCCAGCTGGATGTCTCTTGAGGAGAGAATTGGACAGCTTCGTGGACAAGCTTGAACAATTCTTACCAGTCCAGACCTTTTTTCATTCGAACACCGGCTCCATTTCAACGGGCAGTTCGATCTTGTGTTCCAGTTGATGGCTTTCTTTCTTGATCTAGCTCTTTGACTCCGCCGGTTTGCTTCGTCTGAGCCCTACATCCCTAGTTCCTTCAAGATCTTCTCATTATGCTCGCCCACTTCTGGAATCTTGTCCATCCTGGCGCGCAAACCTTCGACGTCCTCCTCGCCTTCAGGAACGCATCCGGGCGGCAGAAGTGCAGGAACCATGCCCTTGGGCGTCTCGACCTCGGTCCATCGGCGTCTGGCGCGCAGCTGAGGATGCTCCCAAACGCCTTGCATGTTGTTGACCGCCGCATTGGCAATCTGGGCCTCATCGAGCTTCTCCACCGCCTGAGAAACGGAGTATTTCTCCAGTGCCTTGCAGATGATTCTTCGCAGTTCATCCCTGTTCTGCACGCGAAGAGAATTGTTCGCGAAGCGTGCATCGGTGGCCAAACTGGGATCGCCGAGAACAATGTCGCAGAATCTCGCGAACTCTCGTTCGTTCTGGATGCCGAGCATGACGGAGCCGCCATCGCCTGTCTCGAACGGTCCATACGGATATATCGCTGCGTGAGAGGCACCGGTCGGTGTCGGCGCTGGTGCCCCTTTATACGTATAATAAAGGGGAAAGCTCATCCACTCCACCAGACTCTCGAGTAAAGAAATGTCGATCTTGCTCCCCTTGCCCGTCCTCTGCCGCTGCATCAGCGCCGCGAGGATGTTACTGTAGGCGTACATGCCGGCAGAGATATCAGCAATGGAGATGCCCACTTTCGCGGGCTCATCCTTGGTACCCGTGACGGAGAGCAATCCCCCCTCGCTCTGGACGAGCAGGTCGTAGGCCTTCTTGTTCGCATAGGGCCCGTCCTGGCCGTAGCCGGAGATGTCACAGACGATCAGGCGGGGATGGTCGTCCTTCAGAGCTTCGTACGCGAGGCCCAGGCGCGCGGCCGCGCCGGGGGCCAGGTTCTGCACCAGCACGTCTGCCTTGCAGAGCAGCTTCTTCAGGACCTCCAGGTCGCGGGGTTTCTTCAGGTCCAGCGCCAGACTCTCCTTGGACCGGTTCGTCCAGACGAAATGCGACGCCAACCCGTCCACCCGCGTGTCGTAGTCGCGGGCGAAGTCGCCCACGCCCGGCCGCTCGACTTTGATCACCCGCGCGCCCAGGTCCGCGAGCTGTCGCGTGCAGAATGGCGCGGCGATGGCTTGCTCGATGCTGACCACTGTGATGCCGTCAAGGGGCCTTGTCGATTGGACTTTGCCTGTATCTGCTGCGGCTGTTGAGGCGAAGCGGCGTTGGTGGCTGGCGTGGCATAATAGCCTTCTAGCCTGGATTTTGCTCGCAGTCGAAGCTATAGAGTGCCTGACGCCCTCAATATCTGTCGGTTGTCGTCCATTGTGCACCGCTCTTTGATACCGAACAGCGACTGAAGCTAGGGCGGCACTCCTGGTACGCAGATTGTTCAGCATCATTTCGTACATGTATACGTATTGCCGCTTTATCTCAATCGTGGTGCCAGTGCTTGAAAAATGGGTGACAGCAACCAATGCTTAGAATCTACTGGGACGCCACGGCTTTTTGAACAACAAGAACGATAATCATCCGGTCATGTCTGTCTGCAATAAGCGGGCCGAGCTTCTTCTTCGTCTTCCTCTTCCTCTGGTCAGACATGCCATTTCCGTGCATTTGTCAAATCTACATCGGCCGTTCAGGGAGAGATTTTTAGAATCCTCGCCGGCCCACGGAACGCCAGCAACCAAGCGGCTGACCAGCGGCAGCAGCAATCTCGGAAATGGAGCTCGCGGCCTTTACGAGACCGAAGTCGCCGTTCCGAGAGAGCCAATCAGCAGTCGATATAGGGTGGGAGCTTCGGTCTCGAGGCTCCGTTATCGGTGGCCAGATCGGCAACGGAGAGCGTGTGGTCCACCGTACTGGTGCTTGCACTGCGAATGTGTGAGTGCACAGCGTGTACTCTGTAGGGATTTGACAGCTGTGTACCACGTTCAATACACTCTATCGAATATGGCCAACTACTTCGCTAGCAGACGCGTGGGTAGCCAGGGCTGAGTTCTCTGCCGGACCTGTTCCTGACAAGCGGCCCCCTCAAGCTCTGCAGTCTGTCTTGGGCACTGAATACTATATGATCGAGGATCTTGATCATTTTCGGCCGTAGCACCCCCCTCAAACCGACTTGATCGCCTTGATCCGGTTGGCCATGGCAAGAGCCGTGGTAGAGATGGCGGGCGCCAGCATCTCGAACCCGTGGGGGATGCCGGGATACACGTGGAGCTCGACGTGGATGTTGGCGGCGGCGATGCGGCGGGCATATTCCAGGTCCTCGTCACGGAAGATGTCGAGATCGCCCACGTCGATGTACGTCGGCGGGAGGCCTTCGACCGACGGCACCCGCGCCGGCGCCGCATAGTAGGGAATACTCGATTCACATGCTTTGCCACTCAGATACGCCCCCCAGCCCGTGATGTTGTCGTCGATGGTCCACGTCGCGAACGGCTCGAGCGCCTTGATCGGCTTGGTGTTGGTGTCGTCTAGCATGGGATAGATCAGGACCTGCTTCGCCACCGGCGGGGTCAACCCATCATCTCTCGCCTTCAACACAAGACCCGCAGCAAGACCACCGCCACCACTGTCGCCCATGACGATGATCCGCGCCGGGTCAATGCCGTACTTCTTCGCGTTCTGGCTCAGGTCCTGCAGCCCGGCCCAGACGTCGTCGATCGGCAGGGGATAGGGTGCTTCTGGCGAAACTCTGTAGTCCGGAGAAAAGACTTGGACGCCGGAGCGTGAGACGATCTCCTTGATCTTATTCCGGTACAGCGGCACATCCAGCCCGATGTAGCCGCCGCCGTGAATGTAGTAGATGACTGGATTTGCCCCGGTGGCGGGTGTGTCGTTCTTGGTGAAGCGGAAGATGGGCACTTCGAAGCCGTCGCTGGATTTGACTTTGAACACCTCCTCACCGACGTCTACGGAGTCAGGCACGGCGCGAAATACTGGGCCGAAAAAGACGTCCATTGCCTGACGCCTGCCGGCGACATCTCCCGGGGCCAACTTCGGCGCAGTCGCCATCACCGGGAGCAGCGGCTCCAGCACTTTGAAAAACTCCGGGTCCAGCGAGAGAGGCATGTTGGCTCTCCTTATTGTGTCTTACGGCTGTGGATGATGGTAAATGAGGGTGATCCGATCTTCAAGGACACGCATTGAACTGGCAGCCCGCGGGGGGAAGTGGGTTAATGTACAAATGTACCCTTGGTAAGCGGCCACGGAAAGTCATTTCCGGCTAACATCCTCCAACTCGGCATGTTGGAGCCTCCGAATGCTGTGGTGTGGGGGAATATCTGGTTGTGTTGAGCTCGGCCGAACTCGGATCGAAGGAAGCTCGAGGTGCAGAAACCCCAGACGGTATCCGCCAATCCCCAAATCCCCATCCATGTGTGTGGACGAGGCCCACCTGACGGTGACAACAGAGACGTATAGTATTCATACATGGAAGCGGCCAGATCGAGTCGTTTGAGAAGTTACCTTCTAGCCAATAGTCGAACACGCTGCGACCTCATCACCTTGACACTTCCCTATATTTTTGGCCAGAATGGACAGAAAGGGATAACCGTTGAACAAGCACATCTCAATTCGAAGAGGCGCTGCTTTTGGTTGTTTCAATAACTCCCCTTTGCGAACCTAGTTCTGTGGCGACAGAGGCCAGGGAATTTTTCAAAGCCTGCTGATGCTGACTAGACCTTCGAGGTAACAAAGGAAGTTCTACATATATATCTGTGATACTGTACAGCTAGTTGCCCCTGAAGAAAAAGGGGCCGACGTGCCGGGGCCGTCGACTTTATATGCCGATCAGGTGACCGGACTTTTTGTCTCCTTTCGGAATCCACTGACCGTAAACAATTCCCCAAAGCAGTGACACAGGGCGGAAGAAGAATTTTCAATGAGACAAAAGTCCTGTTATTACCACATCAAAACTCCATCGAGGCTACGGCTCTGAAACTTCCTCACCGGACGACATCAACCCCAAGCTGCTTTCAGTAATGGCAGCAGACTGCGTTCGATCTGAAGCCTCCGTGGCGTCGGCCATGGAGGTCAAGGTCCACAGGCAGATCCTCCAGACACTATTTTCATCCTGAGCATCAGCCACTGTCCCATCGCATGGACGGATCAGTCTGCAATGTACCGGGTACCTGCCGCCAGATCGGATGATGTATTCGCGAGACCCGATCTGTGGCAAATGGTTTGACTATTGTATAAACAACACACCACCAGCACCCTTGTTTTGTGGCTGCATTCTCTATCACCATATTCGTGAAGTTATATTAACCGACCCATGGCAGCTGGGGATATCAAATTGGATGAAAAACACTTCGTCAATCTTGACCCAAGTCGGCTGGAAGCAGGACTAATCGACAGTGACGATATTTCCAACCAACGGGCAACCGACAATCACATTCCGAGTGGCACTGATTTTCGGGAAACATCTGCCACGGGAGATACTGGAGGCGAACCTGGCAGGTATCCATCCTCAGAGCCTTCATCGGAGAACAATGTCGCAGACGAAGCAGCCCACAAGCAACGACGCAAGTCCTCTTGGTCGACGGTCCTCAATTGGGTAAAGCGGAAGGAGACAAGTCCTCAACATTTCAGAACCTCCAATCTCAGACCTTCGACGTCTCTCTATACCAAGTTCGAGGAGGGTTCGTCGGCTAGCCACGAAAAACCGCCCAAAGCCGATCATGTACAGGACCACCCACAAGAGGGCAGCGAGGATGGAGAAGCTCTTTCGCGAGCGTACACCCAGGCTGCGGCGCAAACAGTGCATACCTTCCTAGGTCAGAATTCCTCAACGTACCAGAGGGAGGCAAAGTAAGTCCGTCTCGTCGTCCTCAAATCCGTCTGAAACTGACCATTACAGGCTCGATCACGAAGACAGCTCGGTAGATCAACACATATATGATGTTGACTATGTCCCGGCACCTGAGCAATACAAGCCCGGTCTTTTCGGGACACTCCTTGCTTACAAACTGCACCATCTAGAGCAGGACTGGTCTCACGACCAGAAGCAACCACAGAGCCGCCCAGGTGGACAGACCAAGCATGACCTCAAAGGTCACCATCACTCTCGGTCGCTCGGGGCGTCACTCCCCAATTCTGGCACGGCGACACCCTCCAGGAAGGTCAAATGGTACGAGAAGCCGGAACAGACTAACCCCACCGCCGCGGCATTGATGCAAGCAGCCCTCTCATCCACCGGTCCCAGCGTGGCGGGAATGGGCGCCATCCCACGTCCTCGCCCCGTCCGCCCCAGATCTGCCGACATGATCTCCACGGCCGTCGACATCATCACGCACGGCAAACGTCACCCCAACCGACAGAGTGGCGGGTACAGCCCCAGCACGCTGGAAAACCACGTCGGACTCATCACCGAGGTCGCCGACATCATCGCCCGGCGGGACTATCTGATCAAACTGTGCGGCGCCTTTATGGAATATGGCGCCCCGACCCACCGCATGGAAGAATACCTCAGCGCCTCTGCCCGCGCGTTGCTCATCGACGCTGACTTCCTGCACATCCCCGGTGCCATGATCTGCACGTTTGCCGACCGCAGCATCCACGCCAACAACGTCGACATCGTGCGGAAACGGGCGGGCCTGGATTTTGCCCGCCTGGAGGACGTGTTCAACGTGTACAAGTGTGTGATTCACGACAAGCTCACCGCCGAGGACGGCATCCGCGAGATCGACAGCATTCGCCGACGCCCCGACAACTACTCGGAGCTCTTCCGCATCGTGATGTTCGGCGTGGCGTCCGTGGTGGTCGGCCCGTTCTCGTTCCAGACGCGGCCCATCGACTTTGGGCCGATCCTCCTGCTTGGCTGCGCCATCGGGTTCATGCAGGTCAAGATCGTGCCGCGGTCGGAGCACTTCAGCAACGTGTTCGAGGTGTTCGCGTGCGTGTTCGCGGCCTTCATTGCGCGGGCGCTGGGGTCGATCCGATACGCCGACGGCCAGTACATCTTCTGCTTCTCGGGCATGGCGCAGAGCAGCATCGCCATGATCCTGCCGGGGTTTATGATGCTGAACTCGGCGCTGGAGCTGCAGAGCCGGAACCTGATCTCGGGCTCCGTGCGCATGGTCTACGTGATTGTCTACGTGCTATTCCTCGCCTTCGGTTTGCTCATTGGCACCACGATCTTCGGCCTGATCAAACGCGACGCCGTGTCGTCGACCACCTGCGCCATCCCGCCCTGGTTCGCGGCGGACATGAACTGGAAGCTGATCCACACGCGGTTCGTGTGGGCGCCGCTGTTCGCGTGCTGCGTCGGCCTGATCTACCAGGCTCGCTGGCGCCAGCTGCCCGTCATGGCGCTGATCGCGGTGTGCGGTCACCAGGCCAACTTCTGGATTTCGACCCAGCTGTCGAGCAACCCGCAGGTGGCCAACGCCATCGGCGCATTTGTGATCGGATGTATTTCCAATCTGTACTCGCGGCTCTTCCACGGCCTGGCCGCCACCGCCATGCTGCCCGCCATCTACTGCCAGGTGCCCGGGGGTTTGGCGTCGTCGGGATCGCTGGTGGCGGGAGTCGTCTCTGCCAACCAGATCTCGGGGAACAGCACGGCGGCTGCACAGAATGCGTCGAGTACTGCCGCCGACGGGACCATCTTCACTGTCGGCTACAGCATGGTCCAAGTCGCCATTGGGATCAGCGTAGGGCTGTACTTGAGCGCGTTGGTCGTGTATCCATACGGGAAGAGGAAGAGTGCATTGGGGAGCTTTTGATCCGCCCCGACAGATGGGCTAAAATGTAATTAGTATCTGGTATATGGCATCGATGACGATGATAAAAGCGCGAGTCCGAGTTCCTTGAGTGTTTCCTTGAGCTATGCTGCTGCCATGCATATCGAAGGCCTTGTTGACCAGAGTCGTCAACATAGTCCTGCCGAGCAATACATATTAGCCACAAGCGAGCCAGGACACCTTCCAGATTTGATTTTCCATCCTTTTCTCATACACAGACGAGGTATGCGAGGGACACAACGAAAGCTACTGTCTCCGTCTTTCTCACTGGCCCAATTGGCTGTGTGTGTGTGTGTGTGTGTGTGGCTTGACCCAATACCCAATTGAATATCGATGCCGGCAAACACCTCACCGACGCGGGTTAGTCTCGGCGTGCCGACTTCTGCAAGGTCAGCTTCGTGATGAGACGGGCCAATGATAAGGCCCACCGCGTTGTGGCCGAAACTGGGAAATTTACCTAATCTAGATGGTTTGATATCAGAAGAAGTCGGTGGCGGTGGTGTTGGTGGTGGTTGTCAAACGACCTCTTCGTTCGATGTTGCTACTATGCTATGCTGTGCTGTGCTGTGCTATGCCACTACTACACCTCGTCCGAACCCCTGAACTTTTGAGGCTGAGTTTCATGACGATGGATGCATGCACGGCCGCACTCACCATGTCGAGGTCCACACGCTCTCCTCCCCATGCCTCATGTCCCATGTCTCCGTCTAAGAATCTTGACCTCTCTGCTGCCCATGTCAATCTCATTTAAATGGCATGTCAGGACGATACGACGGGAGCATTACCTGGATCAATCTCGACCTCGCCAGCATCGACGACACAACCCCTCACCGTGCTCGAGTTGCCACGCAGGTCCAAGAGTACCGGCGATGGAGAAGGGGGAGGGAGAAGCAGTCGCCGGCAAGCACAACGACGGCAGCCACCTTGGGAGAACACAACCCACTGGCGTCGCCCCGGGCTGGGCGGCTGCGGTGGAGGCTAGGGATTGGGATGGGAGCGACGATTTGGCTTTGTCGTCGAACACGGTGCCTATCTTTACAGCATCCGGTCTGTTTGCAAGTGTGCAAGGACAACCTGCCGTGAGCTCACGGGCCATGACAACTACCACGGATGCCTCAGGACAGCAGCACGGAGCAGAGCCTCCCCCAATATCTCTGCAGGAAGTCTTTCATAGTCTGGCACAGGATCTGGACATGGATGGCCCTGTGCAAACATCAGATCACAGCGAAAATGGCGGCCGCGTCAACCGCGGTATGATGGAAAGACTCAACTGCCTCTCCCGGTTCGTGCTGGCGCAAGAGAGGCAGCACTTCCCGTTCGCACTCCAAGTATTGACAGCAGAGGCTAAAGCTTGGACGCTTCACGTGCACGCTGGCTTGCCACAGGTCGATTCTGCGCGAGGAAACGGATTAGCCTGCCTGCCTGCCTGCGGGAACAACGGGCAGAAAAGATCAAAGGACGTACAACTGTACGAACTCGCCCAGTCCGGTCATGTAGACCTTGTCGAGTCCACCTTTTCCGTGCATCAGCTTCTGCAGAGCTCCCCAGTGCGGCGTGTCGTATGACCACCCCGTGCCGCCTTGATTGATATGCTGCAGCGCCATCAGACACGGGCGGAACGCACCAATGCTACCTCCTTCATGGGCCACATTGCCTTACCTGGGTCGCGGGAATATCATGAGGATGGCGAACAGGACTCCTGTTCATCTCTCGGAGTGGGCGTCAGCGAATTCAGTCCCTCTCTCAGGCGATGGAGGGCCTTGGTCTCGTGCTCGAGGATCGTCATTTTGGTATGGCCGCTTTTTGGTAAAAGCTCAGGGATATATTCCTGTCGCGGGAGAGGCGCCATTGCCAATGGAGGCAATGCCGAAATTCTCCTACAAGTATACATATATATGAGCGCCAATAAGAGTTGGGACGGCGAGATCCTGGGGTAAAGTCACAAGAGCCAACCTGTCACTGCTGTTACTATTACTGGGCCCTAGTGACCGATTCGGCCATTACCTCTTTTCGTCCTCGTGGCGGCAGGCCCAATAGCTCGCAGCCGTCCCTGCATTCCCTATGACATGCGATATGCGTTAGTTGACCCAGCCAGTCAGAACATACATAGATACTGTATATCAAAGAAATCGACAAATCCACCCCCGTGTGTGGTATTATGGTATGTCTTTTTGTGCTCTGATAAATAAAATATATAGATAGACTGGGGGGGCAGGCGGGGAAAGGACCGAACGAGTCAATAATTAGAACGATCTCGACATGTAAACGACAAGAGAAAGGAAGAAGGACCTTTTGACCAGGTTGAATAGTTGCTACTATCCCCAGCTTCCGGTCCTGGAACACACACATACAGTATATGGAGTTCCATCACTGGGGGCTTTGATTGACAGCTATGATAAGCAGTGGTGGTAGTGGTGGTGGTGATGATGATGGCCATATCAATGACTATCCTAACAATCCCCCCCCTTCTTCGACTGGCAAGGTCATCCACTGGCGTTCAGGGGAGGCATCATCCCTCTCTCCCTCCCTCCACCATTCCATCCACCTTTTTTTACACCTTATCCGCAATAGCCTGACCGGTCTGCTCGCCCGGCATCTTGAAGACGATCTTGTGGACCTTGCGAGCCTCAAAGTCCTTGTACGCCTGGGGCGCGTCCTCGAGGGACATGGTGCGGCCGCACAGGAAGGCGACCTTCTTCTGCTCCTGGACCAAGATGGCGAGGGCATCCTCGAAGATGCTGCGCACAGGGCACCGGCCAAAGGCCATGGTCACGTTCTTGCCGTAGCACAGCAGGCCGTTGAGCGGGATCGGCTCCGTGTGCACGCCGATGGACGAGATCTGGCCAAAGGGTCGGATCATGTCGAAGGCCAGCATGAAGGCGTCCGTGTGGCCGACCACCTCGAGCACGACGTCCGCGCCGCGCCCGCCGCTAGCCGCCTTGATCTTCTCGACGGGGTTGTCGTTGAGGTTGATGGGGATGGCGCCGATCTTTTCGGCCTCCGCCAGCCGCTCCGGCACCGAGTCGATCGCATACACCGTCTTGACCATGGTCAGCGCGCAGGTGATGGCGCAGATGCCCACGGGCCCGCACCCGATCACCACCGTGGTGAACTCGTCGCGGTCGCGCTGCGGCAGGTTCTTCAGGAACCGCGACGCCGCGAAGTAGCCCGTCGGGAAGATGTCGGCCATGAGCACGAGCATTTCCTCGGGGATTCCTGGCCAGAGCACACACAACATCAATAAACAAGTCCGGTGGGACGGAATAGAGGTTTTGAACGACCCCTGCCGTTCACTCACCGGTCGGGGCTTTGACCAGGGTCGTATTCGCCAATGGCACGCGCACGTACTCGGCCTGGCCCCCGTCGACGGTGTTGGCGGGGACCGAATTGCCAAACAGTTCACCGTTGACGCAGCGACTGGCCTGGCCACGCACGCAGTAGTAGCATTCCTGGCAGGCGGTGTAAAAGGGCACGACGACCTTGTCGCCAATCTGGAAGTTGGTGACGGCGTCGCCCTTCTCGGCGATGGTGCCCACGAATTCGTGTCCACACACGAAGTTCGGCGGGCACTTCAGGTGGCCACGGTAGAAGTGGAGGTCGGAGCCCTAGATAGAGAAACCAGAGAGTGTGTATGGTTAGTGAAGGGGATTTGGTTCACCGTGCCGGGAGGGAAGAACCCGTCAACGGTCTCTCAGGCATGGGAGAGTCAAGGGGAAGTAACAGATGGACGGAATACTCACGCAGAGAGCAGTCGACGTGACTTTGAGCACGGCGTCAGTGGGTTTCTGGAGCTTCGGATAGGGTCTATCTTCGACTTCGACCTAATACCAGAGCCGGTCAGTTGTCGAATGCAGTTCTCGGCAGCCATCTCGAGCGAATGACAAGCAAGGACCCAAAAATCCCAAGAGTTCGTCTCGCAGACCGAGCACATGGATCATGGCGTCTCAGCAACTTACATGGAAGTTGCCCTTCAGGACAACGGCACGCATGGTAGCTGGAGGCATATTGGCAATGGTGGTGATGACGACGACGTCGATCTCAGCTTCTCTGGCAGTGTTTGGACCAGGGTTGGAACCTAGTGCGAGTGGTGAGAGGCAAGAGGGGGGAGAATAGAACAGAAACTGGGCTTGACAACCGAGATGTCGTTCAACGATATGCAAATGCAATGGATGCGTGGACTGCTGCTGCTCGGGCAAGGGTCGACGTCTCGCTTAAGGACGTGATGAGTGAGATATCGAAGATGTAGAGAGAACAATAGATCCAGTATATGAAACCCGTAAGATGTTGTTCTTCGTCTTCTTCGTCTTTCTCTTCTCGTGGCTTCGTTCCCACTTGCTGGGTCCGTGCCACTTCTCTCCTCTCTCCTCTCCTCTCCTCTCCTCGACTCCCACATCACTCGAACCACGCTCGGAGAAGCGGGGGATTCTGCCTGGGTTCAAGCGAAGTTCCCCGCCCTTGCCGCGGCAATCGAGCTGACGGCGAACATGCGGGGGAAAAGGCAAAAGCGAGAAGAACCCGATGTGGCGGCGATCGAATGGTGAGGTATATTCTCCAATATAGAACAGAACACCTCATCTTCGGCAATTGGATGTCTTTTTCGCCCAGGAACAATCCTATACTGCTCATGGTCATGCTGCATTATCATACGGTCGTCTCTGATGGCCAACTTTTACTGCCCTGTTACTCCTTTAACCAATAGTACCACAAGTCACACTATATCACACCATCACCGGCCCCGACGCCGATCAATAATCAAATCCATCATAGCCACTCCCGTCATACCTCCTCCGGATGCTTGGCGGATAGCTACGCATGTCCACGCTCTGCCGTCCGTCACTGGCATGTAGCGAATTGGAATCCGGGTTCTGGTCCCCCAGGTACGTCGACGACCCAGATCTGCGGCTGTGCGTCGACGCAGCATAGGTCAACGCCTCCTGCGGCAGATCCTTGACTTCGTACGAATGGTCGCTTGACTGTCGGCGCGGCAGGGGCTTGGAATTCGCGCCGTAGTTGGGGTATCGCGCTTGCTGGCTAGGAAGAAGCGCACGGCCGCCGGTGGTAGTGGGACTGGCCGGCGTGGGAGAGGTCACCTTGTTGAAGGCCGCGCTGGCACTGGCCATTTGCTCTCGGGCCGACACAGGGTTTCTGGTCGCCGCCGACGGCGAGGACACTGAGTGGGTGATGAAATCAAAGCTGGGCACCGACGCGGGGATGGAGTTTCGGAATGGGTTGCCTTGGTCTTCATAGGGGCTGTCCAGACGGTGCTCCACGGGGGATCTCAATGCGTTCGGGATGGCGGATGTCGGCGTGGCGGTTGCCGTGTACGAGGTCGGGGTATTGTCGTTGCTGCCGTGCACCGAATACTCATTCGGGTTGACCAGCGATAGCTTGGGCGGTCCTCCCCGCGCGAGGTCCAGTTGCGAGCCTTGAGGCGTGTAGTCGTCAAGTTGTTGGTCTGGGTCGGCGTTCGGGTCGAAGAATTTCTCGTCCGTAAGGTAGGGATTGGAGGTCTCGTCCATGTCGTCGAAGTTACTCGTTGGCATCTCAACTACTCCTTCCGGAAGAGTATAAGGTTTGTCGCTGAGCGATACTCCAGTTTGCTTGCTATCGGATGCGCCGGGGTCGTAGAGGCCGGTCGGGTCAATCTGATAATGGTTCGGGGGCAACGAGAAGGGCAGTTCTGGCACGATGCTCGATCGATTGGAGATTCTGTCTCCTTGGCCATTTCCCCGAGACTCCGACGCGATCGAGGCACGCCGCTGATCTGGTTGATTCACGGAGAGAGTTTTGCTCACCATACTGGGAGCTTTGCGTTCACCAGGTGCGGAAGACATCTGCCCCTCGGCTCCATCGCCGTCTCGAATGCCGAACTGAGCAATGGTGCGTAGCTTTCGCGTCACCCACGAAGCCAGGATCTTGCCTCTCTGCTTCTCCGACAATCTGCTTCTGGGGAAATCCCCATCGCCCACAAACGCCACAATATCGACAATAATTTGATGCTCATGGAGGACGGCATTGACGATAACTGGCACAATCGACGCCATATATGATTTTCGGAAGACTTCGACCAGCACAACAACCATACCACCGGCCTGAAAGACAGCACACCCACCGGGAGTAATGTTTCGATGACACTTTTCGATGGTGCTCTCGATGTCGATCGGGAAGTGGTTGAGACCGTTAACTTCAAACGTCTCGCCAATGCTGCCCAGCACGAACAATATTTGCATCTCCACAGGCTGCCCGCCCGGTCCAATAGGTCGGGTGACATTGTGCAGAAATCCCAGATCCCCTGTTCGGACATAGGTTGCATTTGGATCCCCGCCCAAGATGCGTCCATTGAACCGTTCTTCGTCAAACACCTGTTTCGACATGTAGAAGGATTTTGCGCACGCTTCCGACTGAACCCAGATTTCGCCAAATTCCCCCACATGACATAGTTGACAGGTTTCCGGATTAACCACGGCGATGCGGGTAGAAACCGGTACCATGCCCGAATCTTGGACACACAGAGCGGTCGGATCGGTGTCTGGGTCGACCGGATAGATGAGACCTCTTCTCAGGGCACGCACGTCAAGCCAGAGCTCGATTGGTTCGATTGACATGTAACTCCGGGACGCGATCATGGGGTTGAGGACGTGTGCATATATCGTGTTGATGGCGGTCCGTTCGAGTCCTGTCTGAGCGAAATGGAGCCTAGCCTTCGAGAACAAATCAAGACGAGGTCTCGACTCGGTCGTCACCATGAGATTCTTCAACTCGTGCAGGGAGAAACCTTTGCCGACGACGTGACCCATGGCAAAATCCAGCATTTGGCTGGTCGCATACGTATCTTTGACTTTGTACCGGGACAACGCCTGAAACAGCGAGCCAGGATTCTGCGCAAAGTCGAGCGGCGAGATCAGATAAGTGGTGCTGCCGTTGTACACGCCCATGAGGACGGTATGAAGAAACCCTATGCCGATCGTACTTCGCACACAGGCGAGCACCGGTTTCGAGCTGGTCATTTGGCACGTCTCCTTCTGGACCTTGCACATACCCAGAATGGTGTCGTGACCCAGCTGAACAGAGACCCGACGCTGATCCGGCGTCCAATATGTCCATATAAGCACCGGATTCGTGGGAGATATCCAAGAACGATTGATCGTCAAACCGAGCTCTCTACACCCGTGAGACTGCTTTGCCGGTTTCGCTGTGTTATAGACGCTTGGAATATGCGTTTTCAGGTACTGCGCAGACTGTTTGAGATGCTGCGAGACGATTTTCTGTTTGAATAAGTGGTCGACGTCAGTGTTGCATAGAACGGCCTTCACACCCATATCAGCGACAATGTGAAGAAATGCGGGAGCATCCTCTGATAGTCTGTTGGCGTCCAAAGGAGCAACTGGAATAGCGATCGCTCCCAGTACCATACATGCGTATATGGCAAACACATAGTCTTCCGAGTGAGTGTACATCAAAATCAGATGATCGCTGGGCTTCACCTTGACCTTGTTCCGGAGGTACAAGGCGACGGCTGCCACCCTATGGTCAAACTTCTTCCACGTCAGCCCTTTCCCTTCTTTTCCTCGCTGATCGATCGTGCAGTATGCGAGTTCGTCGGCTTGTCGCGCCACCCGCCACTGCATCAGGTCAAAAATATTGGTGAAATTACTCAGCGCCGTTGACGTGCGGTCATCGATGACAACCTCGCGAGGGTCGACACCCGACCACTGAGTCTCCTGGTCGTATAGGAGGTCGCTTCTTGCCGCACTTGAATTCACCGACCAGATACCACCGTTGATGTCCTCCCCAACCGGAAGATTTTTCACAGCCCGCTCGACACCAAATTTAACATGGACACAAGGAAGTGCCCCATTGTCGAATTCTTTGCGACAAAGCATGTTGCCAATTTCTCGCCGGCCGTTCTTAGTCACCCGCGGTAGAATCCCTGGCGCTGTAATCAAGACGCAGTATACACGGAGGTGATGCTCTTGGTACAGTACGTCCATCGTCTTCTCCGCCAAAGAGTCCAGCAGGGCAATGTCGAGCTGTTGTGGTGGACCGCCTGATGACAATGGAGCCGTTGAAGCCGAGGGGGATTCTAGAAGAACAATAGGAAGATGTTCATCGTTGACAAAGCAATCAAAAGCGGAGCAGTCGTGGATCTTGGGGACATTTCTCATGATGCTGAGAATCAGATGCTGGACGAAGAAATAGCGATGTTCCTGCACCGCCAACCCGTGCTCGACCCATTCTACCCGTTGCCTGAGTCGATCCTCATACAGTCCTAAGACATAGATCTTGCCCTCTATGACACATCCAAGCAAACCGGTGCGTAAAAACTCGGGGTCGATTGCGGTTGGGGTCGGGTTGCCTTCTTTGAAACAAAATGGTCGAGCATGGAAGATCGTTTCGGTGTGCTTCGGCAGCGCCCAAAAGCCTCCGGAAAGTGAAGGAGAGTCGACCCAAATCTCACCTATCGAGTTTGGCGCGCACAGCAGACCTGATTCGGGATCAACCACGGCGAGGGTAGCGTCAGGGATGGGATATCCGAATGCGCCGCATCGGACAGCGTGCGGATAAGACGCTGCCTTTGCTCTCGCCTCGGCGCCCATGGCCAGCACCACGATGTCATTTGTCTTCAAAGCCTCTTTCTCCAGGAGTACTTCGCCCAAGTCCTCCGTCGAACGTTCTTTGGACGGCTTGGTTCCTCCTCCAATGAGGCTACTGCCGAAGCTGGATTTTGTAATCGCGCTTTGTTCTTCCTTCTTCTCCTCTGCTTCTTGATCACGGTCCATCTCGTGGGTGAGCGAGCAGCCCATGCGTTCCTCTCCTCCTAGCCAGTCTCTCATGCTGATCACCATTCCACCATGTTCGGGCAAGCAGAGCATAGGGGCCACAATCTCCCTCGCCCGGGGATTACGGAGTGGCTTCAGCCAGCGATCTGCAAGTAATTCGTGGAACTCGACGTCGACTGTCAAGGTGTCAATCATACACAACTTGACACTGGAGAAGTTGGGTTCAAAATTCCGTTTGAAATTCCTCGTCGTCATCGGGTCCGCCTGGTAGTTGTATACGGCACGTTTTAACCCAGGGTAATCTGCCACGAGCAGAGTTGTCTTGTACTTTGTGATGAGATTCGCATACAGACCCGGCGTCTCGATGGCCCGTTGATCAATGTAGATCATTGTGTGTCCGCCATAGATATTCAACAAGACGCCCAAGATCATACCAATGCTCTGTCTCGGATCGAGATAGCTCAGCATGATTTCGCCATGTCTCGAGCCGGTGATCAAGTGACCTTGCTTGTCGCGCAAAGAAGGATTGAAGGTGTCAGCTTTGGTGTTGCTTGTCGCCGACGTGATCATGGCACTGAGTGTCGCCATTTGATGCATAATTGTCTTGTGGCTCATCACGACACCTCGGAGGTCGCCGGTCGGGGCCATAGAGAACTCAATATAGGCCAGATCCGGCACCACCAGGGGAACTTCCTCGCCCTTTTTCTTGGGATGATAGCTGCCGAATTCGTTGGTCTTCCACCACTCCACCCCTCGCGGCCAGTTCAGCTTGGCGGCGGTGATATCTCGTTGAAAATTCTTGAGGTTGGCTTCCGTGGTCAGGGCGAGATGTGCTTGAGTAGACGTCAATACCACGTTCAATTTGGCATAATTCTTGAGGTCGTTGATCGGAACAGCCACCACGCCGGCGATGAAGCAGCCCAGCAGTGCCACCGCAAATTCAATGATTTCATTCTCGACGTAGATCAGCGCAACTCGGTCCCCCTTATAAAGACTGCTTTTGTCGCGGATGACCTGAGCCACCTTTTCTGCGCGGCTGCATAGCTTCTCCCAAGTGATGGAAACGAGCTCTTTCCCCCTTTGGTCCAACACCCAGTAGGCCGCCTGCTTGGGATTTGTCTTTGCCCGATGTCTAAGGACGGCGGCGATGTTCTCAAATCTGGACATCTCGATGTGCGAATCATGCGGGTCACAGATGGCGAATGGCACTTCGCGCGGCTCCAGGGGCATTTGATGGATAGCAGCACCTCCAGCAAGTTCACCTGCACCGAGAAACGGCGGCGCCACCTGGGCCGTGGGCGAAGTCACCTCACCCTGCGAGTATCTGTGTACATTCCCTCCATAATGCTCTTGGTGGTCTTCTCGTTGTTGACCGGCAAAATCCGAGAAATAGCCTTGCTGCGAGTCCAGCATAGTAGAGTTGCGAGTATCGATGACACCATAATTTTGTTGAGTATCAGGATTAAAAGCGTAGTTCTGGCTCAGCAGCGTCTCGGTGCGGGACTGGTCGTTGGCAGTCAAAAAGGTTTCGCGCCGGCCATCGAAGGAGGATCCCGACATCGAGCCATGTGGAAGACTTCCCGTTTCCCTCTCTTGGAATCTTTGAATGTGACTTTGAGGCGTGACGCTTCTCCTGGGATCGTTGAACTCATCTCTGAGCACCGAGGCCCGCCGGGTCATACTGGGATGGCCCTCAGTCATGGTTCCATTCCTCGAAGTGCTGCCCACTGATCGGCCGGTGAGGGCAGCAAGCGAAGCTGCTCTGGAGTCTTCATTGGAGGCAGGGTGATCGCTATCGTCAGGGGAGTGTACGCGAAGTCCTCGAGACTGGGCTTGGGGTTGTGGTTGGAGGCTCAGCGGCGGAGAACTGATGTACTGCGAAAGAATAAGGGTCCGTCTCTTTTCATAGCCTTTGCGAGTGATATCTCCTTCCTCGAGCTCTTCGTCGAGCTTGCGCAGGGCCTCTTCCAATTCAGGGATGCCCGACATTGCTGCAACCCTTCATGGATTGGTCGATCCCTGTGTTTTGGCGCGAGAAGTCGAAGACCGAGACACGGTCCCGGAAACAGACCGAGGCGCTGGATGCCGAAGGCACTGGCGCAAAAATGGTTTGAAGGGAAAAAGAGACGAACTAAGCGAGTGACAGCAGAAGCATACAGTAAAAAGGCCGGGCCACCCCAGGGAGAGGGTAATGAAGTTCCAGAGTTGAGCACCAGATGCAACGCAGTTTCAGACGAGTCCTCAACATGGACCTCGTGGTGCGTGGTTGGTGGTTGCGGGTGCCGCAGGTGGGGATGGTGATTGAGCAAGTAGTGGGCATCTTCGATCGAGCCCGTGCTCCCCGTTTGCTGGGCGACCTTCTTGCCGAGTTTCGGGGTAACTTGCCCCCAGAGATGCCTACTAGGTAGGCACCCAGGTACCTAGACACCCTATGCACAGGAGCTGGGTTAGGCTTGTAGTCATTGCTCATAGAGGGTTATCGAGATTACCTAGGCTGCCGGACAACACAGCCTGCGATGAAACAAGGGATAGCCTGACTATGCTTTCGACAACTTGATTAATTGTTGGTATCATTGAAGATGCTTTTGGGTCTATCTCTATGCTCTCTGCCATAACGCCCCTGACAGAAAACAACACATTTCGTATCGTGAACCTGGTCAACGATACATCTCCCACCGCCACTGATAGATCGTTGTGCTGGGGTCGACGAAACCCTTGCCCTGTAGTGATCCATATCTGGGCACCTCGTCTGGCTGAGTAGTCTCATCTCTGCCTTCCCCCTCGACCACAGTCCGAGAAGGGCACCCTTCAAAGTCTCGAAGCAGTGTTGGACTGCTCGAAACAACCTCGGTGTAGACATTAGGGTCTTCTTACAATCATTTCATCTGTAACGCAATTGAAACTTTCAACAACAACACGAAAATAAAGGCATGCTGGCTAGATGTGCAGCAAATCAAGGAGAACCGTTTCTCATTTGATATGTTGTGTTCGCTGCCGGCCTTGGAGATGTCGGCAATATGCATAGGACTTTGCAGTGGTATGTAGGTCGGAGTTGTTTTGGGATCGCTGGGGGGTATTCGTTCATCGTGACGGTCGGGTTAGCCATCTCATCGGTTGCGAGCCACTGCTCATTCTTCTTGACTCTCGAGGAGCGTGAAGACCGGGGCATTCAGCTTGTTTCGACCGTTGAGGAAAGTGAGCTCGATGATGAAGATATATCCGAGCAGTTGGCCGCCACATTTCTCGACCAGTGTCCCCGCTGCCGCTGCCGAACCGCCCGTTGCAATCAGGTCGTCGACCACAAGGACTTTCTGGCCGGGCTGGATAGCGGAAGTCTGCATGGCAAAGGTGTCGGTGCCATATTCCTTCTGATACTCTGCTGTTTCAATCTCGCCTGGAAGTTTGCCCGCCTTCCTGACAGGAACAAACCCGGCTCCGAATCGGAGGGCTAATGTCGGGCCAAAGAGGAAACCCCTCGCATCGAGACCGACAATCACATCAGGGATGTTGTTCGGCCCGAGTGATTCGACGATCTGTAGTTCGAACGCTCGAATCAAGTCCTCGTGGAGAGTGTGCGAGGCGAAGAGGGGGAGGATGTCTTCGAAGAGGATGCCTTTCTTCACACACCCACTTAGCAAAAATGCCTCTGGGAACCAAGGCACCATTTCTTACCTTAGGGAAATCAGGATAGGTCTTCAAACCCGCCTTGATGCGAGCTTTTAATTCCGGCAACGCTTCAGGACGGGCGAGTTGGGAGGCTATCCGTGGGTTAGCAAGGCTGAAACAAGATAATTTTTCTCCGGCCCCTCTGCTTCACTTTTCATTCGAGGCGCGGGGCGGGACATACTGGAGGCGGTGGCATTGGGCTCTGATCGCGCGGTGCCATAACTGCAGTCAGTGTCTGCGGGAAGGGTCATGCTGAGAAGAAAGACGGTCAGAGGGAAGGCGGGATGATAGGATAAATATGGGTACGAGCGAAAGGGAGAAAAAAAAAGATGACAACAAAGAGCCGTGGCACAAGAACGAGGGCGCAGGGCGAATCAGTTGCGCATGCAAGGGCCGTCCACCTTTCGGGAGGGATCTGGTGGGAATCCAGGTGTAGCTTGCAGCGCTATTCCACAGTCGCCTGTGGCCTCCGAGCGTATCCAGCACTAGCAAGCAGGGAGCAAGCAGACAGGTTCAACAAACCGGCCAGCTTAGTCGACACAGGCCTGGCTGTCGGTTGCATGTGGTGTTATGTTACAAAGAGCAGTCAGCCTGCGCGGCCGGGACTGACGTGATTGCAGCCGACAATCCTCGCTTTGACTGCTAGGCCCTGCAGGCCCAGAAGGTCCAGTAGCAGGTCGTCAAGCAGGGAGGCGACTTGTTTCGTTTCTGCTTGTGCCTCCAGCGTAGCGGTGTGTGTCCACAAGCGATCCACTCGGGATTCCTGACCAAGGTTCAACCAACAGCGACGAGCTTGACTAAAAGAGTCGTGGCATGTGTACTGCCGTGATTTGTATGTCCTGCTCAGTACCCGATCCGAGTCAAAGGAGAATTGGGATAGGCTCTAGGGTCCTCTCTCCCTGCCAGGCTTGGAATATCCCGATCCAGGACGCTAGGGCCAGTGGGTGAGAGAGAGTGGGATGGTCTGGAAGATAACGTTTGAGGGATAATCCACGATAACCTAGTGGATTCTGAGTAGGCAGGCTGATACTCGACTTGTCGAAGGAGGGGCTCAAACAAAGCGTGGGCTGGACAATGACTCCCTTCGAGGGGGGTGGAGGTTTGATGCACGTCGAGACTCGAAAGAGGGAAGAGAGAGGAAGGCCTCATCATCCCTCCCGTCCGCTAACGCCATCGAAGGGCCCCGGTTCCGCCGTGCCATGCCACGCTGTTGACATGGGACAGCCCTGGAGGTTCGAACCACTATCGACCTATCCACCCCTCGCCAGCTGCCTCGCTGCCTTTCTAACCTTCTTTACCCGTAACCCGTCTGTGGGAGTGGGGACGTCCGAGCCCTTTGTGGCGCTGGCCTGTTCTACATTTGTCGATATCGTGCAATGCGAGAGCATTTGCTGGAATTCTGGCGGAAATGCAAAAGCTCCTGGGGGTGTCCTTCTCTCTTGGATTCGTGGATCATCTCCGCCAGCAAACCCGCGCTGCAATGTGCTCAACCGGAGCAACAATACGAACGGGCGAAGCATAGGAGGTACCTGGGCTCCATCAACACCTGGCTTGTTGAGCCATTTTCCTCGTTTGACTTCCACTCCATGCGTAGTCGAAGCAAAGAGAGGCACCGTGAATCCGCGACTCCTTGCGATCACCTCAGCTGGACCCGCCTCGTTGCATCAAGGGGACTCTTGTGGCTCCCTGGGCCTCGAAACGGGCTTTTCTGGACCTGCCCTTCAAGAGGACATGTTCTAGACGTGAAGATCCAGCCTTAGCGAACATCGACGATCAAATTGTGATCTGCGTTTCTTTGTCCAGGCCACATTCGCAAGGCTCGATTCTCGGTGCCCTTGGCCTCGAAATCTCAGACCGATTTTGAGGCAAACCGCATCCAGAACGCCGACAGTTAATGCGACTCTCGATGCATGCAAAGAAGCGGTGACAATGGCGGGCTTGGGCACAGGGGTGCTTTCTGGAGCTACTGCAAGCCACCTTTCCAGAAAATCCAACCTTGATCCCTGGGCCCCGTTACACGACAGCAACCCCTCAGACTTCCGGAGGCAACCGTGCGCGTCCACGTACTTGCGCGCTGAATAATACTTGTATATATATGGGACTTACTGTCGACCCCATCAGAGCCTGACCTTCGCCGTATTTCGGGTCAATGTAGACTGATACCATCAGACGTCTGTATACTCGGTATCCGCACAGCCATCATGTATTCGTGTGCTTGTGGCAAGCAATAGGGAAGTTCGCAGCCTGCGTCCTCGTAATGTGAAACTAGCAGATGGATGGCTGTTTGCTCCAGGAGAAACATATCAAATAGGTCCTCGGCCGCATAGCAACAAATGTCATCTCTTCCCATATTTCGCCCGTGTTCCACGCCATTTTCGCCCACGGCTTGCCTTACAAAATGCAACTGAGGTGGGAAATGGACAAATGCTCAAAAACTCTCCTTGCAGAAGGCCAGAAGTTCACATGCATTTGGAGGCGGTGATATGGAACTTGCTCACCTCTAGTCATGGCCCACCCGTCCAGCTCGAAACAGTTCATTACGGGGATCCTGTCATCATTACGAGGACCTTGAATGACCGAGCGCATCGGCACTTTTATAGCTCCCAAGTAAAAGTCACAGAAGGACATGGACAGACGCTGTGGAGGATTTTCCCTGGTCGACAGGGGCCTGCAACTGGTAAACATGTGGATCTTTTGATTTGCTGCCACAGATCGGATTTGCACTGAAGCACCTAGTGTGTGATGGAGGTGGTTTGCCAGATATGCAATCCCAAGTGTCAGATTGGCCTAGTAGTCCACTGAGAGGCCCTCGCAGAATCCGTAGAGTGAACAGGCTGGTCTAACTCGTGGATGGCGGACGTTGGGGCGGCGGACAAATGGCTCGGCTCAATCCCCGTCATCTTCACCGCCTTGGGAAATTCTGCCGGCCATACACAAAAAAAAGTTGCAGGTCAAACTTCTCCATCTCAGAAAGCGCAGCCCACACTCCGAAGACCTGCGCTACAATGACCCGTGTTATAGACGAGGACGAATTCGTCCTGACAATTTCCGACAACGAGAGCCTGCCTGTCTCTGATCCCGACACAGATGTCTCGGAAACGGTAGAGCTCCGCACCAGCACCAAGCGAAAACGGGAAGAAAAGAAAACTGCTCGCAAGAACAAGAAACAGAAGCTCCAACGGGGGGGCAGTGAAGAGGACGAGCGCATTGCGTCCGGCGACGACTCAGCGAGCGGAGAAGAATCTGGAGTTCACGATGGTGCCCTCGATCCTGACTTCGAGTTTGACATCGGCGCGAACCACGTGCAAGAAGACCTCGAAGATTTTGACGGATGGGGTGAGGATATCACAAGCACAAAGCATCGAGAGCAAAAGAAGAAAAGTGTCGACATTGACGACATCATTGCTCGCCGCGCAGAGAAAAGGGCAAACCGCACCGGGTCCAAGAAGCCTCCGGAAGAAGTAGAAGAAGAACAAGCTGGGGATGAAGGGAGTGACGAGGAGGATGTAGTAATGCCCGACTTCGAAGATGATGAGCTGCTTGCACCGGATACCTTCGGCGCTGATGCTGAATCTGAAGATGAGGAAGACGAGGAAGAAAAGGAAGAAGATGAGGACGAGGACGAGGACGAGGACAACAATGCTTCTGATAGCGACTCGGTGGCATCTCCAACCGCCCATCCCGAGGATGAAGCTTCTGATCAGTCAGATGCTGAGTCGCAGACATCCATCTCGGAAGATCCTGACGAGAAGGCTAAACGCGCTGCGTTCTTCGCTCCTGAGGACAAAGCGACACAACGCGACATCAAATCTACATCCTCGTTCCAACAGTTCTCCCTGTCGCGGCCCATCTTACGGGGCTTGGCCGCCCTTTCGTTCACGACCCCTACACCCATCCAAGTCCGAGCCATTCCCGTCGCACTGCAAGGCTTAGATGTGGTCGGGTCCGCCGTGACAGGCTCGGGCAAGACTGCGGCGTTCCTCCTCCCGATCCTTGAACGCCTGTTGTACCGGCCCAGAAAAGTCCCCACGACCCGAGTTGCCATCCTTATGCCTACTCGCGAACTCGCAGTCCAATGCTACAGTGTCGCCACGGCACTGGCTCGATTCACCGATATCACCTTCGCCCAGGTCGTGGGTGGCTTCTCGTTGCGGGAACAAGAAACTATCCTGAAAAAGCGACCAGATGTCGTGATTGCTACGCCAGGAAGATTCATTGACCACATGCGTAACTCGGCGAGCTTTGCCGTCGAGAACATTGAAATCCTGGTGCTCGACGAAGCAGACCGAATGCTCGAAACCGGATTTGAAGACGAGCTGAACGAGATCCTCAGGACCATTCCTAAAGGAAGACAAACAATGCTCTTCTCTGCTACCATGACCGACAGCGTGGACAAATTGGTACGAGTGGGCATGAACCGTCCGGTACGTTTATCCGTCGATGCGAAGAGGTCTACGACAGCGGGTCTAGTTCAGGAATTTGTCCGTCTCCGCCAAGGACGAGAGGGCTTGCGTCTGGCAACTCTATGTGTGCTGTGCCTGAAATTCTTTACCGAACGCACTATAGTCTTCTTTCGCCAGAAGAAGGAAGCTCATCGTGTCCGCGTCGTGTTCGGTTTACTGGGCCTAAAGGCCGGTGAACTGCATGGAAGCATGACTCAAGAACAACGTATCAGTGCAGTCAATGCCTTTCGAGACGGCAAGACCTCGCACCTTCTCGCCACGGATCTTGCCAGTCGAGGCCTCGACATCAAAAACGTCATGACAGTCGTCAACTACGAAGCCCCCCAGACCCATGAGATCTATTTACATCGTGTAGGTCGGACAGCCCGAGCAGGCCGCTCGGGGCGTGCGTGCACAATCGCCGCCGAACCCGATCGAAAGGTGGTTAAGGCGGCCGTGAAGAGCGCAAGGCAACACGGTGCCAAAGTCGTGTCCCGAGTCATGGATGTCCAAGAGGTCGACGCCATGAATCGACAGCTCGAAGATCTCGAATCAGAGATCGAGGATATCCTGAAAGAAGAGAAAGAACAAAAGCACTTGGCTGCCACCGAGGCCGAAATCACGCGTGGAGAGAACCTCATCAAGCACGAGTCTGAAATCATGGCCCGGCCCAAGAGGACGTGGTTCGAGACGGAGAAAGAGAAACGCGACGCCAAGAACAAAGGGCGAATGGAGTTGAACGGGCCCAACGGGGTGGGATCTGTGAAAGTGCGGACAGAGAAGAAAAAGTTGAGCAATAAAGACAGAAAGCGTCTCGACGATGCGCGAGAGAGAAAGGAGGGGAAGATGTGGAGGAAGGGGAAGGGCAGCGAGGAGGCGGCGAAGAAGATGATGAAGGAAAAGGGAAAGGGGAAGAATAAGAACAACAACAATAACAAAAAGAGCGGTGGAAGGATGAAGGGTAGAAGAAGGTGAAGAGTGATGTGTGCATGTATGTATGTACGGAGTATACCTTTCGGTATAACCCTTTGGTAGGTAGGTTTATGAAGAGATCCAAAGCACTCACTCGCTTGATTCATGTTTATGTCTTCTTGTGCGTCTTAAATTTGTGTCAATGAGCAGCGAACCGTGATGAAAGGCCTATGTTTCGACCACTATTTTATATACCTAGCTCTATCAATGTAGATAAGATCCCAACAAGTTTCTGGGGCCGCGAGCTCAGGACTGGAGAGAGAGACGGAAGACCGTGAGCATTAAAGAGTCATATATTAATTGCCAACAACCTTGAAGCCCCCTCCCCTTTCTCTTTTGACCTACAGCAGTGAACTCATTTCATGCCAGCGGGTTTCAACTTCCCCTGCCTGATCAAGTCGTCTACCTTGGGGGGCAGGACGAGTCCGGTACGGTCATTTCTTTTGTAGAAATCCGCCACAACCTGAGCGGTTTTGGCGGGTTGGTCTTCCTGTATAAAATGGCCGGCCTCGGGAAACACTTGGAGCTGGTATTTCCCTGTGCGGTGTCAACATGTGCTTTGAAGAAGCTAATAGCCAGGAGAGCGTTAGATGATTTCAATGCATGGCCTACCTTGCATCTGCCCAATCGTGAGTTCCTTGTCAAGTCGGTCGGTCCCCGCCAGCAGGAGGAGTTTACCTCCACGGGACTCCAGAAACTTCTTGGACAAACCGATAAACCAGTCTTCCCAGAAGGGTTTTGTAGCAGCTAGATCTGTCCGCCAGTACCATGTACCTTTAGTTGTTTTGGACTCTTGAAGCAGCGACGGAACTGATACTCGAGCCGAGGTGGTATTCCGGATCGTTCGAGATTTAGTGTGCCACTCGATGCCCGAAGCAAGTGAAGGAAAGGATTTCGGTCTAGTGGAGAGATATGTGTCCATGCTTTTCAGAGCGTCCATGGCCGAACCTTCTACGACGTCGAGGACACCGTATGCTAGCAAGGTGTTGCCGAGAAGCCTCTCGTGAGCCACTTCGGTCACGACGGCACCTCCCAGACTGTGTCCGATCAACACAATATCTGGCAAAGTCGACCACTTCATATATGCTTTGACAGCATTGACAACGAATGCAACATCCTCTGCGAGGGTAGTTAAGCTGAGGTCTTGAGACGGTGGCGAGCTACCAGACAAAGTCGTCGTGGTCGTCTGCCCATGTCCCCGGGCATCTAGTGAGAGAACACCAGCATTGGGAAGGATCTTCAGCACTTCCACCGTGAAGGCAGCAAATGACAAGCCCGACGAGCCAGCTCCATGATGGGTGACGATAAGAGGGCCGGAAGCTGATGGAGGAGTTAGATAGACGTGATGGTGGATTGTCTCCGAGGGTGTTTTCTGATCGAAAGCGAGGTCTTGAGTAAAGAAGTCATCCCAAGGAAGTGGTGCGTTACGAGATTTGATGGCAGCGCTATCATATTGGTCAGTGGCTGTCTTGGTCCGGACTGGGACATAGGCAACTCATATTACCTTCTTGGTTTCTCAAACAGGTTCCGGCTGGGCGACGGGACGATGGTGCCGGTGGAGGAAGTTGAAGAGGCCGAGGAAGACGAATCATTTGGTGACCCTGGCCTCAAGGCCGTCAAATCATCGCCTTCTTCCTCTTGCTCGTCTACCGGGGTCGGTGGCTCTGGAGGCAGATGAGACAAGCGTGCTCGGGCAAAGGACTTTTGCAGATGACTCATTACGGATCGTCGAAAGTCAAGACAAGGCTGTCACTTGGATTCATGGACTCGGGAAGACTTTTGATAAAAGGGACGAATAAGGTGTGGCTCATGCAAGTGACTAGGGGATGGATGGGGAGGGTGCGGCGGGAGGGGTGTGTGGCGGTGTCTTGTGATGTGTGGTGTGGTGAAATGTCCAGTAGCAAGGATGAGCGGGAACGAGTGAGTGCTGTTGGCCAGGCGCAGTTATGGAGGGGAGAGCGGACAGAGAGAAACCAGGAGTTTTGGTGGACTCTTCTAGACCGGTGGCTATTGCATTGCAGCTGTCTCTCACTCGGCGAATTGCCCATGCCAAACAACCCTCGACACAATGGCTCGGGCTATTAAGAGTTAAGAGAGCAAACGCTCAACATCCCAATGACGAATCACTTGCTGCAACAATTGGCTGAGAAGCGAGAGATCAAGATGCTGATCAGTGGTAGCTCCAGCTGCGGCAGCTGTTGACGATCTCAGGGAAGCGAATCCCGCAGTTGAGGTTCCAAGGTTCCATGACGTCGTGAGCATCACACGGGGCCTCTCAAGCTTCAAGCTAATGTTTTTCTCTCTCTTTCATCGCAGCCACCCTTTGACTGAGAGACCTGATGGAAGCGTGTCAAGCAATACTCTCACGTTCCTGTTCAAATCGCCACGCCTCGTGATATTACGGACGAACCTCGAGCCTTGCCAGTTTCAGCCCTTTCTCTATACAACTGCGTGGACTGACCTAGATTGGTCACCATGGTCTCTCTGTGGGGAAGCAACAAGAAGGACAACGGCCACCCCCCTCAAGAGGAGGATGAAGACAGTGCCGCAGCCACCGCATCCCATCCCCAGTCGGGCGGACCTTCGGACGATGCCAATGAAAGAACACGACTATTGCCACGCCGCGATCGTGGCCCTGGCTATCTCAGTCCCGACGACCCTGCTGTAAGTCGCTATGAACTGTGCAACCCATCAGGAAGCTCATTCTCCCTCAGGTATCACCTTACAACCTCTTCTCAGTGAGGGCGTTACGATGGCTCGAGGTCGTCTTCTTGATGATCACCTGCCTGTGGTGGACCTTGCTCTTCATCTCCATCTTCGTCAGTCCTCCACATTTCAACTCGAGAGGCTCCGGCTTCTTTGACGTCGCCTGGACCACCCTCACCATTGGCAATATTCTGACGGCTCTTCTGTTCTTTGCCACCCCATCCACTGCCATGAGCGTTCTGAGCATGGCAATTTCTGTCATCTTGTTGATCGACATGATCATTATCCTCGCGGTACCTCGTATTAGACTTGAGGAGGGCTGGATCGGGGTTGCCTCAGTGATATGGGCTGCTTTGATCGGCCTATACAATGTCGTGACGAACAGGACCGTTCAATGGGGGAAAGCGGAAGAGGAAGTACGCCTTACGGGTCGCCAGGAGACGCGTCGTTCTCTTAGAGAATGGTGTGCTGTCTTGACCGCAACCGTACTGATGGCCGTCTACGTGATCATTGTTGTCTTGCTTACTGCCGTCCTGGTATTGCGCTCGAGGGACGCTACCCTACCCGCTCCGGGCCATCGGTATTTGGTGGATGGTGACAAATACGCCGTGCACTTTGCTTGCATTGGCAACAAGACCTTTGACGCAGACGGCAAGCCGAAGCCCACTGTCCTGCTTGAGGGAGGATACATGCCTGTGGAAGACAGCTTCGAGGGGTGGGTTTTTGATGCGTGGATGAACGGGACTATCGACCGTTACTGCTACTGGGATCGACCTGGCATCGCATGGTCCGATAATGCGCCATCTCCACATTCGGCTGGGATGTCTGCAGATGCAATCTCTGAGGCGCTCGCCATTGCTGGTGAGGAAGGCCCCTGGATTCTAGTCTCTGCGGGCATTGGAAGTGTCTACAGCAGAGTCTTCTCTGCTCGACACCCCCGTGATATCAGAGGCATGATGTTCATCGATGGCCTACACGAAGACCTCCTCTACAAAGTCGGTGGTCCTGGTCGTGGGTTCATTCTGTGGGGCCGTGGCATCATATCCCCGCTTGGCCTCGATCGCCTGGCAGGAGCTTTGTTCAAGGGTCGCACCAAGGAAGATCGCGTCTTTGGCAAATCCTCCTACCAGGGTGGCAAGTTCATCAAGAATAAGCTGCAGGAAAACCTGGTAGCCGATTCATTAACCAAGAACGAGGTTATCAGCGCCCGCAACATTCAGGATCGCAGCGTTCCTCTTGTTGTGATCACTTCTGGGGTGCATTTGAAAAAGGACAAGGACTGGGAGCGGAAGCAGGAAGACTTGACAAAGGTGACAGACGAGTTGGTCGCCTGGGATGTTGTGAAAGGAGCACCCTCGGAAGAAGTGTGGAGGTCGGATGAAGGACGAAAGATCTTGGAAAAGCGACTAGGACAACTGTACAAGGGCTCATGAAGCGCATGGATGGTTATTGATTTGACGCACACGAAATCATGAGCTTTTAATCTTGATGTTTGGAGCATTGAGGGTGTCCAGGAGAGCACATGTGATATGGAGTCTGATTGAAATACTAGCATACGAAAGCCACTGTTTCAGGGAGGTTGCCAGAGTCATCCAACGCTTCACATCTATCCTTGCCTCGTTAATGAATGCTGACATTACAAAACACAAGAATAAATGAGTCATTGTTCTTCCATGAACCAGAGACACGGCTATATTACAAGCACCGACCACCTGTGGAAAGAAAGGCGGGATGGATATTAGCCCTCACCAGCCACAGCGGTATGAACATGACGTAAGACTTGGAGCCTACCAACCTGGCCACAAAGCCCTTTCGGAGAAGTTCTGCGATCATCCTCGCGCGTGAGGACCGAGCCAACCACACCGACGTGGCCCATCGAGAGCCTCGCTCGCCTACTCTTCAGGTACGAGCAAACACGACATCTCGAAGATCATTTTGCAATCTTCTGCGTTTGCTGTTCTTTGTTATCCTCTGCCTCACCTCCTCCCAATACTTCTGTACCTCAACCCCCCACACTAACTCTTCGTTTATTCCCCTCTCTCTTTCTATATTTCATTTCTTCTTCGTCCTCCAATCACCGGACCTGCGTCGCCATCCCTCCATACCTCTCGCGGACTCCCCGCACCTCATTTTCGCAATGTTGCTACGATTCGAGTCGAAATGGGGCCAGTTCCGCCTGAACGTCGAACCTACTCAGCATTTCTCATCCCTAACATCCAAGGTAATTCATTCCCGACCCCGCGTGCCGTTTCGTCTGATACTAATTGGGGGTGGGTGTTTCCTAGATACTTGACAACCTGCCTCCGAATACCGATGTGTCCTCGATAGTGTTGAGCAACAAACCCGTCAGCTCGAGACCGGAGCCGGAGAGAGAGCGGCGCCTCGCCGACCTCCCCGGAATCGAACTGCAGCAAGTCGGGCTGAAACATGGAGACAAGCTGTACATCGGCTTCTCAGAACACGAGTCCATGTCCAACGGTCACACCAACGGCGATGCCTCCTCCTCTTCGTCCTCCTCCGCCCCTCGACGTTTGAATGGCACAATCGCCCTACCAGAACCTACCGCCCCCGTGACCGCGCCGACGGTCACCTCTCCAACCCTGGTTAAGAACCCGTGGGAAGTGGTCAAACAGTCTGCTTTAGATGACAGGTTAGACAAGCAGGATGGGAAGATCTCAAGACCGAGAGACCTCAAGATGTGTCGACATGGACCCAAAGGCATGTGCGACTATTGCCAGCCTCTGGAACCCTACGACAAGAAATATCTCGACGAGAGGAAGATCAAACATCTCTCCTTCCACAGCTATTTACGCAAAATCAATTCTGCTACCAACAAGCCCGAGTTGAAGAGCTCTTACATGCCGCCACTGTCCGAACCCTACTACCGAGTCAAGAAGGACTGCCCTGCTGGCCACCCTCCCTGGCCTGAAGGAATTTGTACGAAATGCCAACCAAGCGCTATTACATTACAACCGCAAGAATTCCGAATGGTGGACCATGTTGAATTTGCCACAGCAGATATGGTGGACAAGTTGATAGACTTCTGGAGGAAGTCCGGCAGTCAACGGCTGGGATTTCTATATGGTCGATACGAAGAGTACACAGAAGTACCCCTGGGTGTAAAAGCAGTGGTGGAAGCCATCTACGAGCCACCTCAAATGTGCGAAGTTGATGGACTCACACTGCTGGATTGGCCCAATGAAAAGGATGTCGATGAGGTTGCCAGCCTCTGTGGCCTCGAGCGGGTGGGAGTCATTTTCACCGACCTGTTAGCCCCTGAGGAAGGCGAGGGCCAGGCCGTTTGCAAACGACACATCGACTCGTATTTCCTTTCGTCTCTGGAGATTGCGTTCGCGGCACGGCTCCAGGCTCAATACCCAAAGCCTTCGAAATGGAGCGAGACGGGTCGATTCGGCTCGAATTTTGTAACCTGCGTTATCACCGGAGACGAGGACGAGAGCATTACAATCCAAGCTTACCAGGCATCCAATGCGGCTGTCGAGATGGTTCGCGCAGACATTGTGGAGCCCTCAGCAGACCCCTCCGTGATGTTGGTGCAGTCGGAAGATGATCAAGGGCCGAACGGCAGAACTCGATACATACCTGAGGTTTTCTACCGCCGAATCAACGAGTACGGTGCCAATGTGCAAGAGAACGCCAAGCCCAGTTTTCCTGTGGAATATCTGCTGGTATCTTTGACCGCGGGAATGCCCATCAAACCCAATCCTCTCTTCAAGAACAGCAAGTTTCCTGTGGAAAATCGGGAAGCTGTTGCTGAAGGCCAGGATCCTGCGGACGTTGCCAGACAGCTACGTTCATCACAATCGGTGGATGCGGTTTCCGACTTCCATCTGCTATGCTTCTTGCACGGTATGGGGGTATTCAGCAAGGTAAGTGAATCCTAACGAGAGGCGACGTTTCTTTAACCATGATTGCAGGAAGAAGAACAGATTCTCTGTCGAGTGGCGACTACGCGTGACCAGGTGGACGCGATCCATTTGACCGAATCACCCGGATGGGGAACCCTGTTGGCGATACTCGAAACTTATGGTGAGCGGCCCTTGAAGCGTCCATGGCGTTTGCAGGCGGAGGATGAATCTCTCAACCCTGGCAGCCCGTCAGAAAATCTGGCTAAGCGATTCAAACAGGCGGCTAGTCTCGACCGCTGAGGACACCCTTTAGGGGCCCGAGGCCGACGAAATTTTAACCGATTGTGTCTCAATTCCAGCAGTCGTCTTGTGCATAGCGGACGCGGGGAGTTACCCAGGTACCTGTCAATGACCCTTTACAATTGGAGCTGCATAGCATGGGGTTGGATTTGTACATTAAACCATTACGAGGATATGCCGGGACCAGTGGGCGATGTGAATGACAAGCGTCCGAGCGCCGGTGGAGAAATATGTCAATCTGGGAATCACTGCCCGAGGAGATGATGCCCGTTTTGGATCGACATGCAGCAGTCTAGAGGCAGAGCCAAAGAAACATACGAATGGGCTAGAGGGAGATGGCTCCTCTGCACTGATCGACAAAAGTCGAGTCGATGATCGACAGAAGGCCGGGCCCCAGATGAAGTGACCACACAGACATAGCCTGGGTGGCAGGCTCCAGTGGGAGCCAGCGTCGTACACAGTACGCAGTAGGCTGCTGTTCCCTTGATATCATAGTCAGCTGCGCCATGGATCGATTACCCTGAGAGAGTGGTCGTGAATGTGTATCCACCACCAATGAGTCTTTTTTCTGTCTCGCTGCACCCAGTGACGTGTACAATGATGATGAGGAGGGCTGACGAAGTGGTGGAGGCCAAGAAAGTAAAACAGTGATCATCTGCCTTTCTGCTTTGCTGGAGAAGAAAGACTGTGGTACGACAAATGATGGGCGGCTTCTAGAAGGCTGATGGAAGCCTGAGAGGGTCATGGAGGAGGGGGGAGACGCCAAACGACCAGCCTCCCGTGTGCCTGGATGAGGGCACTAGGGTGGCTGTGGTTGCACATCGGTCCCTGAAGAGAAGCAGAGACGGTCACTGACAGCTACGGAAGGTAAGGTCGATGATGGGAGGGGACGATGAGACGAAGACCGGTTGCCTTCTGTCTTCACACCGCATACCAGTCAGTAGGCTGATAGGGATCGTGACGAGAGGAGCACGGGTCACTTGCCCTAAGGATGATTAGGTAGGTCACAGAGAGGAGGGTGAGCATTGGGCCCTCGCAGACCCCTAACTCTACTTAGAAGGGCCTGCCGTTTGGCTCCCACCCGCCAGCCCATTGGCTGTCGAGGGGCCCAGAGTGGCTTTCCTGGCCCCTATTGGCCCTCGTAGGCATGCATTGGCCTGCTCCGCACTTCATGCACCTTCGCTCGCGCTTCTCTTCGGCTTCCCTTGCGCTTCCTTTTTCCTTCCATCCCAGATCCACCCCCATTGCCAGGCCCAATTGTGCTCTGTGCTTTGTGCCACAGGGCCAACTAATCCTTGGGGGGTTCGCCCTAGACCTGTGAGGGCTCGGCCCTTTCGATTTCAACCTCTGTCGCCCCCAGCGCAAGCCAACTCGCAAGTGTCAACCACTGCGACACTGTCACCACTGTTACTACCACTTACCCTGACCTCCGGCGACTCAAGCCCGATCCTCTCTCTCCGTTTGCCTGCACAACATCACTTCTTCCAGTTCTGTGCTCATTTATTCGATCGGATCAGCAGCAGGTCCCTCTCACCACCTCATCGGAGAGCTGTCTGTGTTTCGCCCGTCTGCAGCTTCAGTCACCCTTCCCCGGCGGCACCTGCGACTACCCGGAGACTCGAAAAACTTGACAGCTGCGACCTGCCACCCACTCGCAGCTTGCCTCGCCATCCTCCCCCCCATCCACGCTCCCCGAAATCTCGACGGTATTGAATCGGCGCAGTCTGAGCGTGTTCGCCTCGTCTCATACTGGGCCTGGCCGCCTCGTCGAGCTCTTGAGACGGCGTCTCTTTTCACCGACTGCAGGTGAAAAAGAGCCCTTTACTCGCCCGCTCGTTCGAGGACCGCCGTCCTCGCGCAATGGGCCCGCAATAAGTGTGTACATTGCTCGTCGAGTTTCCTGTCGGCTCTATTGTAAATTTGTCCAGAGTTCCATAACCTCACCAAAGGAGGAAATCGCAAAAATATCGAGGTCTCACAAATCGTCCCGACGGCCGTTTGATCGCATTATGGGCCCGTAGAGGCTCTTGACGCGACGGTCTTTTCCTTCTTGCTATCTCAACCACCACTGGCGCCATGGACCCTTCCGCCTGTCGAGTGATATACATTGACGAAAGATTCAACACAGAAAGATGGATCTCCAGAGAGGGGCTGTCTCCTAGCACGCCCGCAAGAGCAGGTTCGCAGGTGGAATTCTCGGACCTGCCCCTCGACTTGCAAACCAATGTCAATGCCTTTCTGACCGTGTTCAACCAAGGTAAGCAGAGCTGCCGCTGCTTCAAGCTCCACCGTCGGCTGACGTCGAATTATCCAGTGTACGTATGTAGCTCTGGGAGGGCGTTCTCCACAAAGCTGTCCGAACTTCACGACCAGGTCAAGCTCGATTGTACTCCGATCCTCGCCTGTTTCGACGTCGGCTCCGAGTCAAAGCATGAGCACACAAAAGCAAGACCTAGATTCTTTCCATCCTCCGACTCTCCATTGCCGTCCCCGAGCTTGCTCAGGAAGGAGATCACCTTCTCCTCCGAGTCCGACGAGTCGTACGGCCTTCAACTTCTATCCCGCATAGCATCCGACCTACAGGTTGACGAGGGTGCCAAGCTGATAATACCGGTGGCGATTGTCCAACCGAAACGGGATGATTCTCATGACCACGCTGTGGATACGGAGCCCCAACCCGAGGTGTCTCGGGCACCATTTGGCCCTGAATCCAAACCTGTTGCGATCGAAGACAAGTCCGATATCATCGATGCTCAGTTAATGCTACAATGTCTGGATGCTGGCGCGCTTGACGTTGTAAAGAGCCCACTGGACAAAGCCGGGATCATGGGTCTCACAGTCCACGCGTACCGAATATACAAGAATGCGAAAAAGGAACAAGCAGGCTTCATGGCCATGGCTCGGAGGAATCGCAAGCAGTCATGGGTCGGCATGGAAGAAGAGAAACCCTATGCTTATCTTCGCGAAGCCATGGTGAAGAAACTGCTCAAGGGGATCTGCGAGCCGCAAAATATCATCGAAGATTACCAGCATCGTGACTTATATGTGCAAGAGTCGCGGAAGGAGGTTGTGGCAGAAGCTGTCGGCCGCTGGGACTTTTCTGGCCATGACTTTACGGAGGATGAACTCGTCTATGCTGGCTATTTCATTCTGAACCACTGTCTGCAAATGGAAGAGTGTGCGCAATGGAGCATGAACCAACGTGAGTACCTGCCGTCAACTGATGTCGTTGCGGCTCGCTTACCTGCGAAACAGGCGACCTCCTTCATTTCATGCAAGGCTGCCGCGTAGCCTACAACTCCTTCGTCCTCTATCACAACTTCAGGCACGCCGTCGACGTCTTGCAATCTGTGTTCTACTTCCTCCTTCAGATTGGCACGTTACCGCCATACCCTGCCGGTGCCGAACCATCCCCGTTCGCAGACAAGAAATCGCCAATAGCCCGTCTCTTAGGACCTTTTGAAGCGCTGACCCTGCTGGTCTCAGCCATTGGTCACGACGTCGGCCACCCTGGTGTCAACAACATGTTTCTGGTCAAACTGAACGCACCTCTAGCACAACTGTACAACGACCAGTCGGTTCTGGAAGCCTTCCACTGTGCGGCTTACTCTCAGATCCTCCGGCGCCACTGGCACATTGCATTCCAGGACAAAGCCCTCCGGAAACTGATGATCAGTACCATTCTCGCCACGGACATGGGTATCCATTCCGACTACATGCAGCAACTGGGCAACTTACAAGAGAAGATTCACGAGAGCGGAGCGACCGATGGGTGGTCCCCGAAGGACATTGATTGGGCACGGACTCTGGCTTGTGGGTTGTTGATTAAATGCGCTGACATCAGCAATGTGGTATGTCGCATCACCCAGCTCCTAACCCATTCCTCTTGCTCACAGTAACAGGCGCGACCGTGGTTGGTGGCCGAAAAATGGACCCATCTGCTGCAGAAAGAGTTTGCGCATCAGGGAGAGATGGAGCAAGCCGTTGGAATGGAGACGACACTCTTTGGTGGTCCGCCCGAGCTGGGCAATATGCTGAAGCTTGCTAATGGCCAGATTGGCTTCATGACCATCTTTGCACATCCGCTTTTTGCAAATGTCGCTGACATCATTCCGGCCATGCGGTTTGCTGCCGATGAGATTCTCACCAACAAGGGTGTTTGGTTTACACGGGCTGAGCACGAGAAGAAACTGCTGCTCGTGAGGAGAGGAACGGGGCTTGGTGACGGTGGCTCAATCAGTCCCAGGACTCAAAGTCCTGTCGGCCGAACGCAGGATCATGGGAAGGAGAAGCACCTGCCGACATCTCCGCTCCGAGGTCTGGACCACTCGCCAGAGAGGCCAGCCTCTGACTCTGTGCGTGGCCGGAAGAGTAGTAACACTCCTCCGCATGACGGCTCTCATGGATCGTCATTGGCAGCTGCTGCAGGCGTAGCCGTTCCGGGCGCCGATACGACAACCGGTCGACGCTCAACCCCGGAGTCCAGGCAGAATTTGACGGTGTCTGATCGGGAGCGCTCGGGCTCAGCCCTCGTCAACGGCGAGCATATTCCGGTGGAGCTTACGCTGGATGGCTCTCATGGCGGAGAGATGAATAACGATACTACCTCCAGCAGCACTCCGCGATTAGCGGTATCAACGAGTGACACTGCAGAGTCTTTACAACCTCTCCATGACACAAGAAGAGACACCGCGGTGTCCATGCGCGCAGGAACAGAGGCCATTCCAGAAGAAGCTCTGGAAGGAAATAACGCCTCAGAAGCCGAAGCCATGCATAAATTCAATTTTGCGACCTCAAAGAAAGATGAGCCAGTACGAACCTACGATCCGCAACAGCTGTACAATCCTTCACATCCCGGTCTACGGGCGAGCGCGCCAGCAAGTGACGTCGCGTCGAAGTCACCGAAGATCGGCACATCACCACCCACGAGGTCGCCTCAGAGCGACAGTGTGGCGAGCGGTGGACAGAGGGGCGGTGGTGGCGGTGAGGGGCACACGTTGACCCCCAGTGGGAGCACTGAGGCTACCAGCTACACCTCAGACAAAAGCGAAGAACTGACGAGACTTCGAAACAGTCTTCAGGCTATACGCAACCGGGCAGTAAGTGCACCGATGCACTCAGGAAGTCCGGTACTGAGACCCAGTTTTAGCATGGGCAGTAATAGCGCCACCAGCAGAGAAAGCAGCAAATACGACATCCACACGACCATTCTGAGCAACGGAGACGTGGAAGATACCAGTGCGAAAGACAGAAAAGCCAGTACCAAGACCATGGGCAGGAGACGGAGCCGACTCAAGCTGGGGCTCGCATTCTGGAAGAGGAACCGCAGCGAGAAGAGCATCGAAGGTGACAACTTGCGGCCGGATAGTCAGGGGAGCGGAGGGGCAGGGTGAGAGCGAGCTTTAATTTACGACGTTGTGAATGGCATTTATCTGGATCTTCAGACCTAGGGTTGGGCGGCACTGTCTATCAAAACACGGGGGAGGGCTGTTGAAGATATTGGGAGTTTGGGGTCGATGAGTTCCGAGCTGTTTTGTTCTCGGAGGGCTTTTGGTTGGCACATATTTGGAGCTGGATTCACGAACGCGATGGACGATTCAGAGCACGAAGGAGGAATGCGCACGGCCGCTTCTTATGATGTAACTCATGGGAAGGAAAACAACGGGTTGACAAGCATGAAGGCATGGGGGTACGAAAAGACGCAGGGAGGGCCAGCGATGAGCGCTGAGCCGAGACGAAGCTGGGCGATCTGAAGCAGACTATACCATAGGGGTATAGATATAGTGTACGATGATCAAGTTGTCGGGTTATAAAATGACGAATTGACACAGATAGACAGGCCCTCCTCTCGTCTCAAGCAGGAATAATCTATATACAGGCACAAGCTGACCTCGATTCTTTCCAAGACCGGGAACAGACAATGCGCTTGCATACCCGTCGTGATCTGGAAGTGATTGCTCCCCGTATGCTCAGTACATCCAGATTGCACTGCATCCTCACCTGACATGACGACGAGGAGAAGAAGAGCGGACTCGAGGTCACCTTCTCAGCGAAGAGCACTCTTGAACTGCTTCAAAAGGGCGCTCTCAGGCCGACGCCACGCGGAATCAACACCACCACCACCACCTTTCCCAGGCTTCCCTTCATTTCTCGTCGGCTTGCCCTCTCTTGTTACCAGGGTGCTGCCTGCCTTGCCGCTAGTACCGGGCACGTCGTCCACCACGGAGATGACGACGACGCTGGGGCAGGGATCATCTGTCTCCTCCACCTTGCCAATGTCCCACTCCCGCTGTTCGCCCTTCTTGCGCCACTTGACGTCGCGAACGTCGCCGTCGTGGTTGGGAGGTCCTCCGGCCAGGAGGGTCGAGGAGGCCGGGGAGGATGAGGATTTCTCCCACCGCTTGATCTCCTCGTCGGTGAAGCCCGCGTCTTTCATGCGCTCGGCCTGCTTGGCGCGCCAGGCCCGCCGGTCGCGCAGCGCCGAGAGGGCGGACGTCCATTCGTCATCGAGGGCGCCTCCTCCTTCTCGTTCTCCGCCCTCCTGGTCCGAGTCCAGGCCGCCATGGCCGTGCGGCGTGGAGGGGTCGTAGGTCGGGGAGAAGTGGGCGTCGATGTTGGAGCGCGACTGGTGCGACAGGTGTAGGTGTTGGTGTTGGAAACCGCGGCCACGGCGCTGCGGGGCCTGCTCATCGGCGGATGTTGGGCGGGGGCCGATCAGCGAGGCGAGAGGGTCGGAGGAGGTGGAGGATATCGAGGGCGTGCGAGTGCGAGCGCGATGGCGAGTCCTGGCATGTTTCTGCAGTCCTGGATTCGTGTCGCTGGGTGAAGAATGCCAGTGGGACTTTCGGTCGTGTCTGTGCGACGATTGCCTGTCTCTTCTACGACCCTCTTCGTTCTGCTCGCTTTGGTCCCTGCTTCGTGAACGAGATCTACTCCGGCGCGAGGAGGTGTTGTGACGAGATCGTTTACGGTCCCGTTCTTCGTCAGATTCGTCACCCTCGTCCCGGTGTCGCCGTCGCCGCCGTCGCCGCCGCCTATACTCGTCGTCTTGCTCCGTCCGCCGCTCAGGGCTCCGGCTACGTCTAGATATTCGGACTGTGTCCCGTTTGTCTCTCCGGGATCCCTTTGCGTCGTCAGTGTCATCACTCAATCGTCGTCTCTTCCGCTCCCGCTCGTGACCTTCTTCACTGTCCTCCTCCCGCCTACTGTTTCTGTTGACTCGCTCAGCGTCTCTGATCTTCCGCAGACGATTTCTCGCCTCGAATTCCTCCTTCTCCTTCAACTTCGCATTGTGGCTATCGGCTTCGCGGACCAGGGTTTTCAGGAAGCGCGTGTTCGGTTTCGGCGCCGACCCCGTCGGTCTTTTGGGCAGCAGGGCGGACAGGCCCTGGGACGCATAGCGCATCGAACTTTTCCTGGCATCCTCGACGAGGAGTTTAGCCACGTAGTCGTCGTCGTTGTCGTCAAGGTCTCCTGGAAGCGGCATGGTTCATTACCAGTCCTGCAATGTATCTTAGCAGACGACAATGTATGGCGGAGTGTCGAGCATTCTACTTACCTTGGGAGAATAAAAATGGAGTCCTGTAGACACAAGTGCGGGCACTGAAATCTTGAGCCTACGAGCCACGTGCTAACCCACACTCGGTACACTTTCCTCCTTGGAAACGCCGCAGCTTCGTCCTTCACCTCCGTGAGATGCAGGCGACTCCGGTTGCAATGTAAAAAGAAACCCCTCAGGAATCAGGAAATTGATCATCCACGCCATTTCCTGAGACCTGAGACCTCCAAATCGGTATGTGGTCCTGGCTTACACGTTTCATCAGGGTAGATCCCCTCCCCAACACCGGCTCCGTGGCTCGCGATCTCCTTGCCTCCGAGAGAACATTCCTTGCCTGGGCCCGGACCGGCCTCGGGTTCATTGCGCTGGGTGTCGCTCTCGAGAAAGTGGAAGCCCTCGCGGCTCTGTCTCCGACCCTGCTGCACCTGTCGGACTCAAGAACCAAGATTGCGGCGGGCGTCCTCGTCGCGAGCGGGAGCTTATGCGTCGGCCACGGAACCCTGCGCTACTTCTCGACTCTCCGCCATATACAAGAAGGGAAGTTCAGGCCTAACACCGGCGGGGTGAGTCTTATGGCCGTAACTTGCATTGGGATCGCCGTGGCGGGGAGTATTCTGGTCATCGAGAACGAGGCAGAAAAGACGAAAGAGCAGGAAAAACAGAAGCAGAAGATTTGACGCAATGCAATGCAGTTCAGCCTTGTCTTGTCTTCACGGTGGTCTATAGCTCAGCCCACGCCCGAGTCTATCGGTCTAGTTGTCTATCGACACACTGTCACTTATACACTTCTGACGCTGCCGACGATCTACCCTGAGTAGATCTCTGACGTGCAGCTGTCTATAGCTCAGCCCACGCCCGAGTCTATCGGTCTAGTTGTCTATCGACACATGATGGGAGGAAAGGCCACTCACTCCACTCTCCACATCCGCCAGCCAACTATGCTGCAGTGGTGCCATACGGCCTGGCTTGGGCAGACTCGATGTCGACGTATCCATAGTTGCTGGCGTCGCCCGAAGCCATTTTCTGAGCCCAGGCACCCATATCTTTCATGAAGGCGTCGACGTTTTCTTGCACCGACATGTCGATCGGCTCTTGGCCTCTCCCAACTTGCTTCATCTGTGAGCCGGCAATGACGGTGTGGAGACCAAAGTTGTCCTGATCGACCTTCTGATTGATGGCCCCGACGATCTTGCCCTCCAGCAGGTCTTTGCCCATATGGAACTCCTGGCACGCCGGTCGACCCAGTCCGACGCCATCGACCGTCTTCAATGCGTTGACCATACCGTCCAGGGTTCGGAAGCCGCCGGTGACATACGTCTTGGTTTTCTTCAGCCCGGGAGCGATCTTTTCGGCAAACTCGAGGAAAAAAGCTTCCCTCTTCCTGGTCGACTCCCGTTTGTGGACAAATGCGAGGGACTGATACGTACCACCCGACAGCTCCACGAAATCGAACTCGTTCTGCTCGAGCAGCACGCAAAGTTCTTTCGCTTCGTCGGCGGTGAATCCGCCCTCCTGGAATTCGACAGAGTTGATCTTGATTCCCAGCACGAAGCCCGACGAGGCGGGCAGCTTCTTGCGAATGGACTGTGCGATCTCGAGGATGAGCCTCGCACGGTTTTGCAAAGAGCCACCGTATTGGTCGGTTCTCTTGTTGGTCGTCTGACTGAGAAATTGGGCCAAGAGGTAGCCGTGAGCACCATCTAGACGTGTCGTGAGCACTTGCAAAGATTTCAGGGGTCATCAGGAGACTTACGAAGTTGGATTCCATCGTAGCCCGCCTTGGCTAGATACTCGGCAGCATGGGTGAAACGGTTGATGATGTCCTTGATATCTTCCTGCGTGGCGGCACGGGGCTTCGCGAATCTCATGCCCATGACTTCTCCTTCCAGTTGAACATCGCTGGCTGAGATGGGATTGGGCTCGAGTCTCTGTTCGACTTGACGGCCCGGATGGCTGACCTGGCCCACGATCAGACTTCCGTGAGCTTTCCCTTGGCTGGCGAGTTCCTTGAATGCCTCGAAGCGGGCTCCCTCGAAGGGGGCTCCTGGCGGAATGATGGGGTTTCCCGCTGGCCAGGAGGGTTAGTTTTCTGCTGTTCTGGTACAGGAGAGAGCACACATACGAGCTTCCAAACTCTTATAGTCGACCATGATATTCCCCGTCAGAATCACCCCGAACCCGCCTTCCCCCCAGCGCTGGTAGACCCGGATGAGTTCCTGGGACGGTACGCCCCGTTTCTCCAGGTTGACCGGGTCCCACGACGACAGACGCTCGGTCATGGCGGCCTTGAGGAATCGGTTGGGGGCGGTCTTGCCGCTGAACTCGAACTTCAAGGGCTGGCCCAGCGGCGAGGCGTCTTTGATCTCGGAGGGAAATCTGGCAGGCATTGCGAGAGAGGGAAGTTGAAGTGACGGTTCTAGCTGAGGAGGCCCGTAGTGGAATAGACAATGAGGAGAGTTTCAATGTTGTCTTGATGAACGAAATGGGATGTATAAAGATGACTCTCTCTCTTTCTGTATCTCTAGGGTATAATATCTCCAAGGTAACTTTATCTTTCTGTCTTTCTGTCTTTTTGTCTTTCTATCTTTCTATGTCTTGATTGACTTTGACTGACAGTTGGTTCGGGAACGGGAAGGAAGTCTCGAGAAATAGAGAGAGAAGTAGATATACTTCCGTAGCTTTATATCGTCTGTCCATTTGCCGGCCCAAAGACAAGAACAGATCAGGCCCGACCGAGGAAACACCTCTCTCCCCACCCACCCACTATTACTACTTAGTAACTACTACTCCTGTTCGAGAATCATCTGCGGACATGATGGCCGGAGTTAATGGCATTTTTGTGGTTATCGAATTCTTAATAATTGGTTCTCGGAGGATACAGGACGATGGGCGGGGCGCTCAAGGAAGAATTGCCATACCCATCCATAGGTACCGTAAAGGAAAAAAAACACCCCGGCCGTCCTCACGTCATGGATCCAATGATGAGAACTCCACCAGGTGCCACTGTATGTGTGTATGTTGTATGTCTGCCTGAGTGGCTCACCAGTGGCTCACTCGGACTGACAACATGTGCCGAGCGGACGAAATCTCTACCTCGTACAGTATACCACTTCACTCCCTCCGCCATGCCTTTTCGTCCGTTGATGCGCCTCTTCCTTTCGATGAATGAATGAATGAATGAATCATTGATTCGGGGATGTTTGTTTTTATCTCTTTGCTTTCTCCCTTCCCCTTTCCACACTAGTTAATTAATTATGCCTTTCCTCGTTTATACTCGCTCTTTGCTCACTCCCCTCTTCTTGTCTTGCACCGGCCTGCTTTGCAAGGGGGCCGGCGAGACTGAGTCCCGAATCAAAGTGGATGATGAATCAGACGAGAGACAGACAAACAGACAGACAATACCGTAAATAATACCGGCATTCACGGTTCCCAGCAGCCAAGGGGAAAGTAGGCAGTGAGGTGACGGAAATTCAATGCCGGGCGGGATATACGAATTGTGCCTGGTAATTACTCATCATTCACACCACCAGCACAAGCACAAGCACCAGCACCAACCCCAGCATGATGTATTGACCTACATCCGACATAATGATCAATAATGGAGGTAATTGGAAATTAGTATTATTCTGCCACCGAAGGCTGAACGGCGAAATACAAGATGCCGTCCCAGTGCCGCCGTCTGCGGTGATGGTAATTAGTGGGTGTTGGTTGCCTTGGATGGGCTGGCTGGGCTGGGCTCCTCGGAACGACTTTATTATTACATCGACAAATATGGGACCGATCTCCGTGCTATCATATATATTATTATTATTATTACCACTACTACTACATCCTCACGCTGTGTGAGGCGGCACAGATCAAATGGTTCCGTTGCCATTGCCACCATTTGCGCATTTTGTGTTCGACGTCTGTGGATCCTGCGAGATCTCTCTCTCTCTCTCTCTCTCTCTCCCAGGAGTGTGGAGCAGTGAGGAGAAGAAGGAGGTGTCAGGTCTACATTTGCCATCGAGGAACACGCCGTCGTCATGGTGTGACAAGAGCAGGAGAGGAGGTTGGGGTCGTAGCATGTCGCCAGCCAGCGGCATCGTACCGCTGTAACGGCTGGACTGGCGACGCTTCTTGGGGACAATGGACTGACTGAGGTGGTTTGAGATCCTGGCAGCCTCGGCCTCAAATGACGGGAGGGAGAATATGAGTGAGCAGCGTATGGCCTGTAAAGATAAAAGAGAGAGTGCATGTGAAACAACGAACGAGCCAGCCTCATCAGAGGTGCACTGTCTTTCAATTTGATGTGGCCCCCAAAACAGGTCGCAAAGAGCTTTCAATATCCTGTCAAGTTACTGTCCAAGCGTCCATTGCTCACAACTTGTCATTCTTGTGGACAATCTTGCTGTCCCTTCCAAAATGTCTCTCTACCTCCGGCAGCGTGCTGCTGCCATCGGAGAACTCCAGCTTGTCAATCCACACCTTCGCCTGCTCGAAAAACGACATCTGGATCATGTTTTGAAGCGACGAACGCAGGATGATCATTTCAACCCCCTTCCATTTGCTGGGGACGCGGTGGATGGCGGATTTGGCGGCGGACCCCATGGCGGCACCGAGGCCCTGACTGGGCGTGGAAGAAGGATGCGAAGAGCTCACGAGGTTGTTTTGCGCGCGGGTCTTCATCGTGTCCAGCGGGTAAGTCTAGTAGGTCTTGTGTCAGAATTTAGGAGACCGAAAGTTGAAAGCCCAAAACAGACAACATACCACAACCCAAGCGCCAATACCACAAATAGCTCCTGCCATCGCAATCGCGCCCGCAGAATTGGCCTTCTCAGCCCCGTAGTACGAGTTGAGTGATTGCTTCGTGGTCTCATAGACCCCGAAGTAGATGCCGCTGCCGATGACATCCCGAACCAAATGTAAGCGAAACCCGGTCCAGAGACCCAGAGGACCCTGTCGGGCGATGATTCGCTTCATGGACGTCCAGGAACTGACACGGCCGACGTTTTTGGGGCCAGCTGGCGTTGGAGATGCCGAGGTGTGATCAGTCTGAGAGGCCATGAGGACGGATGTTTGCGTGGCATTCTTGATGAGTTCGACCGGAGCTGTAAAAAGGGTCAGAATTTGTTTAGCCTCAAAAGGTTCCCGGACAGGAAAATGCATACTCAAAGCGACGGCGGTGACGGCACCCGAGACCATTCCCGCTCCAGTAAAGCATGTCATGGTGTAGATGTCCGGATAAGTGCCAGGCTTGTTGACGTGTTGGAGAGGAGATCGACCGGTGGCCGCCTCGATCCAGCCGTCAAATGTGTACTTTGCTTTCCGATAGATGGAGAATCCGAGGGCGCGTGAGAAGGTGATGGAGACCAAGGGATTGAATGTGCCTGATCGTATCAGTTTCTGCGTCCTGTCTCCCACAGGTCTTGCTCTTACCAGCCCAGAATCCACGAATGCCTTCGGTTCGGTATGTGTATTTGGTGGCTTCCAGCGCATTGGCAAAATGACGCCTGGTCGCTGTTATTAGCACGACTTCCACCCACCCAGCTCGGATTGCGTCGCTTACGATTGCATTCGAACTTTGACATTTTCAAGAGGAGCCTGGAGACTTGTCAAATGGGGTGTTCAACGCGGTCATTTCCAGGCCACTCACCCCTGCCACCACGGCCAAGGCGCATGCGGGAGCGGACGAGAGAACCTGTCTGTACTTTTTCGTGTAGTAGATTCGAGTATCGGTCGAGCTCCAGCCGGTGTCTAGCTTCGAATGGGAAGCCATAGCTATCGGTGGTTGCGATGACTTGGATGGAAGTTTGGAAGTTGAATCGTGAACGAGGGGCGAGGTATCTTCGGTGGTTTTGCTGGCATGATTCATCGCCCCGGCGATGGTGGTCGTTTACTGACCACAGGACAGGCAGAAAAATGGACGTAGGTGTGACTTTTCTTTCTCCTGTCGCGGGACGCTGGCGAGCACAATATTATTTTTTCACCACTGCCCTGTCCCAGTCCTGCTCGCCTACACGCACAAATGGGCTGCGGAGCCCGATGGAACGCAAGATAGATCTCTCAATCGCTGTGACTGAGAAGATCCCTCTGCGTTCCACACTCCATCACAGGCCCGGGGTTGTTCAAACTCTTTCTCCCTCGCAACAATGCTGACGGGGGGGGTTTCTGTCAGAGCACAAGACCACTTCCTGGAAACGGCACCGAAGCGTTCAGGAGGGAAATGGCGTGCTGTGACAGTCGAACAGGAGGTAGCTCCTTTGTCAATTGAACAAACAGACTAGGGGACGGGATCTTCGTGAGGTCAGGGGGGCGACAACTGCGGGAAGCGGACGATGCTGCAGACGGCGATCCTAAGAGGGGCAGACAAAAAGTCTTGACCTCACTGCCCAGGATGGAAGAGCTGGAAGCTTGTTGTCGGGGTCGAGAGCATGTGTCAACAGGTAAGAGCACAAAAGAGAGAGATAGAGAGAGACAGAGAAAGAGGAGAACAAAGCAACTTCTAGAGCATCAAGGGCCGAGCAAGAATGAGAAATGCCATGCCATGTGCAATGAGCCTGGCTGCACACAAGAGGTGTCAACTGGCAGCGTGTGGGCATTGGGCATTTTTTGGTAAGGGATGAATGCATCAGGCCGTGGGCTCGCTATTGGAGCGAGAGCCATGGGTGGGGGTAGCTAACCGTGTGTCTGCCAATGGGCGCACTAGGTCATCTCCAGGCCCAGAGCGTGACGTCGAATGCTGTCCAGGCGTGGCCTAATTGGACCTGTTAGGCATCAGACCCAAAGCTTGGTTCGTCATCTGGGCGGTCATGATTCGCATGTCGATTGACCGTTTCCAATCACACCATGCATTTTGTCTGGGGTCAAGAAAAGAGCGGAAGAAAGAGAGGGGGGGAAGGGGATGCAGGGACCAGAGACGAGACAGACGAGAAGAGACGGTGAGCCAAGAACAGATCCCACCCTGAGGGGAGCACGGCAGTCGGGGGTATATTAATCCTCCGCCCGGAAAAACATAGCGGCGACAGCGACAGCGAGCTAGGCACCACCAGTGCCTGAGAGTCAGTGCCTAGGCAGTGAGTCTAGGCACCCGAAGAGTACTCTGTACAAAAGACCCCGCAATGACTGTGGACTGCCCGCCTTATCGGTCCACGGCCATCACTGCCGAGGTCCCTTTATCAAAAAATGCCGAAGACGAAACGAGGCTATAACCAGCATTTCACCAACAGTACAGACTATTTTTTTTTCCCCTTGGATCACAAAACATTGAATCTATATCTTACCCGGCTGTCTCCTTCTCATCCTCGTCCTGGTTGTCCCTGCGCCACATACCTGTCCTCGTCAGTCCATCCATCCAGTTGACACCCCCGTCTCACCACACACGATGCCTCGCAAACCATCTCCCGTCTACGTGCTCGGCGTGGGCATGACCAAGTTCATCAAGCCCCGTGGCAAGGTCGACTACCATGAGCTCGGGTTCGAGGCCGGTATCAAGGCCATGTTGGACGCCCAGATCAACTACGACGATGTCGACCAGGGCGTCGCTTGCTACTGCTACGGCGATTCCACCTGCGGCCAGCGCGTCTTCTACCAGTTCGGCATGACCCAGATCCCCATATACAACGTCAACAACAACTGCTCGACGGGCTCGACCGGTCTGAACATGGCCCGACAGGCCATTGCCTACGGCGCCGCAGATTGCGTGCTGGTCGTCGGCTTCGAGAAGATGTCCCCCGGAAGTCTGCAGGCATACTTCAACGACCGCGAGAACCCCACCTCGACCACCAACGCCATGATGAAGGCCACGCGAGGCGTCACCAATGCCCCTGGTGCCGCTCAGCTCTTTGGCAACGCCGGTCGCGAGTATATGGAGAAGTATGGTGCGAAGGCTGAAGACTTTGCCGAGATTGCCCGCGTCAACCATGAGCACAGCAAGAGGAACCCATACTCGCAATTCAAGGACGAATACACCCTGGAGCAGATTCTGAAGTCCCCCATGATCCACCCGCCCTTGACCAAGCTCCAGTGCTGCCCGACCTCGGACGGTGGCGCCGCCGTGGTGGTCGTTTCGCAAGATTTCCTCGACAAGCGACCGCACCTCAAGCCCCAAGCTGTCTTGATCGCCGGCCAATCGCTCGCCACCGACTCGCCAGACCTCTTCAACCGCTCCAGCATCGACCTCGTCGGCTACCAAATGTCCGTCTACGCCGGCAAACGCGCCATGGACGAGGCCGGCATCACCCCCAACGATGTCCAAGTCGTCGAGGTCCACGACTGCTTCAGCGCGAACGAGATGTGCGTGATCGACGCTTTGGGGTTGTGCCCCAAGGGTAAGGCCCACGAGCTCGTGAGGAACGGCGACATCACCTACGGAGGCAAATATGTCATCAACCCTTCGGGCGGTCTCATTTCCAAGGGTCACCCACTCGGTAAGCCGGCCCTTCCCACCCTTCTCCTTCCCCATTCCTTCTCCTCTCTACCATCACATCTTCGAAAATGCTAACAAATCACCAACAGGAGCCACCGGTCTAGCCCAATGCGCCGAGCTGACGTGGCACCTGCGCGGCTGGGCCAACAACCGCCTGGTCAAGGACACCAAGTACTGCCTGCAGCACAACCTGGGGCTGGGCGGCGCCGTGGTGGTGACGGTGTACAAGCGCGCCGACGGCCAGGTCGCCACGCCTGTGTCCGACGCCGAGGTCGCCCGCCTCACCGGCCTAGGCTACAACCCGGCCACCGAGGCCAAGGGCTTCACCGCCGAGCAGGTGCGCCGTACCGTCAGCCAGAAGCAGTTTTCCGACTGGGCCGTCCAGGACGTCCAGAGTAAAGTCCAGGCGCGGTTTTAAAGAAGAAGAAAGGAACAACAAAAGCAAGGCCGACTTATATAGTTAAGTTACTTGTTAGTTACTGCCTCCTGCTCTGCTCTGCTCTGCCCGTGTTACATACATAGGTTACCTCGCCGGATCAGAAGAGAAGAGGGACCCTCGCCGGGCATGTCCTTCCTGCCTGCCCTTTTCCTCAAGGAGGGGGTGGTGTTTTGTGTATAGAACGAACGAAAGCAATGCAGCATGCATTCATGGACATTTTCACAGTTGAAATCAGAAATTAACTCGGTGCTCTCTCCCTTCTCCATCGTTTGCGTCCCAGAACCTGCCTGTATTACGTGATCTATTTTATCACATTCCCATTTCTGGCCTCCAGCACCAAGAACCAGAATTGACCATACGTCTCGAAGCTGAGCACAATGCCAACGTGCAAAGGTCAAGGTTTCCAGAAAAAGAAAAGGCGGAGAGAGAAAGGGAGAGGTCCCAAACGACACCGTTTCAAAGGGGACTGGACTCGCCCGTCTTGCAATCATTGTGTCTCAACACAGCTCTCGCATACATACATGCATTCCTGCAGGTAAAAAAAAGGGATGGGGGGAAAGGGGGTATCATGTTCTATCATCCTTCTCAGAAGCTCCCGTACCACACACAGACAGCGCCCTGCAAGGAAAAAGAAGAGAAAAAAAACTCCACGCATAATAATCATGTACTCGGGTTTGAAAAAAGAAAACCTCCAACCCGCATCAATAGGTATCAATAGGTATCGACCTGCCGCCGTGAAAAAGCATCCGTCGTCTCATGAACTTGGACTGTTTTGTTCCATCCTCGCTCGCTCGCGTGTCTCACCGCTGCTATCGTGCTGTTTTCTCGTTCCGAATACGAATCATGCAAGCACACCGCCGTAACTCATTCGACCATTCTTCCTCTCTCTCTTTCTCTCATTTCTCGCCCGGGGGCGATGTCGTCGTCTTGTCCTGGTCCTGGTCCTGGTCCTTCTCCAAAGCTGCTGTTGCTTCTTCCAGTGCAGAAGCACTTGTATACACGGTTCCACCCAGGCCATCGCGCTGCTCATCAGCCAGGGGACTCGTTGGGGCAGTGAACATTCCGGGTATGTTGCCGTTCTCATTCTCGGATTCGCCGACCTTCTCCATGCCTCGATCCCTCTCCTTGTCCTTTTCTTTCTCGCGCTCCTTCTCTCGGTAACCACCAATGCTCCCGCTCAGACTGTCATTTCGCCCATGACTCGCACCGGCGCCCAGGAGATTGCTCCTCACACTCGCATTGTCGCCGCCGTATTTGCTCCCAATGTAGCTATTCCGCTCGCTCGCCAGCGCCGGGGCGGTCACTCCACTGGCCGAGATCAGACTGGAGCGTTCGGCGTTCAAATTTGAACGCGTCGTGTGCGCCGTATCTCCACGCAGAGACGCCGTGTCCGTCGCGGCAGATGTAGGGTGAATGACCGTGCCGGAGAGCACAGACAAAGGAAGAGACTCGCGACTGCCCCCGAACATGGATGCCGGGGCGAGTGCTTTTATAGACGCATTGGTGTCGACCGAATTCCTTCGTCGGCGTTTCGATGAAGATGCCAGTGTGAGGATAGAGGCGTCGTCTGTCAGGACATTATTGGCTATGGCGGAGTGGTAGGTTGTCGGATGCGTGTGGGGAGCAAGATGCGCTGGGACGGCCGTTGCGGGTTGTCCACCGTAGTAAACGGGATTGCTTGTCGCAGTCGAGCTATGGGTGAGCATGGGAGTCCCACCGGGATTGTTGTAGTTGTTATTGTTGTTGTTGTTGTGGTGCTGCGACGGAGCGGCAATCGATTGCACCGTGGTCAGGGTTGTGGCCATGGACCGGATCGACGGCGCAGGGGAAGAAAATGTGCTGTCTCTGCCGCCATCGGTCTTTGTAGCTACCGTCGCACTTGTCCCTACTCCTGACGGGGCTGCATCTGACAGGGCCGTCTCTGCTTGTGTGGCCAAGGTAGGCGCTCTGGATTTGTTGCCGCCGGTCTGGCTGTCGTGGGAGATGGACACTGAGTGTTTGCTCTGAGAGTGGGACAGGGAGCTGTGTCTCGATCGTTGGGAGGTGGCCATGTGCGTGGAGAACGACAGGTGGCCATTTGTGGTATTACTGTGACTGTGAGGCTCGCTGAGGCGCGAGGAGAGAGGGTAGGGATTGTTTTTCGCGATGTTGCCCTTCTTGGACTTGATGGTCATGGGGAGGGTCGCGTAGCGCCGTGTACTTGGGCCACTCTCGGCGGTCGAGTCGGTATGCAGCGTCTTGAGACTGGCAAGTCGGCGCATCCAGGTGGTGAACGGTCGTCGGCGGCCATGTCGGTCTGGATGAGGTTGGAGTGAGCACGGTCTGAGTCGCAGAGGGTGAATTGCTTACCGTGAGGCCGAGGAGGCGCCTCCGTAGAAGCCATAGAAGAAAGATGCGACAGTCCGGCAATAGGTACGAGAGGACAGTCGCTAAATGCGGGCTCGCAGAGACTCTGAAGGTGCGCAGAAAGTGAGGCCGGTGGGAAGTGGGAGTGAGTGAGGTCAGGCTGCCAGGTTCCGAGTGGGCGCGTTGGCTGTATGTGTGTTGTACAAAGACAAAGAGAGAGATCTACCCGAACCCTCCGATAAGGACAGTCTCAACTAATATAATACACCACTGGACGAGAAAAGGAGATGCAGAATCAACATGCGGTTTTAGGGTCCCATTATTTGAAATGATCCGGGGATCTCGCTTCAAGAGCGTCGGCTGTTTCATTGCTCCGCCTCAATTCTCCACGTGGCACGACTCTAGCTCTACATAAAGTCGTCCTCGAAGAACGACGGGTCTCGGTCCTGGTTGCTCACCATGTTCTCCTCCCGCATCATGTCGTCGTACGCATGATCCTTCTGCCATCGGAGCTCTTCCCGTCGCTGTCTCTCGTCGCGATCTTTCGCCTTCTGCTCTTCCCGTGCCATCCTCTCTGCCTTGCGTTTCTCTCTCTGGTCTGCCTCCCGCTCCGCTCTCAGGTCTGGAAACCGCTCTTGTCGAGTCTTGTTCAGTCGGTTGACGATGGGGTTTTGTCTCACCGCCACGTGGACCTTCTTCACCATCTTGGGGTCGTGAAACGATACTTGACCGGTAGCCATCGAGGCGTCCTTTCGCAGATTCGACCAAGGCGTGTAGATGACTGTAATATTGTCTTTCTTGTTGCCTAGATCATGGTCAATGGATTTGATTGCTCGTGTTCCCGTGCTCCTTTTGGCCTCCTCCGCCTACCTTCAATCGAGTTGGCCTTGGTCAATTGCGCACAGTCTTCAAGCAACGCCTGGGGAATCGAGGTCCACGATTCACCAGGTTTTAATCGCAGGTAGACATGGGCACTCGAGAGGTTGTCAACGTGAAACTATCCAATATCAGAGATACGTGTCCCTGAGTCCAGCTAGATGTGACATTTACCCTTGCAGGAGTAAGTCTTCGTCGACCAAGGCCATATGGTTGGGAAGCCTCACCAAACATCCTCGTCCCAACCAAACTTGATTAGATCCTCATCTGTATCCACGGTCAGACATGTGTAGTTCGTGGCTGGTTGACGCAATGCACACTCTCAACCTTGTCCTTCCCGACGTAAATAAAGGCCGGGGGATCGACTACCGACGACTTGAAATAGTACACCATCCTGGCCTTCTTGGATGTGGACACAGATGGGCTTGGAATTGGTAGCAGATTGGAGGTCAAAGCGCCAGGCTCTCACGGAGTACGATCAGCCCAAGCTCTCTATCGAGAGTTCGCCAAGATGGAAGGTCGCAAAGGTTATTGACTCTGTTGTGAAGTTGAGGTCAATCAAATCACACGGTCCCCCTCGAGATTTCTTCTAGAAGCGAGGCGCACACTGCGACCGTCTGATTCTCCGTAATACGAGGAGTCCGGCGCAGCATTCTCCCCGTTGCGTTGTTGTCCTTTTCATGGGCTTCGCCCTTCAATTCAATCCGGGGCTGGGTCTTTGCAAACATGACCAGAGTCAGGTTTATTCAACGGATCGATTGCAGTCGAAGCGATTTACTCATGAGCGAAGCCATAAGGGGCGGCAATGCAGCTGATCAACATCCAACATGTCGACAGACGGCAAATATGGGGAGCAAGCCTCTGGGTTTGCCTCCCTCTCATTCTATGGACTTTGTGAGTGGCAGCCGTGAGAGTGTTGGCTACTAGCTGGCCTTCAATGTCGTTCTATCTCCGTCGACTTTGTTACGGCGGGAAGAGGGAACAGAGCCACACCAAGCTGCTTGAATCGCGTTGCGAAGCACAGAAGACCGTGTCACTAGGAGATTTGCAAGAAGCCGTTGACAGAGACCGCAAAATGACCCAATGACGCTGTTTTCAGCCAGTTCGACACGATGGAGGAGGAAGGAAAAGGTACGTTTTCCAACACTAGAAGTGGATTCACGTCACCACTTGCAGGTGGTTGTAGTCACCAGCACCCAGCAAGCCATGACCACCTATAAATCAGGTTCATCTCGTCGGTTCGGTGGAAAGGAAATTGGCCATCGTCAACGCTTGCGCAAGCCTTGTTGATCTCCCGTGATTCGAGCCCGTCGACATCAGTGCTTACCAACCTTTCGGAACTACTCCGCCAGTCACTGGGGAGATATGGGCTCATTGTACAAAATCGTGTACGGTCCGAGGGTTTGGACTGACAAAGATTCCATTTTCCTTGAGAGAAACCGGCACATTCGGTCTATGATTTGTGGCAGCATCCAAGGTCCAATACAACAAGAGAGGGCACCCAGCCCAGGCTGACAACCGATCCAGACGGGAATAACAGTGTATCAACCTGGCCGTGAGAGCGGACGGCGAGAATACTGAATCGTAGTTCCACTTTTGCGGTTGCGGTTGACGCTGTGCTGGGAGATGGATCCAACAGAGGTCTAGTCTGGTGCGGGTAGCGTGGATGGGGGAGTCTCGAAAAATCAGGTCCTTCGTCGGGACATCGTGTGAGGCTGGACAGTTCGAGCGATCTTTAAGCTTGTCTCCTCAGAGTCTCCTAGATTTCAAGTTATGGCCGTGCAACATCTCGCATTTTGTCCCAGATGGCTGAGCTTTGTGATGGGGAACTTCCTCTACTCGTAATGGCGATGGCGATTCCATAGTCCTAGGTAAGAACTGGCTAACCACGCGGATATCCTGTGAACAACCAGGGTGACGCAAAGAGTTGACTCCATGCAAGTCTCGCTGAAAGTAAAGTGGAAAGGTATATCAGCCTTGCCGCCGTCGCCAGAACAGCTCACAGATTGCAGTGCACTTCGCTGCTGTACATATCAATGGAGAAGCATCCTCATAATGAACGACTAAGCATTGAACGTCGATCCCGGTCCTCGATCAAAAGCAATCGTAGGGGGATCGGGCTTTTGAATCGGAAAAACGGCAAGGAAACTTCAGCTCCCCACCACTGCGAAGTGGTTTGTAAGCTCTTGATTGAAGGCAGAGATTGCGGAATATCGGCCCACAACGTGCAGAGCCATCTGATGACAATGCTCAGAGACGCCAGTAAGTCATGCGAGAAGCTGAAACCGCCATGGCTCCAGGCGAGCCAAGATCGCAAGATTCTCCATGCAGGGTTACTTCGTGGTACCAGTCGCATACCGTCCACTGTCACTTATGCTTCAATTACGAAGTTTTTTGGTCAAGTGTGTCTAGGCGCAGACGTGGATCTCACCTTGGATTGTCGCGAGGAACATGGACTCTGTCCAATGGTCCAATAGGATCGGCGAAGAAGAACTTTGGCGCTGGACCTGTGAAAGTATCAGCCAAGTCGTCGACGGAGACGACAATACTTAATGTCATGAGCCTATGCAACCGTGAGTCGAGTTCCCAGAATGGAATGAATAACGAAGCAGCTGAGTGGGTTTTGGCGTGGTTGGGAAACCCTTCAGGTAGAGATTAGGGTCCGAATTCAAGGTTTGGGGCCTGGACAGTTGGCTCTCCAGCAACAATATTTGTCATTTTGCAGAGTCTTCCCATCAGATGGTCGTGTTCTGTTTGCTTCAATCTGGGTTCAAGATGGTCCTACGTAGCTCCATGACCCAGTCAAACCCGAGCACCCCAGTCAGATCCCGTGTTAAGCTTTACCCCCGGCTATGACGGGCAACCCACGAAGGACGAGAGTTGTTGAAATGTCAGAGGCCCCAGCCGATCAAGCCAGTGGAGGTGGGGTGACGTCCCCAGGGGTGTCAACCACACGTACCTCGTACAGGACGATGAATGCATGACAGCTCGACGTCTGTGAGTGTGAGAGGGCGACTCGGGGGCTGACTTCTAGGCAGCCGGTTGGTCCTTGGCTCAAATTAGAAGTCCTTTGGCGTTGAATAGCATGAGGAAAACAAGAGCCCCCGCATCAACAGACGCAGATAGAGCCGCATAAGTCAAATATGGCAGGAGGTTGTTGTCCAATGGGTAGGTTGGTGACCAAAGCTCAGGAATGTGGCATGGTAACTTCAGATGGGGCAGCCGCTCGCAACCAGTAGCCTCCCCCTTGTTAGTCTAGTGAGCTAACTTAGTTGTTGGATAGACGGCAACGAGGAATATTACATCCTCTTCCACTGACCGGTTAAGGTAACAGACAGCAGCCTCCGTCGGCCTGTGCCAGCTGGGGATTGACTTTCAGCTCTGATCCATGAACTTAAGGCGTCTTCACGAGGTGTTGATTTCAACCGAACCTCGAACCAAATGAGTCCTTAGTCAGGTGCGAAAAGCTCTGAAGAAACCGACGGGCACCCGGATTTCCCCTAGGCACACACCCATGTCGTTGGGAGCCCCACGGCGTGCTCACTTTCCCAGTTTCCACTGCCGAAGACGGCGAATGGGAGAGATCCAAGCGTCTGATCCTCACCGGGTGAGCGTGCCGGGGCGCACGTTCTTGCCGTTCTGTCAGTGACGTCCCAGCTCGTATTGTCAGAGCGCCCTCGTGGCTGCGTTGCTGGCTTCTGCATATAGTTACACAAGGTCCGGCGTCCGCGATAGCCCCCCTTCTGCACAAATTGCTCTGGCCGTTGGGCCCGAGTGGTGTCCGGTCCTCCATGCCACTCCAAGACAGGCACGCCGAGAGGCCATCATTAGGACTCCTGGGTTGAGGAGTTGCCTATCCGTATTCCAGCACCCACCGGTTCGAACCCTCCAATCGGCTCGCCACACTAGAGAACTTTCTCATGGCCTGCTGCATCATTCCTGAATTTTGGATTCTGGAGAGAGTAGCAGATGGTGATGATAGATTCGGTTAGCCACCTGTTTTGCCTTGGTAAATCATACGATTGGGTGTGAGAGCATAGCCGGCAACTGCATTCTGGCGGAATCCCATGACTGAGTCGACACAATTCCTAGGGATCCGAAAACCTCGGAAGGCCGTGGGTCTCGAGGGTTCCCGGTTTTCCAATTCCGCCGTGAACATCCAAACTCGGTATCGAAGTCCGCATGTATCAGCCAGAGCAACATGTCCTGACTGGCCTGGCAGAAAGAAAGCTGGGTGACTAATTTCGAAGTCTAGCATGAAGGAGTAGCAGGAAATGGCGTGGACAAGATGCAATTGTTCAGCTGGGCCACTCGTACCACCGGCAGACAAATACCTTCTTGCAACCACGGCCCCAGCCGGCCGGCGGCCCCAAGAACAGTTATGCATCCCAGTCCATGTCCCGCAGATAAGTGTCTCGCCATTCAGCTACCGCAAATGGGTGGTAGGGTCTGTCCGTCCAGTCATGTTCTCTGTGTCGCATCCACAACTCCTTTGAGGAAAAGGCCTACAGGTGCGGATCGTCGGTGCAGCATCCTCGCGTATGCCAACGAAGGTCACAGGGAGCCCACAGCGTTGGGTGTGGGATGACCGGCGTCGGCTAGGCTCGGCGTGATTCGCTATCTCATTTCATTCATACCAGACCGTTGTCATGTGGGATCCAGACTCTTGCGACATCCCGACTGTGATGCTTGTTGTTTCTAATCTTTTCAACAAATGCACCCTGGTCGGCCCGCTCCTGGCATGGTGCCATGTCAATCATGATTTTCATCTGATCTCGACATCTCGTCTGCCCTTGAAATTGAGCATTGACAAATCTTGATGACTGTACTTGTAGCGAGCGCGGCATCCTTTGTCTGACCCGACGACACCTTTGAATCGCCTCCGTATTCCACGAGCACACCTGAGAGGAGACAGGCTAGCCAGCGTGTCAACGATCTCGGCATAGACAGCGGTTTTGACGTAGGGAAACAGATTGTCGAGGCATGATCGATCTTCGATATGGCCCCCCGAAAAAGCTGCGTGCATTAGCTCCGTGTGATACTTTTTTGGTTGCTTGGGCCGGCCGACTCGGAAGTCTTGACACTTTGGCAACGTGCCCCCGAGCCTCGCACCTATGATATCTCCCGAACTCGTGGGGAGACGTTGCCCGATGGTCCAGCTCCGGAGTCGCCATCCCAGATTCGAGAAAGGCTTTGCTGTGCTCCAGCCCAACCAAGGCGCCATAGCCAGTAGGGCGCAGCCCAGCATCCCCGGCACACGTGTATCCTGTTGCCAGCCCCAACCTGTGGTATACGAGACATCACATTCCGGATGCCAAAGTCTATGACAACGTAAGGTTTGATGGCTCGCTGGACCCAGACCTGAGCACCGTGATAGAGTTCTAATAGTGGTCGGAATTCACCCGGAGTCACAGGCCAGTCAACCTGTACAACCCAGCAGCTGTTTGATTGCGGGTGTGACTTGGAAGTTTGCGGCAGGATCCGAGAGTCGATACTAGCTTTTGGTGGCCCCTTCGCTCCCAGCTTGCGAAAGCCGTTGGCACTGTGACCTGTGACAGAAGAAGCAGAGAAAAATCAACACTGACCTCGGGGACTCAGAACTCTGTATCTCTTGAATCACACCGCACCGCTGTTGCTGCTCCATCCCTGCCCCAGTGTTTCTTCTCGCGAAGTTTAAATCCGAAAACTCAATCCTAACGCAAATCCACCTCGCCCACCCTGGAGAGAGTGTGTGACAGGCCCTTGACCGCCTATCGCGAATTGGGGGGAAAAAATGGAAGGTTGCTGACCAGATAAAGGCCATGTGCAATCATCTAGAAAGGATTTCATCCTGTGTAAATCACTCGCTGTTCCGTGGCCCGGTGCGTGCCCTGAACATCGTCCGGCGGACTCTGCTGAAGATCGATTTTGGCACCACCACACAAGCCATGGTGCTCCCCCCCTCCGTGATCGAGTGGTAGTCCTTCACGTTGCATGATCAGACGCCTCTCCAGCCTCTCCAACCATGCCTCTCTAGCCTATTGGACATTGCCTTTGAGACAGGTCATGGTCACATTGCTCTCGTAGGGTGTTTCCCTGTTGACTGTCAACCAAAGGGGTATACTCCACGCTGTACGACCATCCTTCCTCCGACCTTGTTTGTGCCCAATATCTCCACGGGTGACGTTGCTATGAGGCTCTGACTCAGCTTAGAAAAACCCCAGATCCTGGACCTGTGCTCGAAACCTGGAGATGCTTTTCCAGCCGATATCTCACTTACCGTCAAGACGTTGACGGACAACACGCGAACAGAATCTCTATATCCCAGAATTCATTGCTCACCCAGCTGCGTACCACCACCAACAATGTCCCGGACCCGTGAGATGACCGTTCGACAAGCACTTCAAATGGCACAGAACAGTTCAACAGGCGAGCTGGATCCCCAGATGCTCGAGATCCTCGAAAATTATCTCGGCGAAGTCTGGAACCGCATTCAGGCTGATCCAGACACTTACGTCATGGACGGACTCGAATTCCCTGTCTTCAATCTCTTTCGAGCACGTTCCGAGTTTCAGAACGAGACTGCAAGGAAGGCAGTGTCGAGATATTGGGACAGCCAAAGGGCCACCAGCAACAGCAATTCCAACTCGGAGCCCCAGAACTAGGTCGAGAAGCGGAAACAGGTCGAGTCGACGCTGTCCGAGAGCTGGTGTAACCCATCACCGTCATCCCTTGGGCCGACAAATGTTCCACTTGGAGTTGGGTGCCAAGCGAAGGCACTAGCAAGCTGGGAAATAAGTATCAAATAATCCTGGCACGAGAGGGGTGTGGCCGGCATCGGATGGGACTTTTCTGGCTTTTGAGATGCTCACGCGAACTGACACCTGTAAACTGGAGCCATGGTCCGACTCTGACGGGAGAAGAGTCAAGGGTGACCACCGTGCCAGGGCATGGGAGAGGGGGCTGTATGATTGGGGATGTCTACTCATAAACGATGGTTCACGTGTTCTCTCTCGCGGAAACCCCTAGGCAGGCACTGCAGGGAGGAGAATGGCTTGCATGGGCCGCAGTCAGCCTTAACATTCGTTTGTCACGATGCCTGGGCTCAGCACACGTTCAATATTAAACGTGCCTCTGTCCCCACGGCACGCTCATCTTGAGAAGCATTCTATCTCTGTTTTGCGGACTGGCATAAAACGATAAGCCATGCATCCTTGTGAACGTTCCCTTATAGTCGGTGACTACGAGGTTACTTCGAGGACGGCAGATACCTGCAGGACAGCAATCATGCTCATACATCCCTTCTCCTCCTGGCTGCTATCGCATCCACACAGTTCGGTGGCCACGAGTTCTGAATAGAAGGAGTCAGGATCGTGCTCGGATACCACCAGAATGACGGGGTATGGACACATTGTTGAGCCACATTCCAATGCTAACATCAGATACTTTCAAAGGGCCGTGCGGCCACAACACCACCCTCATCTACCTCATCGCGGGAGACTTGAATTCTGCTTCATCCCTACAACTAAGTCAAGATGCATACAATGTTGTCCACCATATTTTGGTCCTTGGTTTTAGCACCTGCGACAAATGCAGTGGCCAGGGCAAGCAGACTCGACGACCTGGCACCACATGGGCTGGGAGGACTATTACACGCTTCTGGAAGACGTGACTATTTTCATCGCGATTCTGCAAAGGTTGGGAAGTTCTCTGCACATGGTTGGCATTAGCCTTTACTAACATGTCGACAGCTACACTCGCGCCAATCGTCTCCTCCGATCACGACCGACCCAGACTGCACGCAGTATGACGGATATTTCTATGTCACGCCACGAAACTATACCTGGCAGTTGCAATGTGCCAGCACCTACGATGGCACGATCATCGCTCAAACGACGGACGCCACTGACCTGGGCTCCTGCATCGAAGAGTGTGTCAATTACAACCATCAGAATACTCCCGGTTCCTGCTTGGCAGTCACTTTCAATGGTGCTTATGATACGGCGGACACTGTCTGCACCCAGTTCAGCGATGTGGCTGCGGTTAACATTGCATCTGAAGAAGGAGGTCGGTATACTCAGCACCCTGCACCTATCTCGGTCGAGACCGTGGAACGGCGCCCTAGAGGCACAACTGTGACGTTGTTGTCGTTCTGCTTTGCGAATTTTGATGGAGAGGTTGGTTTAACTCAGGCTGATCGAGAAATACAGGATTCGAGAATTCAGCCCTGTTGATACTTGGTCCAGATGGAGAAATCTTTGCAACAGTGAGTTCCTCCAGAAGAGCATTCACATAATTTCCTGCCCGTCGTATCTCAGACTGACAGTAAATCAGCCAGAACCAGAGCCATCGTTCTCTGGAGAGCCAACCCAAGGACCGACTGTGGTTCCAGTCCCTACCTCGAGCACAACAACCCCAGCTGTGGTCACTACAACAAGCACCCTAGTATTGATATCGAATTCCCCAACCGTGAGCACTTCATATGCTGTGCTCACCACTACAACTACTTCTACTGGTACGGTCTTTGTCACGTCATGCCCCGGGGGGAGTGCTTCGTGCCAGGTTGCCACGAGCTCTCTTTCTTCGACGCGAGGCCTGGGGACCTCGGCGAGTAGTCCTCAAACTACAAGCCTAACTTCCATCAGTATCAGTGACGGGGGCTCCAGACCGGCCACGTCTGTGGCACCTGCGAGCACCACCAGCACAACAGGAGCCTTTACATTTGACTCAGGCCAGACAACACTGACGAATGTTGTGCCCTTCACTGAATACAGGCTCCAGCTCATCGAAGTCTGTGCGGCAACACCAGCGCCATGCTCACAATCCACCAGTACGGCGACTAGTGTAGGGCTCCTCACACAGATATCTTGCTCCCCCAGTCCGTGCGTTGGCGTGGCTGCAGCTACAGGGTTCTTGGTTGATGCTCTTGCGACGGCGACTTGTATTGTTCCTTGATGTGGTGACTTGGAGAGTGGCCTGGTGGGAAGGGTGGTGTTTTTGGCGGTTTCGGGTTCTTTGGCGGCAGAGTGTTTACTTTTTGTACCATGGAGCATGTTACTGAACTCCCCTACGACTGAATTTGTTTGACCAACTATTGGTGAATGCCAGAGATACTGGTGGTACGGCGCAATTAAGGGCATTGTCGGGAGAGAGTTTCGGGGAAATTCTTAGTCATTGGGCCGGCGAGAACAGATCCGGCGAACCGGAACGGACAATGATTGTGCCGAGGATCCGCCGACGAGGTCCACCCCCATCCTTTGTATCTCGTCTTCTCACTGCTTCACTTCTCTCAATCCTCTTTCTGTGAAGCACCCTCTCAAGACATCATGTTTGACTCCCCTAGGCACAGGCCCTGTTGTGGACTGTGCCCTCCTCACAGTTGTGATTCATACGTAAATGAACATTCACGCCATGGACAAATGCCACACCCTAGGGTGCCAAAAATATAACGCGCTATGTGCAGCGCAAGCGGTCCCCCTCCATTGTCTTGATTCCCTTTGTTTCGTGATACACTAATGAGAGAGCGGTAAGTGAACGGTGAGGGACTCCATTGTCTGCCACACCCTCGATATCTGAAATCTCTGCTCCTTTACTTTTCAAAACATGAGGAAACAGTCTACCTATTCTTTCGTCTCGAGATCCTAGACTGTTTGGAATCTTGTAGCCATCTCCCTGCCTGCGATGATGACTTCCTCAACCCTATTCTCGTTGGTATTGACGATCTTCGCCGCCTTCTTCTCGAGGCTGGTGAGGGCAGACACAGCCTGCAATCCTCTGAATGGTCAGTAAACCGGCACCCAGTTGGTGTTGCGCTTGAATTTTCCAACTGACTTCCACCTGTGCAGGCTCGTGCCCTCCGATTCCCGGCTTGGCAACCAGCGAGTATTTTATGGATTTCAGTCAACAGACCACCACTCCTTCAGACTGGATCCTAGCCGACTATGCTACTGTTGGCTACGGGTCTCCTAACGGTGCTAACTTTACTTTTGCAAAGCGATACGACGCCCCGTACATCTGGACTCGCTTCTATGTTCTCTTCGGGCGCATAGAGGTGGTCGTCCAGGCCGCCCCTGGTGCTGGTATCATCACAAGTTCAGTCATGATGTCGGACGACTTAGATGAAATAGACTGGGAGTGGTCGGGAAACAACTTCGCAGGGTCCAGTGGTGCTGTTCAGACCAATTACTTTGGCAAAGGTCAGGTTGGCAATTCTGACCGTGGCTCTCAGCCTGCTGTGAACGATCCTGAACACAACTTCCACACATACGCCTTAGATTGGCAACCAGATAAATTGATCTGGTCCATCGACGGTGTCGCTGTGAGGACATTGAACAACAACGGCGCAACGACTGGGTCATACCAATACCCGCAGACACCGTCCCGGCTACATCTGGGCCTTTGGTGCTCAGGAGACCCGAGTACTCCTTATGGTACTGTGTACTGGGGCGGAGGATACACGAATTTTAGCGCGGCCCCCTTCTCGGCGTACGTGAAGTCCGTCAAAATCACGACCAACAACATGTGTTCAAGCTGGCAATATTCCAGTCCATTCGACGGCACTTATCAGTCTGTGCAATGCACGAATCAAACACTTGCACTTCCTTGTTCTTATACAGTCGTCGCTGGCGATGACGGCTCTTCCATTGCAAAGAACTTGACAGTGAATTTTGATACCCTCCAGGCTGCAAACCCAGGGGTCAACTGGGATCAATTGTTGGTTGGTCAGGTGCTCATAGTACCCGGCGGCACTTGTCCAACGTCGACCACAGCATCAACACCTTCGTCCACGAGTCTTACTTCGACAATGTCTTCGACCACTGCATCTTCCTCAAGTCCACCTGATAATTCGAGCCTCAGCATTTTGACGAGTGCGTCGTCAGCTTACACATCCTCATCTAGCTCATCAACAACATCATCGTCCACAACGACACCGGTACCCTCAACTTCGACTTCCTTGAGCACAACGACATCCTCAGCTGGGTCACCGAGCTATTCAAGCACCGCTCTCTCAGCAAGTGGAGCACCTAGCACAACAACTTCAACCCAGGCCTCCTCGGATCAATTCTCGGCTAACACTGCTACGTCGACCTCAGCTTTGACCACCACAACTTCGACGACCAGCACAAGCTTGGCTTCTATTGTTTCGACCACAACCGGCATAGGTAGCACTACCACGACATCGCCAGCTCCTTCCCAAGCAGCAAATACTTACACGGTGGTTGCAGGCGACTTTGGTTGGGCGATTGCAAGCTCGCTGGGTTGTTCTTGGGATGCCTTGAATGGTGCCAATCCAGGGGTTGATTGGGATAATCTTCAGGTTGGGCAAACTCTGAATATTCCTACTCAGGCTACTGGCTCATCGACACCGACAACCGCATCAAGCTCCGTATCTGCTTCTGGCTCTACTTCCACTGGGTTAAGCGATACATCCGATCCCGATTCTAACTCTAACTCTGACTCTGAGTGTGACTCTGATACCACATGTGGAGGACAGCTCGGCAACCAGCCAAGCAGTCCTCAACCAAATCCAGCAACCTCGACTCTGCTGACAACTACGTGTATTTCCTCACGTTCATCTTGCGCAGCTTCTAGTGCGATCATCGCGTCGGCAACGACCTCAGCCACTCCGAGCGACTCCGACTCAGATCCAGATTCGCTAGCCGCCTCGTCCTCAGCTTCCACCACCGTCAGCGGCGCAGCGGTTTCGACGAGCATTGTGTCAACCGCAGGTACATCTAGTTCGAATGCAGTGAATCCAGTCACAACGCCGCCACCTTCAGCGTCCAAGTTGGTCTGCAACCAAGACAATTGTCTCCGCAATTTGATCGATCCTCGCTACTCATCCGCTATGCGTCGCTTCTGTGCAGGCTACACCACCACAGCATCCAATACCGCCCCTCTGCCGACGTTTTTGGGCGGATGCTCAGCGAATGTCAAGCGGGTGGTTAGTGCCTGTTCCTGTCTAATTACCAGCTTTGGAACGGGGACAGCCACTTCAGGAACTCCGGCAATGACGGGACCACCGTTGCGTGCTGGGAGCCCTTCTTGGAAGCAGACTCCTTCTTGGAAATTAAAGCGGTCGCCTTTGCGTTGGAACAGACCAGCACTGTAAGTTCGGAGGCGGAATTAGTCGACAATTTTCTTCTTCCCAGGAGTCATTTCAGGTGTCTGGAGAGGTCGGGGCGTCAGGGGGCTAGGTGATCAATTGCCTTCAGGAAAATTAGACATTGCCGCCTGGCTCATGTACCGTACACTCCCTTTTGCTTCAATGTATATTACCCCCTTAACTTAATGACATCTTTCGGCTATTCGGAATTAGTATTCCCAGGCCCAATAGGGGTTCACAAGCTCAGTGAGTCGACCACAGTCGCAGCAATGCTGGTGACCGGGCAGGATTGTCGTATGCTTAGACATTGACAGCCGGCATACTCCAGAATGGGATGTTGAGGTTAATAAGTTTCAATTTGATAGCAAAGAGAAAGACTTGTCGAATTCTTCACTCAGTCCTTCTTAGGCGCGAGGCTGAGGGCATTTCGCAAGGCTGGCCAGAATTGGTGGGGTCTTGGCATAAATCTTGGCGCCCACGAAAAATGCGCCTGCTCCTCGCATCTCGATTCGGCCGTCCAATTTTCGAGCACGACTCTCACAAACGTCTCCTTCAACTGTGCACAAGTCTCCCGTACGACATCGTCCTCCCCAACCACGGCGGTTCGATCACTGATCTATTCGCAGAACGTCTTGTCTGATAATCCGCCAAAATGACGAAGGGAACGAGTTCGTTCGGAAAGAGTGAGGAGCCAACCACCCACAACCCCTACCTGGGAGTGCGAAACAATTTAACAACTTGGGATTCTGACGGAAAATCGTGAATAGGACACAACAAGACGCATACTCTGTGCCGGAGGTACGTTCTCTCTGCCAATTTCTCGGTCTAATCTCGTGCTTGCGAGCATTGGAGAGATGGCGATTCGACTTGTGCGCTGACAAGATTCAATTGATGCAGATGTGGTCGTCGAAGCTTGCACATTCAGAAACATACGTGCGCGAACTGCGGAGTACGTCGAAAATCTTTCACCCTATTGTCATCCCATGACATCCTCTCCCCCAAGCGATCCGCGACCGTTTGACTCTGGATGATACAATTACCATATATGCTGGGAACTCGACAACTGACTGTTCGCTGTAGTATCCTGCTGCTAAGACCCGCAAATACGAGTGGAGCGAGAAGGCCAAGAGACGCAAGACCACCGGCACCGGCAGAATGAGGTCTTTGAAGTTGGTCGCCCGGTAAGGACCCCTGCTGTTCCTTTGTGTAGATGGCTTTGTGGAAGTTATGGACCACGATTCAAGGGTTGGAAAGCACGCCGATGAAGGACTACAAAAGAGATGGACCGGCGCTTTCGTGGCTGAGAAACCAGGGCTGGATGAGCGTTGTCTGAAATCTAAGATAAGGACTAACCAGGTTTTCTGTGTACAGGAAGGCGAGCAACGCATTCCGGACCGGCGCGCCCAAGGGTGCTCGTGGGCCCTCAAAGGCATGAACGGACCAACAAGATGATTTGTGAGGGGGCCTCATGATTTCGCATTGAAATGCATTGAAACATGGTTTACCGGAGAGCAAAGCTATGCCGCACCACGGGACGCGCATGGTCTGTGAGGCTGGACGATGGGGAGGCGAAAGGTTCACGACAGAGAGCGTGTCAGCCGCGGACGACGACACCAAGGCTGTCGCAGTCCTTCCTGGTCACATCATATTCATGGGGCGCAATCAGACGTCGGTGGCAGAACGTGGCTCAGATAAAAAATGAGAAGAGAAAAAATACCAAAGGGCAAGTTTTTCTTGCTTTTCGAGCATGCCTGGAGGACGATCCGAAAGAGAAAATCCCCAGAAATGAAGAATTTACCATCGAACCTCATTTCCAATTCCCCTCTCTTAGAAATCTCTCTGCTTCTTGATATCTATGGTACTTTGTAGAGCGCGTAGAAAGTCTCGCCACTCACCTGACATTCTAAAATCTTCGTGTTTGTTTGTTCGTTGTCGTGTATATCACCACAGAACACCACATCACTTACACCCCAACCGTCCCGTCTTGTCTCGTACCCTTGAAGACTGGATAGAGAAGAGCCAAGGTGAGAACCAAAAAGCATTAAAAATAATCACTTCCCCCCACCACGGTCTCTGAAAATAAATGCCGCCGGCAATCCCCCCGCCGTTGGCGAGCTACATCCAGTCCTCCCTCTCGCTCTCCGAGTCCAGCGATGCGCACAGTCAAACGCTCATCACCTCGGTCCTCAGCACGCCGTCGCCCTGGCTGGTGCTGCGGCTCGTCTACGCGGCCCTGTACGGCGTGGTCGAGGACGACATCGACACCCACAACAAGGGGGGCGATGGCGGTAGCAGAGTCGCGGGCCCGAGGCCTGAAAGAAGCAGAACCACGGCGTCCATGGGCGCGCCGGTTGTCTTTGCGAGTTTTCTGCGGCCGTTGAGTCTGTGGGTTGAGCTAGGGAAGAAGATTGTAGGTTTCTTTCCCCCTCCCCCCGTTTCTGGGCTTTTGCCAGCTTCTTTCTGTCTGGTCCTACTCGTCCGTGTTCGTTCGTTCCATCAGGTCTTTTCTCTCCAGGATATAAAACTTTTGTAACCCCTTGCTATTCTACAGCAGAATGTCTTGTTTGTAGTTTGCTGACCGCTGTGGCAGGGCCTCGACATTCAGTCGCTATTGCGAAGTAGGAGAATAGTCTTCGTCGATGGACTGACTCATGACCCGCCACCTTATGGGTCGCCCTTTGCGAGTGGTGGTGGTGGTGGAGGAGGAAGAGGAGGAGCAGGAGACGCATCACCAAGGACGAGGCTGAAATCACTGTCACTGAACGACGTGCAGAACGCTTTGAGTTCGGCATTAAAGAGCATCCCTACGACGACGACATCTACCTCAGCATCGATATCAAGTTCATCGGCAGGCACACCGACACCACGGATGCCCTCGACGTCAACGCCTCCGACTCGAGCTCCTGAAGCCGGAAAGCCTTTAATTTTCCTGGATGGCATCGACTTTCTCATCGCCTGCCAGCCTTCTTTCTCAAGTACATCTATGCAGGAATTCCTGTCCACTCTCCGCATCCAGTCTCACGCTCTAGTACTTGCCTGCAGCGCTGACACTCCATTGATGCATGTCGCCACGTCCTCAAACGAGGGGGGGATACCGTTGGAGCGCAACCATGCGCATCTTGTGACGGCCCTGGCGCACCAAAGTCGCTGGGTGTTGCAACTCCGAGGACTGGACACCGGCAGCGCGAAGGATGTGTCGGGCGTGATCAGGGCAAGCAAAGGAGGTAGCTATGAGAGTAATGAGGATGAGCAGCGGGACTCGGGCTGCGTAGAAGCTAGGGCCGCCCATGACTTAGATGATGCTGAATGGCTGTACCAACTCAAAGGAGACGGGTCGGTTCGGGTCTGGGGTCGTGGTGAATAATGAACCCTTATGGCTGGCCTTGTCGGCATACCCGAACTTACACACTTGATATCTTTGGGTATCAACTCTTCCCGGAGTATCCTCCTGATGCCCTACCTCGTCCCCCAGGCAATCTTGATGGAAATCTTGTGATTGTTCGTGCAATCCCTGATACTAATACGGTCGGAAGCAATTCCGCTTCCGATCACAAACGCCATCATCGCTGACAACTCTTGTAAATTTTCTCGGCCGACAATAAGGCAATATCCTTTTCGAGAGTTATGGACGGCTCTGATGTTGACAGAACTTATAGTGACGGCTCATTAAGAGATTATCAGATAACCATCTGTTGCCACTGATTTCTCAGACCACCGATCTTTATAGCGAAGAATGTCGGATCCGTTTTGGTACACGTTTCCCTCTCCGTTGGAAGGGTACGAGGGTCTCCCACCTCTCCCGGACGAATTGAATGAGGATGGCAAGTCCTTCAAGAACCCCCAAACGGGTTCGCTGAGCGAGAGCTACCAGAAATTCACCTCTGGCGTGACCAATGGCCGACGAGGGGGTTTTGATATCCACATCTACTACCACGCGAACAACGACGAGCAGAAGGAGTATGCCCGTGCGCTCTGGGAGAGGATTCGAAGGGAGTTTCCGGAGTTGAGGTATGTTTTTCCTTTGGGGCCGTCTGGTCGGGGTCGCTGTACTCAGGCAACATGGCAGGATCTATCGTTTCTGGGATCGTCCGGTCGGGCCGCATATCATGGCAATGTTTGAAGTGAACGTCTTCACACCGGCGCAATTTGGAGCGTTCATCCCGTGGCTGGTCATCAATCGAGGGCCATTGTCTGCTCTGGTGCATCCCAATCATGAAGATGGTGATGAAGTGAGGGACCATAGTCAAAGAGCCACATGGCTAGGAGAGCGTGTGCCGCTGGATTTGAGCCTGTTGAACAAGTTCAAGGGCAAACGAACGAGTGAGCGACCGAATGGCAAAACAGAGTAGACTCGATGTGAATGTGCTGGGGAAATGTTTGTGGACGGTGGACGCTGTGGTTAGTTGCAAGGGACTGCCTCTCCATCTTCTGGCCTGCGGTTTTCTCAGCTGGACACCACTTCGAACTCAACCGCCTTCAATTCACTTTGTCTGGTGTCCGTCAAACAGCTTGTCTGTTCGTCGTGTCCCGCTGCCTTTTCTATTATCTTTCAAAATGTCGAGCAGTCTACTTCATGCCACCCCAGAAAGATATATCACTGGTGCCGCGCTCTGTGCATTTCCCAACGTCTGTTTAAAGCGAGAAGATTTCCTTTCCACGACTGTGATCAAACCACCTCGCCCTAACAGCAGTCCCAACCCTCCTAGTTCTGGACTGTCTGAACTTGTTGAAGACGTTGATGTGATGTTTTCTCGCACCTCAAATTGGTCTGCCAGGAAGAAGCTGCTAGATCTGGAAGAGATGGTTACTCTGAGTGAATTGGGACGATATTCTCCTCCCTGGCAACAAAGCCCAGACATTTCCGAGTCCACCTTCGAGCCCGCAGAAGAAGGAGACAACGACGACGATGAACGTTACGAGGAGACTGTACAGGCACAATCTTCAAAGTACGATGTGAAACCACCTGCGAGGCATTCCACTCGATTTGAGCCCTGGTCGGCTCCTCCACGTTCCACTCCTCGATCCGCCTTGAGAAGTCCTGAAAACAATGTGGATGATGTCGAAGAGCCAGGCCCTCCTGAGCACAATCTTCGAAAGAGGACACTTCAACAAACAAACCCTTACAAGTTCGACAAGCATCGCCATCAACTGTCCTGGAAGACCGGCCGCGAAGCCAGCTCAAACAAGGTGGAAACAGCAGTCAGAGAAGAGATTGGCGTGGTCGATAAACAAATGACAACGAAGAAGCCCTGAGGATCGAGTGGTAACTGGGCCATCAGTGCGACACCAAAGAAGCAGACTCCCAACAAACGCAGACGATCCAACTCTTTTTGCTCCGCAACACCTTCGGAAGACAGTTATGGTGGGAATACCTTTGACCCGGAGAGGACTATGCTGCGGGTGCGGTTGGACGGGTTTGCCGGTGGAGCAGCGACTCTGATCACGCTCAACGAATGCGAGGACAATGGCAAATTGATCGACTTCATGCTCAAAAGCTGGGACTGGAAGTTCAAAGACGTCGGCTTCTCCCACGCAGTCGTGTCGTTTCCATGGTTGACTCAACAAGCAGCCATTCTAATTCGCCCATGCTTGAATGAGAGCTTCCGAGGCATGATGACCGAGATTGAAAACGTACCCATCAGGCACGATGCGACGTGGAGGTGACGGTCTACGTGCAGCCACGGGAGCTGTGATAGATGCAGTTTGGCACGATGGGAACCACAACCACCAAGCTAGCCAAGGTGCTGACTTTCAAAGAACAAAGCAGAAGAGGACAGCGGGAGAGGGATCTGCCCAGGGGGAATCGTGTTAACAAACTCTGATCGTGCTAGTTAGTGGGCTAGTGTAACAGAAAACATGAAACGAGCAAAGCTCTGTGCCCTACTGTGCCCTATCTTCGCCTGTTGGTGTTGGCTAAGGATTCTATTGCCCAGTCGGCTTTCGAGCTGTCTTCCAGGGACCACTTGGTGAGGAAGCCCCTGAATACTCTCCCCGGCTGAAAAGACAGGATCGGGAGTGAGGGATCAGGGCCAGAGACGAGAGCATGAAGCGAAAGAAAAGAACTCTTGATCTTCCTTTTCGTCTATCTCTGACAACCTATCTTGACTCCCGTTGATTTTTATTTTTTTTTCCCCCAGTGGATTGTTTCTGGCTGCATCCCACGTTGCGGACCGACGCATGCGGCACAATTTGACTTCATCGCGACCCGCTGTCAAGTGCGCCTCTAACGCAGGTTCAAAGTGGCTCAGGTGCAGTAGGTGCAGTTAGTTGGTCGACGTCGCTGCTCTGGAGTTCGGCGCACCCTGCAATTACCCCATGTTCTGTTCTTCAGCACGCTGAGCACAGCTGAACCGGCTTCAACGGTCGCAGGTGACTTTCTTGTATCCCGACATTCTCATCTGGCCTGCCGCCATCGACAGCTTGGACCTCTCGATCTCTCCATATTCGCTCACTCACTCACTCACTGCGATTGGAATTTCACTTCACTCACTACTCAAAGCGAGCCTTTCACACACTGCATCTGCGCTGGCCGCCCCCCTGGTTCATTATATCGAATTGAATCCAGTCCTCTCTACCGTCAGCATCTCCATCGTTCTCCCTCCAGGCACCTTCTACCGACAGCTCAAATCACCACCCACCAATCCAGTCTCCTCACGTCAGCGCCTGCGCCTGCCGGCCTGCCAGTCGTTCACTTCACAATTACTCCGAATTGGCTCCCCAGTGACAGGCCCCTCTCTCCCACTCCCACAGTTGATCTGACGTCCTCCCGACGCCATGACTTCTCCCGCTCCCCTCTCTCGCAATGAGTCCCAAGCCTCCAGCCGACGGAGTACCAGTCTCGGCTCTCGCTTATTTCGATCAAAGAGCGGCGAAGCCCTGGGTGACCGCAAGAGCTCTGCGAGCCGTCTGAAGAAGAAGCAACAGGAAATGGACGAAGCCGTCAAGGTCACACAGTCGCCTCCTCGCCTGCCAAATTACAACCCGCAGCCACTGGGCATTCAATCGTTTGGTGGAGAAAACTACAACCCCCAGCAACCAAATGGCGCGAAGAACACCCCTCCAGTCCCTCCTCTGCCGGGAAACTTGGAAAAGGATGCTGTCGATCCATATGCGAGGACTGAGAGCATGACCCACCGTAAGTTTTGAGCTGCATGGGCGAGATGTCATGACGAGGCTGATTCAATTGCTGTTAAGGCGGTCGATATTCCTATGCGAACTCCACCGTGTCCACCATCAACTCCCCCCGGAGAGTTCGACGTCGCAAAGACCCCACCCCGTACAACGTCCTCATCATCGGCGCTCGGAATGTCGGCAAGACTTCTTTCCTTAACTTCCTCAAGAGCTCCCTTGCTTTGCCGGCAAGGAAACAACCGACTCGAGCGCCAGATGGCGACACCCCTCCCTCGTCCGCAAGAGCAAATCCCAACTTTGTCCACCACTATCAAGAGATCGAGGTCGATGGGGAGCGGATCGGCTTGACGTTATGGGACTCTCAGGGGTTGGACAAGGGCGTTGTTGACCTCCAGTTGAGAGATATGAGCAATTTTGTGGAAAGCAAATTCGACGATACCTTCCTGGAGGAGATGAAGGTCATTCGCGCCCCGGGCGTCAGAGATACCCACATTCATTGCGTCTTCTTTGTCCTTGACCCGGCCCGGCTGGACGCCAACATCAACGCCGCTGAAGGTGCCAGCAACGGCATGGAACCCACGCGCGTTGGCAAGCCATCCCGCATTGTCGGCGCGCTCGACGAGGATTTTGACATTCAAGTCATGAAGACCTTGGCCAGCAAAACCACTGTCATCCCAGTCATCAGCAAGGCGGATACCATCACCACGGCACACATGGCGTTTCTGAAGCAAAAAGTCAGCCGGAGTCTGAAGAAGGCCGGTCTTGATCCGTTGGAAGCTTTGAGTTTTGATGCCGAAGACGACGACGACGAGCGTCTGGACGAACGTGATGAAGACGAAGACAGCAGTGCCGCAGATTCGGAGGACCAGGCTTCAGCCCGGAGTGATGATTCTGATGCCAAAGACCCGGCGACCACGAAACGTCCAGGCACCCATAAGCGCCAAGTGTCCACCGAGGATGCTGTGCTTGACAGTGGCTACGTCCCGTGGTCGATTCTCAGCCCGGACAAATACTCTCTGGAGGCAAAGGACGGCCCGGTTGGTCGACATTTCCCCTGGGGGTTTGCCGACCCGTACAACCCCAATCATTGTGATTTTGTGAAGTTGAAGGACGCTGTATTTGGGGAGTGGCGATCCGAGTTGCGAGAGGCCAGCCGTGAAGTGGTGAGTCCCCATGGATCCCTCGGAGGTGTAAGGATCTGACTGACAGTGCTTTTAGTTCTATGAACGCTGGAGGACGAACCGTCTCAATCGCCGAACTCTGCCCCCCAATGCGACCAACGGTCTGCCGTCGGGGCCCAGACAGAGCACTGGCGGGATTCCCATTCCTCTCCAACCCCGTGTGCGATAAGTCTGAGGGATTGTGTACAATAAATGTACAAAAAGATTCGAAAATGACCGACCTACATCGATCGAGTTGAAGACGATAAACTGGTTGACATTGTTCATCTGCATGCTATTGAAAACATGTTCAAAACTCAAAGCCCGAAGTAACTCGACTGGACAGGAAAATGGAAGGCGAGCAGATTGTTTTCCTAGGGCGGGAATGTTGCGCATGGGTGGGTGGCCCATTTGTCGACCTTTGTCCATCCCTTACATCACAGGGCCTTGGGTTTCTTGAACGACTTGACACGAGTCATGACACAACAGCTTTTTCTTTTCTTAGAGAACATGACCCTGGTTCTTTGCGAGGGCAGAACGCAGGCCAAGTCGGGCATGTTCCAACCTGTTTCCTTTGTAAAGATTTGGACGTCGTGGCGGCGGCGGTGGTGGCGGCAACAAGTCGGTGAGCGAGCGAGCGAGCATTGAGCGTTGAGCGTCGTGCATGCCGGCACTGAGCTGAGCTTGGTGTTGCCAAATGATGGGAGCCTTTGGTTTGGTGCTGGAGCTGAAATTGTAGCGAGCAGAGTTATCCTGAAATACCCCCTTTTTCCTTCTTTGTTTAAAACAATCGTAACCCCGTTTACTCAATATAGAAATTCGGCCACACGGGCGATGCTATCGGGGTCTTGTGCCTCACACCGTCACTTCCAGCAGCACCGTTTTGCTCTCTCGGCTTTTACATGCCTTCGTCTAGGTGCACGATACTCCGTCCAGTTCCTACTGTACCAAAAGCCCCAAGACTTCCGGGGATCCATCCCATCAAGGGTGGCAAAAAAACAAAACCAAAAAAAACAATCGATAGCCGGAAATCCCAACGAGTGTGGCCGTACGGAAGGCATATATATACATATATGTTGGAAGACTCTGGGGCGGGGGGGTGGTATATATACAGTATCACCGACAGCCATATCGATCGACCAACCAAGTTACCCAGCTACATACTGTAAGTCTATCCTGCTCACAGAACCACACATGCATCATCACCTCTTCTTCCTCTTCCTCTTCCTCCTCCTCCCCTCTCCACGTCCCATCACCTTGCCTGCAATGTACACTTCCTTTCACCTGTATACAATACATATATTGCCTGCTGCTGCCTGTTGCCCACTCAGCTCCGCTCAGTAAACCCACCGATACTCCGGCGCGGCAGGCCCATCACGCAACAACTCGGTGGGCACGTCTCGGGCGCGGACTTTTTTCCCGCCGTCCCGGACGGCACGCAGGTTCCGTCGCTTGTTGTCCAGGATCATCCAGCCGCCGAGGAGCAGGGTCAGGGCGCAGCCCACGGCGCCGAAGGTCGCGGTCGTGATCAGCGCGGGAAGATACTTCGGTCGGTCTTTGTTCTGGAAGATGTTCGAACTGCATACATACAGAGGAAAGAGAGGGAGAGCGTCAGTAAGTAAGTCATGTGTCTGTCAGTTACTCAAAAGCATATCACACAAGGGTGAGACTGTAGAATTAGGTGAAAGGAAAGGGGGAAACCGCCGAGTACGCACCTCACGACACCCATCAGGTTCGCCACGGGCACGCCCACGCTCGTCAACATGACCCGCTTGTTTTCGTCGGCGATGTTGTTGTTGTACCACACATCCAGGATCACGCTCGGCGCGCTGGTGCCCCAGGTCATCATGAAACAGGCAAAGTACGCCGTGTTTAGCTGGGTGTCCAGGTCCACGGCGGCGAAGATGATGAAGCCGATGCACGTAAAGGCAAACCCCATGGCGACAAAGGGGAACCGCCAGCGCGTAAAGTCCGAGGCGAACGCGAGCACCAGCAGCATCACCGCCCCCGTGATGTTCGGCGCCACCGTGTACAGATTCGTCTTCACCGTCGAGTAGCCGAGCTGGTTGACGATGACGGGCAGGAACAGCGTGACCGACTGCAGGGGCACGCCGAGGCAGATCTCGATCGCCAGGATCACCCAGCTGGTCGGATGCTTGAAGATGGACAGCGCCGACCGGATGTTGAATTCCTCGTTGACCACCGACGACGAGTCGACCTGGATCCGGTAGAAGGCCAGCCGTTTTTCCTCCTCGGTCAAGAACCGCGCGGACTGTGCGTTGTACGGTAGAACCCAGAACGCGAACAGCGAGAAGAGCATGCTGCACCCACCCTCGATGACGAAGAGGTATCTCCAGTTCGCGAGCGAGGAGGTGTGGATGTGGAACACGCCGAACGAGAGCAGCCCACCGAAGGCGGAGGCAATATTGGATGCCGCGTAGAAGATGGCCAGGCGACGAGCGAGTTCACCACGGCGGTAAAACACTGTGAATCAATGATGTGAGTTCGATGCGTCGCAGGAGGACGGGCCGAGATTCTGCTTACAGGTCTGGTAGAAGATGATGCTGGGAAAGAACCCTCCTTCAGCCTATTTGAGGTGATGCCACGTCAGAAGAACATTGACACATATCAAACAGAGAGAAGTCCCCGGGGGAAGGGTTGAAATATACCATGCCCAAGAACCACCGACACGCAAAGAGACCTCCAAAGTTCTTCACCGCGACCGTCATCAGCGTGCAGAATCCGAAACACAGCATCATCAGCGGCAGGGTGCGACTGGGGCCGAATTTTTTACTGGCCAGGCCGACGATGGGTCCCGCGAGCACGTAGGGGACGAAGAAGATGGACAGGATCAGGTTGTAGTCGTCACCCTTCATGTGGAGGGTCTTTTCGAGCCCGGCCGTCTTTGCATTTCCGAGATTCGATTTGTCCTAGCAATGCCCATCCATGGTTAGGAGCCGAATGGTTAACTCGTCGTGGATGGCGGCAGGTATGTATGTATATATGTATCTATACTCAAGACAAAACTCACCAGCGCGTTGAAGAGGTACATAATGGCCAACGTGGGCAGGATACGCAGGTCAAACTTCCACACCAGCCGTCTCTCCGCGGCAGGGTCAATCGACGCACTCGCAGAGATAGGCTGGCCTTCTCCGAGCGAGGTAATGGGGATAACGCCATCGTCTGTGATGGACACTCTCTTGTCGTCTTTGAGGATGAGCGTGGCGTGCCCGGTGCTGGGCTGGGTGGCCATAGTGGTCGAGACAACCTACCGGTCAGTAGAGAAAAGAGTCGGTGAGATCAAGGAGTCTGAGTTCAAGACAGCGGCGTGGGAACTACCGTTTTTTCTCTACTCTCACCTGCCGACGCTCGAGAGATATCAGGACAGGAAGACTCGGCATGCAGTCCGCGCCATCGGAAGAGAGGCGCTTTCAAGACATCATATAATCCCAGTGAATCTGGGTGTTTTTCGCCGACTAACAAAAGCTCTGCTCGTCGTCTTTTGACGACAGAGATAAGCCGCTATCAAAGACCGATCCCATCATATCAAGACCGGGGAGCAAACCACCGACCGGGGTGAGCGCACTTGCTGGAAACAGCAGCAAAAGTGCAGATGCAACTTCGGGAACGACAACACCCCCGAGGATTTTCTAGTTTGTTGCTCACCTTGAGCCCACTCATGCATGGCTTGCAGATCATATTGCTTCTTCCCGGTGCCGGGAGGCGTCAAACCGAAGGTGGGAAAGTCGAGGAGAGCCAAACAGATCGGTGGGAGATAAGAAAAGATGCAGCATCGGCCATTGATGAAGAAGAGTGATGACAAGGGTGTCCGGTCTGTGTTATCACAAAGATGGAATCCATGCATGCATTTGCACTGTGGACTTCTCCGCCGCCGCAGCATCCTTGTGGCAGGGGGAATCTCAATCAAGAGGTAATGATCGACGGCGGACGAGCCGGTCGGTAGATCTGGGGTTGCGGACATCGACTACATATCGCACCGTCATCTCAGATGCTCGTTCCGCCCGGCGACATCCGGGTCTAGTTTCGATATATGTGTGTTGTCTCTTTTGGACGTGGCCCTTGGTTGCAGTAAGAGAGAAGATATCGGCCATCTCCATCCAAAAAGAAACATATGCTTCAAGTTTCTCTCTCTCCTCCCTCCTCTCTCTGAGCCTGGCTGCCCTATCAGAGGAACCATTACGCCCGACCTCAGCCATAAGAGGCAATAGCGACGCAACGACTCAGGACGGCGGAGGAATTCTCGCACAAATCCCCCCTTCAGCCTTATACATTCAGTTAGACCCATTCGCCTTATAGTCCATTGCTTTTTGCATGAACGTCCCTAGAATGCCATCTCGCCTCGACTGCTCCCCGACCCATTCCTGCACTGCGTTCGGAAACGGGACCGGGGCACGGTAGAACAAGCGATCCGTCGACGCTTCCACACAGCATCCATTTTTGACCTGTCCGTCCTGACCATCGCTCAGCCCGTCCTGGGCAACCCGTCCAGTGACATCGATGAGCTCGTCAAAGGCTCGTATGATGGTCTCTACAGGAGTAAAGTGGTCTTCGGGCCATTGCTCGAGGATGGGCTTGGGGATGATGTTCGTCTTTGTGGTGCTGGGCATGATCCCGTTCAGTGTGATACCCTCGTCTGCAAACAGCGTCGGCGCTGCTGCTCGTATTAGGCCCACACAACCGTGCTTTGCCGCAGTGTACATCGGTAGAATATAGAAGGGATACTGGGCGGCCATGGAAGCCGTGATGACCATCTTGGGGTGGAAATCGTGCGCTGCTGCAATTCCAATGGCGGCATCTCCCCCATTGATTCCAATGTCATCCATTTCTGCGGCGGTCTGTCGGCCGAGCAGGTTCCGCGTCTTCCTGGTGAAATGGACAAAGAGCTTCAATCCGTGGAATGCCGCCTTTAGGTCGACATCGAGGCATCTGAGGTCAGGCTCGACTGGGTCTTCTCCTTCTTCTTCCTCTCCAGCCGTCTCGGGATGTTCGAGCCACCCCAACAGCGGCTGCTGGTCGGGGATCCCGGCGTTGTTGGCGAAGAAGTCGATGCGGCCGCCTGACCAGTCAAAAGCGCGCTCGAAGAGCTCCAGCTGGCTTGAGAATTGTGAGACATCGGTATGGACGAAGATGTGACGATCTTGGTCCAGGGTGGGCTTGATGGCTTCGTATCCGACTTCGTTGATGTCGGCTAGAACAACCAGCCACCGTTCCTTGATGTTGCTGTCGTCTGTCTTGGCCAGGAGGTGACGGGTCAGTGCGAGTCCCATGCCAGACACGGCACCCGTCACAACGGCGGTCTTCGTGACGGTGGGCTTGTCAATCATGTTGCGGCTGTTATTGCAAATGCGGTTGGGTGTCTATATTCTGATGTATCTTGCTGCCTTGTAAGAACCTTCGTTGAAGTCCTCCCCTTTCAAAAATTCGCTTGAGGCCACTCCTTCCCATAAAGAGCCCCTTGATTGGGATGATGTAACATAGGAGTCGTTTCGGTCGCCGAAATCACAATGTACATTGCAGGCAAGAACATCGAGAGTCTTGAACCAACCAGAAGAGACATTTTGTGGATAAGATGGTCTGAAGCTGCCCACCTCCAAAGGCGAGTGGCTTGAATCGACTTCGCGAATATGTGAAGATTATTGTCCAGACCCGTGTTCGCTGTGTACATCGATAATCTGAGCATTCATCAGCTCCACCAATAGGAAATGTTGGATTCATCGCCATGGTGCGTCCGTCCAATGGGAACAGAGGCTGGCTTTTAGAAGTAGCCAATGGGAAATACTTCAGGCAGCTTGGGGCAGATAAACTGTGGCGGCACCACGAGAACTTGGTTGTGTGTTAAATGCCGCTTTTTTGTTGCTCCGGTTGAGACCACTCTTTTCAAGAATGGCATCTCAGGGTCCTTCGATTCTTCAGACCTCATCTGGAAATTTCTCATCGGGGCATGTCCATTGGCGATCTTCTGTGAAATATGCGGATCGATATCCGTGCACGAGGCATTTGGGATCCTGGACTTCGACTCGCACTCACCGCTACCAATGGAGAGAGGTCTGGTCTCACAAGAAAGCGAGTTCTACGGGACAATCAGGACCAAGATCACTCGCATGTCTGAGACACCACGGTTAGAAACTATGTACGGATCGAAAGATGCCCGCCCGTGCCTCCGTCTCCTTTCCCTTTTTCCAGCGCATACGCCACCATGCCATATCAGTCCATACGTTCCCTTGAGAACACACATATCATTCCGATCCCAAATCGCCTTTGATGACCTTAGGCAGCTGGTTCTTGACATGCTCTATGACAGCTTCAACGCCCCTCTCGGCCTGCATGTCCTCAGGCACGACATAGCACCGCAATCCCGACACGGTGGCCCTGGTGATCATGCTCTTGATCTCGGCACTTTTTCCTGGCGACCACGATGACGGAAAGAGCTGTAGTCCGATAGCAAGCGGGCGCACTCAGTCACGACTCACCGGGGCTGTGCTCTGCATAGTCCGAACAGGAAGGTCGGAGGATGACGGGATACTCGCGTTAAATAGTCCTTGGTTGTCCTTCTTTGGCACCAGCAGATTCCTCTCACGCGTCGTGAATCATCGAATTCACTGCTCGGACTGCCTAGTGTCGAACCCTGTGCCATGGAGTGTAGGGAGACGGGCTGGTGTGTTGCTGCAAGATGTATACATGACAATGATGGAACCCTGAAGCAACAACTGTCTGCGTCAGATGCAAAGCTGGTGGATCATGATTGACGTCTGTGTGAACGTCAAATGGTTTGGAGTAGCCCCCTTTTCGAAGGCACCCATCCTCAGCCTTGCCTGTTACACCAGCGTCGGCCAGGGTCCCGGTCGTCATCACCTTGATCAGATTGATAACTATATACACAGAGGAGAGAATGAGAATGAAGAAAGGCCAGAGTGAAGAAGGAAGCTGTCGCTCAGGTTTGTAGGTGGGCCTCTGAAAGCTTTTGAATATACTCCAGTTTGGGAAGTTTGCTACTGTGTTTCACATCGCGAATTTAGAGAGAGCCTTGTTAGGGCCTGTGTAATGTTTGGTGCGTTCAAGAGTGGAGAATCTATAGCAGAGCAAATAGCACAGACTATTTCACAAAGCTAGCTACAGCATCTAGAACAACCTGCACCGTCTCCTCTGGTCGACTAAGCATGGGCGAATGACTGCTGTGAATCTCCCTCAGAGTGACATCTCCTCCCGCATCCTTTGTCATCTGCACAAACATTCGCTGTGCTTCCACCGGCAAGGCGTGGTCTTCTGTAGTGGCAAGATACCACGATGGCACATCCATCCACCCGGCATAGGTATGCTCGCCGCCCTCGGTGAGCGTGATCATCGAATGCTTGGTAAGCTTCTTGACCCACTCCTTGCCCTCTTCCTCCGGCAGGTCGTGGTAGAAGAGTTCACGCGGGTCGACGACCAGCTCGGCAAAGCCGCTCTCCTTGTTCAGGATGAAGGATGGAGGTGGTTGGCCTCCCATGCCATCTATGAAAGACTTTGCAGGAACCACAAAGCCCGATGCCATCAAGATGAGGCCAATAACATGACCGGTTTTCTTGCTCTCCGCCGTATCCGTCTCCCACTTGGGCGAGGTGAGGCCCTTGATCGCGCTTTGCCCGGGAATGCCACCGTACGAGTGCATCACCACCACGACATCACGTCCCTGTGAGGTCTCGGCGACAATGGCGTTGCGGACGGTTTCAATGTCTCCCAGAAGAGTTGCGCTGGGGTCGGACTGTGTTGATGGCAATGTCAGAGGGATGCATTTGTACTGGTGCTGGTTTTCGAGGATTTTGCAGATCTTTGTCCATGTATCGGCTGTGTGCCACGCCCCAGGCACAAAGATAAGTGTGGGCTTCGGAGACATGATGGTGATCCTTGTGGATTGAGGTGTTCTGCTTCAGGTTATGCTAACTGAGTCGAGGAAGGGCTGAGATAACAGAGTCGAGGGAGGACGAAGAAACCCTTCGAGATTTTGGGGTCGTCGAGCCTTCTTTTTAAATTAGAGCATTGGTTGATCCATCAAACGGAAACCCCCAAACACATTCCGGCATATATGATGGCAGCGTCTGGAAATGTGAGGTATCCACCCTGGACTTTCCTAAAACAGTCTACGGAGACCCTTTGACGTATAAGACACGACGGAAGGAGATGTCTCGCGAGACTTGATTCGTTCCGACTTCATCTGTTCTCCAGTTGGTTCCTGCATATAAACTGGGGCAAGGGAAGAGAAGAGACCAATGAGCCATAGCCGAGGGCCACAGAGAGGCCGGCGAGGCATTTCTAGGAAAGTCCAGAATACGAGATGGATCCGCCAGAGGGAAGTTTCGCACCACGATACCAAGAAACTGTGGAGTTGGCCCCGGTAACGTGATGTGAATTGAATCGTCAATTGTGCTCATGTCCAGATGATCTGATCGTCACGGTCGGCCAGTCCGCTCGATACCGGTTTTCCATGCTAAATGTGAACCATATCCGAAGGACCGACTCGCATATGCCAATTAAACAAACAAAATCCATGTCCAGAACCCATTGCTTTCTTTGCCAGCTTCTCCGAAAACGCCCGCTTGCTTGGCTTCTTTCACGCAATAGTATATCCCTATGATCGAAAAATTGTCTCAGGCTCGGAACATTTTGACCACCTGCTTCACCGTTTTCCGGCAAATAGGGCAGATCTCACACTGCTTCGCGCATTCGACACAAGCACACACGTGTCCACAGTCGAAGAACAACGCGTCAATCTCGTTGCTGTAGCAGATCTGGCACAGGTCCGCCTGCTCGTCTGCAACCTGCCAGTACGTGGTGCCCATCCCCCACCGCTTGCCGTTCTCAAAGCCGCCCACGTATTTGTTGCCCGTTCTAGCCTCCACAAAAGTGCCATGGCCGTGACGCTCGTCATGGCACCATTCTCCTTCATAGGTGTCGCCATTATAATATGTCATCTTGCCTCCTTTGCCGCGTTTGATGTTGCAAACAAGGGGTCCTTCGTAGGTGTTGCCCGTGGAACTGATACTGAAGCACTTAGCCCCATGGCAGAGTCCATTGACCAGGGGTCCTTTGTAGTAGTCGGTTCCAAAATCCGCAATCTCGACCGGGTCGATGCTTGTTTTGGCCTGGACTGGATGTCGACGCTCAACCATCCGCAAGAAGTGGGATAGTTCGTGAGGAGTGGCAAACTTGCCTTCCTTTTCAAGCTCTCTCACACGAGATTCTGACACTGGCTCGTACACGACAAGATCACAACCGTTGACGAACCGAGGATCCAGAAACGTGTCCTCGGGTCCCACAACAGTTCCATCGACGGTGGAATGGCGACGCCAGGCAATAAAGTTCTTGTCGGGTCCATAGCCAAAGCGCCTCTGCACGAAGTCTCTCACTCTTTCTTCTGACCGGGCGAAGAAGGTCCCTTGGACGCGGAAAGTTTGCTTGTCAACGTCGAACATTTGAATGAAGCCATAGACATTATCGACAGGTCCCTGCTTCTCAGAGGGCGGAGATGAAGACTGTGACGACTCGCCAGATTGCGAGGCTGAATTATCCGTCGAGGCAGATCCGGAGTTCATGACAAAGTCCATAGCTTCAGACTCTTCAGAGATGACCGCGGCAATCAGAGATTCTTCTGCTTGAGATAACGTTGAGAACCCGGGTGCTGAAATGAACTGCGTCTCATCGGCGACAGGCGGGGCTGCCATCTCCCCATGCGCTGCCGCGTCGATGAGATGACCATGAGGCACATTCGCAGTCAAGCTTTCCTCGGCGGTCGGGGGTGGAATCTCGTGCATGGGAGTGTCTGGATCGTTGATCTCCACGGCGACCGCGGGCGGTTGCTGTGTGTTATTTGAGATACGGTCAACGTCGGCCGTAACAGCTGCTCGGATCGAAGCTTGTTCCGCGTCAGGAGCAGCAATTTGTTCTTCATTCCCGTGGGCGACATTGGCCGAGAGGGATGTTTCACTTTCTGAAGGCAGCAGGTCCGCTTCCACTTGGGCGGGTGCTCGGTCCGGCTCACCAAATAATTCAAGCTCATCCTTGCCGAGCACTGACATCCACAAGCATAATGGCTGGCCCACAACTTGACCGTCGCCGACAGTGTCCGTCAGGTTGACGTTGAGCATTTGAGCAGTTGCGTAGTGTCCAATGCCGCTGTACCCCATCTGAAAAAGCCGGATCATTTGAGGATCACTAATTCCAAGCTTTCCGGCGAGGCGCTGTCTTAGGTCCTGATATGTTGCCTCTTTGGGCGAGCTCAGTAGGTGGAACAGCCCTTTATGCCGAGACTGCTGTTTGATGTTGTACATGTCGAGCAGCCCTTCTCTTCCGATGATGCCTTCATCAGAGTAGACCTCAACGTTGATTTCTTCCGAAGCCCCATCCGTGGGCTCTTCAACAAAGTTTCCATGGGCTTCCTGATATGAAGATTCAAGATATGGTGCCAGCCATTTCGGCAGCGCATACGGTTCCAGACCTCCAGGCAGATACTCGGCTAAGCAGCTCGTCTTAACGTACATTGCCATGTAAGCAGTGGTCCGGGTCGAGTTGAAATCCTTCAGAGCCTGTCCTTCGAGTCCCTCGAATACCTGAATGGCCTTTCTGCTGTAAGAGAATACTTGGTTACCATCCCCATCCTCGAAAGCAAGCCACATTGTGTTTGGCCCATTCGGTCGCAAAACCGCGTAGAACTTCCCAGAGTTTCGTACACCGGCATGTACCATGAATCCGTAGAGGGTGTACTTAACGCCGTCTGCGTCTGTGCTGAATTCCGACACATCAATCTCATCGTTCAAGATCACACGGTCGTAAAGCAATTTCCACTCTCGTGTCGTCGTGTCAAACTTGTCCCGCGCTAGCATGAGAGGCAGAAAGTTGGGAAGGCATCCTTTGAAATTCATATCCCGCAAGACACGGGCGAGCCCTTGCTGGATGTCCAGCACGTTCTCAACCGGTAGCGGTGGTAGCGAAACCGGGCCGTGCGGACTGTCAAAAATTGTCTTCAGTGCTCTCAAGCTTTCTTGATCATGTTCAAGTTCGAGTTCGATCGTCCTTCGAAACGCTTCCCAGAAGGTTTTCACGTCCGTGTACTCTTCTCCAAAGTCTCTCAGGGTTTGGATCGCAGGGTACAGATCCACGTAGGTTTCACGTTCCTTTCTTGACGTTCGCATCAAAAAGAGGATCATCTGCAGTTGAGCGATGAAAGGCCTCGGTCGAACTTGGGAATTATGCCGCCAGCCCCCGGCGTCCGCTTGCTGAAGGACTTTGCGGAACGGGGCCAGAAGAAGCCATGCAGTCATCCCTGCCACGGCAGGACTGTGGTACAGCGGAGGAGTTCCCATTGGGAAGTATCCTGCAAGCGATTTTGAGTCCCAGTGGGGTTCAGCGTCGGAGCTACGCCACCACAACGCCTTGGTCGGATCATCGAAGATGCGAATGTAGGCGTCAATGGCAATGGTGTCGTTCTGTAGGAGCGGTGCTCGCTGCAAATGTTGTCGAAGGTGTGCATCTCTCCAGGGTCCTGCAACGCTCGACCAGCCCCAATCATCCACATACCTGGAGAATTGTCCTGCCGTGGAGGCATACGTACAAGTGCGTGGCTCTTCGGGGTTGTACATCACCACTCCAAGCTGAGCAGAGAGTCGCCAGTCATCGTCTCCCGGCTCTGCAGTAGTTTGTATATCAAGCGCATCGTTATGACCAAGATCGACATCGCCGGAATTTGCTCCTTCGGAAGGTGGTTGACTGTCTTGCTTTTGGCCTGCGTTAGCGGTAGCGGAGGCATTTGAAGCGCAGTCCTCGTTGTTGGCTTTCCATTCAGTCTTGAGCGTCATGGTAGGCACGACGCCGTTTCCCAAATCTGCGTCTGGGGGCCCTTCGAAAACTGAGAAGGTGCTGTCAGACGGTTTGGAGTCTGGTTTAGGAGGCCGTCTGCTGCACTTTATGTACGCACTATAAGTTGAGGTTGTATGGCCGCGCGGGTAGAATTTGATCTGCCAGTAGTTCCCATCCACAACGGCAGGGGGTGAGACCATGACTCTGGCATGGTTGGGTCTGTCCTTGGTTCCTCTGACGCCCTTGATGACCCAGCTGAGGCGCAACTTCTTGATCGGACGCATGTCTGGAACGTCCACGTCTGAATAGATGCGCTTCTCCACACTAGGGACGTCCAGTGCGCTCAGTTCTGTACCTCTGGATTCTCTCAGTCTCAGTTCTTCCATCTCCTCCTCGGTCGGCTTTGACCAGTCCTCTTCATAGATTGTCCATTCTGGAATGTTATGGCGCGGCTCCGGTGGCGGAGGAGGCGTAGTGCTTGAGTCTTGATTTGGGGCTTCCGTTACCGATGTACTTGTTCCTTCCTCTTCAGACGTTGCAGATTCCGGAACCACCACGCTCTCCGAAACCTCGGCCGCAGGCTCTGCTTCAGCAGTATTCGCCGACTCTTGCGGTTGAGATTCGGGCTCTGTAGAAGGAACATCCGCCATTTCTGCGTCCGGTATTTCGTGTGAGGATGATGGTAGATCAGGCGGAGGGTGTGGAGAACTGGAAGAAAGAGGTTCGTGCACTTCGGGACGGGGCATGGCTGACGTTTGTGCGTGGTGGCTAGGCTCAAGTTCTGCACTGAGTGTGGAGTTTAACGTATGAGGTGGATGAGGATGGGCCTGGACAAGGACAGGTGAAGTGCCTTGGGAGGCCATGGTTCCAGCAGCAGGGTCAGAAACCGATGCGTAGAAAAGAAAGAAGCGAAGAGAGAAGAGTGAGGCGGTGAATGCTTGGGTTTAGAATGTATATCAAGTTGAGATTGTTTGCTTCACCAGAGAGGTACGAACACCAGGTCACATTTTCAAACAGTTGACAATGGGCTTTGGGGAGAATGGCAGGAGTCACAGCTTAATTCCAGGGTGAGCAGGGAGTTTTGTGTGCATGAACGGCTCCGACTTTTGCAATTCAAGAGGGTGCATTTATGCAGGAGTTTTGGTAGAACCGGTAAGTGCAGGCAACGAACGAAGTCCCAGGCATCGGCATGGAGGCTTAGCCATTGGATGGCGGTGACAGGCTCCAGCGCTTGGATCCCCCCCGGCCCAAAGTCGCCGCGTGCATCATGGGCTACTAGGCCAGGCTACTAGGCTTAACTCTGTAATGGCTACTAGCGCTCTCCCTCTCACCCCACGTACCAGCGCAGGAATGACTCCCCAGCTGTTGCCACCCGCCTTTGGGCCGCAAAGCCCACTCGTGGTAGTGAGGCTCAGCCACTTAGTCCTTTGCAGATGTCCGGCAAGACTCATCGTTTAGTTGGTAGGAATGGCGTTGTGCCCCCGTCTCTATCGAGTATTCATTGGTTCGTGAACCCATCAGTGTGATCTGTTCCACTGCCACCCGTAATCCGTTATCCTTTCAAAACCTCCCATTGTCCCAACCCTCTCAGCCTGACTCACTTGCCAGTCAGAAATCGGCAGGGTCCACACCACGCTAGTAGTCTCCACACTGCTTCATCAGTTTTACGGCTGTCTGCCTTGGCCATGTGCGCGGGGAGATATCAGTGCTTCGTGGCCTGGCCAGCAGCCTCAGCTTCAATTGTACCTGCGAGTCATGGGTTTGGTTCGGGTTTCGCAAAAGTGCCGGCCACAATCAGGGGGAAGCTGATTGTACTGAGAATGTCCATTAGCCCAGATCATCGTTGACAAAAGTCTTGACCAAGATGAGTGCTCACGCTTCAACATAGACCTGTTGTTTCCCACGTTAGTCTGGAGCCGTCATCGAGTTGGGGTTTTCATTCTTTCCATACCTTCACGCTGTCCCCATCGGCTTTGATTCTAGGTTTGGTCAGCCTCAATAGTAGATATTGGCATAGTGTGGTGCGAAGACTTACTTGCCCCAACTCACTGCCTCATCCGGTCGGGCACCAGCATCGCTCCCATCGAACTCCTGTGCAGTGTTAACATAGACCGCACTGTCGGCGCCATTCCGCATTAGACACGCGTTAGCTATATGGTGCTTGACGACTCCACCTCCGAGGATAATCATCCCAGCTCGTTTCGCCCGTACTGCAAGCGTATTGATCTTCCGGATGTCCTTCGCTATGTCGATGCCGAGATGCAGGGGGGAGGCTTTGAAGGAATGGAAGTAGATCATATCTCCAAGACTGCCGTCCGTCAAGGCGGGACAAAAGACGGGGATATCGTTCTTGTATGCCCAGTAGTATACCGATGATTCGTCGTTGATCTCTTTGCCTAGCCGGTGAATGATGGTGCTGGGAGTCCACATGAATCGTTCTCCGGACCTTGCAAACTCCTCTTCCTGTTCCGCCAGCATCTTGTCCAGGATGGGAATGACCCAGTCCTCGAAGGAGCAATAGTTGTTGTTGGGAACGATGAGATTCCCGATGCGGTTCAATCCCTTGGCTCGTAGGTCAGCCCCAGAGGCAGAAAAAGAGCCCAAGTATGTGGGAGCTAGACACTTGATGAAGTCCTCTTCCACCCCCCCGGCAGTGGTGACAATGGCCGAGACGTGGCGATGCTGGACAAGGTAGCGAAAGGTGTCGCGCAGGCCAGATGATATCATGTTGGAGGTGTAACCCAGAAAGATGGTGGTTCCATCGCCCGACTCGGGGTCTCTCCATGATCTCTGAAAGCGGTCAGAACTGCTTCTTTTTCCAGCGGACCTCTCGCCTGACAGACCATGTCATTGATGATACGGATTGCATCACCTATTGAACTCGATTGAAACCCTTGTCCGGTGAGTTGGTCGACAAAATTCGAGATGATAGTCCGTTGTTCGTCAGGCAAGGACAACCAGTCGATGCCTTTGACCTGTCGAGCCCCATCGGGAACAGGGTCGGACGCCACCAAGACAGCATCTGTGGCTTTAGCAGGTGGTGCGGATCCCATGCTTGATCTCTGCACTTATTCTTCATGTGGTTAGCAAATATTTTAAGGGAATCAAGGCGGGCATTTGAGCACAGAGCAAGGGTGAAAACCCAGATCATAGGCAGAAACTGTGCTCGTACAATGATTCGCTGGCGTTGGAGGCAGATGGCCGCCTATCAGACTTGACAGGAAGGCGATCACTCCTGAAGATTTTGTAGTCAAAATCTGGCTCCGGCTGGAGTCTGGGCGCCCATAATGTTCGAATCTGGGACCCCGGCAGACTCTAGCAAGCTCGCTAGGGGCGCCGAGAGGGGGGAACGTTGGTTATTTCTCTCTGAGTCGGGGTGGCGTGCAGGTGTAACAGCTCTGTAATGACAGGAACCTGTCTTGCGACATCAAGGTATCAAGACCTTCAGTCTCGGTAATACCATCGAGACTCTCGGTAATTAAATCCTCGGTTGACGCAATGGTCGACGCAATGGTCATCTGCACGCGCACAGGCGGCGGATCGGGGGCGGCGGCTAAGATTGAGGTGCAGCAGGCCTCACTTAGCCGTCGGTGGCCCGCAATTCTCAAGCAACAAGCACCAAGCTCGTTCCTCCTCCTCCTCCTCCTCCTCCACCAACACCACCACTACCAAACCAACACCATCACAAGCGCCTTGTCCGTTGTCTGACCCATCCATCTCTTTTCGTCCTCTCCCTCCCTCCCTGGTCTTTTCCCATCTCTTCCCATTAAATTCATTTTATCCCACAACTCCAACCAACACAACCCGCGACAGCGCGCATTGGAGCTCGATCACTGTCTGCGATTTCGCGATCTTCACAAAGCACCAATACGAGGCGTTTCCTTTTCCACACGGATTCGAAGCCAGCCCCCATTTCACTTCGAAACTCTACCTTCCTTTCTTCTCCGGCACAGCGAAATCCGGCTCATTTCTGCCACGTACCACACGGTCGATTAATCATTTTGTCTTACAGTCTTCTCAAGTTTGTCCTCGTGAACGACGGTCGACTTGGAAAGCGTCGAGGGCGCGACATTCTAACGACGTGTTCGATTTTAATTCACACAATTGGCTTCAGAAACCCGAAAAAGGCCTACTACACTTCACCCGTGCAGCCCGTTCGGTCATTTTGCTCTCCGAAGTGTGGAACGCTGCAGGGGACGCCTGATCGGTGCGTAACCGTGCAGTTTGTGGCTTTCAGACGGGCGCGGCGGATTTTCTTTTGACAGCAAGAACTTCAACTCAAACAGAACAGGGACGAAACGTTAGCGTGTGCACGTCGAAGCCCCCGGCATTGCACGAGACAGGATTATCTCAGCCCTTCAAAAGCCACGCTAACAGCCGCCACCTGCATTGAGTGGAAGACCCGACATTGGGCTGGCCAGATCTGCCTAGGGATTCACGGGTCCTCAGTCACGTGATGTGTTCCGCCCCAAGCCAACCGACTGCGGGCCAATAGAATTCACCATTCACCACACCTCGTGGGCTGGTGGGGGTATGTCGTCTTCAAGATATCCTCCTCCAGCAAGGGAACGCTCTCCGCCGCGATTCGACCGCCGAAATTCCAACAACTACAGAGGTCAAGCAGAGCCCGGCTTGAGCCCGGCTCAGAGAGACCCTCCTCGTGGTCCCAAGGCTGATTTCCAAAGCAGCAGGGGCTTTCCGTTTGCCTCACCTGCGCGTGGACGGGGAGGAGGGTTTCCTCCACCACGACCCAATGACAACTGGGAGAGGGACCGTGAAAGAGACCGTGAACGAGATCGCGAACGCGACACACGACCGCCTCCACAGTCTTATCGTGGCCGAGAAGATGACCGCGCCGAATGGTCTCGACGTGATCGCGATTTCGTAGCTGCCGATCGGACGGTCTCATCAGCCAGGGATACTCGACCCTATGTCGGCAGAGAGCGCTCAGCCTCTCCCGTCCGCCCGAGGAGGGACTCGCGCGAATCAATCCCCTCTACCTTTGGTCGGCCCGCCGAATCTGCATCATCATACTATCCTCCCGCAGGGCGGGGCGGTCTCGGCCGTGGTAGGGGAAGAGGCGATTGGGAGCGAGGAAGAGGCCGAAGTTCGTTCGTGAGCGATCGAGAGCGGGAGCTGTTCCGTCCACGAAGCCGTTCGAGGGAGAGTTGGCGTGATCGCGAATTTGACCGAGGCCGGCCACCCCTGGCCGATGCTGACCGCTCAGATAGGTACGAACGTCGCGATCATGAGCGCAGTCGAGAACGCGAAGTCAGACCGCGAGATACACGGGAGCACGACATATGGCCAAGGGATGCGTCTCCTGCAAGAACATCTGCAAACACGGCTGCCGCTGTTACCACTCCATCTGCCTCTCTCAACGACCGACCCGGAAAGCTCGAACTGGAGACAGGCAGACGACCGTCTGTTGTGGCCACCCCAACCAGCGCCCTCCGCGACAATCGACGTGACGGCGAGGGAGCAGATAATTTTGGGAGTTCACGGCTGGATGCCTCTCGCCGTGATCCACCTCCGCCTTCACAGCAACCTCCAACTCCTATCGGCCTTGACTATGGCCCTCCGCCATCTTTACCGTCTGTCAACACACCGGCTGCTGAAAAACCACCCCCAGTCAAGCCGCAACCTGCCAAGTCGGAGCAGATAACACCTTCGCCAGCTGCTTTTCAACCGCCTAGTGGGCCAAAGGCTAGTAGAACAGCTGCCACGACAACCCTCACTCAGTCCGTGAAAACGCCTCATCACCAAGAGACATGGGCTCGCAGTGAGCCTGCGTCGCGCCCTGCCCGGCCCGGGTTAGCTCAAAGTGCAAGCAATATATCGATGGAAGGAACCACAAAGAAAGAGGAGCCACCGATCGAGTCCAAGCCCCCTGCAGCTGATCGCTCTATGCCTCCAAATGTTCCTTCTGGCCCGCGACTAGGCAGCAATGCGACATCCTATAAGCAAAGGTTGTCTTCAAGTGAGCCTGTTGGCCCTGGACCACCTCCTACGGCACCAAGGGAACCTTCCAAACCTACTGGGTTGGATAATCGCGCTTCAGCAATACCAACTGGGCCTCGCCTCGATCGCGAAGGAACAAGAACGGGCCAAGCGAACGTCGTCAAGCCATGGCACTCTCCTGAATACAAACAAAAGCCATCCATCATGAACACAATGAACAAACAGTTCCAGCCTGATGCTCGGGACAGGGGGCCCATACCAACGGGCCCCCGGCAGCAGAATGCGTTCCCTACGTACCCGGACAAGGCTCGAGCACTTCTCACACCTGCAAGTCCTCCCCCATCGGCGCCGTCTGGGCCCAAGGCGTTGATAGCAACCAGTCCCAAAACACAAGATGCCAAAATGACCCTACTCCCGCCCAGGGAGCCCGTCGACGGGACCCAGCACCAAGAAGATGTGTTAATGTCAGTTCCCGCGTCCAGCGACGACGAGGATGAAGCCGAGGATGACTCTTTCGACGAAGAATATTATGCTGAATCTGAAGAGCGGCACAAGAATGAGATGGTTCTACTTGAAGCCAAGAAACCACCGCCTCTACTACAAGACACGAGGATAGTGTCCCTCCTAGTGAAACTGCAATTTCTCCAGATGATATCTCAAGATCTCGTCCCGAGACCAACTCCCACCCCCGTTGAGGCCACGAAGGAGGAGATACCCGCTGCTGTTACTCTTTCGACCGGATTACCGTCTCCAAAACAAGCCTCAGAGGAGACTGGGTCTAAAGAGGAAGTACTGGAAGTGGAACCACCGTGCCCCAAAGGACGGCCTCTCAAGCAGCCACCAGTGAACCCGATACCAACACCTCCTATCGAAGATTTGCCGTATTTGAAGTCGAGAGGTATCGAGCCAATTGTCTTTGAAGATTCGGACAACGAGGTCGAACACGAAGCGGTTTCAATCCTTCTACAACAAGAATTTGAACGTAATGCCTGGGACTGGAGATTGGAGCTTGAAGAGATGCACGCAGAGTTCAAGGCCAGATATCCTCTGTGGAAGCAGAAGATCCAACAGCTTGAACACGAACGGCGAGAATTACAGGCTAGCCCTGCACCCGCTTCCCCTGCACCGTCAGCGGCGCCATCGGTTACACCCTCATTGACCCACGAACGGACGAGAGGTGCACGGAACACGACAGAAGCCGACTTGCAAGCCGCAATTCTGATGTCTCAGCAGTCCCTCAAAGAAGAAGAAGAAAGACGCGAGCGTGAAGCAGCGTCCAGCTCTATGCCGAACTATGAAACGGAGGCAGTAGTACCGCCCATGTTAAAGCCTGCAGATATTGAACTATCCCAATTTGAGGACACTAACCATCTCATCCCCAATGACTTGGCGCTGTATGCTTTCGACTATCTACCTCCCGAGGATGATTTTACGGAAGAAGAACAAGCCCTTTTCATCGCTGCCTACTGTCAAAATCCCAAGAAATGGGGCAAGATAGCAGAGTCTATCCCTGGGAGAACGTATCAAGAATGCATCATTCATTACTACTTGACCAAGGTTCAGGCTCACTACAAAGACCTTTGGAGACGATCGCAGCCTAGGAAGCGTGGTCGTCGAGCGGCAACGACCAAGCCCCGTTCCACGGCTCTGATGTCTGAGCTTCTCAATGGTGACGAGGGAGAGGCGGCACCTGTGGCCGTTACAGACAGTGGAAGACCCAGGCGAGCAGCGGCACCGACATTTGGAGATGCTCCGAGTGAAGCTGACTCTTCAACACCTGTTCCACAATCAAAGAAGCTTACAGCGGCTCTGAAAGACGGCAATTCCGATGGTAGTGGAGCTAAGACGTCTCGAGGCCGCAAGACTGGAACGGCCACGAAGGTGCGGAGGACCAAGGCACAAATCCAAGCAGAGCAGCAGCAGCAGCAGCAGCAGCAGCAGCAGGCTTCTTTGCAATTGATTACCGCTGACGCCTCGCCCGGCGGCAAACCCGCAACTGCTGCCAAGGCTGAACGAGGGCGAACACTTGTTCGTGCTGAAAATGTGCCCATCAGGCCCGAACCTCCTCCTCCAATCGCGCCAGCGCAGCTGCCGGTTGAAGCAGGTTTACAGCACTATCCTGTATCAGATATCCCTGGTGGTCCTTTGGTCACTGCTGTGTCGACCGCATCATCACAAGTGACGAGTTATTGGTCCGTTCACGAAGTGAATAAGATGCCGGAACTTCTGTCGTACTTTGGCCGAGACTTCACGGCAATTGCTGACTTCATGAAGACTAAGAGTGCGACAATGATCAAGAACTATATAATTCGGCAAAACGGTGAAGCCAAAGAGGAGCTCGAAAAGGCTGCCCGGATCGGAGAGCAGATACGTGAACAGAGGGGTGTCACTGGGAAAGGTCCCCTGCCACCCCCCAGTCCGATCATGCCCGGAAAACGTCGATACGACACTACATTGGGGCCCTTGACTCGTCCAACCCACGGCGAACCGAGCATGATGGATGCTGACCCGGCAGTTGCAGCGATCAAACAGAGCAGCATTGAAGACTACCCGCGGAACATCCTCGAGAGGACGGCTCTGGGCGATATTGCTTCTCAAGCCCGCCCAGTCGTACGCGAAACACATCGTGAGGCCCCTCTGGTGCCTGCTCCGATTCAGATCAAGACCGAGGAGGTCCCAAGATTATCGAATGACCATCCCTCGCTCTTCAGCCAAAAACCGTTGCATGGCCCGAAAGCTGGCGTATTCCAAGACGATGTTGGCTATCAACCTTCCCGTCAGAATCTGAGGGCAGCCCTTCCAGAGCGGTCGCCTCAAGTCCTTACGCGGGGGCTGGCGGATATACCTCGCCCTGATCTAGGTCAACAATCCTTTCTAGCCGCCAATGGCACAGGCCTTCTAGGCTCGCGAGAGCATCTCGTCCCGACCCAGCAACGGCCTCAGCATCCTCCGGCTGCTCCTCTCCAAGGCATTCAAGCTCACACTGAAAAATATGCGCAGCAAAATGCCTTGCATCACAGCCATAGCCGTAACAGCAGCTCGACAATTCCGAACCACCTGCCCTTGGAGACGCCTCAAGACATGACGACTTTACGACGAATGGAAAGTCAACGTGCGTTGTACCGAACTGGACCCACGGGATCTCCAGCATTGGCACCAACACCAGTGACTGCCTCCCAGCTGCCTCGATCCGAGATATCACAGCCTGCTCCGGTGCCTCCTCCTGCAGAGCCCCCGAAACCCCCGGCCAAACGTTCGAATGTATTTGGTCTTCTTAACGATGATCCACCAGATCCACCACCAAAGCGACCCTCTCTTGAAGCCCCGAAACGAACATCCATTCTGTCTCCACAAATCACGCCTCTTCCCTCGGGGCATAGCCTGCTACAGCAGCCGCGAAGTCAGCATCATCCGGAAGATTCACTCCTAAACAGAACGGCACGAGGCCCATACGGACCCAGTACCAGCAACGTCCTCTCAGCGGGCAGCGGACAGCAATCACCGGCTGATTATCCCAGCTCATTTTCCGCCGCCCCAGCTACTGGCCCCAGCAATGAAGCATGGATGGATCGTTTTGATCCGCGGCCCCAGGGAGCTCCCAGCGACCAGCGCGGTCACCATCATTCACCTGCCCCGAGTCCTTACTCTGTACTTACTCCGACCTCCCAGCAGACCAGTATCCCTTCGCTCCATCCACTGCGGGTGGACACACCTCGAGCCGGGGAACGACCTGGAGTTGATCACCGACGGACGCTGCTGGGTCAGATCAACCAAATACCACATGTGCCCTCGCCTCCACCTCAACAACCGACGCAGCCGGTGTCGCAATTGCGATCAGCTTCCGCTTCATCGCATCATTCACGAGGGCCCTCTGCGGGATATGCTACTTCGCAGCCAGCGAGTCAATCGTCTTCGCTTAGTCACCAGACAGTTACGCAAAATCATTCTCATTCGGCAAGCTCAACTCCCGTCTCGAGTCTTCACCGGCCTCAGTCATCTCTCGAGTTCCCAACTCGACTTACGATCCAACAACATATGGCTCAACAAAACCAGAAGCAACAGGAGCAGCGTGAACATGAGAGGCACATGCAGCGCCATCGAGAACTAAGAGATTTAGAAGCGGCGCGACTGCGTGAACGGGAACGCGAGCGAGAACAGCAGCAGCAGCAGCAGCAGCAGCAACAACAACAACAACAACAACAACCACCGCCACCGCCACCGCCATCACAGTCCCAGCTGCAGCAACAGCAACAACCACAGTTGCGCCGGGAAATGTACGGTATCGAGCACCATGCAAACCCCCCTGTGTCCCGTCCGAACCAGTTGGGGGCAGCGGCGAATCAAAGCCACATGACATTCGGCCAGCATGAAATTCCCCGAACCTTTACGCCTCCCCACACGCACAGCAATTCTCACTCTCATTCTCACTCGCCGTTTCCTGGCCCGAGTCGTGGTCCCGGCGCCATGGGAACGCCTCATATACATCATCCGCATCCACATGCGCACCAGCACCAACACCAACATCATCAACATCAACATCAGCATCAGCACCAACACCAACACCAACATCAACACCAGCACCAGCACCAACCAGGACCGCTTCCACATCTACAGCCGCAAGGGCCAGGCCAACCACAGCCTCACTTGCATCATCCTCACCCGTCTCAGCCGCAAATCCTCCATCCGGGGGCCGCAGGGCATTTTCGAGGAATGAGCCAAGGTGAACCGAGACGCGATGAGAGAAGATGAATGACTTGACCGCAGATCTGTGTAGCGCTGCATTTAAGGGTGAAATGTACACGACGCCATTGGGGGGCTTTGCGCACGTTTAGGCTAAATCTTTGTCTGTGGCTCGTCCTGTCCAGTTTTCTATACATGTATGAGTGGATTGGGATAGGTGTAGGACTAGGAATCACGGCCATGAGGATCTGTGAACAAGAAGGAGTGGTAACCAGCAAGGGATGATTTTTACTCGGACGGCGATGGGAGAGGATTCCACCACAGCCATGTATCTAGGTGTCCAGTATTAGTTTCACGTGTCCCCAGAGGGAGACCTGTACTGTATCCGGTGAATAGGAGAATGAAAGGAGCAGCTAGGCATCTCTCACCTGGCTAGGTACATTGAACAACAGATATGGCTGTTGCCTGAACATATATTAAGATGGTGATAACAGAAGGACCTGCACCGCCACAGGTTGGAGGCACAGCGTTACAGATGTGATGCGTCACCGCAGATCAGCCAACACCATCAAGTTCCCACTGTGCCACTCCACAACCCCAAACGGTGATCAGCGCGAGAAAGAGAGGGAGAGACTCCTCCCACAGCTCTTCTATCACTCTCGGGTCTAAAAGGGCTTACGCGGTCCGTCGCTTGTGAGGCCGTTCTTCAACTCTTGATGCACATCGAGACGAATTCAGGAGATAAATTGTTCTCCCTTCCCTCGTCAGCCACTCGAGGACATCTGGTGTGATGCGACGACACCTCTCATTCTCCCTCCAACCCAATCCCCCGCGGCTGCTTGGGCCATGTGAACCTTAGGCAACCGCGATTTGGAAACTACTGAGTTCATGTCCAACGCGTCTCTCTCTCTCACACACACACAGAATCGATCGCTTGAAAACCCACAATGACACGCAAAACGTCTCTTCCATATCCTACCAGTCCCCCACCTCAGCCTCCATCGTCGAGTTGTGTCTCTGAAACACAATCCAACCTAGTACCGGACTCGGCCGATCTCCCTCCCCTCCCTGCCTCCTCCCAAAGGAGCCCGATTGCAGCAGGCACTTCTGGTTTTCAGGACGCAGAGAATCCATGGTCCGATCTGCCCACAAAAGACCAATCATCCACTCGACCGGTGCCCGATGTTCTCAGACCGGGGCGGCCTCACCCACCGGCTGGGACTGGCACCAACTCGCAGAGTCATGGCCTTTCGAATGTACCCCAGGTTTTAAGAGCAGGTCGGTCGCAGGAAGATACCCCTCGGTCCTCGCTGGACAGTCAACGTTCCAAAGATTTCTGGGATGACTCAGATGAGGAAGACGGTCGAGGCAAGAGTCCCAAAAGAGGACAAATTGCCCTTCCAGATAACGATCTCCATGCCGACCCGTGGGTTGATGTAGAGCCGTCAGATCAGTCTGCTGGGATCAAGAGGAAACCGGTAGGGTGGGGATCGTCACCTGTACAGTCGAGACCGGATGCACCCACCACTTCGACTTTCGCTTCAAATAATCCGTTTCGACGCCCCTCGGACTTTACCTCAGGAGATGAACGATTAGGAATCTCAGATCAGGATCAGGATAGTCCTGAGTTAGCGGGAAAGGCCAAAGAGTCGAATCGAGGGCGTGCCATACCCCCCACTGATCGTTTCCATGGCTTGAGCGTCGAAAGCGGCACGACACCCGGCCTGTCATCCTACAACACCAAGAAGGACGTGCAGGCAGCAGCAGTTCCATGGGGAACTGAGCATCAGACGGTAGCCCCTCCAATGCCCCAAGCTCCTCCTCCACCACCCCCGCCGGCAGAACCTCGATCTCCTTTCAGCGAACAGCCACCGCTCATGCCCGTATCTCCGCATCATGATCCAGTCGAAAACCCTTGGGCTTCCAATGTCAACCTTGCTCCGCCCACTCCGTCCCCGATTCCCTTCTCTCCGTCTCAAAGGCAAGTCTCCCATTATACCAACGATCTGTTGGTCCGTGGACCGCAAAGGGGAGTTGTGTCCCTCAAGGATGAACTAGAGACACTCCCAAATGCCGCTCCGGCAAGTACGGCAGCATACCATGAGCCTTCACTCCTAGAAGATGACGAGGCTCGGCCTCCTCTTCCCATCAGACAGGTACCTCGCGCGGAAACGGAGTATTTCGATCCTCCCGAAGGACCACCTCCACCCAAGCCACTCCGGCCGACGGTACGCACCACCATCCCATCAGATGAAGACGTCGCAAAGATGATTGAGCAAAGAAACGAAACATATCAGATCAAACATTTCAACTGGTTCGACCACGGCTCCCGAAAACTGAGGAGATCTTCGATGTTAACCCAGAACAAGAACGGCCCGTGTCCTCTTCTCGCGTTGGTCAATGCATTGATCTTGGGAGCGAAACACGAATCCCAGGCGGCACTAGACGAGGCGCTGCGGACGCGCGAGCAGGTGTCGCTCGGTCTCATCATCGAAACCTTGATGGATGAACTCCTGTCGAGAGGATTTGATGCCATAGGAGAAGTCATGCCCGATGTGGACGAACTCAACCATTTCTTGATGCGCTTGCGGACGGGGATGAATGCCAACCCCAGGTTTGTGCCGCCTGTTTCACCGGCGCCCAATTTGATGGATGCCGACGACTCGATGTTGAATATGCCGCAACAGCACCGAGCGAAACAAAAACTAGGGACGTTTGAGGCTACCCCCGACATGAAACTCTACGGAGCTTTCCAAGTCCCCTTGGTCCACGGCTGGCTTCCCGAGCCAGGATCGGAAGCTGCCCGGGCGTTTGCCCGATCTGCCCAAACCTACGAAGATGCCCAGGCGCTCCAGTTTGGGGAGGAGGAGTTGGAATACAAGCTCACGACTCAGGGGCTGACGCCCGCCGAACAAAACATGTGGGAGGATATCATCGCAATCAAAAATTTCCTCAAAACATACCCCACGCAACTCACTCCTTTCGGTCTTGAAGCGGTACAGGGCTCGATCCCATCAGGCTCGTTTGCCATCATGTTCCGCAATGATCACTTTAGCACGATCTACAAGCACCCTGAAAGTGGGCAAATCTTCACCTTGATCACGGATGCCGGGTACGCAGATCGGGATGAAATCATTTGGGAAAGCTTGGTCGACATCAGCGGCAAACGTAACGAGTTCTTCTCGGGCGATTTTATGCCCGTGAGCCATGATAATGTTGGAGATGAGGCATCGACCCATCCGGCGGCTCGACGGTCGTCGCAGCTTTTGACCGTCAACAATGCCCCGCCCGCGACGCCACTTTCTCCACAAGAACAGCAGGAACAACACGATGCGGACTTTGCCATGGCACTACAATTGCAAGAAGAAGAGGAACAACGACAACGGGCGGACCGCAATCGGCGACACGGGAGCCATAGCGGCACGAGCGGCACGAGCAGCACGCAGCAGAGAAGATCACAATCGGGGAATATCCCGATACCTCTGCGTTCCACACATCCGCCAGAAGTACGACCGCCGATCCCGCCCCGCGTCTCTCACGCCCCGACTCCTGCTGTCCATCGCCCCTCGGACGCCCTGGTCGAAGACGCGCCTCCTGCTTATGAGGAAGCCGCAAAGGGCAGACCATACATTCCGCCACTGGGCAGCCCGCTGCATCCCTCGGCGGAACCGTCTCCTATGAACTCGAACACACAGCTGACAGGTACCATTAGTAACATCAGCACCCACTCGGCGTCGGGCATGGCTGACAATTCCTATCATCCACCAGGCCCGAATGCGGGCAGGAGAGATCCAAGACGTAGGTTGAGTGCATACAATGAGACGTCTCAGTATTATACCAGCTCGCCTCAACGGTTGCAACCGCAGCAAGCAGTCCCAGGCCCGTCTGGCAGGGCGGGAAGGCATGGGCAGGATCGGGACTGTGTCGTTATGTGAGGAAGAAGGTAGTGTATGAAATAGCGAAACTTTACGGGATACGGAATTATGAAAAGCGTACGCTGAGGAAGCTCTATTTGTGTGTGGACTTGGACTGTTCTCAAGCGTATCATAATACTGGATTAGTGCTCTGGCGGTCACCGTAACAATGGAGTAAGTAGGGACACTTGAAGTGCAGGAGGGTGTTGTCTATAAAGGCAAGGCTAGTGAGGGACACGTCTGAGGAGTCCCTCGGGACCAAGGGGTATAACTACACTCGATGATAGCCCAGTGGCCGCTGTCACAAGTGAGTCGAGTCCATTTAGTTGAAAGTGAGGTGAGTGTCTGTTCCAAAAGATAGTACTACTATACCTTAGAAAGGACGACTACTGGAAGTCGGAGAAGATTATTATTCTACTCTTGTCACAGTGGACCTCCGTGGACGCAAAGCCTTGCGACAGCACTTGGCCAATAGCGAGCTTTTACCATCCATCATCCATGTCCCATTTAGATATAGATGTGGTCAGGAAATACCGTGTCGCAGTCACAGACGACGACCCTTACTTCCCGCATCCTCACCTCGATCCCAGCCTCGGGCGACGTTTTCGCAAACCTACCCCGAAGCAAGCGAGTTCGTCGTCAGAGGTAACCGGCAATTAAAGCAGCACGTTTTAAAGCTCCCGGCGAGGTTGTTAGAACAGTGGGAGCGGTGGGGGGATGAGGATGTGGAAGCCACGGAGTTTGACCCCTTTGAGCGAGATGCTGGAGACGAGCAAGTGGAAGGTGAGTCAGAGGCAGCTGATCTCGAGGCGGAAGAGCATGGTTCCGTGGAGGACGACGACGGCGATGATGCAGACGACACTTCGGAGGATGAGGAACGAGCAACGCTGAACGACGTGGCTGATGCACGACAACCAATCGTATCGTCGACAATCCGAACTCACGAATCGGGAATCATACTGTGGGGTGTGAGTTGTATCACGCCCGGTGGAGCCTTGTGCATCCACCTCCTACGGAACATCCTGATATCTTGCATGGGATGTGGTATGCTGGGTTTTGTCGTCTTCAGTCGGTGGGACCAGGATGGTAAGGCCTCCCTTGACATGGCCATGAGAGGGCAGCCGGGTTACAAGGTGCCTGGCACAATGCATCAGAGGAATGTTATAAAGGGAGCACGATTTCCCCCCCCCAACAACCGTCCCGTCGTCTTTCTGTTTTTCATTCCCAAGTCTTCTGCTTCTCCTGTCTTGTTCCTATTCTCGGAGTAAAGCCAGCAGACACCTTCTCTACCACCACCATGGCATCTGCTACTACCCACCCAGACTACGGCTTCAGCACAGAAGGCCTCACTGTCGCCGCGGCCTTCCCGTCGGCGATCAAGGACCGCACCATCCTGATCACCGGAGTCAACAGAAAGGGCATCGGCTACTCGACGGCCGAGTCCTTCGCGTCCCAATCTCCACGTCGTCTCATCCTGGCCGGCCGCTCGGCGTCGCGAGTCCAAGAGTGCATCGACGACCTGAAATCCACTTACCCCAATGTCGACTACCGTAGCCTGCAGGTCGACTTGTCATCCCAGAAGTCTGTCCGTGCTGCCGCAGCGCAGGTGATGGGCTGGGACGACGTGCCCACGATCGACATCGTGATCAACAACGCCGGCATCATGAACATCCCCCAGCGCACCATCACCGAGGACGGCGTGGAACTCACCATGGCCACCAACCACGTGGGCCACTTCCTGCTCACCAACCTGATCATGCCCAAGGTCCTGGCCGCGGCACACGCCGCGGGCAACAAAAAGGGCGCGGTACGCATCATCAACCTGGCGAGCCAGGGCATCTACGTGGGCGGCGTGCGGTTCAGCGACATGACGTACGAGAAGCCCGTGACGGCGCTGCCGGACGACGAAAAGCCCAACATCGCCATGATGCAGGCGTTCAACCTCCCCGTGGACGAGAGCATGGCGTACATCCCGACGGCGGCGTACGGGGCGAGCAAGACGGCGGCGGTGCTGTTCAGCGTGGGGCTCAACGACCGCCTGGTCGCGCGCCACGGCGTGCTCAGCCTCGCCGTCAACCCGGGCGAGATCCAGACCGAGCTGGCCCGCTACACGGACCCGGACATGCTCAAGACCATGCTCGGCGTCGCCGCCGCCCGGGGCATGGTCTTTAAGTCCCAGCAGCAGGGGTGCAGCACGACCCTGGTCACGGCCGTCGACGACAAGATCGCCCTGCCCGCCGACGACGGCACCGGTGTCTTCTTCGGCGACTGTCAGCCGAAACCGACCCCGCCGTACGCCGTCAAGAAGGAGTACGCGACCAAGCTGTGGGAGTATAGCGAGAAGGTGACCGGGGAAAAGTTTGCATGGTAGATTTCGAGATAGCGAGCGGTAGACCCTTCAAGATCCGTGGATCGGAAGAGAGGATAAAGGGCAAGTAGAGGAGGAGGAGGAGGTTCAAAATCAGAGCAGGTGGGAAGTTAAAGGGGGGAAGGGGAAAAGGGGGGAATAGCTCCCATTCGCAGTGACCGACCGCTATTATACTATCCCCGTCCGGACAGTTCAATCAATGTACGAAAGAGGACGGACGGACTGACAGATGATGATCTACCATGGGCGCATTGAAGGTGGTTGGTTTTCCTGTCTGCTGATGCATGGTCTCTTTCTGCATCACGGTTGTCCCACCTCGCGATCAGTCGAGCACTTTGATTCCACCAATGAAGCCATCGTTGTCCTTGCGAGTTTCACCGGGCATTCCCCCTCCGTCTCCTATCGTCTGGTCGTCGCCCGCCAACGCCGTCTCCGCCGCCTCCCTCTCCCCGATATACGTAACCACCACGTCCGCAATGTGACTGGGCAGCGGGTCCGCGCCGCCACGGTCTTCCTCGTCGCGGACGAAGGCGTCGAACCGCGCGTCGCGGGTCACGCGCAGGATGGTCGAGAAGTTGTTCGTGTAGCTCACGCCGTTGCTATACAGCGCGGCCACGCCACAGGCCAGGCACGCCGCCGAGAGCGTGATCGCGGCGCCGTACGCGATGAACAGCGTCCGCGGGTTGTAGGCGAAGGTGTTGAGCGAGCGGCGCAGTGTGGCCGGGGTGGTGACTTGTGCGTTGAATTGTGCGGCGCTGCCCAAGGTCGTGCTGATGATTTGTGGCGGGGTGGGTCGTCAGTAAACACTGTATTTCACTCGTGCCACGGAATGGAGGTGGGTGGATGGATGGAGAAAAGAGACTTTTCGTTTGCGAAGGAATTGGACAGGAAGGACTTACTCTGGCACTTCCCCAAACCGATAACTCAGGGTGAAGTTGTGGAATAGATTCTCCAGCGCGGCAGCGAACTCGGCGAAGTTGACCGGGCCGCCAGAAGACGGGAGGAGGTAGGGCATGATGGCCGGGCTGGCCACCAAGCTGCTGAACTGTGTACTGTGCCAGTCCGAGGCATACATGGGAGTCGTCAGGGTGGCGCCGATCACGTACACCACGTACGACTGCATCAGGGTGAAGTATTCAAACATCTGAGCCGCTGCGGACTCCGAGACGCTGCCGGGCAGCGAGAGCGTGGCCGGCACGGGCTCGAGCAGGGTCCGCGCCGCCGTGATGGTCTGTTGGCCGTCGCCGTGGAGCTCGAACTGGACATCGTACGAGGCGTTGTGCAGCGAGCACTCGAGAATCTGCAGATACCCCTCAGCGTTTGGGATGACGGTCATGTTGTCCGAGAGGTACAGCGTGTGATACACCTTGGCGGCATCCTCGGAAATCAAATCCAGGCCCAGGTTGGGATCGACGGCGCTTGCGGCACTGAGAATGTTGTTGAAGAATGTTCCGTTCATGTCCGGGCCGAAATCCCCAACGGGGTAGAAGGAGGTCCAGAAGAGGAAGTCGCCTGTCTCGTTGATCGAGTCGTCCATGGCCGAGACGATGAATGAGCGCGTCTCGTTGGAGGGCGGCAGGCATTGCACCGCGGGGCCGTAGAAGCTTTGCGTATACGTGAGATTCTGGTTCGAGGAGCCGCCGGACACGGGGAGAAGGCTGGCTTCGACCAGGCTCAGCTGGCTCAGGTAGTTCAACATGGTCGACACGCCGGGGTACAGCCACGAGCCGTCGCTCGCCGTGTTGATCCGGTTGGCCAGATAGTCATTCCGTTGAGCAACGTTGGTCGTTACAGCGCTGGCATGGACCTTGGGTCCCACGGAAATCGTTGCTGGGGTGAAGATTGCGGACAGTGGTACAAGCCTTAACATGAACGTTAGCGGGGAGTAGCTCGGAGACTTGAAGACGGTGAGTCTCCTTACCAAGTGGTGGCTGCAGTCAGGGTCAAGATAGGGTGCCCAAGCCAGAAGCGCAGATCCAGGAGCACGAACGGATTCCCCAGAACGCTAAAGAGCGAGTCCATCGATCGCACCTCGACACATTGCGATCTCATCGACGACCACATGCACTGCGTGAATGCGATGGACGACGAGGTGGCCAAGAGCACTTTGACCACGAATGCCAGCGCAGACCCGGCCGAGGTGACCACCTGCTGCTCAAAGTCGAAGGTGATGGCGCGCCCGTCGACGCACGAGTACAGGATGTGGTGTGACACTGCGCCAATGAGGGCAGCGATGAACGACGAGGCCATCAGCGTCGGGGCCCTCCAGTGGATGCGTCGTCGTCTGGTCGAGGACAGCGTCGCGTTCGGCGGTTTCCATACGGCTGAGACATCAGATGAACGGCTTGATGCTTCAGCTTCAGCCCTGCCGGCTTGAAAAGCGTTGCTGGACATCGATGCCATGGCTGGACAGACGCAGGGCGCAGACAACCATAAGAGAGGACTGTCTCCGTGGTGCGTTTCGTTCCATTATATGTTCATGTTTTCGCTGCCCATGCACTGCCCAAGGATGAAGACGATAACAGGTCGACGTGGTCTGGGCCACTCAGTCCAGTTCAGGACAATCATAAAAAGATAAAAGCATGCATACAAGGCAGGCCACCGGTGTTTGAGATGCGGTTGCCTGTGCGCCTCCGTAGGCTCTGGATTGGTGATGTCGATGAGGCTGGCCCGTAGGCCACAGAAGGAAAGGTTGATGGAAGCGCCAGCATTGTTGGTGACGGAAACGGGGGCTGATATCGCAAAGCCTGGTATGCAACGCATCCATCTGCTCGTATTTCTTTGAGAAGAAATCTGGCACATGAAACATGTCTCTCGTGCAGATGGCGCTTAACCATGCAACCCTCACCGTCGCCAGAGGCGCCTGCTCAGCCGCGTTGGGGAAGTCGAAGCTGATTGGCTCTTCTTGGCCTCCGCTATCGGAGCGGAGAAACTGCCGGACTGTGCCGCCGGTCGCCGCTTCCTCCTCCTCCAATGCGGGGGTTTAGGATATTATATACAAAGCGAACCGTACGAACTACTCGGTATGTATTAACAATAACTCGAGGTTGGTTGTGGAGAAAGCTGTGATCTTCTCGGCTCTCTGTCAATTTATCTATATATCTATCTTTTCTTCTTCTTCTTCTTTCTTGCTTTCTTCCTGATAGTTTGGGTCGCCGTGTTTCCTGTCAGCGGGACGTCGTTCCAGAGACCGAATCTGAAATTCATTCTGTATCTGCTGCGAGGACCCTACTCGGTCCATATCCTGGTCGAACCACCAAGTTGTCCGGAATAAACAAGCTTCCAGAGGAGGTACCAACAGCAGTGATAACATACCATCACCACCTCAGCCATTGCAAGAGAGACGGAGTGACTCCGTGACTATTGTCCACACTCAAACCTCGACCAGCCTCTCAACCTCTCAACCTTTCAACCATGGCCGCCCCGGTCCTCGATTCAACCCCCTCCACTCCGAGCTCTGCGCAGACATTCCGCATCCTCGTCCTCCCCGGCGACCACGTCGGGCCCGAAGTCATGGACGAGGCCCTGCGCGTGCTGGACACCGTCGAGATCACCTCCCAGGGCCGGCTCAAGTTCGTCTTCAACCACCAGATCTGCGGCGGGTGCAGTATCGACAAGCACGGCACGCCCATCACGGACGAGGTGCTGAGGATCGCCAAGGAGGAGAGTGATGCCGTGTTGTTTGGCAGCGTGGGCGGACCGGAATGGTAGGTGTTTGTTTTCATTACCTTACGCATTCCCTCCCTCTTCTGCCTTTTCCCTATCTATCTTTGTTGTACGTTTTTCGTGCTCGAACTTGTGTCCTTTACAAAAATTAATGGTGATTTAAGGGGAACGGCCTACCCAAACCCGGAATCTGGCCTCCTCCGCCTCCGCCAACACCTCGACGCATTTGCCAATATCCGGCCGTGCACGTTCTACTCGCGCTCGCTGATCCCGCTTTCTCCTCTCAAACCCTCTATCGCCGAGGGCACAAACTTCATCCTGCTCCGCGAGAACTGCGGCGGCGCCTATTTTGGCCCCAAAGTCGAAGAGGCCGACTTCGCCAGCGACTCGTGGGCCTATGGAAGGCCTGAAATCGAACGGTGTGCCCGGGTGGCGGCGGCCCTCGCGACGACCATGGGGAAGGACGGCAAAGGCACGGGAAACTGCCCCGAGGGACCTGCGACCGTGTGGTCCAGCGACAAAGCCAACGTGCTTGCGTCGGGTCGTCTGTGGCGAAAAGTCACCTCGGAGGTTTTTGCCAAGGAGTTTCCTCACATCGAGCTCAAGCATCAATTGGCAGATAGCTTGTCGATGCTGATGGTCAAAAACCCCAGGATGTTCAACGGCGTCATCCACACCGACAACACCTTTGGGGACATGCTGTCTGACCAAGCCGGCGGCGTGGTCGGCACGCTGGGCGTGTTGCCCAGTGCCAGTCTCTCTGGCATTCCGGACGGGAAGACCCGATGTAACGGGATTTACGAGCCGGTGCATGGATCGGCGCCAGACATCGCCGGAAAGGGCATCGTGAACCCCGTCGCGCAAATCCTCTCGGCGGCCATGATGCTGCGGTATTCCTTCAACCTGGCCGTCGAGGCCGCCGCCATCGAGGCCGCGGTGGAAAAGGTCCTCGATGGGAAGGACATTGGCGGCCTCGAGATTCGGAGCGGGGATCTGGGCGGAAAGGCCACGACCAAGGAGATAGGCGATGCGGTGTGCTCGGTCCTCGAAGAGATCTTGATGGGCAACGCCACGGGCATCCGGGGAAAAGCGAACGGTGAAGCGGCGAGCGCTGCAGCCGGGCAGACAACCACCCTGGCGACACATGCGAAGGACAATAAGAAATGGGAAGAAAAACTGGAGAAGGAGGGTGTTCCGACCGGGCCCAGGGAGGCTTTGGCTTTGTGAGCTTCTTGGATCTCCAGAAGGAAAAAGAAGAAAAGAAAAGAAGAAAGGAGCACTGTCCATGAGTTAGTTTTTCCCATGCGGTCGCCTGAGACAGCCCATGCAGGCGACTCGGTGTTTTGTTTGTGGTTTCAACATTCTCTGTGTCCCTGGTACTCTGTCGCGGAAGATATTAGATCGGATGGTATTGAACCTTCTTCCACCATCCTTGATTCCACCATGGGCGTAAGCCTTGAGGAAGAGGTAGACCTAACTTTCTCCATTTGCGATGGTTCGCTTCATGCAGTGTGGGGGGCGTGCATACGCCAGCCGGCGGATACAGGGCCGATTTGACCCGGACAGAGATTCATACTTGGAACATCAACAGGTGTCCAGGACGCGCTCTTCTGTCCTCGTCAGCCTTGTTCTCAAGATGTCGCTGATTCCGCGGCTCGATCCCGCTTCTACTACCAGCATTTGACGACTTAGTTGCTTCAGTGTCAGTTTTCTCACCATCTTAAAATGTATCGTCATGCGCTTTCTTTGGTAGTCATCAACGTAGCCAACCGGCCCGAATGGGTAGAGGATGGTCGGAATTGGGACGGGTGATGCTTTTCCTTTCTGTCTGGTGCCATATCCAAAAATTCTTTAGTCTCCATCACAGAGTATCAGAAGCGAAGCCATGGAGAGAAGGGACTTGGAGCAGTTTCGCGTTGCAGTGGGAAGAGAGCGTGGGGATTGTAGAGCTTGAAGGAGGGCCTGCATATTTCAGAAACAGCAGACGTGGAGACCTTGGCCCAAAAAGCAATGGAGATACTGTAGATCAATAACAGAAAACTGGACAGGTCAAAGGAAGAAAGAGCACATCTTTGGCAACGGACTCTCCATGTGGCAAGTCTGATGTCTTTGGGAGGCCTTGTATCGTTACTCGTCAAAGGTATGTGTCGCATTCGCCGTTCAGCCATAAAGACAATCTGGATCGCAACGCCACGCCAACCTCAGAATTGATCTGGTCACCAAGTTAGTGTCCACCACAAGGTATCTTCGAGCATCTCAAAACTCACCAAGCGTCATGCTCATGCTGACATCCGTACTCTCGACCATTTGTGTGAATTCAGAGAAGCTAATTTTTCCGTCGCCATCTTTATCGGCCTCCATGATGGTCTTGTCCACAATCTGTTGCAGCTGCTGGTCCTTCAAGTTCGAGCCCACCATCATCTTGAGCACAATGAACAACTCTCCGTTGGAGATGTACCCGTCGCGGTCAATATCGTAGACCTTGAAGGCGAACTTCAGTTTTTCTTCTTTGTTGCCCTTGGAAGAGAAGGCAGAAAGCCCCAGCACGAATTCTTGGAAGTCAACGTCGCCGCCTCCGTCTTCGTCGAAGATAGCAATCATTCTTGTGAAGTATTAGCTAGAGGCTGCCAGAAAGGTCCGTAGGCGGCCATACCTGGTCGCCAAGGGGTTCGATGATACTTGGGGTAATGAGAGGAACTCTTCGCGTTCAATTGTGCCGCTGTTGTCCTTTTGTGGTCGTTCAAGTTAACAACCGACCCACACAGTCTGTGGTGGAGGATGGCCTCACCTTGTCCAACTTCATGAACCGTTTTCGCAGTCTGTCCACCTCATCGCGATCGACTATTGGAAAGGCTCTGTTTAGCACGTGCCCTGGTTGCGTTCTCGGATGCAACAATCCAATATTGGCTTCCACTTCAGTTGAGGCTCTAACGTACAATTCGAGAAGGAGACGATGTTATCGAGAATCTGCGTGCCCGTGACTTGCTGCCGTCTTCGAGCATCGTATAGAGCCGCATTGTTGGGTTCCGCAACCGTGGAGGCTTGGGCGCCAAATGCTGGCGTAGCCATGGTGGGCGATTGAGGGGTGCGACAGTCACAATTGAAAAGCGGGTTGTCGTCGCGCTCGAGTGTGAGGCAGCAGTTTCGGAGAGGGATCAAACTGAAGTGCGGACTCGTCAGGGTGCAGTTATAGAAGGTGAGATTTAAGTGTGAGAAGGGGAGTTAAGAAGCTGAAAAAGACTATGGAGTACAAGGCGAGTTTCAAGCCATGTATCTTTCTCAGCGCAGCCGCATGCACATGGGGGGTTTCAATGAACGGCGTCCGATTCGCCCGAACGGGGCAGACGCATGAGTCACGTGATATTTGTCCGTTAATGGACTAGACTAAATGCCACAGGTGGCTGAGATTTCTGTGGCGGAAGGAAAAGAGATTTGCCAATTGGGTGGTATGTTGGCTACGGGTGAATTACGAGGTCCGTGGCTGAATCTACAAGCGGTAGTACTGTGCTCCTTGCAGTGGTAGAAATCACCATCGTCCACCATCAATTCACTTTTCGAGGCGTATGGCGGGGTACTGTAAATACCCACAATGTTGTTGCAGTAGGAGTTGGGCACGCACTGGGGAAACGGCTTGTATCTAAAGGGTTGGAGGGTTGATCACTGCAGATGCCTGCACTGACGGGCAACCCAAACAATTTGCCCAGTGCGGGTGGTGCTTGGTGGTGCTGTCATGGTACTGGCCCCGAGACCTCCCCTATGAATGCCTAAAGTTACTAGCTTCCAGGCTACCCTACCAACACCTGAACAACTTCCCGCCAGACGCCCCCCCTTTCTCCCTTCCCAACTGGTGTGTCCCGCAGGTGGTGGCAGCGCAGTGCAAAGCTGATCCCCCGTCACTCTGCCCTTGGAGTTTTCACCCTCTTTTTCCACTGTTCACCTGCAACTGCACCACCACAACTCCAGCACCCGCCTACCATCAAAAATCATCCGCCATCGTCGTCCTAATTTTGCACTTTTCATCATTTTGAAATCGGATTCATAATCCGAGTGCATCAAATTACTAGTGATGCGAACTTGAGGAATTTTGGACTCCGTTTTACTACTTTTTCACGGTGGTTGTGCATGTTGTTGCGGTGCGTGTGCTGAGGTGTGGTTTCACTCCCTCGCTCCCTCCATGAGCGAGTCACCACCTTGAAAATTCCTCATGTCCACCCGCGGCCGCGCCACCCGCCCAAAGAAACTCAACTCCAAGCAAAATGTCCAAATTTTCCGTGAGGATCAGGTTGATCCTCCTTCTGACTACGACATCCAACGTGCTGCAATAGAAACTGGTGTTGAAAAGGCCGAAGAATCAGTATGTGTTCCTGGGGTCCTCGTCACTTCTTCACCCATTCTTCTGTTGCTGTGTCCTTTTCTCGCCTGCTTAGTCATCACAAGATCTTGGCAAGACACTCACCGGTTTGCAGGAATACCATCTCCAACAGGCCATCAAAGCATCCGAAGCTGCAAAGGCTGGTGCCAAAATCAAAGATGCTTACATTCCCACTCCACCTACCATCGCCAGCGATGTCCAGTATGACGTTCTCTACCCGAAAGGGTTTCAACAACCCGCCACCTATATCCGCTCCTCCGCCACAGTCGAAGACTGTTCGGGAGTTGCGTATTGCATGGACGAGGAAGATGAACTTGCCTTGAAGTTAATCAACGGCAAATTGCCTGCTGGACAGGAGCCGTGCACCGAAGACCAATTTGAAGTGGTCATGAATTTTTTTGAAGAGACCGCGCAGGCGAAGCAGCCTTTTGCCGCCGTCGATAGCCCCCCCGTCTTACCTTTAGAAGAACTCGAGGAGCAAATCGACGACACCATCCCTCCTTTTGTCCGCAACCTCTCCGGGTTCATATATGAACACTGGAAATCACGGCGGACGGAGACTGGTAATCGTCCATTGGCTCCCCGCCTCAAGTTCGAGACCGGACAGGAGTCCGACGACAGCGATCCGTATGTATGTTTTAGACGACGTGAACTGCGACAAATCCGAAAGACCAGGAATCGGGATGCACAGAGCGCCGAGAAGCTGCGGAAACTCCGCATGGAGCTGGAGACGGCGAGAAATATGCTCCTGATGGTCAAGAGGAGAGAGCAGCTTCGCAAGGAAGCCCTCGAGGTCGATAAACTGGTCTTCGAGCAGAGGCAGGCGCTCCGCGACACAAAGAGGAAATTGGGCATGAAAGGCGACGATGACCTCCTCATCAACCAAAAGGTAAAGCAAACCCGTTCCAGAAAGGCGAACTCGAACTCACCTCTTTCTCAGAAACAGAAAATACCCCCGGGAATGACACCAAATCAAGCCGCTCTCGCTCAGCAACTCAGGATGCCCATGGCTCCTGGTTCGGGTCCCGAACTGCGCACGCTGGAAGAAGTGACCGCTATTCGAGAACGTGAAATCCAAAGGGAGATCCAAATCAATGTTGAGAAACACATCAAATGGAATGAGGGTTTCGTCGACAAGACTATGGCACCGCTTACGCCTGAGCGTGAAGATGATTATCCTTCGCCGGGCGAGCATTTCCGCGAGGCAATGGCTGCGACTGAATACTTGCCAACACCGCCAGCTAGTATCTCGGATGAAGAGTCGCAAGAACTGCCCAATGGAACAGATGTTGTGATGAAGGACATATCCCGACCGTCGACACCTTTCCGATATGCCAGTCCGGCAGATGAAGATTCTGTCGGGCATATGCCTTCCTTCAGACGGAGGATAGGGCGTGGTGGGCGTATCATAATTGATCGAAGACTCCCTCGCATGCGACGAGAGTCCGTGGCTGATGATTGGTCCAAAGATGATCGGTTCAAGTTTGACTCCGACGACGAAGATTTCTCTGATGCTGATCCCAACTTACCCGACCTGACTTTCGCTCGCATGTCCCAGCGCGCGTATCTCATCGGCGGTAGCCGACCGATAGACGCACAACTGATAGCAGCGAGGAGATCACAGTCCGAAGCCGCAGGGCCCAGTCACTCTTCTCCAGCAGGACAACACCCACAATTGACCCCTGCACCTTCTTGACATGTTATGATTATTTTGGATAACATCTTTTTGCCTTTGCACTGTTCTCAGAGAGTACAATTCACAAGACTCTCTCCTCAAAGTTCGGATGAACCCGGGCTCTTGTCAGGATTTCCAGTGACAACAGAAATTGCCCTCTTGTGCGGCATTGTACGATCGGGGACCACGTTCGAAGGAGCTCATGAGCTTCCTGGCCGCGGAGTCGTCCCGGTGGGCTGTTTGGAGGATGGTAGAACTGTACATAGTATCGAGGCCAGCGCCTTCGTCAAATGAAAACGATGAAAACATCGCAGAGAATTTCGTGTTGAAACCCCACAGTCCGTTGCCAAAGCTGGTGAACTCCAGGGTGGCAAGGAAAGAGTCGCAGTCGACGTTGGCGAGAATCCTTTCGACTGCAATCTTGCAGTTTCAGTTGTCTGCATGTCATTTTCGCGACGATTTCTTTGGTTTGTTATCGAAGTCATCGTTGATTCGCCGTTTGGTGGATCTTGCTGTCATCTCCTCGTTCTTCTGTGCAATGTGGGCCTGGCACAGTCCGATCAGCTGGTTTAAGATCTCCTTCTCTCCAATTCTCACTTGCAGAGCCATGACGAATCGATTCTTGTTGCATTGGGAGGGGATGAGTGATTGGGATGATTCAGAACCCGCCAAGGACTCCAGAACAAACCGGTCGGCCTCTAGAGATGTGCCATATTCTGACAGTCTTTTCGTGAGGACAGACTGCAGTAGTGCGGCCTCCTTGATGCTGACAGTGTCTCTTGGTGATTTTGTGGGCTCCATGCACAGAGCACGCAAGAGCATATGCAGCTGTCCCGGTATGGCCTGATCAAGCTCTTTCACTGCTGGAGCAGCTCTAGGGATGGCATAGCCATCGTCAATGACACCTATTTCCTCAAGTTGTTCTGCTCGTTTCAACCAAGCCGCATCTTTAGTGCCGTGATTCTTGCCAGCCACTTCGAGAAGAAGCTCATGCGATATCTCGACAACGTCATACTGAGCATAGTTATCAGTAATGTAGCCGTACATGCGGAGGAGGTCTGAACGTGGGAGCGGGCCATAGTCGTTGAAGATCTGCTCGCTGGCTTTGATATGCTTGGTAGACCTCATGATGAGGTAGTCGGTTTCTTGAAAGAGTCGTGCCTGTATGCGGAAAAACACAAGTCAGCTTTCTGCAATCCTGTAGGCAGCAGAGGACGACCTACGTTGTTTCTGTGGGCATCTGCGTTCAACATGTCAGCAAAAGGCACCATACCCTTAAGCGGCTCATCTTCATCATCGTCTTCGAACTCGTCTTCCGAGCCATCGCTCGCACCGTTCTTTTCATCGTCTTTGTCAATGTCGAAAGCATAGGCCATAATTGAGCTGCCCGCCATGTGGGCAAGCTTGATCAATTGCTCTGTGCGGTCGGAGTCACTTTGACCAGCCACAGGAAACAGATCAGGGTGTGACAGCATGATTGGTATCATTTTCTCTTTCCAGGACTCTTCAGCTTGGTTTCTACGGATCTTGTCGACCACGGCACTGGCCTGCAATGTCTTGAGCTCTTCAGCATTCCAAAACATGAGACTGTCGAACTGCGTAGGGAGGACTTGAAAATAGGCATGCCATGGTGAACTTTCGTTTCGCAGGTATTCATAGATGAGAGTGACGATCAAGGGCTGCCACTGTCCGGTTTCACTAAGAGGTTCGAGCACAGCCGGGGGAATGCTTGACGTTGTGGCTGTAAGCACAAGAGATCGAGGAATAGCGAACAACTCCTCATCCTCTTCGATGTCCTCAACAGCGACTGTAGGGAGAAATCAGTGGTCGGCATTCCAAAGGGAGTTGGGCACAGCGAACCTGCTCCTCTGCCCGCATTTTCACTTCTCAGATCCTTGAGCTGGACCTTGGGACTCAACCGAGTCCCATCGGCGGCAGTGAACCATTCGACGAAATGGGCAGTCGCTCGGTCAAAATTCAAGCGTCCAAGTGGTTGGACAACGTCGACCATCGCTGCGAGAGAGTAGGAGGAGCCAGAAACAGGAAAGGGAGTGTATTAGAATGGAGGAATTGGGAGTTGTTGTGTGCGAGGAGAAGCATAGTGGGATGAAAGAATGACCGAGACCAGTTGAGAGCCAAGAACGGATCAATTTACGCATCTCCGATTGGCTGCCACACCGGTCAGCCTAATAGAGCGACATAAAACCGACTCCACAATCGCCCTCGATCCCTGTGAGTCTGAGCCTCGAGAGTATTTTTCTCGATCGCAGCACCAGGCTTTAATTCACCTGTATTTCCGTGCCGGGACTCTACAAAAACAGCCAAGACAAAATTGAAGGGCTGGACAGATTGAAATCTGGTCGAACCTTGCTTGTTTACAGACCTATTGCTCTACGTTGACGCCACCCCACGACTCCACAAACATACAGAATTCTTCAGAGAGGGGACTTCCTTTGCGCCTGACAGGATCATGTGTTAATCAACAGCCAACTATAAACTGTCAAATCCCGACGAAGGCAAAGAAAGTGTTGCCGTAGTCCCAGTCAAAGCGTTGGCCCCCGGTCAATTTCACAGAGTTGGCGCCACAGCACTGGGAAGAAAACCGAAACCAAATACTGGCTTGTAAAGGTGACAAGGACACACATCTGAACCTGTTAAACCCAAATCCAATACCATCGAGTCCACATTTCCCATAACCATGATCGCTCTCGGCCTGGAAGGCTCCGCCAACAAACTGGGCGTGGGCATCATCCTGCACTCCAAGGATAAACGCAACCCAGTCCAAATCCTGTCGAACATTCGGCATACTTATCATGCTCCGCCCGGCGCAGGGTTCCTGCCCAAGGACACGGCCTTACACCATCGCAGCCACGTCGTGTCCTTGGTCTCCAGCGCACTGCGCGAGACGAACCTCACCCCGGCTGACATTGACTGCATATGCTACACCAAAGGGCCAGGCATGGGTGCTCCGTTGCAGTCCGTTGCGCTGGCCGCGCGCACGTTATCGCTGCTCTGGAACAAGCCGCTGGTAGGAGTGAACCACTGTATCGGGCACATCGAAATGGGTCGGTCGATCACGGGCGCCACGAATCCGGTCGTCCTTTACGTGTCCGGCGGCAACACTCAGGTCATAGCCTACACGTCGAACCGGTACCGCATATTTGGCGAAACATTGGATATTGCGGTGGGGAACTGTTTGGACCGGTTTGCGCGCACCTTGAATATCCCCAATGACCCAGCACCGGGGTACAACATCGAGCAACTCGCTAAATCGGGCAAAGTGTTGGTCGATTTGCCTTACGCAGTCAAGGGCATGGATTGCTCCTTCTCCGGAATTTTAGCACGTGTCGACGAACTCGCCGCCCAGATGAAGAGCGGCAGCCTGAAGGATCCAAGCACCGGAAACATAGTCACGGCAGAAGATCTCTGCTTCTCGCTCCAAGAGACTGTCTTCGCCATGCTCGTTGAGATCACGGAGCGTGCCATGGCACACGTCGGCTCACACCAGGTTCTCATCGTTGGAGGGGTGGGATGCAATGAACATCTTCAAGACATGATGGGGATCATGGCGAGGAGTAGAGGAGGAGACGTATATGCGACGGACGAACGATTTTGCATTGACAATGGGATTATGATTGCGCATGCGGGACTACTCGCATATCAAACTGGTTTTACCACCGTGCTGGAGGATAGCACCTGCACGCAACGATTTCGAACTGACGATGTGTTTGTCGCATGGAGGAATGATTGAAGCTGATCGCCAACTTGAAAGAACCCAAACGCGATTCTATATGATGATGAATCTGACATGTCTTCTGAGTGGAGAAAGGCTGCGAGACATCTGCTCTCTATTCCACAAACTCTTGGAAAGGCCACCCTGTAATACCCTCCCAATTAGTGGTCATAATTTCATCAACCCCAGGAATTTTATGAACGCCAACGCATATCCGTCAAGTCATAACGAGCACTCAAGCCGGTTCCTTATTCAACGGTTTGTGCCCGTGGAACAGGCTTAAAGGAGATCGTCGTCACATACTACAGATGGTTAGCATTCATGCACGTACTGGGGCCTCTCAATCCGTACCTTCTTCTTGTAGCGGGTCGTCACACTGGTCGCTAGGACACCATTCTTCACGCTGCTAGTCATGAGATGGTTCAGGACGGTATGGTTTGGCAGAGTCAGGACGCTGTTATCGTCCTTGACTGGCAAATTACCGTTGAGAATCGATTTGGTCAAGAAGAGTGGCAACGACGGTGGGTTGCCGAGTTCTTGGATGATCTGGCCCGCGGCCTTGTACTTGGGGTCATCTTCACTCAGGTCGACATCGATCAGGTATGGTGGAACGACTTGACGCCAATCACCCATCGGGATTTCCTCAAGGTGAGGTTCTTCCATGTCAGAATCTTCAGGTGTTTGCTCTCCAGACTCGGCTTGTTCACGTTGTTCCTCTGGTACTAGTGTATTGGCCTTGGCCCCTGGTTGGGTGCTTTCCCTTCTGGGCTTGGTGATATCTTCCGTAGCAATCTCGATGTAGTTGACTAAGAAATTGTTGAAATCGACAGCGGTGGGCAGCTCGGGACTGGTAACCATCTCCCCATCCACCACGAATTTAAGGTGATGGGTTCCCGAGGGGAGATTGATGGTGGTGAACATACCAGGCGCGTTCTTTCTAAAGTCTGAGTGTCAGCATGGAAAATATAAAACTGGGGACCATGGAATCAACGTGGGGGAGTAGTCTTTTCTCGATAACGGGGGATGGATGCCCGAGTTGGGAAACCCGATATCAGTCAAGATCAGAATACAAGACAACGAAACGAAACTGATGCGACCGCGCGACCTACCTCGGATGGAGTCTGTATTTCTTTTCCCAATTGGCAAAAGTACCCGTCACGTAAACCTTGTGTCCACCATGGTTCCATTCGATAACAGTCGGAACAGTTTGCGTCGGAGGGTGAACTGCATACGGCTGCAACTCCTCGCCAAGCTCATCCTCGGACTGCGTGGTCGTGCTCAACATAGAACTCCTCCTTCTCATCGGAGGTTCCCCAGTCGACAGAGGATCATCAGTCTCGAATATCGGGACGTCGGCATTGCCCTTGTCAATAGGCATTAGAGTTGGGGATTCGGGTATCGGGACGTCAGCGATAGGAAGAGGGAGACGAGGAGGTCGAAGTTGAGCCACGGGTGCATAACGTCGATCCTCATACGCATGACCCTCTGGGAAATCCTCCTGCTTCCCATCAAAGCGTTCCTCGATGGGCTCTTGTTTGCTTCGAGACATGGGTACATCCATGGGACCCGAAGCCGGTGGGACAGCAAGAGGTGGCTGACTGGGAGTCTGATATCTCTGTCTGTAGTCATCATTCCTCTTCTCGCGAGATGTCCTCGAGGTGGACCTCTCGACCTTGGCAGTTCTGGCATGAGGGTCAGAGGACGAGGCCTGAAGATACTGCTGTAACGCTGGCTTCTCGAGATGTTGGGAGGTGGTTTGGGCAACAGCGGTATCTTTGGTAGCAGAAGCGTCGACAGGGGTGCCTCGGCCTTGTGAGAGAGCCTGAATGGAAATCCTGCGGTTGATCTTGCGTTCTCTTTCAGCTTGCGGCGTGCCAGATCTGGAACCCGAGCTCTTCTTATCCTCAGCCGATTGTTGCTGGCCCATGGTGAAGGATGGAGTTGGTCTTGATTGCAGGAAATTCAAGTGTCGTGCGACACCTTGCAGAAATGGGGTGAAGGTGGCCTGTCAAGGAGGGCGAAGTCAGGGAGATAGGAAGTCGGAGCGGAATTTGGTTGGCTCTAGGTGTATGAGCATTCGGTGTTGTGTGTCAAAATTCCCAACCCAAGTGATAGACCAGAGCTGGTCGGGGGCAGGAGTGTCAGCAAACTGGTGGATGCGTGGAAAATGCCTCCGAGCTCTGGTGACGTTGGGATCCAGGTTGAGAGAAGTTCGAAGACAAAGAGGGGCTCGAATCAAGCCGGGGGTGGCCAGGTGAAGTGAAGGCTAGTTAGTGTAGCTGCGTGGTGGCGCTAGTTCAGGCTCTTTTCGGCCCGGAGGAGTGAGTGGGTGCCCGCTAGAAGGGACGTCTTTTAGTTAAAGCCCCAACTAATTTCAGGAACGTTTGCGGGGGAGCAAGGCGTCATCAGTTTGTTGTAGCTAGCACGCGTTGCGGGAGTGTCTTCCACTGATTATTTGAGGCTCAACTCTAACATAGCAATAAACAAAAAAAATATCCATCAGCTGCTGCGGACTACCTTAACTGTTGCACAGCACCTAGTTCCAGTCACGGCTCTTACAATCGCTCGACGTGGATTTGCCAGCTGCCGAGTCTTCGCCATGATTCATCGATCGGCCCAAGAATGAACGCTACCAGCGACTCGAGTTGGCCGGCATGGCTCTCAGCCACCGGAATGGCCCTCTCGTACACTCTCTCGATCCTCTCCTACGCACTGTATCCGGTCTTCCTTCTGTTAAGAGCAATATGGTACATTCTAGCGTCTCTGTCGGCGCCTTTTATATACATGGGGGTTGTCGTCGCCAACGTTTCGCTGCTTCCATGGCGCATCTTCGCCGCTTTCGAGGTCTGTCTGTGCGACCAGGTCGCTTTCATCCCCCGAACAAACTACTAACTTGGTCACAGCCGCTCTGGTACTTCCTCGGTAGTGCCGTTCTCCTGGGTCTTCTATTTGCGCTTGCCTTGCATTTCACCATGCGCATCTTCGTCCTTGTATTCCGCCTTGATCGCAGCGCTCCGCAGCCGATTCCAGCCAAAGGGCATAATGCTGTATCGTACAGGAAAGCCAGGGAAGCAAAGAAAAAGAAACAACTGGAGGAGCAACAGAGACTAGCTGCCGAGGCCAGGTTGATCGCTTCGCAGCCACTCTTACAAGAGGCGGTTCGGGAAGCCAGAAGACTGTCTCTATCGGGCGCGGCGCCTGCTGCTACGCTTGGCCCGTTAAGCCCCAGCAACACGGCACCAAGCCGGCCGGGCCTTTTGCAGGAGACGATCCTGGAACACAGTGATGAGGACGATAATGACTCGGTGTTCTGACCCTCGATGATTTTTATTGTATCCCGGCTTTGTTGAGCGCCTGCTCGAAAAGTTCCTTGCATCGGACTCGGCTGCCAAGTCTGGCACATAAAAGGAACGCGCCACTCAGCTTCCGATGAAGGCTGTAGGTCTCTTCTGGCGGCGGTGCCAGTCTTTCTCTCAGCATGACGGGAATGAGGGCTCGAACTCGGTCGGTGATGGTTTGGTCCTTGAAGTCATACACGTCTGGACTGAAATCCATAAAGGGTTCCGCCAGTGTCATAACTGAGTCGATATGGGCGTTCAACATCGCCTTGGATTCATAACCAGTGAGATAGCCTAGCTCGATGGAGAAATCCCTGCAGGCGTCCCTGTCTTTTCTCGACGCGGCGATGAGAGTCTTGATGTAGAGGTGAATGAACTTCTCGGGAAATTCTCTGGATGCACCAAAGTCAAGTAACTCCAACTTGTTCGTTCTTGAATTGTAGAGGAAGTTGGTCCAATTGGGATCCGTCTGCATGTATCTGAACTCGGTGATCTCTCGCAGACAGAGTCGTAGGATCTGTGACCCGATCCAGTCCTTCTGCTCCTGCGTAAAATTTTGTACTTTTGTGACTGGAATGCCCTCCATTCTCTCCATGGTCAGGACTCGACTGCCTGATGCTTCGTCGATGATCTCGGGGACTGTAAAGGTGTCCTGTTCGTCTGCTAAGAGCCTCCGAAACCTCTTTGCGCATTCGGCCTCGCGAACGTAATTGCACTCCCACGCCAACTCGGTACGGGCATTGGCAATGGTCTTCTCCAGGTACAGCCCTTTGGGCAGCAGACGAGAGGCAGTAAGGAGCAAAGACAGATTGTTGAGGTCAGAAGAAATCGACTCGGCCACACCAGGATATTGCACCTTGACCGCAACCCTCCTGCCGTCCTTTGATATTGCCCCGTGAACTTGACCGATAGAGGCGGCGGCCATGGGTTTCTCGTCGAACTGCTGGAAAAACTGTTCACGCCAATTAGGACCCAAATCAGCGGCAATGACGGCATCTCTTTGAGAGGCAGGCATGTAATCCGCACTGTCTTGAACGCGTTGCAGGACATCATGAATGGGCTTTGGAAGCAATTTGGAATCTTGAAAGCTCATCATTTGACCTAACTTGAGGGCGGCACCTCGCATTTTGGACAATTTGGCGACAAGACGTTCCATGTTGGCAGCACTCAACATCAACGAGCCATTGGGACCCCCCGAGCGACTGATACTCTCGCTGACAGCTCCAAAAGCCATTGACGCTGCAAGTCCTCCAAATTCGAAGATCCGGCCCACCCTAGATGATGGCACCTTTGATTCCCGCATTTGATACGGCCGTGCCGTCTGCGGTTGTTGCGTCTAGGCTATCTGTCAGTTGATCAGTCACGATCAATCAGCGACAGGAGGGGGTCGATTACATTGATCTTCTGGACGTCTTTTGCAAGGTCAACCCCAAGTTGCTTGAGACTTTCCGCATCCGTACCGGAGACTTTTTGTTGCATGGCACTCATGCCATGGAAGCGTCTTGATGTGACGCCGCCAGGGGCGTACCTTGCCTTTTGCCCGTAAGTCCTTGCATTCTTCGGGTTGCGAAATAGGCGGGCGAGCTGTTCCTCCGAGGGCTCGTCCTCGCCATCCGCCCCACGCTTAGATCCGGAGTAGTAGACATCGGCGTTGAGACCAGGTTCGATGTGCGAATCGCCCTCTTGTACGTCGTTTTCAGTCTTGGGGACACGGACACGCGGCAACGCAGAAAGAACGGGCTTGACGCTCCCTGGTGGCTGGTAGAAGACATCCTGCTCTTGTTCCACTCCAAATTCCCGAGCACTCTCTTCTGGTGACGGAGGCTCCGCGGTTTTTGCAGGGATCGGATCTTCGGACTGTCTTTGAGCCTTTACTGCCTCAACTGGAGACAGGGCCTCGAATGACCTGGTGCCGGGTATATTGGGCTTCGTAGATGAACGGAAACTGAGGTCTTCGGCAGCTCGAGACTTGAGTGGATGCTGCGGCGTTTCTCCCGTGGGGACCTGATTGAAAGTTATACCATCTCCCTCCTCTGCTCCGATGGGGCTCTCATTTGACGGTATCGTCCCATCTGGTAGTGGCGCCCGCCTCGCTTGGGCTTGCTCAACGTTCAGGCCTTCACGAGATGAGGCCTGAGATTGAGACCCCTCGACAGATCTTGTGTAGAAATGGTCTTGCTCGATACCTTCTTTCGATGATTTTGAAAGAGGTTGGGAAGAGGAAGCGAACCGGGAGACAGAGGTAGCTAAGATCGGGAGGCCTTTGGTCCTTATGGCCTTGATGACGGAGGAGGATTGACCATAGACTCGAGCTTGAGCAAGTCGAATATCGACATGTTTCGCTGCGACATTTCGTGATACACTGAGCAAGGCAAGAGCATCAAGTATATGCCTGCCGGACATGATGGTAGACAGAGGAAAGGTCAAAGACCCTTTCGTACGGCTTCTGAACACATCAGAGGTGTTTATATGAAGCGCAGCTGGTTGGAGAAATTGGTGGGAACTCTCTCCATGGCGCATGTGGGCCGCAGAGCTTCCCCACCACTTGAAGACAATCCTATATACCACAGTATGTAATTACTTGTTCCCATATGTACACCTCTCTTGTGCGTAACTCCTCTCGTCGGAGGAACAGGGGTAGATAATTCTGTTGAATAATGCTATGAAATCGGACGATGCGGACGTCCTCCGCGCCCGAGTCCTCGAGCTCGAGGTTCAGCTGCAAACCACCAAAGCCCTCCTTCGAGACATAGAGAGGTCAGGCTCGACATCAACTTCAGATCTTCGTCACAATGGAGGAAGCCAGCTGTTGTCTCTACCCATCACCCTGCCAATAGGCCATTCAATGCACAACCTCATGCTCCTCTCCGATTCAGCTCTTCCCCTCGGATCGTTCGCCTACTCAAGCGGTTTGGAATCCTTCCTAGCCCACCACAAACAAGTTCCTCCAATGCCCGGGCAGACAAATCTGTCCCTTTTCCACAAGTTCCTCAAGCTTTCCATACAGTCGATGGCATACACAAACATCCCATACGTCCTTGCTGGCTTTCGTGATCCTTTGGCCCTCATGGACCTCGATAACGATCTCGATGCGAGCACGCCCTGCAACGTCGCGAGGAGAGCAAGCATCGCTCAGGGCCGTGCACTGTTAAGTGTTTGGGAGAAAGCTTTCGCTCCCGCTGTGAAACTGCAGCATGAGGAGGGCGGGGAAGGAATCGAAGCTGCCACCACGCTTCGAGTCTTTGCTCGAGACTTGAAGCTTTCAGCTCTGTCTCCTGCTGGTCCTTCCAACAGCAATGCTCACCAAATACCCGCGGTGAACGGCCATCTTGCCCCCCTTTGGGGCGTTATCTGCCTTTCCCTCGGCCTCAATCTAGAAGAGTCGGGCTATCTTTTCCTCTTCAACCACTCCAAAGCCGTCATTAGCGCAGCCGTTCGCGCCTCCGTGATGGGGCCTTATATGGCACAGAACGCACTCGCGTCCAAAGAATTGCAAGAGCTGTTACGTGGCTGTCTAGAAAAAGTCTGGTTGATGAGACCGGAGGATGCAGGACAGGTAGCCCCAAGCATGGACCTGTGGGTCGGAAGACACGAGTTGCTTTATAGCAGGATTTTCAATTCGTGAATGATGGTCAATGAATCCCCGAAAGAGAATTTCGCATGCGAGTTCCCTATCGACTTCATGAGCTCTCAGGTCTGTGTGCGGTCCGGCAGCGACCCGTCCCTCATGCTTGCCAGTGAAGTGGGTGCCCCCTTTGCGACTTACAAGCTGCCTGGACCAGTTCTCTCTTTCTCCCAGGACGACATTACCTTTATCACAGGATCACACACCCGTCCATCGCGATATCAAACAGTCCATCACAATCTCCAAGACGACGGCACAATCTAAATGAGCGACGTCAGGTGAACATGACGCGGAACAAGGCTGCGACAACTGCTTTCGTCGCGGTTCTGCTCCTCTTCTTCTCGGTGCCGGCCCTCGCGGTCAGAGGAAATCAGCAGCCAAACACCCTCGTCACCGTTGCCCAGCCGACACCCACCCATGATACCAGCAACAAGGAGCCCTCGAGATGCAATTGCGAACTTGTGAGACGTACCACGAATATCACGCCACCGCAGTGCATAGATTACTGCATATGGAGATGGGGTTGGTACTGAGCATTCACCAAAGCATCGTCGAACGAGCAAGCCGGGTCGGAGTCAGAGAGAGCAGGTGTTGGAAAAGACAGAACTCGTCAGCGATGAGGACTAGTTGGAATATGGAGGACTTGTCTTTGGATACGCCAGATGGGGGGAAGCCTTCTTGTGCAGCGTGGATGAAAGGTACGGCGATGGTGGGTGAGCCAGACCCACGCAAGGGGAGTTGTCTCAACGAAGCAACAGAGGAGTCACGGATGGGACAGCGACATCCTGCAAAAAGTGGCCAAAAAGCGTCAATGTGGGAAACAAAATGACATTGTGTCTGCCAGGACAAATGGCATCTGATGCTCTGGCTGGCCTTGCACAACCCGAAAATCTTAGAAAAAGGGGTATCAATAAGGTGATGCAACTCGCAACCAAGGTTAACAACCACAAAGACAGAGATGGCATGCCAGCAACAATCACTGTTCAACCTCGTCGATAGGTCCAATCCTCTCCTCCACGCCCTCGAACGCTCTCCGGCCCTTTTTAACTTGTCTTCCACCGCGCCCTGCTCCAGCTGACTCTTTCGTTTGACGTCGCGGTTTCTTCTTCGGATTCACGGCGGCCTGGACGACCCGGTCCGCCAAAGCTGAGAACCGGTCTATTGGGTCCATGCTTGGTGCTTGGGTTCCCCGTCTTGCAGCTTCTGGCGTAGCCAAGTGTGTATCTGCAGAGGCCTGCTCTCGGTGGCCTGCCATCTCGCTCTCGTCAATGTCTGCGTCGTCCCTCTCCGTAGATGGCAACGGCACATCCGCAGCCGCGACATGATCAACAAACCCCTGGTCTGCTCTTCTCTTCTCATCCTCCTCTCTCAATCTGCGCTCTTGTTCCTCCAACTCCTTCATTACCTTTTCCGGGTCCTCAAACTCCTGATTTGTCATTGCCGCATAGTCCTCTATGCTCACAGTTTCTTTTGCGGCAACACACGACTCGACTCTCTGTGGATCCGCCCGCAGCTCAAGCAAGTATTTCTTTTTGATCACGCGCCGGTCAACATCTTCTGGAAAAAGATTCGCAACCATGCTGAAGTCGGTGCCGAACATCCGTAGGCCTTTGTAAAAGAGGTTGGTCTGATCTTCGTCCCAGCGGTTCCCGCGCACTCGACCTGCATTCTTCCCCAATGTGCCTGAAGTAACATACTTGTAGATCCGGTCATCCTCAAGCGCAACGTTTGCGTCGTGAATTACCGCCTCTTCGACGCCTGCACCAAATGCGATCTCTCGGGACTCAGCTGCCACTACGATCTGTCCGTTGACAATGATCTGCTTGGGGACAGCCGCCTCCTCTGCTCCGTTGTGCTCTTCCTGGTTATTCGTCCCATTATTTCCCCCCCGGGCAGCTTCCCGTCGCTTCTCAATCTCCTCTTTGCGTCGCTTTTTGATCTCCGGCCAGTTCTCTTGCATGCGCTTCTCTGTATCTGATTTCTTGCCGATCTTGTTATCCTTGACGAGATCTGCCATCGAGACCTCTTGCGGGTCTATTTCTAACTCTTCGGCATTCTCCGGAGTAGCAAGGCGAGAACGGCGACGGGTCGTTTCGTCTTTGTTTCCATGAACAGCATCGTCCACGACTTGTTGGGCTAGCTCTTGTGTCTTTTTCGACCGTGACTTTCTCTTTGACCGTTTTCCTCTTGGCTGCACACCATCTTCAGCCACACTCTCTTCTGTTTCTACTGCCTGCGACACTGATCGACGCGCCGATTGCGGTTGGAGCGATCTTGCTCTGTGCTCAATAGAGTTTGCAAGTTCTGATACTGCAGCCGCCTGAGTTGTCGCATCGTGTAGTAACGCGTCCGAGGTACGCGATTCGCTCCGTCTGGCTCGCGGACTGGTCCTCAATATTGGTGGCGGTGTCGCATCGAGTGGGGGAAGAGTATGTGACTCTAACTCTGACTCTCTGAGATCCTCGACTGTGTGAGTAGTCTTCTGCCGCTTCCTGGAAGCGTCTGTCCTCTCCGTTTCTTGAGCAGAATCTTCTGATGGCGGGGAGGCTGTCTCATGGGGAGCTTTTCGTTTCGGGGCAATAGATGAGGGGGTCGAAATCGAAATCGACGGAATGACACCCGCATCGGGATGAGTCTGGCTTACGCTGGTGGAATGGATGATTTCAATCTCATGACTCGGGTGACTCGGAGCTATAATCTCAATGGAGGCTGAAGGGACTCCCTCAATTGTTGCTTCTTCGCTTTGAGGCGGTGTCTCGAAGGGTACTCCTGCCGTCTCTGTCGAACTGGCAACGGAAGGTATCTCCCCGAGACCCTGAGTTATCTCTGTTGTCTCTGGCTGCGGCTCCCGCTCTTGATCTTCAACTGGCTGGTCAATAAGCTCAACAGCAGGACTCACGGTGTGACTCTCCGGTGTTAGTGATGGCGGAGCAGCATGTCGGGGAGCATTTCTTTGGACATTCTTCCTTGGGCCCTTTGGGATTATCTTCTGCCCTGGCTTTCGCACGACTGAGCTGAACGTCGACATAGTGAACACAATGCTCTCCTTTCCCTACCGGGAACGCACGGGTTGGCCAACGTTCGCATGTCGTTTTCTTTGTCTGCTCTGGCGCATCTGTCTTTCAACGCCACTTCCCACCGCGCAGGTTTGATGGGCAAACATGCCAAGATACAAGAACCGCTAACCTCATTCGTTGGTAGCGTCTGCAGCGACTCGACATCTTGAATCTTCTTTTTATCCTCGCCTCTGCGCATGCTGCCTGCCAACACCTTAACTCCTTCATCGACGTCCTTCTTTCGCGGCGTCATTTGTTTTTGCTGCCAACGCCGGCCTCCTCCAAGGATACTCTCTGCGGAAAAGCAGAGCCGCTTCGAGCAGCAGGACTGATGACGGCCGTCGAATCTCTCCCCCTTTCCCTCTCTCAACAGAGTCTAGTCAGGATGGAAGAGCGTAAAAGACCTTCTCCTTACGATTCAGTAGAATCCGCTCCGCCGCTGAAGAAGCAAGCCACGTCTGCAAACGGCGCATCGAAGTCTCACAAGGATGATGACATGCCGTGGAAGGATGATCTTGAGGTCAGCCGAGTCCTAATCCTACTCCTCCCTTCCTGAATCCTAATCTAATGCGGTTTTCTGTGAACAGAGATTCCAGAAAGATGCGATATGGCGGCAGATGCAAGAATATAAGCGAGAGAAAAATACCCTTGAAGCTCAATTGAAAGAGATGCGGAAGAAGGCCCGATATCATGACGATCATCTCCGGACTATTGATGCATGGTTTCAACAAGTTGTCGATGAGGTCAAAGTCATTGCCAAAGCGGATGGCGATGTAGATATGGACCCTGGGGCCTTACCTTCTTCGCTGCTTTTTTCAGATCAAGAACAATTTGAAGCACATCTTCGCAACCGCTCAAGGCAGATACGAGATGTGATATCAAGATTGTTCGGTCCGACAAAGCCGTCATCGCCCGACGTAGCAGAATTGCAATCACAGGTCACGAGGTTGTTGGCCGCGGAAAAGAATCACGTGGTCGAATTACAACGGCTCCAGTCGGAGAAGGACGATCTGGATCACCAACTAGAGAACGCCTCTCTCAGATACATGACAGCCGAACGTAAAATCGACAGAGCAAAAAGTATTACGGTCGCCAAACTCGAGAAACAGGCTTTACTAGGCGCGACAAAGCCCGTGGTGGAGGAGGGTGGTCCGGTCAAGAGAGAAGAAAGCACGCTCAACGGGGCTACGGATCATTCTGAAGAGCTAGCCGAACTGGAAAAGGAATTGAACAAGACTGTGGCCGTGTCGGAAAAGCAAAAAGAGCAGTTGGACCGGTTGGAGGAAGAGAATGCCAAGCTGACTGCACAGTTGACGGAATTGCAAACCAAGTCGGCAACTTTGACGGATGACGATTATGCCAAAACCGAGTTATTCAAGCAATTGAAATCGCAACTCGAGGATACCTTCAAAAAATTCAACAATCTGGAAGCTACCAATACGGATCTCAAGGACGAAGCCTCGAAGTTACGATCCGAGAGGACAACATACCAACTTCAGTTGGAAAATGAGCAACGAGTGGCAATAGCAGAGAAGGAATCTCTTTTGGCGGCATCAGAGGCCAATCTGGCAAGGATCCGGCACAGCAGAGATGAATTACTAGCAGATCAGGCTGTCAAACAAGCTTGTCTGGATCAGAACCAAGAGGCTGTGAAAAAGATAACGGAACTGTCATCGGCACTGGAGGACCGTGTTCGGGCACTTGAATCCGAGAATGAGCGATTAGCGACACAAACGGCTGACATGGCGGTGGACAACACAGAGTTGGATGCCTTGGACGTGGAAGATCTGCGGGCCAGATACCATGAACTTGTCAGGAAGTATAATCTCCTCAATGGTGAATTGACGTCCATGTCTACAGCGTTCCAAAAGACGTCGAAGATCGCGAGTCAAAAAGTTTCCGAATTTGCTGCCATGGAAGAAAAAGTGCTGAAGTTGTCAATGGACAAGACCAAAGCCGATCAAAAATTCTTTGCTGCGATGAAAAGCAAGGAAACCCAGGCCGGCGAAATCAGAACGCTGCGGCTGCAGAACGCCAAATCTGCAGAGGCAATCGCGGCGTTGAAAGAAGCCGAAGGGGCCACACGCGCTTTGTTGGCGACAGCGGATAAGCAATTGTCCGAACTGAAGGACGCGCTCGCGCACAAGACCAACGAACATCGAAATGTCCAACAACAAAACATCACGCAAGGACTCGAAATTTCCAGGTTAAACGCCCAAGTAACAGAGCTCAAAACCCAGGCCACCGCCAAAGACGCCAAACTCGCCGCCGCAACCAGCGCTTGCCGTGCGGCCGAAGTGGAAGTCGAAGATCTGAGATCCTCGCTCAAAGACACACGCAGAAATCTCGAGACATGGAAGTCCAAATCAGGACAATCCGAACAGTACGAGATATTGAGACAGTTTGCATACTGCAATATCTGCAAGCGGAATCTGAAAAACACCGTGATCAAGACCTGCGGCCATACGTTCTGCAATGATTGTGTGGCAGAGAGGCTGACATTAAGAGCGAGGAAGTGCCCGAATTGTGGAAAGGCGTTTGGCGCGAACGACCATATGCGGATCACACTTTGATCGATTGCTGGGAGTTGCGGAATTTGCTGTTTAAAGACATTGTATCATATCGACATCTGAGGCGACGGCCGGGTCCATCGAAAAAGACTGGGGGCTCGAGACCTCCGACTTCCGACTTCACTCAACAGAAGTTGAGAATAGAATTTGCGGGCTATTCGTTCGGAGAAGCCCGAGCACGTCCGTCCTGTACGTTGTACGAATATTGCGCCTCACGACATCACATTTTTCAGACGATTGGCCGACATCGGGTGCATCTTGTTAGCCAACGAGCCAAGTGCACGCTCGGAATGACTGTTGGAAATTCTGTGGAGAAGCGAGGCCGGCTTGGTGGCTGCTTGTCCATTGATCGCGGACTCGCCGCAAAGGCTCTTCGAAGGAATGACATGGCGGTGACAAGATGAGGTGAAGCACGGGCCCGTATCTATTCATTGATCGATCCACTCCTGGTCGTACGTGTCGGCCCCTTTCAACCTCGGCAGGGCTATCAGTGCGCTGGTACCTGTGTCCTGTGAGGCAGGCGGTCGGTATTCTAAGGCGCTGATTGAGACATTGAGAGGCCTCGAGGCATTAGCTGGGAGGATGAATCGCAAAATGGCCGGCAAGATATAGCTAGCTCGTGGCTGAACGGCGGAAAGCTCTGAGCTGACGCGGAGTTGTCAAGTAGTGTCGAATTGGCAAACCCCTTTGAAACCGCCGAGTTTCTAGACGGTCGAGAGAAAAGACCAACCCGTGTCGCTTCTGATCGTGCGTCGGCCTCATTTCCCCGTCTCCCACTGCCTGGTGTCCTTCCTGTGTCAATCGTCCTCTTCCTCCTTGCTATTCAGTCTGTTGTCATTTCTTTTTCAGTCATCCACGTCCATGTCACTCTCGAGCTTGATATGAGGCTGTCCTCCTCGTTCTTCCCTCTCCCGGGCGTCTTTATCTCGGCCGCCCGGGTTGGCAGCTTTTCCCCCTCTCGGAAGGTCATCGCCCTTCCTATCGATTTGCTCTTCGTTCACCCCTCCCTGCTGCTCATCGCGGTCGTCGCGGTCGTCACCGTCGCCATCGCCATCACCGTCTCCCTCTCCGTCGTCCCCTTCTCCTTCCCCTTCGCCTTCCTCCTTTTCGTCACCGTCTTCCTTCTCCTCAAACCCCTCCAGCGGCGGGAAGTTGAGGTGCTTCCAGTCCTCGATCTCTTCGATGATGCTCTTCAACCGGTCACGGATGCTCTCCACGGCAAAGGTCCCCAGCAAGAGTCGCAATGGCGGATACCGGCAGTGGCCCAGTTGCCAGACCAGTTCGGCGGCTTTGACCACCGAGGTGGGCTGGTTTGCACCCATCCACTGCAGAGTCCGTTGGGCGTGGGCGGCGGGGGCATCTTTCGTGGCGTACGGCGAAGATGGACGCGCTACTTTGAAATGTCCGAAGAGCGCCAATTTAGTATTCTGCTTTTGATTTGGTGGCTCCTGTTGCTGGCGGATTCGTCCGTTAGTCGTCGTCGTCGTCGTCGTCGTACCAGGTTGATTTGGTTGTGGAGGAAAGATGTCGCTATCGTCGCGGCGCATGTGAGCCGGCTCAACGAGAGTGAATTTGATGTTGAACGGATCGACTTCGTATAGCATACTTTCAATCAGGCCTTCTACAGCATACTTTGTCGCACAATATGGTCCGAGGCCCGGAACTCCGAGCGCGCCACTTGTGGAACTGAATATCAGATATCTTCCGTCCTGGCGTCTTCGAAAGATGGGTAGAGACAGTTGAATTATGTTCAGGGTGCCCATGAAATTCGTTTCGAACTGGTTTCGAATCTCATGCTCATCCTGGTCTTCACAGGCACCAATCACGCCGTAACCCGAACAGTTGGCGACGATGTCCACCCTGCCGAACTTTTTCATCGTCTGTTCGATGACTGATGACACACTAGAGCGTATGCGTACATCACACAACAACCCCAGATATCGATCGGGGATATCATGCCACTGCTTCATGCTCGCTAGGTCATCTTGGAAGGATTGGCCAACGGCAGCCACGATGTCGTTGTGGGCAAGGGCGGCTTTTGTCACGGAGCGGCCCATATGTCCTGTTGCGCCGAACACGAGCCATACCTTCTGTTGCGGCGGATTTGCAGCAGAGGGTGGATCGGTTGTATAGGGCAGGGAGAGTTTTCCAAGGCCAGTCGTTGTAGGACGAGGAGAGCGAGTGGCCGCGCTGGGTGATGCTGAGTAAGCCTCGTTAGAATTGGTGCGGTTGAGGTCATCCATTTTGCTGGCAGGAAAAGGACTGATATTGCAAGCAAAGGATGTATCCTCTCGGCAAGATTGGTGTCACACGACCTCGGACAGTCCAATACAAAGCACAGGGGAAGGCTTGAATCGGACCAATCCCAGAATCAGACAGTTCACCACATATGACCGCGACACGTATTCGAACAAAACATGTGGATGTTGAGTTGCTCGCCGCTTTGACACTTTTGCCTTCACAGCCAAACTCCTGCGGCGATACTGGGATGAGCACGGTGGGAAACGGAGGCAAGGACCCAGCCTGCGAAGAATTCCAAAATAATAATTGAGACCGTCCTGAAAGCAGTATGTCAGGATTTGCCTGAACGGTCGTGGCCAGTGCAGATCAGGTCTGATGGAAGAAGGTCGTCGAAGCCTGATAGGAACAAAGCGGGAGAAAAATGTGGACCTTTGTGAGCAGAAGTCGATGGTGCTTACTGTTACCTTACTGTAAACGAACACCAGAGGGATCTGAGTGGCATTCTTTAGTCATGACGGCAAGCCCCAGTCTTCTGCAGATGGAACGCCAACGGCTCCGCCCCCAGCTGCTGGCACCCAATGACCCTCCCTGTGTGTGCCTCTGAGGGTTCGATATAACGTCTTGGTCGGTGGGAACGGGCAGCGGGACAGAGGTAGGGGCACCGACTCAATGGTGATATCTGTCGGAGGGATCAGTTCACTTGTAGAGAGGTGACTGACCTCTCCTCCACGGTGGTATTTTGATTTCAGTCGTCAGCAGAGACGGTGGACACCGAGAAAATACCTGATGGTTGTATCCGAAGTTGAGTGAGAATGAGGAGGAATGTAGTCGGGTTTAACTGACGGAGGGGACGGCAATTATCCCCCCACCGAAGGCCCAAGGCATAAAATCCCAAGGCGAAAAGATTTCTCTCAACGTGCAATTGCCATCCAGGTCATTGGATCGATCCGTCTTTGCAGGGCATTTAAACCCCGAGATACCTCCCCTCTGTTTCCCTGGCGGTTTCATCGCAACCCCTCTCGACATAAAAGCCAGACCTGTTTGTTTGTTTGCAGCGCACCCTCGACACCTGTATCAACAACGTCCCCCACAAACCACTATGAAGGCCTATTGGTACGATAACCAAGAGGTATGTATCTATATACGCAACACTCCTCCCCCAGCTCTGTCCCCCCTTCACTGCTAACAAATATTCTTAGGGCGACCAGCGCCTTGCGCACGACTCGGGTCGCCCAGTCGATGCCTCATACCTGGCCCAAATCGGCGTCCTGTACCGCCACTGCCCCGAATTGTCCTCGGTCGACGCCATTGCCAAAGAAAGACACTATAAGAACCGCGATGAGATCACCGTCTCTCCACAAGCCATGGGCGCCGTCTACGAAGACAAAGTGAAGATGTTCTTTGACGAGCACTTACATGAAGACGAGGAAATTCGCTACATTCGGGACGGCGCAGGCTATTTTGATGTGAGGTCCAAGGACGATGACTGGGTGAGGATCCGGCTTGAAAAGGACGATCTGATCATCTTGCCTGCGGGCATCTATCACCGGTTTACCACTGACGAGGACAATGTGAGTAAAATGCCTCATGCCTTGTCAACGTAGGTAGGCCACTGACTCGGTTCACAGTATATCAAAGCTATGCGGCTCTTCCAAGACGAGCCCAAGTGGACAGCATTAAACCGTGGTGCGGACACCGACGTTAACGAGCACCGCAAGAACTACCTCCAGACCAGAGACGGCATCTCTGTGGCATGACGAAAGCCTCAAGGAGGGCAGGAGGGCAGGAGGGCAGGTGGTGTGGTGAGCCGGCTAGTACGAGGGAAATCATTCCATCACCATTTGCAACGATATAGCACGAGTTCTAAAAAAATGTAAAACGCCTTCTTCTTCAATGCATATTGTCTCGGCGAAACCTTCGGATCAATCTGGCTTTGTAGTCGTTGCTAAAGCCATCCCAGAAGCATGAAGAGTGCACGCCAGGTTCTCATTGTGGCAGACGCATTCGTGATGTAACAATGTGTTGGAGGAATCACCTCCGAAAACGTGATTTCGCAGAGGTTTTTGTTGTTCTTAAGCGCAATGGACCATTAACCATAAAGAGGCAAATTTCCAACAGCATCCGGGCGAGGCTGACGTTGGGACATGCAACCGGTACATAGTGGCTGGCAACCCGCGGAGAAACAATAGTCAGTGTGATGACTTGATCGTATCCGAAGCCGTGGGGTTGCCATATGCAACATGGGATGCTCTCCCTAGGCTGTCTCTGGCTTAAAGCTGCTCAACTGGTCATTACAGGATTGGACCTGGACGGCGATATGCAATTGCGGGCATAGGTGGGCAGATGGTGGTTGTGCGCTTAGTAATGAGGAGCCCGGATGAGAATAGGCGTCATGTATGTATAATACGGTGGCAAAGCCGAAGATCCGGGCGTGGTGGTATTCAAGGCTGCAGAAGGCTGAGGAGCAGGATCACGAATAAGAGGAACGGCAGCGCGTGGACACCACTAGCCAAGGATTGATCATGTTCGCTTTTACCATCTCAAGGCCAGGATGTTGTCAGCTGAGTGGTCGGGGAGGGAGAGGATCGGGTGCAGTGTCCCGGATCTTGCTGGATGTATGATTAAGATATCGCTGGCCAGGGCATGTATGTACTGTAGGAGATGACTTGCAGGTGTCATTCAAACGACACGGGAGGGGTTGTTCCAAACTGCCTACTAGACACTGAGTAGGCAGGTGGTGTCGGGAGGGCTGCAGCCATTTCGTTGGAAACGAAAACGCGGGGAGTTTGAGGATCAGTTACTACTCGGAGACCATTTCCCTCTTTTGTCCCGCCTGGACACTCGGGCTGCTAGGGGCGCGCTAGGCGGGAACGTTGTAGCCTAGTGAGCCTAAAGCATAGGGGCCACTGCCTGCTTGAGCTACAACAAAGTGCCTACGAGCAGGGCATGCATACCTCCTCGTAGCCGACAGCCGGTGTCGTTGGTCGACACAACAACCCATGCAACCCCAAACTATTGTGACCGCCATGTGATTGTACCGACTTAATCCAACCAGCTAAACCTTCGAGATGTTATTATACGAAAAAAAAAAAAAAAAAATCCACTTCCGCACCCTCACCACTTCCCGTCCCGCCCTCCAGGTCTCCAAGCTACCACTCACACTACTCATGGGTGCCCAGACTCAAGACCCCAGGTGACTAACACTCCCTTAAATGCTCCGTTCTTCCAGAATGGCGGACTTCTCTTCCCCCCCATGTTGCTGCTGACACATCGAGCATCGATCGTTTTGTCGGTTGATGATTCCTTCTGATCCTTTCTCTAAATTCCGAACGACCTCCTCGAATCCTCTATACATCAATCGACAGCCACGAGAGACAACATCGGGGCATCACTTAGGCTGCGCCAACGACGACCGACAAGAGATTCATCATCCTTCCCTAGTGCCGAAGTGGTTGTCCAGCTCTTGCCCCCGCTCTCGGATACTCCTGCCATCTATATACGATCTTCTACTTCTTCGACATTCCATCGCAGAGCAACAACGGGTATCGGTGCGAGGGGGTAGATGAGCAAGCTCACTCCAAAATGGCGGCTAACGCCCCCGGGGCTCGGTTTATGTTTGTCGAATACTCGAAGCCTGTCGAACCGGCCAAGGGCCAGAAGAAGCGACGTGGCGGTCCTAGTGAAGTGCGCGCGGTAAGTTATATTTTTACCCAATACACCGAGGCACCCATTTCCAGAGGATTTTTGGATCGGGATCTGCCTCCCTGCCACGATGGCCTCCATTCAACGACTGGTGGGACTGGGGGTGTTGGAGGGGCTTTTTCTGACGCTTACATTGTAGCATATCACCAAAAACTACCATCGAGCACTGAGAGTCAAGCGCCTTGAGGCTCTCAAGAAGGGACAAGACGGTGGCTTCGTCGGGAAATCGAAACTGGAACCTCGGGAGGACCCGAGGCGGGATACGAGGCCGGGGGAAGATGGCGATGGTGAAGAGCACGGAGAGACAGAGGACGGAGATGGACTGTCCCCGCGCAAACCATCTTGCTCGCCTTCCGTGGATGAGGATCACAAGGACCTCACGCTCCAGCTCAAAAGCGCCCAGGCCCTTCGATCCATCCTCGGCGAGGGTCGAATCGACCCGTTCGATACCTACCCCGTTGGGGGCGTGCCCCTTTTCATTCATCAAGTTCTCGACCACGTACGTACTGTCCCCTCCCTCAAAGACCGCGGCCCCGAGTTGTTGTTGGAAGGCGGAACCCCTAATTCTCGATAATATGTACGCATCCAAACAGCTACTGACATAGCGGCGTGGCCGTTCCGTCACAACAGGCCTTGTCGTACTCTTGGCCCAACACTGTCCCGGTAAAACGCTCTCTTTCCAGCACGAACCCCGTCAAATCAGCCTGGTTGAAGTGCGGTATGGAGCATCCCGTCGCATTCCACGCCTTTGTCTACGCGGCATCGTACCACGTCCTCTGCGCCTACAACGGGCGGGAGATCAACGAATCGGCTCCGCTCCTACGCCTGTCGCACAAGGTCGAGACAATCAAGCTAGTCAATGAGCATCTACGGTCTCTCAGTCTCTCCTCCTCCTCCCCCTCCTCCGCCAACAAGAAAAAGGGACGAGATCACGAGACGTTGAAAGAAAACGAAATGGGAAGTGGAGCTACCACGACAGTACCCACCGACGCGCTGATCATGGCCGTGACCATCATGAGCATTCATAACACCAGGGACGAGACAGAATATCCTAAAGTTCATCCGACATCTCCCATGGCCAAGGTTAACAACATCCACGTCTACGGCGCCATGGTCAATGACGAAAAGCATATCCAGGGCATTTTGCTATTGATCAGGCAGAAAGGAGGGCTCGATGGGATCGAGCTGTATGGAATGGCCGATACAATGCAATTGTAAGTCTGGCTGCTGGCTATGCCCCATCCCAATCACGGTGAGCGGTGATTCTGAGTGACAATGTCAGGTGTGATCTGTATTTTGCTTCAAAATATGCATGCAGACCGAGCTTCCCATGGCGCCGTCCCGTCAAGTCACTCGTCTCCACGGGAAAACATTTGCTCGACCCCGTGGCAATTGACTTGGATTCTGAACTTGGCGCCGGGTTTCGGTACCTCCGTCAAAGTCCTGCCGGCCAGAAATTACTCGAGATTTTGGATGCGTACTCCGAAGTGACGGTGGCCTTAGATCACCATGTCCGTGGTGGTCCCACCGCCCCAGAGCTCGTGGAGCTCTCCGAAGCCCGCAACTACGCACAGCATCGACTCCTATCTCAAATGCCATACCAATTGGATTTGTCGAGTCCCGAGCTGTGTGTCCATCATGCTGTACGATTAGGGACACTGACTTTCAGCGAGATGGTTATCTTCCCCCTACCTCCTCAGCAGAGAGTGAAACCTAGGCTTGCTCTGATGCTGCAACAGACTCTCGAGGCCTGCACCCTTCTTGGCTGTTGGGATTTGCACGGTCAAGTCTTACTGTGGTCTCTCACGCTGGGCGCCATCGTATCGAACTTCACACCCCAACGACCTTGGTATATTGAGCAGCTCGCACAGCAGATCTTACTCCTCCAGATTCAAGACTCGTCCATCCTGGAATTGATTTGCTCCAGGTTCTTGTGGTGGAAGCCGGTTTGCAGTGAGCCGCTTCGATGGCTATGGGATGAGATGTTCCCACCAAGCACAATTGAAGCCACCTGAGAGGGTCCAGTGACGGAGTGATATCCTGCCCTTATTGTGACTGGCACTGGGCCACGCAACAGTGATCAAGCGCAAGGCGCGCCCGCTTGCATCCTTCATTCTGAAGAACCACTACCGTTTGTTGAGCCTGCCTCATGAAGCCGGAAGAGCTCCAGGCATAACTCGCAACGGTTGAGGAGTTCGAGCATCATCCTCATGTTCGATGACCTGGCTGTCAGAACGATGGTGACCGGTACGCCATCTAAGGCCCTCAAAGATCCTCTCAGTCTCTTCTTGAGAGGGGAAGTGGTCGTCCGGGTTCGCCTCTTTGCGATGATCTACGAATGAAGAGGACCGGCGGTCGTCCTGGGTAGGAGGACGGTCGTCATCCTGGCCTTCCCTCACCCTGGTCTTGCCCATCCGCGGCCACAAGCCGGGCAAAGGGACCACCTGCACTCTCGGCTCGACAACTCTCTCCTCAAACCACGCTTGTGCTCTAGCTTCCACCAGCTGGGCGATCTTTGGGACGTCCTGCAAGCGAGTGCGGGATCCAATCAAGCTTCTGACAGAAAGATCGAGCCGATAATCGGGCAGAAACGAAAAGGCAAGATTGGTTTTGGGCTTACCCGAGGAAGCATGCTTGTTTTCGCTCGATGGCTCGTCTTCCGTAGCAGGGACAAAACTTATGGAGAGAGTGCCAGAAAATCTTACGACCGAGACAGCCAGAGCCACTGGCAGCACGGCAGAAAAGGGTTTGGGGTAGTTGAGGATGAGCGCGGTCTCGATAGCCAGAGTGAGATTGTCGTCAGACAGATCGACATCCATCAGAGCTTGCAGCCTGCCACCCGTGGCACTTGACATATCGTCGTCGACGGCAATCACACGAACATTGCTGAAAATGGGGAATTCCTCGCCCATGGAAACCTCGGTAATCTTGATGTTGTCTATGTAGGACGGCCTTTTTTCTGGATCGTTAATAGTTGCTTCGAGGCTCGCCAGTATCGCCGAGGAGCTTCCCGAGCCATCTCGCAGATTGTAGACCGTCTGGCGGTACTGTGCTATTGTCTGGGCAATCAGGACGTTGAACCAATCCAGACTCTCCGGCTGGTGCGTCGAGTATTGCTGCTGCTGATGGTGCTGTTTCCCATGCCCGTGGCCGTGTCCATGTCCGTGACCACCAACACCACCGCCGCCACCAAACCCCCGGCTCGGGATCTGGTAGTACGTCTTGCGCAGGATCGAGGCGATATCGGTGGCGTTGGTAGGCACGGGGCGCAGGATGTTGGTGGCGCTGGCCTTGGTGCGCAACGACTGCGGCGCGGGGGCCTTGGAGGACGCAAGGCCGTGGAGGGACGTGGTGCGGATATGTTTATTGGTGTTGTTGGGGCCAGCGGCAGCAGGACCACCACCACCACCACCACCAGCGACGGCCGGTGAGCGACGAGAGCTGGCGCCGCGCGAGGCGGCGGAGGACGAGCTTGTTCTTGTTGTTGGCGACCGCGGCGCCGGCGCCTCACCGAAGATGAAGAACTTGATGAAGCAGCCCAGGAACACCACAACGGAGAGCTGGCCCAGCAGGAACCCCTGCGTGAAGGTCAAGGACATGCTGAAGAGGAGGAATGGGCTGGAGCAGGTGTAAGAGTAAGAGTAAGGGTATCAAGTAGTGCTGCCTCTCCCCCGTCCATCACTACTAGGTAGGTACTGACGACGAGGAGCTGCGTCGAGACCGACTTGGGACCCATCGATTCACGATGATGCAAAAAGCATTTGAGATCCCACGCATTGTGCATTGTGCGGAGAAGGCATGCTGCGGGTGTCGTGGAGTGGTCCGCCGCAGAATTCGTACTGTCGACTGTAGGGACAAACAAGGCAAGGCTGAAATGGCATTCAATCTATTATGCGTCGGCCGATCCACAGCTTCTGGGGGCCACACGCTCTGTCACAATCTGAATGCTTGCCTCTGTCACGGGAAACCAGTGCAGTAAGTGTGAATATAGAGGTGTGAGCATAAAATATTCATAGTTGTATGGATTTGGTCTTTCGTCGACTCTCCTCAGACGCCCAGCAGCAGCAATCAGAGAAGGCGATCAATTGGAAGCTGAGAACAAGATCTATCGGTCTAGATGCAAACGAATACCTCATACACCACGCGACAGCTTCACAGCTGCTCTTATAGAGCCTCAGTCTGACGTGGCACTCTTCCTCCCAGCCCGAACTTTCAAGCAATCTCTCAGAAGAAACACAATGCTGACACACAGTCCCAGCGCAGCGAACCCAATCCCAACATACCATGCTCCACGGTATCCCATTAGGATATCCTGTGGTGTGCGTCCGCCATGGTTGACATGCACCTCCACGGTCCCGGCGAAGCCCAGGCCCAGCGAGATGCTGTAGTTGACGATCGTTGTGACAAGACTGGCGGCAATACCTTGGTGTTCCCTGCGCACGGCGTTTGAGAGAATTATCGTCGCGGCGGGAAACGACATGTCCATTCCCCAGGGGATGACCACCAGTCCGACAAACGTCTGGGCCCAGTATGTTTGGTGGACCGGGGTGGTGGCGGCCAGGATGAGTCCGACGGTGAACCAGGTCAGCGCGATCGTCATGACCATGGCAGGCCGAAGTCTGGATAACAGAGCCCCCGTAACGACAGAGGCACAGGCTCCCGAGACGGCAACGGGGCTCAGGTACGCAACAGCCAGCAACGGCGACACGCCTCGCAAGATTTCCAGAAAATTGACCAAGTAGAAAAACCATATGCCTAGATGCGCATTTGATTAGTTGGCAGATTCTCGTGCTCGGAGAATCGGTCCGTACCAAATGATGACCAGCCGCAGACAATGCAAGCCAGCACAAATCCGACATCAGCCGTCAGTGCGTCGAAAGGCACGAGCGGAGCTTTGGAAACCCGAAGCTCGATGTAGAAGAACAGAGGCACCAGCAGAATCCCGATGAGCATGGTCACGTAGACGTATGCCTTCTGCCACCCTACATTTGGTGCCTGATTCCACGCGAAGTTGAATAGCACGAGAGCGGCGATGCCTACAGCAGCGCCAGGCAGATCAAGGAGCTCGATCTTGGACCAGAGGGAATAACTGGCAGACTCGGATCTTTGCGGTGGATTGGGAATGATAAAGTATGAGGCCACTGCAAGGAGGGCGAGGGCAATGGCGAAAGAGAAGAATGCCCAAGGCCACCACGTTAAAGCGAAGACTCCTGCAAGAGCACATCCGATAATCGAGCCACCTAAGGATGGTGAATTAGTATACAGCGGAAAACAGTCGATCGATCGAGGCTACCCACGAACCGGGAGCACAGGCACCAAAGAGTGCAAAGACCATGTCTTTCCGAGGACTTCCATTCGCATAACTTGCACCAAGGAGGGCCACTCCATTTGGTAGGAGGATGGCAGGCCCGATCCCCTGGAGGACTCGAGCGAAAACGAATAATACGTGATTGGAATAGATAGCTAGCCCTGCGATCATCGACCAGACCGAGAACCAGGCATACCCAACAATCAGCATGCGTTTGTAACCAAACATATCCCCCAATCTTCCACTGACGAGGATGAATGTCCCGACCGTCAGGCTGTATCCCGCCACCAGCCATGTCAATTCACTTGGGTCGGTGAGGTCGAAGCTTCGCCCGATATCATGGATGATAATGAGCGCTTGGCCCAGGCCGACTTGCGTAGTGATTTGTGCGGTGCATATGATGCCTACGAAGAGGATCTCATGCGGCAGAGAGAAAGATTCCGCCATGGGTCTGCTGCTTTGAGGTGAATTTCCATCGCCAATAGCGATTTCTTTCTCGAGAGGCTCTTGTGAACCGTCTCCATCTCGTACTTCTAGGTCAGGCGAGGAACAAGGGGGCCTTTGTTTTAGATTTTCGGCGGTCATTCCCCAACACACTCAAGTTTTGAAAGTGATGGAGGTAGTGATTGTCTTCCTTAGGTCGAATCATGCTGCGAAGAGGACGCGCCCCATATATATGAGCCTGCGGGAGTCGTGGGGCTCGTTTCCGAGCTATCCTGGTGACGCATAGTATCTTGCATTGGGGATTGAGATAGTGTACCTCGTACTTGTCCCAGGGTCCAGGTTCTCGGTGTACAAGTTCTTCTTTCCACCTTTAGCAACTGTGGAGATACCTTGCCCCCGGATGCGGGTTCGGAGAGAAGATGTGTCTGACCAGGTGATGGAACCTGCTCTTTGAGCACTCAGCCCAGAATATCTGTCAGACTCGCAGATTTTGCTGGCAAAGCGGCCGACAAACTCGGCCGTAGAGCTCGGTATTCGCACATCGTTGTCGTATAGGAATGCTTTCAAGGCGCCGGAGTGGAACTGGGAGGTTAGTCCAGAGATATGGCTTGCACCTTGCGGAGGGTCGGGGCGTCACGAGCCTCCGCAACCTGGATGCCTGAAGAGTAGATTCTGCCGAGCATTATTAACCCAACTTGCGGTTGAACAAACTTGTGCTCGGAGCCCCCTAATCAGCGGAGGACGGTGGTCTTCCGCGATCATGTTCTCCTCTTTAGCAGTTGTTGAAATACGCGCATTGCATCAGTCTGCCAGGTCCAACAGGGACTTACAACCATCAGCAAACCGCTAATTACAACTTTGAAAGGTCTGGACGAGGCAGATTATCTGTCCTCACACGCATGTCCTGGCATACTGACTGGGACGGTGGAGGATCTGTAACCACTCGTTGTGTAATCGTCAATGCTCGGCATTCGATATGTCTCCAGGTTGTCTCGTCCTATCAGTTCGAACCGTGTTGATGATTTCCACATCCCTTTCCTGAGCTTGCAACGCTAACTTGGATTGGTATCTGGGATATTGTGGGAACATGACACACAATGACCGAGCCGCCGACTTCAATCCCTATCCATGCAATTGAGAGTGTTCTAGATTTAGGTGCTTCTGTGAAAGGCTATAAGTTCATGCCTTGATCCACTGCCAGCATGAGTACGGCCGTATAGAACGGCATGCGTCGTGTCGATGGCAGCGGAAGAAGGTACAGGAAGAGGACTCACTTCGACAAAGACGGAGCTATCTGCGAGGCTGAGAGTATTCCGGATTTGAGCTGAAACAGTTGATTATAATCTGCTCCGCTTAACGAGTACACGCCGTCGCAAGGCTGGCATTGGTGGAGTGGAAAAGAGATTTACAGGCGCAATGGACACCAGGAACAACCTAAGTGCTGGCTACCATTGAAGAACTCGTAAGCAGAGAAATTGTTTTTATGTGTTTTTTTGCAAGTTGAAATGGTTGTGATTGAGACTGAGACACCCTGAAGATGCTGGAGCAGGATAGGGTGTAGAATCTCTGGGGCCATCAACGTGGTACGCTTAGGAGATACGAGACTCAAGTCGACGCCACGCTCCCCCCAATGAATAGGCCTTGACTTGCTCGCCCCTGAGCAATCATCCGAGTTCGTATGGGTCATGGTGATGTTGAGGCTGATGATCAAATGAGGAATGGCCGCTTCAGTCTCGATGAAAACTTGAGTGACGTCAACGTTTTTCTTCGCACGCGTCGTGACTTCTGGAATCCTGCAGGAGAGGCTGACAAGCTGAACTCTTCCCGCCAGAAATATGTATAGGAGGACATCATCCTTTGGTTGAAGTGCCAGTCGGTCCCTGTGCGTCGGTTCAAATAAACATTCCATGATGCGCAGATAACAAAAGTAATTTGTGTCAGGGGAGATGGTGTGTGATGAGCCTGTCCCTCAAAATGCGCCATAGCTAATAGAACCAGGCTTCAATTCTCCGCCAGATCGTTGCAGGCCCTCGTGCCAGACACCCAGAAGCAGGCCTAGACCTGTGTTATGTGACCGACTACAGTACGTTGGAACTTGCACCCAAAGAAGTCAAGGACTCTCTACTAACGTCCTCAGTTGTCGTCACTTCTGGTCCGAGCTCTGTATGGCCTAGGAAAGCCTATCGAAACCCCCTAGATCAGCTGGTCGGCTTTCTCGACCGGAAACATGGCGAGGACTGGGCGATTTTCGAGTTTCGAGCCGAAGGCACGGGGTATCCTGATTCTGAGGTCTATAACAGAATCCACCACTTCCCGTGGCCCGACCACCACCCTCCTCCCTTTGCCATCATCCCGAACGTCATGGCTGCAATGCGCAACTGGATCCAGCGATTAGACGAAGATGGGGAGAAAAGCAAGGACAAAGATAAGAAAAGAGTGGCGGTCATACACTGCAAAGCGGGTAAAGGCAGGAGCGGGACGGTCGCGTGCTCATATCTCATCAGCGAGGAAGGGTGGAAGAAGGAGGAAGCTCTGCAGCGATTCACCATGAGACGTATGCGACCTGGTTTTGGCCTTGGCGTGAGTATCCCGAGCCAGTTGCGTTGGGTTGGTTATGTGGATCGGTGGGCAAACAGTATGGGCAAACGATACGTTGAAAGACCTGTTGAGGTTGTTGAGATCCAGGTTGAGGGCCTCAGGGATGGCGTCAAAGTCTCAATAGAGGGCTTCGTGGATGATGGCCGGCGCATTCGGACGTTTCACACCTTCAATCGCCAGGAGAAGACTGTGGTGGATGATAACAATACCAAAGCGTCGAAGCCGGTTTCGGACGCGCAGAAGAACAGCGAGATTCTTAGCACACCGAAGAGTGCCACTCCGCAATCATCCTCGTTGAGCTTGAGCAAAAACTCTCCGGGGCCAAGTCAAAACGTCATCCTGAAACCATCTTCACCCGTGATACTGCCCACCAGCGACGTCAACATCGACTTTGAACGACGAAACAAAGCTGGGTACACGGGGCTCACCATGGTGACGGCTATTGCGCACGTCTGGTTCAACGCGTACTTTGAAGGCGGCCACGAAGGGCATAGTTCCGGCGTCTTTGAGATTGACTGGGAGGCGATGGACGGCATCAAGGGAAGTTCTAGGAAGGGCACCAGAGCCCTCGACAGATTGAAAGTCGTTTGGCAATATGCGAAGCAAGAAGGAGACGGTGCTCCCATGGAGCGAATCATTACGGAACCTCAGAAGGGCGAGCCGGTTCCGGAAGGACAACCTGCAAATTGGCAGGGAGAAGACGATGAGGAAGTTCGACCAACTGACGGCGTTGATAGCGGCCGGAAGGGAGGCGCTGCCCTGACCATGAGTGCCATGGTCAACCAAGGGGCGAGCACCCTGGGTAAAGAACTCGGCCTCAGGAAATCCCAACCTGAGAGTGCAAATGTCAGTCGCGCGTCCAGCGTCAAGGGCGAATCTACCACCTCAGATATGGGCACCGCCGCACAACGAGTCGAGGAAACGGAAGACCAAGGTGTGAAACAATGTGGACCGGAAGGCGAAGATCTTTCATATGACGGCGCTTCAGACCCGGACGGTGGAAGCAGACAAGACACCAAGGCCGGCCACAAAATGGAAGCGGGCATGGCCAAGGCGGCCCACGTGATATCCAAGATGAAGCCCTCCGACAACAAGGCTGCGAAACAGGGAGAGGGTGTCGACCACCAGACGCACGAGCAGGATACAGCATGATGTTATGATTTACAGGGAGAGGCATTGATATTGACACGATACCCTTTGCAACGCGGGTCCAACAACAGTGCATGCATAGTGTTTGACGTTTTATTGTTGTTGATAGACACAACAGATATCATCATATGTCTGTCTCGTCCATCCTTATCTTTGCAAGGGTTGTTGCTTATGCTTCCTTTTCCCCGTCCACTTCCCCCGCTTTATCTATCACCCACACTTGTCACTTGTGGTCGGTCGGTTTGTTCATTCACTGTTTTACCGGCCTCGTTGAAAAGATGGTGCAGACGTGACGACTCGAGTGGTTTCTTCTCATAGTATGTACATCATCATCGTCATCGTCATCGTCATCATCATCATTGTGATGGTCCTTGTTTCTCTACCGTACCGAGTACAGCAAGCTAGCAAGCTCCAGCCCAGCAAAATTGAACAGTCCAAGAGGCGATTCCGTAAATTCTCGAGAAGCCGGACGGAACGAACATGGAGAAGGAGGAGGAGATTGCTGGCCTGCCAGAGGAGTTCGTGCCAGATATTATGATTGTCCAGAGGGGCTTCTTCCATCCTAGCCCGGTCCATTGGCCGTCGACGCCCAAGCTCGTGTACACCGACTCGGGCGGACGGTGAGGATGCAAGGACGAATATAAGGACTCGAGAGATCAGGAGCTGAGGAGCTTGATATGTGAGCCCAAGCGGGACGGGGGCGGTGTACATGATGGTGGTGAAGATAATGAATAGGATGATTGGGCTTGGGAAGGATCTGAGACGTGAAGCATCGATAATTTTGATGTCGTATGCCGGACAGTTGAATAGTGGTCATCATCTCTTGTGAATAGCGTTCCTCCCGGCCCTGTGTGTGTTAACTAGGTTCGCATAGTAGTATGTAATGAGCCCAGAGTCTCGTCTGTATCCTCCTTTCAGTCGATTGCCGGGTTTCTTTCACATGGTCCACGTCCATCCTTGACATCAAAGCCGGCAGCCCTGCTCAACGCCGTCGCCTCTTCCGCCGCACTCTGCGGGTCTCCGTCTCCAGGATGATGCTGTCGTCGGCGGCGAGTGGGACATTCCCCAGCACTCGAGGAGACTCTTTGGGCTGGAAAAGCCCGACGAACAAATTCGAGGGCCTTTTCCAGATCCCGATCCCGTCCAGCATGTCCGGGTCGGCGTTGTGCAGATTCAGTTCGACGGAGCACTTGCCGTTGTGGACAAAGCCGTGTAAACACAGCGGATGCAACGCTTCGGCGAAGGACAGCGGTTCTTCGACGTGGAGCTGGCGGTACGTGGGCATCAGCAGGTGGAAGACCGGGTCCTTGCCCCATTCGCCCGACTTGGTGAACAGCGCACGGAGGTAGCGCATCCAGATACACAGCGTGTCCAGGTTCTCGGCCAGGCCGAAGAAGTTGTTCGCCGTGGGCTTCTTCTCGACCAGCTTGCAGAAGTACGGGTGCCAGTCGGTGTCCGGGTGGTAGACGAAGTAGAGGTGCTTCTTGCTGGTGGACTTGGACGTGCTCTTGGTCATCATGTCGATGTAGCCGTAGACCTGGTTTGCGAACTTCTCCGGCGCGTCGAGCCGCGTCTGCGCCTCCAGCTCCCGCCGTATCCCCCGCAGCTCGGCGATGATCTGTTGGCCCTGGAAGACCTGGATGAACTGGGCCGGCACGGCGGCAGCGACGAAGTACCCCTGAAACCCGGCGAGGTATTTGGCGTGGGACGCCAGGATTTTCACCGCAGGCATCGCCTTCTGGACGGCGTTTGCCAGTTTTTCCGCATTCTGGATTACTCCGGGTATCTGACCCAGGGCTTTGTTAACAGAAGTCAAAGTGCTGATGATCGTTTCTTCCGGCCGCTGTGACGGTGTTGACGGCTCGGGCAGGCTGATGTTCTGGCCCATGTCGGAAAGAAGAGCCTCAATAGCTCCACACTAAGCGCCCTCGGAGGATATTGATGGAATGAAGTGCTGTCGGCAGCTGATATTCCAGAGAGCCCGCTGTACCGTCGTGACTGTCGTGATAGTTGGTTCGCGAGCAGTGACGCTAGAAGATCTGTGTCCTGGAGCATTCATTCATTCGGCATGTCGTCTCTTACAGCGACGGATATGCTGTATCCCCAGTGGACGGTGTCCTGAATACATGGCTCGTGTTATTGAGGATTCAGGTGAGAAAACTGTAGGACATATTAATGTGTAGGATGTTCGATACTGATTGGACTGGATCCTCCTCCCCCAGGATGGCACATTCGGAAACGAGGCGCACATATCTGTAGGGCAAAGAGATTGCTGTCACCCTATCATTGCCTCTTTGGTCGGAATATGGTGTTCTGGTGTCCAAATGACCCGGTCATGGTTTTCATAGGCTCGATGGGGTGCTCTCGGTTAGTGCTTACTGGGTCCCATTGGTGCTCTGGATTGGCGATAAATTTTCGACTTGGAGCCCTGCGGTTGACGTGGCAGGCTCCTCTGTGGTATAGCCCCGTCCTGGAGCTGCCCTCGACCCGTGACTTGCTCACGCCCTGGTCTGCATTGTTGTCAGTCAGGGCGACCACACCCTGGGCTGCCGCCGCACAAAATGCGCAGTAGACCAACTAATCAGCGAGCCTTTCCATCATTGAGGGAGATGTCCCTGACGGAGTCGGCTGTGCCGGCAAGCGAGAATGTGGCTGGAAGTAAAGAAGAACACGGCATCAGATTGGGGACCCATTCACCTTCTGGACGTATCTCAGGCTGCTGGGTAACCACGTCGCAGGAAATGGTTCGAGGCAGCGGCTCGGCGCAGCGTAGCAAGATAGTCTCGGGAGCCACTCCGAGGCCGCTGCGACGAAGCGTTCGTGCCTAGACCAATTCAGAAGAGGTCTTCGAGATTTCATCTCCCAGCACAGTTCGGGAGAGGGAAGGGCCAATCCTTACGCTTGAAACCCAGCATGTGCTGAACCTGCTTGCCTTCTACCTGGCGGCTCATAGGGAGGTCCAACGCAGTCCGGCTTGAGATTGAATCAATGCATTGTGGAAAGGCCCAGGTACGGTGCTCCGTGCTTCTCCCATCTCTGATGCTGGATGCTCCACTCATACCCCTCGTGTATAGGCTCTAGGGAGAAATAGTCGCCTTGTTGGGTCGATGGCCGCTCCTGTCCATGGTAGATGTCCAGGACATCTTCAGCTTTGAGGCCGAGTTCTGGTGGCCCCGATGTAGCGCCTATTTGTACCTTAACATTCGGAAACCAGCCCTCTGGATCGTAGGAAATATCCATCAAAGCGACGCCGACCCAGTCACATTCGATGAATTTCCTCCCAGCATCGTCAACCCGTGATAGTCGAGTCGGTTTGATAACCAAACACAACCTCTGTCGTCGATAACATGTCAGAACCAGATATTCGCCCGGATGCTGGAGAGCCAACATGATTTTGCGCTGGGAAGCGCTGTGCATTGAGAAGGGTTCGATGTTGTTTTGACGCAGCGATGGCAGAGTCCGCGCCCAAAATCTACCCGTCAATGAGCCGCTGCCCTTGTCAATGTCGAGCCTGAGTGCCTCCCACGTGCCATTCTGTGGAAGGATTGGAGTGGATCCAGAAAACAAATTCAAAGGACACCAGGAGAGCGGGCCATGGTCGACGATGGTTGGTGAACCGTGAATCAAGACGCTTGCATCGACTTGGGGATACGACGTGATAATTTGCTGCATCACACGGCCCTCCATGTTGACGGCGTCCAGGTCTGGCTTCACCCCAGCAAGTAAGCTTGCCACCACAATGCGATCTCTCGGCCACGAGTTGTTTCGCGATTTGAGATTTTGCATCAAGTTGCGCATTGAACGAGGCTCGACGTTGGTCTGCTGCAACCTGCGGATGATTCTGGTTGCTGTTCTGTGACCTAGAGTATGGTGAAACCGGGAGGCCAGGATGTCTTTCCGCAAGTCTTTGATCAACGGCGCCCGGTCGTTGTTGGGGTCCTTGAACAATACTTTGATGCTCCGAGATGATATGAGCTCAACGGCTGTCCAACCCCGTGTGAACCAGGGGCTCAGTACGAGAGCCAGACAGGGAGTGCCGTCGTCTTTCCAGGGAAAGTTAACCAGGTATTCATCATGGACGACCGTGTGCTTGGCTGAACTGAAGTTGATTTGCATGTTACGGAGAGCTTTTGCACGCAGTTTCGGATCTGGAGGGATTGAGATGGTGTCCCACCAAACGCCCTCGCAGTGCAGTGCTTTGGCGACTTCAGAAAAGTATTGGAAGAGGCAACTGTTTACCGCCCCTGGCCCTTTTGTGCCTGCGCCAGTTCCGTCAGACCAGACATGTGATATGGCGATATATTCGCCGTTGGTCAGACTAGGTGCCCCACGGGACGCTGTCGACAATTCAACGGACTTCCAGACCAGTCGATCGGCCGTCTGCAGAGGTGTCTGAGGAAATTGGATCAGAGGGCAAGAAGGGATGTTTGACTCTCCGCATTTATGCTTCTGAGCAACTCGAGTGTTATCGAGTAAAGCAAATTCACAATGATCAGCGGTGCAACTTTCATGGTTGATTGCCCCTGACGAGTCTGCAAAACTCACAACGGCGGGTAGATCTCTCAAGGCAAAGTCCTCTTGATGTCGAAAACAACTGGCTGTAGCGGCTTGTGTATCATCAATCATGACCAGTAGAGCTGGCAGGTCTTGATCTCCTCGAGCGCAACATGAAATCAGATTGAACAACCGGTACTTGCATATTCCCAACCGTTCAGCCTTGCGAATGGCGCCTTTGATGTCTTCTTCGTATACTTCATCGGGGCACCAGAAGGTCGACGAGTGTGCAGCGACCAAAGTCGACACTCGCTCACGATCTGGACTGTAGTCGACGTCGACTCTATAAATCCATTCGACCAGATCATAGGTCGTTCTGTCTGGTAGCACATAAGAGTTCAAATGGTTCCATTTCTCATCTGATCTCGGACCCTCGAGGCACCGTAAGACAGCTAGAGAAAGATTGATTTTCACCTGGGGCCAGCCATGCTGGTGATAGTGTGCGAGAGCCGTAAGATGGCAGGAAATCCACTGGATCATCCAGTCGAAAAAGGCGACGCACCAGACTGGACCGCGAAAGTTCCTTGTCAGCTGTGCTTTGTTTTTCTGGCACTCTCGACGGGAACATGACTTGATTTGAGAATCTTTTGCACAGTGGTATAGCCTTTCAAGCGTCGAAAAGTGATCTTTGCGTATTTAAGTTGCATCCACAACCTGGACAAGAGATAGAAAGTGGTTGTTTAGGGCAGGTTAAGTCGCAGAAGGAAAGCGGAAGAAAAGCGTCATACCTTGCCTATCATATCGCCGTCGAGGTTGGCACAGGTTACGACAGGCATCTCTGCTGCCGTAGCCGGTGACAGATCTTCCAAGAAGCTCCCTTCTGCCAACAGCCTCCTTTGACTGGTCCATTCCATCCACGCCCGGTCAAGCGTGCTTGGATAATACTTATCTCGACCATCAAGGAAGCGTCGAATATCGGGAGGCGTAGGAGGATCTCGGCTCGACTTATCGGAGTCTTCTGGCTCTGATCCGGACGCCGTACCGCTCCTCTATTGAAATAGATCAGTGTCATTCGAGGTCAAGGGAAACTGAAAATATGATCAGGACCACCATATCCCTGGAAAAGGGCCACTTCATTGTCACGCCTATGAACGTTCGAATGCGGGCGGCTGAAGGTTTCAGGAGCAGCCTAAGAGCCCCTTTAATTCCTCGTATCGATCAGGATCATTAATATAGAGAAAGTATGGACGGTATTCTATTGCGATTATAAGCCGCATACTTGGTATATTATCTTCAGGTCATATCCGTCAACCTTGTATATTCATCTTAATCACTTCCAGGGTTCAGAAAAGGCCCGTGCCGCTGCCCGGTTATGCCTACGAATAGCACCGCCGACGTGTAACAGACGTGTTCGAAACGCGCTTAGTAACAGCCGAAGGAATCACTAGTCACACTCTAGTCGATAAGGCGTCCAACTCGTGGCGGCACAGGAGGCGGACAAGATTCGACTTTCCAATATCACGATAAAGAGCTTCCCGTTGATCACGTCGATGACCACCGCCCTATGCATTGCGTGTCGTCAGTATATCCAGATCCTAGATGTGAACGGCGGCAGAGCCCCGTGAGCACCGGTAAGGCTGGAGATTGGACACAAGGGCTAAGATCATAACTGTTCCACGGTTTCGCAAACGAATGAACAACAGATGATGGCTGAAATCATGGAGGAACCTGCCGGCATATCCAAAACTCAACAGGATGGACAACTCGAAGCCACCACTCCTGCTCCGACTCTACGCTTCGCCTCAGCCGCCGATGAGTCGTACGAACAAGACCTCGTCACAGAGGTACCCCCTCGCCAGTATAGCAAGGGAAAATCGGAGTACCTGGACAGCAGGCTCAGCCCGCAAATGTCGAGGTCGTCGAAATCAATCCGCCTCGAGCCGCCACCGGTGGTGATGCGCCCGCCCAAGGTCCGGTTCGACGGCTTTAGCTCGGCGGCGCTGTCGTGGTTTGCGTGGAACCGGAACGAGGAAAAAGACCTCCCGGACTGTGCCAGGTCCATGCGTCGGTCCTACTCGTACCGGTCGACGTTCCGACTCTTCGGCTTCAGTGTGGTCAAGGACGTCAGCTTCAAGACCTCCGAGACCGGGATCGACACCGCCATGCACAATGTTCGCCTGGTGAGTATTTCCCTAGGAAACATATGTGGTGGAGATGTATGCCATTGTCTGTGTGGGGTGCTGACCTATTCCCCGTCGACCAGGGCTGGGGGAAGTCGGAAACGAGTTGGATGCATGACCTGCTACCACAGGCACGGCAAAGACTTGGCCTCTCCAAAAGCGGGCAGCCAGACGCACCAGACGAAGAGGCGAATGACACCTTCAGCCAAGATAACAGCAGTACCACGGCCGCGGTCGAGAACCAGAAGGCCGCGAAGGAACCCAAGCGCACGATCCCGCGCATTGCGCACCCGTGGCACCTCGACTACTATTACGTGGTCGTCGGGATCATGGCCGACGAGATCGCACCCAAGGAGACCTTGCGACGTGTCATGGAGATCGACGGACTATTCAAGCAGATCCGCAAAGCTCACCGATACCTCAGAAACCCCATACGGAGGGTGGTGTCTTTGAAAGAAGTCTCAGGCTTCGGCATCTACCAGTGCGACCCCGGCAAGGGCTACCACAAAGAGGTGGAGCTGGACAGCGAGACCGAGAGCGCGCTGGCCGAGCTCTGGCGGAGCTACAACACACACCCAGTCGACTACGAGGGTCGCTGGCTGCTCTGGATCCACCAGCACTTCAACAACAGCTCCAAGAACCCGCAGGACGGCACGCTGGCGCTGGAGCTGCGGCTACGCTGGTCCGTCTTCAAGGTCGTCTACTGGGGTGTCGTGCCCATTGTGCTGAGCTTGGCCGTGGGCTTCTCGTACATGTACGCTGACCACGGAGACGTTGACGACGTCGCCGTCGCAGAGGCCGCGTGGGTCATTGCCACGTATATCATCACGACGTCGGCGTGTAAGTGGATTCTCATCCCCAGAAATTTTGCCCGGTAGGATGCTGACTTGACGAACACCAGTGATCTTTGCACTTTTGGCCGTGATCACGCAACTTGGGAATATCTGAGCCGCCTCCTTGGTGGAAATTAAACTGCCGTCCCCTCTCGTCCGCAAGTTGTGACAGCGCCAATGTTTGATGGAGGACAAGCATGGTCTCTGTCACACCATACAAGAGGCGGCCGAAGCGTGGGTCCTCAATCAAAAGGATTAGACGTCCACTTTTGATACAGGGCACCTGCAATGTTGACCCGGTATGAGCAAGAGAACCAGATACAGAAGCTCTGTACATAAGTTATGAAGGTGGAATAAAATGCGTATTCATCGTGGAGTTACAACCAAAATGCTTAAAAAAAAAAACAGAGACCCTTCGGCACAGCGAGCGGTCAAGAAGTTAGGGGTTTGAATCTAGGTCCTCCACTGGAGCCACCCGCTTAGATCTACCAGCGGTAGCGTGATAGGAAATTCCACCGCTCTCAGCAGCAGCGCCAGAAGGAGATACCAGCCAGCCATGCAGCTCACACCCAAGCTCGCGCCGGCAATGTACAGCGTCGTACCCGCACCGCTGCCCCCGTCGGCGATCAGCCAGAACGTCGTCGTCAGCAGTGTAAACCCCCAGAACAGGCCGGCGAAGATGATGACGAAGACCAGGTTCGTCCGTAGCGCGCAGACGAGGTAGATGAGACACAGCACGGCCATGAAGATCATGAAGAAGCCGAACGACGCGTTGAAGCCCTTGCTCTCCAGCCCGGCCGCCACGTCTTTCGGGTCGGGCGAGTAGGCGCCGAAGGCGTTGAAGAAGGGGAGCAGTGTGGCCCCGTACGAGAACCAGAAGCCGCCGAACGAGGCGAACACCACGAACGGGAACGTGTTACCCGCGACCCATTCGAGGAAGCCGCCCAGGAGCATGAGGACGCCGCCGATGAAGAAATACGCTCCACTGTCACAGAGACCCAGTCAGATTATATTTTATTTCGCTGGAGTGGGGAGAAGAGGTTGGGGAGGGGATGAACAAAACTTACACTGACGCCGCGCCATTTCCACCCGCCCCTCGCCAGCCCATCAGGTCACAGCTCAGCGGACTCAGGCAGAGTAAGAAGCCGACAATAGAGAGTGGCGTCGGATTGCCGAATGTCTGCTTGGGGCTTCTCGCTCCGATGGGATCCTGGTTCTGGACCTGCAAGAACATCCGATCGAACATGTCCGCGGGGATAGACACCATGGTGGCGTCCTGGAATGACGGCGGAGGCGCCTGTGACCTTGGGGGCATGTATTTGGTCTTCTCATCCATGAAGAACGGGGCCTCGAATGACTGCGAGTATGGGAAGCCAGGTGGTGAAGGCGGCTTGTAGTAATTTGAGCTTGGGGGAGGAAGAGGGCCTTTGATCTCAAAGGGTGAAGGTGCCATTGTTGCAGTCGAATATGTTTTGATAGATATGGCGGCTGGCTAGATGCAAATGATGGCACTCGGTCGGAAAATATGGTGATTTCGAGATGGATTTGAAGCCACAGGACAAGTCCAGACAGAATGCAGGGAGAAGGACAATTCTTTATACCCCTCATACTCGACCACGATGAAAGCGCCAGCCACGCCAACTTTGGCTGGTCGGCACCCAAATAACAACGGCATGCTGAGTCTGCAACATGTCGTGCTTCAGCCTCAGCGATCAGCGCTGTCCCGGGGCCAGTTAAAGGGCAGCAATGCGACGTCTGCAAGCATTGGCAAAAAGTCTTTTCATCCCCTGCGTTGGGTGGAAGCTGTCCAAGAGGTGTTTGGGGAAGCTTGGAAGTTCTTGGTACCTATACACATTTACCGAAACCTTGGACGTCGTTCGCTGTGCCAGGCGTTCAACATGAAACCAACTCCGAAGTCTGGGGTGACCAAGACAGCGGGAGAAGGTGGAACATCAGGAGGTGTCGGGGGAGGCTTGGCACTCAGGGGCTCGCATCTACTGAGCTTCCGATTGGTGCGGATTGTCCCTCAGTACCCTATCGGGACCCCGCCTATGCGCCGTAGGGCTGCAAGGGGAAGGGTGAAAGTCTATGAGCTCGAACTCACGGCTTTTCAGCTCACACAAGCCAGGAATATACCGTGGCTGGTCTACTAGACGGCCGAAGCGAAACTCTTGAGACTCGGAGCGAGGCGCACGGAGCGGATGATTTTGGGTCAATGCTTTTGTTCGCCTCTCCAGTGGTCGCCATAGACAAAAGCGCTCTAGGGCCCCTGACGATCCGAGTATCTGCATTGTGGTCGTTCGTCCAAGAGCATTTGACCCTTTACTGACAGTCCGTGAGGTCATGTCTTCAGACTGAGAATATCGTCGAAGGAGATCTCAAAGACAAGCATTTGTCACACCTGGTCAGTCAAAGGGTCCGCCAAGTGTGTCGTATTCGCAGGTTCAGCAGGGGCCACGCTGCCATTCATCCTGGGTGCCGGTAAATGGTGACAGCAAAGAAACAGCCTCATCAAGTTAGGGATATCCCTGTTCACTTAAAAGAGGCTTGCCTCGATCGACAGCCAAAGTCCAAGACAACAAGATATCTCGCAATTTCGAAAGCTGCTGTCGTGGTCGAAGCCCAGAAGCCACATCGACGACCTCTACCTGTTAACCAGTCTTTCCTGCCTGCGTCACGCAAATATCACGAATCTTGGACTGAGAAAGAACAGTTGAAGTGCACCATAAATGGCAGGAGGAACTGCATACAGAACAGACACTCGCCCATGACCAAGGGTAGTTGGAGTCGATGCCGGCATCCAAAAACGTGCATTGTCGACCGCCCCATTCCCGTCCATCGCGAGTTGCTCTTACTGTGTCAGCCAGAAATCGAACCATTTGGCGATGGCTCTTAGGCTCTCTTCCTTAGCATAGCCTGTCCAGTGTGTCAGCCACGCCCACCTCGAAAGCCCAACACGCTGTTGAAATGGATGCTTAACATACGTTCATAGGGATTGTCCAGGTTACAACGAAGCGCAAACCCATGTTCCACCCCAGAGAATAGCTGCAAGTTGTATGGCTTTTTGTCTTCCTGGAGGATCTTGATGGCCTCGTTGCGTGCGTCAGTCCCGAATGTGTGGTCGGTCTCGGCGCAAGACAGAAACAGGGGTTCTCGAGGAGGAACGTCAGTCAATCAGTCACAGAAGAAGCCCAGCTTTTCTCACTTTTGAGCTGTCGGAAATGTGTCTCCTTCAAGAACGCCGGGTGGGCGAAGGCGCCTGCAGTGCAGATGTCCCTAGCCAGCTCGTTGCAGACATATGGAGCCCCGAAACAGTACCTGGCGCAGCGAGTGGTCAGGACCCAGAGAATTCTGATATGGCTAGGAACAGACATACCCCACGCACGCAAATTTGGTCGTTGGCGTGCCAAACTTAGCCTTGACAGCTTCGACCCAACCCGGCACTGCCTCGTCTGCGAATGCGATGTGCTTCTTCTTCCAAGCCTCATAATCGAAACCTGGCGCAGGGTCATCGCGGCCCTTGCGGTGTTTCCACACCGGGTCCTACATATCCATATCAGCAACAGAAGACCGCGAAGCGAAGGGTAAACCCACTCCCCGGAAATAATCCAATCCTATACATGTGTAGCCGGCATCCGCGAGTCCATCCATCACCAGGAATCCGTTGTTGAAGAATCCCCACACATCAGGGAAGTAAAGGACGATGTTGCCGTTGTTCTTGCCCTGGGGAGTTGAGATATATGTCTCAATGCCGGCCACGGTCTCGGTGCGCCCTCTCGGCTCACCTTCGTGAAGGGAGCCTTTCAAGCAGCACTCGCCTGACGGTTTCGCGAGATAGCCTTCTTTGTCCGCCATGATTCTGATGATGTCGAGTTGCTTCTCCCCGCGTACTTTTCCAGAGCGATAGCGTTGCGGTAGATGTCCGTCTTTTTGCTTGTGTGATTGAGCGATCACGCAATTCTTCCGACGGCTATTCCAGCCTCGGATGCCTCGCCGTCTCACCCCTTCTCCAACGATGCAGTCTTCTCCAAGCCGGTCAACGCGCCGGTTACCCAATCACGGGACGAGAACTCATCAAAAGTACCTCATACAAGCTTTCGAACCACTGCCCCCGCAAACGGACGTCGGCCGTAACCGAGATGGGAGGCTTTAAGACAAGATATAATGCCCGGTCATGTATTCTGGCGATGTCGAGAACGTCGAAGGCTTCAGAAACCCACACGAAGAGGTCCATAGGAAGCTTGAGTGTTGGAATAGTTCCTGACACGAGAGTGTCCGCTGACCACGTTTGATACCAGTTGTAATATCCCATGAGAAGCACCGAATCCTGAAAGAACAATGGCTTCGAACACCCCCCACCAGCCCTTCCGCTTTGACGGCGAAGTCGCCATCGTCTCTGGCGCAGGCTCGCGCATGGCTGGTAAGGCCACTTGCAGCCCATACCTCCTTTCACTCCTGGACTGAATACATGTGTAGGCGAAATTGGCAACGGTCGTGCAACAGCCATCCTTCTCGCCCGGCAAGGCGCCAAAGTCGCCCTCCTGGACATTAATGTGTCTTGGGCTGAGGAGACTAAGCGCATGATCGATGCAGAGGGTGGCATCTCAGCGGTCATCCGCGCGGACGCCACAGACGAGTCATCATGCAAGGAGGCCGTGGCCAAGACCGTCGAGCTGTTCGGCACAGTGACTATCCTGGTCAATGTTGTTGGTGTTGGCGGTGCCATGGGAGATGCTACAACCCTAGACCTTGCCGCTTGGGAGCGTGACATGCGCATCAACGTCACCAGCATGGTCCTGATGGTGCGCCATGTGGTCCCCGAGATGCGCAAGATCGGCCGTGGCGCCATCGTCAACGTCTCCTCGGTGTCGGGCTTGTTAGGTGGTAATCCGAGCCTGTTGTATCCCACGAGCAAGGGCGCTATTATTCAGATGACGAGAGCGATGGCGGCGCAACATGGGACGGAGAACATTAGGGTCAACTGTGTGTGTCCTGGCATGGTGTACACTCCGGTCAGTTTTGGTTTGGCTGTTGTTGAGTTCTTGTTCTTGGTGCTTTCCGTCCTCTTTTCTCCCGACGATCTCTTTGCGTTGCTCGAAACACATTCCCTTACAGAACCCATTCCCAGTGACAATACTAACTCTCGGGCAACAAAGATGGTGAGGAGCCGCGGGATGTCCGATGATTTGAGACAGGCAAGAATAAACCAGAATATGCTGAAACAAGAGGGGACTGGATGGGACGTGGGATACGGTATTCCTTTTCTCCTTCCGCGGTTTGGGGCATCTGATGCTGACTCCTCCCCTTTAGCCATTCTGTTCTTATGTAGCAAGGAGGCCCGATGGATCACGGGCCTGATCATGCCTGTTGATGCAGGCACCACAGCAGGGAAAGCAGTTGCGGACAGGCCGGCGCTGGCGGCAGATGTGCTGGCGGAGCAGATGACCGGCATACCCAACAAGACAGAGCATTAAACTCCCCCATGAAAGACTTGTGAGCCGTGGTAATCAAGCGATATTTCGATTTGCTGAAGGCCATCGAGCAACCAAGGGAAAGACAGAGCGCCGCTGTTATCTAGGTAATTTCAACCTTGTGGGAACTCACAGCCACTCTCAATATGACAATCAGCCCACGTAACTCTACCTGGGAGAGAGGTGCCCGCGATTGGATTCTTGGGACTCTCCTGCTCCGAGGGTGATCAACCTCACCCGTAGGCGTATAACTTCCAGCATCACCATTTCTTCTGGAATTGAGTTGCCTGAAGTTGGGTCGGTGTCAGGATGAGCATTCTGCTCCGGAGCCTCGGCGGCGCCTTGGACGTCATCATCGTCCGACAGAATCATCGGATTCGCCCTGAACTCACGGCCACCCTCGATCCAACAATCAGCCAACGTAGCTCTGCCACCGAGAGAGGCTCCCTTCTCAGCTAGTGTCCGGTTCCTGGCTGTGGGCCTTCATTCGCATTCCAAACACCACGCTTGTGACGCGCGTCATCGTTGTACAGACCTCCGTATGGGGAAAGAGTTGTGGCAAGGTGAGGGCTAAGGGTTCAGGGCAGACAGAGGTTGTCGGTGGCTGGCCCAGGGACATAACTAGGGCCTGAACAGCTCACAGTTGTATTCTCTTAGTAGGTCCACCAGTAGTCCTCTCGGTGCCTGTACCGAAAACTATTGTGTGTGTATATATAGTGTTATATATATCCACCGCCCGCACGGCCCATGCTTACAGATCCGACAGCAGTAAGTTTTCTCAGGGACGGTTCAGACGAAGCGGTGCAAGATGAAGAACATTCACCAACTCCGCTGTTCGAGCAAGAAGTACTTTGGAATGAACGTCTGCTGGCGATGGCCGACGGCCTTGCGGAAGATCTTCTAGCACCAGAGCCTAATGCAGAGGAGATTGCCATCGTTTGAGCGCTGCCAACGAGCGTATCAAACAGTTTTACTCCTATGATTATGTAGTGCCTCGTGTTGATAGAGCTTGTTGACTGAGGAAATTGATACAAAGTAATCTCTCTTACGTGTTTGAAAGTTTCGTACTCCTGGTTCAGACGGAGTGTCTGAGCTTCTGAATTTCTCTACCTAGCTTCTGCTCAAGACAGACCAAATAGCTGAGCAAGATAGTCGAATAGCTCATGAGTAGAGAAGCAAGATGTCCAGTGGAATGTGGGAGCTGAAGCATACTGGAGATATGCAGTGCACCTCTGCAGGAAGCCATGAATAGACCTTCCGCCGTTCCTTCACACCTTCTCTTCATCCTCGTCGTCGTTCGATTCGGCATCGTCTCCAGCAGGTGCAAACATGCAAGAGTTTCCTAGGCTGACGGCTGCTCTTTGGGCTTGACGGAGTAGCTTCCTCGGCTCGTCATGTCGGCACAACGCCCAGTCCGTATCTCCCCAAAACATGCAGTCCAGCGCGTTGATGATCCCCACTCCACCAGGCACTGCAAAGCGCGCAACGCTCTCACGGCTACCGAGGAACCAAGAGTCGACGACCTTCCCATCCGACGATCTTTGAAGAACTCTTGCCCCCAGCGCGTTGCGCATCTTATCGGTCTCCCCCACATATGGTTGCGGTAGGACAGCGATGGTGGCAGCAGCAGTAGTGGTGCCTCGGAGGCAAACACTATCCAGCTCAGTCGATCGAAACTCGAGTGCAATAGGGAGAAACGGCCCTTTATCTTCAGCATCACTCGTCCTGGCATTCAGCAACACCGCGAGTTGCTCAGGAGTCAATGCCCTCCACGCCTCCTTGTCTGCTTCGGACCACATTTGTGGGACGTAGATGAGGTCAGGAAGGCGAGCGAAGGCGGCGTAAGCACCCGGCCCCCAATTTTTAACATGATTCTCTTCAGGGTCGACGCCAGAATACTGGTAGACCTAGCGTACAGTGTCAGCAAGTCACATACCGGAATTCGAAGATTTTTAGCTACCTTTCCGTATCCGAGCTCACAACAGAGCTCCGTTAAAGTGATTGCCATGCAGAGTGAGTCTGATACAGTTCCCGTGAGCTCGGGTTCGCTGTTGTTGACACGACGGATTTTGAGACCACCCCGCGAATCTTCCCCAAGGTAGAACTTGGTGCCTGGTTCCAATTTATCGATTCTCTCCCGCCCCATTATAGGCATTATGTTGAAGCTTTCGAGTATACAGAGATGTAAGCTGGATATTGAGCTGAGTTGTCTCTGCGTGTTGTGGGTTTCAGAGACTAACGCAGCGGTGAAACGACTGTGAAGAAGCGAGACAGAAAGTTGAACTTAGAAGGCGAAGAGGCATTTGTGAAAACGACATCATGAGGTCGCCAAGCGAGGTATTCAGAGGAGGCCACACATTGATCGACCCTCAGACCTCACCGACTTCACCGGCCCCGTGACGACGTTACCGAACCCCTTCGAGCCTGGTCAGTTTATACTCCTCCGCCACGTTCTCCTAGCTCACTGATTGTGAGCATACTGACTTCGCCCTCTATCAAAGTTTTAGCCAATTTATAATTCTGGGAAATCTCGCTGTCGCTCTGGACCGCTGCTCCCTCGAGTCGCCGACCAACAGTCGGCTGGTTGTAGTTCTACGATCTGCACGGGAGATGAAAGCCTTTGAGAGCCTGAGACTCCTATTTAGGAGAGCTTTAGCCCTAGCCGACCTGAAGATATGACCATACTCGGGCGCTAATATTAGACCTACCGATGACAGGCAGAGCATCATAGATTCCTACGAAAGTAGTCTCACATCCTCTTCCTGCCTCTGGGGCTGCTGGAGATCCTCCGGTGTCCAAATCGGAGGGCTGCAATGGACAGGCTTCAAGAGCGACGTCGGGCGTTGCTCACTCTGATAGCAACGCTGATGGCCATGTAGAAGAAGGGCGTCATGGGAGCGATGAGAATCGAGAGTTTGCCTGGTAGTAGTATACTAGCCCGAATTAGATTAATGAGTGGGACACCTATCCGAACGGGAAGTTCACTAGCCGCATTTGGTGCTGCTGATACTCAGAGTACTGCTGCGAGTATTGAGTGAATAACGGGATCGACGACTGGTTGAGAGCATAAAGAACATGTTTAATCAGGTGTCCTCTTAACACTGACTGTTCAAGCATCCCTATTCTTCTCGACTTAGTGCTGGCTCTTCCGGCACACACCCCAAATTGAGCACGTGACTGATCATCTGCGCCACATCTTAAATCCTGACTATCAATACTCCCCTCCTTCGAAACAACATCTGCTTCTCTTCTCGGGACGTAGCAAGAGTGCCATTAGACCTTGGACGGCGCTGCCGAGGTGCTCTCGACCTGCACGGCACCACCCTTGTCCTCCAAAACCGCATTCTCAATCGCGAGATCGTTCTCGGTCAGCAAGACGACCTTGTCACCGAATGCGGCAGCAATCTCTTCGAGAGTCTTCTTCTTCGTTTCTCTGGTAGCATGACGGCCTGGTTAGCAGGATGCGTCGGCAGATGGACGGACAACAGGCCAATCTGGGACCCCGAGTTGCCTTCTTGGAGGGAAGTGGGCCTGTGTTGAAGACTTACGGGAAGTAAAAGTATGCCACGATCAGGAAGAAAAACGAGCACCCGACAAAGACGTAGTAGTAGTTCTGGCTCCAGCAAAATAGATGACATTAGTTTCGTGTCCAAAAAGAAGGTACTTCGGGAGAAAAGAGCGTGCGGGTAAAGGGGCTTCAGTTCCTCAACAGAACAGACGGTTCACTCACTTCTTTGATAGTTGCGAATGCCGATGGTCCGGCCTCGGTGACTGTAGAGTGTTAAACAGACCGCGGTTAGCTGTTGCGTTCAAACCGTTTGCTCATGTATACAAAATTCGCCAGCCTCCGCTATGGGCGGGCAGGGGGTCTATTTGCCATCTGCCGGGTCACCCAAACCCCTTTTTCTCATATCTTGATGCTTCTGAACAAGCAGTGCAAGAAATAATATTTTCAGACAAGGTAAATGACTTATATGCTGGAATAATGGCAGAAATTCGTACTTACTTCCCACGTTGACGATAAAATGCGATGCCGCCGCTAGACCCATCACCTTCGACCGTAGAGCAACAGGAAGTACCTCAGATCCGTAAAGCCAGGTGACACTGTTTAAGAAGCCGTCTGCGTGTGTTATTGACGTTAGAAAGGCGTCGGAATCGAGGAAGAGCGTAGGAGATGACAGGGAAACAAAATGGGTGTTGAGATAGTGACTCACAATATGTCACCACAAACAAGTAGATACCCAGCACAGCGAAACCCTTGCCGACCTTGTTGTCTGTATTCTGGAATTCGCGCTGCATGACGGCGGCGTATATCTCGATCAATACAATGCCCGAAAGCCCGGCGAGGATCATCCTGTGCAAGAAGAACAAATTAGCACCTTTCAAACCGACAACAGAAGAAGCATATAAAGCAAATGAAAGGTTGAGAAGATAATCATTGCTGAAGACAGGTGGTGCTCTGCGGGAGAGCATAATGGAGGAGGTGTATGGCTCAAGACCAGACACCAGGACTTGGGTAAATGTACGGAGATCAAAGCCTAAGCTGAAACATACTTTCGTCGGCCCCATTGGTCGTTCATAAAGACCGTGGTCAGCACATTTGAGCTGAACGCAAGTGTGCCATATATAGATGCCAGTGCCAGGATCATGTGGCTGTTGATTCCGAGAGATTTGAATAGGATTGCTGGTAGACCGGCGTGTTAGCAAGCTCAATTGCTTGATACTCTCCGGTGCTTCTTGAAAGAAGACAGCAGCAACGGGAAATAGAAGCAAGAATAGCCCTACTTTGATAGTACTACATGCAGGCAAAATGGTTAGAACAATGGCGATTTGCGGTACAGCCTTGTCGTGCGGATGCAGGAAGGAAGGACGTACCTGAATGACGTTGACCCCAGTAAGGCTAGTCATGGTCTGCACTGCGATTGATCTATATGAGGCCGGTCAGTTTCGTTCTCGGTGCACTAGCACTAGAGGATGAGAAGGGCCCAACATACGTGAATGCTCTGTGCCGGAACAACTTAAACACTTCGCGCAAACTCTTGATCTCTCTCTGTTGTTCAAACTCAATCTGGCGCCGCATGAGGACGAATTCCTCATGCACCTCGTGGTTCGTGAGATCTTTCCTGATCCTCATAAATTCGCGACGTGCTTCCTCGATCTTGCCACTCCGGATCAGTTGACGAGGCGAATTGGGCATGAAGGTGGAGAGACCGATGAACAATAGAATACCGAAAGGGATCTGAATTCCCAGCGGGAGCCGCCATTGAACGGGGCCGTATGGAGCATAGCTGCATGCAAATCCGACCCAGTTGGAGGCCATCGTGCCAAGGGAGATGCCACATCCTGAGATACCTCCGATGAGGCCACGGACGTTGGGAGCAGCGATTTCAGACAGGTATATCGGAACCGTTGCAACCATCCCTCTATTCCGTGTCAGCTTTTGGTTCTGTCACTGTTGTTTCTTGATACCTACCCCACAGCATATCCAGCCAGCACACGACCAGCCAGGAACATGCCAATGTTTTGGGAAGCAGTCTGGATAACGGTGCCGATAGTGACGATCACGGACATCAACTGCAAGAAGCGGATTCGACCGAGTGCGTCGCCGATGAAGGTCTGCGTCAGAGCTCCGCCTGCCTCACCGGCGATGTATACAGAAACAACCTGTCACAGATTTAGGAACGGCGTTGCAGCAAGAGGATTTTTTGAAGCGTATCTTACAGCACCGGTCAATCCCTTCGACGGGCTGTTCATATAGTCGATCCAGCTTTGGTGTGCGATTGCTGGCAGCATTGTGTTAGCACCTTTGTGTAATGTCTCTTCATTTCTACTCACTTGTCGTAGCAATCCCAGTGTCAAAGCCCTAGTCGCCCTTACAGTCAGCATCGATCGCTCGCAATCAAGGAGCCGAAGCCACATACAAACACAAATGTGCCAATCGCCGCAAAGGACGAAATCCCAAGCGTGTACCACATTGATCCCGGCATTTTGGGCCACAATAGAGAATTCAGTCAACGAAACGGTGATGCCCCAGGACGAGAGAATAGGGAGGTAGGATTTGAAGGCCAAGCAAGCGAAGAGCAAAGGGTCGATATGGACAACCCACGGCATTTAGAGATGATCAGCATTTCCACCGTCTGGATGGATCAATTGCCGTCGGCTCCCACACCGACGGAATCTGTCTATCATTCCACCCCCATTCGCCGACGGTGTGGAGGAAAACAGAAGCCATGCATCAAACTCGGTTGAACGCAAAGCGAGGCCAAGAACCCATGAGCTTTCTACCTTTAGGATTGAAAGTAGCAGGAGTCAACTGGGGCAGAGGCTACAGCAGGTAAGCCGCCACGAGACATTGATCACTAACTACCGCAGCTGGAGAAATGGGATGGTAGAGGGGACGGCGTCTTGGCCGGACGAGTCAGGTCCCTGGCAGACATTCCCCGACACAGCTTGCTATTGGGCTCCATGAACCTGGGGGGCCTCCGGAGTTTGTGGGGGTATGGGCAATCGGGGCATGGAAACGGAGAAGGTGGGCCTTGGGCTAAACCCCCAAGACCGTTCGAAGCCGATCAGGCGGAACCGGACCGCCGTCTCGGTGCAATGACGGAGCGAGGAGCCATGGAGCGATCAGGTGGGCGCCAACTCTCCGCTTGGCAGCATCCAGTCAGCCTTGCTATAGCAACCGTTAAAACTCAGATATGCGAGGTACTCTGCATCCAGACTCGCATTTGTAATCTCCGTGCTCTTCCCTTTTGGTTTATCCGTGTTGAACATGCTGGACCTTTTTGTCTAACCCAGAATGTTGAAATGCTCTGGTGACAACAAAATGCTCCCGTCAGCCCACAGGTATGTAAATATAACAAGAAAAACCCACCACCTTCATCCGCACTCAAGAGAAGCAAGATCATATCTTTTACGGCTCTCCCCAGATCTCATCTGCGATCTGCCTGATCAACTTCAGCTTCTTCTCCTGGTCCTCTTGGCTCAGGGGATATCCACTCTCGTGGGTGCTGAACCCGCACTGAGGAGAAATTCCGATTCGCTTGAGTGCTTCTTCCCTCGACTGGTTCGATCCCTCGGCCACAAATTCGGCCGCCTTATAAATCCTCCGTTTCATTTCTTCCTTATCTTCCAACTGCCTCAGCTTCGTACTAATGCAGCCGATGATCACGTTCTTGTTCTTCGGCAAGTGCCGCAGTGGTTCAAATCCACCCGCACGTTCGGTGTCATACTCCAAGTAGAAGGTATTCACATTGAGATTTTGGAACAGTTTGCTGGCAATGATGTCGTACGCGCCTTCTGCGAAATGACGCCCACCGATGAAATTTCCGCGGCACAAATGAACACCCGTGTGCATGTCGGATGGGCACTTGGATATCGAGTCGTTGTAGAGCTTGATGTAGGCGTCGAGAAGATCATCGACAGAGCCAATGTTGTCGGAATCCTGTGCCCAGCCATCTCGGAATTGCTTCGAGCAAAAATCTTGATTGACATGCGATCAGTTGTTTTACATTGGGAAATAAGCCACTCGCAGAAGATACTTACAAGCCAAATTCGGGTCGTCGAATTGGACATTCCTCAGACCAGCTTCATAGAGAACCTCGAGCTCTCTTGAGTAGGCCTGCGCGACGTCCTTGAAGTACTCGGCATCGTTCTGATACGCTTCAGGCGTATATGCCCGTCCTTGCTTGTACCTCATGTGGAACCACTTCGGGGTTGGATGATTAGTGGTGGCACCCCTACAGCGAGCTATGTCGCTGGACACGTGCTGAAGGACTCACAGATGGTGTAATCATGGTGAGCTTGATATTGCCCCACTCTTCCTTTGGAACAAAAGCCTGGACTTGGCGTAGCTCATGTAGATTTGACTCTGTGCCGTTATGTCTGATTTTGGCACCGGCAATCACACTGTCCCCAGGCATGACTTTTCGATCCTTCTCAATCAAAGACACCACGTCGGGGTGATACAGGCGAAACATGCTCGCTTCAGCATCCTGGAGGCGCTTGGTGCCTTCCAATTCATCCCAGAACAATCCCCAAAAGCGCGTGCGGTTGTATTCGCCCGAGGTGACGGCCTTGAAGCCCAACGAGAGCTGGGTCTTCACAATCTGGCCAATGGACTCCTTTTCAATGGCAGGGAGGCCCGCCTCTTCTGGTGAAAGGTGTTTGTCCCGGATGGCTGCCCGCACATCAAGGAGCTTCTGGGGGCGAAGGAGCGACCCCATTTGCTCCGCCCGGAAAGGAGGCGCCCGGTGCAATTTGAAGTCAGCCATGTTTTCTTGGAAGAGGCTAGATACTGGACTCGTCAAAAAGATATAAAACAATGAAGAAATGGCAATTCCCTGGGAAAACGTCAGAGCAAGAAATGTGAATCCTTGATGATTGCCAAGCCTCCGCAGCCCCGCCACCAATTGAACAGAATTTTTCCCCGCAAACCTCAAATTTGACCAACCGTGTTTGGCTATAGGACGTCGCTGCTTTTTCCATAGAGGTATCAAAGCGACATGGGCAGCATCCATCACACTGTCGACAGGGAGTCAAACAGTCATCGTGTTGACTGCATTGACTACGGCAGAGAAAAATGACGCCGTGGCTACAGGGTTATGTTGACTCAGGTATTTATCCGCAAGACCCCCCAAATTGGCACATGTCAAGAAACATACAGCGAACTATCATGTTGACAAGGGACGGTAGGCAAAGAGAATCGCCTTCCTCTAAATCCTGAAGAAATAGCTGACGAGACCTGCACTGGTCTAAGAACGAGTTGAGCGAATATCAGCAAGGGTTCTGGATCTACCCAGAACTCATGAGGGCGACTCGGACGACGAGAACAAGACCCAGGATCAATTTAAGCCGCTGGTTAACCATTACGAACATACTAGTGGAGTGAGAACCATACTGTTTTCTGAGAAATTCGCGATGCTAAATGAGTTCAACTCGAAGGAGAGCAATAGTCAGCACAAGAACGTACCCCTCCAACTGTCGCCGCTGACGTCCCAGCCAGTCAATATGCTATGTGCTCAGATTCTGATCCTAGCGGTTGCAACTCCCTTTTTCACGCCGAAAGCCTGTGCGCGGCCCATTTAAAGCCGATATGCTTGTCGTGTTCCTTTTCATATTGCCACTGGCATCGCACCCGCTGTATGTATTTTAGCGTCAAGTTTGACCAGGCACGACGAAATCGCAGTTTTCGGGTCTTCGGACTGAAGACGAACCAAGCTAAAACGTATCAGTAACAAAATGGTCTGCCATTCAACGTAGTGCACAGGAAGCAGCTGTGGTTGCAAAGGTGGTCGTTCGAATGGAGTCGTGACATCCCACCTCGTGGCTAAGTGACGAGGCTCCCACCCCCTATTCATTCGTCCTTCCACCCCAACGTGCACACTGTCCACCTTTCACGCTTCATCCACATCTCCACTCCTCGAGCACAGTTCCCTGGCCAGTTGAAGAGGTGCAATCCTTGCGGCCACTCCCTTCCAGGGTCGGCTCACAATACGCAGTGAACGCCCACCCATCCCCGCCGGCGTGTTCCTGGAGCTGGAACTCGGCCTCTCCACATTGCTGCAGTCGATATGTAGATACATCGCCGCTGCTGGCGATGTCAAATTCGACACCGCACTCGGACGACCCGACCGTGGAGATCAGGACGGGGCTGCACGGCTGGGACCCCGTGAGCCAGGCGTAGTCGTTGACATCGTCGTGGCCGAGTGAGATCGTTGCGACGGCTGGAACGAGGTGGTTCGTTATGGCTATGAAAGCCACCATGGCGTACGAGGATAAAGATTTCATGCTTTCAAAAGGCTGGCCGGTTGACTACCTCTCTCAATGAAAGAAATGGAGGTGGGAGTTTCAGTTTATATGACTGTACTTCCAGGCGGGCTGAAATGAGTCTCAGCAACAAGATGCTGAGAGCCACACTGCCCAGACTTTTATACGAAGCAAGCCCTCCGGCAGAATACGACTTATCCATATTATTTCCCATTGAGTCAGTCAGTCACCTGTTCTTGTTGGTTTTTGCCGGGTCAGCTTACGACAATGACGGCTTCTGGATGCCCTGGCAAGGGCCTGAGGTCAGCCTGGTGCCTTAGGGAGCCTTAATGCCACCTTTATAGGTGGACAGGACAGGGCAGCAAATGGGACGGCTCGAGCAATACTCGTCACAAGACTGTGACAGAACTTAAAACATTCACTAACAAACTTTTCAATATTGATGATACACGTTCATCAAGCCAGGAACGAGACGGAAAGTTGGTCCATCTGTCGCAGCCAAATATCTTTCCACTTTCAGTGCCTTGAAGATATGCACCCGGCTTGCAAGAAATTAATGGCGCCTTAAAAATCGTCCCGCCACCAGATTGCATCTGGTCGTCTGGTCCTCGCAATACCACGGATGGGGAATCCTCATTCCCATCTCCCCGGCCCGAACCACTCAAAAATACTGGCTGCAGATCTCATATTATTCACCACTCCCAATGGCCCGAAAGAAACAGAGGCCTCGACGCAGAACAAAAGATTCGAGCCATCACTATGCCAAGCGGACAAGTCTCTCTCCACTGTCATCTAGATCCGATGTTTCTCGCTCTCTATTTTTCGCGGTTAGTTTGGGTACGAAATAGAGCTGATGTTTCAGTCATGACTCACCTAGCCTCGAATAAAGCATGTACAATGCCATCTGATTGCATTCTTGCGTCCCGGTAATGGTGACCAATCTTTCATTGCTGTTGTCTTGCGGTTCGTTGATCTTGATGACGCTCCCACTGAGATGCCGAATCTCGTTGATTTTGGCACCACCCTTGCCAATAATCGCACCGACCATGTCGTTAGGGATGAAGATCTGTTGTGTGATTGGTTGTCCTGGCATCGCGTGCGCTGGCTGGGGAGGCTGCCCATGAGCAGCAGGCTGAGGCGGCATTTGGCCATATGCTGCCGGCTGCTGTGGGGCGACCCCATAGCTTGGAGTTCGTGGCGTCGCCGCTGCGTACGGCTGGGCGAACTGAGGATATGGCTGTTGGGCAGCACCATGCATTTGCGGTGCGCCATAGGGTTGAGGAGGCACACGCTGCGGTGGATGCGTGTTGTGTCTCTTGTACATGTCTGGGTGGCCGTATTGACCACCGGCCGGCTGGGGAACATATGGCACAACTTGCATTCCACCCGGAACAACTCCCGCTGGACCACCGCTTCTTGTGGCATAAGCAGATGCGGCAGGGCCACCAAATCGTTCTGTCAACTGCTCAACCAGTGTAACGGCAATATAGTACGTGGCAATGTGGACCGCATCGGCAACGCCCAGGACGACGAGAGAGCGCTCGGTGGAAAGAGGCAGGCAGGAATCTGAAGCGTTGAGGCGCGCGCCCGAAGCTTCTTGGATTTCTCGAATGCGCACGCCGGATTTCCCTATGATGGAGCCAATCAAGATGTGCGGGATCAGGAGTCGCAGGGGGTAGGTCTTGGATTGCGCGGTTGACGGAGCTTCGAGGGGCTCGTTATTCAAAGTGCGAATGATCAAGCCGAAAGCCTTTGCGACGGCATCTTGAGCACCACTAACAGTCAAGATGCGCTCAACTGCACCCCTTGAGTAATCACTCACGGTGCACTTGGCGCCAGAGAGTCTTCTGATTTGAGTGACATTCTCGCCACCTTTACCGATACAGGTCGCAGCTTCTGCACTTGAAATGACTGCACGAATATGAATCCAGTTTGTCTCGTCTTGCGATGTCATAGAAGGAGGCTGAGACGTGGCTCGATCGCTTTGGGAAGCAGCATTCTGCGACTGTGTCTCTGGCAATGGAGCAGCTGACGCTCCTTTCGCGTCCGCTCCCGAGGTGCCTTCAACATGTCCCTCCGTCGATCCATTTGTGACCGGTGCTGGCAGTGGGTGCTTTTCAACAGGCTTCGGGCCTTCGGCTGGACCGCTGCTGGGAGTGGCAGATCCCTCAGCGGCAGCATCTTCTCTGACCACCTTGTCTAGCGCTGGGCGTTTTGCGTCTGGCAAGTCAGTCGGGGCAGAAGGAGAAGAAGGATCTTCCAACGGCCGTTTTGCTGAAGACATGGCGTGGGAGGTGGGTGAGGCAGACATATCGCGTCCTTCGATTGGTTACCCAGGGAGATAGTGTGCGGTTAAATTTCTTCTTTTATTATTGTTCTCTGAGAGATATCTCTTTTTATGTACAGCAAGGGGCGGTCGAAGGAAAACTTGCTGGTGCAGGGGAGAGGATCGAACTGCGAATGCGAGCGCGAAACGCCAGATATAAGATTGTGCGTGTGAAAGAGGATGATTTCAGATTCGTGCTGGGGTTGGTTGTGAACTGGAGAGATATGCGGTGTGTAGAGGTGAAACTGAGGGCGGAAGTGCGAGATGTTCAACGGAGGAGTCGTAGAGGAGACAGTGATGGTGATGGTGGATGAGGAGGTGTGAGTGAAGGTGGATTTGAGTAAAGCAACGCCTTTTGAAGATGGTCCTGATCCTCTGTCCTTCCTGTATCTAGCAGAGGGGTGAATCTGTACTTAACTCAGACGCCCAAAGATCGTTGGGAGGAAGGACAAGACAGAATAAGGTGCAGGGCTTGGAGTCGAAGTGACGGGTAATGAGACTTTGGACAGATTTCGCAGCACAAGGAGAGAGGAGCCTGAAAGGCTTTAGAGGACGTCAGGCGTAGAACCGCGGCGCAAGAAAAGCAAGAGGACGAGAGACAGCGCCTAAAAGGAGGATGAGGAGATGGTCGAGGGTTGAAGTTGAATCGATCCAGGGACGATCGACGCCTCCTTAAGATGCAGAGGTTGCAAGCTTGACAAGGGGGATGGGGGCGATGGCGATGGCGTGTCCTGAGGAACGAGGAAACGAACAAATTCTCAAGCCCCAGCAAACCGCGCGAGAGGGGAAGTTTGATTGCATTATTATGATTGTTGCCAAGCCACGGCACCAACGGTCATCGCGATTCCCGCACGTGATATCAGGTGACTGCTCCGCACATTCAAGTCAAGTCAACGCAATGAGTGGCACGTAAGTGGGTATCTATCATATTGGAATCTCGCAACTCTGCGCCGCTGCGATGTTGCTCTTGCTGAATCTAGACGTAATCCCGTACCATTTTCCAAGACGGAAAGATGCCCCATTGCACAGATCTATGATGCTCCTAGTGTCACATAAGTATGAGGACTGAATGTCCCGTCCCGTTCAACCCTTGGCCACCTTCGCAACCCCCTTTTGTTTCCCTTCCAAGACTTCCTTCAAAAGGTTGGCAACATCCTTGCGACGGCGAGCCTTTGCCTGCCATCGTTGCTTGTCTTCTGCCGATATCATGGTCAACCCTCCATTTTGGCTCGTTCGGAAACCTCGAGCTTGACGCGTGCTGCCGCCAAACTTGGAGTCTGGTGTATGGTAGACGCTGCCTGCACTTCCCGGGGTCGCGGCGCCACTCGTCTGTCGGATACGCGGGGGAGTGCTTGGAATGCCACTGGAAATGTCGCCATTGCTGACCAGTGAGGTTCCCGAGGACACAGTCATCTTTTTGAGCTGCGCTTCAAGGACGTCGATATCTGCGCTCTTTTGTTCCGCCATAGACATCATCTTTTCCACAGTCTTCTTCACAGCTTCTACTGTTGGCTTCTTCCGCGAAGAGGTTCGTCCCAGAGCACCTGTTGCTTGATTTGAGCCATCGGCTGGAGCTAACTGAGCGAGCTTCGCGCGAAGGACAGAAAGTCCATCTTCAATCTGAACCATCTGCGTCTGTACACAGGTGAAAGTCTTCCGTAGATCATGCTGGATAGAAGTCTGCTCAGCAGAAAGAGGTGCGCTCGCTGCGCCGTCCGTGGTTGACAAACTCTGCAAGGTCTTGCGTATAGACATGAGCTTGTTCCTCAAGTCGAACACCTCTCGCTTCATCAGAGCTTGGGCCTCTTCAGATTTCTCGATGTAGTCTCCAATACGGCAGTCGGCAAGCATATCTGAAAGCACAGCATATCCTTCATGCAACCTCGCAATATCGGTCAACAGAAGCTCGTCATTCAGGGCGTCAAGTGGCGTCTCGGATTTGAGCACGGCAGGCCACGACTGATTGGTTGCTTCCGGTTGCTGGTATTGCAGAAATGACGTTAGCGAACGGCAATTGATTCCCAGGGTGTACACCATCGAATTGATATCCGAGTAAAGCCGCTCGATCTGTGCTGGTATGCCAGTCTTATGTGTCTCTTCGCGGGGCCGGGGTTGGTAAGTGACGAAATCGTCCAATGTTTCGGACGGCGTGATAGGTCTCTCCAGTTCCTGGCGCAGTATCTCGTCCTCGTCATCCTCGAGTGGTGCCAGCTCTTGAGCTTCAGCTTGCGCCTTTTCCCGCGCAATAGCCTCGCGGCGAGCCTTCTCTTTGGCTGCCTCTTCGTCTCTTGTCCTAGCTGCCTGTGCGGCCAGTCCAGATCTCTGGTATTCAGCCTTCCGCTGGTCAATGATGGACCGAGGATGTGCCGGTGCACTAACCGACCTAGAGGCATCTGCTCGAAGACCATCGATTGAGAAAGCCTGCCTAACGGGGCTTGGCGACCGTGGACTTTCTTGTGGTTTGGGTGGTGCGAAAACAGGTGCAGCACCCACTTCACCAAAGAGCGGTCTGGGAGGCTTGGGTGCAATGGAGGCTGAAGTAACTTTTGTAAACAGCCCACCTGTGGGACTTGTTTCGGGACTCCCACCGCCACTCTTGAATGAACTTTCTGGTGATGTCTCTAAACGTTCTGTTTGTTCCTCCGGACTCTCAACCTCGTCTTCACTTTCTTCCGCTTCGTCCTCGAAACCAGAGCTGAATTCATCTTCGTCATCATCTGGTAGTTCTGGGTTGGCCTCTTCCGCTTGGCCTGCTCGAGGCACAGGAAGGAAATCTGGCGGCAGAGGCGCGTCATCTGGCAGCGTCTTCGAATCATTCGATGAGGCGGAAGTTTCACCCGATGCATATCGTGGTTTGCTAATAGTGTCAGGAGGTAGAGGTGCTTCGGGAATAGTTTTGAGATCAACAGATTCGTCCTGGTCCGCAGGTTCCTTTTTAATCTCTGGTCGCGGCTCCACAGAACCGAAAGTCGGCGCTGGAACGCTCTTCTGTACGGCGGCCGGTGTTTCTTGAGCTGTGGGTTTCGTGCCAAACATGGCCATATGGGAAGGCTTCGGGGTTTCTTTGGGAGTTGTGGAGGGTAGGGCATTGAAAGACCATGCCGGGGTAGTATTCTGAGATAGTGGGGTTGTGGTATCATTTTGTGGCGGGCCAAATAGGGTCGAAACAGGCGGGACAGGAGTAGTTTTTGATTGTGTGAGTGTGGAAGGAGGTGTGACCAACGTTTGGGGAGGCTTCGTTGATGTTTGTGGGGAGAATCTCTGGGGCGACGTACCCTCGATTCTGTCGGATTCAGCATCGCTCTGGCCGCTTTCCTCGTCCATTTCCTCCTCTTTGTTGTGAGTAGGAGACAGTGCGGGCTTACTGCCGCTGAGCATATCACTAAATGAGGGACCAAAACTAAAACCGCCAGGTTCTTTGGGTTGCGGAAGGTCATCCTTCGCTGTCCCATCCCCTCGGAACGATGATTGCAATTTGAAAGCACTTGCTGATCCGAACGAGCTGGGAGCATCGCTGGTTTTCTTGGTTGCAAACGGCGATTCCTGGGATTTGTTGGAGCTGAACAAATTTCCTGATGCTTGTGCAAAGGGACTTGTCCCGCTTGCTGCAGCAAAAGGACTTTGGCTGGCTTGTCCAGAGGCGCCACCGGCAAAAGAAGCAAAGCCTCCTCCCTTCGAGAACGAGGCAAAGCCCGAGCTGTTTGAGTCACCCCCTGGTTTCGCAAATAGACTAGAGGGTGAAGCAGTGCCAAAGGTCGCAGTCTGGCCAAATGATGGAGTCCCCCCAATGGCCGAGGGTTGTCCAAAAGCCGACGCTCGACTTCCCAAGGCACTTGCTGACCCAAATGCAGGAGCACTCGCCGCTCCCATGGGTGTGGCTGAACCGAATGCAGCCGGCCCAAAGGCCGGCGTCGACGCTCCACCTGGGGCAGAGCTAAACCCCGTGCTGGCCCATGAAGGTTTATTATCAGACGTGATCGGGGATGAAGTCCCAAATGGTTTGGCAGAAGGCACACCAAAGGATGAGGGGGCTGAAGGCATACCGAAGCCTCCGCTTGTACCTTGTCCAAGAGCACTGGCAGCACGTGTTCCGCCAGTAGCAGGAGCGGCGGCCACAGCAGGAGCAGGTGACGGGGGCCGAATAGAAGGGGATGAGCCTTCCTTTGCAGCTTGGACAGACGCAAAACCGGAAAAGGTAGTCTTTGATCGGACGGACTCGTTATTAATGACCCACCAGCCCACCAGGATGCCTTCATTGTTTAATATGAGCAGGCATGGTACAGGTCCAGCAGTCTCTTCAATTTCCGGGTCTGACGGGATGGGGTTCGGGACCTTTTCCGAGCTCGACAAGTCCACTACCATCCCAATTGGAGAGGTATCCTCCATGGTTGCAGAGAGGGGGAGTTGGGCACGCCTCGTATCATCTTCGATTGTGGTGAAAGTAAATGCCGACACGACTGGATCCTCCTGTGACAAAGGCTGCTCCGACTTCGAAATTAGCCCCACGTCTGTAGCAGTCGTGGCAGTCACTATTAACAAGTCTTGAATGGGCGCAAAGTTCCTCAGTCTCGAGATGAAGTGGAAAGTAGGCAGTCTCGACAGACCAAACGGTGGCAGAACCTCTGGGAGTTTCTGAAATGTGTAGTTTGTTTTGACCCTCTGCACGATGTAGTATTCTGACGGCGGAATCTCCTCGTCTGTGTTGTTGGGTGTATAGATGATGAAGAAAGTATCATTCTCGAGCCATGAGATACCAGAGACGTGCGAGTCTTGGGGGATGCTTGTTGACTTGGGAATGTTTGCAACAACGGTGCCATCTGGTTTCATCTGGATCGCCGTCCCATCCGACATGCCTGCGACCAATTGTTTGCCTCTATTACTCCATGACAGACAGCTAGCGCCTCCCTTGAGCACATTGCCTTCGCTGCCAGACTTGATCCCCCCAGCTTTCAAGTCAAGAAGCATCAGATCACCATTTGCGGTGATGACAGCGAACAATTCCGCCGATTCGACGACCGGATTTGGCACAATCATTCGGAGGTTCTGGTTATTGGTGGATATCTCCAATGCAGGAGTAAGGTTGCCTTTCTGCAAACTTTCCACCTGGAAGGCTACAATTCCTCCCATCGTAGAGATGACGAGAACGCTCTCGTCGCAAGAAAAAGCGACATGGGAGACTCGTGGATATGGCAACTTGATCTCTGGCTGCAATTGCCGTGTCTGGTTCTTTTCAGGTGGTGGAGAGTGGAAGGCTTCTCGGACTTTGGTCGTGGAGGTGATGTAGACCGCATCGGGTCCTGCGGCAGCTAACAAGCCTCTGGCTGATGCGACACTGAGCAACGATGATGAGGGAGGAGGGAGATTGTCTGCAGGCCATGGTGTCGGAAGGAGCTGAACTCTCGACTCGCCATTAAGCGCGGCGAATCCCAATTCGTTTGTTTGAATTTCTTGCAGTTCTGCTCCGTCTTTGACGGTCACCCCAAGCGAACCAGCACCCGAGCCGCCTGACGCAGCATTCGAAAAACTAAACGCCATTCTTAGTCGCGGGAGCTCAGCCGATAGCGACCGTCTTGCGTCAGTGGGTGATAGAGGGGATGAGACATGCGTGTTCGATAGGCTTCGTCTTGGGGTTGGTGTTGTAAAGGTGAAGGAATGTCGCAGGAGTGCCCCGGGCCTCCAAACAGGTGGAGTTTTCTTGGATTCAGCAATTTTGAGGGACAGTCATAGGGAGCTAAGCAACAAGGAAAAGTCGCGACTCCTCCTGAGGGCATAAACAGGCAGTGCGCAACTATCGACGAGCACCAGCGACAGCCTGTGGAGGCCAAATATGAAAAGTCGCGACTGGAGCATTGCGGTATCGCGGTGGTATGCAGAGCCGTACACTACGGTGAATCAATGCACCTGCGGCTGTGCCTCTCCGCCTCTATTTTTCAGAGACCTCAAGCAATAATCCTCCTCCACACCTTACAATGATCACCTCACATGGCTGTCTTAAGTTTGTACGTTCCATGGCATTGCTTCGGAAGAACTTGACACCGCAGCCCTGGTTGCCGCCACAGATGGACTCAGGTAAGTGTCCGCGATTAGTCCAGGACACAGCATATTCAGCACAGAAGCCTATCCAACATCCTACCTAGCTACCCTAGACAAAGACACAAATGTGACTACAAGATCAGCACTGAGCTTGCGGGACTACTCCTGGCACGTGTATCCTCTCACACATTTGGGCACGCCCAAATGAAGGATCCTGTATGGCCTCCGAAGATGCGTCCTTTTCCTCATCCTTCTCGGAGGATCAATACCGCCTGCGCAGTATCTCTACTATATCGAAACCCTTTCAAGACAGCCACACAGTGGGCTGCATATTTGGACGGAGAATGAGCTCCGGTTTCTCTGACCTGGACACCTCATGTCTTGCTTGGATACAATACAAATTCCTCACAAGACTCTTCAAACAATTGCCATCCGCGGTATCGATCGAACCTTGCTGATTTCGATTCCTCACACCCCCTCCGCCATGAACTCTGAATTTAATATGGAGCACACATCCACCGGATGGTCAACTACGAGAAAAGTATCTCGAAATGATGTTCCGATTTCGCAGTATGGACACGTGGAGTTTTCGAGCGGTACCGTCGTGGTGGGTTCGGTTGAACATGCCTCTGCACGGACTAACCCCCCAGACACGGGGCAAGCGCCCGGTGGCCCTCAGGTCGATTTCTGTTCACAATTTCCGCACAAGCCAATCGTCTATTCAGTTCATCGGTCTCGTCACAAACAAGGTGGGTTTCTTTAGGGTGGTCTATCTAACCCGAGGATAATCGACATCCACATGAAAGTTAAACAACCCCCCTTTAACTGCATTATGCCTACTGCATAGGTCATTATCAGAGACAACGCTCAGCCCTCCCGGGATCTAAGTCCCAGCCAGGAATTGCGGGATCCCCTAACTGTTTCCAGAAATCGACCTCGGTGACTCCCCGCAAACCCGGGGATTCGAGACCTCTGTGACCGCTCCCCGCACTTCCACCGGACCCAGCCCGAGGGTAAAACTTGAGCCCACAGCTGATACCTATCGCATCCGTGAGCTTGGCTCTCGCTTCAGCCCTGGTCGCCACTCTTCTCTATTGAGGTTAGATGGTTTGATTGACCTGACTTGGCTGACCTCGCTGGTCTGGCCCCGGCCATTCTCAGAGTTCGACCAAGAAAGTGTGTTATGATATCCAATCAAAGATTGAACTTCTCCTCAGAAAGGACTAGGTGCCTAGTGTTTTGTGACAGTCGGTTTGCGTCTATGCCTCGTCTATCCTCGTAACTCGGAGACCAGTTCAGACCACTCGAGAAGGGTTTGTCTGGCTTGTCCTGAAATCCGGAGCTTGCCATCAGCACGCCTGAGACCGCGATATAAAGCTCCCCCGTGGTGCCAGGACCGTGCTAGGCGGCTCTCCGTTCTCTCCATCTTATGGTTCCGAGACGAAATCTCGCAGAAGAATCTCAGTCTCAGTTGGATTATCCACGTCTGAGAGACGTTTCCTCTCACAATGGGGAAACTCATTCCCAATGCCTTTAACCTGGCCGTCGTGATCTTCGTTGCGCTGGGTTCGACGTCCTGTTCCTATGGAATGGCCATTATCGGGTAAGGACTCGCTCACCTCGTTCCTAACGGGTCACCAAATTGACAGAAAGTCAGCTCTACCATAGGACAACCCAGCTTCTACAAATCTCTTCACCTTGCCCCTCAGGGAGAGCCCGGCTACAGTCGCACCACTCAATTCATCGGTGCTTTCAATGGTAAAGCTTTCAATCTCACGCGCAGTAGGAGAAAAAGTTCTGATATCCTGTTTGCCTAGGTGTGAACTCTGCTGGATCTGCCATCGGAGCAGCGGCCTGTGCCTATTGTGCCGACAAATTTAGTCGCAAGCACACCATTCAAGTTGCAGCAGTCATCCTTGTCATTGGAGCGGCTATTTGCGCAGGTGCGGTGGACAATGCGATGTTCTTGGTCGGTCGTGTCATCAATGGTCTGGGTGTAAGTCTACGGAGATTCTGTGATGCCAATGCAACAAGCTTCACGATGGTTGCCTTGGCCCAATTGCTGTATGACAATGCTAACCACATTATAGATCGGTGCTTTAGTGACCGCTATTCCCATGTACCAGGCTGAGGTGTCAACACCAGAAAGTCGCGGCTTCATGGTCTCGATGCACGTAAGCGCCTGTTGAACAGCCTTCTCTGGTGCTTTCCAGCTTCTAACGAGTCACAGGGAGTTATGTTCGCAATGGGCTACACTCTTTCCGGTTTCATCGGCTTTGGAGTCTACTTCATTTCGGCAAGCGGATCGGAGTCATCGTTCCCATGGCGTTTCCCAATTGCGTTCCAGATGGCCCCCGCCCTCCTCCTGCTCGTGGGCTCACCGTGGCTGCCCTATAGTCCCCGCTGGCTCATGATGCACGGGCGCTATGACGAAGCTCATGAAGTGATCAAGCGTCTGCATAGGTCAAAGGACGACCCTCATGACTCCCTTGCCCGCAAGGAGTACTATCAGATGAGGAAACAGGTTGAGTTGGACAACCAGATCAAAGCCACCACTTCCAAGCTGGAGGTGTTTAAGACGGCACCCAACAGGAGACGTGCGCTCGTGGGGTTCCTGCTCATGTGGAACAATCAGTTCACAGGCGTCTTGATCATCGCAAACTACGGAGTTATTCTCTATACCCAACTCGGCATGACTGGATATTGGCCCCTGTTGCTCAGCGCATTGTGGGTCTTGTCAACAGTAAGTTTCCTTGATCTTCTAGATAATCGCGGACGGTCTCTGGATAATGGCACACGCTAACATAACCTTACAGTTCCCTGGCAATATCTTCTGTGCTTTCTTCGTCGAAAGATTCGGCCGACGGAGGTTCATGCTTATCGGATTGAGTGGTATTCTTGTCAGCCTGATCTGTGAAATTGCGATCCAAGCAACCTACCTAGGCACCACCAACAAGGTGGCCTTGGATTTCGGCGTCTTCTTCATTTTCTTGGTAAGTTGCTTTGTCCACTCACCATCGGCTCCCTTCGTTTGACTGACGCCTAATTTATAGTTCATTACCCCTTTCTGGTCGACTTTCATGGATGCTAGCCAGTTCTTATATGTGTAAGTTTGCCTCTTCGAGAATCAGAAAGTGGTCTCAGTCCGCGTTACTAACGTGAAATGACAGATCTGAAATCTTCCCGACGCATATCCGCAGTCAAGGTATGGCCGTCGGTATGTGCGGTCTCTATCTCGCAGACATCATCCTGCTCGTTGCGGGTCCGATCGCGCTGAATGAAATCGGCTGGAAATTCTTCCTGGTTATGATTATTCCTACCGCCTTCCACATTGCCTTCGTCTTCTTCATGTGCCCTGAGACCAAGGGCCGAAGCTTGGTACGCTCCAATGTGATGGATTGCATACCTGAGTATCTGCTGACACCTATTCTAGGAAGATATCAATGCCCAATTTGGCGAGCAGGTTGCTATCCACTTCTATGGCGCTACCGAGGCCGAGAAGGAGGAGATGGAAAAGGCTGCACAACAAGACGAGGAAGAAGAACTTCGCAAGCGGGGCTCGATCGCCGAGAAGGGAACTGGCGTTCAAGAGCATGAGCTTGTGGAGACCACGGATACGAAGGCCTGAATTGTCAAGGTATCAGCTGGATCGAAGCTGTGGTTGGTGCCTGTTGGGCGAAATATCTGTCTAAGCTCTCGCTGCCATGTCCAGCGGCATCTCGAACAACCCACGAGCGCACACAAAGAAAAGGACTCTAGACACATAGATGGGAGGATCTAGATACCTACCGCAGATAGGAGAGAAAACCGACATTGATGTCGCCAGGAAATGCAAAAGTGTCTGGATCCGACCAGAATGGGCTAGTTTTGATCTTCCTCTTAAAGCAGCGGATCCTCGCGCTACCGCGTCAAGTGTTGCGCATCACCAAAGCTGCCTTCAGGTCCGCTGCAGACCATCGTTCAGTAATTGTTTCTCATACTTCTTTCTCCCTTGCTCACCACACAACTCTGCTTGAATACTCGGACCAGACATCATAAGTCTATCTTCAAGTCCTCCCATCAGCTTCAATCCCGACTCAGTAGTCTCTCAACCGGTACGATCCTCACTCAAGGGCCTGCGCCTCAACCGCGAAGATGCCCGGCTTCGATTTTAGCAACTACAATCGCAACGCAGCCCTACATGCGCGAGGTGTCCCGTTACCGAAGGCAACTAGCACTGGAACAACTATTGTTGGTTGCATATTCGACAATGGTGTGGTGGTACGTGACAACAATCCAATCCCATCAACTCCGCTTTCGATTTGAGCAGGCTGACCAGCTGGATAGATCGCTGCAGACACAAGAGCAACGAGCGGACCTATAGTTGCGGACAAGGTACGAACACCTCACTGAAGCTCTATGACACTTTCTAATTCTCAACAGAACTGCGAGAAATTGCATTACATTTCTCCCAACATCTGGTGTGCCGGTGCCGGTACCGCAGCAGACACCGAATTTACTACTGCTCTCATCTCCTCCAATCTCGAACTACACTCTCTATCTACCGGCCGGACACCCCGAGTCGTCACCGTGATGACGATGCTAAAACAACACCTCTTCAGATACCAAGGCCACATTGGCGCGTACCTTGTGGTTGCGGGAGTTGATCCTACCGGAGTAGGATTATTCACCGTCCACGCTCATGGGTCAACAGACAAACTACCCTACGTGACCATGGGCTCTGGCTCACTTGCGGCCATGGCTGTGTTCGAATCAACATGGAAAAAGAACTGCAACCGAGAAGAAGCCATCAAGATCTGCTCGGAAGCGATTTTGGCAGGTATCTTCAATGACCTGGGTTCGGGGAGCAACGTCGATGTTTGCGTGATTGAGAAGGGCAAGCCGTCGCAGCTGCTGCGAAACTACATCAAACCAAACGAGCGGGTAAAGAAGGAGCGCAATTACAAGTTTGCCAGAGGTACGACTGCCGTGCTGAACGAGAAGGTTATCACGAAGGAGGAGATCGGCCGCTATGTTACCGTGCATGAAATTGGCAGTGGAAGTGACTCGGATAGTTTAGTGGTCGTGGAGAAGATGGACGTGGACGAGGTATGAGAGGGCTGAACTGTGGCCGGGAAAAAGCTGAACCTGTATCATCATTGCCATCTCAGGCTTGTTCATGGGTTGAAACCATCCAACCGGGCATACCGTGGCGGGATATGGGCTATGGCGCAAAGGTGCATGTAGAGGCAAACAACAGGCTTTGCAAGGGCTGCGGAGCCACAAGAAATCCCATTCTTTGATGTAGCTCGTCAGGCGTTGAAGTGTAAGCTTGATGGAGTGAGTGCTCGTGGTTTCGTGGTACATGTCAATGTGCCTCGCGACACGTAGGTGGAAAAGCAATAGTATCAACTGCTCCGACGAACCTCCAACAATTTCTCTTGATAACGTCAATCTCTCAAACTACCTCAACATTCTCTGTACACACAACATGCATCTTGATTGACCGACGTGATCTTGGCAGGGTGCCAGGTTCCTTTTCCCAGCTGTTCTAGGAATTGCCCCATCAACCTGTTACGCTCAGCGGAGAAGTACAGAGGCCACGTTTCTCTCTGGATCCCTAACGTCTCGACCGACTTATCGCTACGGACATTGTTTGCCCAAGATCTTGGAGCGAGGCGTGAACATGCCTTCTAGATCTAGTTGACCTCTGTCTTCTAGATGCCCGTTTTTACTCGAGGTTGACGATCTCTCAGTACCCAGCCAGCAAAGCCGGACCGAAACCACCAAGTTTCCCCCGGTTCCAAGATTTCACAATGTCTGGCTCAGAAGTGTCTCAAGCAAAGAGTGGGACGTTCTTGCTCATCCTGATCCAGGTAGCTTCCAGAGCGCTCACCTTCATCGGCAACCAATTCCTTCTTCGCTTCCTATCTCCATCACTGCTGGGGATCGCCGTGCAGCTCGAACTGGTCTCTGTGACCAGTCTATACTTTGCTCGCGAGAGCCTTCGCGTGGCTCTGCAACGGCCGCGTCCATCTACACAGTCGTCAGATGCCAATTCTTCTGGAAAGGAAGAGCAAAAGGTGGTGGGAACCGAGACGCAGACTGTCATCAACCTCTCCCATCTGGCTGTGCTCCTGGGTCTGGGTATCTCAACATTGTTTGGCTTCTCCTATCTACAGAGTGCCTCAGATGAAGTCCTCAGCAGTCCTTACTTTGATGTATCGTTCCAGTTCTACGCAGGGGCAACCTTGGTCGAACTACTTGCCGAGCCAGCATTCGTTGTCATCCAGCAGAAAGCGCTGTACAAGGAGAGGGCACGTGCAGAGACCAGTGCCGCAATGGCAAGATGTATTTCAGCTTGCATCGTCGCGGTGCTGGGGCATCGGGAAGGCCTCGCTCCTTCTATACTTCCCTTTGCTGTGGGCCAGGTAGCATATGCCTTCACTCTGCTGGCTCTTTACTTCCTGCCAACGATAAAACTATCGATGACTGAGAATTTCAGCCTCGCCCCGAAACCGATACTTTCGCCCTCGTCAGGCCACATATACTACTTGAAGCGCTTCCACAGGGAAATTCTCGCTCTGGCGGCAACAATGTACATGCAGTCTATCTTCAAACTGCTCCTTACGCAAGGCGACGCCCTCATTATGAGTTTCTTTTCTACCCTCGCAGACCAAGGCGCCTTCGCTCTGGCCTCTAACTATGGCGGCTTGTTGGCACGCCTGGTCTTCCAACCTGTGGAGGAGAGTAGTCGAAACACATTCGGACGACTCCTCTCCCCATCTCCCTCGATCAGTGCCAAAGGCGTCCAGCCCTCGGATTCGCGAAACAAGATTACCACGAACCAGAACAGCGATACCCGCCTCGGCCTCTCTTACCTCTTTACAACCATCCACGTCTACCTTCTTTTTTCTCTGCCTTTGATCAGCCTCGCGCCAAATATCCTCCCTGCCCTCATTCCCTACGTCCTCTCCCCTCAATGGCGCACTCCGTCGACATCTCTCCTCCTATCAGCCTACTGCTACTACATCCCGCTCATGGCGGTGAACGGCATCCTCGACGCGTTCGTCACAAGCGTCGCATCCCCGGCACAGTTGCGGAACCAGAGTCTCTGGATGCTCGTATTTACGGGGATTTATGGGGTGGTGGCATGGGCTCTATTGAGGGCGTGGGGAATGGGCAGCGTTGGCCTCGTGGGCGCGAACATGGTGAACATGGGCCTGAGGATTCTATGGAGCTTGTGGTTTCTGAGAACCTGGGTCACCCGACGTGAGGACGAGTCTGAGGGAAAGGGACGGGCCAGGACGACGATGGTCAAGGACATGGTGCCAGCAAAGGCGAGCATCGCTGTCACGCTGCTTGTGATGCTCGGACTGAGAATGAGAGGCTTCAACACGACATCAGATGCGGGAATGGGGGGATTGGATCTCCAGTTCCTTGGTTTCTGGATCAGCGGCGCGATAGTTTTGGGTTCTACCATGTGAGTTGTCTTCTTTTCCCCCCGACATGTTCATCCTAAGTGCTGCCCATGCCTAATCGATCTGTTTAATTTTTAGTCTCGTTACCGAGCGCGAATTCCTCTTGCAACTCCTCGACTCTATCCTCCCGAAACGCCTCGCTGCAAAGATGCCCAGCTTTTTGAAACCCTGTTCGACAAAAGCGACACACGAACCTACGAAATGAATAACAATTTATTTTTAAATTCCATCAATCGTCAAACGTGATTTTCGTCGAGGTCGTCTTCTCTCCTTCCTCGGCCTCCCGATAGAAGGCACCGTACTCACTATGAACCTTCTTCTTCACCGTGGTGCCGAACCTCAACAGATTCTCGGGCACGTCCTGCTTGGCAGCTTTCAAGACGTTGATCAGCGAGCCTGCCAGGCCCTTATCCTGTTCTGTGAAGAAAGTGATGGCGAGGCCGTCCTTGCCGGCGCGGCCCGTGCGACCAATGCGGTGAACATAGTCTTCTGCAGTCAAGGGGAATGTGACGTTGATGACGAGTTTCACCTCAGGGATGTCCAGCCCCCGTGCCGCTACGTCGGTGGCCACGAGGAGGGTTGTGGCGCCAGACTTGAATGATTCCAGGCTGTTGATGCGTGCAGACTGTGACATATCTCCGTGGATTCCTGCGACGTTGAACCCCCGTGAGCGGATGAAGTTCTCGATCCGAAGGGCTTCCTTTTTGTACAGACAGAATACCAGGATGCGGTCGTTGCGCTTTTGACCGGCGGTGTGCTGTTTTAGCAACTGCAGAAGACGCTGCTGCTTTTCAAAGCCGTCGATGACCTCGACTTTCTGCACGATCCGTGTGTTGGCCCTCAATTCTCCCGAGTCGTCGGTATCCTCGCGCCCAATGGTGATTTTAACGGGTTGCTGCATGAAGGTTGCGGCCAGCTCGCGGATCGACTTTGGCCAGGTGGCGGTGAACATTGCCGTCTGTCGCTTCTTCGCGGACGGCATCTGGGAAATGATGTGTTTGATGTCATCCTCAAATCCCTTGTCCAGCATCCGGTCTGCTTCGTCGAGGACTAGGTACCGCGTCTTGGACACGTCGACCGTGCCGTCGGACATGAAGTCTTTCAATCGGCCCGGAGTTGCGACGACGATATTTGCGCCTTTCAAGCTGCGGCGCTGTTCGTCCTTGTTGGTCCCTCCGTATATGCATGCCGCCTTCAGGTTTTGAGTTGTCTTGCTGAGCTTGTCCAACTGTTCAAACACTTGGATCGCCAGTTCTCGTGTGGGCGCCACAATGACAGCTCTAATTCCCTTCTTCTTCTCGAGAGATGTGAGGCGAACGACAAGAGGCAGGCCGAAGGCCAGTGTTTTCCCGCTGCCTGTTTCCGCCACACCAACCACATCTCGACCGGACAACAGAAAGGGCCATGCGGCAGACTGGATGGACGAGGGCTTTTGGAAGGAGGCGAAAACGCCTGAGAATTGAGAGGCTAACTCTTCGGGGAGGTGCGAGAAGGCGAGGATAGGTTGTACGTCTGTATTCTGGGGATCAAAAATCTGCACTGATTGTGTTTTCAGAAAATTATCGACTTCGGCCTTGCGGAGCGTTCCAAGCGCCGATACGGGCTTGTTGAAGACATTGTCGTTGTCAGTAGCGCTGTCGATGGCCTTGTCCTCTGGAGCCGGGGTCGAGTTGGCCGTGGCCTCTGTGGAAGACGGTGTGATATCCTGCAGACGAAGGGCTTCCTTGCGGTCCCTCTTCCTCCTCTTCCGCTCCTGCTTGGCCAGTTGAGCGGCCTCGTCGTCGAGTTTATGCTTGCTCATTCTGATGAGCCCTGACGTGCTTTTGCTTATCTGTACAATCTGAGGGACAGGAAGCGAAGTTGGCGCAAGGATAGTGGACGCACCAAGAGTCTTCTCCGCCACCGCAATTGTGAATTTTCAGGAAAAATAATTTCGAGAACGGCACTCGGTATTTACTCCGCCGTACCGTACGTACTTCATTATGTCAGCAGGGCTGCGTCCGACCTGCCGACACGCTTAACTCCTTTGGGCCGCATACAGAAATCTGCCCTCCTTCTACCTCGCAGTGCTTGCACACCTCCTGATTACAATTTCGACTTGCTCTTGTTCGCGAATGCCTTCATCGCCGCTTTGGCCTCGTCACTGTTCAGTCGCACCTTTAAATCCACCGCTTCCCACATTCCCGCCTCCCGCTGCTGAGCCAACACCGTCGGCCGATTCACCTGTGCCTTGGCCATCCTCAGACTCTCGGCGCTGTAGGTGCCTATCCTCTTTGCGATCTTGAAGACCTCGTCGCGAAACGCCTCGACCGTGTCACCTCCGATGACTTTGGTCACCATGCCCGCATCGTACATCTCCCGCGCGTTCAGCTTTTCCGCTGCCAACAGCAGTGCGTTGGCGCGCTGTTTGCCCATGACTTTGGGAAAACTCCAGCTCGACGCCCCTTCAGGGACGAATCCCAGGCTCATGAAGGGAGTCTGAAACACGGCCGCCTTCTCCCACGCGTACACCAGATCGAAGTTCCACAGTTGGGTGCATCCCCATCCGATGGCCGCGCCGTGGACGGCGGCAATGAGCACCTTCGGGTAGCCCTGTAGCTCGTCTCCCAGTTTGCGGCCCGCTTCGATTTCTTGCTCGATGGTCGGTCCCGATTCACCTGGGGGCAGTAGCACTTTTCCGGCACAGTAGTGCTTGCCCTTGCCTGTGAGGACGATCACCCGGATGGAATCGACATTGCGCGCCCAGCGAAGTGCGTCGGCGAGGTCGTGGTACTGCTGGAGCGTGAATGCGTTGGAGATCTTGGGTTGGTTGTATTCCAGCAGCAGAGCCCCTGGTGATAGGCTTGTCGCGATGACGGTCTGAAACGTCGGGGGTGTGGTGGTCATTTTCTTGAGGTGAGTTTGTTGGTACGATCGGTCAATTCTGAGGGACGTGTTTCACAAAGGGAACGAATGGCGACTGGTCACATCGAGAGGAAGTATACCGAGTGGCCTGGCATACCGGTCTACATGTTCTACGTTGTTTCTATACTTTGGGCCCTGAGTCTCATGGCATTGGAACTTGTTGCTGTTGACCTCGGAAGCAAGGCTATCTTGATCTGGTAAGACCCCCGCCCTTCCCCGCAGAAAGTTTGCTAGAGGCAAGGCTCTGGGCGTGGAAGCTAGCTGTGGAGTTGCTTCTGGTACATTGCTCTGGGTGAGTTGAGCTTCCCTAAGGATCACGGCCACCTCTCGCTCGAGCACATCGAAAAGGGACAACGCTGCTCTCTTGAGCTTGCTTCCGCATAGGGCCGCCTGCATCGAGACCGCCTCCGTCGTGCAGCCAGCCCATGCCCTTCCAAGGCCCGAGCTGACCTCGGTAGACAATCCGCCCATATCTGCCTCGGGCATACATAAACGCGTTGTGCATGCACACTATTCTCTAGGTGTACAAAAGTCTAATTGTTGGACGGACCGTCATCTTCTTGGTCACTATACTTGAGCAGCCATGGCGACGACTATCGACGTCGACAGCATCAAAAAGCGATCGTGGAGTGTGACCAGCAGCTACACCCCCAACAACATCATCACCTACAACATCGCCCTGGGCGTCAAAGGCACCGACCTGTCACGATGCTTCGAAGCACATCCAGACTTTGCGGCCGTGCCGACGTTCGCGACCCTCCCTGTCATCTCGGTCATGCGTGAAGTCACGTACGGGATGATGGAATTCCTGCCCAACTTCCAGGCCCACAACCACGTCCACGGCGAGCACTATCTCGAAATGAAGGGCACGTTTCCCAAACAGGCGACACTGAACACCACGGCCCGCGTGGTCGACATCGTGGACCGCCGCAGCGGCGTCACCGTGGCCGTGGGCATCACCACCGTCAACGCCGCCACGGGCGAGGAGATCTGCTACAGCGAGTGGACGTCGTTCGTCATGAAAGTGCCCGGGAAAGGGGCGTCGACGAAACCCATCCCCCGCGGTGCCGCCACGGCAATCCACCCGACGCCCACCGACCGCAAGCCGGACGCGGTGGTGGAATACCAGACCTCGCCGGAGCAGGGCGCCCTGTACCGTGCGGCGTCGGGCGACCTAAACCCCCTCCACATCGACCCGGCCGTGGCCAAGGCCGGTGGGTTCCCAGGTCCGATCCTGACGGGCACTTGCACGGTGGGTATGGGCGTGTTGCACATCATCGACACGTTCGCTGGCGGCGATTTCCAGCGCTTCCAGAGCGTCAAGTTGCGGTTGAGCAAGCCCGTGTATCCCGGCGAGGTAGTGCGCACGGAGATGTGGCGCGAGGACGGGGGCCGGAAGATCGTCTATCGACAGCTGGCAGGCGATCGTGTGGTCATCTCGCAGGCGGCGGTTGAATTGAGGGATGCATCTGGGTCGCTGAAGGCGAGGTTGTCGTAGCATTGGAGGAACAGGACATATCAGTTAGTTCTAGGGGCATATATGCAACTGCTACATAGGCGCAAGGAATCTCTGTTTACTACGGTACCTAGCTATGGGATACCCCCTTGAATACTGTCGCTCTGTTGCCTTCCCTGTGTGACTGACTACTCTCTTTATGCCTTTCTTTCTCACTGGGATAGACCACAACTCGATGGTATTTCCTATCTACAGGACATACAGTGCTTCCCGCGTCCCATCTCCCCACACTTTCTCCCGCGCCCCCCAGACGGAGCCCCCTGAATTCATTATTCAAGCCTACTGTAATAGTAGCTAGCCCCTTTAGTAGACAACTCCTCCTCCCCACCTCCCACCGCCTAAGGCTCCTTTGGCTCCCCTTCCAGCCAGTCTATCCATCCTTTACCGAACAAATCCTCGGCACCCCCAGACGGGCATGTCAAGATGGCTGACACGGCACAGAGACAGCGCTGTCAGAGAGTCGGACTCAGCACACGCCCCGTGGCTAATAACCCAAGCCCCCCTACTCGTACCTATGTATGGGGAGAGGTTGAGTTGAGTTGAGTTGAGTCGCATGCACATTAGGGGGCGGGCGCCATCAGCTAAGTCATAGCTACCCAGCTCCTATTGTACACAAACTCTCTCCCCGCGTCCACGCGCTTGACTACCGTATTCTCTAAGGAGGAGCAGGCCACCACCACCACCATCACCGCAATCACAACCCCCCGTCCAGCAAAGATGCCATGGCTCAGTCAAGAATCTTACCCCCTGCCGCAGAAGGATCTGATCTCGCTCGTCTTCGACGAGTGTGCTTATGATCCTGATAAGCCGGTGAGTATTGTCTTTACTGTTTATCCCAATCCAGTCTATCTCTATCTATATCTAATATATCCCCACACCCGCTCTCCCCTTTCGGCTGCCTCATACTTCAGTCCTTGTCAACCCCTTCTACCCACCCACCCACGCACACTCTCCCCAACAATAGAAGAGTCTCCCAGAGGAGAGGGTCTGACATACAGAACCAAAGATCTATCACGACCTCGAAAACCCCAGCCGCACGATATCATGGCGGCAAGGACGGTCCTTTACGAGGAAACTCGCCGCTGGGTTTCGCAAGGCTGGGCTGAAGAGGGGCGACTGTTTCAGCATCGCGTCGTTCAACGATGTAAGTTTTCCCGCCAGAAGGAATTGACGTCGATACATTTGAGAGCACACGACGACTTTTGTCGGTGCCGTATCTTCTCCTGCTTCCCCTTCTCTTCTTCCCCTTTTTCCCCTTCCCGCCACCCTTTGGCACATCCTAGGCTCTGATGGGTGTTGATTTGTCCTCCTTCGACGCCAAAAGATCATGTATTCGATGCTCTTCCTCGGTGGAGTGGCCGCGGGCGGTATTTTCAGGTAAGTTTGTGTGTCTCCTTGGAAGAGATTGAGGGTGTTGAGGAGGCGTATGATGCACAACCTGTCTGTGCAAACACACCCCTGCCCTCCCGTCCTTCTTCCCTCCCTGCCGTTCGGTACAGAAAAGCTTGGTTAATGCGAAACCTCTGCCACCCAGCGGCACCAACCCGGCCTACCAGGTCTATGAGATCCGGCACCACATCCGCACCGCGCAGGTCAAGATGTTCATCGTGGAGCCGGAGGTGCTGGGACCCATCCTGGAGGCGGCAGACCTCGAAGGCGTCGCACGGGACATGATCTTCATCTTCAACACCCGGCCCGAGCAGCGCGTCCCCGCCGGGTTCCGGAGCTGGGAGTGGCTCCTCCAGCAAGGCGAGGAGGACTGGGTGCGCATCACGGACCTGGAGGAGTTGCAGAGCACCCAGGTGGCGCGGCTCAACACGTCGGGCACGACCGGCCTGCCCAAGACGGCCATGCAGTCACATTACAACGCGACCTCGTGGCACACGATGCTGCACGACATCGCGCCCGTGCCGTGGGAGGTGCGCAACCTGTACACGCTGCCGGGGTTCCACGTCGCCACGGTGCCGCTGGTGCACGCCTGCCCCTTCAAGACGGGCGACCAGTGCTGGATCATGCGACGGTTCGAGCTCGAGGGGTTTCTCGCCGCGCTGGAGCGCCACCGCATCACCAACATCGGCATCGTGCCGCCCCTGGTCATCGCCATCATCATGTCCCCGCTGCGTCACCGGTACTCGCTCAAGTCGCTCCGGAAGATCAAGTGCGGCGCCGCGCCCCTCGACGCCGCCTCCCAGAAGAAGTTCCAGGACCTGTGCGCCCCTGACGCCAGCTTCACCCAGGTCTTTGGCATGACCGAGACCACCGGAACCATCAGCCAGTTCTTCCACCCGGAGAGGGACGAGACGGGCAGCGTGGGGAGTCGGTTTCTGCCGAATACCGACGTCAAGTGAGTTTCACCTGCGAGAACGCACCCCCCCTTGTCTCAGCATATTGGTGTCTATTTTTCTCCAGATTATTGTGTCAAGTCCAAGTCAAACATCCTATCCCAGAACCTAAACCAGATTAAACCAACTAACCTCGACGGCGCATCAACACGCAGACTCATCGACGACCAGGGCAACGACATCACCGCCTACGACGTGCAGGGCGAGCTGTGCGTGCGCGGGCCCACGGTGATCCGGGGCTACTTCAACAACCCCAAGGCCAACGCCGACGCGTACGACGCCGAGGGCTACTTCAAGACCGGCGACGTGCTGTACTGCGACGGCAAGACGAAGAAGTGGTACATTGTAGACAGGAGAAAGGTTTGTTTTTTTTGCCTGTCCTTGCCACTCCCCACTCATTGCCTGCCTGCCTGCCTGCCCCTTCACGTCCTTTATCCATCACCAATCCGACCCTCTCTTCTTTGGCGTGTTGCTGGTGTTGATACTTCCCACAAAAACAAACCAAAAACACCCACCCCTTATTCGAACAGAAAACAGAAACGACATCCTATTATGATTTCCTTGCTATCTATCTACCCCATATAACACAACAACAAAACCCCCCCTCCCTGTAGAGGATCTGACTTACTTACATACTAACAAATCCTGTCCCCCTTTCAAGGAACTGATCAAAGTACGCGGCTTCCAAGTGTCCCCCTCGGAGCTCGAAGCCGTGCTCCTCTCCCATCCCGACATCGTCGACTGCGCGGTGCTCGGCTTCCGTCCCGCGGGCCGCCCGCCGCACGCCGACGAGCTGATCCGGGCGTACGTGGTGCGGCGGCCGCGCGAGCAGCAATCGTCGTCACCGCCCCTGACCGAGGACACGGTCAAGGCGTTCATCCGCAAGAACCTCGCCAGCTACAAGGCGCTGACCGGCGGCGTGGTCTTCGTCGACGTCATCCCGAAGAGTCCCAGCGGGAAGATTCTCAAGAGGGTCTTGAAGGAGCAGGCCGAGAAGGAGAGGGAGGAGGAGGTGGCCGTGGTGTCGATGAAGTCGAAGCTGTGAGAGTATGGCACGGGGTATTCATGGTGGATGGTGGTGGTGGTGGTGGTGACGGAGGGATGACGGAAAGGGTAAGTATCTAGCAGAGAATATGAGGGCGGGAAGTGAGCGAGGAGGGAAACGAAAGAGAGAGAGAGAGAGAGAGAATTACGGGGTGGTGTTTATGTCTTTGGGTATTTCCACCTCTGGAACTAGAGACAGAATGAGGTCGTGCAGATAGACTGTCTACACATATACACACACATTCATATGTACTCCGGAGACACCCACTCCCTTCAGACGGCCTTGTTCTATTCACTGATTTCTTTACCACTTGATCCCTCAGACCCAGCCGTGCAGTAACTTGACCGCAGATGTTGGGGACTTTCAGTCCTTTCGCGCTGTGCCAGTTTTTCTGCACATCTCCTACAAGCAAGGACTATAACTTGGCCTTCGCTCCCTGCCCCAGCCCACCGTTCTGCTGCTTCAACCGCTGCATCATACGATACGCCTCGTCAAGACTCTTGCGGGTATTTTCGAAATACACGTGCGAGAAGTCGCTGCTGGCCTGGCCGCTGATGGTGCGTGCCTGGATACCGTGCGAGATGGTCCCGCCGCGCACGTAGTGGAAGATCTTCGCGATCTCAAAGTCCTTTCCCGGCGGAGAGCCCTCCTTGCGCGGGTCAAAGCCCGTAATCCGCGCGTAGCGGTCGAGAAGCTCGTCGGGCTCGGGCATGCCGGATCGGGCGCGGTTGGCGGGGGCATAGGGAGAAGATTGATACGAATTGGTCGTCGACGTCTTGTTGGCGTTGGACACGGGATGGCCGGCTTTTGTGATTTCGTTCCAGAAAGGACCGATCACGTAGACGGCGTCCATCAGAGGGTGGCCGATCGTGGAGAGTTCCCAGTCGAGAATGGCAATCACACGGGGCTCTGTGGGATGGAGAACCTACACATATCGTGCGGTTAGATTTCAAAGCGTACAGAAATGCTCCACGTGCCAGACCATCTTTGCGTGGTCCCAAACTTACCACGTTGTCGAACTTGTAATCTCCATGGACGATGGAATACCTGTCACTGGTCATGTTGGTCCTGACAAAGTCGACCATCTCGTCGTAATGTTCGTGTGCGCGGCCGAGTTCCTTTCCCGTGTTGATGTCTTTGACCTTGGACTGTTGAGCCTCTATGCGTTGGAAGGTGTTGCAGTGTCGTTGATAGAAACCTTTCTTTTTGCCGAAGTTGGACAAGCCGATCGAGTCTGGATCGATGCTGTGCAACCAGGCGAGAGTTTCCACGAGAGAGATCCAACTGATGAGCTCAAATCAGCTGGTGCCCGGGGATGCTTGGAGGATTCACAAAATCAAATTGAGGGCACCTGGTTGGGCAGTTTTCAATGGCCGGTACCAACTTACGCCTGTCTTCGATCCGACGGGGAAAGGGATCCCAGGTCGGGATCTGTTATTATCCTGCCCTTTACGAATTCCATAACCTGAATGTCGCACCAGTCAGCCATATCCACAGTGGACGTCAAGGCTAGGAGAGAGATCGAATGAGGCTCACATAAAATGGAGTCCCAATGACACTTGGGTCCATGCAAAGCGTATAGACTTTCGGCACAGGAAACCCTTTGACTGAGCCCAAGGCTTCCAGGACCCGAAATTCGCGATCGACCTGGTGAGCAACGGGGCTGATGATTGTTCCCGATGGCTTCTTGCGCAGGATGAAGCGTGTGCCTCTAGGTAGAGTGTCAGTCTTAACAGAAATAAACGGATGTATAAATGACAGGAATATTGGCAACTCGGACATGCAGGATGTTCAACCATGAGCTCTCCACAAGCCGTCGCAGGAGACTGCACGCAACCATTCCCGCATTCAGATCAAGGGGGAGCCGGGAACCCAGTAATGAAATGCAATCTCATCGTGGAGACCTATCCAATCCACGGACAAGATGTAGGCTGGCCAGGTTGGGCAACGAACAGGGATAAACGTACGCAGCATCATCGAGAAAGTAGGTCGGATTACTCTGGCCGTAGCCAATTTTCGTCGACACAACAGGGGCCTTCAACCCTGGAATAGTATTTGAGTCGGCGAGATATTTGCTCAGCGAGGCGTCGTCGAGCTCGTGGCGCGAGCCGGATTTTGCTGTAGGGTTTGGGTTCATCTTGCCGGGCTGAAGTTAGATCACCAAGTCACACACAAGAAGGGGCCACTCAGAAGACGGCCTGACTTGTATTGCAGGTGTCCCAGCAGGTAAGCTGTATACGTCGATGTCTTCTGGCAGTGATATGTATATGGGCCCCAACATGACTGGACCGACCTTGACTCGGTGCGTGTCTCGTAACCGAGCTGCACCGAGGTAGTTTACTTGATGCAGAGCGCCAGACAACGTTCAGACAGGTCAGTTACAAGGACCACTGACATTGTCCGGATGAATACGCCGAGCTCCGCATCAACTTCAATCGCTCGTTGAATCCCTTCTGGGACGAGATTCAGGACCATATCAATGGCAAAGAGCGCACAAGTGCTAATACTTTACAGCCCACAACTAGAAGTGTGCTCCGCGAGAGATGGGGATGTCGGTCAATAACATTTTTGGCCAGGTTTGCGGCTCGAACGAAAGTTGGTCAGTAACGCCACTTTATGTTCTTGCCAACCTCCGACTGGGTAGAGGATATATATAAAAAGGACCGGTACTCGTACAGGGGTTGGCCGAAGCAGATATTAGCTTGAGCGTCACTCCAAAAGAGGAGACGCCACATATGAGAGTAGGGTTTTCAAGGCCTGGATTGTGGGTAAAGAATAGGTGTTTGTGCTTGTTGATCGTTGTCCCGATCTTTGCAGACAAATGGAATCTAAAAGGCTCCCATATCCCGGGGTTCGCCCTGTCGCTCGAAGGCAGTATCCCGCAAGCCTCATCTGTCGTCAAAGGTCGCTTTCGATCGGAGAGACATCGCTGACAACGGACAACAAATCTTTTGCTGGTCTTGCCTCGACCTTTATCTGATCAGTCCAAGTGACGTCGTTCCTGAGGTAGGTATTTGATCCGTCATTCGATTCTCGGTACACCTCCATCCAGGGTCCCCAGCATGATCCTGGAATGCTTCACAAGCCTCAAACAGAGCAATCCGTCATCGGCACCACCGCTCGCCCGATTCTCTTCTTCGCACTTCTTAAGATCCTCGAGCGTCATCCCTGATGTGTACCCTCGTGGCAAACCGTGAGCACCAGCGTCTAAATGATGGTGCTCCAGACGAGGAGGAAATTCCTGTGAGTCGTGGTAGGGTTGAACATCATGCCATTGTTTCTGCCGCCTTTCGATAGCTGCCACGAGCGATTCGAGTGTGTAAATGGTGGATGTATCGCTATCCTCTGAAGATATTTGCGTGGGCACGACTTGCGGTTTTCTCCAAGAAGTATTGGACGAGGGCGCGTTGGGCGGGTCAGGGATTGGTTGGTCGCCCACAACATACGCTCGAACTAGATAATATCCAAATGTGCGCCACTCGAGGTCTTCGCGGACGCCCATGGGTTCCGTGATATCATCTGGTGGCTCTGATTCCGCGCTACCAAATCCAACCTTCAGCTCTCTGGCACTGGCCTTTTTGACGCGGTGCCAATGATCCGTAAGCACAGTAATCAACATGGTGCTCATAAATACGTTCAGAGACCCCGATTGTAGCTTCTGAGGGCAAACGGGGCAATAAAGGACGGCGCGACCTGTGCGATGTGCAGCAAGGAGGGTATCTATCATACCGGATGACACAGGAAATGCGGACAGGGCGGACAGAGTCGAGAGCGTGAGATAGAGGTTGGGCAGGCAGGGGCAAGCTGGCATGACGGGCAGTTGGTTCAACGTGCTTGGATGTGTGTTGGGCTCCGAAGGCTGGTTGTGATGCGGCCGAGACCCTGTGCCACAAGACGCAGAAGAGTCCGGGCCCGCGTTGTTTAACTGTTTCTCGTACTCGTGGCTGTCTTGTACCAGCATTGGAAGCATGGTCATGTCACTGAAGTCCGGCCACAGCGAGATGTCAATTGGGTAGGTGACCTTGGACATAGTGTCGTTTCCTCCTGGAGGCGTGCGAGGCCCATCGTACGGTGAGGTGCTGCTCGAGCCTCGTGCAGGGAGCTGGCTGCCACCACTGCCAATCTTTGAGGAGTGTGCCCTCTCCGCAGCGGCGCGGGCGTCGTCGCTGGTCCGTTTGATGGACTGGCTTATGGGAGCATTGCAGATGTTCTCAAAATTTGTACGCTCAACGGCTTTTTCAGAGAGTTCTGGGTCAATCACAGGTTCGACAACCTCGGGCGGTGGAGGATGACGCGGATGATGGTAATAGGCCGGAATCGGAGGAGGCTGTAGAGGACCTGTGAAACGAGACGTATGTGCAGAGGAGAGGTCGTCCGCCTGAGGGAAGTCGTCAGTCCTTTGTCTCTTGCGTGGTCTTCCCATTTGCTTCTGAGCCGAGTAATGGCACGTCAACTGCTGCTTGACGCATCGTTCACAACCAGTGGGTTCGCCTGAGCACTTCAACTTGCGCTTTCCTGAGGGTATTGTGAGTCTAGATCAGGGCCGTGGCACATTCAGAGGACGGACTGCACTCATCGCAGGCAGAATGCCTCTTGACCGAAGGATCCGCATCAAAGGCGGCGCTGTATGCGGGCACCTCTGAATCTAAAAGTTCGGGCACCGAATCGGTGGCAGCAAAGGTTCTGGCAATGGGGTAGGGGCCATAGGCCTCAAGCAGTGAGGCCGCCGCCGCCTGCGCACTTGACATTTCCTGATAATAGACTGCACAGACTCGACGGATGCTCTGCAGATGAGATTAGATGTTCCGCCCTCTGGTGTCACAAGCCGGGGAAATCTTTATGACAGCAGCCTGGTGGCAAGTTACTCGTTAGGGTGTGGAGGTGGCCCCATCCCGCCCCGAACTCCTGCGTGGCTAGGAACAACGTGTCTATCGTTGCCCGACTCGTCATCAATTGGGGTGGCCTGAATTGCTCCATTTTGTGGCTACTGCAAGGCCTGGTGAGCCTGGGCCACAGTTGGGGCCCAATTGGAGTCGTGAAGGTTACTTTCATTTGAAAAGCCTATTGATCAACGAGCATAGAGGCTTCTTCTAAACAAGAAGCTTCGTTCTCGATCTCTTCAAACTTTGTGTGTTCGTGAGACGTGTATTGACAGAATGGTATCTTAATTTTTCCTCCTCTCATGCCGCATCCTCAACTCTCCACATGCTCCCCCATTATGCGACAACAGCGATCATAAAATCACGCACTTCTTGGGCAATCCACACGGCCCGCTCTCCTCTTCCTTGTCATCTGTCTGCATTGGTTGTGATGGTTTCGCAGGCGCCGGGGCGACCTTGCTTTCTGCCGGCTTCACATCGTTTCCTGTGGCAGGCTTCTTCTCTTCGGCACTGCCATCTAGTCACGCGAAACTGACCTTGCTGACTAGCTCGTAGAAGGATTTGCCCTGGATGGTAGCGAGCTCCAACTCGGAGGACGAAGGCTGTCGGGACCCGTCGGCACCGGCAAATGTGCCTGCGCCCCATGGGCTACCGCCACGGACTGCGCTGAGGTCGGCCATGATAGGGAAGGCTTTGGCATAACCCAAGGGCACATAGATCATGCCCTGGTGAATCCACGACGAGAGGGCCGTGATGGCTGTGGTCTCTTGCCCACCGCCCATAGTGGCCGTGCTGATGAACAGGCCGAAGTATTTTCCAAAGAGAGCGCCGGCCTGCCATTGTCCGCCGAGTCTATCGATGAAGGTCTTCCACTGGGCGGAATATGTGCCGTAACGGGTGGCAACGCCGAAGAGGAAAGCATCGTACTTGACCAGGATCTCGGGGGTGATGACGGGAACGTCCTTATTCATGCCTGGGGCGTGCATCTTGCCCAGAACCTCTTGGGGGAGGGTTTCCTCGATTCTAGACAGGCCAAGGTTAGTCTTCGCTGGCCTGTCTCTTCAAGGGGGACGGTCGAATCTCCGCGCAACGTACTGGTAGATATCGGCGGTGCCACCGGCTGCCTCAATACCCTTCTTCTCTGCCTGGGCCAGTTGGGCGACATGGCCGTACATGGAGTACTGTTCACCCGGGATGATCGGTTAGCAACCACGACAGATGTAGATCTGCAAGCGACGTTGACCACGAGTAAGAGTGGTAGACGGCGAAGGTGAACGGGAGTGTGAGACAGCGACGTACGTAGATGATGGCGATCTTGGGAGCCATTGTGTAGGAGTTGTGTGCTGGTTATGGGAGTTAAGATAGAGAAGAAGACGGAGACAAGAGACAGATGGGCTCGAAGACGAAGCTGGAAGATGGAGAAGAGAGGACGAAGCAGATACGAGAGGAGGGGAAAGTCTCGAGGTTTTTGTATCCGCTCACGGCCCTTCGTGCGGCGTTGCAGCTCAATAGAAGGCAGAGTGATCCTACGATGAAGCTTCATCATCATCACCACCAGTACCACCGCGGAACTTGCCCCCTTGCACCTTGTTTACCTTGGGTTTCATACGAGGGGCTGTGCCGGGTGTGCCTGGAACTCAGAGCCCAGAACGGATTGGGAAGGTCTCGAAGAGCAACTATAGGTGGTGACAGGGATCCCCGCACCACATTAGTGGGCAGCTGTTAGGCGGTTGTAGCGATGCTTGAGCTACCAGTGGGGCCTAGAATGACGCCAGAGGACTACTTAGAGGTGCCCGCAACAGGAAGTGTGCGGCACAGCTGGTAATACTGTCCTGTATGCAACTAATAAGCCTGTCTGCTAATAAGAGACCAATGTGTAATGACGAGTACCTACGGAGTACATTGCAGTTGGTGCTCGACTTCGACTCACCGTCGCAACACCTACAGCAGCATTACTCGAGCAACGAATATCTCCTTGCAACTCCCACTGTCCCCTGCTCAGGTATTGACGCTATCTCCCACTGGCTCCCGCGAACCAGGTCGATCGCCGCAGAGCTTTTCCAAATTCCCCTGCCCTATCGAGAGATCAAGTTTTCAGCCTCGGAAAACGCGGTGACTCGGCGGCCACCCAGCGACCAGCCCGCCGCAGAGCTTATGAAAAGCTGACAGAGGATTGCAAAAGCACAGCCGAGACCAGCCAATCAGCCGGGGCCTGCTGCTGTCGCAGTGCGGAATGAACTCTGTGACCCATTGATGTCCTCTTTGTAATCCACTCAGCGAAATCAGCCAAAACAACCTTCCGGAGCTCTGCTTTGAGCGCTATTCTCTCCCAGTATCTATTCCTCAAGTAATCAGACCTGAGAGTCCACCAAGACCGCCCGTTCGGCCATTTGTCAGCGCGCACCGGCGTTGTAATATGTAGGCAATGGAATCAGACAGACCTGGCCGCCATTCACGCCATCCTCGACCAGCCCTGATGCTAGATTCCTATCGTCGGCAGCTTCGGCGAAGAGAGATCACCACCGATCAATTCTCAGATAAACCTCTCCACCCGTGCTACCCTCGCTTGCATTGCTAGCTTCGCACAGCCCGCTCGTTTGCGGGTGTTGCTGATACTCACCTCCAAGGGGTGTTGACAGTGCTCAAAGCGGCAAAGACCTGTTTCCCCCTCCGTTGCTGGCCTGGGTGAGGGAGGCACGGCACCGCTAATGCAAGGCACCAGGAAAATACTTCGACCCTCACGGCAGCTGCCAATGACAAGCTGGAAGTTATCCGCCCAATGCGGATCTGGGCAACTGCACCTAGCAATGAGGGCGTCATACTCCCGTATATCCAGGCCATCACTCTTCCTCCCACCGGACCATTTGTTGTCTCTCCCACAGTCTGTTCGCGCTGCCGACTATGATCTCTGCCTTGGACAATAACTTTTCTCTGAATTTGGCGGCTGCCTCGCCCTGCAATTTTGTTTTCCTAGTGTGCGCCTGCAACATGATCGGTACCAGTGCCTGCGGATCGGCCTCGCTCAGAGCTCGAACACTCTTGAAACCGTTCTCCCACAGCAATCGGGCCATGCGGCTCTTGACGAATGCTATCTGAGCCATCTCCAGGAGATCGGCCCGAGCGCCCGCACGGAGACGGTCGAGCATATGTTCCAGCACAGCCCCCAGCATTCCCCAGTCCATCCTCTCGCAGAATTTGATCATCCCCGCTGCAAATCCGTGACAGCTTTGAGCCAGTGTCTGCACTTGTCCCCGTGGCACGGAATATTTGAGGCTGATCTCGTGAATTGGCATCTCATTGCAGAGGTCTCGGAGCTGGAACGCGCAATATGCCCTGCGATAGATTCGCGCCAAATGTATCTCTTCAGCCGTATTTTCCTTTAGCTGGGCACCGCTATTGACAAGCCGGTTGACAAAAGCTGGATTGACACCAATAAGTCGCATCGCACGCATCCCGCTGTCGTCGAGACCTTCCAGTTGGTTTCGGAAAGTCAACCATGAGATTTCCGCGAGCCCCATAGTCTGAACTGGGGTGAAAAGATAAAATATGTGCATCTCACCATCCATGACGAACGATTCGAGCGCTCGGCGCAGTTCAGAGTAGACAAAAACCCCATCCTCGGGACCGAGACCAGACGCAACGACGGCAGTTCCCAGTCTGGTCGGTTCGAGGCAACCATCGTATTCTCCCTCTTGAAGCAATCCATCCTGGAGTAACGCCTTCTTCGCCGTGTCGACCATTTCCGCGACTTGTGAGTGATCAATGCTATGCCAAAGCAGCGATGAGCGGACATATTCGTTCAACGATGTCACACTGGACGCCATTCGGGTACCAATGACCTCGAGAAGAGCTCTCTTGAACCCTCGCTTCTCAGGTGTCAGGCAGCTTTCTACCGGAGGCATTTCCGCCTCGAGTAATTCTGCCACAGCCTCCAGATCGGTCTTCTGACAGCAAAGGTAAGTCTCGCCGACTTCGTCCTTGCCCTTGCGGCCAGCACGTCCCCGCATCTGTCGAAGCATCGCAGGACCCACCAGCTCTCGGCCCATTCGAGGCCCATATAGTATCACCCTCCTTGCCGGGAGATTGATGCCGGCGGCGAGACTGCACGTCGCCACCATCACACGCAGGATCCCTGCGTCATATGCTCCGCAAACGAGCTCTCGCTCTTCAGTGGTCAATCCTGCATGGTGGAAGCCGACTCCGCATGGAATGACCTTGGAAAACGAGGGTTCAAATCCACCAGGAAGTGCACATAGCGATGCCAGCAAGTCTTGCCGCCTGTCCAAAGCGTCTCCATCAAGGTGATCAGTAGGCAGAGCACTGCTAACCAAGAGTGCTGTGTTCTCCACACTCATTCGACTACCACAGAATATCAGCGCACCTTGTCCAGCAAGGGCAGTCTCAACAGCCAATGCGATAACGGCATTTGGTGTCGAGTTCCCGAGCTCCGGGTGCTTTGATTTAGCAATCGCCCGCTGTGGCCTTGGTCGTGGTGTTGGAAGTGCATCACCAGCAGCCAACTGACTTGCTGTGCGGAAGAATTCTTTTGCGTTCGCTGTGGAATAGATGGCATTCTCATACACGAGATGTTCCTCGATGGGAATTGGACGGTGGTTTGCGATATAATATTTCGCATTCAGCCATTGGGCCAGTAATTGTGGATTTGGTAGGGTGCCGCTCATACCTACGATCTGAACCTTCTTGTCCCTAGAAGCAAGCGACATCAGCTTCGTGGCAAGGAGTTCCATGAGGTATCCCCGATGTTCATCGTTGATCATGTGAACTTCATCGAGAACCACCACGCCTATTTCGCCGGATTTGCCTTCATCAATGGCGCTGTTGACCAACGAGTTGGCTTTCTCAATGGTGCAGACGGCGATATCGCAATCTGACCAGTTGATGTTCAGTCTGTTCCCACCAAAGAACCCGCCGACTCGAACCAATGGGCTTGGCCGGCGCCATGTCGGTGTTGGCACGCCACTAGGGCTGTCGCCGACTTCTTTGGCTACCTTATCCACCAGAGCACGAAGCCACTTCAACTTCTCCTGGACGAGAGCGACGTAGGGGAGGACCAAAATCCCTTTCGTTGTAGGATCTTCAATGACTCGTTTGATCAGAATGACATCTGCCACCAATGACTTACCTCCACCGGTGGGAGCCGTATACACCAGGTTTTGTTCCCCCGTCAGCAATCCCCGGCCCAATAGGCAATACGACTGCCATGGGTATATGGCGCGCACACCGAGCGATTCGAAATTGTCAACTAACTGGGAGGGTAAAGCATATCTCGGATGTCGAAGGCTGAGGAAGGGGTTTTGTGAAGGGCCTGGAGTAGATGATTTGATCGAAGGTAGATGAACGGGTGCGTCATCGACGGCAGCTTTGCTATCATCACTGCCATCTACTCTAGTAATACGGCTGGCTTGAATGCGAGGTGGACGGCGATCGCGACGGATAAGAGGCGCGTCAACGGTCTGTGGCGGTTGGACTGATGATTGGCCGTGGATTGGAAGACCCAATTGAACATCATGAACTTCGTCAATGGTACGCTTAACACCTGCTGATGGCTTTGTATTGTAGCTCTGATTGCGGACAAGATCAACAGAAGTGGTATGGCCAGACGGTACGGCGTACTGATGTATGATGGTGCCTTCGAATCTCATAAAGCGGGACCCGTGTGTTGACATTACAGGTAAAACGCGATATTCTGTAGCGTCCATTCAGTAAATGCATCAGTCCTTTAGAGTGATCTAGTCAGATCCGTCTCTGGCACTTCAGCCGTGAGGAACAGTCTCGATAACATTGGTCGGCATGTAAACAGCAACGCGATCTAGATCGTGCCAACCAAGGCAAGCCCAAGCGCATTAATATCTGCAAGATAAACAGGGAAAAAGGCGAGTCCAATAGAGGAATAGCCTAAACTCTAAGAGTTCGGGTCAGTTGCCAAGTCCGAGAGCCACTTACCGCGGAAGCCCGGCCACCCACACCCCCAATCCACCTTCGCCCGAGCACCACACACGAAAACGGTTTCCTTGACGGCCCATGGCGCCTACAAGAATAAGAATGCCTTGACGGAAACTGGAGGTTGGCGGGCCAGAAATGCAGCCATCATATCATATAATATCACACACAATCTGCGATAAAGTATCCGGTAGTAGAATAACTACCGCCAAGTTTCAATCATGAATTGGAGGTGTGATTGCCATTGCAACCGCGGAAACAGGCACATTGGAGGCGGTGGTGTCGAGCACAGAGAAAGATTTTGGTGTTTAGTCCAGGGAACAGGAGGACAGGCTGGCGAAGTGATGGGCCATCCTCAGTGCGAAGTAAGTGGTGAGTGGAGGTTCGGGGAGGCCCCGACCCAATTTTGCGAGAAGACTCCCAGCGCTGTCAGAGCATCATCTCGGGGGGAGAAACGTGGCAAAAGTAGTTGTAGAATGGCAAACGCATAGCGCCTAGTTCATTGACACCATTCATTCGGCGTCCCAGAGCACGATTGGATTTACGTGGCCATGGCAAGGGTAGAGGGCAGAATAGAGATGTGGTCAAAATTAACAGAGGGAAATCACAGGTCAGGTGACGCCAAGGGGTCCTCGGACACTAAGCAGCCGGGCTCGTTGGTCGCCACCAACCGACCTCACCTCTTCCGCTACCTTCTGAATCGAGGGGGCCCGGAATTCCACAACTCTCGATTTTCATCACAAAGAGAGAGAAAGGGAGAGAGAAGTCCAGCCTTCAGACCGATCTAACGATGCGACACACATGACAGGTTGATGCTGCAGCCAACATGTGGTGGCGGCTCGGGCCCTTAATCCAGGGGCCCTTTCCCTCCCAGACATAGGCGCATATATGGCGGAATGAGAAACAGTAGGGATTTGTGTTGAACAAGTCAAAACAAGAGAGATCGAGACCCAAGGTGAGCAGGATCGTGGCTCATCTCATATCATGGTGTGGCACAGCAGCGGTGGGCGGTGGTGGGCAGCACCAGGCCAGAGTCATGAGTAATGTCGTCAGCGTACCGAATCACGTTAGGAGACCCTGCATGATTTGCTCAAGCCTCTAAGGTTTCCAACCTCAACTGCACTCCAGGAATGTCTTTCTCTTCTCTTCGTCTGCTGTTCATTTTTAGCGTTTCTTTCCTTGCCTTGTAGAAGATCCACACATTCTCATGCAACTCATCCACTTTTCCCAAGCACATCTTTTGTGGCCCCCCTTCCTCCCCCCCTCTCCACACACTCTCGAGCTGCCTCTGACCCCCGTTCTTATTCTTGTTTCGTGCTCTCTTGTCTGCCTTCTTGTGTGTCGTATGTGTCTGTGTCCGCGATCTGCCTTCGAGCAGCTTTCGCCTAACCGGGACTCTTCTCTCTCACGCCCTCCCCTCCAGTCACCTGGTGGTGCTCCTGTCCAACAGCCCTCGTATTTGCAGGTTGGCTCTGACTCTCTTAGCTCATCTTTTGCCGTCGACCTGGGAGCATTAACCTCGCAACATCTCGGCATTGAACCGGCGTCCACTCAGACTCGCTTCCTCTCCCTTGTCACTCGTCCTCATACACTATCTTTCCGGACTAAGGCTCAAACCTTGTCGACTAGGCCGCATTTTTCCTTGCCTCTGCCGAGTGTCTGTCCTTCCCATCGACCTCTTTCTTCACCCCATTCCTTTCTTGTTCTTTCTTCCCTCAGCCTCTTTCTTCCTTCCCATTCTATTCTTCCCCCTCCCCCGTTTCGATACACCCAACTACTCCCCGACCCCGTATTTGAGGATTGTCCTTCTCTGTGCTTTTCCCCCACCCGTTCTGCATCTCTCGCTTTTCGACTTCGGGATTTTTACCGCGTCGACATTCACCAGCCGACTAGGCGCTAAAAAGACCCGCACAACGCAGCATCCTGGCGCGTGCCTTGTCCGAGATATAGTCCATACTATCGCCCACTCCGCCGACCACGGTATTTTCCTCCCTTCTCGGTCACGACTGCCCTCCTCAAGCCTCGACTTTTCCTGGACTTGTTTTACGCTCTCACTTGTATCGATTCCTCTGTAAAGTCTGCTTTGAGACACTTATTACCCATTTATTTGGTGCCGAGACGTCCTCAGCTGATCAGCTGCGAGGAAGCCGTCGTCGCTGCAGCCCTACTCAGGTCAACTCCTCCCCCGGTCGACATGCGATAAAGCAGGGCTTACCGCACCTGGTTTTCCGCCGCTCGCTTTCTCTCAACTCGTCATGTCGACAGTTGAGAGTCCTCCAGTCGCGACAGCACCACCAGACCCCCGACCCAACGAGCCGTCAGATGCACCAGCACATACACAGAGCGATGCACCGTCAAGCGCACTTGGGAATGGTAGTCGAAGTGTAGATGTGTCGCCTGGACCTGAGACTGCGCCCGCGCCTACGCTCACGCCTGCGGGCCCCCTCGACACGCCCCAGTCACAGCCCATGACTGCGACCGCGTCCACTTCCTCGTTACAGCCGCCCCTCGAGAATGGAGACAATTCTATCACTGGCCCGTACGGCACTCGCTCAAGAAATCGGACAGGTGGCACGCGCCCAAACTACGCCGAGGACCGGGAGTTGGATCTCGAAATAGAGGCACTGTCCAAACCGAGTCGGTCGAGTAAGCGATCATCTGCCGCAGCGAGCGAGCAGCAGCAGCAGCAGCCTTCGACTCCGAGCTTTGCATCCGTCAACAACTCTCATCACGACAAGCCCTCTGAAACTGCCCCTGCGCCCAATGCATCAACACCCGCTCCTAACACGGCTCCTGCACCTTCGAAGAAAAGAAAACATCCCGGCAGCAATCATACCGTGGCCGCAAACTCAACGATGGGCAACGGTTCGCGCTCGAAACCTATCGCCTCGGTGCCGTTCAGAGGCTATGTCGAAACAAATATGATGAGCTTTAAACGCTCTGGATATAAGCTGAATGCTAAAAATCAACTGGTCGCCGATGACGGCACCACCATTCAGGCCAACGGTACTTCCGTAATCCCCTGGTAATATCTCTTTTGTATTATGTGCTGATTGACATCTAGACCATGTCTACCTCATCTGCGAACCTCCGGGAGAACCCTACTACCTTGCGCGTATCATGGAATTCCTGCACGCGAAGAACGACCCCGACGGTCCCATCGATGCCATTCGAGTCAATTGGTACTATCGCCCCAAAGACATCCTCCGAAGAGTCCAGGACACACGGGTTGTCTTCGCTTCGATGCATTCCGACACCTGCCCCCTCACATCGCTGCGCGGGAAATGCAACATCCGTCATCTCTCGGAAATATCTAATATGGACGAATACCGCGGCCAGCAAGATTCTTTTTGGTTTGATAAATTGTATGACCGCTACATGCACCGATATTACGAGGTCATTCCCACGAGCAAGGTCGTCAACGTCCCGCAGCATGTCAAGACTGTCCTAGATCAACGCTGGAAATTTGTCTTGGTTGAGATCGGCCGCGGTCGTGATCTGACCAGTGAGAGCAAAAAGTGTACAAAGTGTGAACAGTTTGCGAGCAACCACGACTCCGTGGACTGCGCAGTTTGCAAGCGGACATACCACATGCAGTGCGTCCGGCCACCGCTGCTGAAAAAGCCTGCTCGAGGGTTTGCGTGGGCCTGTGCCCATTGTAGCCGGGCCCAGGAAATGAAAATGGACAATCGAAATACACCCGCAGGCTCAGAAGTTGGTCATGGGGACGAAGACGACCCCATGGATGAGGACGAGGACGAGAATCACGCAAAGAGTCGGGACACCCGTGAAAGCAGCATCGCACCCGAGCCACATCCGGCACCGACCAAGGAACAAATTGCCCAGGCAAATCTGTGGCCATGGCGGTACCTCGGTGTTCACTCTCGGGTTGAAGATGCACTAGACTATGATGATCGGATATATCCTCGAGCAAGCTCCAGATTAGGCCCTCGGCACCAAGCCAACGTCAATGTGTGGCACGGGCGTCCCGTTGAATTAGTGAAGCCTGCTGAGATCAAGCGAAAATACTTGAAAAATGCGCATCACATCAAGGGTGCCAAAGGCTCCAAGGACACCGGCACCGATACCGACAGAGATCAGAAGCTGAAGCGTCCTAAGTGGGTGATTGACGAGCCGGTTGGCTACGTCCCCCGAGGACAGGATGAGCCTGTTGAAATCAAGGGCAAAAAAGAGCATACTGCTCAATTGCTCTTCAAGATGCCGGAACCAGGACAACTTTCAGAAAGAGGGGGTGATGACGTTTCGGGACCTGTTGATCCAGAGTACTTGGTTGACGACTACATGGCGAGGGTCAAACCAATTGCTGCCAAATACAATCTGCTCGATTCGTCTGTTGACTTTCTCACCAAAGCGATCGAAAAGCTGCAAGAGAATGAATATAATGTCGAGAAGGCATTGAAAGCCATGACGGAACTCAGCTTGAAGGGTGACTTGAAGCAGCCTGAGCTCTCCCGCGACGAAATTAAGCGTTTCGAAGAAGGTGTAGCTAAATACGGAAGTGAGCTCCATGCTGTGACTCGCCATGTTGGAAATGTCAAGGAATCTCGGATTGTTCGGTTTTACTATATGTGGAAAAAAACCGAAAAGGGTCGACAGATCTGGGGCAATTTCGAGGGCCGACGTTCGAAAAAGGAATCCAAACGAGCGGACAAAGAGGGCAATGTGCCCAAACTCCTGGACGATGTTGCTCATGACCAGGATGACTCGGCCTTCGATGATGAGAAGGCGGCGCAGAAGAAGCGAAGCTTTGTCTGCAAATTTTGTTGGACTCAACATTCCAGGCAATGGCGACGTGCACCGGGAACGCCACCGGGCACACTGGTACCCAAGGATCCCTCGGCGAAAAACAGTAAAGATAAGAGTGGGTGGCTCACACTGGCTCTATGTGGCCGATGTGCCTATCTTTGGCGCAAATATGCTGTCCAGTACGAAGATATCGAGGAAATCTCAAAGAAAATTGCATCCTCGGGAAGCCGGGCAGCAAAGCGCAAAGTGGATGAAGAACTCTTGCGTCTTATCCTTGAGGCGCATCAGATGTCTGGCGATCCCATCCCTCCACGAGCGGTCGACGAGGTCAACAAGGCTGGCTTGGAAGTGCCCCAAAACATCATTCAACCCGAGGAGCCTCCCAAGAAGAAGGGCAAGCTCGACAAAGACGCCACGCAACCCGCTCCTGATGTCGTCCCGGAGAAGAAGAAGGCGCCTGAAAAGCCGCCCGAACCTGCCGCGATCGAGCCGGATCCGCCCCGGGTCAAGGTCCATCCCTGTGCCGTGTGTCGGGTCATCGATGCTCCTGGTCTGGAACTGCTTAAGTGCCGTGACTGCAGACTTCATGTACATGGTGCATGCTATGGAGTTGGGAAAAAGACAAACACGAAACCATGGTTTTGTGACATGTGCCGAAACGACCACAACCTACAGGTCTCAACGACCTACGAATGCGTTCTCTGTCCTGTCAAATACACAGCCCAAGAGCTTATGGAGCCTTTGAGAACATCGCACAAGAAGAAGAGTGATCGGGAACGTGAAAAGGAACGCATCGAACGAGAGATCATACAAGAAGCCAGCCGGAGATGGCGAATGGAACAAGAAGCAGCAGGTCGTCCTGTCAACCCCCGTGAGGCCCTCAAGAGGACTGCCTGGAACAACTGGATCCACATCACTTGCGCCCTCTGGACCAAGGAGATCAAATTTGGCAATTCGGAATTGCTTGATGATGCAGAAGGCGTGGGTTTCATCCCCCCAGAACGCTTTGAGCCGATATGCAAAATCTGTAAGCTATCTGGGATGCCTACGGTGAAATGTCACATGGCCAGCTGCACCGCCTACTTCCATGTCGGCTGTGCACACCAGGCAGAGTACATATTCGGCTTCGACGTACAACCGGTCAAAAGTAGCAGACGCGACACGGCCAACATCATGAAACTCGGTTCAGAGACTGGCATTGTCACCGCAGGGATCTGGTGCCCGACCCATGTTCCTACTACTTGGGTGCACGGCATGCTCGAAATGACGGACGCCGAGATAACGGCCATGCAATTGTTCGCTCGCACTTATAAGCAGGTGGACAACTCTGTGACAGGCACTGTCCGGCGCGCTGCGCAGTTTGCCACCAATTTTGCGAGCTCTGCACCCGCGGTCCAGCCGCATCAGCGGCGGGAAAGTACTGTCAACGGGGCGCCAAATGGAACCATCAGTCATACTGAGAAGAATGGTGGCACGAGTCTTCGAGAATCCCCTGGAGCCACTGGAGTGGGCGAAATGCTGGTGGGCTCTGACACAGCACCAGCTGAATCCGCGGCGCACGAAGCCTCCAAGAAACGGAGCGGCACTCCCAAAAAGTGCTGTACTTGTCTTGTGGATGCCAGTCCCAGATGGTGGCCCCTCCAACAAGAACCACCGCCAGCTGCTAATGGCACACTGATTGAAATGGTCACGGACGAAACTCAGGTGAACGGCTCACTGGATACTGTTGTAACCAATGGCGCGGTCAAAGCTGAACCCGCAGACGGTACGACTCTTACCGCAACCGCTGGTGGCAAAGACCGCACGATGTATCAGTGCCACAAGTGTCATATTCTCAGGCGAACACCCCCTTCATCTCCATCACAGGTCAAGCCTCGTGAGAAGCCTGTACCACTGGATCCGGAGCCATACAAACACCAGCCACCGTTCCCTCCACCACCCAACGTCTACACGTTGAATAGACCACCAATTGAAGCACCACCGCATTCTCATCCTCTTCCTCCACCTCTTCCAGCTCCAACGTCTCATTATCCACCTTGGCAGAGCGGTCCTCCTCCCCAATGGTCCTCGCCCGGCGTGCGAGCAGCACGTCACCCTTCTCCGCCAGCTCCGCCACTCTACGGTCAGCCTCTTTATCGACCCCCTCCTCCGCCTACACTACCCCCGCCGCCACCAGCCCCCGAATACAGTCAATCACCTTATAGGCGGCCAGGGCACCATTCGCCATATGGCACCGTACCCACCTCCCCCCACCACCCGGCCCAGGTCTGGTGCCTCAGCATTCACCCCCTCCCTCAGCGGCTTATGGGCATCACCCTCCTCACCATCCTCATCACGCTCATCATAGCATTCCACCGCCTCCAGTTCCACCGCAAGTCACGCGTCCACCATCACCTCCACGATATAGCTCTGACCGGCCCCCGGTTCCACCACCCCATCTTGGACTAGGGCCTTCGAGCCTTTTGTCGCGGGGATATCCTGAACCAACCCGCCAGTCGACTCTGGATTCTCCTGTGAGCGGATATGCAGCGCCTCATTCTACTGCTTCGAGAACGTACGCTCAAGGTCCTCCGCCACCTCCGCCACCTCCAGGCATGAGACAATCTCCGTCAGCACAGTCTCTGGTCCAAATTGCCCAAGCGGCTGGCGATCAGTCCATAGGAAGACCACATTCCAGGCAGACGAGTGTCGAGATGACAAACACACCGCGGTTTGGGGCCAGGCCGATCACGGGGAGCCCTCAACAGAGACCACTTACGCCCTCTACCGCTCCAACCTTCGCCAGAGACGACAGGAGAGATGCGTTAGGGGCAAGTGCTAGTCCGAGCGTGAAGAATCTGCTTTCTTAGGAAGACCAAGACACTCACGACAAGAAGAGGATCAAAGAGCAAAAGGGTGGCTGGTGGAGCGTCGTTTCTATGGATTCGGAGGACAATTAATTGATAAGTTTGTGTGGTATTTGCATTCGAGCTCTTTGGGTTACTGATACCGTGGTCAGTCAGGAAAGACGGTTCTACCCAGGATTGGGTTTTCGAATTTGTTGTGTTAGATACCCCTGGTTAAGGCTTGCCAGTCTTAGAGCTGTATGGATCAGCTCTCCGTGGGGGTTTCTCGGATATTCCAGCAAGCAAACAGTGTTATGTCGAAGGCGCAGGCTGTATGTTCAGCGTCAGTCTGCCATTTCTCCTGTACTGTTAGTCCGAAAAGTGATAGTGCGAAAGACGAAAAGAAATGCGAAATGGCGGATGGAAAAGGGGAAGGAAAGACAGACTTGAAACGTGAAAATTGAGAACCTTAACGAAGACAAAAGACATATTTCTAGAAGCATTGTCCAACCAATTCAGTCAGCAAGCTCTTCTGTCCCTCTATCACCCTTTATATTTTTACACTGCCCTGATGAAGTCCGGTGCCACCAGGGCAACAAATACATCGCGATAATACAGCAGCAGAGCAGCAGTGGACTCGACTCCTACCTGTCATTCATTGCGTGTGTCTGTCTTTGTCGCTGGATAGGACGGCGGTACTCTTGACCCGCCGAAGGGGGAATGGAATGAATGGGTGGAAGTCAAGAAAAGGAGGCCATTCGATAGCTAGAATCCGATTCGAGAGCCAGAGGCAAGAATGACATTTTGAATTTCTTGGAAATTTCTTGGGACCGTGCACCTCCACATGGCAGACGGTTCCCAATGCCGAATCTATGGCGTGAAGATACTCTTACAACATCAACGGTCGCACTGGCACCGTGCATAACTCAGTCGACATCAAGGCTGATGCAACTCGTGACGGGACGAGAGGACAAGATGTGTGACAAAGACCACCACAAAGGTAGTCAGTCAGACTATTCCTCATCTTCGTCATCGTCGTCAATGACTCTCCGCTTCTTGCGGGCCGCAGGGCTGCCCACGGTTCTTCTGCTTTCTCCAGCGTCGCCATCCTCTTCGCCCTCGGCATCTTCATCCTCGTCCCGCATGGCGCGTTTGGGAGTCCTGTCTCGGTCCCGGTCTCTGGCACCACCACGAGTGCGGCCTTTGAGGACCGTCTCGCGTCCCTCGATCTCCAAGTCGTCAACATCTGGATCGGATTCCGCATCGTCGACTTCCGCTCCTGCTTCGTCTTCGTAGATCTCGGGTTCTTCGTCGCTCGCAGCAAGGAAGTCGTCTTCGCGATCATATTCGTCTTCCCTGCCCCGGCGGCGGAATGATTCCTCGTCCTCGTCGTCCGAGTAGATATCTCCACGCCGATTCGTCTTGCGTCGCTTAGCGGTGGACTTCTTCCCTCTTGCCGTGGGCATCCCGTCATCATCTTCCAGCGCGGAAATGGAGAGACCAGCACCCGATGAACGACCGATCCCGGATTTTCCCAGCACGCGGTCCCTACGCATGAATTGCCGGTCTTGAGCAGCCTCCCTTCGACGATCAGCCCGAGCACGCTCCTTTTCGAACATTTCGGCGGCCTTTTTGGCGAGTTCGGGGTCTTCTTTGACAGATTTGAAGGTGGTGGGGGATTCGTGAATTTGTGTGGTGGCAGCAATGGATTGTCGCAGTTTCATTTCGGCCTCATCCGCTTGGTCGCCCGCTGGTTGGACCTTCATAGACGCATCGAACGGGGCAATGATTTGTAGATCTATCCCTGCGGCCGCATGAGGCGCGGCGAGAAAGTGATTTGTTTCTTTTGTAGGATCGTAGTCTTGCGAATTGGAGAGCTTCTTGGGCCAACCTTGTCGCATGGCAGTGGTGGAGATACGGTAATGGTCTTGGGGCTTAGAGGCGATCTGTAAAGTGAAGCTGCCGTCCGACCAGCGAACGATGCGGGAGTTTGATTGTATGACTTCAGGGTTCTTGGGATCGCGGCGCCAGAAGATGGAAGTGTTGGCTGTTGAGAAGGGAGAGAATTTGACAGTAGAGTCTGCCGTGGGATCGCGGCCATCATGCGGCCTGGCGGGTGGTTCGTAGCTCGAAAAGTCAAAGCTTCTGTGTTTGATGCCCAGGAAGTTCGGAATGTTCAGGAGGTATAGTTCGTCACCCCCAGGCGGTTTAACTCGTGCTATGTCCACGTCCAGCAGTTTGAGTTGTTTCTCTTCTTCGTAAAGGCCCTCCTCGTCTTCCACGGTTGGTGCGACGCGATCGTGTCGGCCCTCGTCATCGCCAGAGTCAAGTTCCGAGTCGTCTAATTTTCTATGGAGGCTGCCGCAGGTTAGTGAAAGTTCCACAAGACCAGTAGGAGAACCATACTTATTCCGCTCGTCCCCGTCTTCTTCATCATCATCTCCGAATAGATCTCCGTCACCGCCGTCGGATGCAAGATCGCCATTGTTATCTTGGAACTCCTCTTCCTCCAGAGTGCTGTTGCGGGGAACAGAGTCAACCTCAGCGGACATTCTGGCGGCGACTTGAGGGATCTAGATTTCGAGCGCAGGACGACAGATGGGTGTGCTAGCAATAGTTGTGAAACGATTGAACCGGGATTTGACACATCTCACGAAGAGATAACAAAGAGGCCAAGATAGAACGTGTTCGCCGCCTGAAATCTTCACGTTGAGTGCGTGGAAATGAATTGCGAACAGTGTCGCTGGCACCAGGTACGAGACGACAGTTTGGAGTCGACATTGGTCCACAAAGGGCTAGCGTAGTGCTCACGTGCCCCTCGCTCGGCTGAGTTGCGATCTGCGGAATTAATTGTTTCAATGAGCGACTCCTTCTCCTCACTGTCAACAAGTCACACTGGTTACTCCTTTTCACCACTTACACCACGTCGGCGACCAGCAATCGTGTTGTGAACAATCGAGAGTATTGCCCGACCCTTTGCGGGTATATCTCACCGTTATGTCAAACTTTTTTCAGAGCGTGTAAGTTAACCCTGTCATCTTCAACTTCCCCTGATTTCAACTTCTCCTGCTTTCACCGCCGACACCACCTGTCTTGACTTGTCCCTGCCACTCTACGCATTCGAAATGGGCAAATTCAGGTGGAAGATTTCTTTGCAAGGCCTCAAGCGAGCTGTCAGTCCTACCAAACATGCTGCAGTTGCTGACCCTTCTCCCAGTCGACAAGGTTTCACTCGAGGCAATACCAAATCCAACCAAAACCTCAAGGCTCAGTACAACAATGGCCAATCTCAGTCTCCGAACTCGCAGCAAGCCCCTCCTCTTCCTCCCCTGACCAATTCGCCTTCCATCTCCTCCACATTCAGTGAACAAAGTGCCTATATCGAACAAGAGCCCAAGAAATTCCTCAATGAGAAATATGCCAAATGCTCGGTCAAGGGGAACTTCCTCACGCTGGCTGCGCAGCCGAAGAACGTCGAACTTGGAGAATGGCTAGCCCATCAATGTGAGTTGACATGCAGTCTTACAATCTGGGTGTGAAGAGACGCTCATTTTCTACAGTGGTTGAGATGAATCGACTGCTCACTGGGATGATCCAGGTCATCCAAGAGGTTGACACCAACACGGGACTGCCGCTGTGCAATGAGCAGCAATGTCCTACAATGTCTGCTGGGCGGTTTGTTTGAATCCCATTACTCGGCCAGCGAATATTCCCCGACTGACTCTTCCCAGTCTCACTTACACCTGGCTCGAAAACGGTCGACCGGCCAAGATCCCCGCGCCTCAATACATCGTCCGGGTTCAACGCTGGATCGTTGGGAAAATCCACGATGAGAAGACCTTCCCTACCGCACCCCCACCAACCGACGACGAAACATCCTACATGTCCGGTGACACTGGCACTGTCACACCCTCGGCCACCACGCCAATTGCTGCCCCACCATCCAACCTCAACCAATCGACGCTCGCAGGCGCTCAAGATGAATGGATCGGCAAGTCCTCAGGTTTCCCGCCACATTTCCACGCAGATGTCAAGGCCATCATCAAGCAGATGTTCCGCTGCTACGCGCACCTCTACCACTGTCACTTCACCGATCCCTTCTGGCACATTGGTCGCCACGCAGAACTGAACAGCTGCTTCGTCCATTTCTGCACTGTCGCAATGTACTACGACTTGATCAGCAAGAAAGACATGGAGCCTTTACAAGGACTCATTGACATCTTCGTGGCGCAGGGCGTCATTCCCAAGGAAGCTGTCCAGCAGCATGTTTCCTAGAAGTCTGTGGAAATGACTGGGTACCCTGATGGCAATCAATTAGTGACATGGCATTGTCTCGGGCGTGTTATGAATGAACAGTGATGCATTTAGCGAGCTGGCGTCTTGGCGAGTGCGAATGAATATGGCACCGATGTTGCCGAAAGAGTGTGCAAATGAGCTTTGAATTAATGACGTCTTCGTGCCAGGGGCAAGCCCCTTGGCTTCGCACGATCAGGCTTCCTTTCCTTGCGCTTCTTGGCTGCTCCCTTCCCTGCTATACATTGCTAACTTGAGATCAACAGGCACTGTGACAGCAAGTGCCAAGTTGGCTTGAGGATCGAGTGGGAGAGTTGTGGCTAACCGGCGATATGCGCGTTTGGGCGGTCTGGCGTACGGTAGGGACAACAACTGGAGACCTCATTAGAAGTCAAGCTACACCTAGCGATACTCACATGGCAGCTGTTGTACTGTGCTGGAGGACTCTGGAATCTCCGTTCTGGTATCCTCCCAACAGCCCTTGCACTCCGACAATGCCCTACACATATCAGCCTCCGCTTCAACTACCATGCCGCAAAGGGCTATATCAGAGGGGAAATCTTCCTTGGATCATGCCCCAACAAGGCACCACAAGCGAAAGCTCTGCACAGGCTCAAGACCGTGCCCTCAGGGAAGGGCTGACAGCGCCTGTCGTTCGGAACATCGGCAAAGATGGGCCCAGGCTGCCACACTCCTTTGCTGACACGGAGAGACACAAGGTGGATTGCCAAGGGGTTAGCAAAGGTGCTCGGCTCGTGCAGCCTGATGACTGTCTCCCAATAACGTGGACGAGATTCAGCCTCACCAAGCCTGGCCAAGCATCGCGCTCTTCTCCTGCTTGGCATTGACGAAAACTCTTGAGCTGGAGCGTGGCTAGGGCGAGTCCAAGATCATGCACGAGCTCTTGGCCCATCATATAACTTGGTGATGGATGTTGCGGCCCCAACTTGGCATCGAGTCCGCTGCTTGGAACTGTCGACGCCCAGTGAGAATGAGGAACGAAGGAGATATATACCTGGGGATGGAGTGCAGAAGGTAGATTCAATGCAGCGTGTGGCGAACGCCTACTCACTCGCCATCATGAACTCCTCGGCGACCAGACTGACACTCTTCACCACCTTGTTCTTGCTCGTCTGTTACTTTCCCACTGCGCCGCATGGAAGCGGCGTGGAAGCTTCGGAGTATCGCAGCTTCCCAGTCGCTCCCCACACCCTACCGATGAAGACTGTCCAACGAGGCTCTCCTAGATCAAAGCATCGGCGCCAGTCGGAAGTCCTCTTCGACCCAGGATACGAGAGTCACTTCTTGATTGAAGTTTCTCTGGGCAGTCAGTCCGTCGGCCTGCTGGTTGATACGGGCAGCTCCGACACCTGGGCCGTCAAGGCCGGGTTTGACTGCGACCCGGGCTTTCGCTGTGACTTTGGGGACGCCATCACGGTCGACAAGGCCTTTGAACTCCTTCCCGATGCCGAATTCGTCATCAACTACCTCGACACGTCCTACGCGAGTGGCCCCCTGGCCAATACCAGCGTGGAGATTGCTGGTCTCACCGTGCCAGAGCAGACCATCGGTCTCGCAGACGAGGTAAGGGCGCTCTCTTCCCTGCACTGTCCCAGCGACCACCACCAAAGCTGACACGGTAACCAGCTTGGTTTCGTCGGGGACGGCGTGATGACTGGCCTCATCGGCCTGGCCTACCCGTGCCTGACTTCCGCACTCAAGAGCGGACAACGCGCGATCTACTCGTCGATCATCAACACCATCTTCTACGAAGGTCTGACCGAGCCACTGTTCTCCATGGCCATCTCCCGCGACGCGTCCGAGACCGGCTTTGGCGGCTACCTGACCATCGGCGGCGTGCCCGTCCGGTCAGATCCCAGAATCAACGCGTTGGGAGAGTACGGTTCCGCCCCGCTCAAGCTCAACCCTGAAGTCCTCGGATGTGGCAATTATCTCACCCACTACACCATCATTCCCGACGGGTTCGCCTGGTCCGACACCTCGGGCGACTCGGGGGGCCGGAATGTTACGCCGGCGCTGTACATTGTCGACTCTGGGTCCACGCTGTCACGGTTCCCGCCCGCGATCGCGAAGGCCGTCAACGCCCTCTTCGACCCGCCGGCCCAGCTCAACGCGCAGGGCTTGTACGTGGTGCCCTGTGACGCGACCCTGCCGCGACTGTCGCTCTTCGTCGACGGCGTCGAGCTGCCCATCAACCCGATCGACTTGATCTGGTTCTCAGGCTCCAAATGTCTCTCGGGCGTCCAGAGCATACAGGGAACCAGCCGCGTCGGCATTATTGGCGACAGCCTCATGCGCAGCCTGTTGGTCGTCTTTGACTGGGGTGAGAAGATGGTCCATTTTGCCAGTCGGCCAAAGTATGTTTCTTGACCGCCGACGACGATAAGGGGGGAATATATATATCTTCCTATACCGTCCCTCTTGTTGATATTTGAGAGGACATGATTGAATGAGGGCGTGTGCGTTCTTCCTTTGTCGATGTATATGGTGTAAATCTGCAATATCAAGCGTAACGACAAGGATGATTATGACTGAGTTGACAGAATAAGAAAAGCTGTTGTGTCTCAGACAGTGCCAGGAATGCAAATGGCAGGTAATGGCTTTGTTCACAGTGATCCCATGTTATTGCAGAAAAGTGGCGTATCTCTCTGCGTGAAGAGCTTGATGGTCATTAAGGGGTGTATTGCTCATCAGCAACAGCTGGTATTACTCCCCAGTTCTCTGTGTTGAACCCTGAAAGGGCTGCCGCTCGATATACTTGCCAAAACACTCGCCGCTGCTCAAATTCTCCATTTCTCCCTCCATGACACTGACTATCACCTCGGCAGCCCCGTCTGGCAACTTGGGCATGATGGCATTCAGCCCCGGCTCACTGGGATACCTGTACCGGGCCGGGGTTCCAGCGAACGCGGCGCCCCAATCCTGTTGATAGAGCGCCGAGCTCGTCCAGTCCGTGCCCATGGCAACCCCGGTCGACGAGTAACTGCCCATGAACGCCCAGTCGATCCACTTCTTGTTCGTCTCGGCCATGACGCTGCGCACGAGAGCCGGGGTGACGGCCGTGATGGCGCGGCGGACGGCGCTGGCGGCTTCCTGCAGCCCTGTGTGTGGGGCGACGAGAGTGCCGAGGTCGAGGGAGACGGAAAGTTGGTAGACGGCGTTGCCGATGTACGACGGTGGGAGATTCAGGTGGCGGCGCGCGTCAGAGGGCATGAAGAGGTTGGTCTTCGTGGAGGCGGGGAGGTTCCGTGCTTCGGTTGAGCGTTGGCTGCGGATCAGGATGAGACTACGCCATATCAAGGCGCATATTGCATCGTGTGTCGAAATCGGCGGTGCACCCGGCTGTGTTGCGTCTGCTTTGAGCTGCGCGACACGAGTTGCGGGGATGTAGAACAGTACATGCACCTCCGGCGACGTGGCCTCGAAAGGATGGCTTGGTGGTTGCTTGGGCGCGTCGGCCATATATCCTGGATGATCTTCTAACCTGAACGGGATCTCACTCGTTATGCCACGCAGGAGGCTTCGCTCCAACCCCAGCTGTGTCGAGGTGGCCGCCTGTGCGAGGACGACGTCCCTAGCACGCTGTTCTTGTGCGAGCTTCGTAGCCTCACTCAGCACGCGCATCAGCTCGTTGTTCCCGCTGCCGTCGGCCACACAATGTGACATGGCCCACGTGAGGATGGAACCACCCTCGATTGTGCTGAACTGGATCTTGCAAGCCGCGAACGGCTGGTCATTACCGATGTCCTGAGGCACAGGCACAAGCAAGTCATAGGGGAGTCGGTCCACCGCAAACTCTGAGGCTTTGAGCTCTTCAAAAGAAGGCAGTGCGTTGCTCAGGTCTCTTACGACCAGTTCGATGCCACGGTCGGGGCGGATCGTGCGCCAGCCTGGACTGGAGTTGGTGGTATTGACCTCTTCAGGTTGCAGGGGAGTGACGATGCCGCCCAAGATGGCACACTGCGAGCCTAGAGCCTTTAAGCCAACCTTTAACGCGGCCAGTTGTGCATCCCGCTGGACAAGGGAGGCACGGGGAAATATAAGAAGGCGACGGCTGTAGTGAACACTGGTCTGTCGTTAATATTTGAAGAGGGTTGGAAGGAGGATAGACCTACGGATGGAGAGCATCGAGGGCAGCCAGTTCGACATGGAATGGGGGGACTGGAATCAGGATATGGTCCGACATGACGACGAACGGCAAGATGAGGGAAGTGTTGAGAAGAGTGCACAGATGTTGACGGATGGTTGTAAAAGAAATAAGTCTAATTCTGAGGCTGAGGAGGAGGACAATGAGGGTGACGAGGCTGGTCTAAACCCGAGTGGGTTGCCAAGCTTCCCACTTTCTCTATTGACAAGTATTCGAGTGATGTACTCGGTACAGAGCACAACTCCTTCCCTCGCTCTCAGCACGTGCGGAAGCTACAGCTACATGTCCTCAGTATGTGCAATCCCCAGCCTCAGGCGTGCCGCATACAAGCGAGAAAGACAGATCCCGCAATGCCCCTGGCACCACGGGCATCTCTCACTGGCTCAAGACCTAGGTCAAGTCGCATTTAGGCTCTCAGGCCGCCGGAAATGCTCGCCCTAAAGGCTAGTGCTAAGAGATGAACCTAACCTGCCGTTCCGGAATTTCCCCAGAAAACTGAGAGCGAATCGCTGGCAAGCTCGTTTACAAGCCCTTGACGCCAAAGCAGTTGCAAACACTGGAGATCGCTCAGGCTGGTGAGGCCTCCCATCGGCGATTTGCGTCATGCTTCTCAGCCCTGTCGAGTTGTTATAAAACGACCTGCATTCCCATACTTACCTCGGGGGGGATTTGTTGATAAACAATGTAGAATGGACTACCTCTTTCAGCTGGGGAGCGCCCATCATGGTACCGAAATGCCAATATCGACGCGTGAACATTGAGCACAAGGCTCCGGCGCTCTCATCACCAGTATGTTCACTATACAACGACCCAGCCCCATTGGGTCTGACGAGCGACAATAAGAGATATGCTCCTAACAAGCGAACCCATCATCCCAAAGTCGTCACCGGCTGTGTCACCTGCAAGCGGCGTCATGTCAAGTGCGACGAGACGAAGCCCCATTGTCTGAGATGCAAGCGAGGCGGTCGTCAGTGTGACGGTTATGTCGCCCGTAGAGTATGGATTTTCGAACCCTCGGGAAACAGATCATCCGACACCCTGCCTGAATCTGCGCTCTTCCCTGAGTCGATATCGGCGGGAGAAGGCCCAGATCACGAGCGCTGGGCTTTTCAGTACTTCTGTGAAGTGACCACGCCCGCCATGGCGGCATGGACGTTCGCAAGCAGTGCTCGGGACTTTTGGTTCCGTCACGTTCGACAATGCGTAACATCGATCCCGGGGGCTCGTCACCTTGCAGTTGCCCTCGCCGGGAGATACAAGAGTACATCGGACTTGACTTCAGACAAGCCCGCCTTTGCATCCGGACAGTATCTGCAAGCGTTGTCCTGGCTCAATCGAGAAAGGGACGTGATTGGTGTGGACACGGTGCTCCTGTGTTGTGTCTTGATTGCTGTTTATGAGCATTTGGATCCACATCTCAGGCGTCATGCGGGCTTGTCACATCTCGCTGCGGCATTTCGCATCATGAATGACCCTCATACCAAGTGGAGTTTGGCCACCAGAGCGATCTACTCCATCGCTTTGCAGGTGGAAACGGTGGTGTCCATTTTCAGAAATCCCATCTTTCTTCCTGATGCGGAGCCCGCCATTTCCTTGGACGAGAATATACCACATCTCCCGGACAGCTTCCACGACAAGGTCCAGATGCAACAGAAGTTCTTTGAAATCTTCCGCTGGCGGTTCTCATACGCACTCTGCCACAGGGAATGGACCGGTCGCTGTTCGGGTTTCCACCAGCTCCATACTTTGTTGCGCACATGGTACGGGCTGGTGCGCAACTATATCAGAGGGATTAATGGCCAGAAACCGACAAGTGAGGAGCTCCGGCTCGCCAAGATCATGTCCGTGCAGTTTCGGATGCTATATGCTGCTCTCTGGTACTCGATCAGTGACGAAACCACGCAGTATCAACATCCTGGTCATGCCAACATGGTTGACTTGTCAAGTATTGACAAGGTCACGGTTTTTGTTCCCGTTAAGGTTGACCCCCAGTACGACTGTCGGGATTTACAATTAGAGTCTGGTACCCGTCACACTCCAGTCGGGATCTGGCCTGATATTGAAATGGTTATCTCACCAGGCCAATCTCGTTACGTGCAGTTCACATCGTATGCTGCTGGGTGTGGCCCCGGCGAGGATGTGCATGGATAACCAACAAGCATCATCCTTTCTGGAGCAAACAACCTTGACACATTACCAGCATGAATTTCAGAAAGCAGTGTTCCAGGACGACTAGCCATCTACTGGTAACTGATACTGGTAACAAAGAACCATCAACCACAGTCCATTGTTGGGTGTTTGGTTCTGGACGACATCCTAGGCGAAGCTGGATACACCATTGACGTTTTGACCCGGTCTCTTTGATGGCAGCTTGTCCATCCAGCGGAACGACATGGCGTCTTGTCTGATGACATCTGAAGTTGTGCTACGAAGAAGACCGGATGATTTCACCAGGAGGACGCTTTCGTCTCGGTGGGTTGGCCTTCCTTGTGTCTCAGGATATCACTGGTGAGGAAGGAGTCTCTCTTCTGCGTTTTCTTCAACTCAGTCACGCTATCTGTCCAAGTTACTAGGGAAGGCACAGTCAGTGAAGGGCCCTCAACAAAGCGAAGGAAAAGCATCCTGTTATTTACCAGGTTTGCCTTGGCGTCCGCCATACTTCGCACATCCTCGCGATAAATGGAACTGCCTCTAAATATTTATCGTTGCTTTCGCTGCTTTCAGCATGTAAGGCGAAGCTGCGACCATTTTCATCCTCTCCCACCCATCCACCCTCATCACATCTGTGGATTCACACGTTCCCGAACGTTGACGCTCTGCTCTGTCTACCTACCTTCCAACTCCGTCGACGGCGTGTCAGGATCATGGGGATAAGGGAGATCAGTACGAGAGAAGCCCACCACCTCTTTGGGCAAGTCATGGGTATTAACGTCTCATCGCAGAGTGAATCTCCTCCGTCTTTCTCTGTCAACGTCAACATCCACATCAAACGCCGTTCCCCGGCCGCTCAAACCCCGACAACTCTCCATTAGGGACCAAGCACAGATCTATGTCGACAACATGTCAAGCACCACTGCAACATTGCCAGACGACGCCTTTCGGTCCTACGTCTTGGACTTCCTGCGACATGTCCCTGCAGCGGCCATCGGTACTTCAGACACGGCGCGCTCCGAGCTCGAGGCCCTTGCCAGCGAGTTCTACGAGACAAGCCAAGACATCAACATGCAGGAACTTCTCCTGGCTCTCCACGCCCGCTACGACTTAGTGGGTCTGGGCTTCTTTGAGAAGTCGGCGCTCAACGAAATTCTCGGAAGTGTCAGTAACGCCCGTGGCAAGGGTGGTACTGGATGTGGGAGCGGGTGCGGCAAGGCTGGCACCACGGGTCCAACAACTCCGCCGCCAACCGAGACAGCCCGTCCACAAATGCCGATTGCTCCTGATGGGGTACCTGGAGACCTTTTCGGAATCTCATCACAATTCTCAACCGACGTCCTGACGCCGACGGAGCTGGACCCTAGAGATCTGGACCCTGCGGAACAGGAGCGTGATGGGCCTGGGGAGGATTTTGACGTGTGTTGGAAGACGGAGTTTATCATGACAGCAGATGGGCCGGTCTTAGTGCACAAGCAGTCGCACCACCAGAGAGGTACTGGGAAATGAGGTATTCACGGCGGGTATGTGGTATTCCGCCCAAGTCAGCTGCTGTGCCGAGTTACCTGGTTGGATGAACAGGGGTGAATGTGAGTGCAAAGGCGGGAGACTTGCTTTCTCTTTTGTGAGACATAAAGAACTGTACCTCAGGAGAAAGAAGGCAGCAACAGAGAACAGAGAACAGAAAAGGCTTCTCAACCCTCCAGCCGCTCATGCTCGTGCCTGTGCTGCAGAGCCTTTATCAAACATAGTGGTCGCAGTGCGTCAGACTTTTCGAGTCTTTCGATTCCTTTGGTAGGTAATCTCACAGTATACCTGCACCCTCCGAGGTATCCCATCAATTGGGCCAGTCTATCCGTCAGTCGTTCGTTCGTTCGTTCATCAATCCGTTACCCCGTCGATTGTGAATGCCCATTTTGAATCCTTCATCCTCCTCCTTCTCCTTCGTGTCTCTCCACGAAAGACCAGCACGGTGAAAAACAGGACTCAATTCCACTCATCGGCAATGACATTCTTGGCCAACTCGATATTGCCCGAGTAATCAATGGCCACATCCACGAGACTGACGCCCTTGTAGGCGAGGGCCTCGGCCAGGACGCTCTCGAGCTGGTCGGCGCGGTCGACGCGGAACCCGCGGGCGCCGAAGCTGTCGGCGAAGCGCACGAAGTCGACGCCGCCGAGCCGCACGCCGCTGGCGCGGCCGTACTTGAGCACCTCCTGGAACTCGACCATGTTGTAGGCGTGGTCGTTCCAGACGACGTGCGTGATGTCGCAGCCGCGCTGCACGGCGGTCGACATCTCCTGCGACGAGAACATGAAGCCGCCGTCGCCCGAAACCGAGATGACCTTCTCCGCGCACGGCACGGGGGTTTGCGTCAGGGACGCGGCGATCGCCCACGGCAGCGCCACGCCGAGGGTTTGTTGGCCGTCGGAACTGGAGAGAGACGGCAAGAATCAGGCTGGGAAGGGGAAGGGGCAGGGAAAGGGGAAGGGGACCTTACCACAGCAGCCGGCGCGGCTCGTAGGCGAAGAAGTACCGCATGAAGTAGATGTACCTGCATCAGGAAAACAGAGGCCGTTAGAGGGAGTATTGGACCATAACTATGGGATGGGTGGCTTTTGTCTCCCGCCTCCTCCTGCCCACGCTGGCCTGCGGGAGACACACTGAAAAGACAAAAGCAGCACAAAAAAACAAACGAAGAAAAAAGACAGACTTACACCGAGCCAACGTCCACACACACGGTGGTATCCTTGGACACCATCCGCTGCAAGGTGGTGATGAAATGGAGCGGATGGACCAGCCCGGCCGGGTTCGCGTCGCCCTTCACTTCAGGCCGGTCTTGCCAGAGGGTATACTCCTTGATGAGGCCCTGGCACAGGTCGGAGATGGTGGGTTCGGAGATGCGGGCGACGTGGTCGGCGATGTAGGTGATGTTCTCGACGACGCTGCCCAGCAGCTCGGCCACCGGGTGGTAGTAAGTGCCGTAGTCGGCGGCGGTGAAGTCGACGTGCACGATGCGCTGGGCGCCGTGCGGGTTCCACAGGTTGGCGTCGTACTCGACCGGGTCGTAGCCCACTGCCAGCACCAGGTCCGACCGCGACAGCAGCTTGTCGCCCACCTGGTTCCGGAACAGGCCCACGCGGCCGTAGAACAGGTGCACCAGCTCCTTGGGCACGGCGCCGGCGGCCTGAAAGGTCTCGACCGTCGGCAGGGGGAATTTGGACAGCAGCCGTCGCACCGCGCTCACCACGCGGGGACTGCTCGCCCGCATGCCCAGGAACAGCACGGGCAGCTTGGCGGCCTCGATCATCTGCACCACCTGGTCGAGCGTCTTCTGCGGGGCGGGCCCGTAGAGCGGGGGCACGAAGGCGGCGCTGGGGAAGGGCAGGATGGCGGAGGTGCCCTTGGCGACGTCCTGCGGAATGGAGATGACGGTGGCGCCCTTGGGCGAGGCGCTGGCGGTGCGGAAGGCGTGGAGGACGACCTCGGCGGCCTGGTCCTCGACGTCGATGCCCACGGCGACCTTGGCGGTCGGGCCCAGAATGTCCAGGGCGCGCATGCTCTGGTGGGTGCGCTTGAGGTTCATGTGGCGCGGCACCGAGCCGACCAGGGCTACGACGGGGTCGTTCTCCGTGGTGGCGGTGACGAGGCCCGTGGCGAGGTTCGACGCCCCGGGCCCGCTGGTGCCGATGCACACGCCGGGGATGCCGGTGATGCGGCCCACGGCGGCGGCCATGAAGGCGGCGTTCTGCTCGTGGCGGGCGACGATGAGTGTGATCTCCGGGTGGTCCATCAGGCAGTCGAAGATGGCGTCGATTTTGGCGCCGGGCACGCCGAACACGTAGCGGACGCCGGCATTGTACAGGCTGTTGACGATGATCTGGGCCACCGTGTCGTTTGGGGGGGTACTCATGATGTTTGGGGCTGTGAGTGAGGCCTTGAGGAGGAGGAGGAGGAAGTAGGAGGGGGATGTAGAGGGGACGAGGAGTATTGCTCAATGTTCAGAGAATAGATATAGATATAGATACTGACCGACTCATAGAGACACCCCAGTATCTTTCTCGGATCGTCCTCTTCTCTCTTTTTCTTTTCTTTTTCTTTTTGTATCCCACGAAGAGCGGACACAAGTGACAACGGCCTCATACACTCAATCAATAAATAGGTTGATATGTTGGTTGGTGGCAATGAATCGATCGATTGGCGTGGATGAAGATGATGTAATCGACATCCGGTTATTCCAACCACGTCCTTTACATATTCCAATTCAGGTCGAGCGAGCAACCTTTTTTTCTCCTCTTCCTCCTCCTTCCGGACAAGACGAGAGACGGACGGGAAGAAAGAAAGACACCTGAAGTGAGAAACAACACACAGGAAACGCTCAAGCACCAAGTACCAAGTCATATCTATATCCGCCCATCAACATCATCAGCATCTGGACTGTGAGAAGATTGCAACCTGTCAAGTAGAAGGAAATGGCCGTCAACGAGATCTACCAATACTCGCTGGTCAAGTAAGTGAGTTAGCTGTGTTTTATCTGTCCCTCTTATGAAATATCTCATTACTCCTCCTCCTCCTCCTTCTTACCACCCCTCCTACGACTCCTGTTACTCCCCACTGTTGTAATAGATAAACACTAACACCAAACCCTCCTCCCCCCTTCCCACCCATGCAGTGCCCTCATGTCCGGCGTCTCGGACAGCGGCATCACCGTGTCCCAACTGCTGCAAAAGGGGAACCAGGGCCTGGGCACCTTCGTGCGCATGGACGGCGAGCTGCTGCTGCTAGACGGCGCCGTGTACCAGCTGCAGGCCGAGGGCCGGGTGCGCGTGGCCGACGCGCACGACCAGATCCCCTACGCGGCCGCCACGCACTTCCGCTCGCAGCAGACGGTCGCGGTCGCGCTGGAGACCAAGGACGCGGTCGACGCCGTGCTGGAGCGGTTCAACGACCACGCGAGCAACCTGTTCATGGCGTACCGCGTCGAGGGCCTGTTTCGGCGCCTCAAGTGTCGCACCGTCAAGGGACAGGAGTACGACGGGCAGCCGCTGAGCGAGCTGGGCAAGAACCAGTTCGTGGCCGAGTATCGCGACGTCGAGGGCACCATCGTGGGATTCCGCTCGCCGGCCGCGTGGCAGGGCTTCTTCGTGGCCGGCGAGCATATGCACTTCATTGACAAGGACCGGAAGATCGGGGGCCACGTGCTGGAACTCCAGGCCGACAAGGTCAACATGGGCATCGCCACGGTGAACAACGTCCACATTGAACTGCCCACCTCCGACAAGTTCAACGCGGCCGTCATGTCGACCGACGATATGGGATTGAAGTCGGTGGAAGGGTAGCGACCCGACGGGACTAAGCGAGGCATTGTAGTGATAAAGCATGTTACATATCTCTGTGGTTCCCGAACGAACGATGAGCCGCAAAGCTCTCTCAACCGGCCACTCCCCCATATGAAACCCTTCAAGAACAACAAGTAAAGACCGCCTCCAGACCACAGCAACACGCCCATCGTCGAGCAGTGCGGTCTGCCATGGTTCGCCTTAGACACTCCACAACATGTCTGCCTCCGTCACAGAGCCAAATGCCTTTTGAATGGCTTCTTTGGTGTCCCCAATCAGCTTGCGTTCACTCTCACTCCATGCCTCGAGCTTCCCCATTCGTCTGCCCTTGACAATACGATCGGCCGCGCCCAAAATCTCACTGCAGAAACAGATGCAGTGGATCCCCTTTTCCGCCTCCTTGTCGGAATGCATCTTGTCCGAAATCTGTGAGACCACGTTGAGACATCGCTCAAACAGGGCAAAGAGGTTCACCCGCGCCATGGGAAGGAGTCCGGTGGTGCCCGTGCTGATTAAACGGTGTGCGGCAAAGGCAATCGGCAACAGCTTGGAATTGTGGCCGGCTGCGTCAATGATGTCCAGGTCGGTCTTGCACATTCCATTGGTCGCTCGGTTGTCATGGTCATCTTGCAGGGCCCGGAGAAGAGGAAAATCAAGCACCTTCATCTGAGCGTCGCTGACGTGGTATTTCTGGTGCTTGTAGCGGAACAACACGCAGCCGGACATGTGTTTGTGGTGGTGCGTGGGAATATCGAACCCGGCTGCAGCCTTCGCCGCGTGAGGCGGAATCGCCAAACACCAGTTGTCGTGCCGGTTCTTGTGGCCCTGGTCAAATTTCAACCTGGCACCCACGTGCCTCGCCCAGCAAGCGCGAAAATTCGACTTGGGCGCCTTGTTGCCGGGAAACATGATGTCGCAAACTTGAATGCAGAGATTCTTCAGAATCGGGATTTCCTCCAGCCCGCCCAGGTGCCTGAGAACGTTGTAACAATGCAGCACCGCGCCGATGTAATGTCGATACCTGAGCAGGTGTGTCCCGTAGTAGTGGAATAGATCGACCATCTCGAGGGCATGGTTGCCCGCGACCCATGGTGATTGGAAAAGGAGGTCCCAGCAATTGAAGCTGGCATATCGATGCAGCTCGGTCTCCAGATCATGGAGGTGACAGGCAAGAGTGTGAGGGCATCTGCAGGGAAAAGCGGATTTGTTCTTCAGGATGGTGGTGATATGAAAGCGAGCTTGGTGTGCAAGCCTCAAGGAGACGACACGACTTTGTGAAAGCATTTGTGGCCGTGGGAGGCATCGAACATAGCTTTTCGTGCTTTGGATCATCAGATCCAATCCCAGGACGGCCGACCAAGACTGTGCATTATTCTTCTGATTCGAAATGGTGCAGCACACATCCCAATAGACTGGCGTCCCGCTCTTGATCACCTCGCTTTCTGTTGGTCTGGTGCCCAAAAAGTAGACAAGCTTCTCGATCATGGCTGGCGAGAGGTTCCGGCTCCCTTTATCGTCCACGATGAACCGCCACTGGGATTCTTGGGCCTCTTTGTGACCACACTTGGCGCAGGATATCGTGGGCACAATTAATTTCCCGTTTGAAGCATCTGATAGGCTTTGCTCAATGTGCTGCAGTCGGTCCAGCAGGGCTTGAGTGGTGCGGGTGGTCGCTTCAGTTCCGTCTTCGCTTTGACCAGCTGCACGCTTGGAAGAACACATCTGACGGAGGTCGGCCAAGCTAAAGTCTTCGTTGTGTCGGAGCAACCCGTCCACGACCTGGCGCTGCAGTGCCAAAGCAAAATTGGTGATGAAAGATGCAACTATCGGCGAGAGCGTACCCTCCCCAGCAAGGCGCCAATATTGTTCGACAGACCACGAGATATCGTAGATTTGCTAGTATTGTTAACAAGAGGTTCGTGCAATTCACGGGTGCCCTACCTGTGCGGCAGCTGCCAGTTCCATGGCGTTACCCAGGTCGTCGTCGGCAAGACAGATATCGAGATCCTGGTTCTCCCCTGCCGAGGATGGCGGTGAGATTGGCTGGGACTGCCTTGAAGACCCTTTCCCCTTGGGGCTTGGTCCGTCATCATCTTCGACTTCTTCGACTGCCAGGCCCTCGTAAAGATTGACCGGACGAGGTGATGGGCCGATAGACGACGTCGAAGTCGATTTACTTCGGGCTGGGCTCCGAGGCTTGTGATCACCACAACACGCACACAGATCATTGTAGATCTTGGTGAGACTGCAGATCAAGTCAGCATTCAGGTCGATACATCAGCAAGACAAGACTTGCGTCTCAGTGAAGTGTTCGTGATTGATTGTCTCGACATCGTCGGCGGATTCAGCCACCTGGGCGCGGTAGTATTTGCTGAATTTCTTGCGCTCTGAAATGGTTTCGCGGAAGTAAAAGTGCACCACGTCGGGCAGAGCACGTATTTTCTTGGACGCCGCGCGAGCCAGAGTCTCCAGGTCCCTGATGGTCAAGCTCTTGACGGGCTTGTCGGGCATTGGGCTGTACTGAAGGAACCAGGTCAGAAGAGCACGCGTGCTTTTCTTGTACCGTACATAGGCGTCGAGCAGGTCTGGGGGCAGGCCGCTGAAGCTGAGTTTGTGAGAGGCGTTGAGCAGCATTTCGAGAGCTGCCCCAGAAACAAAGAATACCAAGAGAAGATGAGTATAGCAAGGTCAAGGCGAGACAATCGCAGGTTCAATCTTGAAGTCGGAAAAGCACGATGCAAGTCGTGGAGTTCTTTCCCAGCAATAGAGGGGAAGGTGAGACTGGCAACCTACCTCGACCTTCGGACGGGAAGGAGCAGGTGAGGGTGAACTTATCTCTCGGACACAGCAGTCCATGAGTATAGAAAAGGATCCATCAGTATCGTCATCGGCGTCTTGCGGCTCGTCGCATTGGATCCTGGACACGAACGTCGCACACACACCTGCGCGAAATGCCCCATCTCGGACTGAGGAATCGGGGTCCCATGCGGGCAAATGCTTCAGCATCATTGGTGCAAGGCATTCCCGCGAGGTACGGATGGTCTAGAGTCAATTGTTTTGTGTAGAGGCATTGGTTGAGTGACGAATAGAGAGAAGGATGAATTTTTGAGGACCTTAACGGGAATGTTGTAAGGCAATGCGACACGTGACCTGGGCTTGGATGAGGTGATCCGAGACGCCTCCCGAAGCATGATACGATGGATGGCAAGTTGAATTTGAATTGAAGCAGTATTGCTCCGGGAAAACAAACACTGTCATGTGGAATTGATGAGCATTATGAAACGATGGATGGATAGTTTCGAGAGCCTGCAGTCAACCACCACCGCGCCCAGACACTGGCGAAACATCTCAACCCTTGCATTCACGGGCCTCCATAGAACTCGTAGCCTCCGAAAACCTCCTCGTCGATCCGTGCGGGTACACTTTGCTTGCGCTTCGCCAGTTCCGTGATGGAACTGCTGTACTTGTGGTGGCAAGGTTGAGATAGGGCTCGGGCGCGCCCGACGTTCTTGGTTGGGGTTGTCTGGTGCTCGAACGGTATTCGACTGCGTAGGTCGGCAGTTGACTCCTCTGTCTTGGTGTTCTTGTCATCCACAACCTTGTGTTGTTCCAGTGGATTGCTCTGCGACTGTCGGCGCTCCAGGGGACACCTTCCCTGGTCCACCGTGGAGAGAGATCCGATGGAGAATAGCCTGGATTTTGGCGACACGGCGAATTGAGCTTTCAGATCGTCCTCCTCAATGTACATGGACCAGAGCACGTTACTATTCTTCCTGGCCCAGTCGCTCTGCTTGCGCTCAGAGGTCCCGCCTTGGTGCTTGGGGGCCTCGGATGGCAATGAACTGGCTCTCTTAGCCATCAATTGTTGCCAGATTCTGGCCAAGAGGAAGAGCATACTGCTGAGCAGAAGCGTTGAGATGACCGAGAGGATGATGATCGCCACGACGAGGGAGTCCGAGGTGAGGGCGCGAGAGACAAGCTGTCGAGATGAAGTGCTGAAGGGATTGATGTCGGCAATTGCGCCGATAGAAGGAACCGGCGCCATGGAAATAGCTAATGAATGCACGTCTGCGACACGATTGTGGAAAGAGTGTCTTGCCGCGATAGAGGTGGCAGCAACGGATACGAACACGTGGAAGACGAAAGGAGTGTTGGAATAAAAAGTAAAGAGTGAAAGTAGTGATTGAAATCGAACTTGCCTGTGGCGAAGAGCACCATATAAAGCAATGATTCCTTGTAACGCATCCCACAGCCATGGTCCGCAGGAGAGCCCCTTGGGCATTGCATTCCATCAGACCGCGACCTCGGTGGCGGGGAACAGTGTTCTTCTCCCACCTTCCCCAAGGCATGCACACGGGGACCTAGGACCTGGGACCTGGATCAGCCATGGTCCGAGCACGCATGTTCGGACAAATAGCTTCCTGATTTCCGTGGTGGGCTCGACCTGAATCAACCTTTTCGGTCAAGACTGAGCTCGACCAACCTCTCCAACAACCTTGAGTCTTGTCCTCGTGGTGTAGGACACCAGAGTCTAGAAGGTTACCTGTGTTGCAGCATAGGGTGATCCAGGAGACCGTCGATGGTAACATTACCCTCGGTGGCTGGTGAACGTGTCAGGGCCAAGTATTGCAGATCCAAGTCATTAATGGGGGAGACCGGGGTGGGCGGCTGCGGAGCAGCTATGATGGGTATCTCCTCAGGCGGCCGTCTCGTGGCCTGATTCGGCTGACGGACATAGTCGATTGGGTTGTAAGGTTTTATGAACGGTTGTTCGTGAACGCGCGGGGGTTGCGGACCTGACCACGGCTCAGAACGTGTGGGTGGCTGATAGGCGTAGCGAGTGTACGGTGGAGGAGGATCGAGGTGGTCCGGTGGGAGGGCAATGGCAACATTGACACTTGCCCTTTTATATTGAAAGCTCGAGTTATGAGCATCAAGTCCGGGCCATTCTTTTTGCGCTATCTCAGCCGACCTGCTGCGGTGCGTGCGAGGTGTAGGATTTCTGAGATTGCGGATACTCAATACTGCCGGAGGCTCGATAGCTGGGGGAGATGTCGTTCGTGGACGTGGAGGAGGTCCAGGCAGAGGTCGATCCAAGTAGTAGCCACTGACATGCCGAACCTCGACTCTTTCGACAGGCCGAAATGCCACCGGAACATTTTCCCAACCGGTTTGGTCGAACTGAGAGGGCGTAGAGCCCGTCAGCACCATGCTGGAGCGAGACTGCCGCAGCTTTGACCGGACTTGACTGAAGACATTGTTATTGTTTGGTGGATTCATCATGACAGGTCGAGTATGAAAGACACGTCGAGACCAGGACCATCAACTTATCAGGCTGACGGAAAGAGTGAGAGAAAATCACAAGGACGATATCAACCTTTCAAGTTCCTCCTGGCGGCATCCGCGGATCCTCGGGGCAAATCATCTAAGGAGTGACGACGAAAAAACAAATGGCACCCAACCAGGCCGCTGGTCGAAGGGTACAGATGGACGTTTGGCTTGCCGTGGAGGGCATGGTGAAGGGCGACACAAAGAGTTTATTCGTTTTGCTGGGTTGAATCGTGATGGAGACCAGGCACGACAGGGCCGCAAAAATGGCAAATTTCGACGACCATCATCCGTTTCGTAATCGGTGAACCTACAAACCGTCAGACTGACACCAGGAAGCCGCACCAACACCGGGTTCGTCCATTGATAGTAAACCGTGCGGGCAGCAACTGTCGGTAAGCGGTAAGCGTCAGAATAATCATAGCAGAAGGGGCCAGCATGTCGCGGGCGCAGCGAAGAATAGCAACCGTAGCAGCCAGAGGCAGGCTAAAGGGAAGCGAAGTTTCTGTTGGCTGTGCAGCAATGCTATTTCGACTCCCAATCCCATCAACTCACGATATCTCAATAGCCCAGCTTCGCAGCGAACATTCAGTGGATGTCCGGGAAGGAAGATTGTCCCGCGTCGATCGTGACCATGGATGGGAGGCTCTGCGCGGTCCGATGTTCCTTCTGATCCGGTTGTAATGGAAGGAAAACGAAACGCATCCTCTGAACAAAGCCGTTGCAAAAATTGCCTCCAACAAGTTTAGAGCTGACAAGCTGGGGGCGGAGTCGGGAGTAAGCCTCTCACGCCTTCTTTGACATGGCCATCCGCCCAGACAGACTAGCCCCCAACCCTGAAGATCGAAATGGCGATTTTTTGGGGCCTAAACTGGCGAGCGTCTCAGGCCGGTGGGCGCTGGGAGCTGGGAGCCTCAATGGGATCATGCCTGGTGAGCCTCAGGCGATTCCGGAGGACAGTGGAACGCTCCATCTGGCGCCCCGTGCGAAAGAAAGAAGAACACCACACCTTCCGAGACCGTACACATATTGTTAACCTGTTTTCTCCCACCCGATGTTGATGAAGTCCGATATTGTGGTTTGGGGCTCGTGTCGGACTCCCAGGGTTACATTTGTCACCCATCAAAATGTCGAATCTCTCCCATCACGGAAACGTGCTTGCAGGGTGAGGCGACTGAAACAGGGACAGTACCGGTCATATAGTACTCGGTACGGAGTATTTGGCCAAGACAAGAGGTTGGGCGAGATTCGCTGTCCTCTAGGCAGAATTTTCCCCACAGATTCGAACACAGATGTTATCATCACCTCCTTCTGGGGAGAAAATGGCCAGCATCATGAGGTTGCCACGTGGGAACCGACCACGGACTCACGATCCAGACGAGATTGCTGTTGCTAATCTCGCACCGGGCATCACTCACAAGCCCGGACCATGGGTGTCCAATCTTCCCTCCCCAATCGAACAGCAGTGGTGCGATTGTGCTAGAGTGATGCCAAGACCTCTAACAATATGATGTTTCATCTCTGTAGGAACAAATGTACGAGATGAGGATGATGAGGACGGTGTGGCGTCTGGCCATGTGCTAATTTGAGCCACATGCAATCTCCCAATCTCCCATCCATATGTTCGTACCCGCCGCCTCCCCTTCTTCCCCCCTGATTTTCGGTCCTCACACAAAGTTCACGGTTCTGGTTACAGCGAAGAGCAGAAATGTCCGGACCGGGGGGGGGACACGATCGACGAGAAACGAAGGGCAAATCCCGAAGGCGAGTTCCGGTAAACAGGTATTACGCAATGCTAGCTACAGTGATCAAACCAGCATCTCCTTGACGCGTCCAAAGATAATAAGCCAAAGAAGGGACCATCTTCAATCATGCAACTAACTACCCCATGCACACTTGCAACTAATTACAGAAACACGCGCTGCTCTCCTTCGCATAGACCGACCTCCCCAGACATGCTGCTTTGTTCCTTGGTATCAAGCAGGACTTCTGTGCTGTTCCTGCAAATGCAATGGCCATGTGGATCGTAACAGAAAAATGTTCAAAAGCCCTTCGTAAACAGATGACCATCCCGCTTATGCCATCACCAAAACGGCGGCAGCGGCGAGACCGGCAAGGGCGAAAGAACCAGTGTTGGCATTGGCAGCACCAGTGAAGGTGGCGACGGCCGGGGCGACAGGGGAGCTGTTCTCATTGTTAGCATTTCTCGTTTGATATCGATTCCCAGAAAAGAACTTACCCAGAGTACGACCAGACGCCAGTTGAGGCAGCAGCCACGGGAGAAGACCAAGCACCAGTGCCAGTGGAGGCGGCGGCGACGGAAGTCCAGGTGCCGCTGGGCGAGCCAGGGCCCCAGGTAGCAGAGTTGGTGGCAGCGACGGGAGTGGCAGTGGTCTTAAGAGAGCCAGTGCTGTAGGTCCAGTAGCACCAGTCCGAGGGGGGAGCACCCGTCCATTGGGCTTGGATGGAGCTGAGCTGGTCAGTGGGCAGGAGAGAGAACCAGGCCGGGGGAGTGGTGGCGGTGTATGAGCCGCAAGGAGCCGTGGTAGCAGAGACAGGAGTCACCGGGGTCGTGGTGCTGGCGCTGGACCAGTCGGCCCAGGTTCCAGACGGATCCCACGCACCAGTCGCAGAGACGGGCTTGCTGCTGGTGCTGCTCACGCTGGACCAGTCGGCCCAGGTTCCAGATGGGTCCCAAGCACCGGTCGCGGAGACAGGCTTGCTGGAGGTGGTCGAGGCGGTGACGCTCCAGTCGCCCCAGGTCGGGTCACCGGAGCCGCCCTTGTAGGGGCAGTTGGTGACGGTGGGCTCGCAGGAGGTGATGGTCACAGCGACAGTGTCGGTGATGGTGGTGGTTCCGGCAGATGCAACGGCAGCGAGGCCGGCAGCGACGGCGATGGAGGAACGCATTTTCGGTTGGTTTGGATGGGTATCGAATTACCGGAATCGAAAAAAAAAATAGAACTTCGAAGCGAAGGACGTCGGTGTGGTGCTTTGAACGAGCGTGGGTGAGCTGAACTCGAAAGAATGGACGACCGAAGTCAAAGGGCTTTGCGGGATACTGAAGTCACAGCTTGAGTATAGGAAAGGAAAGAAGACGAGACGGTCTTGGGCGTCCTGAGCTTCTTGTACTGCTGTCGCTAGCCAGGGAGATTGGAGCCCGGCGTGTCAAGCCATGTACCGATTGAGGCTAATTCGCAGTATTCCCAGTGCAATTTCCCCAGCGCCGCCCATCAGACACCATGTCTGGCCACTACCGCGAATCCGATGGACCCATGGTGGACAACGGCGAGGTCACAACCACCCAACAGGGGAGGTGTCAGGGGGGCACACCAGTCAGGAGAAAGGAGAGTTTCGCTTCAAACTCGAATGGCTTCCCACAGGCTCAAATTAAGGCTTCGGGGGCTTGTGCAGGTACCGGGGCGCTCAGCCAGTGGGACGCGCCTAGGCCAGCCACGGAGGATCTGGGGCGTCGCTAGAAGCTTGTCCAAGATCCCAATGTAGCATGGTCCACCACCGTGGAGTGGATGAACTTCCATCGCTTGGGTATCACGGGCGGTAGCTGGTGCCAGAGTTCCCAGAACAACGTGAGAAAAGGAGCCAGGTGCCCAGCATCCAAAATTGGTGTGAGGCTGTTCACCCGAGATGCCAGTGACGCGTTGGCGCTGCTGAGCTGATGGACGCGATGGTGCAATATTAATTTTTTTGGTGTTTGTTTCACCGTGGCTCTCCATTATTCAGGGGTTTGGATGTCCCCATTGGATCCATGGTGAGCCTCGATGCTTCTAGCTGAGGATTGGGCTGACGGTCGTAGTTCCACTCGTTCTTTACTGCCACATACTGTATCTGTATCTCGTACGGAGTATACCTATGGGCGAGGCGCATGGTTATACTCAGTAGAGGTCGGGCGTTGACACAGTAAAAGTGCATGAATTCCCCCGGTGCTTGAGTGACCCTCTTTCGTCCCCAGCGTGTCATGGTGCTTTTTTGGTGATCGTGTACGAGGACTTCGTATTCAATCTCTGGCCTGCTCACCCAATGTGCGCATCCAATTTCTCTTGCTTGTTCGGAGCCCCGCGAAGGATCGCCAATTGACAATATACAGATATTATATGACCAATATCCAGAAACCCTCTTTAACGAAGGGCTGAATCACAAGTTTTTTTTCTATTTTATTTCCTTCCTCCGAAATGAGATTGGCTGCCACTGACGTTGTCGAGGTCACGCACGACATGCATTGCGGGTTGGACGTCCGGGAATCGATGATGGGGGTGATGGATGAGTAGAGGATAGATGCTGCGGGCATGGGATGGGCAAATTTGACGCTCACCGTCGGTTGAAGTCTCTCTCTCTCTCTCTCTGTCTGTCTGTCTTCCTCTGTCTCTCTCTCCCCACACACACACTCGGGCTTCGTAAGATCTCGACGGCAAATCAAACTCAAATCCTGTTGTTTTGGTTATTTGGTTATTGTCGGTCATGATGCCATATATTGGATGCATGTGATTGGACCGGAAACAGTGTCCATTTTCTACACCTTTAGTCATGCACTGTTTCTACGTCTTTCCCACTTTGCACCTTCACTTACACCCAACAACCTTGCGACGCGGTACGCGTTATTATGGTCTTTCATTGAGTCTCTGACTGTTGCATTCTGGCAAGACGTGGTCCTCGATGACCGGATGTCCATCCACGCCGTCTAGAGCAGCGAAAGAGGTTGGTTGACCAAGGTTGATGACGACGACGATGATGATGATGATGATGATGATGAGGATGAGGGGAACGCTGGCTTCCGGGATTTCTTATCCGTCTCACTCACACCACACGTCATGACAACTGCTACAGCTCTCCTCCTCTCTTTTGCCTTACCTTCATCTCTTCCTATAATATTGCCATTGCCACCCGGCCAGTGGAGTTCTTGGGACTTGGACCACGGACTTACCCAGCCTCGTCTTACCTGGTATTCGTCTCCGACCTCTCAGGCATCATTGACTACGTCACGACTTGAAAGAGCTCTGTTCATCGACCTTGGTCTGGGATATCCATTGGGACATTCGAGCACCGGCAATGCTTGTGTGGCGCACCATGACAGCTACATTTTCCCCGCCCCATTGTTCATGCTGCTGAAAAATGGGCTGAAGAAGTGTTCGACTGACACTTGCCGAGCCTCAAAGTCCACAGGTTTTTTCGTCCAAATGGATCTGACAGCCGGATGCTCTCGGTATGGACGGAATGTTGAGGTCATGCCGTTGGCGAAGGAGACTGGTCCATGAAAGCTATAATTCACGCAAAATCCCACTGACCTGTGATTGACGCTCGTCCCCGTCGCTTTATTCATACTCTTTGGCTACTGTGACAATGAAGTCCTTCGCGGGTGTACTCTTGGGCTTTGGTGCTCTAGCAGCGGCTGCTCCTGCTCCTGCTCCCCAACTCACTCTCACCCCTGCAAGCGCCCCCATCCCTCCCGTTCGAAGCAGTGAAGTGACCGGGGCGACTTCTCATGGCCCCTACAACGGTCCTAGTCCGACAGTGACGGGAGCCTTGAGCGCTCCTGCGGTTGCTGAGTCGATTGCTCCGGCTGGTCCAGCGCCGGTCACATATACCAACAATAATGGACTCCTCCAAGCTTCCAGCATGCCCGTTCCATACCAGCCAGCGGGCGGGCAGGGCACCAATGGAACCTTGCCATATTACCACCCGTTGTCTGACTTCGACTACGAGTCTTTGACTCTGGCCCTGTACCAAGAATGGATCGAGCTGGATCTTTTCCACAATGGGCTCGCTCGATTCTCCGTGCAAGATTTCAACGACGCCGGCTTGACTGCAGAGGATCGATTCTTGATCGAATTCATGGCGGACCAGGAGGTCGGTCACGCGACACTGCTCAGCAACATCCTGGGACCTGCGGTAAGTTGCTTGCATCTCGAGTACGGAATGTCGTGAGGTTGAGAAGCTGATATGTCTGGGAATCAAATCCAGGCTCCTCCCCAATGCACCTACAACTATCCGTACACCAACGTACGAGAGTTCATCGACTTTTGCCAGAAGCTGACACGTTTCGGTGAGAGTGGTGTCTATGGGTTCCTGGGTCACTTGGATTCCCGAGAGTCTGCCACGCTGCTGCTGGAGTCCATCACCACTGAAGCTCGCCAGCAATTGATTTTCCGGCAATTCGATGGTTTGTTCCCCATGCCTTTATGGTTCATCCCGGGTATTCCTCAATCGTGGGCTTGGACACTGCTGGCTCCATACATGTAAGTCGCTGCCTGTCTATGGACGGAGAAGCTTAAGTTCATTCCATATTAACCTTTCTCTCAGTTCGAGCTGCCCTGCAAACACGACTCGTTTAGCATGGCAAAATTTCCCGGCCCTCACCATTATCAACAACCCGAACCCGGCCAAGACGAACCCGAACATTGGTCCCATGTCCAACACGACTGGATCCAATCCATTGAACACTACCGGCATTGGTTCTGGCAACCTGTGCGCCAACGCCAAGGGCGAGTCTTCTGACTGTGGTCCGGCTATTAGCCAGAACAAGTCGATCCCGCTGTCCTATCCTGGGAGACCCATCCAATTCTCGTGGGGCAATGTGAACGAGACTGTTGGTCCTAACAACAGCTACATCACCGCACGATCGCCTCTTGCCGATGCACCTCGCTATGCCCTGTTCGTCTCCCAGCTCAACGCCACCTTCGTCCCCCTGGTCAATATTAGTGGCAACACTGGGGCAGTGGTCCAGCCCAACATGTCGACATTTGCTGGAGAGTAAGTTTTACCCCGTATAGCTTTTCGCGGCGCTTCTGCTGTGGAGCTCCAATTATTCTATGACCATCATCTAACGCAGTTGTTGCAGTCCGGCCGTCAATGCAACCATGTTCGTTGCTTTGACAAGTCAAAATCCCTACGTCACTCCATTCAATCTGTCAATGGTTAACCCGTAAGTCTTTGATATATTGTTCGACGGGAGGTCAAAGATCATGTAGCTAACCACATAACAGTTACGTTTATGCGGGTCCAGCTTTGTACCAAGCTGGATAAAATGCTATTACGTATTCATTTTGGGAGGATAAATTGATGAATTGACTAGTGGTAATGGTGTAACGGAAAGAACATGACAAGTTGAGACGGCAGAGTCAAGAAGTGAAGGATTGGTGTGAGAATAGGCAGATGAAGCTGTTTTCACCAGGAATACCTGTACAGCACCTGACTCCATCTGTACAAGAAAATATAATGGAATATAGGATTCTTTAATCTGCTTTCAAACCGTGTCATTGTCTTCGTTCTCGTGAATTAATACCCCCGGCGCAGACCTCTGAGTCCATGGCTGTTCAGTGACTACCATGCTCCCTCCCTCTCGCCGTGTTCGCAGCAAACCTAACTCGGTTTACTGGTAAGTCGCACACTGGACCTCTATTTCTTTTGGCTCAATCGGTCCCTGGTCATAAATCGTTATGTACGCACAAAGGTACGACGACAGCAACAACAACAATGAAAAAGAGCCCCTGACATCTCTCAAACTGGAGACTCCCAACCCACTCAGATCATATTGCCCTTGCGGACCCAGCTCCAGTCCCTCTCGAAGCGCGCCCACCCGCCGGCCTCGGGCTCCTCCATCATCTTCATCTCGTGCACCACCATGTCATAGGCGCCCTCGCGGGGCAGCTGGCCGGCGCAGACGTTGCCGCCCATGGCGACGTTGAGGAGGACGACGAAGTCGGCCATGGGCCGCGTGCCCTGGGGGATGGGGGCCTTCATGACGGCCTGGCCGTCGATCCACCAGAGGAGTCTCCCCTGTCGCGTTCCGGGGTCCTGCATCCAGGCGAACTCGAAGCGCACGGGGCGGCCGGTAGCCATGCCCGACACGGGGGTGGCCACGACGCGGTGCTTGTTGGTGTCCTGCGGCGTGTAGAACCCCCAGTGCAGGCACGAGTGGTTGACGCCGTCGCCGTTCCACGTCTCGGCAATGTCCACCTCGCCGTCGGTCGGCCAGGCGAACGGCTCGTACGGCAGCAGCCAGAACGCCGGCCAGATACCCGCCGCGCACGGCAGCGTCAGCGTCGCCACCAGGCTGCCCCGCGGGCGGGAGAGGCGCTGTCGCGACACCAGCCGCGCCGACGTGTACTTCTTCGCGGCGTCTGGGTGGTTGGGCGACGAGATGGCGCGCAGCACCAGCAGGTTGTTCGGAGTGCTGTTGTTTTTCAAGACCAAGGTCAGCAGTTGGTCATCTTAGATATTATTCCTGCCTGTGCAGATCTCGCAAGGGTGGGTGCAAGAAGCAGAGCCGGGTATATGGGAGACCGTGATGACACCAAGTCGAGTTCTGGTGTGTGCTTGATGTTTGGCTTGACTGAGACTGACTTACAAGAACGAATTCTCCCCTTCGGCCGTGTAATGCTCTACCTCATTGTTGCCCCATCCGTTGTTATTGCCCAGCTTGTGCTCCCACTCGGCGCTGACCGGTAGCCCTGGGTCGAGCCGGGCCTGCCAGTATGTCGTCGGTTGCTGTGGCGGGAATGGCTGCTGGCCCTGGCCCTGCTGCGGTGGATGGAATTGTGGTTGATATTGCTGTTGGTTGGGACGAGTGGCTTGAGGGATCGGCGGCGGTGGCTGCTGGTGCTGGTGCTGTGCGCCAGGATATTGTTGTTGAGGCGGTGGATAGTGCTGCTGCTGCTGCTGCTGGCCGCCACCGCCAGACAGAATCTTCTGCCCTTCCTGCTGGAGGTCCTTGATCTGTGCTTTGAAATGTGCGAGGGCGTCTTTGAAAGGCATGGCTATTTTGTTTGGCGGGGTTGGTTGTGTCGTGTATCTATGATTAATTTGAGTGATTTTATTTCCCCGCAGTCTTTTCTCTTATCAGATGGTGTTTTTGACTATCTTGGTCCTCCTTGGCTATGAGAAGCTGGAGGCACTGCGAAATGGATAAATGGATAGATCAATGGATGGATGGCCAGATGGTGCTTTCTTTTCCTTTTCTTTTTCCTGGGACTGTATGTAGCTGTGCGTTGGAATGACGTTGCTCGGCGTTGTTTTGGGACGACGGCATAATACCAGCCGATGCATCAACGCTTTATATATAATATACTCACACACAGAGCAGTCAGAAGACGTGTTTGTCAACTAAAACTGGAGCCCTTGTCAGGATGGCGTTCAGTGTCTTCAGTACGTTGACAATGTAGTTCGATAAGACTGAGAGCTTCTGTCCACAATGTCAGTCTCTACGTCTTGTCGATATGCCCGCGTTTACAGCCATCGCATAGTCCACGACGATGTGCCCGGGATGCTCCAGATGTCCAAAGAAAGAAACAGCGGGTATCAAGACCAAAACAGGATGAGAAGTCTCTCTATTTCAGTCACCGTTGGCGATAAAATGCACGCTCTCTCCAACTGTTGTTTGACCAAAAGCCCCAGTAAAGAAACATCACGTCAACACCTCCCGGCCGAGTGGCGGGTGAGCTTCCCGAGGGCGTCTTCTCTATTCAACCTGGCCGGCGTCCTCCTCTGCGGCCTGCTCCGCTCTCATCAGCCCTCAGCCCTCAGCGACCCATCACAGCCTCATCGGCCTCCCGCTGAATCCTGAACCCGGCCCCGAAGCTCCTTTGTAAGGCCGTCATCGTCATCGACAACGACGACACCTCCGGCGGCTTTCTCGGCCCCTTCCGTCCCCTCCACCTCCATCCCCCAGGCGGCCTTCTCTGACGCGCCCGCCTTCCCCTCTGTCTCGAGCCAAGGCTCGCGGAAGATGAGCGCTGTTAACTTTGATATGACACCCCTCTTACGGTCCTCCTTCTTCTGGAGCTTCTTGCATGCTTCGCACTTGTGTTTCACGCCCGTCTCGGCGTTAGATGTGAAGTCGGTGAAGGCTTTCGAGGAGGGCGTCGCCGTGTCTGAAAGGACAGTTGACAAGAACACTTCTGCTGAGTGCCGTGAATGGGTGACAGGTATAGGTGTGTGAGAGGAGAGACGTGAGGCTGGATTGGCAGGGGTGAAGTCTTGTTTGAACAGGCAGCGCGGGCTGATCGAGTAGGATGATGAATTCCAGGCCTTTGACGCGCCCTGGATGATAATTTGTCTGAGTCTGTCCTTGAGGGTGAGTCTACAAATATGAGACGAGTTGAAGGATGAGATGAATAAGTTCAGTGTCGTGCTCCGGTTTTCACTGTCGACAAACGCCCTTGGTGACCAGGTGTAGTAGAATCGTCCTTTGGCAGAGTCTGAGCAACTTTCGTGAATCTTAAGCGAGAAGAAGGCAAGAAGATGATTTTATACGTGGCAGGCCATTTAAAAGATTCGCTAGGTGTGTCCTGCCGAGCAGGGTGCCGAATGAAGGTCGACGACATCATCGCTTAGTCGTCAACCTGCTGGGAGGGTCACATTGGCGACAGTGAACCTCCTCGGCTGTCGGAGTCGGAGATATTTGATGGCCTTTTCAGCCTCTCCAAGTTCCGCAAGAACAGCCTCATATTGACACTGGAAAGCAAATTCAGGCCTGGCCTAAAGAGTGTGTCTGCTGCAGTGACAGGTCTTGGTTGTCCCTCAGCTAGACAGGACGTTGAGAGCAACATCCATGCCACAAAGACAGACAAACGTTGGACCACAGAGCTCCAGGAAGCCTCATATCAGAACGGCGAGAAAATGTTGAAGTCAACCATGGCCGATCAAGAAGATGCCCATGGTCACTGGAACGGGCCACGATACTGCCCAGGGTGCTGGATCTGGGGCGAAGTCCATGACCAAGAAGTCGAGATGGGGTGGGGATCCTCAAGCTCTGACGAGACCGGAGCCGGAGCCTCTTACTTGGAGGGGAGACGACATCAGCAACGCGTAAGTCGACACCTGAACGGACACGATATTGAAGCATGGAAAGGAAGGACGAGGCGGTTGAGGCGGTTGAGGTTGATATGCGGACAATTGTATCTCCGGTCCCGGGAAATGCGCCACAGCCACAGCGCCACAGCGCCACGTTCAGCCACCGTCCCAACCAACACCGAGCCTCATCATTCATTGTCCATCCCCAGACATCATCGTTCTCCATCATGATCAACCTCTTTGGGACACTCGGAGAGAGCTGACGCATCTTCTGTCCCCAGGTTTCTGACCTTGCGAGCTGCCAATCAGACGCTGATAGCAGCAATACCACGATGGCCGAAATCGAGAACCACTTCACAGTCTTCATCCGTCTCCCCTTCAACCGTGGTGACTTCGTCGATCCTCCCCGGGTGGCTTGGTCCGCCGCCAAAGAACGAGCACTGTGGGATGTCATGTCCCGGCAGTCCAAGAACAACGAGATCGACTGGAAGGCTCTATCGGAGAAATTCGAAGTCACCCAACCGTTCCTCCTCCAACAGGCTGCATGGCTCTATGAGCGCCAACTGTCCCAAGTTCGGGCCCAGATGCGCCGAGTGGGAAACAGACAGTCCGCCACGCCCTCCCCGGCTCCAGGATCAGCTTCCGCCAGCATGGTGGGTGGCCAGGCGATGAAGAGAGCGGGTAGTGGTGGGTCACGTGTCCCTTCACGGTTGTCGACCCAGCACCTTGGAAGTCCTGTCGCTGGGGGAGGGGACAGCACGCCAGGAACGCCTGCTAAGAGCAGGACTTCTCTACCATTCCGGAACACATCGGGGGCTGTTGCAGCGGCCGGTGGTCCACAGACCAGGGGGGCGTCCGGGACGTCGAGGCCCTTGTCAAGGCAGTCGTCCAAGGATGCCGAGGCGCCGCAATCTAGAAGAGGCAGCATCCAGCATCCATTGGCGAGGTCGCCGGGTCAGACGCGCAGTAACCAGCCTCAATCATCTGACTCAGAAGACGAAATGACTCAATCCCGTATGATGGCTCGTCGACCCAACCCGTCGTCGATGCACCGGCGCGTTCTCTCCTACAGAAAAGACCTCCAATCCCAGAAAGGCACCGCTGGCAACCTGGACGAGAAGGGTCCGACGCAAAACCCACCTTTGCACGACGAGGACGAAGACGAGGAAGACGAGCCATCTTTCCTCCCTTTTGCCAATCCCGCACCCGACAACAAGCCCCGACCGTCATCTTCCTCTCAACAGGATCCCAGCGCAACGTTACGAGGTGGCCTGCAAACCCAGCGCCCTGGCATCCAGCGTCGTACGACATCTGAACGCGTCGTCTCGTCTCCAACCGTCGAGCCGCCCACTCCAGTTCAGACGCAACGAAACCCATCAACCATGACATCCTCGACTTCTTCCCTGTCTTCCCCTACCCACGCCACAGCTCCAAACATGACCTCAACTCGACCCCCGCCTCGAACCGATGCTCAATACTCCTCGCAGGGTCACCCACCGACGCAGCCGCCCGCCATCCCTAGGCTCGGCACACCATTGTCTCCTCAACACCGCGCCCTCCTCCACAGCCACAGCCACTCTCAGTCGGCATCAGCAGGCGCCTCGCCGCGCCGCCATGGCACCGGCCCCGGGTCTGACACGTCGCCTTCTATGGGCTCCTCCTTCTCCGACCTGGACGACACGAGCGTGACGCAATCGGCGTTGGAAGAAGCATTGTTGAGCGGCATGGGGAACACCACAATGACGACGCATTTTGGAGGATTTGGAGGACGAGTCACGAGTGGAATCGGACAGGCGTTGAGGTCTCGGTATTTCGATGCTAGGGGCGGTGGTGACGGTCGTGGAGGCGGATCAGGTGGTGGCGGTGGTTCCGCACCTAGTAATGTCAGCGAGAGATGAGAATGGTATGTCGTGGGCAGTCGTTAGTGCGAGGGGACCCAGGTTGAGACTGTGACGTACTGGAACAAGGTGCAAATGGGTCGGAACCGGCGTTATGGTCGTCCAGTGAGTGCGACGAGAAGCCCCAACCAGCTTGTGCAAGCGTTAACTATGCATTGAATAATACTGCAGGATAGAAACAGTATTATATCGGAATAGGACATCACTTAGCACACCATGGTACTATAGCGTGAAGTATATGGATAATCCCTGTTCAGATCATGTGTCCCCATCCCCAGCGCACGTTTCATCCTATGGTGGAGCCCGATCATATCTTGTAGTTCTGGGAACATTTCAGTATTGGAGGGAGAGGAGAAGGAGAAGAGAGACTAGTGAAGAAGAAAGAATCTATTCGACCCCTTTCGATCGTTTCGAGAGCTTACGATAGAGTGACAAAAAAAAAGGACACGCAGTACGGCACGATACGATACGGTAGCAGAGAACAACTAACTCCCTCGTGCAAGTACACGCACAAGCACGAGCGAGACAGAGGCATGTGGCCGCGTCCAGAAAAAAGAGTCCTTGGCCACCCTTGATAACCCTGTCCTGCCCTGCTTCATCATCTGATCTGGTCTGCCTCGTCCACAACCTTCGAGTCCGTCCTTTTTACACCTCATCCCTCTTCCGCCCGGGCCGGCTGGTGCTCTTCGACTCATGGGCAATGTTCTTGCCCACGGTACCCGTCTGTGGCCTGGTGGACCATGACTGGGTGTACGTCGCCTTACCGGAGTGGCTGCTGGTGGTGGTCTTGCTCCCGGTACCGTGGCCGCCGTGACCATGACCACCGTGACCTTGGCCATCCGTGGCGTTGCCCTTGAACTTGGCGTGGTTGGGGAACTCTTCGACGGTGGCGTTGTGGCCGTAACCGCGGTAGCCACGGACGCCGCGCTTGCGGTGCTTGTCGAGGTGGCGGACGTTCTCGACGCCGCCCTTCATGTACTCGACCATCTTCTCGCCCATGGTGCGCTTGCGCAGCGAGTCATCGACCACGACGCCCGGGTTGTTGGCGTACCAGGTCGTGTAGGCCGAGCAGGTCTGCGCCACACCGTCCGGCACTTGCATGGAAGTGAGCTGCTCCGGGTGCTCCAGCAGCATGATCACCATGCCCGCCGACAAGTGCCACGCGATGTGGCAGTGCACCGGCCACATGCCCGGGTTGTCCTGCGTGTACTGGATCACAATGTACGACGGGTTATCGGGTGTCGCCCCCGCCCAGAGCATGTGCACGTCGCGACGCTGCGGGTTCGACGGGTTCGTGACGGTCCCGTCCCACGTGCCGAAGCCCTCGGCCAACACCTGGAAGTCGTGGCCGTGCATGTGCATGGGGTGAGGCGCGGGGGTGGTGTTGATAATGATGATGCGCACGGTCCCGTTGGTGCCCGTATTGTACACGTTGTACTGCGGTGCGAAACTCGTCTGGCCGGCAATCGCCTCGGCGAGCAAGCTGCTCGACAGGTCTCCGTCGTAGCTCACCCCGTTCATGGTCCAGTGGAAAACTCCCGAGGCATCAGGAGCACCGGCAATGGTGATGGTGATGGTGGTGTCTGGGTCCGCCACGGGCATGACATACTGAGGAACTGTGGTCGCCAAAGGGTCGTTCTGGCAGTTCGAGTTGATTGGGGGCTGAGCACCAGTACTTGTCGGAGCCGTGCTGGCGTCGTATCCTGTATAGTAGATGATGCCCTGTCCGAAAGGTCCGTTCGTGTCGCCGCAGGGGCTGTTGAAGGTGCGGAGCCAGTAACTACCCGGGGCCTGGTTGGCGGTGACAAGGACATCGACCCGCTGACCGACACCGATAGTGACGAATTGCGTCTGATAAGGCTGAATCGGCACAAAGTCATTGGCGATGACTGTCAACATGTGTCCATCGATCGAAATGGTCTCGAATGCTGCAGCGCCGGTGTTGACGAACCGCATACGATAGGTCTTGCCGGGCTGGAATTCCCATGATGGGTAAGGGACGACGGAGCAGGGAGCGCCGTTGGTGACATTTGAGCAAGGATATTGGCCAACACCCGCAACGAGGTTGGAGTCCGAGAACGGCCGGAATGGCTGGCCGGAGGAGCTGGGGGACATGACCAACTCGACAATATCCTCGTAGCTGTCGTGGAACCAGTCCGACACGAGGATCGGGTAGAGGTCGACATCGTAGCCAGCATCGTTGGGGCCGTGGATCACAATCGGCCCGACAACTCCAGAAGAGTACTGGGCAGAGTAATGGGCGTGCCACCAGGAGGTACCATACTCATCCGCACGGAATCTGTAGGTCACATTCCCACCGGGGACGATTGGGCACTGAGAAACAGTGACGACTCCGTCGTAGTATGGAGTTCCAGGCTGATTCAGACCGTGCCAGTGTATCGAGGTTGGCTCTTCAGGACCCCAGATCTGGTTGATAACGTTGATTTCGATCCTGCCACAATTTAGCAACCTTTGACACATCCTTGAGCATTTTCATACCAGTCGCCCCAGTTTGCCTCGATCAAGGGACCTGGGTACTGGCCATTGACGACAATCATGGCTTGTTGCACTCCGTCAGGGGCATATGTTCCCCGGGAGACAGTGAAGTCATAGTACCGTGTAACGCCTGGCGTTGACTTCAGCCTTGTCTGCACATTAACTCCCGAGGAGATCATACGCACCAGTATCTGGCATGTCATTCTGGGGATGCGACCCTGAAGCTGTTCTGCTCCCCCATGGGCAGTCACCGCCCTGGCGTGCGTCAGCGGAAAATGATTTCACGGCAACATTTGAAGCTTTTCTGCTTACTCCCATCCATTTCCCAAGAGGTCCGGGTTGACCAGCCAGCACGCTTTCAGCAAAGATCGCGCCCAGAAGGGCGGAGACCAAACCTGTCCTCATTGTCGACAGGAACAAGGTCGAAGAGAGGTCGAAGAAGTGTGTAACCAAGAAGAAAGGATCTGTACAACGACAGTCAAGACTGACGGATTGTATTTATGTCGACGGCCAAACAGACAGAGCTGACCAGCTTGTGGCGGGTCCAGACTTGGGTCCCCATTTGCGACCCCGGCGAGGCAGTCAGATAAACTAAACACCACTTGGACTAGCCATGTCTGGGTGTTACGAGTATGATCGGACTGAATAAGGCATGCAAGTCCGTCCAAAGCACGGGCGCTTTAAAGGAGTGCTTAGGCGAGCGGACCGTATTTGGGGCATCTCCCCAGGAGCACGGGAAGGAAGGCGGAACGAGTTTTGACCATTGGCAAAGCAGAACCGTCTGAATGGACGGAAAGTCGGAGCTGGACTTCGGACTGTAATTTGATCACTGGAGTACTCGGTATAGGTCAGGGAGACTATCCATTGAGATAAGCGACGGCGCGTGTCACTGCCATAGCATGAGCCAAAAGACACGGAACAGTATGAACGAGGCGGTCAGAGATCGTGGGATGCCTGAACAAATGGCACTTGCGAGCCGTCGACGGCAACAAAAGGCCGCCAAGTCAGCCAGTCATACCGGTTCTGCTCCATCCCCAAGAGGCAGGGAGGTTGTATGTCACGACTGGGCGCCCTGGAGTGAAGAGCATTTGTTTGGACTATAACGGGACCCGGGCTGAAACGCTTAATATAGCGGGGAAACAGGCGAATTTCCTCTTGGAGAATTTCCAGAAATAGTCCTCGGTGCTGCTCTTTTCTGTTCACACGGTCAGCTGTGTCCAGGCTGCCTACCGTTGACAGGCTCTTTATTGTGACATCACGAACAATAAATATCGCTGTTGATGAGATATGTGTTGGTGAGAAAAAACTGGTTTGTTCAAAGGGCGTGACTGATCCAGCAGGTGTTAGAGTGCGTTAATGCCTGCACCCTTTGGACCCCGGCATTTAGAGGCTGAGAATGAGAGTCATCCCGGGAGTCATGCCCAAAGGAATTTTCGGCTTCCGTTGTGAGCTGAGACCTGTACGATGAGAGTTCCTGGCGGATACGATGCTGAGCGCAGGTACTGCAGTGACAAGCCTTTTGGGCCCGTCAGCACCAGTGCCTGAATGCCAATGAGATGTTGCACGACACTGGCTCCGCACGGGCACCGGCAGAGCAGCAATAAGCAAGGCTCTATCAGGTATCTCTCAATTGCAACAAGGGGAAGAGGCCCTTGCAGAGTGGAAAAGGCGGGTCTATTTGGGAACCATAGCGGTCTTGACGAGACAAACGAGCTGCTGACACGTGCATGTGCCAACAGCCGCCAATCAATGCTTTTATGTATGAGGCGCCAGCTGCAGGTCTTTCTCCTCGATCTCGTGCTTTCTCAAGTCGCGGATGGACGGGAAAATCCTGAAAATCTTGAGTTTGTGTACTTGCGTAGCGCTGCTGGGACCTTGCTCCATGACATGTTGATCTAAAGTAGGTATACAATCCCTTTTCTCTATGCAGTCTTATTGGGATCCAGGCCGAGAGAATCGCGGCTTAACCTGCTCCTTGCGCATGGGTTGAACGTAGCGGAGCGACCCACGGTAATCATAATCGTTGTATATCGGTGGAGACAAGGCTGTCATTGCTTGGTGGTCCGGTTTGGCAGACATAGGCGGCCAGTCCACTTCCGGAGTCGTGGGGAACCTTCTCGTGCCTAACTGTGGTCGGACGATCCGATTGAACTCCACATCCAATGAGTGTAGAGAAGCCGATCTTCTAGACCCATTCTTTGGGGTGCTTAAGGACTTCCATTAGCTCTTTTTCCTTCTCGTACTGGGAGTCATCTGCGTCGGCTTGATTTTCAGGAATGCCAGTGCCACACTGTTCTTCACGTTAGCTTCACACAGCCCGATCTAAGAACGAAAGAGCTGGTAAAAGAGTGCTAGGGGGCAAAGGTCGGGATGGACCTACAACAGGATGCATGTATTCCCAACGGGCCGTTAATGGCAAACTCATCAGAATGCTCTCGACTCGGGCACCCGGAGTTCGAAGCCCGAAGCTGGTCCCCCTGTCGTTGATGAGGTTGAATTCGACGTATCTGCCTCGTCGAATCTGTTGCCACTCTTTTTGTTGAGGTAAATAGGGCATGTCCTTTCTCTTCTTCACAATGGGAAGGTACGAAGGTAAGAATGACTCCAGGCCGCTGACAACGAATTGGAAGATCTCCTCCTGCGGATTACGCGAGTTTGGTCGGGAACTGGCTTCAAGGTCGTCGAAAAAGATGCCACCAATCCCTCGAGATTCATTGCGATGTGGAATTCTGAAATAAGAGTCGCACCACTTTTTGAATTTGGGGTAGTAGTCTTTGTCGTGCTTGTCGCAGGCGGCCTTGATAGTCTTGTGGAAATACTGCGCGTCTTCTTCAAATAAATAACAGGGCGTCAAGTCGGTGCCGCCGCCAAACCACCAGTTTTGCTGGGACGTCCCCGTTGCGTTGACTGGATCCCTGGGATCAGATGTCTCAAAGTAGCGGTAGTTCATGTGGACCGTCGGAGCCATGGGGTTATGAGGATGCAGCACGAGCGAGATGCCTGCTGCAAAGAAATTCAATTTGTCGATGTCCGAAGCAACAAAGGACTTGTGGTCTGACCGCATCTTCTCAATGGCAGGGCGCGACAGCTCTCCATAGACGACGCTGATATTGACACCGGCTTTCTCAAAGACATTGCCATCCTGGAGAACGCACGAGATGCCGCTCCCCCCAGCCGGCCTCGTCCATTCATCCCGCCTGAACTTCGTCCCGTCCAGATTTTCCAGCGCAAAGACTATCCGATTTTGGTGTTCCTTGATCAAAGCCTCCATCCGCAGTCGCATTGGGGAGTTGCGTGTAATTCTTTGCTTGCTCTTGGTAACCTCATCTACTTCGGCCAAGTTAACCGGTTGGACGGGCGGCGAGTCGTTCGCAATAGGCATTCCACCGGACATATTGTAGGCCAGTGTGCCGACAAAGAGGGTACCGAGGGACAAGGGTAGGTAGAGCCATTTCTGCCTGCGATGATTTCCTAGCAGCTGGCGTTGAACAGCGGCTGAGGAGCTGGTAGAATAGCAATTGGGGAAATGAGGAGGGACATGCAATTGAGATCCTGCTCTGAGTAACGAACTGTGAGAAGCTCGAACAGAGCTCCAGGCAGAGCTGGGAACACGCATGGTCAATGGGGCACTGAGCTGCGCTGACACAGCATGAACGAAGGGAAAGCAGGTTGACAAATTAAGAAAACACAGGTTTATTGTAATTCTAGTAGCTCCATTGAATGCTTGTCGCCACAGATCCACGTGAGGAATGAAATCTTCATGCCCGTCGTCAGGTCATCGCAGGTGTAGCATTACGACTCCTCGACTCTTTTCCGCGAGACGAAGCTGGAGAAACGCGCCTCAGGTTCCCCACCGTCACATGACATGGGTCTTCTTTACCACACAAGCCAGCCACAGTCGACTGACAGCGGCACTGTGGCGATCTTGATCAGATACTTGTAACAAATGCCATCTTCTGGAATAGAAGGCGAAAGCATTTGAATCAAGCCCCTTGGAAATAAATAACGAGGCGCAGTCTGACCAGTCATGTCCATCCGGCAGATCTCGAACAAAGAGGCGACAAAGGACTCGAAGCAATCAATCCGTGACCCTTTCTCTCCTTGTGTCATTCCCAGGATGACGATAGGATAGGACGTGACTCACCCACCCGTTCCGTCTTATTTAAGATCCAGCCTCGTGGCCAAACTCGATGGCTGGTAGATGTCATAGTCAGGCTGAGCAGCGTCCCGTGATCGGGGTTGATAAAGTCACTTCGAAGCTTGCACTGATAAAGCGGGGCAATCATTTGCTCCCGGTGTGGCCTGCAGGTGACTCCTCGACTCCCTGCGGCTGCCACGCACGGGGCCTTAGCCTAACTAGCCTGCCTATCACCGCCCCCTCTCAGTGCTGCCTGCCACGCCTGGCACCTTCAACGACTTCATCCTCATCCCTCATTCACCGACCAGCCCTCCTGCCTTCATCTATCCTTTCAACCACCGACGCTGAATCATTTCTCCTGAGTCCACGACACCTTCAGAACTTCATCCATCCTCCCCTGCACCAACCGAACATCACCTCATCTCCATCACCATCACCATGCGTTCCAAGTTCAAGGACGAGCATCCTTTTGAGAAGCGCAAGGCAGAGGCCGAACGCATTCGTCAGAAGTACGCCGACCGCATTCCGGTATGTCCAGTCTCGTTCTTTTGTCAACTGCTGTGGCTGACCATATCGTCTACAGGTCATCTGTGAAAAGGTCGAGAAATCTGATATCGCTACCATCGACAAGAAGAAGTATCTCGTCCCCGCAGACCTCACTGTCGGCCAGTTCGTCTATGTTATTCGCAAGCGCATCAAGCTCAGCCCAGAGAAAGCCATCTTCATCTTCGTCGACGAGGTTCTTCCACCCACCCATGCCCTCATGAGCAGCATCTATGACGAGCACAAGGACGAGGACGGTTTCCTTTACATCACGTACGTTTCAAATTCTCGCACGGCGCATACCACAGTGTAATCGCTAACAAATATCTAGATATTCGGGCGAAAACACCTTCGGCGACTTGTAAAAGTCCAGCCCTCGAGACGGCCGACGCGTTCGGCGACAGCCAACGGGGGCCACGAAGTGTATTGATTTGACGGATGGACAACACCTGAGCTACACCCTGGCGTTTGGACACTACATTCATACCTGCAGAAGAGACACTACACAATGGGGAAAGGTGTGAGCCATGCACGTTTGACTCAACGGTGTGGGCAAGAAGAAGTGGCAGACGGGCACTACTTGCAGCAAGCGGGGAGGTTTTGAGGGGCCCATTATTGATTTGTATTCATGCTTGGTCATTGAACAAATTCAAGTATCCTTTCCTCCTCGTTCCGCCTCCAGATGAATATTGCGTGAGTCTGTAACCCGCAACTTCACATGACA